TACTGATCGTAACCGCGTTCGATATTCAGTAAATGGGTTCTTTTAACTCTGCTTCGCAGTAAATCTCGCTGCTTCTTCGTCAAATAAGGCATAACCAGAGCAAGATATGATGGAAACTCGACCAGGCGTTCGAGTTGGCTTCGAAAATCGCTTCGAAATTGATATTCTCGATGATAAGGGTTTGCAAAAGAAGGAGATACTGAAACGTATGGATTGCTGGTTTGCTGAGGTTTTTGCGGCCTTGTGTACTGTGCTAGAGTCGTTGTTATTGTCGGTCGAATAGTTGAAGGCTTCATATTCGCAAGAATTTCCAAGTAGGGAAAGAAGGACTTGATATCATCGAAATTCAGAACTTCTAAAGCATTACCCAGTCTTATCAAAGTAAACGTATCATCAACGATTTGCAGTCGCTCTGCGTATTCCAGGAACTGATCTTTCACTCCGAGTAAATAATTTTTCTCATGGGTACCAGCCACTCTCGCATATTGATACACAAGACTAAGAGCTCCGGACGACCTGATTCCACTTGATGAAGCGCGTTCGATAACTTGTGTCACCGATTTAAGTTTGTCTAAAAATATTTTTTTAGAAATAATCGTAGTATCAAACCTCTAAGAGACGAGTTGAAAAGCATCTGACAGACAATCGCCTCAAGAACGTTTTCCTTGAGTTCAGAATCCATTTGCTTATCCTCAAACAATACAAGACTGTCAGCATTTACAAGCGGTTTTGATTTGGGAAGTCTCGACAGGTATTGGTAAGAAGCTGCAACTTCGAAATCTGGCAGGTCATTTTGGAGATTCAAAGATGTTGAGGCATTCTTTGAAAACTCAGAAATTTTGAACTTTCGATCTATAGAAGGCGTCGAGTAAAGACTGTGAATTGCTGATCTTTGAGAGTTACTATCGAGCTGCGAAAAGGTCCTCCAAGCGCCGTATTTGCAAAATACATCGTCGGATATCTAGTAACGGGGTTTCCAAATGATCACTTCAATATAACAATCTCAAAAGTTTCATAGTTGAAACCCTCCACATAAGAACAATGCCCAGTTTCATGAACAAATTTCAACGCATTTTGCAAGCTTTCGATGTTCACTGCTAACTTGGATCTAACTAGCCTGCTTCTGGTGCATCCCAGCCGATTCATTCAAGATCATCTGAACAAAAACACTCAACTGCTGTGAAGTCTTTGTTTTTCATCAAGAGGTTTTTTCACACAATAATTTATTGCTACATAAAAAGTGAGAATGTGGCTCTTCACTGAAGAGAAACTAAGGAGTGAGGAATGAGATGCGGGACTACTCATCGTCCTCCTTCCAGCCTCTGCTCGACGACCTGCATCACTTTCTTTTCATATTCTCGTCTATTTTCCTGGAAGAGTTGAGCGGCTTGGGAATTGGCGGGTGAGTTGGGGTTCGGTTCATCGAGAAGTGATTGAATGGATGTCTAAAAGGCAAATTTACACTTGTTTGAACAGAAATGAAAGTGAACGAATACGGAGTTATATATGCTTCATTACTACTCATGCACAACCAACCAAGATAGAAGACACATCATATGTGGGCGACCAGCGGTTTTGCAGGATATCAAGGCATATGGACCCATCCGCGTAAACATTCGGATGGAACATTTTAGAGGTAAATCTCACGACGGGCGGTTTATTTGGATACTCCTCTACAATTTGATTTCAGATAGAGCCAAGTTTGAAAGTGTACCTGTAAATTCTATGGTTAGTTTGAACGTCCCGTCCTCAAACGGTGTATCTGCCGGGCCAAATATTACAGCGTTCCAGAGGAGAATATTGTTGTCTGTTGGGGCTCCGGAAACACCAGCTGGGGGGTCTTCCTGGAGTCTTTTAAAATCCCGCATAAGACGTCGCCGAGCAGCAGTAGACATCCTTAACCCAACCCTGAAAAATTTCATCAACGAAACATCAGCTTTCCGAATAATGCATCATTTTTATGCTTCAAAACTATTTGAATCTGAACTTGTAGAAACACACACATGTAAAAGCAATTTCACGAGAGGAACACATTTCTTAAAAAGATACAGAAATGGGCGCGCTTAATAAATAATTGTTTCACTCTCCCAATAAAAAGTTTATTTTGGTCCGAGCATATCGGTTGGGACAACCCAAGCGTCAAATTGTTCGTCCGTGATGCCGTTTTCTTTGGCAGACTCTCGGAGCGTGGTTCCCTTCTTATGCGCATTCTTGGCGATGGCGGCGGCCTTATCGTATCCGACGTGGAGGTTCAAAGCTGAAAAGCGGTTGAAAAGGGGTTGCTTGGAAATGTTATCACCGGTTACGAGCATAAGAGACTCATTGAGAAGCTGATCGATTCGGGCTTCGTTGGCGGTGATGCCGACAACGCAGTTATCAACAAAGGCGTTGCAGGCAGTGCCGATGAGGTTGGCAGATCGGAGAACGTTGGAAACCATGACTGGCTATTGATTGAGTTTTATGAATGGGTTGATAAGATAAAAAACTTACCTTGTAGACGTTGAGCTCAAAGTGACCGTTCATACCGCCAGCGGTGACAGCCATATTATTACCCATGACCTGCGTACAGACCATAGTGATAGCTTCAACCTGAGTTGGGTTGACCTTGCCGGGCATAATGGAGGATCCGGGCTCGTTTTCGGGAAGATTGAGCTCGCCAAGACCACATCGTGGTCCAGAAGCGAGGCGCATATCATTGGCAATCTTGTGGATGGAGCAGGCGACAACGTTGAGAGCGCCGGAAACCTCAACCATGGCGTCGTGGTTGGCGAGAGCTTCGAACTTGTTGGGAGCGGAGACAAATGGAAGACCGGTGTAGTTGGAAAGCTCCTCACAGCAAGCCTCTGCGAAACCAATTCGAGTGTTGAGACCAGTTCCGACAGCGGTGCCACCGATGGCAAGTTCGTAGACTCGTGGGAGGGTGGCTTCAACACGGGCGATTCCGTTATCGAGCTGCTGAACGTATCCAGAGAATTCCTGTCCGAGAGTCAATGGAGTAGCGTCCATCATATGAGTTCGGCCAATTTTGACAATGTGCTCAAAAGCTTTCTGCTTCTCGTAGAGGGCCTCTCGGAGCTTCTTGAGGCCCGGGAGGAGAACGTTGTTGATTTCGAGAGCGGTGGCGACGTGCATAGCCGTAGGATAGGTGCAGTTCGAGGACTGGGACTTGTTGACGTGATCGTTGGGGTGGACGGGGGACTTGGTGCCGACTTCGCCGCCGAGGATGAGATTGGCGCGGTTGGAAATGACCTCGTTGGTGTTCATGTTCGACTGGGTGCCCGAGCCAGTCTGGAAGATGACAAGAGGAAAGTGACCCTCGTCGTAAAGCTTGCCAGAAATGACCTCATCGGCGGCCTCTTTGATCGCGTTGGCGAGCTTGGCATCGAGTCCAAACTTCTGGTTTGCTTCGGCGCAGGCCTTCTTGAGGTAACCGAAAGCCTTGTGGAGCGGTTACAATTAGAATAATTTAATTATCAATTACTTGGATGATCTGTCGGGGCATCTTATCGGCCTCGCCGCCAATGGGGAAGTTTTTCATCGATCGCGCGGTCTGGCAGCCATAGAGCTTGTCGTTTGGCACCTGCATCTCACCCATGGTGTCGGTCTCGATTCGGAAGCCAGACGCCTAGAATTCATTTTAAAACGGTCAATCTATCACAATGGTAATAGAACTGAATATAAATCTTTATTCTGACCGGAATCATTTTCTATCGGTGCTCTTTTCTCGATATTGTGATGTCTACTAGGTGTGGCTCGGCTAGTTATGATCATTTCACTTATTTTACGATTATATAAAAATATCTGAAGGGAACCATAATATTCCTGCGCTTTATAACTAATTGAAATTAATTCTAATGAAAAAGAGTAACAACTAAAGTGATTCTTTTAAAGTGCCCCATGTTAATTTTCAGTAAAATATGGGTTTCATAAAAAAGATAAAGAACTTGTGTCTCGAGCACCACCCACTGACCAGAAGGGAAAAGCGGGCTTGTATCGTGATCTCATTTATAAAAATTCAACACAACTTACGAATCGAGATGGAATTTTTGGTCGAACGACTCGGGACAAAACGAACTGACGCATGCTAAACCGTACGAATTCAATAACGACAATAATTATTAAAAAATATATAGATTATTTATTGAATAGAAAAATAGAATAGAATATGAAAGTTCAGTTTTGCTGTTTATCAGGCTGCAGAGTCTGCAGATCTCCAAGGTTCTTCCAGTTGACCAAAATGCGAACGTTCTTTTTGTTCTTGGTAGCTAGTGACAGTTGACGGCGGTACTCTAGTAGATGCTCGTTTCCAACTACAGTGCCGACTGCTACACGCGTCGATCTTTCACGATTCCTAAATTGTTGGTTCATAAATCTTGCGAATCAAGAATAATACAATCATATCGGCAACATTATTGCTTTATTAAGAGAGGCAATTAAAGGAGGTAAGATGAGGAATTAAAAAAGGTTCGGCCTCATTGACCCCAGCCAGGGCAATATTATCGATCTTATTTTGGCATAAAGCTATTCATTGAGTTTGCTTTTGAATATGAACCGTCTGTAGGAATTCCTCCAATCGATAGAAAAATATATTTCTGAACAGGCCGCTGTCGATAGTAGCCATCGATTCTCAATGCTTAATCAAAACGTATAGCGCGAATAAGAAAAAGAAGGATGCGCAGATGGCACGACTTTTATTTTTGAAAAATAATTTACAGTCACTCGCGGATGAAATACCTTTTAATAGCTTTATGAAATTCTATCCAAGTACGCCCTATCTACAAATTCTTTGATAAGCTAAAAATTAAAAACTGCGTAATTTCTGTAGGGGAAATTCCTTCGCAGTGAATTCGGCCTCGAGTGACTGTAATTTTTAATTTTAAAAGGGATAAAGTATCAACGTCTCAAAAAAGAAATTCACCGGCCGCTTCCTCAAATTTCAGAGTTAGATTATCCTCCCGGCCGCCTTTAATTAGGATCAATTTTAAATCACTGAACCCTAAATGATCGACGCCGTGTATTTCGTCGTTGAACGATAAGAAGGGCAAAAGGTTTGTTCGGTTACTTACTTTGCTTCCTCACAATTATGGTAGGCTTTTTGGATGAGTTCCGTCGCTTGAGGGTGCTTTTTGTACGCGTTGTAAAGTAGTGACATTTGCGAAAGTGCATCCACGGAGCATTGCCCGCCCTAAAATCAATCAGGAATACAACTTTTCTTTGCTCATCCAAATGAGCTCAGTAAGACCACCTCGAAAGTTACAAAACCGGGTATTTTAAGCAAGATTATTTGTAGACATATCATTTTTAGGTGGTGTTACTGTGATGGCCCGAATGATCAAGTTGAATTCGTTTTCGAGATTTCGAATAACGAATTTCGAAATTTCTTCAAAACTCAACTCAACTCTCGAACGAAATGAGAAAATCTGGAGCAATTTCAAATTTTGTTCAACCAAATGATAATTATGGGGATTTCCGTCAGCTGATTCATTTTTTTCTAAGTCGAGTAATTATTTAACAATTTATTAAAATATTTGCCGTCCCGGAATCATCGCTTTTGAGTCAATATTTAGCACTTCTAGCTGCGTAAACAAATTTTCTTCTAGTTCCGTTTTTTGACTGGAAAATCTTTCCAATCGTCATTATAATCGACGCGCGAAGAAGACCATTATTTATCCAAATTAGCTTTTTCATTCTTCGAATGCGTCATGAAATGTTTCATTTTAGCGGCTGCGGGAAACAAATACACACCCCTCGAGCGCGGATTTTCTCTTTTGAATTTCCCGGGCGTCGATTGGTCAGCCTCGGCCTTGGGCAGAAATTAGAACTGGCTCAAGCTCTTGATGCTTTCGGAAACTGTAAATTACAGTCTCACTCAAGCTGAACCACTTCTAGGATTTCTGTTCAGTGCCGGCTTCATTCAATATTTCTATTAATAATCTGAATAATCGCATTACTCATTGATGGTTTCTCTAGACTTCCTCTCTCGAACTGTTACAGCCAATCAGCTGCTTGGCTAGTTCGCTGTTTATTTCTTCACGTGGTGATTACTTTTCAAAATATTCACTGGAAAAATAAAACAAGAAAAAGGCTGCTGCTGTCTCTGACGCGCTGAGAGAGTAGTGTGGCGAGTGACGGGCGCCTTTCTGCTCTGCGTCGCGAAATCGAGCAAAGGGAGAAAGTGCGTGGGCGGAGGCGTCGACCAAATCAACCAAAGGAGACCAAAATTGAAAAAAGAAACGAAGAAAAAGACGACATCGCGACACGGCCTGCCAAGGAGGCACTCGACACCACGCTCTTCTGGCACAGTCAGTCACGTACCAATCCCGCTGAATAAGAATGATCTTTCCCTTGCCCGCTGGGCAGTGCCTCTGCGTAAAAATGATGGTTTTACGATGACTCACCTGATTTTAAATTTTAAATTATTAAAATAAAAGAAAATTATCATTGCGAGCTGTGTGCCAACCTGTGCACAAAATCTGAGTCAGAGTCCTGGAAACGATTATTAAAAAGACGCGCCGCGGCTTTCCTTCGGGCTCAAGCGAAGCCGCGAAGAAATTTCGCAAAGAAACGAAAAATGATCATCTTGGCAATTCTTGGGAATTTACAGAAAAAGAATATTATAGAAATATATTTTAAATGAACGAAATGACCCTTCAGAAAATGTATAATTCATCATCAAAATGTCACGAAAGACAGCAAGAATGGCCCATGAGAGGGAGGCTCACCCATCAGCTGGCGGATTTGATTGACCTGCATAAGCAATTTAGAATTTCCCCAAGGAGCAAGCTTGGGCAAATTAAATTTGTTGCAATTTGAAAGCGCGCCTGAGCAAGCTCAATCAATCTGCCAAGCGAATTTAATTTATGAATATTCCACTTTGATTGCATTTTGCAGAAGCGGATTCGACGGGATGGCAAACTCGAAGCGGAATTATACGAAAAATTGAAAATATCGTGGTCAAAAATATCGACTTTAAAAAATTGATCAGCTGACGGAAGTGAAGGAGACCCACTTACGGTGACCTACCTCGGATTCAACTTTATCGACCGCCTTTTTGAGTATCGCTTCGGCCGATTCCAATATTTCATCTCCAAATCCAGCTCCTTTCGCTCGGATCAGGTCGGACAGTACAGCCGTGATCTTTTGAATCAACTCATCTAAATGACCATTTGAATAAATTTGAAATCTAATTGAATTGATTCTTACCATTCTGTATAATAAGGGCGTTTTCGAGGCCGCGTTCAAGAATTTGACGTGATTTTTGGTACATTTTTGCTTGGAATAACTTGTGTCCGTAGTGGTAATTGGCAGTTGAGATTGTTTTTCATATTTGCTAGTGTCCGCGGCGAGCACTGACTTTTCGAGTAGCTACAATAATACCGGTAGATAATGACGGAGCTTAGCGCGCAAAAGGTCACCTGTAGTTGGCTCTCGATTGAGCTGTCCTTTTCGGCGACGAGTCTGAGCACGCGAGAAAGGTGAAACGACGATGTTTGATTCCACGTGTCGCCCTGTGCTGTCTTCCATGTTCCCCGTCCGTGCGACAGGCTCACCGCTTTTTCAAGGTGGCTCCGAGACGCGTCGATTTCACCGCGAGACTCACAGGCCAAACCACACCGCTCGCTTGCTTCGCAAAGGCTTTTACCAGAATCCACAGTTACTGAAAACGATTGTGAAAGTGTCTACTCTTTAGAATTGAAATCAAGGAAGAGAATCAAGGCTGTCACTTACTCTCAGACGCAATGGCGAGTGCCCTATCGAAGAAGTGATGAGAAAGCCAGGTGAGCTTCCGCTCGCTGAAGTAGAGCGCCAATTCGGAAATATTTGAGTAGACTTTGACTTGCTCGCTTCTTCCGCTCGGCCTCTTCGGCCGCAGTGAGCTTCTCCTTGAATGTGTCCAAGTATTCTTTATTTTCGTGAACGACGGGGGCGAGCGACATCAGCGTTCCAGGCCCAGCTGCGATTATTTCTAGCTTACGCTTCTCGATCAGATTGAACATTTCAGAATATGCTTTGTGATAGCCATTTCTAGTTAAAAATAGTAGAATCAACGAGGAGTGTTAAAAAGTTACCTTAGCATTTCTATACATGTGTTGTGATAATAGTCGTTTCGCTTATAACAAGTGCTTGAATGTGATAATGTTTCTTGGTTAACTAAATTCACGCTAGAATAAACCTCGAAAACCAAAGTTACCTGAAGAGAGTTTGCCTTGAAGTTGCAGAATAGTACCCGAGGGCGGACCCGGGGCCAACGATTTCAATTTGAACTCTGTTGGCATTTTTATACGCTCATTCTCAAACTAAAAACAAATTGCTGACTTCGAATTGATGGGATTTTGTTCTAGAAAATATTTGCTACAGAAGGTATTTCTTGTAATATTCAGGAGTTTTGAAGTCGCGCTCAGCCCAGAAAGGGAGCGGTGTTTCGAAGCTCCAGTTCGGGCCAGAGTATTTTTGAGCGTGAAGATAGAGGATCAGGTCGTGTTGATTGGGATCAGCAGGAGTGTTCCTGCATTTATCACTAGAACGCGCATGATTTAGGAAATCAGTCCACAACTTACCAGAGCGGATCCTTTTCAAAAGCCATCTGAGGCGTGTCACTTTCCTCGGCAATCTTAAAACCTTTTGGTCCCCAATATCTTCTGTGATATCTTCTCTTTGTTGTCGTTCCAAAATCGTTCTTTCCCAAACAGAGGATCATTGTAAACCGGGTCGTTGATGATCGGGAAGCCCAAATACTGAGTATGAACGCGAATTTGATGTGTTCTACCAGTCTTTGGCATTGCACGAACAAGACTTTCGTTGCTATCTTCGAAAAATTCAACAAGCTCGAAGTTTGTCAAAGCAGTCTTTACTTTTTTCTCGTCATCGCCATCCTTTGCTACTCTGTAAATACCCTTCTTCGCAGAGATTTCAAACAAGCTCTCTTCGCACGTTGCCTTTTCAGGAAACTTCCCAACGACTCTCAGCAGATACTGTTTTTGAACAACTCTGTCAGATATTTCTTTGCTTACGCGCTTTGCCACTTCTTTCGTTTTGGCAAAAATAACGAGCCCAGAAGTGAGTCTATCTAGTCTGTGAATGACGTGGTAGTTCACTTTATATTCTCGGGCAATTAAGAAGATCAGTGAGTTGTGTCGGTACTGTGCTACAGGATGAATTGGGACGCTTGATGGTTTTTTCACGACGTAGAACTCGTCAGTATCGGCGATGACTGTTGGCAATTCGATTCTAATTGGAGGCTCGTGGCGATGGTCCTTCGTTGAAATCATATCCCCGTCTTTGATGATCCTTTCTTTGAGCTCCGAAGCGTTGATCTTTTCCATGTTTAAAAGCATGTAGCCTCGCTCTGCCGTTTCATTTAACTTTTCAGGCGTTGAAATATGAAGACTGAACTCTTTCATCATCATATCAAAAACAGACATGCCAAGCCATCTCTTCAGCGCGAACTTATGATGAGTGAAGAAATAAGGTCTAACTCTACGAAGACCTTTCTCTTCGTCAATTATATAGTCGGTCTCTGCGAATGTATCGTCAAGCTTTTCCGGAGATAGCGGCGACTGTTTCTTCATTAAATTGACCATTTTGAGCTTTTTATTTTTCCTTGTCGTCAAATTTTCTGCCATAACTGAAGCAACTGCTTCTTTAGTGTCTAATTTAAGCAGTTTAACTGCAGGTGCATCTTTACAAACTTGCATTCTGAAGGGATCATTCTTGCTCAAAATAATTGTAGAAAGAAGGAATGGTAAATTCTGGCTATTGCATGTTGGCAGGTAAAATATTGCACATGTTTAGTCTCAATTGATCCACAATTTTTCGATATCATTATTTTGACAGTTTTTGATAGTTTCATCAACAAAACTTTGAAGCTGAGGTGTCAGTTCATCTGCTGTTCCAGATGCGTCGATCACCTTCCAAATCTAATGCACTCATTTCAATCAGCTCAGTTTTATACGACTTACATCACTGTGTTCTTCTTTCAACCGAGAATATAGGCTTCTAACTTTTCGCTGAAACTCCACTTTTTCATATCTTTCTTCTCCAAAGCCACCTCTGCTTTTTGCAGTTTCTTCGTCAACGTCAAGCTGAAGAACAAGATCTGGTTTTGGAAGTCCTCGGTCGGGATTTTTGCACCACTCGAGATCAAGCCCCTTTGCAGCGGTAAAAGCGACACCAGAAAATGCGTATCTGTCGACCAAAACTGATGTCCCGTTGTTCAGGTAGTTCAAAATGCTCTCTGAACGTGCATTAAATTTTCCAACTAATTTCGCCCGAGATTCACTAATTAGATTTCTAATTTTTCTTAAATTTTTATGCAAAATCTCTAGATAAACTGTTGTTATCAGGGCATCAGAACTAAAAATAATCAGTTTTCGAACTTACTCAAGTCCGATCGCCGTATATTTAAGGTAAGAAAGGATTAAATACCAGATAAATAAATCAAAAAAATTTTTTTCAGAAAAAAGTTTTTGAAGAAAAAACCGAGACGATTTCTCAGATCAGCCTCCTAAAAAGGTGGGACGAATGATGAGAAAACCTATCTAGGAGAGCACGAGGAAATGGAGCTAAAACGAAAAACCTGCATTTTCTATCAAAAAAACTGCAAATACACTTTTACAATTAGAATCTCCGAAAAATATATATTTTCATTATAATGAACGAAATTTCACTATATTTTTGTCCTACTTTTTTTCCTTTTTCACGCAGGTAGACTTACGAGCATGTTCCCATCGGTTTGCGGAGAAAAGCAAGTGAATAGCTTGGTCCGAAAGGTTGTTAGAGCTCGTCAGGTACCCGTTAATGGTCTGTCCGATTTCGCTTGTCCTCTAGAACTCTTATTAACCCAATGCATCAAAGGAAGTAGCTCACCTCAGGAAAACGTGTCAGATACACTTTTTCACCTTTATTAAGCATTTGATTGAAAATACGCTTGATTTGCGTCGACTTGCCCGATCTATCGACCCCTTCAAAGATTATCAACGCCCCTCGAGCCATTCTGATACACAAAAGAATTATTAAAAAATGAACACAAAGAGTCGAGTATTCTGTCAAATAATCTATTAGTAAGCGTTACTGACAATAAATAAGGAGGGAGATTTCAAAGTGTGTATCTGACAGAAATTAATTTGAATGCACTTAGGCGGACCAGATGTTGAGGTTGTGGAAGAACAACACTCGGCCGGCCCAGAAGGTGACCATGCCGGTGAGGGTAAAGACGACGCAGAGGTTCAAGTCTCGGACTAAAAGTTTGGTGGGTTATAAATCTTGATTTGGTAATACTTACGGAATCCCTCCTCTCCGAAAAGGCCGACGAGGATGGAGGTCTCTGCCTTTCGCTGGTTGAAGGTGATGTCGTAGTAAAAGTAGATGGCTGGGATGTAAGCCGTGGCCATAAGAACCAAACCTGAATAGAATTAGCAGTGAAAAGGAAGTTCAATATTACCGAGTGGTCGGAAGTAGGCGGGGTGAGCGGAGAAGAGCGCCACTGGCTTTCGGGCGTGAGCATGACCGCCAGTCTCGAGGGAAGAGACGAGGGTTCGTCGGGAGAGGACTCGGGTGGGGACAGCCAAAATTCGGTTCATTCTGAAGTTCAATGGATTATTTGAAGTTCATACGGATTGCGTTTAGGGAGCAGTGTGTCAGAGTTTATTTCAACTTTGATGGTCCCTTCATTTTCGACTTTCGTCGGGCGGCCCGTTTCTTTTGTTTTATTTCTTTCGCTTCGAGCTTTTTGATCTTCTTTGCGTCCGTCACAATTTGACCCTGAGACTTCGCCTGTTTCCATTCGTTTTCTTCTTGCTGACGTTTCTTCTCTTCGATACGGATACGCTCGGCTTCCTTTTCTTCATTCCTTTGAGCAATTATTTCTCGCTCCCTCATCTTAATCCCGTTAATTGGGTAATTACTCCTTGAACTCACCTTCATCTGGTGCATACGTAGCTTTTCGTCCATCTTAGCTTTCCATTTCTTTTGTGAGTTAGCTCCCTTTGGTGTCATCGTGTGAATGGGCTTCTTAGAGGTCTTCCAGCTACGGCCCGATTTACGGCTACCAATAGTGTCTGTGGCGGTCATGAGCGAATTTCTGAACAAGGAAAGATTTAAAATTATGAATCTATAAACTAGCATTAACAGTTATCAGTGGAGTAAACATGTGGAGAACGAGAAATTTCTCAATCGTGTTACTTTATGAATGAGTACTTGCGATCTTGTGATCAGAATAAATAAGCATCCGACGAAATCATTGCATGTTTTCGCTAAAAAATGATTAAAAAACCTGGCATGAATTGAAAAGTCTTACAGGATGATGGTGATACCCTGGCCGCCACCGATGCAGGCGGACCCGAGAGCGTACTTGGAGCCAGTTCGATTCAAAGCGTGGGCCAAGTGACCAGTGATTCGAGTACCGGAGGCACCAAGACTAAACAGAACATGAACAAACGCTATAAATATCGAGACTTACGGATGGCCAATGGCGATAGCACCACCACAAAGGTTGGTCTTGTCGTTGTCGAGGCCAAGTTCCTTCTGGACAGCGAGGAATTGAGGAGCGAAAGCCTCGTTAACCTCGATGAGATCCATCTGATCCAAAGTGAGACCAGCAGCAGCAAGAGCCTGCTTGGTAGCAGGGACAGGTCCGATGCCCATGACTTTAGGTTCACAGCCAGCGGAAGCAAAGGAAACGATTCGAGCAAGAGGAGTAAGGTTGTGCGCCTTGACAGCTTCGGCAGAGGCTACAACGACAGCGGCAGCACCGTCACAGACACCAGAAGCATTACCAGCATTCACAGTGCCATCTTTCTTGAAGACGGGCTTGAGCTTGTTGAGCTGCTCGAGGGTAGTCTGTGGCTTGGGATGTTCATCAAAATCCATCGAGACGGGCTTTCGGCGGATCTTGACATCCATTGGGGCCATTTCCGCCTAAATATAAGTCATTGCCAATACTTCAATCATTCAAACCTTGAAATGACCAGCCTCGTTGGCAGCGAGCCATCGTTGCTGGGTCTGGTAAGCATGGGCATTAGCTTCTTCCATGGTGATGCCATACTGAACAGCAAGATTCTCAGCGGTGATACCCATGGGAAGCTTGATGTTTTGATCAGTAAGACCAGCCCAGAGAGTGTCCTCAAGCTTGAGATCTTGGCCAAGTCGAGTGCCGAATCGAGCACCTCGGAGGGCGTAAGGAGCCTGAGACATGGATTCAGCACCACCTCCAATACCGATCTGGGTCATGCCAAGTTCGATTTCCATGGCAATCATGTTGATAGATTCGAAACCCGACCCACAGAGTCGATTGACGGTCAAACAGGGGTGGCCTTGTCGATACCAGCGCGGAGAGCACTATGTCGGGCAATGTAAGCGGCATCGCTGGAGCTCTGCATGACGTTTCCGACGCACACGGAGTCGACGAGGGAGGGATCGACGCCAGCCTGAGCCATGGCAGCAACATTAGCGTGAGTCTGGAGGTCATTGGCAGTGAAGTCCTTGAGGGCACCGCCGAATCCACCGAAGGGGGTTCGCTTAGCGCCAACAATGAAGACTTCTTTGGTCAGTTTAAGGGCCATTCTAAATTTTAAAAATCGAAAGTTTTTACGTGCTTAGTTTATATATTGTTATCTTCTTAATTTTCCTAAAGGACGTTCGATAAATGATTCGAACAGAAAATGATCTGTTTTTAGCAGAGAGCAACAAGGACAGTATTCCAAGAGGAGCAACAAGGACAGTATTTTATCTGTCAGCCAGTTCGATTCAGGATGAGCGAAGTAAACAGAACATTGTTCTAGAGCTGATCATCGAGTGGCTATATCAAGGTGTTCGTTCCACTTTCGCTCGAGATCGATTGCACATTCTTTGCTTTCTTCATTTTCCTCTGAAAATTACGTTACGTAAACTCTGCGCGCTCTTACTCATTATTTTATTTACACGACGAATTAAGTCTTTCTGAAGAGAAAATACTCAATTACCTTCGTTAGGAATAAAGTCCGAATTAATCTCAAGGTCGTCTATGGGCAAAACCGCATTCCGCCACTTTTCGTCAATAATAAGACTAATTTTTGGATCCCGAAAGAGTCCCGACATGTCCGCAGAAAAATCTTAACCAAGATTGATATTAATAAATTCGTTAAAAACGTAAAAAGAGTAGCATTTTTCGCATAAAAGGGAAGATTTTCTCTTTGTCTGGTTGGTTGCGCCCGGGTAGATTATCGAGTTGCATGGGTGCGTTTGATTGCTCATTCTAAGAGGAGAATAGATCTTTTAAACATGAAGATTTAAAAGTTTGCATACTATGGTTTTTAATGAATTTGAAGAATAGTAGGTTGTGAATCATCAGGGAAAAGTTGCAAGGTGCGAAAAACAGAAGTGGAATTGTTGTGAATTCTGACGTAAAAAGGCAAAACTCTAGTACGAATGTTCGAAAGGTTTCAAAAAGTAACTTCAAAAACTTGAATTTTGCTCTGTCATAATAGGTACTTATTTGCAGTTAAATCAAAAATATATAATATATTAAAGCGATAGACAGTAGATCTCATTGATAGAAAGTTATGGCAGATAATAAAAAGTGAACTTTGATTGAGTATTCTATCGATTGACGTTGATGATAGAGAGGACTTGTTTCTGCTTTTCATCTGACAAGGAGTCCAGTAAACTCTAAACAAGGATTTATAACATGATGAAAAAGTATATGTTTACCTGGAACATATCCGCAATTTGGTCGACTTCTTGGTTCTCCGACAACTTGAGCACTTGCTTCAGACATTGATCGTGTTGATTTTGTTGAATTAAAATGTTCAAGTGCGAATTTTTATTCTCAAGCTGCTCAGCTAGCCACTTTTCAACGGGGATATCTTCGTCCCATTTGATACCGCTCTTGAGATGGTTCTGGAAGAAGTAACGCTCAAGTGTGGCTATTGCTTCATCCCGGGTCACATCGGGATCACTTTCTTGAATCAAATCCACGCAATTGTCCTCAAGTAACTTTCTCCGAAGTCGGTTGTAAAGGAAATGGCGGCATTCTGCAAGTGGCACAACTTTTGTCAAGCAGCGTTTGCTCGCAACTGCTTCTAAAACACAACTCAACTTTCGATGTTTGAAGATAACTTACGTGGCATGTCATGAAGGTCTGCAAATTGAATCGCAAGATTGTGGTACGCGTCATGAAGAGATTTGCTCCTCAAAGTCGTTAGCTCCGATGTTTTGCCGATCTCTTCCGTTGTCAAATTGCCACTGTTGAGAGTCGCCTGAAGCTCTTTCATCTGCTGGTCAAAGCGACACATGAGCTCCTGGAGGTTCTTGTCCTTTAGTTTGATCTTCACGGTTCCTTCTGGCTCTAACACACCGGATCGACTATTTGGATCAGCAAAAGCTCGATTTTCGATGGATTGATGGACTTGTCGAGTACGGCCCAGGCTCCTCCTCGGAGCTCGCCCAGTGGCGGGATGTAAATCAGAACAGGTCCTGATTTGAACTCAGATAATGCGTCGACAATCATCGCACCGAATTTCAAAACTTGGTCGTACATGTCCTTCATTCCTCCTGAAAACCACGCCAGTTCGCTAGAATCAACAGCGGAAGGCCTTCTTGGTCGATATCTTTGATGGCCTGGGCGGTCTTGAAAGCTGAATCTGGAAACCACACGGAGCCCGCTTGAGTGATTACTTTTTCGTGAGAGTTTCGATCAGCTGGATCGGCAGGAACTAGACTCGTTACTTGTCTTGTTTCGGCAGCAATAACACCAATTGGGATTCCTCCTAATCTACCTCTGCCAATAAGAACCGTCTTAGCCCAATCTGGCTGGAGTTCAAGCAGAGATCCTCGATCTAAAATGCCAAGATGATCGTCGTCTCCAGCCAGGATCCTGCGTGCATCATATATTTTCTCCTTGATTTGAACGGTGACTTGGCGCTCTGGAGGATCATCACAAATTAATTTTGGCACTTTCAGAAGCTTGCCCTTGACTGGAATGTAGCTCAGCCAATGGAGAACGGTTCTAATGCCTGCATAATCGTCGGCAACAGTCAGATGAGATACTCCGTTCTTTGACATGATCTGAGGCCCACCGAGTTGTTGATTTGACGAGTAGACACTGGACCCAAGAACAGAATTGAGCGCAACGAAGCCAGTCAAAATCACGAAGCTCGATTCGACCTGGACCACGCGTTGACCCAGTCTGACCAAGTAAGCTCCGATTCCAACAGCCCGACCAGTGACAAGTGATATCGTTGGGATTTCGCGATAGGCTTTGCTCGTTTCGCCCGCAATCAGCCCTGAGCCAGCTAGAGCTGCTGTGCCACAATCGGCAGATCCGATGATGGCGTTAATTTTGTACCTTGACTCATTTTCGTAATTGACATGTTCCGCAATGACTTGGCTTGAGAATTTGCTGTAATCAGTCGAAGACAGATAAAAATACTCCACAAGTCCTGCCTCCTTGTCTTTCCACGCAACCTGGAAGCAGCTCTGTATATCTTTGCTGAGACCGATCCGGGCGCCAGAATTGTTGCCAGTTATGTAAATTCGCGGTATACCTTCATCGCGAGCCAATTTACTCGCTGCGGCAAACAACGCGTCTTCAGCGGGACCAAAACTACCTTGTTGGACTGTACTGTCATTGGAGATAACGACGATCTCCCTTTTGCCTTCTATCGTTGGCTGGCTAAACTTCATGCGCCAGGCAACCATACCTACAGTGTTCTGTGCTGGATCACGCGTTACCTCATGAAGTTTGCCACTTTTGTCGAGTATAAGCTCGTTGCATGTAAACAGATCTTTGGGGTGTTTTACCTTTCTATCTTCCCAAGAGCTCTTCAATGCAGATTTGAAGAGAGACGGATAATCGTAAGCATATGCACAGCCAGCTGATTGAGCCTTGTAGCGAGCAGTTTGGAGAAGATCTTTAGTACTGTAAGGTGTGTCAGTTGAAAGTCCATTGAGGGGACCTGGATCTTCTTCTGGGCCGATTGAAACAAAGATCGTCTTTTGTGACTGAACGACTTCGCGATAAAGATGTGTCTCAAGGCGGAAACCGTCTTCTGAGCTCAGGAAGATGCGATAAGAAGTTGTTTCCTCTTCCTGGCGGACATTAATCTTAAGCTCAGCTTGTGTAACTCGCAGTTCCCATAGCCGCCGTCCATATTTGAGAACAACCTCACTGACCGAATTGAGAACTTCATTGGCCTCCATGTTGACGGATGGCGCGAAGTTCAGAAACACATGATTCTGGTCAGTTTTGTAGCTATGCGACTTGATGGCAACTTCTAGCTCGTCGAGAGATTCAATGAGAAGCCGTTCGCCCTCAGAACGAAGGTAACTGAAGCTCGCTTCTTCTGTGATCAGATCTGAATGGCGAATAATAGCGCGCACAAAGAAACGATGGTCTATCGATTCTTTTCCACACTGATTCTTGGCAATTCCATGGTAAAGATGCATGCGGTGATTCTGTGTTTGATAAAGCTTCAAAGTGAAGTTTCTCAGGCGAGACAATTCCAGTTGGAAAGCGAGGGCCGGCTCAAGATGACGGTAAATTTCATCTTCTTTGTACTCATCTCGTGATCGGAATGTGAAGAACTTAGGCATGTGACTCTTCTTGTGAACTGCGAAAGTTATGCGGCGGATGCATGCGTTTCTGAAGTCTTTTTGATAGTTTTGTGAAAACTCGCGGAAACGTTTCTCAAGCATCTCGTCATCTTCGCCTCCTTTCTTCGAGCGGAGGAAGACATTGAGTGTGTGCACTGCTGGTCCTTGATTACGCGATTTACCAACGAAAAAGACCTGGTCTGATGGCGGATCATATCCTCGGCCTGGTGGGGATTTCGCGCCATAAGGGTCGTCATCATCACTCATGTATGGATGTTCAGTGAGTTCTGACGAGTCAGACTCTTCGTCAGATTCTTCTGACTTTAGGTAGCCAAAGCAAGTCAGCACATCGTAAATATTATTCTCGAAGTCTTCAAGATTTTCATATGCTACCATCAATCCAGTTCGACCGAAACGAGACAGCTCTTCAAAGTTCTTTTCGTATTCATAGCCGGCGATGCATAGATCTGGAAAAGATTCGCGATTCTGCGCAATGCCCGGAGGTGGAATGTTGGCGAAGGATGACTGACGAGATGGGTGATTGCAGGGAAGGGAAAACTGGAATTCGACCGCGGCTTTGGACGTACCAATCTCGATGGATTCGACGCATTCGATGATGTAGGCGGTGTAGGCTCTAAAATGAAAGTTCGGGTACAGAGTCTGTTCTAAATACTAAAAGGTGCTCTAACCTCTGAACATAGACTTCCAAAGCAGCAAAACGAACTAGCTCGAGTTTGTGATAGAAAAACTCCGGCAGCACGTCGAAAATAGCTGTTTCTGAGACAACCAGCTGCTGAAGCCTGGCAGGGAAAACAAGGGCATTTGCAGAGTTATCAATTGCAGATAGAAATATACTCTCAATTTGATTGTGACGGCGTTGGAAGCTCGGTTGATGACCTGTGATTAGTACTTGACGGGCGGTAAGAGCACAAGAACAAGAGCGCAAAGTTGCCACTTCATCAATTTCTTCCTGCATTTCTGAAATTCAGATTGTCATCTATCACCAATGAGTAGAGAATACCTAGAATCATTTCCGCGTCGTGCTTCAGCAGGACATTGAGGATCTCGTGTATCAACTTGCTCTTCTCGATTCGATTTCGATGAGACAGAATCATTTTCGTGGTCAAGTCAAGATCCTCATTCTTGATAAGTATCTCCTTCACGCTCTTCTCGAATGTCTTTGACTGGAAGTGCTTTTCAATATCGGTAAACTTCTTTAGCATTTCTTTTATAACGCTCTTCTGAAGTCCTCTTATATCGTCGACATATTTATGACACAATGTTTCTATTTGGCTGACACTGACGTAGTGAAAGTTACGGTCGTCTGGATTAGTTATTTTGGCGGCGTACAGATTCATAAATTTCTAAAAGAAAACTGTTAAATGGATCAAAACATGTGTTAGTACCAGAATTCTCATAGAAGGGAATCTTGTGAGCATGGAACCAAGACGATGTCCATATCTTTTCAACTCCTCATTAATTTGACCTTCTAATTCATCCGGTATCCTCCCCGAAAGTCGAGTCATCACTTCTCTCAGTTCGTAAAGGGGCAGTCGTCTATTTTGAAATATTGCAAACATCTGGGATACGCTAAATAATAATAAAGGCCCGTTACAAAATAATGCGATCTTACAGTCGTTTGACCCATTTTTCGATCCTTTCTCCGGCAACAGAATACCCGTCAAGAACAGCATGTATATTCGAAATGACTTTTTCGAGTTGCTTATGTGGTGGATGTCTTCTGTCTCGAGTGGAAGTAGAATGTATGCTGCCAGTTGATCCAGATTTCTTTCTCATCTCACGGGCAATTATTGCAGCGCCGTCACTTCCAGTTTTCCGGCGAATAGAAACATGAGACTCACCAGAACTTAGACTTGCTGTTGACTCAGAATCATTGTCAGGGACAAACTCAGATAAGTCGCGCATGTATATTTGTGGCTTTGGTACCCGTAAGTTTGGTCCAAGCTCTAGGCGAGCAATGACGCTTCCGTTTGACAAGAACGCGCCTGGTTTCTTAGAATGAATGATCTTCCCTGGGAGAGATACTTTGACGGTCATCACCATTTTCATGACTTCTAACTCTGCGACATCTTGACCTTCCACAACTGGAGATCCATCTTCGACAAGAAATCGCACGAGTTTGCCAGCGGAAGAAGAAGTAATCAAACTTGGGTCCTTCTCTTTATCAAAAACAACAGTTTGATTGTTGATCGTAACGCGGTAGTTTTCAGCTGTCTCTTGCAAATAAGAACAGTACGATACTCCATTGAGTTGAACCAAAATTCCAGAGTCGGAAAGTCGGAAGATGCTCACAATAAGTTGCGTATTGTTGAGCTCGATGCAGAAGCTCGATTGAGCTGGTCGAGAAATCTTCAAGGATATCAGTTGGTTTCCAAGGATTAGATTAAGCGGGAGTTCTTTCGGAGGCAAACTTTGAATTGGCAGAATTTGTCCCTTTTCTAGAGCTGATTTGTACTGCTCAGTTACAGTCGACCAATGCCGGTCAGCGATATGAAGCGCGGTGCAAATTGCTGAAATTCGTTCATCGTGGACTTCCGGTCGATCACGCGTAGCAATAAGGTGATCAAGCCAGCCAGTCGAAAATGACGAGTTACGAAAGGTCTCACTTTCAATCAGATGAGACAAATACTCGACAGTAGTTCTGAAGTCGCCTCTGATTGATATTTCGCGCAAGACCATCCCCAGATTCGACGTAGCTTGCGCTCTTGTTTCGCCCCATGCAAAAATATGCCCGAATTGCGAATCACAGTATTCGTGAAGCGAGCCAGACGCAACAACAGAAAAGTAACCCCAGACGTTCTTTGAGCTTCGGAAATTTAACTCCTGGACTGTGCCACTTCCAGGGCGAAATCCTTCGTCTGGATTCTCAGCAGTTATTCGACACGCAATCACATGGCCTCTTGGATTTTCTTGAGAAGTTATGTTCAATTTTCCATCGATAGTCTCGTAAATTGGGCTTAGCAAAGGCATTTCATCAAGACTTATTCCAAGTCCGACACAAAGTTGAGTGGCCGGCAGATTAACATCAGAAATCATTTCAGTGCATGGATGTTCAACTTGAAGCCTCGGGTTTAGCTCGAGAAAACAAAAGCGCTCCTTCTTCGGGTCATATAAATACTCAACTGTGCCTGTCGAGTGGTAGCCCACCAGTTTCGCAAGTCGCACTGCACCTTCTTCCATATGTTTCCACTGATCCTTTGGCGCTATTGTCTGAGGTGCCTCTTCAATGATCTTCTGATGACGTCTTTGAATTGAACAATCGCGTCCATACAATGAGATCGCATTTCCAAGCTGGTCACAAAGCAGTTGAACTTCGAGATGGCGTGCTTCATCTGCGAATTCCATCAGGAAGATCGAGCTTCCAGATACTTCTGCTTTTACTTGGCGATAGAGCGTTGGAAAGTCTTCTTTTCGCTCACACTTTCGTATTCCTTTTCCACCGCCGCCATTGGCAGCCTTGATCATTAGCGGATAGCCGATTCGATCTGCCTCATCGACAGCTTTGTCAAGTGTATCCACGCATGCTTGTTTGTAGTGTTTCTCTGTCACTATTCCATTCTCGCACGTTATTCCTTCTCCAGACCACTTTAGCGTTGGCAATCCAACACTCTGTGCAATGATGGCAGAGCTGATTTTATCACCCAAAGCTCTCATCGCATTACTTGGAGGGCCTAAGAATTCTATTCCGCTTTTTGCAAGTAAGTCAGGTAGCTTTGGATTCTCAGAAGCGTGTCCCCATCCAGCCCAAACGGCTTGGACATTTTTAGCGCGGGCGATTTCTGCAATAAGGTCGCAGTTAGCATAATTGTTATGATTCGAGCCGCCGGGAACTGGAACGTATTGATCGGCAAGGCGAATGAACTCTGCATTCGCTTCGAGGTCTTCAGGGGAAACCATGACAACGAACTTTACTGTCCTCTCGTTGCGGAACGTCTCGTAACACTATAAAAAAGGTACGTAATCTTACGACGCATCTCGCAACAATATCTTACCCATCTTCTGATTGAGCGAATGCATTTAACAGCCGCGATTCCATTATTCGCGATCAGTACTTTCTCGATTATCTTTTTACCATTGTGGCGGGACACAAACTCGGCCATAGAGGCACATTCCTGCGGAGTGTGTTGCTCGCGACGACGACTGTGCATTTCATCTGAATTCAGTAAACTTAACAGGATCCATCAAGTGATTATTTCTTGACAAAGTCGTTGGGCGAGGGCAGCTCTGTATCAGAAAATTTAAAGAAAAGAGCGTTACGACCTTCTACTACCGCGCAAATGTTATTTGAAAGGAAAGTGCTATTTGGCACGAGTTCATGAGGAGTAAAATAGTTGATCACATGTTCGACCTTATTGTCGTTGGCCCATGGCTTCTGTTTTGTCCCTCGCTTGCAAATAACAACTGGAGAAGCTGCTTGAGAAGATTCAGAGGGAATAACTGACTGGATAAATGGTACTTGATGGGCACTCACCGTCTTCGTCTCCAGACATGACAAATGGAATTGTTTTACTGGTTTGATCTTGGAGATATCGTGAGCCTTTCTCAATTCTTCAAGCTTTATCTGCCGTTTCTCCTTCCAGTCACGCCATTTTCCGTAAACATCTTTTAGTTCTAGAGAATATCTTCCGCTGTGATACAGTCTACGTAAAATGTCTCCTTGATTGCGTCCAGGTTCGCTTGGACTCCATGATTCTTCAAACCATCCTCTTGGAGGTCTACCTTTTTGCCCAAGAGATGTTTTCCCTCTCAGAGTTGAAATGCCACCTTCGTCAGGTTTTCTATTCGCTTTGATCATTTTTGGAATGTTCAGAATCCGATGCTGATTAATTTTGACAGTGGCGGTGCTTGCAGCAAGTTTGTAATTCGCCCGGAATAGCCAAAACATCAGCTGCGCCTGTGTCATGGATGAAACATTAAGAAGCTCAGAAAAGACTTCTCGACAACTCAGATGTTTCCCATTGCAAATAATTGAAACGTGGCTTGAAAGTTGAAGATAGGCTGCTTCGAATTTATCAAAAGTCATTATCGAGCCTTCACGTTTTCCAAAAAGTTTGGAGAACTTGTTAAAGTCACGCATCAGGAATTGGCCATCAGAAGAATCTCTCAAAACAACCGGCGAATTGGTCGTATGAACTCGCGGGAAACTCACACAATCCTCAAGCCACTTCTCAAATCGTCCCATAATATCCTCCTTCTCTGTCTCCGATATGCGCGAAAGCTTTCCATTAGACGTTATTTCTAGCTCTGGCGGTTTCGCGTTGCTTCCCCGAAGAACAAGCGCTACAGTTTGCTCCAAATAAAAACTCATTCTAGGCTATTTGTTTTGATTTTGACTGATTTTTATTATCGTTTTTGTTTTACAAACTTTGACAGTAACTTGACTAACAAAGTTGACAGAGAATACTTGGATTTGAACTAGCGCTAGAGTTTTTGCCTCGCGCGCGCAATAAGTTAAGGATGGGTGGATGGAGGAGTAAAGGGAGCGAAATGAAGTGATGGAGTTTAACAAAGAACATGTTGGTACTGGAAATAAATTAATTTTACTATTTACTCTTGGACGCCAAGCTTCTTCTTGAGCGACTCGGGCATGGTTGGTGGTGGTGGTCGTGGGAGACGGAGGGCGACCTTGACACCATCGTAGATGAACCACTGGAGAGCGGTGAGGGTACCGATCATGATGATACGGGCACCAAGTCCCTTCCAGACACCCTTGGGTCCCATCTCCTTGAGGACTAGGAAAACGTTAATCAAGGGATAAGGTTTGAAATTCTTACTCTGTCCGGCAGATTTGGAAGGATCCTTGTTGATGACGGAGACGACAGAATCGGCGGGGTGGGAGACGATGGCGCAGAAGACACCAGCGATGTAACCGGCAGCGAAGGTGACCATGAGCTGCTCGGACTTGGAGCACTGAGCTCGTGGCTTGGGGACAACGTACTGGTAGAGAGCCTCGACGGTCTTTTCGAAGCAGGCGAACTTCATCATTGTGTATGGAATCTGTCGCATCCACAAAGGCTTGAGACCTCGAATGAAGGTTCCGTTGCCCTCTTCAGCGCGCATCTTGGGGAAGCACTCGCGAAGGGTGGAGGCGTAGTCGGAGGTCTGGATTCGGACCTAAACGGTGGGTAAAATCTGATGATCTTTGAGCTGCTGGTTACCTTGACAGCTTCCATAGGAGCAAGGGCAATATCGGCAAAGAACTCGGCAGAAGCGGAAGCAGCGAGGTAAAGAGATGTTCGGTAAAGGAAAGCGTTCTCTTCGCCCATGGCGTTTCCGTAGAGGTTCTTGAAGATTTCGTAGAAACCGAATTTGCAGGTTCCCTGCATGGAGTATCCGATGAAGGTGGGAGCCCATCCTCGGGCGAGGGCTTTGACACCTCCCTCAGCAACGGTGACCTAGAGAAGAAAGGCAGTTGAAAATGGAAGTAAGGAGGAAATATTACCTTGAGGCCCTTGCCGAGGGATGGGTATTTGGCAGCGTCGACCTGCATTCGGCACTTGACCAAATCCAATGGGACGACGGCGGTGTGGGTAAGACCACAAGAGAGAGCACCACCGATCATACATTTCAAGTAGTACTCGGTGGATCCGAACTCACAGCTGAATTCATATTTTATTATGTGCTTAAACCCAATTAATAATTGGCAAAGCTCATACTTAAATTGTCGGGTTAGTTATATAACTTGTATTCGAAGTGATTTTGATCCGATACCTGTATTTGGGATCAGGAACGCTTAATTTCAATGCTATGGCAAAGTTGAAACTTTGATGATTGTTACGTAAGAAATTTCAAAGATTGAACTTACCATTTCGAAATACGAAATTCGTCGAGGAATAAGAGCAATTAAAAAAATGCGGAAAAAATTCCAAAAATCCGTCCTGAGGAAAGCCACAATATTTACCTGGTAGCAGCATCAGAAACAACGGGTTTTCCGAAGGGATTCTGTTTAGCGATATCGAACAAGCTCATCTCTAGAATAAACCCAATTAACCTCGGTCGAATATTCACCTAAGAACACAAAGAAAATCATCTCTAGAACGGTAGATTTTGGAAGGAATCTCTCATTAGTTGGACACTCTGAGTCAAATATTGGTGGAGGCCGTTGGCATTCAAGCCCGTTGATTGGTGAATACCGGCTCGGTGCGGCCTACTGAAAATAGTGGTTCGGACCCAGCTATTCTCGGAACGATCCATGTCTGATAATCATGGAATCTCATTTCTAAGCTTTGTTGTCTTCCGTCGACCCTCCATGATTTTAGTTTTATTGAATAATTTATTGTCGCTAATTTTCCAAATAGCCTACATGCTTCAGGGTTTTGCTGTTTATTCAAAGGGTAGAATTCAAAAACTGACGATTTTTCTTCTGCATATGCTCTCCAATCAACAGTCGAAATTGTGCCTTCGATTCATAGCTGGCTCCTTCGACAGTATCAATGGAAGTTCCGCCCTTGAAGAACTCGAACGTTGGAAGTGACTCGACCCGTTGCTGAGCAGCGATCTCTGCGGCTCAGTTCGAAAATGCTGTTTCATTATTTACAGTGACTACGGGCCAAATACAATTCATCATAAATTAAGTTCTAAAACAGCTCCTACGAGTTCCACGGCGTCTAGTTTCGCGAAGATCACATCCTCATTGAACCATTTTGCCGCTCTGGCTTGGTCTTCGAACCAAGGTTGGATGATCTTGCAGGGCTCGCATCGCTTGGCATAGTAATGAACAATCACAAGACCTGGCTGAAACTTTTGGTATTCCGGAGTCAGTTGGAAACGACTCAAACCTTCCTGGTTAAATCTTCAAATTGATCAAAGGTTTTTATTTTCCTGACAAGCATAGTGATCTCTATTCGTTATTAAAACTATCTCAGCAAGTAGGTAAGCTACTAAAGTCCTGCCTTCTCTTTTATGATGGCGATAAAAATGGTCTTATTTCAAATAAGCAAATTTTAAAGTCGATACGATCTTTTCAATTTGATTTTATTTATTAAACAGAATAGTAACTAATTGTACTTTGATTTTATGAATTGATTGCACAGTAAAGAAACTGTAGATAGAAGGCAGCTCTATTGTCAGTCATGGTGACCTTGAGACGAATTTTTTCTAGGGTTGTTTAGGTGGTTTTGTTTCTTTTTGTGAATCTTCTGCTGGAAAACGATTGATTTGTAATTGACAATGATTCCCGGCTTAGAGGAGCTCGTTGATCTTGGCGAGGAGTTTGTCCTTGTTGGCACCTTCGAAGCGGGCGACGGAGTTGCCACCCTTGAAGAACTCGAAGGTTGGCATAGCCTGGATCTTTTGCTCGGCGGCGACGTCTTCCAGCTCGTCGACGTCGACCTTGGCGAAGATGACTTTTCCGTCGAAGGCCTTGGCTTGCTCGGCGAGCCACGGGGCGATCATTCGGCATGGACCGCACCAGGTGGCGAAATAGTCGACAACGATAAGTTGGCTCTAGCATTTTTGTTAGAAACGGGGATTTATGGGATCTATTGTCAATAGACTATTGATATTAAAAAATAGGCCGTTCAAGAGTTTCAAGCTTACCTCCCCCTTGAGGGCAACAAATTCATCCTTGGATTCGAGTTGTCTGACGGACATTTTCTTCAAATTCGGGCGATCTCGACTTTTGACAAAAGGAAAATGAGGGGAAATTTGGCTGTGACGTCCTTTTATGCACAAAGTGATTGGGCAAACATGCGCGTAGGTGAGAGACCTGAAGCTCTCTCGCACCTTCTAGAAAAAAAATCGACTCCTATTGTCGTTAATTCTGACGGCACTTGTCTCAAAGAAATGGGCACTTGTTAGAAGTGCACCGGTCATCATGTCTAAATTGCTGATGAGCGGTTTATCACCGCATTTCAGTTGTAAGTGAGGAGATTTTTTTTATAAAGGGAAATGGAAAATTTATTAGATCAGTTTCAATAAGTTTCATGCGCAGAAGCAAGATCTTCTTCAATGGAATTTCTAAAGTTGATGTTGTCTCAGATTCTAGGCGAGCTGTTGAATTTTGCTGCTAATACCCGCTTTATCAGCTCCTTCGATTCTGGCAACAGCGGCGCCTCCCTTGAAGAACTCGAAGGTCGGCATGCACTGAATCTTCTGCTCAGCAGCGACGTCCTCAAGTTCATCAACGTCGACCTTGGCGAAGACGACTTTTCCGTCGAAGGCCTTGGCTTGCTCCTCGAGCCAGGGGGCGATCATTCGGCATGGAGGGCACCATGTCGCGAAATAGTCGACAATGACGAGAGCATTCTTAAATTTTCTGATAGATTAAGTTTGTCTATATCAGCTTACCTCGCTCATGAGCCCTTTGAATTCATCTTTAGATGCAATTTTTCGAACAGACATATTCTCAGTGTGTTGACAGGACCCTTTCTCTTTACGGAGTGAAATTGCTCAGGTAGAGAGGACGTATAAAAATACAACGGCGACTAATCTCTTTTAACGATTCTGAGTGTGCCCTTGACAACACCTTTTCAGACTGGTTATGAATCATCATCATCATCAAATTATGATCCCAACGATGATGGAAATTACCCGGTATGAATTTAACACTGTCATCTCTTCCCCAGTAGATCATCAAGAATGATCTGTCATGGCTTCACGTTGGCCATAATTTTAGTACTAGAAGTTCTACTGTAGATCCTCAATTTCTATCTGCCATCCTTGGGCCCCGAATTTGGGGGTGAGTCCGAAGTCAGTGTGAGACGGTGATTGATTATAAATTATAATTTATAATTTATAAATCAGAATAGTCGATCGAATTAATCTGAAGATTAATCTTTCAAATATTTATGGCACTAAAGTAATTATTTCTAGTGCTACGATATCATATCCTCGATATGGGATAGTGGGATTCCTCGTTGAACAAACTCATCCCTTTTCTAACAAGTCTGACCTTTCAATCTTCAAGTTCCAGTCGCGCTGTTGATGATCTTCTATAATTTGATTTATTTTTCGCTATTATGTCTGGATTAGTGCATGTCATGTATGCATGAGTGGAGAGCAGACAGGTGAGTGCTCTTTTTTCGCGAAAATGAAACTTCGGCCGATGGCTTCATTAGTGCCTCATTGCCTGGCCCGCTGCTAGCCGAGCATAAAAACCGACATTGTTTGGAGTCAATTGCTACAATTCAAAATTGCAATTTCAAAATTCAATTGCCAACGCGTGTTTACGAAAACATCCCTTGTTCAAATGAGGGCTCTTCGACGATATCACTTGTTTGTCGTGGATTTTAGTTCAACTGGATCGATCGTTTGTCGAAAATTTCCAATTGAAGCTCGCTTATCTTATTATTCCGCTTGAAGCAAGCTGCGAACTTTGAAGCCCTGTAATTATAACTCGATCCCAGAAGTTGACTAACACTTTGAGCACTTCAAAGATGCGCTCTAGTTTGTTTGGAACATTTCCAAATTTCCGGTGGCGGAGATTTTCCATCTATACCCGGAGCGGAGCCGATCCAAGTCTTCTATTTTAGGTGGTTCGTTCCGTCCCTCGCATGTTCCATTTCTCCGCTCGGCAGTGCTCGTCTGACTGTATCTATGATACAGAATAGTGTTCAACTTGAAGATGGATTCAGGGATGAAAGGAAGACTGTTCTCCGCGGCATAGTGTCTTCCAGTCGCAAGTTGTTACACCAAAAGTGGCAAAAAAGGCATTTACAAAATTTGGGTCGTTCCTGGTCGCACCGGGGCAAGGGTGCGAGAGCCCAAGAGGGCCACATCAATAGCCCGAGCTGGACAGAGAGCGACAGAAAGAGAGAAGAGGTTCGGACGGAGTCGATCGAACCAAAGGAATTGGCGACCGGGCGTAGGTTGGCGCCCAGCGATAGGTGGCCCTCATTCTCTTCCAAGGCCCTTGCTTCAGAAAGACCCTCATTCGCAAGAGCCGGAAGAACAGCTGAAGACCCGGTTGACCCGTCCTTCACAGAAAAAGAAAAGAGCACGCCCCTCCCTTGAGGGAAAGATTTCTTACGCTAGCCCAGCCCCGGCCAATAGAAATTCGATGGAGAAACGCCTTCTGCTACTCCGGCCTTTGTATTCTGAAAATAACCACTTTTTTGTATCAAGAAAAGTTTAATTTGTGAATTGAAGAGATCGCTTATCAACTTTGATGAACTACAGTTCAACCCGGCTGAGAGCGATTCTTATCAGAGATTCTTATCGCCCGATTTTAAGAGAATTTCGCCTGCTGGATTAGCCCACAGTATTCTTTAGTTATTTTTTATGACTTCAAGATATAATTATTTGTTACTAAATTACGCTGTTTTATTAAATTTTTGATATTTAAAAGCAATAGAAGAATATTGAGTATTTTCTTTTACAATGTTTTATTCGTAACTGTATTATCGTGAAGAATATCAATGAATCATCACATGACCATAAAAAGCCATTATCAAGCGTATTCTTATCTGTTTTCGATTTTGAATTTACCCCGAAGCCAAATTTGCACAGGGCAAAAGAGTTCACTGTAGTGTAATTTTGCCCCCGCGCTACAGGCTCTGTAGTTGATTTGTATTCAAATTCAATTCCATATGCATAATATAGATCCATTACGTGAATGTTGCGAATAATAGGCTTGGAATATTCCCGCGAGAATGGCACTAAGTAGGTGATAATTGGTTTACCGTGCGGACCTTCCTGAACCGAGTTACAGTAAATACAGTAGCGGAGACAGTAACTGAGTGCATGTACTTGCGTGCGATTTCACACGGGTTATGAATTTGCGCTCTTTACTTTTTCACACGTATCACGTTTTCGAGAAGCATCCAGCTCCGTTCTTCCAAATTTTAGCGATTTTTTGCGTTTTTACAAGAGAATCGACTTTTTACGAGATTTGATATTTACTGACATGTTCCTCTTCAGACTTTGAATTTCGAAAGCTTTGTGAAATTCAAGCAGAATCAAACAGAACTATATTTGAAATCCGTGTTATAATAAAACCATTTCAATAATTGGAAATTACCTTACCGATTTTGCTTTTCGAATTCGAAAATTAAGAATTTGTTGAGGATTTAATTCTCCAGTGCTCTTGTAGTTACACACTTTTTGTATAAGCACGGCGTTTTTTGGGATGGGGATTTTCCGTTTTCCCTATTCTGAATAAATACCGCCGCGATAAACAAAAGAGAGAATTCATTAAAAAGTATATTCTCCAATTTTGATCGAGTCACTCAAAACTGCCGTGCTCAATAATTACATTTATTGCTTCATTTCCGCTAGTGTCTTTTTAATTGCGCCTGCCTCGCTAAACTCGCTATAACTCGTATCATGACCTAAATAATTGATCGAAGTCCGCTTTTATTTGAAACGAGGAGAAAATATGTTTGGCTGTACAATGCCAGCACTATACAAGTTGTAGTGTCACAATCTCGCTGTTGGATTCTCGCCAAGAGCGCGTCGCTTAAAATAGAGGAAGGCCTCGTATTGTCAGATACTAGTGTTAGTGCGGAATGCACTCGCTTAGGGTCATCACACGAAGCTGTGAGATTGGCTGCTAGACGGAAAACTTACTTGAATAATTCTTAGTTTTAGGAGATAGAGTCTAGCGCAGTAAGTTAAAACAACGGTATAAACCGGTCCAACTACAGTCTTTAGTTCTCGTCCTTGCTTTCAGAAGAGGGCTAGTCTTTCGTCTGTGAGACCCGAGCCGTGTGATAATAGTGCATCATGTAACCTGTCGGGACAGGTGTAAGCTCCATTGTGTGTGCAAATCTTCGAAATAGAAATCGCTCCAAGCGCGACTACACACTATCAATGCATTAATTTACCCAGTCGAGGGAGATTGAGAGAACTGTTTCTGAAAGAACACTTGGCCCTTTTTGCGATGATCGATCAAAATCTAAAATTAAAAATTATTCCCCTTGAGCACTTATCAATCATCGGCTCACGTAGCTTGGATTTGTGTTTATGGAGAATATGGGTGTGCCGAGTCGACACAATTGTCCCCCAGGAATAGGGCGGCGTCCGAAATCGATCTCAGACAATTTATTACTTGCCATACTCGCTCCTTTGCAATTAACTGAGGCCGAGAGAATGTCTTCTGTATTTTGATTTTTTGTTCATTCAGTTTTAACAAGAGAAAAATGCTACCTTTATGTGACTTATTGATTCAAATATCATTTCGGTACTGTTAATGACCTTATTTGTCTGATTTTAGTCGATTTTAATGCGAAAACTAATCAAATCCTTCATTTTTAGACTGGACTTGGGGTGTACGTGAAAAGTTTTTACATGCCAATGGAGTTCCCTCAAGATATGGGCTCAGATTGGCGCAAAGAATCGACCAGTTCCTCGGCCTCGAACGGATCTGGCAATGACAGCAGACCTAATAAACACAACCCTGAGTATCCTAAGGGGCAAAGCCGCACAATCTACCTCCCTGCTGAGCGCACCGGCGCTGTCATCGGCAAAAATGGACGAATGAAACATCTTATCAAGGTCAGTACACAACTTCAAAGCGCTTTCAATCCATAATCGATAAAAAAAGAAAAGTCTTTTAAGACAAGTCGATAACAGCCAATCTTTTCAGGAAGTTTGCAATGTTTGGATGTCGATCAAGTCAGAACCATTCGAGCACGATGTGACGAAGCGGGTCTGCGTGATCCGAGGTCCAACTGTTGACAACCTCGACCATGCCGAATCGCTCATCAAGGAGCTTCTGCGCGAGCGCGAAACCACTGAGAAATCCATAGCTTTGAATACCAGCGACGATGTCGGCCGTGTCATCGGATCCGGGTGAGTATTCCTCAACGCTATCGCCCTAATTGGTTTAACATTTAGTGGCTCGAACATCCAAGTCATCAAGGACAAGACAGGCGCCTTCGTCTACGTAGACAAGGAAAACGTCCCGGCTCAGTACGCTGGCAAATGTATCATTCGCGGAAACTCAGTGCAGGTATGCCTCCGCCTTCAGAAATCTGGTCTTAATCGATCTGCAGGTTCAAGCCGCGGAGAAGCGAGTCCTGGAGCTATTAGCTCGCCGGGATAATCTCCTTGAGCAAGTTGGTCTTCACAGGAACATGCAGCAAGCACCGCAAGCAAGTTTGCCCATTCACAAGCCGACTGGCTCGGCTCATAATTACAATGAGACAATCGGAAACAACTCGGGCTACAGTGGGATGAAACCGGACCACAATGGAAACTATTTTGACAGCGCGTAAGTACCCTTGCTGAGCTCTGAGACTATATCGCTTACTTTATGGCTGTAGTAAAACAAATGATGACACGAAAATCGGCGTTTGGAACTCATCCAGCCCTGACACTACTTGGAACTCTCGGGAAACCGAGCGCGAACTTGTAAAACAAAGCAAGAAACGCATCCAGGACAACATCCTTATCCCGCTCAATGCCGTCGGAATGGTTATTGGAAAGAAGGGCAAGAATATCAAGATTATTCGTAAGTTGGACTTCATTTCTTCTTTCATAAGCCACGACTTCAGAGGAGACATCCGGTGCTAATGTCTACATCGACAAAGAATACACTGGCCACACAGACTCCAATGCCCTATGCGTCATTTGCGGCAAGTCCGAGCAAGTCGAAATCGCAAAAGAGATGATCTACGAAAAGCTCAACCAATACAACACGTCCAATTCCTTCCCTATCCTCGACCCGCAAGGTTCTATCATCGGCACGCCGCCAAGTGACGCACGCTCCGACGGTAGCAGCGGCTTGAACTACCACTCGCCACTTAGCAGAAGCTTCAATAGGTACTAAGTGACGCCCAGACAGTGTTTTGATAGGACTGTTTAAGTATTTCTCCACCAAGTTCCAACCAGACTCAGTTTGCATTTCCTCCGCCTACGCCCAGCTCCTCGGCCGCCTTCTATCAGCCCGCTTCGCCGTCCACTCCTCTGCATCATCATTCTACTCCATCTCCACAACACCTCTCTCCACTCAAGCCCCAGCATCTTCATCCCCACCAACAGCACCACCAACATCATCATCCGCAGGCTCCTCATCAGCAAGCGCCAGCGATGCAGCCCCCACGGCCGCAGCACTATCACCAACAGCAACAACCAGATCATCAAAGTTACAACCAACCAAACACCAACTTCCACAATGCTGCTAATAATCATTTTGACAACCAAAACCATGTTTTCAACAATCTTCAGGAAGGGTTTTCGCCAACGCAGACTGTCTTTTAATTTAATGAGTAACGATTTTAATGCGTCGCCGAAACCCGTGTCAGAATAATCAACGACCTAGACAACTGCAACTTCAGCAACCCTCACCAACGCACCAGCAACAACGAAGCTACCCGAACCAAGAATCTCTTTCTCCCCGTTATCAGAACCATGCTGCCATCATGAATTCCCACCCGAACATGGCAATGTCGAACGCAATGCCGCAACCACCACCTCCGATCAAGACGCCCGAAGAGCCCCACTCGCCCGACGAGCTGGGACTCAACAAATTGAGTTTAAACATTCTAGACAACAACAACGACTCTTCAAATTCGAGCTGGCTCGATTCAGACGCATTTATCAAAACAGACATGTTTCTTCCACCGCCGACTAGGGGACACCAACTCTTTGATATGGACACCAAGGAATGGATCATCAAATAATTATCCTATAAATTCCGTAAATTATCTAATGGCGTTGAGACTGCTTTAATGAAGACAATTTGTTGATTCCTCGAAAAGCACAACTTCATGAACTTCACCAGTATCTAGATATCAAACTAAAGGTGTACCCTGACATACTGAAAAGTTCAGCATGTGCTCCAGACTTCCCCTCCCCTCGAGCTCATACTTTCTCCATTTAAAGTCATTCATTTAGTTCTTTATCTTATAACTATTATTATTATATTATTATTGATACTACCTAATCTTTTCAACAACCATCTTTATTCGTCTTTATAGCGCCACTAGTGGCTCTCCGTGAGAAATAGCTTCGAATCAAATGCGCGGCCCAAGCTAAACCAAAAAGAATTTAAACATTGCCAATACCCATAGTCTATTTATGTCTCAACCTCAACCAAAAATCTAATTTTTCCGACTATCAGATTTTTGGACAAAATGCATAAAATCACTCTACGCTGTATATCCTAGACTCTGGAACCTACACTCGGAGTTTATTCAGGCCTAATAATATACAAATATATATAGGTGCAGTTTCCATAATTTTTCTCGTCTTTACAATTTCCCATTTACCTTCAGATTGCTTCAACATCACCACCCGGTTCCCAAGCCGCGTGAAAGTTCATTTTTCCCCTTTTCTTGCTTTATCGGTAAGCAAGCCGTTACAAACCGCCTTTGTGTATAGTTTGGTGTGGTTCCTGAAATTTCAATATATTTTATCAATATCTAAAAAACTTCGAAAACACAAAAAAATCTACAAAAAACAAAAAACCAAAAAAATCATAATTTGCCTACTACGTATTATCTTCAACTAAAGGTGCTCTTATTAGCTACTTTCAAGTTCCGTTGTGCCGTGGCTTCACCCACGTGACACACCTTTCCCGAGCGGAATTCAAAATTCCTGACGCTCAAAAAATGATCCATCCGAGGGCTTTCAAGACAACATTTCATTGATTTTTCCCTTTAAAATTCTAATTACTCTCAGTTCAAACTCACAGAAAACACGAAACAAAACCGGGCCCGACCGGTCAGCTCATCCAAAAAAATGAAAATGAAACAATAATGAATCGATATATGCCTTTCAAAAATGCCCCATAAAAATTTCTTCTTCACGAAAAATCAACCAAACAAGTCTGAAAACATTTTTACTAAAAATAACCTTATAATCTTAGCATTTCCTCCGCGGCACTACTCGTTTTGTAGCGAACCTCCTCCCGCCTAGAAAATTACCCAAATCTTTTCTCATCCTACTCACTACTCAAAAAAGTTCCAAAAACAAAGTTTTGCTGCTGCTCTCTAGCGGACCTCGCAATTACAGTACAGTACAGTGCCCGGAGAACCTCCTTCACGACTCTATTTAAACAAAATATATGCTCGGCTTTGCCCAGATCCTAATTTTTGCATCAATCCCTTCACGAGATTGCGCTTTTCCGAGAAAAGCAACATCCCTGGAAAGTGATCTTCAAGATCAAAACCAATCAACATTGAACTTGGTTCTTCTGGGGGGCATTCCCCACAATCGCTTTTTTCCTAGCTTCATTTTTCCACATATTATTCTTTGATATTTATATACACCAAAGTTTTCCTATTTCAGTACTTTCATCTTTCAAAGCAACTACCCTAGCAAACTTTTCTTCTCGTCAGTCGAGTCACTGATCAACCTTTTTTATTTAATATTACTTCATAATTGGCACTATTTCTGTGAATTCAGTATTCTTCTAAAACCCGCAACGCAACTTCCTTCACATAGATGTTCTATACTATCCACTGATTTACTCCTCTCTCCTCTCTGAATGAAAAAGAAAATCCGACTGAATCCAAAAACTGAGACATCGTTTTCTGTACTCCCAAGCTACAGGCAAGCTAGCGCATTTGATTCGACGCCATTTCGCGATCCTCCCTTCTTTTTTTTTCTCATGATTTTTTATTTCGATTTTATTATTAAACTGTTTCCTACTTCCAGCGCGCTTAAAATCTAATAAGCTTTCAAAAAAGTTCTCACTCGGTCGCGCGAGTCTATATATCTAAAAAACAGCAAAAAATATATCTTAGGGCCCAAATTTTTCATTCTTCAAGCAAGATTACTCTCTGTCTATCCGCATTGACTCCTTGCCTTGCGCCAAAGGTTGCTCCGCCCTTCCTGTCCTTTTATTATTTTACTCATTAGTCCTTGCTGTTGTGTCCAATGCATTGTTCCTTCAGTAAGACAAATACCTGGACATTTTCAATGTCAGTGAGATTCTACAGCGAGCTTTCTTCGTGCGCTCGGGTTCTATCAAGCAATCATCAAGCGCCTCATTCACTTTTTTCATTTCTAAGCTGCGTTGATGCGCGATAGAATCCGGACCTACAACGATCGCTGGCTGTTCTCACTGAAATAGGAAATGCCAGCGTTTAGGGCTCAGCCTACGGCTCACGGTAGCTCTTCTATCAGATTGAACCTAAAAGCCCGTACTGTCGCACAGTGACTCGAGTCGATACTCGACCACTCACCGTCTTCTGGCTTATTTCTTCCTATTTTGTGTGTTTGCTCTTTCCATATTTTCAAAAATAAATTTCTGTTTGAAAAACGCGCCCGCATTATGTGACTTTTTAATATGCAGGATTCCAACAGAAGGATTTAGGGTGGTGAAAATAGTGTTGAATATAGATAAGCACTTATTTAAATTTGCATTGGCTCAGACTCCTTCTCAGTTTAGTCCCCACTTTTATCGAAAATTGACGAAATGTTCGACGCATCGCAGGTTCCCTCAGGTCTTCAGCCGCATAGAGACAGGCCGATTCCTGAGGTTGAATACGCTGATTCAAGATTTCGAGAGTTCACAGCACCGCCAAAGATAGAGCCTCCCCACCGAATGTTGTCAAACCAAGTTGCATTGAAAATGCTCGTCGCTCTTTTCAAGGCGCAGAAATCGCAAATTTTGCTGCACAATTCTATCGATAGTCTTCGGTCTCATCATCACAGCGCATATTTATTCGATAGGCGCCTGTCGACAAAGGCAGCAACCGTTTTGCCCGTTTTTCCGTTCTGCCCAAATGCCGTTTTGCCCGAAATTCCGTTCTGCCCGTTCAGGGCAAAACGGAAAAATGTGCAGAACGAATTTTCGGGCAAAACGTCATTTTCGAAGCGAAATTTAGAAAATTATTTTGAATTTGATGATGAAGGCGAAGATTCGGTTGGCCCGACCCCCGCCGAGTGAGAACGTGCAGGAGGTGTCGAGCCGAGTGAAGGAGATGTAAGGGACCACGCCGCCGGTGTTAACTCCTGCAGAGGCTGCCCCTGGGCCCAAGTTGGAGCAAGTCTCGGTGTGAATCCTTGAGTAAACAAAAACTGGTGGTATCCTGAGCCGGGAATTGTGATCAAGCACGGCCCAGATCATCCTCAAGACTGAAGATATGGAAGACAAAAAATTAGAATTTTAATTCTCCGCTATCGTTAAAGTCTTTTGATGATAGATTTTTGAACTAAATCACTTCCAATTATTATCAGCTGCTTGAATCAAAGTAACTTTCTTAATTACTTCCGGTTTGGGAGTAGGGGGAAAGGGAGAATCTACATGCATATTTGGTTTCGCAGCTCAAAGTGGCCGTTGCTGGAGGACCATTGGAAGATAAGTCTATCAAGAAAAGCATTCGAGAGAAAATGGCCCCTGGATACTAAAGAGCGAGATTCATCTTCATTTTCATTCTCCTAAATGCCGTTTTGCCCAATGCCGTTTCGCCCAAAATTCCGTTCAGCACATTTTTCCGTTTTGCCCTGAACGGGCAGAACGGAATTTCGGGCAAAACGGCATTTGGGCAGAACGGAAAAACGGGCAAAACGGTTGCTGCCGTCGACGAAAGTCAATGAAAAATATCTTGAATTTCAAATCGAGAAACGCGGACTGCAAAGCGCATGAAAATGAAACTTTTGAGGGTTCTACTGATTACTGAAAGTTCAAAATAAACTTCGTTAAAATCAATTTTCAAGTTGTGTTTCTTTCAAGAATGTCGTTTCAGTGGCAATTTGTGGCTGCTATTCTTTATGTGGAGCTGGGAATAACGCTTTTACTCTGCTTGCGGCCGATTTCTTCAAAGTGGTGGAGCTCTCTCTTCAAATCGGGAATCGCTAAGAAAATCTCCAGCAATGGGTTTGTTTTTGGCGTTTTCTGTTGATAACTGAAGCCGTAGATCGACCCTTTTCTACATGCTTGCCTCCATCCTCGGTCTTTTCTGCGTCGATGCCTGGCGAGAGATGCAAAAATACATCGAACGGGAAGAGCAGGCAAAAGCAGAAGCAACTGTTAATCCAGACACTTTGAACCATATTCTTATGTGGAAATTCCGCTCCCAGCGAAATCTTTACATCAGGTGGAGTTATTTTAAATTTGGTTGATAATGAGATAAATTTGAAGTGGATTCTCGCTCTTTCTGTGGATTGTTATTCAACGATTGGCGTCATTGCTGAAGGACAAAGCAACTGCTAAGGCCGAGGCCTCAGCTGCGAAATCTCAGGCGGAATCTGCCTCTCGAACCGCGGAGCTTCTTCTTGACCAGAATAAAGAAAAGGAAGAGAAAGGTGGGCCAAGGAATAAGTGCATTTTGCTCATTCCGTTGATAGGTGCTGACGAGGTCGAGCAAGAGCTCAAAGATAAGGTCAAGGAAATGGAGAAGAAACTGGCGTCTGCCCAAAAAGAACTCGGAGAAGCCAATAAAGAACTGAACCAAAAAGATGTAAAGAAATGAGTTTCCAAACTCCTTCTAAATTTATCATTTAGAAAGAAATTGAAGCCATGAAGTCTCAGGCAGAGGGACTTACCCGAGAGTACGATCGAGTTTGTGAAGAGCTTCAGGAATGATTTTCATTGCCGAACTATTTTCCGTTGAATAAATATAAATCATTTAAAGGCGAAAGACTCCGGGAACAAAAAAGACGAATAACTTCTATTGGAGCGACGAAATTCAAAAACGACTCGTTGCAGCCCTTAATTAACACGACCTTTATTTTTAACCATCCGTTTTTAGTTTTAGCGGGACTCTATTTATCTTTCTAATCATTTCTTCATCTCTTACACCGAATTCAAGTTCAATGGAAAAATACATGTCATGAATACTTTTTCAATTTCGGTCTCCAAATACGCTTTTAAGAATGAGTACGTAGTTGCAGATGGATCGCTCGCTAGCCCGATGGCTTGGATGCCTTTTTGTTGTGGCCATTATCACAAATTTTACACTCTTTTCTGGTAAAAATTCATCTACATGAGTCTTAGTCTTAACGAAAACATTCAGAACTTTTTGATGATCGAAATCGCTTCCACTCAAGCCTCTTCCAAAGTTCTCTCTCGGATCTGGAATCAAAAATTGAAGAACTAAATGAACGGAATAGTCTTATCAAAGGTCAAGTGTCTGGAATTTATGACAAACTGAAGGTTTTTGCTGAAGAAAAAGCTAATAGACATGCTCGGCCTCCTCCAAGAACGAATCTCAAAGAGGATAGTAAGAAAGATGATGTTCTTATCCCGATCCTCGTCATAGGAAGGGCCGATCATTTTTTGACGATTTAAGGGATCTCTTTCTTTGATTCCTTTGCTATCATGTTAGCTAGAGCCTCTAGCCTAGAGGTAAATGATCGACCCTCGATAAAGCATGTAATCGTGTAACAGTGAATAGAGCACTTGATTCTATTCTTACAGCAAGAAAACACCTTGAAGTTTCATCGCATCCGATCGTTGTATCGCAAGACTGCGGCCACGCGGGCACAAAAGAAGTCATCGAAAGATACACGCGTGAAAATGACCACATCAGTGCAATATATCAGCCGGATTTGTCCGACTTTCCTGATGTAAAAAGAAACATGCAAGGCTACTTCAAATTAAGGTACTATTTGGTTTTCGTTTTTTACCCTAATCAAGTCTGTTTCAAGCCGCCACTACAAATTCGCTCTTTCAAATATCTTCAAAAAGTTTCCTAACGCTCTTGGGACAATCATCGTCGAGGATGATCTTCTAGTTTCTCACGATTTTATCGATTTCTTCCGAAAATTCTCTCCGTTGCTAAATGACCCCAATGAAAACCTCTTCTGCCTTTCGACATGGAATGATAATGGAAAAGACGATCAAATTGAGCAAAATCCAGCTCTTGTCTATAGAACTGACTTTTTTGGAGGTCTCGGTTGGATGCTCTCCAAAAAGGTACCTACATGGTTTGAATTTCATTTTAACTAAGTTTATAGATTTGGGATGAAGAGTTCTCTTCAACCTGGCCAACTGCATTCTGGGACGACTGGGTTAGGAATGTCGAGCAACGAAAAGGCCGTCAGTGCATTCACCCAGAAGTACCACGAACTTCGACGTTTGGAAAAGTTGGTGTTTCAAACGGCCAGTTCTTTGACCAGTACTTGGGGAAAATCCACGAGTTCCATGGCGATTTCAATTGGAATCAATTCGATTTAAATTCCATCAAACGAAGACAGTATGATGAGCAGTTCTTACGAAAAGTTGAAAATGTCCCCGTTGCCTCAATTTCAGGTAAAAAAGTTAGAGCGGCTCTGCTAACGAAGATTCAGATTTTGAGATGCTACAAGTTCCAGAAGTAAAATTGATTTACGAAACAAAGAAAGAATTTGAAAATATTGCCAGAAAAATCAGCGTTATGCAGGACTTCAAGGCCGGTGTTCCTCGAATGGGCTACTACGGAGTCGTCACTGCGCTTTATAAGAACAAAAGAGGTAGGATATTTTCGGATCATAGTTATTTAAACGAGATTAGTGTACATTTCACCTCCGAATCCTCGAACTTGGGAATACCACACTGACTGGTAGAAACAGGTTATTTTTAAGTGTGTCCAAAATTGGTGGAGCATTTTTGAAGGTGTTAGAGTCGAGATATTTCGATTCTCTCTTTTGCACCTTGTTAGGGAGGGTCTGTAGTGTGTTAAATAAGCTTTTGGTGTTATTTGCACCCGTGGAGGTGGAGTTATGACGTCACAAAGTTGAATGCGCCCTTTTATAATGCATTTTGATGACGTCATAACTCCACCACCAGAATAGTTATTGACACCAACTCTATCTTAAATGAATAAACCAATACTCGGCTACATTCTGCAAGTTACAGATCGTAATTATATTAACCCAATCAAAAGTTACGGAAATTTTTGGTCACACTTAAAAACCTGTTAGACAAGAACCTGTAGTTTCAAATTTAGAAAAAAGCCAAAATCCCGTAGAGATCATCTATTTTCTGTTTTTATTCACTGTTACCTTTATTTATTCAACCCGCGGAAACAGTACGTTTCCGTTCCTCTATCTCTCTAGCATTTTTACCCCTTTACGATGTGCAATAAATCTTGCTGCTATTAATTTGAGTTGACGTGTTCTTCTGAATTTTGCATTTTGTGTGTGTTTTCAAAAAATGCAATGTGGCAGAGGCAAAATATATGCAGACAGTCTTTGTTTACCCGATAAACAATCAAAAAGATTTTATTATCGAGAAACTTGTCATTTCGAGTCTGCATAAATTGATTTTATCCCAGAAACACAGTATTGAATTCTTTTTGAACCTGAATAAGAAATACCAGCCCGCATCCCTCGACAGTTTATTTATTGAAAAGTGGTCAGTTTGGCTTTTCATGTCGCCGCCGCGCAGGACACAGTTTGAGCAATAACTCCCCACCACGGCAAATTAAATCCTTTTCCCCCAGAGACTATTCGTGCCGTTACCTTTCCTCTCTACAAATTGTTACTTTTTCTACAGAGACGTTTGTTTTCAAGTTGAAATTATAAAGGAGAATTCTTTTTATGGTCAGAGGCAATTAGATAGATGTCTCAGTGTCAAGTCTAATAAAGCGAGTTTCTATTTATTTAGTGAGAGAATATTTAATTTCGATTCATATAAGATAACTTCGAAATCTTTGCTGAGTAAGTAATTATTGACTATCTCTTTTTGTATAATGTACCCTTGCTAATCGATACCGACGCGCAGTAGCCGCACAAATCCTTCCCACACCAAAAATAGAATCCGATAAATGCAGCTGGGCAAGCAGGGATTTTACTTATTTATACATTCGAGATGAATTATTCGTAGGATAAGCCTTTTGGGACGTTTTTCAACTCTGGAGCATATGCACCGATTTGAGGATGTGTTTTGTCCGCCCGTGAGGTTGAACTTATTTTTTAAGAGCGAGAGAAAGATTGAGAAATGGGAAGAAGTCATCGATTGATTGTCGGTATCGTCCTCGTTTTTAGGAAAGGTTTGAAATCAAGGAAGAAAATAGAATTTCAACGACGAATATTTTTCAATACCTATGTGAAAGTATCATGGTCGCAAATGTTTCTGCGGCTCAATTAATGAAGAAGTTTGTTGGCTACACCTTCAGTCCCGTATTTTTCACAGCGTTTTCAACGCTCTTCCTTATTTTGTGTTTCCCTGGGTACGCATTATCAGGTAATAAAGCACGCAATTAGCATTTAAACTTATCAACTCAACAATAGTCGTTCTTCAAAACAAATTCAAGTCACAACCGTTGACATTTGGCCTCTCATCCCCGTTCTCGTTATTTGGCCCTGGAGTGCGAGTATGTTCTTTGAAGCCTATTCTCACGAAGGTTCTTCCTTTGACATTTATCTATCTCGTCACCAACTACCTCTATGCGCGGTCCCTTATCAATCTCAGCAATACCACCGTCTCGGCTATCATGGCATCCGAAATTATGTTTGTATATCTTCTTTCTCTTTTATTACTGGTAAGTACAGAAGTGGGCTGCTTGCGGATTAATTCTGTCGTACGCGAAAGAGGATGCTTTCATTATTTACTTCAGTATAATTTACTTCTGAATAAAGATAAATAATAAATGCTGTTTTCGTCAAAGATCAAAAGTTTGAACTTTTCCGAAAATGGCAATTTTCCTCTGAGGTCCCTAGGGAAATGTTTGAAAGAGGAATTTATGCAGAATAAAAATTAAATTTTCAGGGAGTGAAGAATGAGGGTGTCGCCTCGAATGTGCGTCAATTACTAGCTTCCTTGTTCGCTTTTGGAGGCGTTTTGTGTCTTACGCTTACTTCTAATTGTGACGAGCTTGAAGCAGAGAGTGGAACTAATGCAACGGTCACAGGTGAGATCCGAAGAAATTTTAGTTGCATCGACGTTTTTCAAGAAAATACATGTGTCGGATTCGCCGATCAGGTCAATTTCTTCATTCCAGTACTTTTCGCAGCATTTGGTGCCGCTGCGTACAAAATTACTTTTAAAAAGCTCCTTGGAACAATTTCTAGCGGCCAAGTCTCCCTTTTCCTGACACTAATTGGACTGTTTTCTGTGCTTATTTCCTTCCCAGCCGTCTGTTACGTGTTTATAACCGACATAGAAAAGTTTCCAAAGGACACAGAAACTTGGACTTTTCTTATTGCCTCGGTAAGAGAATTGATGAGAGATAATGAAACGAAGAACAATTATCCAAGATAACGTCTATATTCAGTCGACATGTGGACTCTTCTTCAATTGGCTTGTCAATTATGGCGTGTCGGTGACCTTTCCCCTCCTAATCGCCATCGGCTACAGTCTCCCAGTTCCCGCTAATGCAGTTATCGACCGATTCCTCTGGGGGGTACTGACTCTTGCAATTTAAAGCCGCGCCGGTAAACTAATAAAATTATTTTAGAACACGTTCAGCACGCAGCAACTTCTTGGAATTGGATTATCGTTCGCCGCAATGATCCTCATCGTCATTCCACTCCCACAAAATGAAGAGAAAAGCGAAAGCAAGAAATTGCCGAGCAGTTACTCTAGCTCGCCAAGTGATTATGAAAAGGCCGAGACTCTGCCTTTCAATTCCTAGCTCGTCAAAGAATTTTTCACTAAGCTTCACAAATTTGTATATTTTGAGTTTTCAGCGATTTCAACTATCATTGTGAACACTCTTCTGCTTGATTTCTTCAGCGTTTCTGCTCGTTACTCGATGACAGTAATTCTATTTAATTTAAATTTAAAGATTCTTTATTAAAGAAATTAAATTTATTGCTTTTAGAATGGTGCCGAAACCGGCGTCTTCGCCACGGCCGGCGAGTTTTTGCTATGATGTTAACAAGTAAGAAACCTCGCTCGATTCGGGATCACAAACCAACTTTAGGCTTACTCGGGACTTAACAATCGACGATTTCTCGGACATGGATCTCTCAGAAATAACGCGCGATGATTACACAAGTTCGATGGAGTCGCTTGTTTCTCTCCGGTCAAAGTAAGCTGCTTCTTGTATGTTTATTCTGACAACAAGTTCAGTAAACCGATAGGACTTCTACCTCAGCGCCGTGCTCCTCTCTCCCGTTCTCAAAGTCTCCGCGATGCCAAACAAGCTCCTCCTAAAAAGTGCCTCTCCCTTTCCGACGCGTACGACAGACCGGCCGAACAATCCAGAGTCAATCATTCTCGCCTTTCTGAAGGCAAATATTATCGTAGTCAAATTGTTGTCGTATGAAGTTTTGAACTGTATGTTCCGGAGCTTCAAAGATTCTGTAGTAACGTTGATTTTAGACAAGAAGCCAATCACGAAAGCTTCGTTCAAAGAATTATGTGGATGGGGAGTATTCAGGCCCTTAGAGGTAGATGCTGCTGTTCTCAAAGGAAAGGTTTGTGCTTGAAAACTCGCTCTCATAATTGATTCATTGAAGGTTGTTGTTCCAACCCACATCGCTTCATTTGGACTCTCTGCGAAGGTGAAGGGCCAACTACCCGTCAGCATTGGCGAGCCACTGGTGATCAAGCCCTCAGAAAATATTAATGATGAATGGTACGTCGCATAATCGTTGATTTCGATTTTTATTTATTTTTCAAATTAACAGAAATGTGTGATTGTGAAACCAGCGTAATCAGATGGTCAAAACGCACATCTTGTCAAATGATTACCATTGGTTTATGACAATAGGGAGAAAGTAAGCCAGAGAATAAATGATGATATTGGGTTTTGCACCACAGCATGCTCATTTTTGGGGCTTTTCATTGATTTACTTGCAACCGAGGTTGTTGACGTTGAGCTCCTGGGTACCCTTCTTGTTCATCCACTTGTTGTCAACACAGAAGAACTTCTTAGGAGTGTTGTTGTTTCTCTTAGAATCAACACATCGAGCTAAAAGCGTAAAATGAAATTCGGAGTAGATAATAAATTGACTTACCCTTGCATCGCTTGGTTCGATGGGGGTTCTTCGCCTTGCCGTTTCGAGATTTGCACTCGATAGTCAAACCGTTGGCGAGAGGGTTGTCAGCGAGCTTGACTTTTCCGCACTGTCGGGGGCCTTTCTCTTCATCCTTGATCTTGCCTCTTGGGGAGAGGGTAGATTGAGCCATGGCGACAGCGAGGAAAAAGTTAAAAAGCTTCATGTTTATTGTTTTCGTTTGATGCTGTTGGAGAGGTCGTTCGTTACTTTTATGGAGGAATCGTGTCTCGCTAGATAAGATTAAACAGCTGCGAGAGCAGCGCCGCTGTTGATAAAAATTTAGAAATGAAAACAAGCTTGTTATGCTGAATTGCTAACAATAATATCGAATTCATCCTAATTTATGCCACTTTAGGGTGATGGGGACTTCATTGCGAACGGGAAAGAAAGGTGTTCTGCCAGGCCTGTATGCGACTGCTCTTGAAACGCCACCTGCTTTATTCACTCTCTATTATCTTGGCTCTGCTAGAGTTCCTCATCATAAAGGTTAACCTTTAAGTTGCTTCATTTGAATTGAATTGTTTATTTTTTCAAGGAGGGAAAACTTTGTGGGAAGGAGTTGGTAATGTGCTCAAACGAAAACTACGACCTATTCTTATGAATTTGATTGTTTCCAACGACGGCCTTCGACTTATTCAAATGAATCAGCTGAAAAAGCGTGACTTTGTTGCTACTGACCATGTGAGTTAATGTCTCAAATTGTCAGTAACCTGTTTGTATTCGATGTTTAGTCTTTATTCGTTTCAATGAGCAGGAACATAATATTTTTAATTGTGCTTTGTCAGAATGACCTTGGCAATAGCAAGCGATAGAAATTGAAGAGGTTCGAAGTTTTCGTGAAAATGTTGGAACTTAAAATCACTACTAACGAGATTCAATCGATAACAATCCTACCTGTATGATTTTCGAAATCTGAGTAGAGTTGAGCTTATCTTCAAGCCTTAGACACTCAAGGATATCTTTTAATTGTGCACCTCGGGAGCTTTCGCTGAATATCACAGTATGGTTATAAATAGGGGAAATCACTAATAATTTGACTTTTTTTAGGGCTTAGTAGGGTGGGCTTATAATACATTTTTAGAAAGCCCAGAAGCTGGGAAACATTTTGACTATAGATACTTGGGGGTGATCTCGTACCCAGAGGGCATTTAGGTACGTCCAAAGTCCCAAAATCTGGCCAATTCCAGAAATTGGAATTTTTGAGGCAATAACTCGACCTTTCAGAAGGTGCTATCTATCCCAGATTGTAGCCCAGGCTCTGAGGGTCATTTTGAGATATAGAAAAGTACTGAGACCCGGGGGTTTCTGAGGAGGTAGAGGCTCTTGAAGTTGGGGCACTCGACAAAAATTGAGTACTTTTTTACAAAAAATACACCATTTTTGTCACAAATGCCTCCCAAACACTTTTTATCTACGTTTTATCTATGTTTTTTCGTTTAAAAATATTTAAGGAGTCATTTGGGGTCATCTGAGGTCACTCTAGGTCAAAAATTATGAAAAATTTAGAAAACTCTCATGAGTGACCCGATCTGACCTCGGATGCCCCAAATGACTCCTTAAATATTTTTTAACGAAAAAACATAGATAAAAAGTGTTTGGGAGGCATTTGTGACACAAATGGTGTACTTTTTGTAAAAAAGTACTCAATTTTTGTCGAGTGCCCCAACTTCAAGAGCCTCTACCTCCTCAGAAACCCCCGGGTCTCAGTACTTTTCTATATCTCAAAATGACCCTCAGAGCCTGGGCTACAATCTGGGATAGATTGCACCTTCTGAAAGGTCGAGTTATTGCCTCAAAAATTCCAATTTCTGGAATTGGCCAGATTTTGGGACTTTGGACGTACCTAAATGCCCTCAGGGTACGAGATCACCCCCAAGTATCTATAGTCAAAATGTTTCCCAGCTTCTGGGCTTTCTAAAAATGTATTATAAGCCCACCCTACTAAGCCCTAAAAAAAGTCAAATTATTAGTGATTTCCCCTAGTTATAAAGCTTTTTATGACAAGTTTACCGTTGCTCTCCCGCCCAAAGATTAAGAATTTTTCAAAATTCGACGATCGAGTCTCCTTTTCGAAGGGTTCTATAAAAGTTCTGGCTAATCTTTCCAATTCTTCATGAATTGACCCTTTCCCTGAGCCATTTTCGGCGACACCAACCGCTAATTGTGTGAGGACTGACTCGTCCATAGCGAAAATCTTTGGATGGAATTGCTTTACTCCCTCAATACGTCCAAACGCGTTGTTGTTGATAAGATAGTTGACACAGCTGGCTACAAGGTTGTCAAGTTGAGGTGGTGGATTCTGACAATATCTAGCGACAATGTCCAGCGCCACTAATAACGCCATCGCATCTGAGGACACGAGTGTTTTCTTGATTTGCTCGACGCACCAGTCACGTGTTTTTCTACATTCATATCGCTGTGCGGCGTGCAAAAGCATCAGACATTCTATAATCATCGTTAGCTTAGCTTTTAAATCAAATAATTTACCTATCGTTTCCAACTTTAATCTCGAAATGCTGTAGAACGAATTGAGCAAATGATCAAGAATAACTGCGGAACATTCGAGGGGAATGAACTCTTCGCCAATGTGCTCCTCGACAAGTCTTGTCAATTTATTCGAGTGCTTTTTGATGATTTCTGACTCTGCTCGGAAGCATTGACACTGCGCCAAGAAAACAACATCACCTTTTAGCATGGTTCAATATTTAATTCATAAAATACCATCAGCTCAAAGTCTGATCTTGTTTCTATTGAACCGAAGCTTTGTCTGGGTCTCGACCGAATTCATTTATGTTTACATTATTCATTCGGAGTACAATTTCTTCTGGGCTTAGTTCCTCTTCCAAATCAAGCTCTTCTTCTTCTTGTTGAATAGCTTCTTGCGATACCCTCTCGGCTTCAGCTTGCTTTTATCAGATCAAAATAGACCCCAGACAATTTGGTGATGAATAAAAAATTTTGATCTCATTCCTGATTTTGACGTTGTTTCTCTTTTTCGTACCAGCCAGTACCGATTCTTTTTTCCGCTTCTTTTTCGTCAACCCACCCAAGTTTTTCGCGGCCATTTCTTCCTCTTCTTTTGACAAACCACCATTTCCAGAAGGTTCTTCTTCATCAGCACCGTATCTTGTCGATCGAGAAGTAGACGGCTCTTCGCTTCCAAGGCGAGATAGACCGTTTCTAGCTCTTCTATCATTTTCGTACTCTTCGATAAAGGATCGAGACTCTGCACCTCGTCGGTAATCACCTGACATCAAGAAAATAATTTCTGATATTTGAAGTTACCAGATAGAATGGATGAAACTGAACGTTCTAAGTTTCTTGACATTCTGGAGATATCTGATGCGCTACTCTCTCGTTCACTTCTCTGCCTTGCATATCTACTTGTGTAAGAATCTCCAGCCGAATCGTTATCGAGACCAAGTCGGGATCGTCGAGATGTGTAAGAAGAACTATAAAGGTTTGAGTTAAGTCTCGCTATAACGACTTACTTATTGTCGTCGTCGTTGTCCAAACCTAAACGAGCCCGCCTTGTCGCGGAATAAGAAGGTGTGGAGTCGTCGTTGTTGTCAAGGCCGAGACGTGCACGTCGTTGCGCGTAATTTGAATTCTCGGGATTGTATCTTGACGGAGATCTTGAGCGATAGCTAGACGTATATGAAGGACTCGAATCATCTCCCAGGGAAATGTTGCTCGATCGTCGCTCAGTGCTTGAGTTTGGCTTATTCAAAAACTATTGGAGACAGAAATTGTCCACAAATTACCACAATTTAGAATATTATAGCCTGTCCTGAGTCGCCTTTCTGCAACTGGTCCTGGATTGAGATAGTCCCCAGCTCTGCTCGTACCTCGAATCGAAGAGTAAGAGCTTGTTGTTGGTACGTTTGAACTCTGATTGGAAGGGTGGTAAGTTCCAAGCAGTTCATTTACTCGAGCGCGTCTGTCCATTGTCTGAATATCTGGTTAGCCTTGAAAGTGAAGTGATTATTTTGCCTCTGATGGAGCGGATGATGCAGTCGGTGTTGACGGACTCGAGGCGCCAATTACGTGAGAATCTGTCGCGTCTGTGGAGGAGTTATTTGTGGTAGTAGTGGTCTGGGTGGAACCTGTTGTTCCGTTCGCCCAGTTTTGATGGCGCTCACTTAGTAGATAATTACTAATAATGCCCTTATTTTAAAACAACTCCCTAGCATGCTCATATAGCTCAGTCTCGGAGGAATTCTCCGAGGCTCACTTCTACCCATATTCTAGCTTCTCTTTTGTGAAGTGTAAGTGATATTATCGAACTGATAAGAGTGGCAAAGGGAGTTGTTGCGATCCTAGACAATGCACGACTGACTCGAGTCAGGCGATGTTTTCCGCAGTTAAGTCTGTACCTCGTGAAATGCTCTGTAAATAGCGTTCGGATGATATGTCGCTCGCCACAAGAGCAACTAAATGAGTTCTGCCCTGTTCGCTGCCAAACGCTAGAAATTTACTCGTTATGGAAGCTCGTGACGAAATTTAATTGCATAACTCAGAACTCACCAAGTATGGTTTCTCTGGTGGGAGCCAAAAACTGTCCCTGACGCGTAGCACTCCTGGCAGAGGTCAACGTCGACGCACTAAAGTCCTTTTAATCCTCCGAGCTAATCCTAATCTCGCTGAGTAGCTCAGCATTTATAAAATCTCCTCAATTAGATATTGTTTGAACTTGGCAAACCTGCAAGCAAGCGTATAGACGCGCTTCGAATTTCGCTTGATTACAACAATCACTTTTCCGAGCTTCTAACTTGAATATTTTGAACAAAATTTATAACCAATTTAGAAGCCGTATCAGATAATAAACGTTCCCTCTTCCAGTCCGTTCGTATAAGAGCTTATTGTAGCGGCAACTGAGCTCATAATTTTCCTTCTCTTAAAATTTTCCTCGTCATTCAGCCTCTTTTGTGCGCGATCCTTGACGGGAGCTCCGAGGCTTATCACTCCTACTTGAATCATCTGATAAAAATCACCCTTCACTTTGGTCACGTGACCAGTTTGGAGTAGTTTGAGATTTTTTATGTATTTTTGATGTTATTTTAGATGAGTCTATTTCTGATCATAAAATTTCAGCTGCTGACATATTCAACATTCATCCCTCTTCATATGGTCTCCTACTGCGGGACCGATAGCACGACCGGACGTTATTTTTCTTTCATCTCAAGGAACTTCGATCCAGAGCAAGGCTGCGCCGCGCATGCTTTCGGTAAGTTCACCAGAACAGGAAGCTCGTTAGATTTTCGAATTTTCAATCGAAATTATCGTCTTTTTCCGGTCATAAGTTCCATCTTTAGTTTCGCTTGAATCATCACTTGAAATGACATCAGCGATGGAAAGGGCATTCAAGCAAGGGTTTTCTTCTGTGGTAAGTTTACCCCTTTTTGTTTTGAAAAATAATCACTTTCAGTACGATTGCGACTTAACAGCTGACGAGTACCTGGAATGATGAGTTCAAAATCTGTATCCGAACTTTTGTATTTTTATTTTAATAAAGATGCCTATGATAACATACACATGACGTCAGAAAATTCTAATTTGTAACGTGGGTACGCCTCTAAACCCAAATTCTACATTATGATTTTCGAACTTTCTAATGCACACTTTTCATAATCTGATAACGACTTACGCTCTGAGCGCTGAAATCTGAGCAGGTTTAGGATCAATCCACGTGGGTAATCTCCAATTGACAGAACCGTGATTAAGGCCTTACCTAGACGCGAATCTATATCCAAAACACCACCAACAGCGCCAGATAAACCCTATAAAAGCAGCGTCTAAAGACGTTCTCATCATCGAAAAATATTTTCCGAGCACTTTTCAAATAAAACAAAATGAAACTTTTTGCCATCATCGCTTCCTTCGCTTCTGCTCAAACAATCAGCAAGTGCTTTGAGTGCTACGGAGCAACTGTTGCGGACTGTGTTGCGTAAGTAAAAATTTCATAGCGAATAACATTGAATGTTTTTTTGTTATCAGACAATTTCTTTTAAATTAGGAAGTATTTTTGAAAAGAAAAACTAATTTTTTGAGTATTGTAGGCAACTTAACCTTTATGGCAGCAAAAAGGTCGCAAAGGATTAAAATTGCTTCAACAGATTGAAAAAAAAACGTGTAAAAATATTTTAGCTCCGGCGTTGAGGTCGACTGCCAGGCTAATCAAGGATCATGCCAGCTGGAAGAACGACGACGAGGTGGTGCGATTGAGTCCGTCTCCATGAGATGCAAGCAAAAGCGAGCATGCAAGAACAACATGAAGCAAAACTCATATGGCCAGTGCACTACTGCTCTTACAGACGGTAAGTTTTCAATCAATCAAGACAAGCTATTCATTCAACTATTAGCTAACGGCGCTGAACTCTCTTCCGTTTGCCGCCAATGCTTCCCAACTGCTGATCCCAACGACGGCAAAGACTGGCTCGAAAGTCTCGAAGCTGCAGCTCGACCCGTCTCTGACTGGACCACTGATATGTTCTAACTTACTTACCTCTATGTCTTTTACCTTTTCCTACATGATCTTTCTTACTAATAAAATTGAATCTTTTGAATCGCTTTTGTTTGACTTGAGTCATCATAAAACAAGATTCGTAAATATGAAAAAGGAAAAGGGAAAGTAAACTCGACATCTCATGGCTTGTCGCTCTTATTATCAAAGAATTAATCAAAGAACATGGGGCTTTCAGAATTTTGTAATAATTTCACTGAAGAGAAAATCCGAAGGCTACTCAAACGCCCAGAGATCGCTCGGGAATGTCACAGAAATGGTCGAAGCTTGCTTATTGAGTCCGTCAATCGAATGAATTTCTTAAATAAGAACAATTATTTGGAATGGTCAGTCGCTAATTTTGACACAGTGACGAAGAAAATGGACGTTCTTGATGACCAAGGAGAATTCCTAGAGAGTCATTCGATGAGCGCATATCAAAAATGGGTGATTAGAAATTTCATCTTTGAATACCCGAAAAGACGCTTTATACAAATTCATAAACACAACTTAGAAGGGAATCAAGTAAGTTAAACTATCGTATTCCTCATCATCCTTTTCAGGGAAAATGGGTAGAATTGGAATCTCAGCTATTTTACCCCGCTATTATCTCCTGTGGAGGGGAGGCGTTGGTGCTTGGCGATCAGATTTTACAAAAGAAATTTGTCTACCGTTTTCACCCCTTCTCGTCGGCGCTTTTTAGCAAAACAGTTCGACTTGATGTAAAATTGAGGATAAATAAGGCTGATCAATTTTATCATGTAAATCAGGACAATCTTTCAGGAAAAGATTTACTTTTCCCTACGCATTGATTCTGCATCAAGTATAAATTTTCCACATAGTCTGTAATGCAAATAAGTAAGTCCACAAAGAAGAAGGCTTGTTCCCATATCATAAAAACCTCCTTTTCAATTACGTCAACGTTGAAATTTTTCACGAGGACGACACAAATGAGCAGGATTGTCTTGGATGGATAACAGTTTCTTCACGGGCTGACATGGATCTTTCAACTGCTCTGCAACGGAATCTAATTGACATAACTGAACGTAAAAGGATTGTCATAGAACTTAAAGAAGTTCTCGCTTATTTATGGAAACTACAATTGTTTTATTTTGATTTGAAGCTTCAAAACATTCTACTCATCAAAAATAAAGAAGGAAAATATGAATTGCGACTCGCAGATTTTGGAATTATGTGCGAAGCGACTGGAAAAAAGAGCTTTCGTGAAATGGGATACATCCGAAATGGGTCAAAGTTTAAGATAACTGATGGCGGGGGACTCAAGGGAGGAACTCCCGGGTTTTGCGTTGGCCAGCAGCTTTATCAAGGCGTTGCAAATAATCAACCCCTCTTCCGGATCATGATTTTCCTTCTTTGCGACTGGGAAAGTGCCTGGAAAATCAATTTCCATCATATTGAAAATTATCAAGAACAATTATTTATTGACGATCGATTCACAGAAGCTGGTCTTTTGAACTTTCGAACAGAATTTAAAAATATTATGACAGCCTTCTCAGAAAACAGACCCTATCATTTAACAATCTGGCAGATGGTCGAACGAGCTCAGTCGATTGTAGAAGTCAATTTCAATTCCAATATTTTTGGAATCGAACAAGCAGGAGTGAGAACTTTATGTTCTCATAACTTCGAGAATGTTGACTTTTCATTGGAGCAAATTATGCTGTCAAGAAGTTTAATGATTTCACGGACAGCGTTTGATCAGAAAAGCACCTATCTTTGCACAATATTCGCGGTCTCCGACATTTTCCGATATTGCATAAAGAAGTTTCTGCTGTCTCGTCGACTTTTTTATGACAAAAAAGATGTTCTTGGAGATAGTTTGTTGACACAAAAAAATATTCTTCTTACAATCATCTTCAATTTGGTTCCTCGTACAGCTGAAGGCCTCGACCTTCAACAACATGAACCGGAAATCGATACGAGCACGCAAGATCTCCAGACAACAGCATTAATAAGAGTTCTGAATAGGCTTACCAAAAAATCGTACCTTGAAGATGAAGGTTGGAAAATCATTTTGCATATGACAAAGATGCAAGAAAAGTATCCAGAGTATTTCAGCAGAGCTTCGTTTTCGCCAAGAAAGATGATTCAGAGAGAAATTTTTCTTAGGTACGATCTGCAGGCGTGTGAGCCGATGATTGGAACAATATGTTATTTATCTCAAGGAGAAGTCGGATTTCACTCAGTTGTCATTGATAAAATTGTTAAGAACGACAGAAACGAAGACGAGTTCGTTATAAAAGGAATGTGTTTATTTTCTTTCAGTATAATCTATATCTTGAGTCTCTTGTTATTGTCAGAAGACAAATGAACTTTATGACTTTTTTCGATAAAATATTAACACGACAAAAAGATTCAAGTGGAGCTAAAAGCTATAATCTTCCTGTTAATTCTCCTCGTTACCTTATCGATCCAATGATAGAAGGCGTCAAATATCTGTGGCCGACTGCCTATACGTTAGAACTATTGTAAAATCAACGCTGCCCGAACTCTGTGGCATTAGCCTCTGACGACAACAGATCAGATTTCTCATCCTCCCTTTGATCGGACGTTAGCAGCATATTCCCGGAAAAGCCCTTACGTGAACGTTTTAATTTTGTCGATATCTGATTGCAAAAATACTTTCGGAAGTTCCATTCTTTATGAAATAAAATTAGACATACGCTTCTCTACTTTCTATTCTGTCTACATATGCAAATAGAATAAAGATTTAGAGATCCGTTCCATAATTCTTTCAAAAGCCAGAATCGAATCAGTTTTTGAATAAGAAAAATAATTTAATGATGAGGAATTCCTTTTACTTGCTCGTATTTGAAAAAAACTCGCAAAAAGTTTTTAAAGTTAAAACCACAAGGAAGTATCTTATCTTGAGTTTACAAAACTCCTGATAAAACTGTGAAAAAAAGATAAATCAAACACGTTTTCTTAGCATGTTTTATTCATCAAGTACTGCAGAACTCTATTTCACGCGGCCTCATAACCTGATGAAACTTTCAAAACGCAAAGAGTTGAGATGAAACATATTACTTTTCGAAGAATCGGTTATCTCTCGCGCGCCCCCTGAGTTCTCATGAGTACTGCGCGCGAGTATAAAAACCGAAACAGTCAGAATTGAAACCATCAGAATACTTTCGACAAAACAATCAGAATATCAATAATGAAGATTTTCGCCTTTTTCACTGCTGTAGTCTTTTCTCAAGAAGCTGCTGATCCTTTTTCGTAAGTCAAAGTTTTTGGTTTTTTTTTTGTTAAAAAATATTTATTAGCTGCATGACTTGCAATGCGGCCAGCGTTGCCGAGTGCTTAGCCAGTTCTACCACAGTCGAGTGCCAACCAAACGAAACATCATGTGAAGTGACACTCCGAAAACGGCGAGGGAAGACTTACTTCGTCCAGGCTGGCTGCAAAGCAGTCGACGCTTGCCTCAACAACAAGAGCAACAACGCTCGCGGCCCGTGGAAGTGGCAAGAGTGCAAACCTTTCAACAATATCAAAATCGAGAATTCCGTTTGCCGACAATGTTGCGATGGAGCTACGGATTGCGTCGAAACGAACTTTTTCAACGACGATGGAACTGACGGCTCAACTAACCGATCTGACTGGCTTGGCGACTTTGTCTCCCAAGATGACTAATTTTTGTATCTTTAACCTTTCCAAACTCTGACCGACACACTTACTGTCTGACTGACATATTCTCAAAGGCGGAAAACGCCAATTGGGACTTATTTTATCATTAAATACAAAATCTAATTCCATTGCGAAAGAAATCAATATTTACGTCAGGCTGGATAAGTGAGCAGTAACTTTACGTGAAGGATAAAAAATATCTCCAGTGCATCATCTCAAGTGAATTTAAAGGCTGCTCCTGGATCGCGCGGAATCCTGGATCGCGCGGATCCCGGATCGCGCGAATTCCTTGATCACGCGGATCGGGTGATTCAGGATTCCGCGCGATCCAGGATTTCGAAAAATCTGAAATTCAATTTACAATTTTGCTTTTCTTATCAAAAATGGCCAGAACTGTTGTTAAGCCATGAAATTCTTATCTTTTCAATTTAGAAATGTAAGAATATCAAATTAATAGAACCTTCAACGAAGTCATCATTCAACTATTTTTAGTTGTTTGATTTCCGGGACCTACTTTTATGCGCAGGGATTAGCAGCGCTCAAGTTCCATTTGGAGGTGACAAATGGAAGGTATTCCCGGATTTTCGCAGGGACAGCTATTTATTTGAGAAACGTTTTGAAAAGAATCAAAAGAAGAAAATGAAGGGAATCGATGATAAATAATTTATCTTAAATAAGAATAGCTCTCAATTTTTATCCTAATCTGTCCCTATGAAAATCCGGGACTGCCATCCATTTCAAATGGACCATTTGTCACCTCCAAATGGAACTTGCGCCCTGCTAATCCCTGCGCATAAAAGTAGGTCCCGGAAATCAAACAACTAAAATCGTTGAATGATGAATTCGTTGAAGGTTCTATATTTATTTGATATTCTGACATTTCTAAATTGAAAAGATAAGAATTACATGGCTTAACTTCTCAATACACGTGGTCGGTTCAACCGACCACGGCGACTTTGAGCCGCCGTAATTTCTGTTGTGATAATCCATTTGACCTGATTTTTGAAATGTGAGCTAAGGTGTCGAAAACGAACCACTTTGTGAAATTTCGGAAGTTTTCTCAAAAGTGGTGGCGTTTTGCACCGGATTTATCTTTCACTCATCAGCTGTAAATCCAAAAAGTATTTTGCAAAATTAATTGTAAATCTTGATAGGAGAGTGTTCAACCTTTCCAGCGATATGTATTGAAACTTTTTGCTTGCCGGAAACGCAAGTTAGAGCTAAAAGTCTTGAGCGCTCTTTATCACACTCCGAATTTTGCGCGCCGCGGGGGGCTGAATAATGCATTGTGGTCCCCTCACCCGACCCCGTGTTTTGAGCGCTTAGTCGCGCGCCCGTGTATTGAGAAGTTAACAACAGTTCTGGCCATTTTTGATAAGAAAAGCAAAATTGTAAATTGAATTTCAGATTTTTCGAAATCCTGGATCGCGCAGAATCCTGAATCACCCGATCCGCGTGATCAAGGAATTCGCGCGATCCGGGATCCGCGCGATCCAGGATTCCGCGCGATCCAGGAGCAGCCGAATTTAAATCCGTCGCAGCACGGGGAGAATGATGGTTTGTGAAGACGAACGTCATAAACGAAAAATGGGTACTTTGGAGATGAGTCGATTAGATTTTTGGAGCTTATTGACTTCGGAGAAAACCGAGATGACAACAAGAGAGATATCTCAAATTGCTGCGGGTAGAATAATCCTCTTTGATTCAATTATCCAACGGTTGCCTGAAGGTTTTGGTTTGAAAATCACCAAGATGGAAGTAATCAGTAGTTAGCGTTTATTACTGATTACAAACCAAAAACAGTCGATTTCCTCGAAGCAATACGTGTTTATATGAGAATAACGGACGTTATTAGGGAAAATAATCAAAACTATTACATGTCCAAAACTTTTGAAAAGTTCAACGAACTTTGACAGGAATATCATTAAATGTATTAAATGTTTACTCAAATTTTATTCAATAAATGAACGAGCTCGATGAACTTTATGATCACGATCATGACCATCGGAAGAATTGATAATAATGTAACAGTTTGAACAATTTACATAAAGCAAGAGAAATTTTCAAATTTCTTGAGTTGGGATGGTTGCTCCGGAATTACAGGATGCTGAATCGCATCCGATTGCCATTCTTCCGGTTTTACGGTTTCCTGACTTACGCTGGTCGCCTTCTTTTTCGCCGGCTTTGATAAAATAAGTTTGGGTAGTTTAAAGCGAGAGCTTACATTGATTAAAAACTTGTTTTGCCGAGTAGACTGGCATCCTCACTTCATAGGTTGAGTGAAACATCGAGTGATCCGCCGAGAAATGATGTCGATCAAGGAAGAGCATGGGCATGAATCGATAGCCCCACTGTATCTCCCTGTTTAAATACGATGTCCGCGCTAAAAAATTGATAAATTTAGACTTTCAAGCAAAATTTCACCTTGGCAAATCATTCCAGTGCTCTCAACCGTCCCTTCCAAAATGACAATTATTTCAAAAGGCTCGTTATAGATGTCCGCTTCTGAAAGATCCCAAAATGGGCTCTTCTCGTTGATTTCATGAAAAACAATCAATGGCGTCACGAGGAAAAGCTTGTCGGCACCAGTATCGAATCCAATATTTATGTCTGAATAGTCGTTAGTAACGATTCTCTCCTTCCTTGACTTGTAATGATTGTTGTTTTAAGACTGATAGAATATCAGTAATATTCTACCTGTTTGGTCAAGAGCAATGAACTCGCCTTCTTTGAGCTGGTTCATAAATGACATCAATATAAAAATACAAAAATACTTATCAAGTCAACAAGAACCAGTTCCTTCAGTATGTCGCGATCTAACGAATTTCGCCCTGATTTTGCATTGAACAATGAGAGAATTCCTCAGATTTCCGACCCTTAAACTTCTACAACTTCTTTCAGATTGCCAAAAGTACCTGAACATAAATCCGAACTTTCCATCTCTTTGGGCAATTACAGCTTTTTCGGAGAAGATAAGTGTGTCTGTTCGATTTTTTGGTTTGGAGATTTTAATAAAAATGCAGCCGACAAGAACGGCATCCACTAACGTTCCAAGAAGACACTTTTTGTAAGCTCGAAACAGAAATCAAGCACTTTGGCTGAAAATTAGAATGTTTCTGACGTTCCTGAAAAACAAGCAGAAGAATTGCTTCGGGACAGTTGTCGGTGATGGCCCGTTTTCCATAACCGACAGTGGTTTCGGTTTCGATGAAAAATAGAAAAGCGGTCGCATAGCTGTGAACATGTTGGAAGCAAGGCTTGTGCGCTTGAGACGGATAGTAAATCAAGCCTAAATTAACATGCTAAACAAAACTGTTCGACTGAAACTCTTACTTCTGAGAATATTTCTGTATTTTTCATATTTTCCATTGAAGACGCCAGCAACACTCATAGAATTCATAACAATCGAAGCGATTCTTCGATCTCGCGCTACTTGCATAAAGTTAATCTTGTCAGTTTCATTCGCTTTTGCTAGTTTGACAAAGTTGTCCATGAACAATTGCTGCGCTTGCCAGTATGCTACAATTTTTTAGCAAGAGTTTGGGGCTCAGCACGGGACTTACCAAGATCACCGCGGATAAAAGCGACAACCCAGTAAAGAAATGAAAAGATGACCCAGATAATAGCATAGAAGCCGATAAACAAGGCGATACTTAAAAATATAACTAGTTAACTTTTATCTAAATTTACTTTCCATAATTTCGAGATCGACAATTTTACCTGTACATCCAGTCAAGATCCACGAATGTAGTGAAGAGATCGGACATATATTTCTCGCGTTTGTCTTGTGCCGCTTGTCGTATATTACAGTGGCCATTTTTTCGCATAAATCTCGGTACTTTCGGTCTCTCGGGTTTTCCCTTTCCAACATTAGCATGGCTCGCTCGCCTAAAAACATCATAAACGAATCGAATAATTTTGAAAAGACACTCAGATTCGTTCGAGCTGAGTCGCGACAAAAGTGTATATTTTTCGCCTTTCATTTAAGTTAACCAGAATTATGGCAAATACAGTACGCTGCTCAGAAGATTTGAACAAATGGCTTATAAATTTATGAGCGGACTTAAATATAACCACGCTTTGATGTAATGCTGTTGGTCAGATTAGCTCCTTAATTAAGTGTCCGCGTTTTTATTATTGATGAAAGGGTTCAAGTCGTATTTTACGCAATTCTCATTTTTTTTCTGACACTTGGTCTATTGAGTCAGTGAGTTCATTTATGGGGATCTTGAGTTCAAGATATCATTAAGTTCATTAAGAGAGCGTTCTCTGGTTGAGTAAAATACCCGTTTTATACTTTTTATAGATTTTTTAAACTCGAAAAAAGGGGAAAATTTCTCTTATATTTCATATCAAAAACAACCTTCTCTTGATCGTTGATGCTCTTTCCAGCATTTTGCTGGTTGTCGTCTATTTTTATGATTAGAAGACTGGGAAAAATGGAGCATTCAGTTGTGAATTGTCTGATGTGACGGGAGCATTATGGAAATGGGATGATTCTGCGGACAGAGGATGGTATTAAATGGAAGAATATTGCACCGTCAAGGGATCATCTCCTGGGTCATCAACATACACCAGAGCGACAACTAGTTCGATAACTATTCAGTCCGCTTTATTCAGTTAATCACGGTATATACGGTAGTATACTCTTCTGAGCTTGATAATCAGTGAACAACTGAAGATGTACGTTAACTGATCTGGCTTATTTCTTTCTTGGTGCCTACTTAAGATTTCAATTCTGAAACTTTGAAGCTGTTTTTTTAGAATAATCAACAAAAGATTTTTTTTAAGCTCACTTTAAAATTGACTTGTTAGATTTCTTACGTGCTAGTTTCTGGCGTCGGGTAAAACCGCGTCAGCATTGGAACCATCAACGCTAAAATCACATGCTATCTGTAGATTTTAATTTCTGATGAAGTGATTCATCTTTAATTTCTAGTGTTTAAACCTGGTGCGAGCAGATTTTTTGCCAAGTCGCCTGGTTTTATCATCTTAGAAAAGAGTTCGAAAAATACGAATAAAATTTGCCGAAATAGGTGGTTAATGGAATCTCTAGCTTGACGATCAAATCATTTTTGAGAGATTTCCTTTTTTTCGATGCCAGCTTATTTAATTACTTATTCATGAGCAGTTCTGCCCGTTGAACCGCACCTGGTTAGGGCAGTCTTGGAGCGAAATAACAACTTATCGGGGTGATATTTAGTCAGCCGATATCCATGCATATAAATGCGCCTAATTAACTTTTAACCTCGCCGTTCCGAGGAAGGAAATCCACAAAAAATCAATTAAATATTCTAATATCTCTAAGCAGCAGGATATTATAATTCTAATCAGGGTTTAAGTTTTGTCTCTTTGTCTTTTGCCTCCAATACATATAAAAAACGCCTATTTTTCAGTTGAAAATGAGCGACTGAAAAAAGAAGAGCTCTTTATCGTGTTAGAAGATATAAAATCGGGCTTATCTTCTAAAGATTATAGATTTCCGCGCGTGTCCGCAAAGGTTTATCCACGAGTGCCATTACTGTTTCTGTACCTTCCAAAGAAACTGCTGGCATAAGTGCGAATACTGTCAGTTGGCGAGGAGTATTTGGACAAGCGAGAGCCTCCTGGTCGCGACTGAGCCCAGTCTCGAGAGTCGTACGAAAGTCGACTTGCACGGCCAGAGGTAAATGCACCCCATGTGTCTTTGAAAGGGTTCACAATTAAAGAGCTCGGTTCGAGCTGGTCTTTTGAAAGAAGGTTGAACACCGAGACTGAGGTCGCGAAGTCTGACTGAAGGGAGATATGAGACTTGCGCCGTCCCCCTTGAAATGGGCCTGCGTCGAGGTCATAAGTACTGTAAAGGTTCAGATTTCTGTTTAAAAAAATCTTCAATTTTTGAGCTTATTTATCCTTAAGTTGAACCACTAACTGACAGTTATTTGGCTCAATCGCCTTGCCATAATCAAGTCTCTTTTTAATCTCTTTCACAGTTTATTATTTCAAAAAATAAAGCCTTTTAAAATGGTTTCTTTTGTACTCAAGTTGGGATGAAATGAATGTGTGCAACTAAAACCGACTGTTCGGTCGGTTGGAGGCACAGTTGCCTCGCTGAATTAAAAATGAAAAACTCATTGTGGAAAGTACAACTATAATCTATGCACTGTCGTGGTGACAAGGTACATGAAGCTTGTCATTGAAGTAGTTGTCCACTTAAAATTTTAGAAGCTTTCTTTTAGAAAGTGTTAAAAAAACTTTAGGGCAATCTCCAAAAGGACCTTCTGAAAAGTTTATCGCAAAGTATTTTTTCTTTGCTTCTATGAAATATTCAATCTTAACTTTGATGTAGCGGGGTACTCGGTCGGGCGCCATAAATGACTGTCCTCTATTAGCCCTCATCTTAGTTAGTGTGAGGGTTAGGGGACCCTACCTGCTAGGGAGTCCCGGGGGCGAAGCTCCCTTGGTTAGGCCTTTGGGGGGCCTGGGGGCGTAGCCCGTGGGTTAGGCTTAGGCTTAGAGGCTCCCCGACTTTTGACCCCCTACTACGGTAGTAGTACTACCTTTGCTTGACTTTTTGATCAACAACAAAACTAATACCTACCCCATTCTCATAAAAGAAGCCGAGATAAGAGTCGTCAACATTTCGGGATCGGTCGTCATTCTTTTCAACATAAAATTCGAGTTTGAAATAAAGTCACTCAAATTGAATGATTCAAATCTCAAATTCAAGTATAAAACGTTCAAACTCTAAGTAAAGCCTCTTTCAAACACGCCATCCGGTTTTCCCCTTGTAATTGATGGAAGCGTAAAAGCTCGGCCAACCTCTCGAAAGGATTTTTTTCTTTTATCGCCGACGTAAAATCCGTCCGGCTCTTTTTCCAGAGGCTCTTTCTCTGCCTTCTTTTGTGCTTTCATGTTGCATGGAATTCGTCCAAATCGAAAAAGGAAACGTTTGTTTTTCTCCGATTATATTAAAAGATTATTGTTTCGTCGCCCTGACTATATAGAAGGCACGTTTATGCGATTGTCGATAACTATCTGACAGCTAGCAAAGCTAAACAAAAGTGACCAAACTTATTTTCCCTTTCAATAAAATCAATTTTTCTCATTTGATGAAAGAATTAAAAAAACTGTCAAATGCGTTTATGAAGATTTTCATCAAAAAAATCGACTGTTACCTTTCTAAGTTATCGTATTTAAAAGTAGATCCCGGCGTCAAATTGGAGTCCTTGTTGATTCCCAAAAACTGGTTATCATAGTGTAAGTTCGAGTACGAATACTCGGAACTGACATCTGTGAAAATTAATACTTAAACGAAGCAGGTTTTACAAGAAGTGTTGAGTAGTCATCAAATCTTGCAATAATTAAAATATTAACTATCCTAAGGCAGCAGTGCCATTTCCATATCCGAGCATTTCAAGCTTGGGGCTTTGCTTGATTCTCTGGGAAAGACGTGCAAAAGTATTCTTCATTATTTCTGGTCAAAAGACTTAAAAGACATCCAAGTTGTTGTTTTTTGCCTTTATAAAGTGGCCCGTTGAATATTTATGTATCAATGTAAGATAAACATAGCAGTCGTGTTCATGTCAAAAACTCTTTTTTGAAGCTTAATATTCTCTGGCAGGTCTTTTGTGAAATATTCTGAATGCTGAAAATAGCAAATGCTATTGTCAGAATCATTGTTGATTTTCAAATGCTAATTGAGCTGACTTCATTTTGAATGATTGGTGACAGATCCCTTCGTGAGCAACCTTGATCTTATTTACCTGTTATAAGGCGGCGGATTGATCCTGCACTTCGTGCCAGGTATTGAAGATCCGAACTCGAGCTCGCTGTTGAACTGAAAAGTAATTTAATATTGGTGAAGGTAAGGGAGAATTTTTGAGATTCCGACCACGATAGAATCTATCGGATAGATTAAAGATATTTTTTCTTCATTTCGCTGGGGGAATAATAACTTGCCAAAGAGGATTAACGAGAGTTGTCTTTCAATAATTCGCTTCCTCAAGTGAACAAGCTCGTTCAACTTAATATTAAACAAGTCCTCAGCATCTTGTATTAATAATTGTTTGAAGAGATTGTTTGAAAAGGAAATCAAGTAACCTTTATTTTTATACTTGCACATTTGCAGCCTTGGATCAGAATAATTCACCCCTTTTAGCAAAATGATGGATTAAGTCACCAAAAATATGAAAAGGGCGCATAAAAAATCTTCTAACATGTAATATGGACCTCAAATACTAATTTACATGTAACATGTGATAGACAAAATTCTTTCAGCAAATTATAAAAAATGATTCTAAAAGCTCCTGAATATTTTTTCATATTTACCAAACTGATATGTATTTTTTACTATATACATGTTTAACTAGTATATAGTTAAAAATAATATAAACAAATTGGGGTAGTTAATTTTGATGATCTACCTGGGCATAGAGCAAAGTCGCCATTTCATTTCTAAAAGCATTATTCGGAAGTCCGACGCAAGCGCTCTTCTTTTTTTGCTCATTCATTTTCTTCTTTTTCTTGACCTTCGTGTCGTTCTTCTCTTTCTTGTTCTCACTAGAATCGCAGTTATGATGGACGTCCGTCTCGGTATTTGTATAATGTACTTTAGCTGCTCTTGAATTGAACAATTTTGGGGACTCAGAAAGGTACTCAGTAGCTAAATATTTCACCTGCTATTAAATATTTAGAAGGAGGAAATCTGAAAAGAAATGGACAAGCGTCTGATTTTGCGTTTCATTTCTGAATACTACTTGCCCGTCACTAATACTAATGCCTTGTTGTCAAACAAAATTAAACAAAAAGTCAGCCGCATTTCTAATGAAAGATTAATTTATATCTCGGGGCACGCGGTACGCTTAGCAAATGGAGATCTCAATCAGTTGATGTCAGAATATTTTCAATCTATTTTAGAATTCTAAAGTTTAAATCTGACTTTGAGAATCTATTTGACCACTTTCAAAACGTTTCTTTTCAGAAGCGCCATTCTTACAATTTCTTCTTATTTTCTCACCTTTTGTAAGATCATCTTTCTTGTAAAAAAATATAACAGTCCCTGATTTTCTCTGTCCTCAAGAATAAGCCAAATTTCTAAAAGAACTCCTCAAAGAAAAGGACTTTTAAGTATTCATCCCTTTTCTCACACAAAAGAAGGCTGATATTCTTAATTATTTAACTATAATCAAAAACAGAAGCTTTTAGAATATTTTGTATTGAGGAGATGGGCCATCTCAGATGGCTATTTTTCTTACTTTTCTGAAGAGTTTTGAACGGCGGTATTCGTTGATTTCCTCGAAACAGCGTTAATCGTCTCTATCAGCCTGGATGTCCGTTTGCCCATATTGCCCTGTTCTTTCTTGTGGAATGAGTTCTCTTTGAAAGAGCTTTGAAAAGGGGCACATCCGCAGGTCCACAGTGACATTATTTTCTTTCGCATAAATGTTTAACCCGTACTCGGGTAGTAGACGCGATTTGATTACTTAAAAACGCAAATCACCTTTCAAAGCTCATTTCTTTCGAGGATTCAGGCGCCATTTGCATCCGCAGCTGTTCAATAGGAATACCTTCATTGGATAATTGTTGCAGCCAGTGATAAAATTATAAATTTAGACTGTCAAATCAAATTTGTCATTCAAGGATCCACGTTTTAGTTCTTATTTTTAGTCATTCCGCCAATCACATTGGGAGTAATTAACCATTCCTTTTATAAATGCGACTTTTTCCATCATTCTTTGGCAAATTTAACACTGAGTTTATAATTATGATTATCAAAATTGTTTTTCTTTTTCTGAAATTGTGCTAAATTTCCTGTCGGAATAAGACGAATCTTCCTCGTTGTTTGATTCCATCATATTTCTCTACCTCTGTGGGATTGTTTTTTTCTTCGTTTTCTGCCAATTATTTGTTAATTTTAATGAATTCGAATTAGTGGTGCGAACCGACGGGAGACGGCTGAGATCGGATAAAGAATTCAAATCTGAATGCTATTGATGAAAATCAGTCGATAGCTACTGTACTCTGTTTTATATAAAACGCTTATTACTGTATATAAATCACGGTCAGATGATTTATAGCCGTTTGAATTTTAACCGTGGCTTGATGAAAGTAGATCCTACTTTTATCGCCTTCTCTTGTCTGGTTATATTCTGGAGTTAAACAGACTCTATTGAACTACAGTGTTGTTTAGTATTTTATGTGTTGGCATTAGAGTGAAGGGCTCTCTTTAAACTAACAAGTAATTAAATATTTTAAGCACGAACATTGCTGCTCTTTAATTTGATCGACGGCTGCATTCAACGAGCCATTCATGAACTGTCTTAAAATCGTTACTGTGCCACATTTGACGGGTTATTTTGGTATTCATGCATTTTGATGACTTCATTACTGCAAATTATTGCCAATAAATGGTGTCTGGTTTTATTCAGCCATAGAATTGGAAAATTCGCATTATTTTCGAGGAGTGTTTATATTTACCCCACATGAGTTCTTTATGTACAATTTATGTGCTCTTGCTCGAAAATATTGACATTGGCCGAAAATGGAAGATTTCGAAAATAGTTCATATTATCCTCATTTGGTTTTGCGATGCTTTTTAACTGGAAGAGAGCAGCTACTCAGGCGGCAAAGAAAACATATGATTATGTCATCGTTGGTGGCGGTTCTGCAGGCTGCGTTTTAGCAAACAGATTGACTGAATGTGGATCAAAGTCAGTTCTACTCTTAGAAGCGGGGCCGAGCGATGTGCCCGTTCATAACAAGCTCGGAAAATTGATCAACTGGACGATCCACATGCCCTCGGCGATGATGTACAACCTGAACCACGACAAGTACAACTGGTTCTATCACACGGTCCCGCAGCCAAACGTCAACAATCGAAAGTTCTACTGGCCAAGAGGCCGAGTTCTTGGAGGATCAAGTTCGCTCAATGCAATGGTTTACGTGAGAGGGCATGCAGAGGATCAAAATAGATGGGCGAGAGAGTGCGGTGACGAGACATGGAATTATGACCATATGTTACCTTATTTCAAAAGAGCTCAGTGCTTTTACAAAGGTGGTGATTTATATCGAGGGGGAGATGGACCTCTTCACGTAACTGAGGGGTCTTTCGAAGCAACACCCTTATTTGATGCATTTATCGAAGCTGGCGTTCAAGCCGGTTACCCGAAATCAGATGATCTCAATGGCTTCCAGGTTCGATACAAATTAATATAGAATACAATTGATTTATAGCAAGAGGGCTTCGGTCGACTACCATGTACCGTAAATATTAACGAAGGAACAAGATGGAACACTGCATCTGCATATTTGAGGCCTGCTCTCAAGCGGGAAAATCTCGACGTTCTTACGAGCACCTTTACTGATAAGGAACTTGGGATAATTTTTTTTTTTTGTCAATTAATCATACCATTATCCGGTCATAGATCCTCTTCAATCGCACAACTGCTACTGGCGTTCAAATTTCTCACTTCAAAAGAGCAGACAAAAAGGTAGAAATTAACGCTGGTGAAGTGATTCTTTGCTCTGGAGCGATCAACTCGCCACAACTGCTCCTTCAATCTGGTATTGGAAATGCGGATGAGCTCAAATCTGTCGGAGTAGAGCCGCGCATCAACTTGCCTGGTGTTGGAGAGAATCTCCAGGATCATCTGGAGGTTTATGTTCAGCACAAGACGACCAGGGGCAAATCACTTTATAAATACCAGCATATTCCTTGGATGCAGGCTATCGGGGTTCAGTGGTTTCTTCAAGGCAAGGGAGTTTGTGCTGGGAATCAAATGCATGCCGGAGCTTTCATCAGATCACGGTTTGAGTTTACTAGATCAGGATTTTCATTTTTCATTCTAGCGCCGATCCAGAAATTAACCACCCAGATATTCAATTCCACTTCCTCCCGTCGCAAGTAATTGACCACGGTCGAACTCTACCAAAAGAAGAAGCTTTTCAAGCTCATGTTGGCACTTTACGGGCTAAGTCCTTCGGAAGCCTCAAGCTCAAGTCAAACAATCCACGTGATCATCCTGTTATTGATCCACGGTTTGTTATTAACCTCAACTCAAATTTCAAAGCATCTTCAGATATTTCACGGATCCAGTTGACTTGCCCGATCTCGTAGCTGCTGTTAAACTTACTCGAGAAATTTTTGCCCAAAAGGCAATGGACGAGCATCGTCTCGAAGAAATCATCCCTGGAAAAAAATATCAATCCGACTCAGAGATCGCCGAATGGGTCAAAGAAGCCGCCGAGACAGCGTATCATCCTAGTTGCTCCGCAAAAATGGGAAAAGAAGATGACCCGATGACAGTTGTTAACTCAAAATGCATGGTCATGGGTGCTCAAAATCTAAGAGTCGTTGATTCTTCCATCATGCCTTCTGTTGCCTCAGGTAAGAATAGAGCTGAGGTCTAAAAAAAAGTTATCATTCAGGAAATTTGAATGCACCCACGATTGCTATCGCTGAAAGAGCATCAGATATAATTAGAGGCTTCGAACCATTGGTGAGTCGTAATTGAGATTGAATGCAATATCTTTATACGTCAATTAAATCTTTAGCACATGCCAAATACACCTGTCTTCAAATCGGATACCTCAAAACAACGATAAACGCGTCAAGAAAAAATACTGCTTCAGTCTATTAGTAATAGACTATTACCATTATATCAAAAATTAAAGCAAACCGAAATCGAATAGAAAACATCCATTATTCTTGCTTATTTTGTTAAATAAATATCATCTTCGTATCTGCACAGATCTTTAGTTTCTGAAGCTTCGAATTGTTCGGACATCGTCGAACTCCGCGAAGGGCAATTCATAATCATCCACGGAGTCAAACTCGTCGGTCAGCGTAGAGGTGCACGTGAAAGCCACCAGTAGCCTTAATGACATTTAATGAATATTAATTTTGTATGGCGTACTTTTTCAACTTCTTAGTAACGCTTTGTTTTCTTCTGAGATTCGCGCCGGATGGAAGAACATCATTTCTCTTTGACATTTAAAAAAAGAACTGATTGGGTTCAAACTGTTTTTAAACCCTTTGCAGTGAAGGTGCGTGGATTAAAAGAATGAAATTGGGCTAAGCAAAAGGTAATTTGTGGTCTAAAAGAGCAGGGATTATTATGTCAACTCATTTCTATTTCAAGAAAAAACAAATTGAACTCTTCCTATTAAATATTCAAGAGCCTCCAGCAGGAAAACTGAAATAAATATCTCGCTTCAAAACATTCAGTATCATTTTTCTAGAGATTTCATTTATTTAATTCTAATCAGTAGAAATCAGTGTCTTCAATGTCTCTAACGCTCATAAATCCAGACCAATTTGCCGCTGAGAAGCTTCTTCCAGGAGTTATCGGAACAATCGGCCTGCCATAGACATCCTCTCTTCCTTCATCGAGCTTTTTTGAGAAATAGCGGAGGATTACCCACATTATAGACGGCCCTATCGGTTATTAAAAATCAATGGCCGTACCATAAATGCTTACCTATAAGAAAAAGGTTGACCATGAGACCAGCAAGAATATAAAAATCAAAGTTCGTTTTCTGTCCACAAATATCACTCATCGTCCTGTTTTATTTTCTCGTCGACAAAAATGGACGTTCATTGAAAAGGAAGAGTACCGAAGAGTAAGTATGAAACCAGCTATGTTGCGATTGATGAATAATTTAGCGCAGCTGTCTTCCCGGTCGAACCACTCGATATCAAAAACATTTTCAGCTCCGTATTGCTTGATATATAAAATTATCTGCATGATGAAACTCAGAGTTGATCAGTTTTTATGGGAGGTTTATTTGACTGATAAGAATCGAAGATCAAGGTGAGAGAGAAATGGACGAAAGGTTTCAATAAGAAGTCGGTGTATGTGTGTTTTTAAGTCTTTGCTCGTGAGTTGGTTGAAGTACTAGAAGAGTCGGACGACATTTTCTCGTCTTTTTCAGCATGTTGAAAAATAAAAAAAATAATTTGGGGCGATTCAAAATTGATTTATTTCTGCAAAAGTCTTTAGAATCATGTTATGATTATCTTTCAACAGTTCCTGAAGTTTTTCTGGCATGTTGGGCATCGTTTGTTGAGAAAGCGGCCGAAATTGTCATCTCTCCAATCACGGCCAATCATCATGTGCCTTCCCAAACGGTGACGCTGGTATAGGCGAGGTATTTGACGACCGGCCGCCGGTGGGTTTGCGACGTTATCCGCCAGAGGATCTGCAGCATTGTTGTCTCCTAAAGATTCTTTTGGGAAGAGACTTTGACAACTTTCTTACCTTCTGCGCCGGCAGGTGCAGGTTGAGCATCGGCAGCAACGGGATCCCCAGGGACATCAAGTCTCACGCCATAAGGACGGGCTGCTCTTCTTGCAATTCGCGCTTGGCGGGGACCCCGTCGTATTTCATCAGCTGCCTGCCGTAGTTCTACTGCCATTTGTCGTGCTTGTTCTGCTTCTCGCCGTACTCCATCAAACCCATTGAATAGACGTTGTTGCTCGTCGAGAAAAGCATTGATTCGATGACGGCGTCTTTCTTCTCTATCATTGTTGGCGTCGTCTTTACATGGTTCCTCCTTGTTTTCAAGAAAATCGAGTAACATAAAGGGGAGCCGTTCCTAGGACTCTGTCAATGCAGTCTTTGCAGAAACGATGGCCACAGTTTATAAGACACACCATGTGCTTTTCTTCCGTGCCACAGATCTCCTTGCAAATCGGACACTCAAACTCGCCAACTTTTCCCGGCTTTTCGTCGGGTTTCTGTTGATCTCGCTTGTATCGAACTTCAAATGTTCGGATTCTTTCTTCTGCACTATCGAGGGATTTTTCGTTCGTTTCAATCTTCTTGTTGATAGTCTCGTACTTTTTATCGAGGACATCTTTCTGGGCACTTTTCAATTGAATCTCAGCGGCTGTTCGATGTTTTTAATTGAATTCTTGGAATTAATATTCATTTATTTATTCATTCATTATTTTATTAAAACATTCCTAGTTCGTCGATATCGCGCTTCAATCGTTGGCTAGTCTGTCGATCAAGGAGAAGTTCGTCATTGAGGATGGCAATCTGAAAATTATAATTCGTGAAACTCATTATAAGACAAAGAAAACATTGCTAAATTGGCTTACCGCATTATAATCAGCTTCCATTTCATTCAAGGAAGAATTCAAGTTGTTGAGAATAGCCTGTCGACGATCACGAAACTCCTGTTGAATGTTCGCATAGTTTTTCACGTCTGAAAAGCTCATGAATTGATAAAAACAAACCACCGCTAGTTACCTTGATTGTCGAATTCATCAGCTGGAGATGGGGGATTGAACGCGTGGGAAGGGCCAGGCATGTCTTCGTCTCGGAGATCTTCGTCGCTCATGTCGTTCCTCGCCTGCTTAAAATGAAAAATCTGCTTGTGAAGGGGAAAACAGCCCGGCTGCGGATTGGGCGCGCCGATTCTGAGTCATTTTTCCTTTCCAAGACGAGAAAAACTTCGATTTATTACAGCTCTCTCGCAGCGTTCTCACCTCAATGACGATCACGTCCGGATCAATTTTCATCCGCTTCGCTTCCGTCTCTTGGTTCATCTTCAGTTCTCTCTTGGCAAGTTCTATTTTCTCGTGATTTATTTTCGTTCTCAGAGCTGGCTTGCGTCCCATGAGTGTTCTCTCGGGCGCGCGCGAGCGTTATGGTCTCTGATTTGGAATTCGCGATGAAAGGGAGACCGACTAAAAATGACGAATGCTGACAAAATTATCGTTTTTCTCGGCAATTATCAATGGGCTGTTTATTTTTATGATCGAAAATATCGGCGTGATACCTTTTTTGACGAAATGATAAAGTCTGATAAAGTAGAAGTGCGGGAAAATAAAACGCGTTGGAATTTATGAAAAATGTGACTGACTGTAATGATTGTGACTGTTCTGGTGTGCCAATAAAATACAGATGGCGCCATCATCTGGTAACGCGTGTTAATCAGAGTATGACCGGAAAATGGGTTTTTATAAGTCACCTGCTTGATAAGAGCAAAATAAATTAGGTCGGTTTCGTTTAACGTTTATTTCTTCGAAAATTAAATCAACAAAGATTCTGGTTATCCGTGACTTGTTACTTGTACGTTATAAAAGTAAGTAACAAATTAAAGATCAACAATATTTGTAACTATTTAACGCTGCATCAATAGAGAAAACTCCCCGGTCAGAAAATTTTCTGTAAGGTTTATTCGTCTAATATGAGATCGAAGATAAAGGTGACAGTGTGATGCGTAAAAGGTTTCAGTAAGGGAGCGTTTGATTCTGAATCGTTGTTCGTGGATTGATTGGCGCACTAGAAGAGACGAACAACATTATTTCGGCTGTTTCAGAGAGTTGACAAAATGTCTTTAGATTGATTTGAACTTTAAGAAATTAACCCCTGAAATATGTTAAGATGATATTGTCAACAGTTCCTGAAGTCTGTCTGGCAAGTTGGGCAGCGCTTCCTGTTGTAAAGGCGCTGGTTGAAACGGGGATCGTATGCACGAGCCCGCACGACGTGTGCCGGTCCTTGGTTAAATTGGGGAGGAAAGTACAGATTATGGCGGGGTGGAGGATTTGCTGGTGGATTGACGGCAACATTTGCCACTGGGGCCGCAGCGTTGTTGTCTCCTAGAATAAGCTACGAAAATATTTTCAAACCCTTCTTACCTGCTGCACGGGCAGCCGGTGGTTGAGGAACGACAGCAGCGGGTCTTTGTTGCCGAAAGAGAAGATAACGATTGGCCGCATTTCGTACCTCTTGTTCCAATCTTCGTCTCTCTTGTCGAACCTCTTCTGCATCTCGTCGTAACTGATCTCGTCGGTTTACTCCATCAGGGACTCCTGCGCCATTGAAGAGAGCATTGTCTGCTTGGCCATTCATAGGCGCATCATCTGTTCATGGTTCTGCCTTGTTATTAACAAATTTATCAACAGAAAAAAGAACCGTTCCTAGGACTCTGTCAATGCAGTCCTTGCAGAATCGATGGCCACAGCTCGAAAGGCACACCATGTGCTTTTCCTCCGTGCCACAGATCTCCTTGCAAATCGGGCACTCGAACTCTCCAACTTGTCCTGGTTTTTCTTCGGGCTTGGGCTCAACTTTTTTGTAGCAGACTTCGAATGTTCGGATTCGTTCGTGCGCCTTGTCGAGCGATTTTTCATTCTCGTCAATCCTCTTGGAGAGTTTCTTGTAAGCATTGTCCAAGACGTCTTTCTTGGCAGTTTTTTGCTGAATTTCAGCATCTGTTTGAGTTTTTCACTAATTACTAAGAATATTCGAGCGAAAATAAATAAAGACCCTTCCTAGTTCGTCGATGTCTCGCTTCAGGCGTTGGCGAGCCTGACGATCAAGGAGAAGTTCTTTGTTTAAATCGGCGATCTGAAAATAATTTACTCCACGAGAAAAGCTAAAATTTGCTGATTTGAAATTTGATTTGAATTACCGTGTAGTAATCGTTCTCCATCTCCGTCAAGGATGTAGTTACGTTGTCAAGAATAGCCCGTCTACGCTCACGAAATTCTTCGATATTCCCGTTATTGTTCAGACCTGAAAATATGAGAATGAAATATTAAAAGTTATCGCTAAATTCTTACCTTGATTTTCGAGGTCTACGCTTGGCGGTGGAGGAATGTACCGGTTGGAAGGGCCAGGGATGTCGTCATTGGGAACATCTTCAATCCTCATGTCTTCGCTCGCCTCCTGAAGCCAGAAAGGTGAAAAATACCTGCTTCAAGCAAGCTGCTTGTGAATAAAAATTGCTCGATTGCGGATTAGGCGCCTTTAAATCGATGAGTCATACTTCCCTTCAATCCCCGAGAAATCTCTATTTTAACGCTCTTACCTCGATTTCAATCACCTCCGGATCCACCTTCAACCGTTTGTTCATGTTAGGCATCTCTTGTTTGACTTTCACTTTTCTCTTACACTTGCGGCTCGTCTTCTGTTTCATCTCTCAGGCGCTCGGTAAAGTTATGGTTTCTGAATCAACTTTTGGGATGAGAGATTCAACTGAGAATGATTGACTTACAAAAAATGCGAGCTTATTCCGCTAGTTCCGCGATGCCTTTTTTGAAGATTTTCTCCAGTTGAAACAGAAGTCTAGAAAAATTTGAGAAAAGGGAAGTCTCGAAATTTGCAAAAAATGTGACTGAAGTGACTGTGATCACTTCGGCGTTTCAAAAAAGGGAAAACAGGTGGCGCCATTATCAATGACCTGCGGCGCGTGCTAATCTGGTTTTGACCGGAACCTGTATTTGCATGAGTCACCCGCTTGATAAGGGCAAAATGATATAACCCAAATTGATGCAATCTTCACAACTCGAGTTCGTAACTTCTTCCATTATTGAACCAACAAAGATCCAAGTTGTCACACCTCCAATAAGTCTCGCACATCTCAGACATCGAATATTCTGTCTGAGATTATGAAAAAACTTTTATTATTACTGTTTTGCTTATCAGAGTGTGCCCGCTGTCCTGGCTCTGATTTCGAGAAAATAAGAGTAAATGGGGTTGATAAATGCGTAAAGCCCTTTATCTACGATATTTCGAACCCGATTTTTAACCGACCAAGAACCTGGTCAGACTCGGAGAAAGAATGCCAACGAGTTGCTCCAGCAGGTAATTGAGAAAACCAAATTTTTCTTTTCAAATTTTCCCAGGAAAAGATGGCCATCTTGTGTCAATTCACAGCGAGGAAGAACTGCAATCTATTCGCAATCTCTTGGGCTCAGCAGAGACAGGCAAACAGTTCTGGATCGGCTTGAGAATGAACTGTCCTACTTGCGGCTTCACCTGGTCGGACCACACTCCCGTTGACTTCGAGATCTGGCGAGATGGAGAGCCGAACAATGTCGGCGGTGTTGTTTGGGGATGAAAATTTTTAGAAGATAATCTGATTATTTTTCGATTTCCGTAGAATTTTAAGATTTTTATCTTTTTTACAGAACACTGCACTGACATGGTTGAGGGAGAGTGGAACGACAACAAATGCGATGAGCTCTCAGGTCCTGTTCCCATCAGATAAAGGATTATCTCTTTGAAACATGAATCATCCGGAAACACTGATTAGCTTACATTTGCGAGTACTACCTCGACGGAAGTCCCCATCCTGATCTACCTAATCCCCCCGCTGGAGGATGTCCATCCGGCGACTGGATTCACTATGCAGGCATGTGCTACAAGTTCAAGCTCAAAAACGGCTTCTCTGGAGATAAATACTCACGGCAAACATTCGATCAAGCTGAAAAAAGCTGCCAGACACTTGGAACTGATGCGCATTTGGCGATTCTTCCAACGGTATTTGCTATTCCAGTTTTCTGACTGATTATCTTTTTAGCCATTTCACCATGCTTTTGTTACATCTCTTGTTGATTCTGATGTTTGGATCGGAGTAATGTCTGATTCTGAGATCGGGAAGCACTTTCAATGGGCGAATTCCGAGCCACTATTGTACTCGCAATGGCGTCTGTTACACCCCACTCATCACGAAGCTGGCCCTAACCAGGATAAAGTGGCCACAGTTCTCCATCCTTATTACAAGGCAGGGGATGACTACGGTAGAATGGCGTGAAAACTGTAATACTTTAATTATTTAGCAATGCTCCCATCGGTATCGTCGATTTACCCTGGAGATTGGGAAGATGTCGCTGGAGGAGTGACAAACACTCAGTATTCCGTTTGCTCGATTCCAGCGAGCAGTTCGCTGACAAACAAGGGCTCCTATCCTGATAAATATAAACTCAACTGTACATTTGGCTACAAACCGTACTTCAGTGCATGCTACAAAGTTATTACAACTCAGGCTCTTTCATACCAGGAAGCAGATGACTTCTGTAAATCAGAAGGAAAGAACAACAATTGGAACATCAATGGAACCGCTCACTTGGCCTCCATTTGGAATCACTATGAAGACTCGTTTCTTTACTCGCAAGTTTTTGAAGCATTCGGACAAGAACTTGATGTGCCGAGGTCAATTTGGATCGGGCTTTCTGTTAATGGGGATGAAAACAATCCGAGCTTTGTCTGGGATGATAATCTACCAGTCGACTACACGAATTGGGCAGCCCATGAGCCTGGAATTCATCAAGGTTCGAGTAAATTCATCATTTATAGCAATGACGGAACCATTTCAGGAGACAACTGTGCTTTTGTTGAGAATTTTATGGAATTTCCGAAGAAATGGGAATGGAAAATGACGAACAATTGCGAGGCGAGAAAGAATTTTGTATGTAAACTTGACAAGTACACGATTACTCCTCCTGACGAAAATGCCCCATCTCACCTGGGGAGCCCTGTCGAGTGTGAAAATGGATGGACATCACTAGACGGAGGACTTGACTGCTTCAGAACTTTCGGAAAAGAAGTTGTTTATGCTGAGGCTCGTAGGAGTTGCTTGTCTTTTGATGCTTCTGTTGCTTCTGTTCATGATTTGGTAAGGAAGAATCATTGAATTTTATCCACTTTATCGCTCAGACGACGAATTTATTCGTAAAAAGCCTTCTGAGTACAGACACAGGCGCTCATTTGAAGACGGCCTGGATCGGCGCTGAAAGAACTCAAAGTGGAGCGTGGAGGTGGATGGACGGGTCAAACTTTGTCTTCTCAAATTTCGTCGTTGAAAACGACAACGAAGAAAATGCAGTTATGCTTGTGGATGGGAGATGGGAGTCTCAGGTTTTTTGATTCTATAAAAAGCGTTCCTAACTCATTTCAAGGAATCAACGGCTGTTCATGGATACATTTGCAGCAAAATGAAAAAGTTTGAGAATTGCCTCGCGACTGCTGAGATCCACCACTGTCCAGGTTCTAATTCTGGTACAACGGAACAGAGCTGCTACGGTAATTGATTGAAGGAAGCTAGAAAAGTGTAATTGAGACATTCGTAGATTTGGGCTGTTGTTGGGATACAACGAAGACTTCTCACTGCTTCAAGGCATCGGCTGACACGAGAAAGAGCTCAGAAGGACACACTGCTGGTTTTGCTGCAGGAATTACTGCCATGGTTTTTATTTTAGCGTACGCTGCAGTCGGTGGTGTTTATTTTTTTGTGTTACGAAAATAAAATATTCATGTTACCAAATGTCATCGTTCAAGGTCTTCATTCAGAGCTTTTTCTTTGAACTACTGTTTTGCCTACTTTGTAGGCTAATTGGAGCCGTTTTTGTTCATTTTAGAAAAGATCCATCCGCTGACAAGGACAAAAACGGAAGCATTCGTCAATCATCAATTCCAAATTCAATGAACAAGTTATCCACTTACGCAAAGAGAAACACACGTTTTTCCGTACGGCTGACTTGATAAAATATTATTTTCTAAAGGTAATTTGTAAATAGAAACAAAAACACAGATTTATTAAGGGCCGAGAGTAAATACAGATTGTCCAAAGGTCGAATAATACGGACGGAAGTCCCAAAACGATAGTATCATTCCCTTGTTGTGTGATCAACGTAAGACGGAGCGTTCTGGGAGAGCTTTCGGGCTGTCAAGAATTCACGCCGCGGGCGATACCGAAGTCGTTCCCAAACAAGAGCAAAGATATCGCCGATACGATATCAGACAACTGTCAAAGTTATTCTTTCTTTTCGGTGAATGGCTAATTTTTAACTCTACTTACTCTCCTTTCAATGAGAGAATTATAAGAGTGGACACAACAGAGAGTTCTTCCTGCAGCATTGTGCGAATTGGAGAACCCGCTCAGCAAATACTTGACTCAGAAAGCCCTCAACGCACGTAACATCGCTGAAGCACATCCTTAGATAATATTTATAAATATAAGACGCAGAGCTGTCCTATCGACCCAGAGAAAGGTACATAAAGAATGGCTGAAAACAATCAGCTTCGATCACGAGATAATATTTGTTGGAAACATCTACCATTCATAAAATTGTCAAGTATTTGAATTCGAAAATATTGCGTCAATGAATTTCATAACCCCGGGTTATTTTAATTGCCCTCCCCTCCTTCGCGGAAATACTCGAGAATTTATAGCAGTATCACGAGAAGCCTGTGTATTGATATTTTCTCTTACTTCCGAGTTTTTACACAGAATATTATCACCTTCTGTAAATGTGATCTACTGCTGTATGAGATAGCTTGAGCCCACAAGGGCTACCTCGCAATTTTTAAGGCGACGTCCTTGAGGTTCAAAGCCTGAGCGCGAGAAATTTTACTCCTTGTTGACATCGCGCAAATACAGAATGAGATAGAACGTTAAAAAGAAATACCTCTATTCACAGCAAAATTTATAACTGATAAATGAAAAGAGAAGGCTGAAAATCAGAGATTTCTCTTTTTCCCATCAATGTGTGCTTAGCAACTCAATGTTAGGGGTAAAGTTGTCATAACATTTAAATAGCTGCGATTCCTTAATTCCTAAATCTGTGAAAATATTTGCACTCGAAATTCAACAAAGATTACCTGTTTTGCTGACAATGCAAATTTGTTTGGGAAAAGAAGAGAGAACTTTATGTTGTTTTTAGGAACCTCTGATGAAAAAAAGAAGATAGAGAGACAAAAAAAATGCAAGTTTGGAAAAAGTCGTTTGGGAGTCCTCAGGCTGCGATTCTTCAAATAAGTTGCATAGAAAATAGTTTCTTTAATGATTATTCGGATAGAAAAACTTATCACAGCCATTGCATTATTGAATTTTTCGTCAGGGATGTTGAGGGTAGTCCTTCTTGATTTCATAATTGAAGTCATTGACATCATGTCACCTTACCACAAGTTTGTCCAGGATTATTGTTTCTTTTTGATTCAAGCAATTCTAACTCGCCCTACAAGAACCAAACTGATGTAAACCATACATAACATACTGTAACCCAGGATTACTAATGCCACAGCACCTGCTGATTGCACCATTATCTATTAGTTCTTGCAATTCAAGTTGATTAAATTTCCCAGAAGACACACAATTTGTTGAACGATTTATATTTTTTTGATTTTTTCGATTGATTTTTTGGATATCTTTGACAGTTGAGTAAATTTGCTAACGAGTGATTTTTTCATCGCCTGAGAGCGTGAAGGATCGCCTTGAAGAGCTCAGCACATCGAAAATTTGAGCGACGACGGCAATTTCTATCAGGAAAGTAATCGACAGTGCATTTTCTTAGAGAATCATTCAAATGAATTGCTCAATAAGACCGTATCTCGATCGCTTGAAAAAAGACAGTTATTACTTTGATCGGTCTCGACCGCAAAGCCGTCACGATCCGCCGATGCTTTCCGTGTAAGTACAGTTCACTAGAGTTTGACCTTCAGAATTGAATGAATTAACAATTTTTCCACAAATTTATTGAAAAACAACCGCCGCTTTTCGGCGAAAATCGAACGATAATGTAATTGCGTCAATCTTGCCACATAGAACAAAGGCGAGGAGTTCTAGTCTAAAGAAATGGTCTAACAAAAAGACAGATATTCTATTAGGCTTGTAAATAATGCGGGTTTATCCTCAGAGACAACGTATTTTGTAGGAAAACTTTGCGAAACTTCATGTCTCGCGGAAAATTTTGCAATACCTTTATTCCGCAAAGTAATCAAGTTAGAAGAGTTCACGAAACCGCACCGCCGCATAGTCGACCACTCTATTCAATGTCGACCTATCGTTACTGGGCGCATTAACGTCAGCGTAATAATTGTTTTTCGTTTCATTGTGTCTCTTCTTTTTGAATGGTTTTCGGTTTCATCCATGTTCTGCAGAATAAGACAAATCATTCATTGTGCCCGTTTTCTACTGAGCTGGCGATGGAGCAACACAGCTCCGTTTATGCTCTTTTGGATCATTCAGAGTTTGAGAGAGACCGAATCGAGAATAATAGGTTAATTTTTCTTAAGTCTTGAAATATTTGTTTTTTTAGCAAGAAGATAATTTCCTTCTTTTGATGAGATTCTATAGATGCAATTTTCAATCATTTTTTCAGTTTCCAACATAACGAAGAAGATGATTTCCTAAGAAATTTGGCCAAATCCCGCCAGCAAAGTAGAGGTAAAACTGTAAGTCCTCATGAATACTTAAAAAAAGATGCGTACTGAATTTCGACTAGGTCCAAGTCAACGGTATCTGGACGAGTCAACCATTCTGCCAAAAAGTTGCTCTCAAACCGCGACCGCCGTCAGCAAGCAGCTTGGGATTTGCCAGGTTTGCTCGCGAATTAATTATTTTTCAATGATCTGAAGTGCCCCTTACACAATTAATTCACTGATGTTTAAAATCGTTCTTCTCATGTTGGTATAACCTGGCTGGGTTTCATCCGAACTTCCTGAACACCTTAGACCCTATTGTTCAAAATAATATTCTTCTGAATAATTGAGTTTTCGTAATCTACAACAGCCGGGTTCCTTTTGGGCTTCCGGGGCTATTCACTGCTGAAAGAGTCGAATCAGCATTATATTTATCGTCTCATTAGAATACTTCTTTGATTATTTATGGAAGTGTTATTTATTCTCCTTCTTTGACCATTGTTTTTTGATAGACGAATCGAAGAAACTTCTATTTCTTGAAATCTACAGTAGCCTGTTTACTTACAAATTTCTGATAAGCTGGGCTGTCACGTAACGTGACATTTAAAAGCCATTTCTAGCAAATCAAATTTGATTAGAGCTTCTGTATTTGGAAGCATTTCGCGTTTCTATTATCCGGCCCAATTGAAACTTTCACGTCAAATGAAGGCTACCGTTCCGATTTTACTTGACTTTTATTTGACCTTCTCAAGAGTTCGCCCAATAATATTCCAATTTTTGAAAAAATATCTTTGTTGTTGTTGGTACTCTTCTATGTCTCCCAAAGCCCGCTTTTTTCGGGCAAGTATCCTATAAAGATTCAGGGTTCCTAAGATAGTGAGAAGGAGAATATTACTCAAAGGATCATTCTCAAGAATGCCTCAATAAATTAACTTAAGCTCTTGAATCACTTCCTTTCAATATAGATTTTTGAGATTCTCCTACAGAAGAATCTCCGCCCGGTGAAACATGGTAGTCGCTCGCCTTGACATAGAAGGTAAAAGGGTCAATGCACTGCTGGAAACACTCTCCCACTGAGACTCTAGCTCCTGGGAATAAAAGACAACAATTCTAGTTTCTAGCTGCTGCTTCTACTTTATTCGAGAGACAACTGACCAGCCGAGACTGGCACTGCGCGCGCAACGTCCCACTGATCAGTATCAAAGTTCAACGGGTTCGCCCGGAATGCGCTAACCCTTTACCTCCCCTTGATACAGAACAGTGCGACAATAAGTAAGATACAGGTAGAATGTCCCTTTCGGGCTCGAAGGAAACATCAGTAGAGTTGGGACAGTCGGCAGCAGATTTTTGAAGAGATTTTTGTACGGTGATGAAGCAGCAAACATTTTTGATCCTAAGCAGTAGACAACTTCCAATCCCCAAAAAGCATCAGAAAACCCAATTGCCAACACTAGCCTTCGTACTTTTTCTTCGTAGAATCCAGCGAGAGGCGAGATGGACGGAGAAAATTCCGCTTGGGGCAAGGAGTAGACGGATTGGGAGTAGACCTTTGGGGTTTTGGCGAAGCCAGGATCAGGAGCGAAGATGGGATCAGAGATGTTGACTCCGTCGCCGAGCCAGATTTTGGAGCTTCGAATAGAGGCTTTGGCGGAGCGATCGGAGGGAGAGAAGATGGGATCTTTTCGGGCGGCTTGGGCTTGCATGACCGAGATTGTGACTCGATACCCTTACCTCCCCTAGTCACATGATCGTTCTGCTTTATTTTCGACTTGAAGTTTTTGATCAAGTGTGGCCATTCGGTCGAGTCCAGATTTTGATCGTAGTCATCAGCGGAAGAAACTCTTTCCTCGATCGCGGCGACATGGGAACGATGAATAAGGTCGACGGTGTGGTTTGCGTTTTCGACGAGGCAGACCTGCTGGCTGGTAGATTTGAGGGTGGAGGGGCCACTCCATTTTGCGTTAGAGTTTTTGGCCTCTCCGGCGAATGGGCGTAGCTTGACAACTTGGAGTTTCAGTTTCGAAGCTTTGGTGAACTCGAACTGGACGTTTCCAAGTAAATTGTTTATCGAGTAGGAGGAGATATTGCTGTTGCGCAAAAAATCTCGTCCCAAGAGTGCTGGGCGGCATTGGCCATCCATCACAGTTGCGGCGAGCTCAAACTGAGGGCCTTTGTCGAATCTAACCTTGCAGAAGAGGGTTCCCCTTGGAGTTTCAGCTACTCCGCTAATACCGGCTACATCGTGGTTTGGAGCGCTCAAATTGCGTAGCACGTTTTGGGGGATGGCATGCGAAGGTAGAATTGTTGAATATGCGCCAGTATCGAATTCGATGTTGCAGTCGAACGAATCTTGTCCTGACTGAAATGTGGCGCGTAGAAAATATCCAGGGCGAAATTCGACCTTCTCGGTCAGGTGCACTGGAATTGCAGAGAAGAGGGCATGGACATCGGCGAAATTATCGGGTTCCACATTGTAGTGGCTTTTACGCTGCATTTGGTCGGGCTTTTCGGACTTCTCGTCCTTTTTCTGCGCAGAATTCGGGTCCCGATTGTGCCAAGAGCGTTTACCCTCGCCATGTTTTCCATAACCTTGCTTCTGTTTGTTGTTGGATCCGGGTTGAGTTTTGTTGACGTTGATGACATCTGAAGAAACGCGGTTTCGGCGACTGGTCTCGGCTTTGAGTGCGAGGTCATTTAGCGTGAAGGTTTTGTCGATGGAGGTCAGAAGAGCATTGTAAGTGTCGGGCTCCTGGTCTCGGAGGGCTCTGACAGCGAACATTGTTGCCCATGCTTCGTGGATATCTTCCACATTTGGCTCAGCATCGTTGTTAGCGGCTTTGAAGGTTTCGAGAAACGCGGCTTTTGCCTCAGCAAGTTTTGTAGCTAGTTCGGATGTAAAATGAGTCACGGGGCGAGATCGGTCAAAAACGATGTCGCTGACATCGAGCATCAGTAGAAAATGCGAGATTTTTGGGCCATAGTGCTTTTTGAGAAGCCCGATGGCGGCGTCGACGTCGTCACAGGCGCGGAGATCGTTACCGATAAATCGGGCGACGTTCGGAGCTAGTTTGCTGGTAAGAGCGTTGAGGAATATTTTTTCGTCGCCGTCGCGGCGTAGATGACTGTCTTTGAATACCCTCATCGCTGTTATAAAATCCACAAACTGGCCGGGGCTATTCCCTTTGAAGGGCTGGATTGACGCGAAGCTTTTGTAGAACAAGTTGCATATGTGCTGCTCGCGCTGGTCGTATTCCCTGTTGGAATTTTCGGCCGGTGGATTGGCGTATTTGCGTTTTCGGACGAGTTCCTTGTAGTGCAAGAATAGCTCACGTTCTTTTTGGAGCTGTTCTTCCTTCATCGTCTGTAGTGCTTTATCAGTCGGAGCGGATTTGAGCTTCTTGTTGAGATCAGCGATGAAGTCGGCGATTTGTTCCAGGGCGCCGTCGCATCTTTCGACGGTTTCGGGGAGATTAGGCATCTCCGAGATGTACTAGAACGGGCGAATCACTGATTTCGAGGATTTCTACCTTGACCGACCCGTTTCTCAAAGACAAGAATTGTCTAGGAGAAATTTACGGGGTTTGAAGCGCGTATGAAGATTCAATAGCGGTCGTAGCAGTTGATTGATGTCGTAACTTGGCGGGAGATGTGCGATTTGGAAGAGCTGCCGGGCTAAGAAAGGCCGATTTACTGCTTTCGAGCGAAATTACCTCGACCGGTCCGACTAACTGAGACTTTTGAGGGTCAAAGTTAGATAACGGACTTGGAGAGCGCGAAATGTCGTTGAAAATAGGCGTCAGCGGCGGCGCGAGATCGAAATCGCAGCGGTTGCTCAAGTTGACGTGGCAAAACGGTTGGCGCGGCGGTACTTTTCCACACGCGGCGAATACCGGAAGTAAGTACACGAGTGCTGATCCAGGTTCGTAACGGCCTTGGGCGGAGAAAACGCTGGACAGGGTAGAAGACGATCAAAAGTTGGGTAGGGTGGGTGGTATTTGTCGAATCGTAGGGTACTCAGCTGATTTTGGAGAATTTCGGGCGATAAGATGGATGTGTCGAGCGGTAGACAAGGTGGAGGGTTGAAGGTGTAAGTTCTGGGGCCGCGGGAGTTCTCTATGTCGAATGAAGCGTAGTCTCTGACACCACTAAAAGGGTCAATGCACTGCTGGAAACACTCTCCCACTGAGACTCTAGCTCCTGGGAATAAAAGACAACAATTCTAGTTTCTAGCTGCTGCTTCTACTTTATTCGAGAGACAACTCACCAGCCGAGACTGGCACTGCGCGCGCAACGTCCCACTGATCAGTATCAAAGTTCAACGGGTTCGCCCGGAATGCGCTAACCCTTTAAAGGTGTTTCTTGACACGCGGTAGAATCCGTTTTCGTGTGAGCTCCGAACTTCCGCCATCTTTTCATCATTAACCCTGGCTAATCTGGCGAAGCTGTTAGCATAGCTAATCTTTTTCGGCAAATTTTTCCACTCGTCCGCGTTGCTTTGAAATCGCCGAAAAAGACGAAGGACAAAAGACGTTCTCTCTACGTCACTAGGGTATTTAGCAGCTATTAAGAAAACAAGAAGCCATCTCTAAGGCCTGTTTAATCGGAACGGATCTTCAAGTTCTTTTTCGATGCACTTGTTAAAATGTCACGACAGATTGACTTATCGTCCTTATCTTGCGCTACTGGTTTTTTGGCGAGGTAGACTTTGAACAGCGAATTTACGCATATGTCTGATGCAAGCATTGATAAGTATCTGACAGGTCTTTGGCAGATTACAGCTCGGCTCACACCATTTTACGTAAATAGAAATAACCAGACACAACGTAACTTCATAACACAGTTCCCTTTCGAGTCTCAAATTTTAGTTTTTAGAAGTGAAAAAATTTCCTTTTGAATGAAAAGGTAGACATGGAACAGGACTACCTCAATTTGGCATATTAACCACCTGCGGAAATAGTTTTCCATAAAAGTTTTGTCCGTTCTAGCTTCAAGAGCCGGAATGGTTTTATGAAAATCTCCAAATCGCTACGCACTTTCTTCTTTGAACTTGAAGTGGGGTACTTCTGGGGTAATACTATTTGATTTGTTCACATTCTTTTGCGTGACAATTTCGAGATCTCTAACCCTTGACAGCCTCATATTTGTCGAGAAATAACCATCCGAAAGTAATTATCGTTGTTACAACAGTGATTTGAAGGACTCCCAGGAAGATTAAGTCTTCTTTTTTAATTTTGCGTTATTTTAATTATAAAGATTTAACTCACGTTGCAAAAGATCCTGTTATGTAGATTTTATAGAGGTTATGCTCTTTTAGAGGCGCCAGTGTCCGTCCTTGACTTGCCCCGAGGCGAGCGAGGTTCAGGGACGTTGTATCACTGGGAAAACAGGCTGACACCTGTGAGCCGCAAAAATGCCAAATAAATACAACATAAGGTGCGTTATCGACAGACACAGATTTACTGACCTATCATTTTTATTCTCACCCTGGCAAGCTGTTTTTGCGATTGATAATTGTCCCATAAACGATTTAACAAATTTTATCGTAAAAAAGCTTAGCAACGTAACCAAAATAACAAAGTGAAAATAAAAGTTATAACTTAGGGTTAGCCTTATAAGCAAAAAATTCTTATGCTGCATCCTTATGCCGCATAAGTTATGCGTAGTTAATTATTTTATAGTAAAGCCTTGACCGTCAAGGACTGAGCTAAAAAACTTCAATTGTTCAACTTGAATTCTTCCCAAGTCTATAAGAAGTCAATTATTACTGGTAATTATGTTTAAATGTATAACCGTGTGTTTTCACTCGAAAGGGAGAGAGTTCCTGCCCCTCGTTTGGCCTTCATCCCGAATAGTCCCGAATTTGAAAAGCTCCTGGTTATATTATGAGCTCTATATTACTTTTATGCTTATGACATAACTGAAGACTTTCGTGACTTTGAATTTGATTGTGTAAGAAATTGGCGCACGTAAAATTATTTGCGGTAGAATACCGCGGCGCTCATGAGCTTCAAATCTAAACGACCACACAAAAATCTTAAGTTAATCTCTTCAGATCCAAAAGTTGTGCGGACTTATCAACGCTCAAGGATAGTTTATGCAAAAAATATTTTTGTTTTTTGACACCTGAAATCAAGGAAGAGAACTTCTTGCGAAAATGACAATGTACATTTCCAGTTTTTACCGAAAAATTCAAAATGAATTTCACCAAAAAGAAAAACCCTCGCGTCTGATGCAGAGTTATGAGTACTTTGATAAACTGAAAAAGCCGAGAACCGAGCAGTCGTCGAAACGGCAACATTACTCCCGACCGGTTACCACGACGCGCGAGCAAGCGAATCAACTTTCCCCTAGTCCATACGAAAGGCTAAATTCTCCAGCTGAATATACGACAAACAACAGAGGAAGCTACAATTACAATACTAGCTCGAACAATCCTATGGCTGTAAGCATCGACAGGAAGAATCAATCAAACATTTTACGCAGGTCAATGGAAAGACCGAACCGTCTCTCAGGAGCGAATCCTCGACGGATCTCAACCGGCGACACCCACAGAAGTAGATCACAGTTGAGATCAGACTCTGAAACTCGAAAAATGAGCATGCACAGCAGCACGAATACCAGGAAGAACTCTAGGAAGAACTCATCAGTGGAGCAGAATGGGAAGCTGACAAGCAAGCGACTTCAAACGATCAAGTCAAATAAATCTACTGAAGGGTCCAAGACGAAGGTACTTTGATTTTGTCAAAACACATCAAAAAATCAATAGACTCATCTCAAAAATGGAAGCTGAGCATTTTTCGTATTCGCTTTGATGTGACAACTAGCAAACACTTAAATTGTTAAAGAATAAACGCCATAACGAGTTAATTTTGCACAGCTAACCGTTCTGAGAATGATCAAGTTCACAAACGTGCTCAAGAAATAAACAATAATCTTCAGGACTCAGAAGGAGACCCAGTGGAGAATGAAGATCTTTACGTCACGGAAGGCATCGACGACGCTTTTTACAGGTACGTTTTAAATGACCCAGAAATATATTCTATGCACCGAGTATTACCCATTTGACTTCTGAAACATCAAAGTCATCGGAGACACTATTGACAAATATCGACACTTTCGAGTTTGTTTGGTATCGAGAAATTTGTGTCAGAGTGTAATAGAGGCTATTCGCATTCACCTTGGTCTGTCTTCGAGAAAGATCTCTGCCAGTTCAAACTGAATTTAACCCCGTTCGTCAAAGCTCCGTCGTCAAACATGCTCGAAAAGGCGTGTGTTAGTTCTAACACAGCTTATATTGTCAAAAGACGGTTATAATTCAGCTTTTGAGTTTGAATGGGTTATTATTGAAATTATTATTTCAAATAATTGTTCAGACGCATTCGCTCTTGGGTTTCCGAAGTTGACAAGTGTTTGCGCAGCGGCGACTTTGACCGAAAAGTCGTCATGGATCCATCCGAAATGGACTATCCCGAGGACCCTCCTTATTCGCGCGAAACGTCGGACGGCCTCAACTTCCGCCCCGGCAACCATCATACAGTAACTGTTGTTATTGCGGACGATGGGTCTTAATCTTCTTCAAAGCTTCGTTAGATTTCTACTTTTATCAGCATTCTGTCTTTTATTCAATAGTCAAAACTTAACTTTCAACTATCAAGGTACTGTCTGTACTTCTTCAAGCTATCCTCAAGTTCATAAACCGATTTTAGCTTTTTATAAATTTCATTACTCTCCAGAAAACTTTCACTTCTTTCTGTCTATCGAGATTTTTTATAAGTTCATATCAACACGCGTCAAATGCCAATCTTCTCTTTATGCGAACACAAAAATCGCATTCCTGTAATCTCTGTAAATAATAGCTGAACATACTGTTTAAAACGACAACAATACAATACTATTAAAACAAGCTCAAGAAGCTTTTCTCACATGTGGTCTTGTGACCGTGTCCTCTTTATCGTAGGAAATACAAGTGATTGAAAACATATTTAACCAGCAGTTCATTATTGATCATTATCACATCTTTATCCTTATCTCAGCCAGATGGCTTTTGATAAGGCCCTCATCATAGGGGTTTTCCGGAAGTGCTCTTACGTAACATGTTACTTGAGGTTATAAGTGATTTTATTGAACAATTTTAATTATAAAATTGGCAAATTTTATAATCAAAAAATCATAGAATGCTTCTCATGAGAGCGATGCTGCGTCGCAGTTTCGATTTTCCTGAAATCTTTTTGTGTTTCAATAATCCTTCCGACTAATTGTCCATTTTTTTATATTTAGAATTGAATAAAAACACACTTTTCACGAGATTTTTTAACGAAAAATCTTGCTGTGTCATAAAATGAGCTAGAGTTCATGGGCTGTTTAGGATTTACAGAAGAGCCCATAATGGACTATTGAATTATCGTGTCGTTATGGCCAGTGAGAGTCATTGGCTTTCTCTTATCGCCGTTTCGGGAGTCTCAAGAGCTCTCCCGTCGTCAAACTGTCGCCATGACGGTAGTATTTATTTTTTATTCTTGAATTTTCTCAAGTTCAAAGTCAAAGGCGCTTATTAAAATTTATCGTCAAATCGGATCCAATAAATGTCAGAGTAATGATGAGAAATGATTGCAAGCGCCAAATGTAACATCATTAATGTTTCAAGTTTTCCGATGGAATCAAGGAAGAAAATTCAGAATTATCTCTGCTTCAGGTGGAAACTGAAGTACACGAATTGATGCTAGACACTTATGTTCATATAAATATATATAATATATTTTGATTAAAATGTATAAGCTACAAGTAGAAGATCGTCGGAGAATTGATGAAATCCCCCGGGAACAAACGCGTCTATTGCCAATATAATATAGGTGACATTCTGAGTGAAGAGCATTCTCCTTTGAGATGTCATGACCAAACTTCCATCGCCTCAAATGACGATTCTCATTAAAAAAATGACCGAAGAAAGCATCACCAAACTTTGGCTGTCCCTTCTTTCAAACTTTAGTCAGAAAACTAAATCAAGAATCAACGAGCACATCAATGAGTTGCACTCAAGATCACTAACCGCACTGCTGAAAACAGAAAGACCCACGTTGAAAATCAGAAATTTATGTTGGACATGAGTTTAACTATGATGAGAACAGTTGTGCCTTCAATAAAATAGCGAGGCCTTAATAAGAAACCTAAACTTAATTTTGAAAGATAGCATTAGCAGTTCATTTAAAATTCGAACAACGTTGGTCAAACAAGCAAAAGTAAAAAGCTCTTGAAAATTAAAGGAAAAGGAGACTTGACTACTGCAAGTAAATTCTGTTACTCGTGCGCCTCCGTTTAATATTTATAGAGAATTAATTCATCTGTTTCTTCACGCTCATCACAGAATTCTTTGACTAGGTAGATTTGCTCCAAAGAGCAAAACAAAAAGACAGTTTCAAGAAAAAGCCAAAAGAGAAGACATGCGTTTCTTGTGGAGTTTTATGTTTCTGCTTTTGGTAATTTTAACCTTGATTTTTCAGAAATGTAGAATAAAAATTTGCGCGTTACGAATCGTACGCGCCGAACTTTAGACTTCCTAATTTAATTCAGCGCATTCAGGGCGTTTCTGTATCTGGATTCTCGCGAAGGCAAAAGTATTTACTGACTTGTCGATATTGCGAAAAGACTAATCATAAGGAACGGTTGATATTTTTAAATAAGAGAATCAGAAACAAAGAAGGGTAAGACCTAAATAATCGTTGTAGGTTGCCCCTTAATTTTTAATCCCATTCAAAAATGGTCAATTAATGAAATTCTCATTTTCTTATCAACCTTGAAATGAGGCAAGAACATGTCAAAAACTCGCTCGCACCACTTTTTGCCAAGACCTGGAAGAAATCTACGCAAATCTGCGTCTCCTCGGCTGAACCACTCTCAACAATCAACAAAAAAAAAAACACTTTTTAATGAACTCATTCTTAATTTTATTTACAGAAAATATACACTTGTACGAATAAATCAATCGTATTTCTTTACAAAAAGCAACTCGTCGCAACTTGATTCACGGCTTTCCTCGCTGCTTTCAAAAGGGAGGCTACGTTGCGAACTGGAGACGTTTCAATTGAGAAGAGGGAGCTAAAGTCTTCGCAGTTTATAGAACATCCTCTGCGTTCCAGTAGATATTCAACGTAGCTCTTGAATTTGACAAATTGATGGCCATGGTCTTTGTTCGAAGTTTCTTTGCTGAATTTTTAAGTGAGCATTAACGTCAATTATAATTTGCAGAGGTCGAGAAATAAACTTTCATCAAGAATCGATTAAAGAAAATACAATTCAAATGATTGAATAAGCAAGTTAATCGAAACGAGAAAAGCATGAGTGACACAAATAACTAGACGTTTTGACGTGCATGATCGACGAGTTACCTTTTAAATACTTCAACAGCATAGCGCAGCTTCACGTTTGTGTCGAGCAGGCACAGCATTCTACCGGGCAAGAATCGCCCTTTACTGGGACTTACCTCCGAATCCGAACGAGCGAGTTGAGAAGAACTGTTCAGTTTTTCTCCCCTTCTCATTGCCGATTTAATTGCTGCAAATGCATCTGCAGAACATTGCCCAGATACTGGCTCCACGGCAGTAAGAAGATCATCTGTAACGCGGTCCAATTCTTTTCCGATCTAATCAAAAAATTAAAACGCGGTTTGTCGAAGACCCTTGTTTTTAGGCGACAAAAACTGTCCTTCATTTTGGAACACAAGTCGCATAATTCACAAAGGTCTTAATTTAATAATTTTTGTCAAATATATGCAATTTTAAAGGACAATTCAGAATTTAAAGCTTTTGGAAGAACACCGGAAAATTTAAATTTTCAAAGGTCGGAAATTTTGACACCTTGTTTTTAAAAAATTTTTGACGTGTATTTTGTGCACGTTTGCTAACAAGATCGTACGGTGAGAATCATATCGAGCTTGAGTTTAGCTGAACCGCAAGGAAGTTCTGTAGAATTTCATGCATTTTAGAATTCTGAATAAATTCCGAGTCATATTATTCTTTCCGGAAAGCTGTTGGTTACATTCGTAGAGAACTGGCTTGTCCTCCTGTCCTCTAGTTACTGAGTTAATGGCCGATTAGGTAAATTAGTGACTGTTTAATAATAAATAAACAAGACAAACACTGTTTTGTTATTACGAGATCGACCCTGCTAATTGCTGTTTTTTGTCTTTTAGATTCTAACCACGGTATTCGGAATGTTAGTCATGACCGGAAGATTTTGCGGCAGTTTAGTAGCGGTATCTCAAAAATTAATAGCAGTTACATTTTTCTCAAAATTGTTTTGAGGCGTTTTTAAATATCTATGTCCTTCCAAGTAGCAAAATTAAAAGCAAGAGAGTATTGAAATTAATATAAAATCAAATCTCACCTCAAGAGAGCATCTCGGCCGCAAGTACTCGCCAAGTTGGTACACTCTGATTGCCAATTCACACGCTGGTGAATTTTGAGGCATCCTAATCAAATCACAAGGGACCTTGTTTTTTGACAAATTGCACTCGAAGGGAGCGCTTTCGAAAATCTCCACGGCTCGGTTGAACTTTTCAACTGCCACGCTCTCGTTGGAGACGAGCAAAAGTGAGTCCTGGAAAGTGTTAGAATTTTTAGGGCCGTACTTTGTCGGCGAGCAAAAGCCCTCAACAGTGTTATCGATTTGAGGTAATTCGTCAACAATGCCTCGATCACTGCAAGGCGTAAATATCAAGTCCTTTAATTTGTTAAGTTGCTTTTGCCACTTTGTTTCGTACGCGTCTTTGCCGCATGCGTCAAAAACCATGGCGGCAGTGTTCGCAAATTCTAAATAAAAATCCTCCGCAGAGCGAATTCGCTTGTAGCGAAGATTCTTGCAGGGCAAACTTTCGACGACATAGATACAGCTTCGATCGCCCTTTCCAGCGGCGGCCAGTCGGCTAGAAAATTTCTAGTTAGAAAATGACAAAATTGTGGACTCGGTTGATCATAATCTGATTCGCGAACGTGCTCAAGTTTGTTTTCACTGCCAAATTCGCGGTTGAGAGATTTTTTGATCACATTAGCTTAAGAAAATTAACACACCTGAATTCACTAGCAATCTCGTTATACTTGAACACAATCTCCGTCCGGCGGCAGCTTCCGCTCGCGAGACGGCCTAACTCGGGGGTGGTGCAGATTGCGAAGTGCTTCAAATCGCATTCTCCTGCGCTCGGTTACACAAGCGACGCCTTACGAGTACGTAATCGATAAATTCTCGACACGTTCTGAACTTTCAATAATGTTTACCGTGACGGTTTTGATTTGTAACCGGTCCTTTGCGTCCATAAAGATTGTACATCCAATTATAGGGGCATTTTTGTGGGAGTTGTGGCCGTTCATACTCATCGCTGAACATAGGAGTTGAGGTAATAGCTTCGGACGTAGTTGTTGGCGGAGGAGAGGTTGTTGTTGTTGAAGTCGTTGTCGGCTCGTCAGTCGTGTAGGCAGTGCTCGTCGTGCCCGTGGTATCGGTGTGTGTCCACCACTCTGTTGTTGTTGATGTTCCAAGTTCTTCTGTTGAAGTGTAAGAGTCTTCTGTTTCATAGTTCTCAGTCGTCGTTGTGGTTGTGGTTGTAGTTGTTGTGGTACTAGTAGTTGTGGTTGTTTGAGCGGTGGTAGATGTGCTTGTCGTTGTACTAGTTGTTGTAGTAGTTGTTTTGGTTGTGGTTGTGGTTGTTATTGAGATTACAGATGTTGTTGTTTTCTGTGTAGTTGTTATTGTTGTCGATGTAGTTGTCTTGGTCGTTGTAGTCGTAGAAGTTGTTGTTGAATATTTAGAAAAGTTTTTCCCCGGTTTATTTCCGGTTATTGCTCCCGGACGTTTATTTTCTCCGGAACTTGCAATCGTTGGTTGAATTGTTTCTTGAGCGGCAGTGCTTGTCTCTGGAAGTTGCGACTGAATATTCAATTTGTACAATTTGACAGTTTCGTTTATTGATTCTGCGATAATCTGACGCCAATAATTGATCAGTTTTAAAGCTCACCTTGATTTTTTGAATAGCTTCTTGCCACTTCCATCCGAAGTTCGGGACGCATCTTCTGAGAGTATGTGCCAGTTCAAAGTCAAGTCGATCGACTATGCCATGGATCGTGTTATCACTAAATACCGCGGTTTAGATCTTTGATGGCGAAAAAATCATCGTGTGGCTCGTGAACTTCCTCTGACATAATCAATGTTAGAATGGGAATTAAAGTGGTCTAGACTCCGGAAGATTTCAAGAGCAAGTTAATTTCTACGTGGAAAGGTTTATGTGACCGAAAGTAAACCATGTTCTTGCAGCATTAAGCCGTGTTGAACAAGAGAAAATCCCACACTTGGATAAAAGCTTTCATCAAAAATTTTTGGAGTTTTTTTTTTGTTTTAAACTTTCAATAAAACTTTGTAACAACTTATTTTGGCAATAAGATAATGCTTGGTAGATGGGGCGAAAGCGAATTCAAGACACTTAGGAACGAACCTGAAAGAATGGCACGGGACGATCGTGGCCGTCTCCTTGCAATAGGGCCGGTAGCGTTGGAATGTCTTAGCAAATGCGAGTAGTGATTTTCCAAATAGTCGAATGTCTTTCCAAATTTGGGTCCGGTCATCGGCGTGCTTCGAATAGCGCGTCAAGAATTCTCCTGGTCGACATAATTTCGGGGAAGGAGTTGATTTAGGAAGATTAAATGCCTTTGGGTTCAGCCCAGGAAGCAGCTCCCAGTTGAAATTGAAGCCGAATCCAAATTTAGCGCCGCCTTTAAAAATTTCATTTTTTATTCGTTTTTCTTCGACTTACCATTTGGACCCCGTATAAATTGGACATTTACGGCCTTATCAGGGAACACGTGATTTGTCTGCGATTGCGAGGATCTTCGTAAACGTCGATTAGCCGAATCATCCCCAAAAAGACAAAGTGGTCCTTAATTAAGTAAGCTCACGAAGGGCATTTTTCGGAAGCGATCTTACCTAAACGTTTACCCCCGCTTGCTTCGATGACCAAATAATTTTCATCGCAAGGTGCACCGTCGCTTCTATTTCAAGAGTTCAATTAATGATTCTTAGCCTATTTTCTTTAGAACGAGCTACGGTGGTGAGCAAGTGCAAATAGACTAAACGATTCAATGGTGCTAAATTTTCGGAGGAAAAAAATGTTAAAATTTAGCGCGAAATTATGCTGCAGACGACTCGCACAATTTGGACCCGCACAATTCGGCCCTTTTTTCGAATTTCGCGAAAATTAATGAAAATCGCTCAATTAGCCATCTATGTGAATTTCAGTCAAATTTGCTTGCTCAAACGTATTTTGTAAGATTTATTTACGAGAGAAATGCTATTTCTTACTCTTTTTTTTTGATTAACACGTAGAATTTACGGGGATAATTGACGAAAAAAGTGAGATTTTAACATTTTAGCGCTCCAAAATTGATCTTTTTTGAAGGAGCAGCAAATTAATCCGAATTTCGGACCCGCACAATTCGGCCCTTTTTCGAGAAATCTGCAAAACAAAAAAGGTCCAAATTGTGCGAGTACACTGTATTATATATTACAGTGAGAAGAATTTTAGGTTGTTCTCGACTCTTTCCTTTCATAGAAATCCGGTAGCAATAAACTTATGCGTTCACCGTTTCTCGATTCGAGTTGAAATTTACAGCTTCTATCCAATACGCCAGAGAACGAGCCAGATTCACTCCACTTTCCACATATTTCTTGCGATGAAGCAATCTTTTAGAGCTCAAAAATCATCAAAAATGGCCACTGAAGTTTCAAGAAAGTGACGCTTGTTCTTTAAAATTCCATAAAATGCCTGGCATTTATGGAGGTATTTGAGTAAATACTTACGATGCGAATTTATTACCGAAGACGTATTTTTTTTATCAAGAACCGCCGCTTTCTAATGATGATAAGAAATGGTCGATTCTTGTGGCAAAGCTCGCCACAAAGTTGAAGGGCTTTTGTTTGGAATAAAAATTATCAGGTTCAGCCCCGGGTATTTCGTGGAGCGGAAACGTGAATTTGATATGCTATTAATTAAGGGTCAGCTCAAGAAACGCATAGCAGGATGCTGTTTTTGAAGGAGGGCGGGCCTTATTTTTAGAATTAACTCGAAGAATTTGTCTATTATTTTGGCCGTTGTTTTTATTTGAAAAGGCAAATTTTTATCCCAAAAATAATATTGGCAATATTTGATGAACGCCTTTTTCAAATCTTACCGTGAAAACTGGGCACGTTATTAAATAGGATTAAGGTCGACCGGACGGTTGATTTTAATAGTTTCCGATATTTTGATCGAAATCGAGACGTGCGCCAGGAACGTTGCATTTGTGAGCCAATTCCTGTAAGACAAAAAGCAGCGAAGATAGTGTCAGGCGCGGGCGATATCTCATCCCTCTTTATTCTCTTTGTTTGACTGAATATAAATTAGATGCGACATTTGATCGGATAGAAGTTGTAACTGAAAATGACGAATGACAGTATCTTTTGCCTGAAAAGGCGGTATTCAAAACGTGCGTAATTTTATATATATTTCATATTTTCGATTTCTTGCTAAGACTAGAATTACAGTAGGAAGGTCTAAATGCCGGCCCAAACTTCTAACCGCTCAAAGAACGCGCCGGTGACAGTCTGGACCAACTTAGAAAATTTCCGCCCGGATTATGAAAATTGTAGCTTCGTGTCTATCTCGCTTTGATATCCTGCTGGTCGGCACATTCTTACAACTCGCCAAATCCAGCTCAAGAAGTGATCTTTTGTCGAATTTTTGGATTATTGAATTACGTGTGGGAAATTCTCAAAAATCGCAAAAGCAATTAAGAATTCAAGTGTTAGCAGCCCACCGCGGCATAAAAAGTACTTGATTGAGTACGCGGGAAGGGAGAATAAAAGGCTTCCAAAGATTCTGATGAATTATCTTGAGTGATGACTTTTTGAGGAGCAGAAAAAACAGACTGAGAGGAAATTCTAGTGATTGATTTTTTTTCGCAAACGCTGTAATTACGCGTGTGCAAAAGCGGAAACTGATGATGATAAAAGAATGAACATTATAATAAAAATGGTCGGAAAGTTGGTGACTGAGTCATCTGTCTTCCAGGATGCTAGAGTTAGAAATCGTGCTGAAAATCAAAAATTCTGCAAAAAAATTTTTTTTATTAAGATTTTTCTGAAAAATGTCGTTTCGAAAAAATCATCGTGGAAAATTTTGAAGTACAATGGATTGATACCCTGTATTTGCTTTAAAAACTTATATATTTTTATAATATAAATAATATTTCTAAGCATAGACACTGAGATACTGTTGTTGTTATTTTTTAGTTTGAGCTGTCAAGTAGACAGTGTCTTCGAATAAGGTCTTTTTCAATATATTAGTAGGAAATTTACGATTCGTTGAAAATGGAGAATACAAGGATGATATAGGGATTTTATAGACATAAAATCTTTACCTGAACTAGGAGGTGTTTACTCTAATATAGATTTCGTTGCGTCGTGGTCCGATTTTCAAAATGAGAGTGTCTCTAGTAAATAGCTTCTTCGTTTACTGAACGGCTTGCTCGTTGGAACTTTGGGCACCCGTCGATGATGATGATGAATAATCTCCACGTGCGTGAGCGCGGCGCTGGTGGTGGCGCACACGGTGTAAAAGCGCGCCGCGGAAGCGCAATGCCGCGCGCGATTTGCGTTGACTAGTACTTGACTGCTAGAATGCTTGTAAAAATGCTTTCTCTGACAAAAACGGCGTCGTGGCAATCCTTTAAACACAAATATTGCTGCAATCAGATTTATTAATAAATTGTCAGGAAGAAGTTTTTCAAAGTTTGGTTTCTAGTAGTAGAGTTTGATGATCTCTTCATTTTTGAATTCTTTTCGACAGATGTGACAGATCTTTTCGGACATCTCAGTTAGGCATTTGATGCATGCTACGTGCCCACACTTCAAGGTAGCCTCCATTCGAATTTCGCTGTCGAATTTCTCCATGCACAAGTTGCATGCGCTCTTTTGACCACCGTCTTCAGCGACTAGAATAAATTTGGAACAAACTCGTTTTTAAAGGTGTAAGTTTACAATTTTAAAATGTATATAAGATGATTATTACGAGGGTCGTGAACCATGCCATTGATTTTCTTGATTGAAGATTCCATGATCTTCTGCATTGTTTCATTCTCATCTTTCTCGTTATTATAACGTTCCTCGGCCTTGTTGAATTCATTTCGAGCAGCAATATATGCTTCGTGTGCGGTCGTATAGTTCATTTTTGCTGAAGCATCTTCCCAAGAGTGTCTTGCTGTCGACCGATTGATGCGTTGAAGAAGCCTTTCGCAACAGTAAGAACTCTGTAGACATCTTTTTCGATTTTAGTTGTCGGATATTCTTCCGTAGCTTTCAGAAACGCTTTGTAGCAGCACGAGCCAATGACAAACTCTTTAAAAACGAGGCCTGTAGCATTGCAGGCTTTTGCCAAGCATTTGAATCGAGCGTCAGTTACGAAGTCAGTTCCTTTCAGGTAGTCTGGATTGTCCTTGACGTTTTCTTCAGCGCAAGGCCGGCACATTGGCTCGAATCCCGTGTTTTTGTACATTTTTTCACATATTCTAATAAACAAGCGAATAGATATCAAATCACTTCTAATTATTACATTTTCATATAATATATTTTACCCCTTGCAATAATGGCACGGCTTAGCGTTGTTCCAGTTTGCAACAAATTCTGCTGGAATGATCAGGCCCTTCATCTTTAAAATTCTCTGCGAGAGTCTGTTTGAGAGTGTCTTTTGCTTCTTATGGTATTATTTGCTTTTCGAGATTTATTATTTGCTTGATATTTAAAAATGTCATGGAGGCTGGGTAAAAATCAACAGTTCGTAGAGTAGAAACTTCCTGCATTTGCCTTTAACAAATCGCAATAAAATTGATTGAGCATTCAGCTGATTATTAAAACGAAATCCGCTTAATGAATTTATAAGTTGATCTCTTCCGGACAAGGCTTACGTAAGATATACTCGAATTTCATACTTAAAATGACAGAATCTCTCAAACTATGTGGTCGATCTTCTGCACGTAGTCTGAGAAAAAAATACACGTTATCAAAGAAAACACAAAATGAATGTCTTTTTGGAAGTGAAACGTTCGTTCAAGATAAGTGTAGACCCGCTTGTTGTTTCAGTCATCCGTCCTCTTGCAAACAAACCTCTTCCAGATTTGGTGCACCGCGTTTGAGATTACTTCAACGGTAAAAACGCAGCGCAAGAGCCTCCGAGACGATCGTCGATAATCATTGTTCCTAAGGCGGGATGTACCAAATACAACGTGACAATCGTTGAACTTTATTACCGAGAAAAATGTTTGTTTCTTCGAAAAGTTCATCGATGATTTAGATTTCTTGGCCTTGAATGGAAGCTAATATCTTTGTTTAAACGAAGTTTGCAAAAATCTGTTTATTACAAATATTGATATGCCAATAATAAGATCAATGAGACGGCAACTGTTTCGAGTTGATTGAATCAGAAATCAATTAGAATCAAAATAGAAATAGAAATAACACCTTTCATCATTTGATAAATCAGAACGTGTTTGATAATGATCGTTCAAGTGTAACTCGTTTATCAATTTCCCCTGCCCGGAAAATTGTGGCTAGGTGTATGATGTGCATTTAGTTGTCTTGCATAAACTGGAGATTGTTAACATAAACTTGATGATCTAAAATTTAGGTTTTAAATTTGTATATTTGTTTGTTTATTGAATTCTTTTGGTGATAGGCACGATTTTATTGAATTACAATAATAATGATGAAGTAATGATAGTAGAATAAGAAAGAGTTTAGAAAATGAGCTGGAAGATAAAACAGAATTTTTCATTCGGATTATTTGGTGAAGAGCGGCTCGGTGGGCGCGTTTTTGATCAGCGGCGACTAAATCGGATGATAAGTCTTCTGTAAGGTCAGTAACTATCGGTTAGCTTAGTGCCGCGCTCTTGGACTTGCTCGCCCACAAGAAGCATTTAACGTGGCCTTGGATTAGAGATCAAGCTCTAAGACTTTTTATTGCAGAATGAAGAAGAAAATTAATCGAATGTAGGTAAGTAGAAGACACGGGAGGTGCATAATCCTTCTTAGCGGTTACGGGTACAGTTATCATAGAAGCTTTACTGGCTTGCCACACTTGCACAAGAAAAATACTTTTTTCTTCGCAAAGATCGGATTCATTTCTGCAGCGAAATTTGACCGTTTGGGGAAAAAGAAGGACACGAACAAGTCCAGCGTTAAATTAACCGTGTTAACTTGCGTGATGATGCTCCTGCACGTCATAAATCATGGATATATAAATGTTTATCCAAAATACAACTCACCATTCCGGGACTATTTCGTCTGATCGGGCTACTTCCTTCTTCCGACAAAACCGGTGGCAAGTTTTCGGCGCTCGTTTGAATGTCTAAATTTAAAAGTGTCAGGGAAGCCCATAATCACCGACTGAAGAGACGACTTAAAAACTTTAATGCGGAGGTTAACACCTGGGCATTTTAATTTGGCTCACCTTTGAGCACGAGCTGAGGTGGTCGATTCTTCATCGGTTTCGATACCGAGCGGTCACGTTCCATAATGTAGTCGCCGGAATCAAAGTATTTCTTCGAAGATCCACGTAGCTTCTTATTAAGCATCGCTGAGCCCTAGAAGACGAAATAATGATAAAATTGATCCCAGGGGGGTTCAAATGCAAATCCACGAATACTAGAGTGGTAAAGTCGCCACTTTGATTTGTGACACGACATTGACCTCGTCGCATAACTCGAAAATCTCATTCATAAAAGAGATCATCAGGAGATAGAACATAATTTAGGTGGAATTAGAAAGCAAAATATATTACCGGATTCAACCACAGTGCTATTCAAAGCGTACCACTCTGTTTATTCGCATTGCGTTTGACATAGACTTGCGGCTACCTTGAGCATTTGTGTTGGTATTATTATCAAAATTTATAATTACTGATTATTCAACATAGAGAGAATCTCCTCATTAATAATTGAACCAGAGATCAGAGACTGGCAACAGTTTATTGCCGCAATATTTCGAAAAGTATTGCATATCATAATATGAACATAATGTGAACAAACCTTCGAAAATATCAATAAACCGTTAGTGATACAAAACATAATAAAAAGTTATTTATGGTCTCCGTGGCGATTTAAGATTTAGCATGATTTACTAAATAAAGCGGTATTTGACGCTTTGTAACTGTTTTCTTCTAAGAAATCGTAATTCTATTTCAAAGGTGTTATATTGAATGATAATTAACATTTGAAAATGTATTCAACAAGCTATTCTCAATAATTTGGCAGTCTTACCCGTTTCTTCTCCAAATTTCCATATTTTGATTTGAGCTGGGTTTCCTGCTGCTGAATAAGATTCTGCGCGTTTTCGCTGCTCTCTTCCATGACCTCGAAGTTTGGCTCTTCGCTGAAAACAAAAATTAAATAAATTTTAGCCAGGCCCTTGAATTGAAAACGGCCCTATTCAGCGTCAATTGTCAGCACCAGCACGCCCGCGGGTTAATGCCAAACACTGAGACGTCACACACGCCCTGGGCTACTTGATCACTTGACTTGCGCCCTTTGTCTTACTGTACCTAGCTACTTTGCTTCCGAACCTAAAGCAAGGATAATCAAGCTTTCCAAGTGGTCACGCTCGTTCTCTCTAGCTCATAGATTATTCCCTCCTTTGATATTAGTTTCTGGTGCTCCCCTGTTTCACGCTATCGATTTTGTGTTTGTCATAAGGGAATATTGTCAAGACAAGTTCGCGATTAAATATGCTCCATCAACGAGGGTGCAGTCTATGTACCGTATTTTCTCTATCTAATCCACGCGCCCCTTAATTAACTGATTTACTTGGCTCTTCTGGATCGAGGGAGAGGTTTAAATCAAATCTCCTTCGTAAATCTGCGTTCCAAACAGTAATCGTACGTTTCCTTTGAAAAATACTACCGTCTGGGATAACAAACAACAATGAAATAGCGCTTTCTTTTACTCTAGTCATTAATTATCTTTAGAAAAAAGTTTCTGGATGATTTGAAACTCAAAATATGACGTTTTTTAACAAGAATTTGCCTTACATTGAATTTTCACTGTATTAACCAAATTCTGATATTTCAAATGGATATTTTTACTTTCACGATAGAGTTTTTAGGACTTTCGTTCAAATAAAAACTCGCCGATCTTGCATTTGAGAGCATTTTTTATTGCGCGATCTAGCTTCTAAAACACTCGTTTTTCAATTGTATTTATGCGCTGTTTCATGTCAGAAGAGCTTTGTCGCTGCAAACAGTCACCGAAGAAGATGTTTAAATTATCTTCCGCCAACAAGCTGTCGCGAAGCACTTGATTGCTTTGAACTGTTGTCAATTGGCCTGTCGCTTTTTTGCGCAAAAAGACGCACCTGAATCACTGTTGTTTCTTGATCAATTGCTACTGTAAGATTTCTACTTCAACTTGCGAGAATATCGAAAATAATCATCATCGTGGCGTTATATTTTCTTTATTTTTTCCTTTAAAAATTATAACCTAAAGCTGTTTTGAAGCAAATTGCCCAGGAAGCGCCCAAAACAATAAATTCAGCGATCATCACGTTTGCCTAATCCGCTTTGGCCGCGCAATCAGTGCCAAGACCACAGGTGTACTTTTTTTATTGAAAGCTAATAAAGCATTACTGTACTAGTTCCAGTATGGTAATTGAATGGACGCCTTTAGAAAAAGGAAGCAAATGCACGTGTAATCGCACGCGCGATTTCCATTAGAGCGCATTTCTTCGCTCCGCCTTTTACAAAATCGATGCATGCGAAGATGCAGTCTATGGATTTAACGAGGATAATCGCGCTTTTGCATTGATTATCAAAAGATTCAGTATTTTTTCCTTTAGTAAAAAAGTTTGCTTAACAAAAATGACCTTTAATTTATAATTTTGTTCAATAGCAAATTCCCCTTTTCGTATATTTTCACTTCCCATGGTCATATCTCTTTCCGCCCTTATCAGTTTAAATTCGCTAGACATTATCAAAAAATATCCCTCGACTGACCTTGCCATTTTTCTGTCCAGCTCTGCATTCTTCGAATAGCATGATCATTATGAGCTGGATAGAGGAATAATCAATGAAAATTGCTGAACAAATAACATGCGAATTTTTCCGAGAAATTCAGAGCAGATTACTCGGAGCGGCGCGAATAAGTGTCTGAGGTTGAAAAACAAGCATGTTGAAAATAGAAAATTTGTAATTCTGCGTTTCTTAGTAGTACTGATAACGACGTGTAGGGGATGATCTTGCGGTCGCTTTCATTCTTTTTGGATGCAAAAACAGAAACTCATTTTTGAGGAAGCGCGCATCACTTTATCCTCACATTTAGCATAGAATTTCTACAGAAAACACTGCATTTCAAAATCTCCCCACTTATCTCGCCAATTTGTGCGTGTTTGTGGCAGGTACACGAATCGTTAAATTCATCACAAGCGAATAATTAATTTCATAAAGCACAAGGTGTAATTAAAACAAACCCGGATGTCCACACATTCTAGCGGAGATAAGCTCAATAAACTTAATTAACTTTTGATTAAGCTTTTGCAACGTAAGATATTTTTGGAAAAACGAAGAACCCACATCATGATTTCTAGGTGCAAACAACTGACTGATGACAAAATAAAAAATAACTGTTCAGCATTTTACTGCATTTTACCGACGAAAAAGCGATTCTCTAGCAGTAAAACGCAAATAGCACTTACCTCTCACTCCGGCTGATTGACTGACACGGTTTTTCTGTTGAAAATCTGAGCCTGCTCGTTAAATGCTCGCTTATTCTCATTTCCAAGCTACTAAAAGCGCTTACTTAGTAGTACACACGTAGACTTGGAGCCAAGGGGTACGCTAGGGCGACACGGAGAGACACAAAAAACGACCCCTTTTTTCTCGCTTGTTGAGCTTGCCAAATATGAGAGCTCGATTTCTCGAGGACACTCAACGCCAATGCGAGACTGAATCCAAATCGCGAAATTATTTTTTCCCACAGCCAGCCGAATACCGTGGTTTTCCATTTTAAGAGCGCCCAATGTAAGAGCGTTTTCGCCAACATTTTGCAAATTATGTTATCTGCGAAAATTCCAATTTAAGAGCGTTTTTGAAGATTTTTATGCAATCAAAAAATTTTTAGACTCAAATAAATCATTAACTAAAACGTGTAATCTCTGACTGCTTTTCCGGCCATTTTAAAGTCAATGGTTTGGCAGTGTCGGCTCCTTCTGTCATTTGAACTTGAGGTTCTTCTTCAATCTCCATCGCCGACGGACCATCATGGTCGGAGCTCTTTTGCTTTTAATCTGATTCCTAGATATTTAATTTACCTATTCCTACAAAGGCTAGAAAATGTACCCTGAGCCTCAGTGACTGAGGCATGTCTTCCCCATCATTTTCCTTCGGATTATCTATTAGATCTCCATGACAGTCTTTCTCCCATCCTTTCTTTTTGAGCCTTCACCAGAATCTGCGCATATTTTTTCTTCTAAGCCAAAGACATGTGTTTTTCTTTTCTTCTCCTGACATTTTCGTTGTTTAAATTTTGAAGAATGAAAGAGATCAGATTAAGAAAAAACGCTCGAGGAAAATCCTGAAAAAATCACTCACGTTCTCATCTTGATATACAAATACTTTTGCTTCTAGATCTTTTCTGTTTCATACTTTCGAAATTCCCTGAAAAATGAAAATAACCACTGTCATCCTATATCGATAGGAAAATTTCCAATTTAAGAGCGTTTTGAGCAAACCCTGTCATCTAAAAAACGCTCTTAAAATGGAAAACCACGGTACGTCATATTTATTAAGACGCTGCGAACTGGTTAAATTAAAAACATGCCACAGGGAATTCATGTCTTATCAAGAGTGAAAACTGTTCGATCTCGATTGGCAATTGATAAATTTAAGTAGCTCCGGAAAAAAATTGGGGGATAAGTTCTGGAAGAAAGCTGGAGATAGAACGTGAATCTGTGAGCTTAATGTTTTGCTCTAGATTCAGTCAAAATGCAACCAAATCAAAAAGAGTGGTAATCCATCGAAGAATTTTCAATAAGTGAGATTCAAACAGAAAGATGGACGAGCAAACCAAATCTATCCTTAGCCTAATTGTAAGTAAAAACAGATAAGACAACACATAAAAGATAAACCTGATTATGAAGGGTCTTATCTTTGGATTGTCTGCAGTTGTAATTCTCGCTATTTGTATTTCTGTGAAATGCTGTTGTGGATCTGCACGAGGAGGGCAAAACTCAAGCGGATGGAATTTGAGTTCAGTTGAATTTGACGATGGATGCGACTGCGATGATGATTAGAGAAAAGATGGATTAGATAACCGAATTTATGCTGCCGACTAGTGGATAAATAAATACACCACGAGTTAATGCGTATTTTATTAATAATCCATTATCCACCTAATATCCGATGCTGTAATCATGACTGTACCACCGTTGACAAAACTCCAACCCAGGCCTCCGAAGTGTTGACTTTGACGATGAATGCGAAGGGGATTATCCTTCCATAACAAATAAAAAAAAATGGCTCGTTCGCCGTAACTTTATTTAGCGCTTACGGAGAACAAGCTTACTCCTTATCATTGGATTGAGAAGTTTATTATTATTTCTGTCAGTCGTATCAGTAACAGTTCAGGCATTACTGGGGAATAATTTAACATGATAGGGTTGATCCTGAACTTCGCACGAAGGGATAATTGAAGTGGGCTGGGTGAGCAGAATTATGAATTTTAAATGAACTTGAGCATGTAAGGAAAAAGTGGCTCAATAAATTTGGAAGAAAAATATTAGCAAGAAAGGTCTTGTCAAGGCCTTGTGGCAATGATTTCGTGAAGAAAGCAATAATATACAGTTGGGTGCGGAAAAGTCTTTTCAATTAAAGGCAGTGTGGTCCTAGGATGGGTGGCTTTTACTGGGTATTAGGAGTGCTGTTTACCAGGCATCAGCGTCAGGCACGTAGTCGCCGAGAGGAACAGAAGATGCTAAGTTAATGATTTTAGTGGAAAAGAAGTCCAAAAATAATAATTTACCTCCTGGCTGATTGATGTGAGCATTGTTCTCGCGATGATCCGAGGCCGCTCCGAAGCCGCCTCGGCCTCCGTATGATCCTCCGCCGCCACCGCCAGCCATTTCAGCCAGGAATGGGGGTACAGGTTGGCCTGCGTCATTGCAGATCTTGACCAAAGAAGTCGCGTGTTGTCGATCCTTCATTGTATCGATGAAGGTGATGGCCAATCCTTTCTTTCCCTTTCGAGCAGTTCGACCAATTCTAAAGAAAATTTTTGGAGTCATGGAAGAGATTAGAAGTTCTTACCGATGGATGTAGGATTCCAACTCCGACGGGAAGTCGAAATTGATGACAATCTCCACATCATCAATATCGATACCTCGGGCAGCAACGTCAGTGGCGACCAAGACGTCCATTCGTTTAGCCTAAACAAATTTATCGAACAGAGTTTAAATTTTTTACGTTAACCAGGCTATTTTCCAAGAGAAAGTTTATAACGGACAATGTCCGTCGGATATAACTATTGGTAAGCCAAGTTCAGTTACGAAAGTAGATTCCACTCTACATACCTTGAGGTCGTTGATTGCCTGCTCTCGGTCGCGTTGTTGTCGGTCGCCGTGGATTGTTGTTGCTTTGATGCCATTTCCGACCAGAATCGACCCAAGCGAGTCAGCGAATAACTTGGTCGCTACGAAGATAAGCGTGCGCTTGCCAACGTGTTGTCTGCAAATCTCGGTAGCTCGGTTGAGCTTTTCGCGCTTTTGGAGCTGCTCGAACTCTTGCTTGACTTGTTTGTTGGCTCCACCGATCATTCCGATCGACATGAAGATGTAGTTCTCGTTCAGAATTCTTGTGGCTTGCTGCTGAATTTGAGCATCGAATGTCGCCGAAAACATCGCGGTGGTTCGGGCACCACTGTCTTTTTTGGGAAGGTAGACGTTGATCTGATCGATATCAGGGCCGAAACCTTGATCAAGCATGCGATCCGCTTCATCGAGTACCAGGAACTGACAGTCACTGGCGTCGATGACACCTCGCTCAAGGAAGTCTTTCAGGCGACCAGGAGTACCGATGACGATGTTGCATCCTTCGCGGATTCGCTGCGCCTGCTCTCGAGTGCTGAAAAATAATTGAAATCAATGAAGAGATCGAGGAGGCATTGAATTGAATCCTGACTTACCCAGTTCCACCGTAGCAAAGACCAGGAACAACGCCAGTGTTTTTGCCGCAGAACTTGTAGCACTCATCGTATAATTGAGTGGCCAGTTCTCTTGTTGGAGCAACCACGATGCAGTCGACCTTTTGGCACGCATTGTAACCTCGGCTTCCGATGTTGCTCGCTTTGAAGTAATTGATGATTGGAATCATCATTGCTGCAGTCTTTCCAGATCCGGTTTGGGCGGTGGCCATCAGGTCAGTTCCTTCGCCAAGGATTTTTACGGCGTATTGCTGGATAGGGGTCGGCTTTGTGTACTTCATTCGACACAAGTTCTCTCGAATTTCCGAGCAAAGAGCCATGTCGTCGAAAGTCTGCGCGAAATAGTCAGCCTTGACGCATTTTGATTCGTTATTTTTCTTGTCATAGGCTGTGACATTGATCTCAACGTCATCATTGAAGTATTCATCGAAGTTGAGACCCGTGTTAGTGCAGTTGTTGTAGAGGTCATCTAAATTCGATTCGTGGCCGCCGTAGATTGGACCTCCCATCGCACCACTTCCTCCAGCATTTCCGAAGCCTGTTGAGGTGTTTCCTCCGTCGCTAAAATCTAAAGGTAGGGTCATTATTACATGGGTTTAATCACCTCTGGCCGCCACCAAAGCCTCCAGAGCTTCCACCTCCGAAAGACCCTCCGCGGCCAAACGAACCACCGCGGCCTCCTCGACCTGAATCGCCACCGGAACCGTAGCCGCCACGGCCGCCTCCACGACCGCCGCCGAAACCACCAGAGTCGCTTCCAGAATTGAAGCCTCCTCGACCACCGCCGCGACCTCCTCGGCCACCGAAGCTTCCACGGTCAGAGTCACCATTGGAGTCGCCATAACCACCACCGCTACTGAAGCCGCCTCTGCCACCTCGACTACCGTAACCTCCACGGCCGGAATCGCTATTTGAGTCGCCGTAGCCACCACCGCGACCTCCTCGACCGCCGTAGCCTCCACCTCGTGAAGATTCACCATTGGAGTCACCGTATCCACCGCTGCTTCCGTATCCACCGCTGCTGCCGTATCCGCCTCCTCGGCCACCGCGGCTTCCTCGTCCGCTGTCTCCGAAGCTCGAACCTCTAAAATTTTATAATAAACAGATTTCTGATAGTATAAAAGAACACACCCTCGGCTTCCGCGATATCCACCTCGTCCGCCTCGATCGGAGTCACCACCCTGGTAACCGCCTCGATTTCCACCATCGAAGCCGCCTCGGTCTCCTCCACTCTGAAAGCCTCCGCCTCGGCCTCCTCTGTGATAATTGTTCAGAATCATTGAATTTTTTCAAGTAAAATGGCTCTCTAAAATTTTTGAAAAACTTGAAACTGTGCCCAAAAGCGCGAGTGCGTCCGTTTTATAAGTCGTGATAACATCTCAAGATTATTCTCTACAGATAAGGCTGAATTTTGAGTAAGAATACTTCGACGCGATAAGAGAATTAATCTCTGAATCAGTCATAAAATTTCTGAACATTTCCTGTTGCTGCTACCAGGATTATAGCCGCTCGATTCCCCACCACGGCTGCCGTATCCTCCTCGGTCAGAGCCGTAGCCTCCTCGGCTTCCACGACCTCCGCGGTCCGTATGAACTCCGCCTCGATGATCGCCACCAAAGCCGCCTCGGCTTCCACGGCCACCTCTTTCGGCATTAACCGGTCCATTTTGGTTGTCGAAAGTGCTAAAAATATTTAAAATCCCGATCCCATTCCATAAAATCAAACCTGACTCGTGAGTCACCTCCATAGCCGCCTCCATAGCCGCCGCCATTCGAATATCCACCGCCTCGTCCTCCACGGTCACCGCCATAGCTGCCGCCTCCTCGGGATCCTCGACCTCCTCCGAAGCTGCCGCCACGTCCTCCTCGTCCAGAATCACCGGAGTTGAAACCACCGTCTGACTTTGGCTGGAATCCGCTGCCGCCACCAAATTCACTTCGTTCCACTTTCTCCTCATCTACAAATATTGTTCATCCTTGATTCGAGATAAAATTCAATTTGAAATCTTACCGTTCGTGTTGAGATTTTGCATTCCACTCACTGGCGGTCCATCGTCATCACTGTCGTCCCAGGTGGGTCTCTTCTTCTCTAAGATTCCCGTGGTTCGCGCGTCTACCTGTGCTCTTGAAGAAGGAGCAGGTGCTTCAGGAGTCTCTTCGGCTTCTTCCTCAATGCGTTCGTGAGCAGCAGGAACTTGAGCGTCAGGAATCCGAACTCCTCGTCCTACTCCACCTCTACCACGTCCTCGACCGCGTCCGATCATTCTAAAGTGAGATCGATTGTCAATCGGTGTTGTTTTAATTTTTTTTATTTCTTGAAAAATATGGATGAGCAGAGGAAGATATCACCCGATATGAATGTGTTGTTTTATGTTTTAGTGGTAGACGACATTTGTCTACAGTCAGGTAATCAGAAAAGGAGGCAATGTAGCGAAATGTTTCCTAAAACGAGATATAGGAGGGAAATAAAAAGAGAATGAGAAAAACGGAGACTCTGGAACCAGACAGAGCGATTGTTGCTGATTGATGACAGTTCCAGGCGATGGAGTTAGTCGCTCTCCTGGGCGACGTCGTCGGCGTCGGAGACCAGCTCTGCGATGATGCTCTCGAGATCGTTCACTTTCATCGCCTTTTCTCGAAGCAACTCGTTCTCTTTTGTCAGAGCTTCGTTTTCGCGCTCCAGCTCCATTTTCTCTTCGTTTCGGGTCTAGAAGTGAAAATTGAATAAGGCGAAGGTCTGGAAATGAAAACCCAAGTCTCAAATAAATCATTGCGAAATTTCCTCTTTCTTTACATTTGAAAAATGAACATTCGCAAAGAGTGAAATTTGGTATGAAAAAGGGAAGACTTCTCCCTTTTTATCGCAAATCTTTTGAACCCAGCCAATCAGGAAGGACAAGGTTCAAGTCAGATGTTTTCTTCACTCAATCAACTACGACATGAACCAGTATCATTTCCTGTTACAGCAACTAACCTCGAGAAGCTCGCAAAGATCCTTGTTCTCTTCGAGCGCGGCCTCGAGCTTGACCCGGCGCTCCTCGGCGAGAAGCTCCCAGTAATTCTCTGCAATTTCTTCAGTCTTCTCCTTCTCTGCAGCAGCCTTTTCGGCCTTCTTATTGGCTTCTCGGCGTTTTTTCGGTGACTCCTAAAACACGATGATGAGTCATTTTGAATCAAAACAGGAAGCGATTTTTCGCGAAAAAAGACGCGTTTCCTGATTGTCATCGAAATCAGAATCGTTCTTACCTTGAAGATTTCCACCTTGGCCTTGGTGGTCTTCTTCGTCGTCCTTTTTAGATCGAGATTCTTGTTGCGCGTCGTTAGACCCGATTTCAATGTGGCACTCATTTTTCAATCCTGTTTTTTTGGCTCTAGAAATGGAGATATGGTTAGTTTTCGTATTGTAAATGGATTGAGTGGCGGGAAAAAAGCTGATAACAGTATAATTGAACTTTTCTGTGAAGGTGACATGTAAAATGTTGATATTTGTCAAATTTTACGCTTCAGGAGATTTCGGAGCATTTTGAAATAAACACGAAATATCCAAAACGAAAATATCTTTCTCTTTGTTTTTCTTTCTTTTTATATCTGTTCGTAAACATACAGGTAGCCAAGGTCTCTGGGCGGCTTCTGGGAGACGGCGACTTTATTATCGTTGAAGAGGATCCAACGGGCGTCCTCTTTCACGTGCGCCACATAGTGTCCACAGGCCGTGCTCGAGCCCATGTGCGAGACGAAGGCGCGGAGGCGGTATTTTGACGAATCAGAACCAACCAGCTGGTTCGGTCCGGAAGAACTCGACTCGGCAGGGGACGATTCATCGTTCAGCTCGTCCATGTGTGAGAAGATCCAATCGATAGCGCGCTCGACATTCCCGTCAGTTGCTAAAAATAACCAGAGTGAAAAAAGCTCCGTGAAATGTAATCGGCAAAGTGGCTCATTTCCACTTTGAAAATCAATCGATTTGGGTTGATTTGTTTTTCAAGCTCGAAAAACAACTGATAATGGACAAACCTGTCAATGCTTTCTTCGATTGCGTATCAGTAAATCCCATTGATGTAACCATCGCAATTATTTCTGGCGAAAAGGTCTTCTCTTCCTTTTTCGCCGTTTTGTCGAGTTTCAGTGGTTCGTTGAAATCTGGACTGTCCAAATTGCTCATCAACCACTCCATCGCCAGCTAATTTTATTCGTTATTCGACTTTTATTAGAGCATTGATAACCTCTAGGCTTTCGTTTGTGTGATAAAGTGCTTTCATCGCGGCGTTAAAAGGATAACCCATGTCGACCAGTTGGTTAATTTTCTGCTCGTCGACCTTTGGCGCATCTGTTTTTCGGGACTCGACATGTGTTCTGCTTCAACTAGAGCGGAAAAGAGTGTCTTTAAGAAATTTAAGAAGTGTCTTAATAAGGGATCCCCCCCCGTTTTCGCCATTTTCGACGGCAAACTACTTTTTTTTGGGCTTTCAATTTTACGCGTGCAATAGCGCAAATGAAAGCTCGTTTATAGCGGCTAATTCTCTAGTACAGAGATAAAAATTCATAAACGCAAACCTGCCACACGGGGCGCTGAAGTTAGTGTATTTTGAAAAAAGGCCGTTTTCGGCCATTTTCAAGGGCAAACTACTTTTTTTTAGGCTTAGTTAGAATAAATCTGCGACTGAATTTAGAAAGGGTAGAGTTTAATCTTAAAACTCTAGTACAGAGAAGTCATTTGGTCAAGTAATAAGAAATTTTTCTTAAGAACAACCAAATGTACCTATTTTTGGCGTTTTTTGGTGTTTTTTCGCTCTCTAGCGCCAACATAAGGCTGATATTTCTAGTGCGGTTATAATATTATTTTTCAGTGCATTCTAAGCTTTCGATAGACCCCTAATATGTCGTATTTCGATTACATTGAAAAACCGAAAAAAAATCCGATTTTCACGCTAAGTACAATTTACATGCATTTTGGCAATTTTCGAAGGCTAAAATTTCGGGGATAGATGTTCGTTAAGGGGTCATGTGATACATCAAAATGATCCTCAAAACACGAGGAATCTAAATATGCTGCAAAGAGACCCGTCAGAAATATTTGAAAAAAGAGGGGGGGATCCCTTAATTGCACCATCAACGAGCCTTTCCTTCACTAAAAACATCCTCGCCGATTTGTGGCCCATTCGCTCTCAATGGTTCCAGATCCAGTTCTTCTGGCATTTCCAACGAGACATTCAACTTCTTTGGCTGCCAATTCTCGCCGATTGTGAATCGCCGACATTGGATAAGAAGATACTTGGGAAATTTAGAAATTCGGGCGGATCGGTAGGCAGTGATGAGAGCCCCGTCAATGGGCGATTTGAAGTGATCGATTGCTTCCGAAGCTAGTAAACGAGAAAAGGAACTCTTGAACGAGACGACTCCGCGGACAACTTCGGGATCTGCTTGCTTCGCCGCACGAGCTTCTTCGAGCTTTTGCTCGTATTCTAGAGGCAATGGATTTATTATGAGATTAAACAGAGGTCAAGCTCACCTTTGACCTGTTCTTTGTTTTCGATATCATTTTCATCAACAGGCAACCCCAGCATCAACTCATGGGTGATTTTATATTGCACCGATTGACCGATCTCGACTCTTTCTTCCAATTCAAATCCGAAATTTGCTGAAGCATTCTCTCGCTTTTCTTTCTTCGCTTCTTTCATGATCACATCGAGCAGATGGAGGAGGAATTCGACCGCGTCCTGTTGCTGGTTCGTTTGAAAATCTGCGTGGCCTTTGGATACAATAGATTTGAAAAGACCAGGCGAAATGCCTTCCTGCTCTGATCCTTGTGGAATCGCTGTTCCAGAGGCGTCTAAGTACAATTCAATAAACAAATTGAAATGATAAAGAAACCTTTAGCGATTATAGGCCGAGCATAGTCTCCCGAGCAAAGGGCATGTCCGACTCGTTGAAACTGCTTCCAAAAGTTCTCATGGCAATTCGCGTCGTATTCCGCTGGCTGATGGAAATTTTCGCGAAAGTATGGCAGTGCAAATAATGCTTGAAGAATGGAGCCAATGTAGCAAGTGTTTCCCAAATTTTTGATTCCAGTGTGGAAAGCGCCGAAGAGTGGCTCGAGTTCTTGACCGCTTTCAACGATGGCTGCATATTCAGAGCCGACCTTCTTGTTCATTTCCAGTTCCATCTCGGCCATCGACATTTCTGTTTTCTTTGAGCTTGCAACATCAATTCCCCAATGGCTAGAGTGAAAGTAAGAGATAGTTCTCTCTATGATTGCAAATATTCCGACTGATAAAAAGAGACTAGAATTTGATTGAGTGAATATATTGACAGGAATGTGAAAGAAAGAATTCTAAAAAGAAACTTAGAATTAGAAGATAGTAGTAAACTGAGTACAAATAACAGGCTCTTGTGAGTAGGGAGGAGGATCCATAGTGAAGGCTGGGTTTTCGACGCCTTCGTCATTCTTCTTTGCTACAGTTTCATACTCAGGTAGGACATCGTCTTGTACGGCGATTTCATAAGCTGGCGGGTTGGCAGTTACGGTAAAGCGTTCGGTGATCGATTCTTCAGTGGGTGGCGGGACGATCGTGTCCCAATACGCTGGGAGTCCCCCTTCTCTATTCGTTTCGTTTTCTTTGTAGCTAGCGCGGATTCGGACGATGAGGATGTGGATCGCCAGTATCAGCATGGCAGCAGCGATGATGATGAGAGGGATGAAATACTCAAGTTTCACTTCCGCTTTTGGTCTGTAGACACGGTAGTTGTTGCGATCGAGGTAGACGGCTTCAAAGGTCATTTTTTCACTAGTTGTTAATTCGTTGTTGTCGAAGTGGAATTATCGAGTTGTTCTCGAAATTGTAATGATGTTGGGTTCACAGGAAGGATATTTATATTTCAATCCCTTCGGCGCTAGAGTGATAGTCATGTAATGAAGCCCAGCTGTGACGGAAAATCACTTGTGTTCCACGAGTACAGCTGATGATGCTGATCGCATCACTTTTGTCTTCTAAGGAAATGACTCCCCCTGCGATCAGTAAAATTCTAGATTGGGCGCAGCTGATGAGCCGACATCAAAAGTGGGAAACAGGAAAAGTACAGAAGTATCAAAGGAGTTTATTTGAAAAAAGCGATATTCCTTCCGATACTTCCTGATAAATTCAAAATTCAAAAACGTACCTGAGATGTTTCGCTAAATGTGGATCAGTGACCATATCATCTTCTGCGTAGCTAAATACATCTCCTCCTTCTGAAGTAATCGTGCCTAGCTTCACACACAATGGATATTTTGTCTCGTTAAAATGCTCGAGAGCGTGCCCATTTCCCCCGGATCCATCCCAATTCTTTCTTCCACACAGGAGAGATCCATCGGAAAGATTGAGCCACAAGTTTTCTGTGAGCTCGCATTTACAGCATTTCCATTTTGAAGGGTCGGAAGGGATTTTGACTCCGTTGTCGAGTTGGATGAGGTTGTCTGCGTGGATAGATTTTTTGGGAGGATCGGGTTTCCAGGCAGCCACTTCTGCTTTGAATTCGGCGGAAGTTGAGTCAAGAATTGCCTGAATAAAATGTTAAAATCGAATAATAACTGTATAAGAAACAGTAAGATTAACGATGACAGACCTGAGCTACTCTCTTGACGTATTCGATCGGTAGAGACTCGACAGGAAAGTATTGATCAGGATGGACATAAATCTCCTCTGTCTGCGTCTCTTTCCACGGCAAAACGTCGGGCTTGAACCCATCTTCACCACCAATTGCAAGTCGTTTCGCTTCTGGCTCCTCTTCTGGAGACTTTGTTAATCTGGATTTCTTGATGTTGAGAAACACTTTGTTCCCAGTTTTAGAAACGTAGTCTGGAATGATCTTGTAGCCGAATGATTTGAAGGTTTTGAGGCAAACGAAAAGACCCTAGAATTCTTAGATTGGTTTTCATAGTCTATTGAAGAATAAATATATTTGATAAAATGATGTTTCTTTATATAGAGAGGTATATAGAGAGCATTTCTAAACCTTTTCTGAGAAACAACTATCACAGGTAACGATACATTCTTCTTTGAAAATTTTATCATTCTGCGAGGGACAGTTGATTCCAGAAATGAGATCCTTAAACACTTTGAATTCATCTGACAATCCTTCCAAGTCACTTGCAGATGGCTTCTGTGGCACATTCGACTGCACTGGTTCCGGAGGCGTGAACTCAGCGTTGTAGTCTGGGTCATCAATGTGTGTGCAAAGCCAATCCATGGCCATCTCGACGTTATTTGCCGAGTTGAAGAGGGCTCTTCGGGAGGCATTGACTGGAAATCCCATCATTACAAGCTGCTCTACCGCTGCTTGATCCATTTTGATACTCTTTCTAAATGAAAAAGAACTTGAATATCGATAAATAAGTTTGCGACATAACTTTAGCTCGAAGTGTAGCAACAGTAGACATTTGAAAGGATGAAGACATTCTAACGGGCTTGTAGAAAAATATACACATTCAAAGTGAAAACGCATTTGAAGTAAAGGAAAGCACAGTAAGGTTTAAGATGAAAAAATAACTTTGTTCTTGGTTTTGTACTTTGTTTTTTGATTGAGAAATATGGAAAATTTGGACTAGGTACGAAGAAGCATCTGTTTTTTTTTATAAAAGCGTCCTGCTGTTTCCATTTAACATTGTGAAATACTGATGCATTAGTGCTTGGTCAGCGTTCAGACGACTTTGCGGATTCGGCATGAGCATCTTTTTCAGAAGATCAATGCCTGCATCGGAGAGAGTTGGAACATGCTCGGCCCAATTCGTCTGGGCAGGGAAACGGGGGAAGGGACGATAATCGGGAAGACGACGCATTGTTGGCCATTCGGTGTCTGTAGGGGTGCCAACCAGACGGAAGATGATTCTCAATTGGTCCTGAAGGTTGAGCTTGCGTAGTTTATTAATGGATTACCTCGATGTCTTGACCGGGAAAGAGCGGTGTGCCTGAGTTCGCAATTTCCGCGAAAATGCACCCAGCCGACCACGAATCTACAGTAAAAGTATACACGCGCGCGCCCATCAAAACATCTGGCGGCCTGTACCACAGCGTCACGACTTCATTACTGTATTGTCGAACTGGAAGGCCGACGGCTCTAGAAGTTTTATTAAGAGAAATCGCGCTAGGAAGACTGAGGTGGATCGTATTTTGCTGACCTTGCTAAGCCAAAATCAGCAAGCTTGAGAACTCCTTCGTGAATAAGTAGATTTTGCGGCTTCAAATCACGATGTAAAACGGACTTTGCATGACAATAAGAAAGTCCTTTGAGAAGTTGATAGAAGAGCGCGGACACTTCAGGTGCATGAAGCTTTCCCTTGATTTCAAAATAACGCTGTTTTTGGGTTGAAAAGAGTTCATTTAGATATTCCCAAGAAAGATTTATGAGCAGTTTCGGACAGAACGCCGGCCGCGTCTTAGAAATTAGATTAGCTCCTCAAAATGACGTCTGTCTAGCTCAGTATGTTCTCAGGACGGGTCGCAGGTCATATTTTTATCGTCAATTGCAAATTGAAAATATTATCTTGTTTTTATTTGGCAAAGACTCTCCTCTATTTTCAACCATACGATCTTGAGGTCGACAGAGCAGTACTCGAAAACGAGTGTTAATTTTTTATCCGTGTGTAGAACGTCAAGAAGTCGGACCACGTTCTTATGCCTAAGAAAATAACTTGTCTTTAATCGGACAGAAATTGGAACCTCAGTTCGCGGAGCAAGCAGATTTCACGCAGCGCTGATGATGGAACGCCTTCCTCGTCATCGTCTAATTTGATTCTCTTGAGAGCAACATCACTGCCGTCTCGGTCACGCCCGCGGAAAACTGTTCCGTATGTACCCTCTCCAATCTTTTCCAGCTTCTCATATCGACCCACTTTTGTCGATCCTCGATTTTCCATCTAGACAAGAATATTTGACTTCTTATTCTTCCTTGATTTCATTGATGCATTTAATTTTAAGAACGCCCTTGCAGAAGTGTCACTCAATGTTTGTTAAGAAACTTTATTTTGTAAAATTGTTGAGCATTATCAGATTTATACAGTATGGAAGCAAACAGAGTCTATCAAGTGCAGTCTGTCAATCTATTTCGAAGCACTGCTCGTAGCCGCATCCTCACTTTCTCTATCAGCGGACTCAGTTTTTTCTCCATCTGAAGTGGCACCTTCCTCAGTAAACGAGGATTCGTCAGAAGCAACCTGAAAAGGAAATCGATCAGTCAATGACTTCCAGGAGTCCTTTCCATTTTCCCGGATCAATAATTATCAATCCTCTTTTTGAACTCGTAAGTTACCTTTTTTAAGTCTAAAAGTTTCTTGTCTGTTATTTGATCAGTGATGTCGTGAGAGGCATTTCGACGAAGGCCGCCAGACGAGCGGCGTCGGGAACTCACGGAGACATCAGCTGTTGCTACCGAATGGGTTTAGTTTTTATTAATTATGATCAAATTTTGACGAAAAATAATCGACAAGCAACAAAAAACACAATTTGCAATTTTAATTTCAACCCTTCCTGTATCCGCCATTTCGTTGTATCCGCACCTCAGCTGGTAAAGCTTCAGAATTTCTAAAGTCTCTAGTTAACCCCGCTCACAGCCTATTGTGTTCCATTCAAAATAAATCCTCAAAAAGGAGCGAGAAGCGCGCCGGGCTCTCTTCTGAGGGCCTTAGATCAGATCTGGCCTCCCGTTCTTTCCTCCTGGGACTTTGAGATAAAAAACGCGCCCTTTTTTCCTTACTCGAGCAAAAATGTCAACTGGACATCAAAAATGATATCCTTTCCAATTAGTATCCGACCTGCTGACGAAAGTTCTTTGCCTGACATCTCTGGGCTCGCTCTATCTCTCCAGTAAATAAAAATTGTAGAACGAAAAATATACTCAATGTAACGCGCTCTTTGAAATTTTCAGAATTCGGCTGTGCGCGCTGTTGTGTGTGTGCCCGAACAAGCAGCATACACGGATCACAGGAGATATGCAAAAATGTTAATGACTTTGAGCAAATGCTGAGCAGCGGGAAAACCGAACATACTAAGCAAGCGCAAATAAGAAAAACGCGGTTGACATAAAATGGCAAAACATATGCACCGCTGACCCTCAATAATTAAGTTATCCAATTACTAGATAACATTTAACATATTAAAAACTCGCCTCTCTACTTACAATCACGACGACGTATCAAGGCTCTCTGTTTTCTTTTATAAATACTGTCTTTTCTTCTATTATTTTTCTTAACTAAGCCGCCTGGCTTTTGATACAGTAGCCTTTTGTCAGACCCTTTGCTTGGCGATTTTCCTCAGCGGCTGGCGCGTCTGCCAGTGCAGCGCAAGCGGAGGGTTGTCAACGACACAAACCTAAAAAACGAGTTGATATCGTAGACAATGCTCGGAATCATATCATACGCATATGAATTAATAAACGACTCCCTCCGCTCGCTTTTTTGAACTATCACTAGTTTATCCTTAATTAAAAATGACGATATTTATACTTCAGTCTTTGTATTTGACGGGATCTCAATACACGGAAAACTCAAACAGAAATAAGATGACCATCATCGCCGTATTTGCGGCCGAGCGTCGCCATTCTCGCATCGTGAGCCCTGATCGCTTCAGATTTTGGTCACTAATTGAACATAGAACAGAACCAGTTTAGTCTGGGATTAAAGATTTATATCGAGTATCGAATCTGGTGATTCTGGCTTGAACTCAGACTCGGTCATTAATTAAAAAAATGATCAATTAAACCATTTTTAGCGGACTATTGATCTTTTAGGAGCTTAAATATTAACTAATTTGCGCGTAAGTACAGAATCTTATCAGTGACCTTTCCTTTGTTGACGTCAAAGTGCTTGGTACTGTCTTTTGATTGTCGAGATTTCAGAGCTTCAAGTGGATTCACGGCCGCCCTCTTACGCTGATACAAGCAGGCAGCTGCAATGACGAAGGCCAGGACAACACCCAAAATGATACCAATCCATTTCAGCAAATTCTTGTTGAAGATGTCTTGTCGCGAGCCAAGAACGCGATCTTTGGTATTGAGTAGCACACTTCCCTCTGTCAAATTCACCAGCAAAATGCTGACAAAAATCAAAAATGTCATTTTTTATCCTTCTGTAGAATCAAGGGGGAAAACCGTTGGTTTTAATAAGGTTTTATGATTGCGGTAATAACTCATTAGAAGTCAATGAATGCAGAACAATAAAACACGAAGGGTTGAACGGAAATTTGGAAAGAGTTTATTAGGCCATCTTTTTTACAGCTTGGAGGATGCGGCCGCGGCGCATTTCGTGTGAAAATGCAACCATCGAACCGAGAAGAAAAACAGAGCCGAGCTGATGCGCCGCCCCGAGTGGAACTGGCACCTCGTATAAAAGACAGCCAATGCCCATACATGCTTGCAGGTAAACTAAGGCCATGGCAGCGTTTAAAAACATCATTGGTCGTCCAATTAGCCCAGCTAAAATGGAGCTAGAATGAAAATCAAAAACAGAAAAGGATACCTTTTCGTCCCATAAACCAGCACGATGTCACTCCCAAAATGAGAAGATGAGCGAAAGTCCTGTGGTTGAACTGCACGGCAGTCGAGTTTTCGAACATATTCCGGACTTTGCTGAGCTGCTTATCCCAGTAATCAGAAGGAATCCAATCATTGCCCATTTTGGGATAAGTTCCATACACCATACCAGCGTCGTTACCAGCAACGAAAGCGCCCGACATTGCAACAAAGAAAGTAAACGCTGCTAGGGCAATTGATTTCTTCTTGAGGACATTTGTCAAGCTAAAATAAAATATAAGGCGCTCGAGAATATAAAAACCGCTCACCGATGATCGGGAAGTGCTGTAGGCTGTCCGCGATTGTGAAATGAAATGTCGAGCGCGGTCCACAAGCTGCCAACGAAAAAGGTGAATGCTGTGCCCAAATGCGCGCATAGCCGATACGGACTCACTCGAACCGGGCCGTTGGGATCTTGAGGCGTTTCTAAACCAGATTTCACCATGTACCATCCAAGCCCGCCTTGAAATCCAAGCAAACATCCCAGACCGAGAGTACGTTTGAAAACTTGGGGCGACAATTTCTTTAAAAATACAATGAGTAAATCTATAGAAAAGGAGCAATCCAACCTTCGAAGCTGCGAATCCTAGAAATGGGAGAAGGAACATGACGCCAATAGAGCGGCCCCAGTTTCTATGGCCCCATTCCATGTAATAAATAAACTTGAATCCATCAAGAGTAAGATCAGAATGGACAGCTTCGTATTCAGGAAATGTCTTGTATCTTTCAAATTCTTGTTGCCACTCTTCTTCTGACGTTGGACACGTGATGTCTTTAATCAGATGCCAGCTTGTCATAGAAAGGCCGGATTCTGTCAGCCGCGTGATGCCGCCAAGACTGACAGCAACGATGGTCGCTCCGGCAATCCCATAAAGCCAGTACGCTACGCTTTTTGGGGTCTCTCGAACTGCCGCACTTTGACTCGTCTCATTGTGGGTTATAAAACAATAAGGTTTCCGCATCATTAGCTTGAATTCAACCCTCATCCCTGACGAATTGTGATTTTCAAAATCGGTCGTTGAACAAAACTCCTTCCAGCTCCGCAAAGTCGTGAGCAAATCATTCTGAAAATTGTCCCTTAGATGATGTTTTCTATGCACATGCTCTCTCTGCTAGTCTGCTAGTCGATTTTAAACCTTATTACCTGCTATCTATTCTCTGTCACTGCAAAAATCAATTAAGATTCAAAGGTATTTTGCACCTGTTACGTAACATACATGGAATACTCCAGAAGTTTTTTAATGCAAGATCGTTTTCGAATCAGTACGATTGGTTTTATTTATATTTATTAGATGATAGTCTCTATTGCACAATATTTATTTGAAGGAAAGTAGAACTCGTGTGTAGAACAGTAAGAAAATGGAACTGCTGGGAAAGAGTGATAATTGAAAATTATTCCCCTAGATCTGTCGAGGTTCCAGCCCGCCAGGTTTTTGCCATATCTTCATAGTACGAAGCCTGATACAAATGGTTATTATGGCTACTTATGGACTTCCTTTACCTGATACTGAGCAAATTTACTGAAAACATCTGCCAAGTCACGCGCGCTGCTGGTTATATTTCTGAAATCATCATAAAAAGAAAGTTCATCGATCAATTATTTACCAAGATCTCATCCTTCGCCTCCTCTTCCAAAGCTTCAAGATTCTTTGCTGCGCATTTCTCCGCGGCTTCGAACTCTTTTATTTCGACCTGAAGCTTCGAGATTCTTTCTTGTCGCTGGCTTTCGCTATTGCCACTCAACATCCCTGCGATTGTGAATTTTCCAAGACGCGTTGCGTTTTCGTCGGCCTTTGAAATCATAGAAAAATATGTTTTTCTTTGCATACCTTTTTTGAACTGATTGTTTCCTGGAAATCTTCAACTTCAGCTTGAGAAGCATCTCTTCTCTTCAGAAGTCTTTTTACAGAATCTGAGTAGCGACCATATTCAGTAAATACTGGCTGGATGTTTTCAGCAAGCTTCGAGTGAAGAGTCTCTGCGCATTCCTTTGATCCAGCAGTTGCAACGCGAAATTTACTGAAAATTTTGCGATTTGAAAACAAGGAAGAGTACCTTAATGAGTTGCAAAGATCTTCCTTAGTCTCGCTCTTCTCCCAATTGATAATGCTCGGCAGTAGCAAGTCATAGTAGTCGATATGTTTCTGGGCAATATTTCCGAGGACTTCTGTGTTGCGCTCGAGGCCCTCCATTCTGTGCTGGAGCTTTTCTTGTGTTTCGCTTTCAGCTGTCCATTTGGGCTTGATGGTCATTGGTGAAATGAGCTTCGTCATGTTTGTTAGTTTAGATGCAAATCCGGACGATTCGCTATTTTTGATGAGAGTTATAATTCAATTATAATCTTACCTTTTCCGAACGAGCGTGAAATCGCTGCTCGGAAGAGTAAGGAACTTTCGCAAGAATTTGGAACGAGTAAGTTTTGGATGAGCAGAGACCCGGCGTACAAACGCGTTGAGTTGAATGCATCGTTTCCGGACAAACTCGACTGAGAATTTATCGAGAATGCCTTTCATATGCTGTTTTGATGGGAGTGGAGGAATAAGACAACCAGGGTGATGTGTCTCGAGTTTCTCCTGATTTATTTTATAGGGCGCTTCTTCAAGGATGTCATTTTACCTTGAGCCAAATAAAATCCTGAAATCGCCGACGAATACATAAACTCGACGCGGCGTATTCCAACCTGGCAGTTTCCGTTTTCACCTCATACGTGATGAATGACTCCATGGGGGTTTGCGTTTTCTCGGGATTCGCAACAACGACTTCTAGTGGTCCACCGACTGCGTCAAGATGCTCTTCTTCCTCTGTATTTATATGATCGGTGGTCTTTTTAGAGGAAGATGCGTCAAGTGGATCTTCATCCTCCGGTAGAAGTGATCCGTTACCTCCAGTATCTAAGGAAAGAGGTAAAACATTTTCATCGAAGTGTGATTTACCACCACTTCCATCATGCTGCTGAAGATCATGCGCAATCTGATAGTAATTCCTGTTTAAAATCTTTGATACATTTTCATCTCTTTCGTCTCCGTTTTCAGCGACATTTTCTTTCTCGGCTTCAGCTTCTTCGCCAACAGGATCTGTTGGAACAGAGAGACTTACATCGTCAAGTTCTGGCACGGCTGTAACTGGAACAGGCGCGGGAACTGGAACAACTGGCGCCTGTTCTGTTTCGATTGGGCTTTCTTCAGAATCCATCTTTTATAAATAATTATTGCTCAAAGTTAAATCCTAGCTTATATTATTAGTAAATACAACAAATAAAAGTTTTAGTCAGTTTCTCGAACGCAACGATTTTAGAAATCATGGAAGATTTTGAAGGTAGGTATTTGGAAAGGCTTTTGAAGTAAAAGATGCAAAATATAAAATAGAGGTATGCTGAAGATAAATTTACTCACATTTTTCGGGTAAATAATCATTTCGGACAAAAAATCTGGAATTCAGTCGAGTTTTGGGAAAAATACAAGTAAAAAGTCAATAGAAGTAGACAAGAAAGACTGTGAATAGGTAAAGACAGCTTTATTCATTGGATGATTCATTCGATTTGACTATGCGCTGACGCAAATTCGGATTTTCCGACATGTCATCACTGTCCTCGTTTTTATCGTCGATATTGATGACCTGGACCTCATCTTCGGACAGTTTTTCTTCGGAAAGCTCTTCGATCTCGTCGGAAATTTTTTCGGGCTCCGAGACCTCCTCAGAATCGTCGTCGAATGTTTCTTCGGACAACAGTTCGTGCTTGATCTCGCTATCAGTAGGTGCTGAATTGGATGCCGATAGTGACTGAGATTCTTCTGCGTCCAGTGATTCAGAAATCTCATCCGAAGCAGTAGCATCGTCGTTTGCCGAACTGGAGATTTCCTCTGAAGTTTCTTGAGTAGATTCAGACTGAGCAGAAATGTCTTCAACAGCTTGCTTGTTGTCAAGGCAAAAGTCCTCAAAGATCTTTTTCATTTCTTCTTCGGGAATGGCTTTCTGAAGCGTTTCTGTCGCCTGGACGAGCTTGTTCAGCGCCTTTTCAGTTCTATCAAGCCGGGCTCGAAGATCATCGATTTCTTTCTTTCTGTCGGATGTTTTTGATGAGCCGTCGGCGTCTTTGTTCCTGGCTAAAGATGGGATTTTCTCACAAAAATTATGAAAGTTCATACCCTTGAAGAAAACATAAAGAGCGTATGCAAAAACGATGACAAGATAAAGCGGAAGAATGGCGCTGCCAACAATCCCACCAAGAAGACCTTTTGATTGTGCTTGTGGTCGGCCCCCGCCAAATTCGGGATTCTGAAAGCTTTGATATGAATACTGAAAGATGCGTGGATCAAACCATTCCAGGCGGAGTCTGCCAACCTCCTGGGTTAGGTGGTCCACCACCGCCACGACGAACCATCTAAGAAGTAAACTTGTGAGAATTCGCGGGTAGATTTTGAACTGAATGATGGAATATATTATATATTTTGGCAAGATTGCACTTATAAAGTAGGTTTTCAGAAATCACATTTCTAGCAATTGTTCAGTATAGGTTTGGCTACATAAATTTGAATAAACTTCGGGACTGAAAGCGTCCTTGTGCGAAAAAAGATTCTCTTGGACGTTCGAGATGTAGTCCTCGAAGTCGGCGTGAGGCAGAAGCTTTAGATTGTCGAAGACGTTTGCGTTGTGCTCGGCAGTAGGCGATGAGGGGATGGCCAGCACTTGGCCATTTAGTAACACTCGGTAAAAGCGAGTGGGATTTTGGGCCTCTTCCAGGTCTCGATAACGAGCCGCGAGGCGTAGGGGACGTGGACCCCTTGGACATGCCCGAGTGTTGAAAGAACAGCCTCTAAGTCGATGTCATGTCCTTTTAAAATAATAAATCGAAGGCTAAAAAAGGCACTTTACCTGCAAGGATTTTTAAGCGAGACTCTCTCATAGGGCGCAAAACATAGTCAAGTAGCATGGGATAGGCGGCTAAATAGCGTGAGCGGAGATAGTTCACGTCATTTGCACGGCTTTTGAATTGGGAATTCGTCGTGGAAAAGAAGTTCTCATAGTCTGCCATTGTTACGCAAGTATCTTCTCGTTCACTCATTCCATGGTCGGCCATACAAAGCTATAGAGGGAAACTTGATAATTAATGACTAAACTCTGTAAGTACTTTTGGAAGTCGTTTCGATACGCAATATCTAGCGGTAACGTAATCCGCAACAGACTCTGGATTTCTCCTAAAAAGCTATTGAAATCAAGGAAGAGTATCAAAGGATTACCTTCCGTCCCAATCATCTGCTTTGTTTTCTGGGTTCTCAAAAAGATTTTTTATATACGCCAAGTCGATGGTCCAAGTACTGTTGTCAATTTTCGGCGCCTTATTTATCAACAAATCGATAGAGTCACAGTTCGTCCTCGAGAAATGATAGTTGTGCGACACCCGTGTAAGATTAAATTGCGGCTTCTCATTTTGGCACCACTTTGGTTTGAACTCGAGCAAGAATGAAAGTAGCGACATGATTGTTCTGGAGTATTGGGTGGAGATGATTTCCGTATCTCGGCCGAAAAGCGAGCTGAAAAATTAAACAACCTTTCATTTCTCTTCTCTTACCCATATCGATATTTAAAAAATTGGCCAAGTTTCTTATGTTGTTTGATTCCATTCAAGGTCAGCTGTGCACTTTGGCACTTTTTATTGTCTCTGGCAAGGCCTCGCAAAAGGCTGATCGCAACGGGGTGTAAACAACTCCAATATCGCGAGATAAACTGATTCACCGTGGCGCCCGTGTTGCACTCTTTCCAGCTCAGGTTGCCTGAAAAATCAAAAGATTACGAGCAAATCCAATTTTACACCGCAGATCAAAAATCTTTGAAAGTAGAGCTTCGGCTTTCGCCGCGCCGAGAGTAAGTCTACCTGTTCCCATGGGAGTGCGTTCGCCATGTCGCAGGAAAATAGTAGCACCGACGAGATCGAAGTTCTTGGAGCTAAGATGCCCCTCCATGCCCGTGACTCGCTGATCTGGTTGATTGCAGTAAACATTGAGATCTGCAAGTAGGGGCTCTTGATAGTTGTAGCTCAGGCCTTCATTGTCGATAAGCTAAGACATTTTGTATTTCAAGCGAAAATGAGAGGGTCATACATTGAAAACGAAGAAGGATAGACCACACAATCCGACCAGCACCACGAAAAATCTTTTACCACGGCCAGGAACGACCATTATTATTTGACGAAATCAAATAGTTTCCATTTCTGAAGAAGGAAGTGATAAACATTTATTCTTTGATATTAATATTATTTAATAAGGAACCATAAGAGCCAGAATATAGAAGTATAAATGGTTCGGGAAGAACAAATAACTATTTTGCGTGAATGAGGAACATCTTTTGAGATAACGATTAGATTGAATATTTGTAACTAAAAACGTAATCTAAACTCTTACATGACGTTTTCTTCGTCTAAAATTGTCTATCGACTGTTTTGAACATGCGTCTTGAATTGAAGTAGACTTTGAAAAAAGTGAATGGAATTTCTTTTCAAAAGAAAATTCTGATACAGGAAAAACTTTCTCCGGAAGTTTTGGAAAAATTTGAACACCATTGAAAAGAACGCGAAATTTATCACCTTGGAAGAATTCGAAAACAATCCGGGAAGCAAAGGGAACTCGAAAATCGGGGAAGAAATCAAAGAAAGAAAGAATTGCACCAAGAGTAAGATCGTGCCCCGAGTAAAGTCGAAAGCTTTCGCTCTCAGCAAAGACTTGCTCGATAAGAGGTTTTACAGAAAGAAAAGAGTTTCGTTGATAATTTATATTTTTGACGTACTCGTGATTGATAGAAGAAACCATACTCGTAAAATTAGCGATTTCTTCGGCTGATAAACATTTATTCTGTTTAGCAGACGAAGAGTTTTTGCACTGATAAGAAACAATAGAAGATGAACAGCTCTCTACAAACAGCTGATCCGCAATGACATCTATCCATGTTTCTTTGAATAACTTCGTTATTTTTTGTCGAAAGTCAATCGAAACATTCGTCCATGTCTTTTCGTAATAAGAGTTTTTCAACAGGTTCGTGCTTTGGCAAGGTTGGGGATCAGCCCGAAAATAAGTATCTCTCGTAGGTGAAATTACACTGTTGGAACAGATAGAAGGATCGAAGGTTGAAAGCAAGGCCAAAGCAGAAAGAAAAGTCCTTGTATAAGTTGTCGAAGTGACGGTAAAGCCGGAGGTAAATTTTAAATAGCGGCTACGAAGATATCTACCAAGAAGCTTGTGCTGCTCGATCCCTAGGGAAGTCAATTGAGCAGATACACATTTTTCGGAAGAAGTATAGACTTGTATCTTTGAAGACAAATACAAACTAAAATGAAGCTTTAGTCAGATCAAATGTTAGGGCTTAAAATTACGTGAAGCATCCTTTGAGATCTCTCATCAATTCCATAACTGGCGTACGAATGTCGCAGAGACTTTGAGTAGTCTTCTTGGCTCGATTCGAATCCATAGCAGTACGATGGCCATGCCGAATGAAAACATGAATGCCAGTTAGCTTCTCTGGATCAAATCTTCCTTCTGAAAAATCTTTTATGTGATGCATTCCTTAATTTCTTACCGTCTCCGTGAGACTGTTCATAAAATGTTTGATTGCAGCTTCTTTCAGCATCAAAATCGTATGAATCCACTTCAGCCTTTGTTTCCTCAACAGTGTGACCTTCAATTTCTTCGTAACTTTCTAACAAGCCGGAGATAGAGATCTTGAAATCATCTTGAAAATCGGACTGAAAGACAGAGAAGGTGTAAATCGCGACTGCTATTAGAATGACGAAGAATATTGACTCCCTCACTTCACCCATTCGATCATTTCTAAACAAAGATTCTTAAAAAAATTCTAACTGAAATTATATTTAGAAATAAAAGTTGAAGTAACATAAGTGATTTATACATAAGTGCAAAGTTTTAATTGTTGAATGGAATCTCGAAGCTTTTGGATTTTTACAAAGTTAGTTAGCACGCACTTGAAGGTCCCATTTCAACGAATCTGAGAGCGACTGAAAAATAAAGGTGGATAGGCTTAAATACTGGACTTGGAAACTGTAAGCTGCTTGATAAGGCTTGATAAAACATCGACGCATGAAGACAGTTCTTCCTCGGAAAATGCAGCAGAAACTGTTAGTCTTAAAACACTGTTAATACGTGCTTTGATAGGTGGGGGACTCACCTAATTGAAATATTATTGCATGTTCTATCTTGGTCTAGTTTTTCGCCACTGACGAGCGCGATCCCTTGCGCTTGAGCTGAGGTGGGTTTTGAATTTAATCGGGCAATCTTTCTTTGGCTGTAGCTCCGAACTTTTCTAATAAACCCCCAACATATGACACATGGTTGGAAAGAGCTTTTGAGCTCTACAAACTCTGCATTGGAATTTCCGAAATCTATAGAAATTCCCGGTTTTTACTTACCGATTTTTATCTGAATTGCCGGTTTTCACCAAAATTAACAATCAGATCCTTTTCGATCTCCCACAGGTTGATAAACTCTGCATTTGAATGACAAATCAGCCAAAAATTACCTGTTTTCAGGCGTTTAAAATGTTGAAATCTAATCTGAATTCATGTCTCGCACTGTTCAATTTTCAAAAAATGCAACCCAGTAATGAAGGAAAAACTCCGATAAAACTGATTATATTTGATATTTTTGGAATTCCAATGCAGAGTTGCTAGATCTTTAAAAGCTCTATCCATACATGTATGATATGTTTGGTTTATGTTTTCAAGATCTGGGAGAGAGCAGGACCAAGATTGCCCGATTAAATTCAAAACCCACCTGACTGAACAAGCGATCTAATCGCATTGAGGTTTTCATTATTATTTGGATGTGTTAGAAGTAAGTGTTTGATAGGACTTATTTCGTCTCCGGTTAGATCGAAGGCGTTGGAGTGTTCTACAGCTTTTGAGCAGTTTGTGAAAGAATTTGGCATTTGCACGGAGGCGGCACAGCCGCGTCGGCTCATTCTGGAAGATTTTAAGAGCGGTCAGCGCCGCACGAGCTAGGTAAGGAGGTAGTGAGGCTGAGAAGCAATAGCCAAGCCCGGCTAGCCGTTGATGGTCGACAACATATGCCGAGCCAGCGCAAAAACCTCCGATTGAAGGGATGGCACGCTCAGTTTCTGCGCTGATCAGATCAATATCCAGCACATCAACCTAAATATAAAAAGAAAATGAAAAAAATAAACAACTTACATTCAGATGTTCGGTCAATCCTTTTCCGCTTTCACCGAGAACGCCAAACGAGTTAGACTCGTCAAGAAAGATTCTGACTTGGTATTTGTATTTGAATTCTACCATCGTTTTTAGTTGAGCGATTGAGCCTGTATTTTGGTAGATGCCTTCTGCGATGAGTATTTTTCGGGTGACTTTTGCTTTCTTTTTGGGGTTCTTGGCTTCAATGGCAGCTTGAGAATCAAGCAGTTCTTTCAAGTGATCCATGTCATTATGGCGGTACCAACGGATGGTTGAGCGCGAAGCTTTAGCACCTTGTTGAATCGCAAAGTTTGATTGCTCATCGATAAAAAGAATATCGCCCTTTTTTGCGTACGCAGGAATAGCGGAGGCGATTGTAGAAAAACCGTAACTATTATTGATTAAATATATTTGATACAAGCAATCTAGCTCCACCTGTATAGAATCGCTTCATCAACCCCTAGGAAGTTCGCCAGCTCGACTTCAAGGTTAATATGCGCATCAAAGGTGCCAAAGAAGCCTCTTGGCCCGCAGCTTCCGACGCCATAGTCTTTTATTCCCTCCATCCCAGATTGCACAACAGCCTCATCTTTGTTCAAGCCGAGGAAATCGAATGATCCAAAGTCAAGACACTCATCACCGTCGACGATAATTTTTGACCCCGGGAGCTGTTTGACGATTCGATCTTGCGGTTCTTCGACGATCGGAACGAGAGGCTCAGGTTCCCACTCATCTGCAGAAAAAATGTCGATGCTTATTTGTCTAACAGAAAATACCTATAAGTTTCTGTTTCTCCGCTTCTGTCAGTTCGGGTCTTCTCCTTCGATCTCTTTGGGGTCCAGAAAAGTAGAGCCAATAGATACAATAGATCAAAATCAATTCAATGCATAGGTGGTAGTATGGCACTGTTTTCAGCGCTTCCAACGTGAAAAAACGCTCCATTTTTGTTGAAAATAATCTCACGAGCACATTCTTAATTTTGGGACATAAAGACTTGAGTTGAATGAGTGATAAATCGTACGAAGATTAAAGTAGGTCTGGAACATGGAGCAGAAATTGAATGAGGAATAAGTTGGTTGAAAGCAATCTGGGCGCGACCAATGAACAAAGCAACTTAGAGTATCGTTTTCGTTTCTAGTGCGAAATTGCGCCGATTTAGCGTTGCTGTGGTCTCTTTGCTTTCGGCGTCGCGTAAGGCACAGAAAATGTCAGCCATTGATAGTTCTTCTTTCGACGGAATGATACCATCGATCTGAATACGTGCGTTTTTCTCTTGCTGGCAAAAATGCTGAACTTACAATAAGCTCTGAAGCTCTCCTAGGAACTCTAGCTAGTATTTGAGTACGATAGTCAAGCTTTTGCGCGATCGGGTTGTCCGATAAATCAACTTCAGTCAGCATTGGCAGCCTGTTCAAATGAGTTGCTTCGTCAATATCCTCGACTTGGTTTTTGGAAGCGTTGAGGGTCATCAAACCGAGTAAACGACCGATAGGCTTGAGGGATGAAATTTGATTGCCGGAAATGTTCAAAATCGAAATATTCCCAAGTGAGAGAAATGTGGGCGCGGTAAGACCGTTGTTTGACAAGTCTAGGATCGTTAGCTTCATCAGGGTTTCGAGATTTTCAATGTCAGTCAAGCGGTTTCCGTTCAGATTCAAGTTCTCCAGGTTTGGGCAGAGATCTGACAATAAATCAAAAGAGAAATGGTTTGAATGACTCACCCATGTTAAGATCGACTTTCTGCAGCTTCGATTTGGTGAAGTTAACTCGAGAGAGCATTTGCCACGGACCCGAATCTACGAAACGGAAATTATATAATATTGAAATTCTCTTTTCTGCTCTACCTCCATTCGCGAGGACGGTGCTTATCGACTTTGATTGTCCTTCAAAAGACAACACTCTCAGTGAGCTTTTCAAGCGATCGAATCCAGAAATATTCTCCGCGTAACAATGATGTAATGAGAGTTCGTGCGCTGCCGTAAAATACGCTACGCTGAACGCGAGTTTCTCCCGCGATAGGCTGCTGTGGTGAAGGTCGTTTTTCGAAGAGCCCTTTATTTTGACGGACTTGAGTTGGGAAAACTGCTGGACAACTTCTTGATAGAGAGGCGAATCTGCGGACAAGAAAGAGAGCGCGTTCAGTTGAAGGGAAGATAAGAGCGTCGATTTTTTCTATTTTGTTCAATAACATTAAGACATATGAAAACAATACCTTTTGCAAAGTAAGCGCTAACTCGGAGACAATAGAATATGGCTCAAAGGAATCAAGCTTGAGAAAAGTAACCAAGTCCATAGGAACAGTTTCGCTAACTTCCTCTATGACCTCATTCAAATATTTTTCCAGCTCATTTTTCCTAGACTGAAGGAAGTCCTCCGATTTGCGTATTTTCTTTGGTGGAATTTTAACGCCTTTGATTTTCGATTTGATATTGGAGTGCAGAGAATCGAATTCAGAATAGCGTTTCAGAACGGACCAGGTCCTGTCGGAAGTTTTAATAATGATTTTGTACCAAGCGACATCCTTGCTGTCGATTTCGAACGATTCAATGGAAATTTCAATCGGATTCAAAATGCTTATCGTTCTCATATTAGTTCTTTATCATTCTTTTGGTAACAATATTAATAATGGCATTTGAATAATTAAAGATTATAGTAAACAGATTATTTTGACAGAACATATAAAACTTGTGCGTAACGTTATGTTAAAGATGAATAATTACTTATCATAAAAACAGAACAGAAGGATTGCTAAGAGTAGAAGAAATCACATTGGTCTTGAGATTTCGTGTAGTCTATCGACTCTTTTTTGCACAGCAGCTAATGTATCTTCAATTGCCTTGAGCTTTCTTTGTGCTTCCTGAATACGCTTGGGATCAAACTTTGATGTATCCCGGCTCGGCAAGGTAGCAATTGTGGTCTGAATATCAGCCAACCTCGAACTCAAATCTCCTTGTCCCTTCTTCGTCCGCTCAACGGCCAGCTCTACTTCATCAAGGGACTGAAGCAAGCTATTGCGGATCGCTGATTCCATTCTGTTGGAGAAATAGTTTTACATAAGTTACGTGATAATGTGAGTTTAAGTGTATTTTAGGAATGGAAAAAGTGTGGCAGAATACGTGAGTGTTTGTCATTATTTGGTGATTTCTTCGATAATTGGATCGGTGAGATGGAAGAGAGTGGTCTTTTTGGCTCTTCGTTTTTCTGATATGCGACTTGTGTTCTTCAGAATATTCAATATTTGCCCCTGAAAACTAATTTTGGGCATTTTTTTTATAAAAATACCTTTGTATGGCCTTTCTTGAAGAAAGAGCATTGAGAAAGTTCTTTTTCGCTCAAGTTGTACTTTCCTCCGTCATCATCGTCGTTGAAGAAGGTTTGCGCGGCGAATTTCTCATCTGCTGTGATTTTGACCTTGTTCATGAAGCGACCCAAAATGTCGTACTTTTTGCGGAACTCCTCATTTATCTAACACAGGTTTCAAGCCTCAAGAAATCGTTTTGTTTCTAACCTCATCCATATAAATTTTCAGCTGCAAGTATTTGAGTCGCCCTCTATCATGCCTTGTCAATTTGTTGAACTCCTCTAAAATTTTTATAATTTCAAATATATCGAACCAAAAAACCTTCAGTCATCAGATTCATCTGAGGAATCAGCCAGCGTTTAGCGGTTTTCTTTGGCTTTCCGGTCTTTGAACTGACTGTTTTCTTTTTGCCTGTAACATTTGAGTCCTTCAAGGGTTGAATGTTTTCTTTGTCTTCTGAAGCTTTTTTTGTGGATAAAATCTCGCTCGGTTCTGGATCAGCATCTTTCAGATCGTATTCCGGATGATCATTCATTTGATCGCGTATAAATTCCATCCGACTAAATAAACGCTACTCAGAGATAGTGGTAGAATGATTTTACAATTTCTCTTTTCTCAAAGCATCGGTTTTTATTTGAAAATCATCAATTTGTCTTCGTATCTTATCATTAGCCTCCTCCATCTCCTCCAATATCTCTCGATAATGGATTAGGCATCTGGGCTCGGCAAACTGTGTCAGGAACAGACAGAGGAACAGGAAAAAAAAATTCTGTCCCATATTTTACACAGGTACACAGGTCAGGAAGCAAAAATATCCTGATTTTAGACAGGTACTCAGACAGGTTTTTTTACACAGCTTATCAAACAGGTTACACAGGTCAGGGCCTGCATGAACAGGTCTGAGCAGGTCAGAAAACAGGAAACAGGCCCTGTGACAGGACAAAAAACAGGATATTTCTGAGAAAAAATATTACAAAGAAACAAAAAGACGCGAATTTATCGGTTATTTTGATTGTTGAACTCCTTTTACGTCTTTCGCTATTGATTTCTTTAAACATTTTCCCTGACTTATGCAGTTCCTGACCTGGTTACACAGGAACCTGTCTACGGTCAGGACCTGAGCGGGAAACACAGGCCTGTTTAAGACAGAAACAGGAACAGGGACAGCTAAAGAGAATTTTTTCCCCAATTTTACACAGGTACACAGGACAGGCCCAAATTATTACCCGATTTTACACAGGTACTCAGACAGGTTCCCCAAAAACAGGAAACAGGACCTGTGACAGGTTTTTACACAGCTCAGTTTGCCGAGCCCAGTTAGGCATGATTGCACCTCCTCATCACCGGTAAGAATTGTCACGGTTGTCTCGTCGAAATGGGATAAAAGGGTATCCATTTCTGAAAGAAATTACCTCAGATGCTTGAGCCGATAGATTTCAAGAAAACTAATTTAGTGGTACACAGACTGTGAATTTATCAAAAATATAAGTTTATTGGGGTACAAAAATAAATATTTCAAGTTGAATGATTCAAAAAAGACAAATTTTCAAGAAAGTTCGGTTGCAGACTGGACAGCATTCGCCGTCTGAGCACAATCCCAGCCGCAGCATTTCATCAGGAACGGAACTTTTGTCTTTCCCCAGATTTCTGAGCACGGTCGCAGAACAGTATACGAGTTAGCTCCAGCAGAAGCCCCGCAAATATCACACGAGAATTCTTCATCTTCGGAATTTTGATTTTCTTCCTTGATTTCATCATCTCTTTTTACCAGCTTGAAGTCTTTCCAAAAAGCGACACGCATGAAGTTGTTCTTGAATTTGACTCGTTCAAGATTAAGCTTCATCATTTGTTTCGGGAAGCCACGAAGTTGATTGCCAGACAAATTCAGATACTTGAGCGTTTTGAGCTGGCCGAATTCCGGTCTCACCTCAGACAGATAGTTGTACGATAAATCACAATAAACAAGCGCCGGGAGCTCGCAAAACTCTTTTGAAATCTTCTCGATCTTACAAAATGACAACATCACGATTTTGAGCCTGCTCAATTCCCTGATTTCCGGAGGAATTTCAGTTATTGGATTGTCGCGTAATTTGAGGACTTTGAGCATTTTACAGTGCCAGAGTGCAGGCGGAAATTCCTCAAATGAGTTGAAAGAGAGATTCAGGTAGACGAGGCTCCTCTCAAGCGGATTGAGTCGTATGAGATGGTTCAAAAACCAGCCACGGAGAGAAAGTGTGTAACCACCATTGTCTTGGAAGGATTCTTCCACAACATGTTTTAGCGCTGACTGATGATGAACAACTGTTACTGGCGTATTCTCCCGTGACATTGCTTGGAACTGTGTAACCTGACTTGGTGGAGTACATTTAATCATTGCATCGATTGGTGTTCCGTGAAGCATCTCTCTTGAAATATTTCTACTGTTCAAATAGTCACGTGTCTCTTCTCTCGGCTCAAGTGTTATGTAATCTTCTAGTTCACTGACTGGACGTTTAATGCAGGGTGGAATCTGTTGTTCATATGATTTTAGGATTTTTTCTTGGAGAGCTTCGTTCTTGTTTGCTTGTTTTTCTAGTGCTTGTTGCTGGAGTTTGAACTGATGCAGAGGAATGCGAGTAGGAACGGGATCCAAGGTAACTAGTTCATTGATGTCCACGAAGGTTAGGTCGTCTTTGCAGAGAGTTCTCGTGAATGCTCTTATAGCACCAAGCTGCTTTGTTCCTCCGAATGTCCGTACAGGTTCAATCTTTCCAGCATAAGAAAAGTCTGCTAGTTCAAATCCTGGTTCTTCAATTTCATCAAAGTCTTCTCTATCATCAATCTGTTTGTAATAATGGAGCAGGGAGTTTTCTTGCATATTTGGTTTGTTCCTTCGATATGGGAATGGGTCGGGACCAGTATCAAGGACGTATGATCGCTGCTGCAGCTTTTCTTCTTTTTGTTGCTTATATGCGGGCTCCATCGGTTTCTGAAATGTTTTCATAGAGTAAAAGAATGAATAGACAAGTTTTACTTGAACTGTATGCCGCGATGAAGACTGATCATCCCGTTTCTCTGTTGCAGGAGTTGTTGTGACTCGATGATGCAGAATTTTTGATTTAAAACTAGCATCCGCTGTCATTTCGCTAAAAATGGGTTTGTTGCAAGGAAAAAATGAATTGCTACCTTGTTGGCGATCTTTGTCGCTCATGCCTGATTTCTTCCGCTGGGGGATCATAAGGCACGGGCGATGGAGGTGCTGGTCTCGGCCTTCGTAAAAGCACCATTTCTAAAAGTAGATAAAATCAATAGAAAGTCGAATAGATTTTTGAATGAAGAATCGGCAGTTGGTACAGAAAATACACTTGATAAATTTTACTTTATCTGAATGGAAGAAAGAAACTGTGAAAGATCATCATCGCCAAATTTTGACACATAAAGCTGCTTGTATTCATCAGGGATGTGCAAGAATGGCCCTTTTGGCGAGGTTGATGTTAGAATTCGGGCATTTTCAACTAAAATAAGTCGATTTTATTCTGGTCGTTATGACGATTTTTACCTTCAAGATGTCTATAAATATCCCTAAAAAGCTGATCGTCTTGTCTGAGCGCCGCGTCAAGGTACTTTTGACTCTTGAAGTTGTCGTAGTTTCGCTCTGCCAAGTGGTATTTTAGTGCTAAAGGAATCATTTTACATTTCATTTCATGCTTTACCTTGTGGGATGTCGCCCTTATTGAGAAGAACCTCTGCAACATGAAGATAATTTTTATCTTGCTTGAGAATATCCAAACCACTTGCTTGTGTCTCAGGATGCGCCAAAAGTGCGCATGCTACTGTACTTGTCGACGGGAAAATGCCACACTGCAATAGTTGTTCGATCACAATGGCTAAAACAAACTTAGGATCTATTCTTTCTAGAGATATTCTAACCTTGACCACTTTTTAACAAGCAATCGATAAGGAAGCAAATTAGGCGTTCTTCTCCGTCCTTTTCAATTTTGTCCAGTGAACGAAGAAAGAGCAACATCAAATTGCTCAACTCTTCTCTCGATACGCCCTCGGTTAACAACGGTTGGAAAACATGCAGAAGAATATCAGTTTGAGACAAACTTGGTTCGGGCTTCATCGTCACAATTTGATCAAAAATACGACAAATTCGTTCTACAGGTTCCGACTTCTTGATTTGACTGCGCAAAATATCGAATGCTACGGCCTTGTGAAAACGTCTGCGAAGCAAGAACCGGAAGAATAGTTCATCGTTCTCGAAAAGTAATCCGATTTTGTCGAGACGTAGCTCGAGTTCCCAGAGTTTTCCGTCGCGGACGTCTACGATGATGTTTGGAGTGAAGTAAGATATTTGAGGAATGTAGATTCCGTCTTTAGTTGTTTCACCAACGCTTTAAAAATATTATAATTTATAGATAACAAAAATGCTGAAGAACTCACCATGATTTGACTGGTTTTCCAGGAACCATAGGAGCCAAACCTTTGATGCTCACAATACTGCCTGTTATTGATGGGCCATGCTCAGACGGGATCGCGCGGACATCGAAAACAGATGTTGATTTCACCTGCAAATTGTGAACGACAACAAGACTGTCCACGACATTTAGCGTGTAAGAATCTTTGGCGGACCCGAGAATCATGAAAGCCTCTTCTGTGACGGAATTTTTCTTCACTTGGTGCAGAATAAGCCGAGTCTCGTCATTTTGCACGATCAAATGACAGATGTAGGTCGTTTTGTAAAGCTGAACAAGCCAAACTGCCTTTTCTTTCAAGCTTGAGACTCGAGGAATGTCGAGCTTGGCGATTTTGGTTATGCAATCTTTGCCATACAAATATGCCGAGATCTCTTGGCCAGTAGAAATGACGAAGACAGACGACTCCTTCGAATACTTGCACCAAGCTACGGAAATTTCTTGCTTCGAAAGCAGTTTGGATTTCGCTGTGTTCACGGAAATTTGAATGAGTTCCAATGATTTGGTAGTGACAAGTGCCAACTGGTCGTTTTTCAGCCAAAAGTAAGAAATTATTTGTTGCTTGACAGAAGGAGATACAGACATATCTGCAATTCCAGACGAGTTGTCCTTGAAGAAAATTTCAAGAGAGACATGAGAGCGTTGCGTTGCAACGAGTCCAGAATCAGACAGCTTAATCGCATAAATCTGACCAGTCGGTTGTAGGTGAATAGTTTTCTTCGGAATGTGTGCCTTGTGAGATGTGACTGTAAAAGAAACGTTCGATGTTACAGAAAAAGTTAGCTGTACCAGTAATGGTTCCATTTGAATCAACGGATAGAATTTCCCGCCTTCCTTCATCATAGAAAACTGCATTAGCTGTTGAAGCTGGCCCAAATTTGATTGGTCTGGTAGTTAACACCAAAAACGAACCTTCAGTGTTGTTTACTCCCATTCTAGTTCCCGTACTTTTTAAATTTAACTGTTAAAAGGGTTGAGATAAAGAAATGTGTCAATTGGACTGGCAGCTGTGATATGAGCAGATGAAATACATGTATATTTTTATCTAAGACGGCCACGACAGGCCGAGGTTCCGCAAAAGCATTTGAGGCCCTTTTCTGGGTCGGGATCGATTTCATATCCGTAGTCCCAGCAAAGCTCTTCGCCCGCTTTATACAGTTATTTTCATGTTAGAAGAATTGAGCTACCTTTTATATTTCGTCTTGCAAAGAAACAGACAGTTGGTACACGCAAATCCGCAGTGTTGATAATAACGTTCTGTGTGTCCAAATTCGGCGCACATGAATGGTTGAGGTAGCGACCAAAGTTGCCCTGATGCTTGGCATCAATAACGTACATGATGCGCTTTCCTCGATCTTCTTGTGGCTTCAACTCCTCCTCAGTTTGGAAATACTCACGTGTGCGACTCCACTCTTCGTCTTTTGATTGCTTTTGAAAACTGTCAAGATACTTTTGAAAACCAAAAAAGATAGTATTTAAAAACACCCCTGAGTCAGTTTCATTTCCTTCCTCTGTCTTTTGAGCTTTCTTCTTCGGTTTTCCCTTGGCTTTCTTTGGCGATTTCCTCTTTTTTCGTTTTCGCGACGAGCGTCGTAAATTCCCAGTTTCAGACAGGGTGGATCCTATCAGCTCATCGGCGCGAGGAACGAATGCCTCTTCCTTCTTATCATCAGGTTCCGCCATGCTGTTACTCTCCTCCTCACTTTCTGCTTCACTTTCTTGCCCAGAGTCATTATTCTTGTCCTTCATCATTTTCTTGAGGTTTTCACCAGACTCAATAAAGTCAAGATTCGCGAAGTATTCATCACCAAGTTTTCTCCCATGTCGTTCGGCCTCATCTTCGCTGCGCACAATGCCCGCGTAGATGCAGATGAACGCACCAAAAGGAATGTCACTCATTGTTCTCACACCCCAGCCTTTTTTGAACGTTTTGTAGAGCTGAAGATCCTGGCGCACACCTCGTTGGACGATAGAGTTTTGGCAAGGCCTCTGAGCGCATTTATTGCATCCGCAATTCACGTTGCATTCAAAGATGCCTGTGGCAAGGATGTCAACGAGTCTACCGTATTCGTAGCTTTTGTATAGAGCATTTATCTTTTGAGCACCTTCGTAGGTTAGTCGTTTGCATGGGCAATTTGCTCGGCAGCCATCCGTACATTGACAATTGACGAGAAAATCTCGCTCTACATTGATTCTAGCGCTACGATGGAGAATCGGCCGAATCGAATAAACCATACTAGGTGGTCTATCTTTGTCCACTTGGTTGTACATTGGAATGGGTCTGTTTTCTTTCCCTTCGGAGAAATCCTCACATATGAAGCCCTTCAGCTTTGCTTTGTCTACCCGTCGGTTGATCTGAACCTTGCTATCGAAGGAAAAGCAATCATGCTCGAGAAACTCCGTAAGAGAAGTTGCCACGAGGTATTTGTCAAGCTCTGCCCTATTTTTGATATCTTTCTTGCACGCTGTTTTGTAGTACATGTTGAGCATATCATGAGAAAACTCCGCATGCTTGAAGTTCGTTCCGACTCTCGGAAAACGTTCAAACCCAAATAGCATCGGCCGTAACAGCGGTGGATATGATTTAATAATCTCCGCAGGGTCTGCTAAATCGACCCATCCAGCACATTCAGTAGAGCAGTTGTGGCTGGGGCCAGTTTTACCAGGTTTGACCATTGATTTTGGGAGAGGCAAGTACTTGAAGTCGAGATTTTCAATCGCGTCATCGTCGCCGGTTAGATCACAAAAACCTGTTGTCCAATCTGCAGGTCCTCCTTTTTTGGCACCTTGCTTCTGCGCAATATTTCCGAGTCTATTTGCAGGGGCAATTAGTCGTTTACTTATTGACTGGACTTCTTGCTGAGTGTGGGGAAAGAATCGGTCAAAAAGCTTCTTTATCTGGAGAGAACCCTTAAATATCCACTCACGATAGATGTGTGCATATGGCTCGGTCGAAAAAGGAGCAACTTTCGTATTGAACTTCCACTCGAGAAGAACCATGTTGCAGTCGTAGTTTACGATTTCTGCTGGGTGGAATATCCATGTTTTCTGCTGCTCCATGTTCTCATGATTTTGTGCCTGATGTTGAAAGATACTAGGCAATCGACACTCAATCACTGATACTCCAGGGGGCGTGTTTATCATGCAGGAGATACTCGGCTTGTACTAAAGAATTTTTGTGTTGAAAATAGAATCATTTTTATACTTACATTATTTTTAGGCTTTGGCGCAAGAAGATTATTGATCATATATCTATCAGAGAATACCCTGAAGTGCTGTCCTTTCTGCTTTCGCAACCACTGGTTATTGTTAATACTAGCATTGCTGATTCGCTCATAAGGAAATTCGTTAAAGTCGCCGTTCATTAGGAACTTGCTCACATAAGTATCGGCAACAGCGCGAATTTTCTCCGGGGCAACATATCGCCAAATTCCACAAGTAAAGAAGACACAAGCCCGACCATTATTCGGATGACGCATCTTATTACTCTTCGGTATTTCGACTACCAAGCCGGGATACAGCAACTGATTTTCAACTTTAAGTTTCGTGTTGAACTTTCTCTGATGGTAGTGTTCCTCCCCTTCGGATATTGGATCCAGAGGAGCGATAATCCGCTGCCCGAGACATATCTTTCCTGGTTTCAGAGGAAACGCGATCCTCTTGTAATCAACGACAACTCCGAATTTGTGATCAGGGATGCCTTCAAGACCTGTCAGAGAGACATGGTACTCTGCTCTGTCAATGGCTCTTCCTTTTCCATTCGCAACTAGAACTTTTTCAAGGCGACCGGTAAACCACTGAGGGACAGTGAGTTTATTTTGCAGATCCCAATAATTTCGATTGAGGGACATGTCACCACACTTGCTCGTTGGCATACATCGACGAATGAGATGCGGCATTTTGTGCGTTTTCAGCCAAGTCTCTTCCACAATAACGTAAATGGAGTCGCCAAGCGTAAGATTTCCATCCAGCGTAACCTCTTTTTCTTCCAGAGGAGAAACCGTCTCAGAGTTAATTTTCTCTTGAATAGTTTCAGGCGGAATAGTGAGTTCTCTTTCCACATTTTCTTCCACCCTTTTCGTGAATTGTTCAAGAGCCGTCTCCGTTTTTTCGATACACTTCTCAATATTTTCGAAATCTGCAAGGACTTTTTTGATTTCTTTATTTTCGTTGTCTACCTCTTCTTTTTTCTTTTCTATATCTTTCTGGTTTTTGCTTTCAAAGGATCACAATTTATTCAACAGTTTGAATCAAAACTACAATAAATTAAAATTTAATTAATTAAAGATGAAATTAAAAAACTTTTTGCAGCAAAAAAATTGACCCATTCATTTTTTGGGCTCTAAAGAAAGCCCGGAAAATTCTGACTCGATTGGTCAAAATTTGACCAAAAAATACCAGACGATGACGTCACAGGGGACCTGAGAAGATGGCAAAAATAGCCATTTTGGGCAAACTTTGAGTCACTTTTTAGATGCCTTTCAGTTGGTTATTTTCGGCGTGAAATAGCTCAAATGAAAGCTTATCAAAAATTAAAGGTTCATTTTTGATATTTTTTATTTTTACAAAAAAAATTTTTTCAAAAAATTCTAGAGCCAAATTTTTTTGAAATTTTCCGAAAATCATCTAAAATGAACCTTCAGTTTCTCCTGAGCTTCCATTTGACCCATAGAACACTTGAAATATCCATCGGAAAGGCTTTCAAAAACCGACTCAAAGTTTTCGGTTTTTGGTACCTTATGACGTCATTTGTGACGTCATTCTCTAGAAAATTTTCCTCATGGGAAAGTGGGTTCGACTCAGAATTTCTCGCTCTTTCTACTGAGCTCAAAAAATCGACAAGTCAAAATTTCTGCTGCAAAAAGTTATTTAATTTCATCAAACATAAATTAAAATATTAAATTATAACCCGTAACAAATTGACTCTAGTTTCGCGCTGTTTAACTTCTCAATTTCATCGAATTTCGTTTCAATGAAGCTCTTGAAGTCTTGCTTCTCAAGGGCTTTATCAATATCTTCTACAGCCAGCATGTACTGTATGAGTTGCTCATCATCCGGAGATTCACAATTCACTTCTTTTGGGACAATTATGAGATCATCGTCACTGGAATTCCCCTCATCGCTATTTATCACTTGATCGACTGGACCCTCAGGATCGCTCATTTACCGACTCGAGTCTAAAAACGAACATCGTTGAATGTAAAACATCACTCGATCTTATTATCCATGGCGACAGTTATTTGAACGGTTTGATTTTTCTTGACAGGCTGCTGCTTCGGCTTCTGGCGCTTCGGCTTTCGGTGGTGCTTGTTGTGTTGAGCGTTATCTTTTCCTACCAAATCAGCGACGAGATTTTTTAAGATGGAATTGTTGCGAATATCTTCGGGGTGTTCGAGAGTCTCTGGAAATACGTAGAGTTCATCGTTGTCCTGGACATCAGTGTCCTCGATAGTTGTTAGCACCGCGTCGTCTTGATATGTTGGGAAATAAAACTAAAGCATTTCTAAGAGATCCGTTTAACGCTTTTACCTGGGGCTGATTCCACTCTTTTGCCAATATTTTCTCCGTTATTTCCATCACATCCAAATCATCGCTCTCGTTCTTGAATTTTTCCATCCTCAGCCAGTTGATAAGCTTGAACTGTTCATAATAGGACAAGCTCAGCTGGCTCTTGATTTTTTCATACTCGAAGTCATGCTTTTCATCCAAGTGACTGATGAGTTTTTTGTAGCTGCAAAATACTTCCTCACAGAAGAAGCAAAAGTGCTGATCAATCGGTTCAGTACCGATTTCTTGCCAACTGGCCTCGTCGTCTGAGTCGTCTTCTTGGTTCAGTTGCGTCCAGCGCTTTCCGAGTTCGAGGTAGTTTACTAAATTTTTGATCAGATAATGATTTTCTCACTAGGTTACCCAAATAAAATTTGTCGAAGGACCTGTCTTCTTTGTTCAAAGCTCTGTGCGACTTCTTTCTCATGTGATCCTTGAGCGTCGTTCTATCTTTGAAGCATTTCGTACAGCTCAAGCACTGGAGCCCATCTAGTCGTCCCCTTATCGACTCGATGAAATCGTCAATGAAGACCATGTTGTCTGGGTGTCCAACATTGAAGTGATGCTTCTCACTCATGTGATTGAAAAACTCCTTGACTTGGCTATAACCACCGGTGAACTCTGCCGAGCAAAAGAGACACATTTTGTTAAAATTGTCTCTAGATCGATCTCGTTCTTGATTTTCAAGAATAACGTCCAAGCGCATGTGATTCAAATGCTCTCGCAACTGACGATCTTCTGGGACTGTGTCGCAGAGAAAGTAGTAAAACTCGGATTCGAAGACGTCATTGTCGCCCGTGTTTGTTTTCATAACTAGCTTATGAATATCAGTGGTCTTACGTGGTCTGTACCTGTACAAAACTGAAGTAATGCCGCCTCACTCGTAGAAAAATCTTTAAATCTGTTCTTCCAATAGTTGATGTACGAGCCAAGATCCCAAATCAAGTTAACATCTCCGATGACAAACTTGTGTTCGATAAGAAGATGTCGTAGGAAATTCTGCGAGCAACCGAGATCGAAAGTCTCTTCACAGAGAAGGCACGCAACGGGCGAGAAGGGCTCATCAACGATGTCGCACCGACGAGGCAAGGATAGCACTTCCGCGCTAGGTCTAGGATGGGGGGTGATCGCTGGAGATCCGAAATGAGGCGCTCGAGATGAATCACCGATGAGTGGAGCGCGGGTTGTTTGGATCTCCAGAGCGCGGAGATCGAAGCTCGATCTCCAAATGAATCCCAGGGATTTTTTCGATCTCCAGTTTTCGGTGATCGAAGCTCTGAATTTTCTCGAGCATGGATTTTTCTCGATTAAATTCATATTTTGCAGGGACTTTGCAGGTCAGTATCTCAGAAAATAGTAATTTCTAATGCTAATCTTCAAGAAATTATCGCTCACCCGCCGAGCTGAGTCTTTGGAAATAGAAACCGAACCAATTTTAGAAGTATGTGATTTCAAGTGTTGAAAAATTTTGAAAACCATCCTATTGAGAAAAATACTCGAGCAGAGATATTAAATAGTACATTTTTTATCCAAAATTACAATCCATGCACTTGTTTTGACAAAAGATTTGAAATCTGCACTGCAGAATTAGTATTGACTGAGATTTTTAAGTTGATCCGGTCAGTCGCTTCTGATATCAGTAGGCAGGCATAAGATTGTTATAACGTGACTCATCCGACTTCGGGGATCGAAAATTTTTGGATCTCCAAGAAGTGGAGATCGAGAGTGGTGATCGATCACCGCAATTTCGGGGTGGAGATCGCGCGGATCTCCACGCAATCGGAGATCCAAACAACCCGCGCTCCACTCATTGGTGATTCCTCTCGAGCGCCTCATTTCGGATCTCCAGCGATCACCCCCGATCCTAGACCTAGCTTCCGCGATATTTGTTTTGGCCATTCTACTTACGCAATTAATTTAATAATAATAAGACATTGCTTGTTATATTGTTTCTGTATTTTTTTCGCAACATTCGTAAAGATTCGTTTATGAAGTGATTAGCACAAAAGTAAATATCCTTGTAGAGATTTTTTTTATAAAATAAAGAACATGTAAAAGTGTTGTTTTGAAGCAAAGGCGAGGGGAATATTCTTGAACGGCTATGTTTCACGCAAGGATCGTTCGATGGCCAGCCTTGTTTCTTCGTCCAAATCCATGCCGAGGTCGTCACCTGTAAAAACACCTGTGATAAGTACTGCGATATAAATAAATGATAGGCCAGTAACCTAGATATTTGGCGCCCCTCCTCTGCTTTTAAATACAATGAGTGAAAATAAATGGTCACTTTTGATAAAAAATGTCCACATGAAGTTTGTATACCACATAAATGCCGATATTATTCGGTTTTATATTTTACCTGGCCCTGTATCCTCCGTTGAAGAAGCGAAAATCTCCGCAGCAGTGAGCCATTCAGAAGTATTCAGAAACTGGAAGAGCTTCCCATCATCCCCTTCTCGTATCGCCTCGAGAAGCATCGGCAATCTCATCTATTAAAAAATACTGGTAAATAAATCCCCTTTAAAAATTTTACCTTTAGAGGTAGAGTATCATTACAAGCAAAAGCGATGATCAAGCTAAACTCTCGAACAGCTTCGTGGACGTTTTCTTTTCCAAAATGTTTTAAATAAAGAGCAATGTCTTGTATCGTTGTCTTTTCTCCATCGAAGCGGAAGCCGCGTTTTTAGCTGTTACTCGGTAGTCCATTTTTACTGCAAAGTTGCACCCCATCTGAATACATGGTCAGAAACGGTTATCCTTCGCATGATCTTACGTCGGTCAATAAATATTCAATAGGCAGTGGTCGGCCAATTTTCGTGACATCATTTCCATACTCATCCTTTTCGCGGAATAAGATATCGGGACAGTAGAGATCGTCGGTACTTTCTCGAGTGTAACCGTATTCAGGGGCATCGATCGTTGGTACGATTGTTCCATCGACTGATAGGGACTGACCCTTGCTTGGAGGTAATTTTCTTGAAAGGGGCAACGTCAAATTACCTGATTGGAAACTTGATAGCCTCGGAAATCGATGGTTCCGTCTTCTTTTCCTGTAACAATAACTGTGACAAACTTTGAGCCATAATATCCACATGAAGCAAGTCGGCAGGGATTTGGATGCGAATCCTGAAGTCTTCCGGCGATGATGCACTCTTTGATTCAAATAAATTATCGCAAGCTTTCGCTAACTGACCTTCGGCAGTGACGTAGTGGGTATCTTTATTGCGAACATCTTTAACTTTCCCGTCCTTGTCCGGCACTAAATCAGTCACAATCCAACCAACTCGTTCGAGGCCCATTCTTTTCGCTATTTCGAGGATAGTTTTCTCGTTTTCGTCGTCGCACAGGGAAATTTCATTTTTGGCCTAAAGAAAAGAGTACGAATAAAAGTAAATAAGATGCTTACATGAGTTGTAGGAATGGGATAAATCGTAAAAACATTGCATTTGATTCCAAAAGGCACATCTTCATGGACGTCATATTTTCCAAAGAGCCATCCAGCCTGCTGCTGCCCAGTACTCCTCCAGCGCTCAAGGAATCTGTCCATCACTTCTCGATTTTGGAAGCAGACATTGTCCACGTGACGGTAAATTTGGCGGTTGAGCGTGATTGCCGTCGGCATTTCGGACAACGCACGGGTGTTTTCGCCTTCTTTGATTTCTCGAGAGGTTTTGAGTTTTTCCAAATTGACGAATTTGCCCTTGTCGATTCCCGAAGTTATTTTTCGCATATAACTACAAATGCTGTGACTAATTAATTTTAGATTTCCGTTACCTGTGAAAGGAAAGAAATTTGATTTCCTTCTCTTTCAAATAGCTTGCATCCCATGGATCTGGAATCAGTTGGTCGACTTTATTCATGCCTTTCTTCGAGCCATGATCCCACTTCTTCGTCCAAAGTACAACATCAACTGGATCCTCCGGCACATCCTTTCTAGCTGCAGTAGCATTTGCCGGTTCGGGTTTTGACTCTTGCTCTGTCACATTCAAACCAGAGTTGAAGAATAAATACACAATGTCGCCATGCTTGAGGCCGAGGCTCGTTCGGGATGTTTTCTTGATCGCAGTTTTCTTCTCCCTGTCTTTGTAGAGCGTCCATGCTCGATCTATCTTGGACACTTCGGTCGTTTTCTAAGCTCGGCTTTAAAACAATAGCTTTTTTATCAATAAATTTCTTATTTAAAAGCCATTCCTTATATAAGTCGCTTATACTAGCTGATTCGCCTAGATTAACTCGATGCATGCCTTCCGGACTCTGCACACGGATTATCATCTTTTTCAATCTTAATTCAGTCCATTGATAGAATTTCATCAAAATATTTTCATTAAATAAGGCAGTGGATAAAACTGTGAGTGAAATGGTAAAATATTCTAGTGCAGGAATTGATCTAGAGCAAGCCTCGTGATATTTTTATTCTTTTCTAGAAAACTGACGAGCTTCTTTGTGATGTCGATCTTTTCGATGGTTTTCTTGCAACCGACGAAGATCAACTTGTATTGTGCCCGAGTACAAGCGACGTTGATTCGATTTACTGACTCTAACAGCTCCGAGTTCAGCTTGTCTACGTCCATGTCAGGGATCGATCGTACGAAGGAAATGATGATTATTTTGTTTTCACGTCCTTGAAATTTGTCGACGGTGTCAATTTCAACGCCTTCTTCTGATTCGAGCTTTTCTCGAAGTAGCTCGATTTGAGCTCGGTACGGCGCTAGAAATTTTGTTCAAAAGAAAGGTGCGAAAAATGGCTCACCAATTATCCCAATGCAATCCTTCTTGATCTTCATGACATTCAATCTCTTGACCAAATATTTGACGATCTGAACCTCTGTCGGGTTCGTGTAACCTCTTCCTTCGATCTTATTTTCCAAGCCAAGCTTTTCTGAGGTATCAATAAATGTGATTGTTTTCGCCGGATCAATCGCGTCGTTGAGCCAGACTTGCGATTCAGAAGACTTCCAGCTCTGATGCACCGAGAGCAGTGTTTGGTCCTTGTTGCCCTCACCACATTCCATTTTCCCCTCGTAGGTTAGATGATTCGCTAGGGCAGTGATATCAGCATTGAATCGATACTGTGTTTGGAGCTGTCGCAAGGAGTCGGGATACGCTTTCGCTAGTCTTTCCATAAGTGAAATTTGAGCTCCATTCTGTTTAGCGCTGCGGGAATGGATAAGGGGTGGAAGCTGGCAAGGATCGCCAACGAGAATGAACTTTCGACAGTGCACAAGAGCGCCTGTACCGGGCTTCGAAATGGAAGTTACAGTTATTTCAACGTTAAAAAGGCACAACGTGACCAAATTAAGTTACTTTTTCGAGCCTTTCCTAAAACAATTGGCTCAGAAACTTGTCCAGCTTCATCTACAATCGCATAATCAACTGGCCCTCCAGTGAAGACAGCATGTCTTGAGACACCCATGCATGTTCCAGCAACCAGTCTTGCTTTTTCGTACACATTTTTGTAGTCCTCATTAGTCTTGCAATTCGCGAGCCGGGTTTGTTCTGATACATGCTGTACAGAAATCTCGATTTTCTTGTCATCACCAATTCTGATCGTCTCCTTTACTTGCTGCTTTGTCATCTTTGGTAGAACTCTAGTCAGAATATTGTCGACTGCCGAGTGAGTGTGCGATGTGATGAGTACTCGTTGCCCAAACGCCAAAAGAATCCGAATCAGTTCTACAATTACGCTTGTTTTTCCAGAACCAGGAAACCCCTGAATCAGCGAGTAGTTTTTTGCTTCAAGAGCCAACTTGATTGCTCTCTTCTGGTGGACATTCAGTCTTCCTGTCAGCGCTTTCTTCAAAGTATCTCGCGCAAACTCATAAGTCTCCGGAAAACTCTGCTTTACATTTTTTCTATAAGTAGGAGCGTTCAGGAGTAGTTTTTGTAATTGTTCGCCGTATGGAGATGCGTAAAGCATGATATTGCCAAGCCAGAGAGTTGTGTCGAAATTTCCGCCGCCAGCGCCTTTTCCGAGATTCGCCTGGTAATCCTTCTTCTGCGGAAGACACTGGTTCAAGCTCAACTCAACAATTCCCCGAGAACTCATCCCCTTGCTCGGGTTTAAACGAGTTACCCAACCACTGGCGACAGCGAGACGCTCACCGTGAGAGAAGTAGACCGACTGCCCTAGATCAAATGGCCAATTTTTGCCAAACGGAAGTCTGAAGACCGTCTTCCAGCGATTACCGGTTCTTACCGGTGGCCCGTGACTCTCCAATCCTGTCATCATTGACTTCGGATCATCTTTATTGTTCCAAATTTCCTTGCCTCGTAATTTTCTGCTGATGTTTTTCTGCTCAAGGAGACCCAACTTTGTCCATTTTATAACGTATTCTAGCAGTTCTGGGGTAACATTTTTCTGTTCTTCATCAAATACTTCCTGCGTTTTAGCGTCTTCGTGAATCAATCCTTCTGCCTTCGCCCAAAATGAACAAAGGGATCGCTTGAAACAATTTTCACAGCGCCTTCCATCAGGGATGAGTGGAGGGAGCGGTCGAATATCTTCATCTTCCTCTTTTAATGGCCGCCGCACATAACTAGCTACGACATTTCTTCGTTCCATAATCGTGTCAATTTCAATCTTTTTCACAGGAACTGAAAACACCTTTCCTGTCTTGATGTAACAAACCAGCCCGGTTGTCCTTTGAAACTTTTGCTTGCCCCGAATCGCGTGAACAGCGCCGTACAGCTGTGTCTGAATTCGATGCTCTTGAATGAGCTGATCTCCTCGACCAGACTTCAATTCAATAGGCGTCGTTAATTTTTCGCTCGATCTTTTTCCAAGATCCATCGCGCTTATCCTCGCAGTTATATCAATTTTGCCTTTGATTCCCAGTCGAGGCTCCCAAAGGTTTTCTTCGATATCTGGAACTTGTTCTATTTTGATTTTGCTGTCGACGAAATTCGTCATGTTTGGATTCGTAGAGCTAGCGAATTGAAGCTTTGTATCGAAGCCAGTCTGACAGAGGCCTTTTAGCAGCGTGGAAATCATCGCAAAGTAGCCCTCAGATTCCTTCGTCACCGCATCGATGTCGCTTCCTGCTAACATGATATCTTCGATGAAATTGGAGGCGATTTTCTTGAACTCGTTCGCGATTTTATCTACAGAAATTATTCGCCCTTTGATTGTTTCTGTTAGCAGCTCTTGGAACACTTCGTGGAGGATGGTGCCGATGAGCATTCGAACGCTGCCGCGACTTCCATACTCAGCATCTCGGAAACGATCACCGAGAACTGCTTCTCGAGGGCATTTTGCTGCGGTCGCCACATTCGTCGACGAAATCAAAGTGTCAGAATGAGCAACGACGACTGAGCCGAATTCTGGAGGGCCGTGGACGATGTCGTTCACTTGTAAATACCAATCTGGATCAACTTTCAATTTGAAAAACTCTCCCTTTGTGTTTTCAACAATCACGTAATCTTGTCCAATGCGTTCTACAACAGTCGCCCGTCCTCGAAGTTCGCCAGATTTGATTTCGCGTTGAGATTGGGTTTGAGAAGCAAGAGCTAATTCGTCAAAATCAAAGTCGTCATCATCGAAGTCGGATTCTTCCTTTTCTTCTTTCATTTCTTGCGTGTCCTGCGTCATTTTTACGTCTTTTTTTGGGTTCTTATTAGCTTCATTTCACTGGTAAATAGGTTAAGAACAGACCCATTCCTTGAGATTCCTGCGTGCTTTCTTCCGCCATGCTCTGGTCGAAGAGTCCCATGCTCGTGTCGAAATCATCTTCCTCATTTTTCACCTTCTTTGACTCTGAAAAGATGAATCACTCAAGTGCTGTAAGGGTAACCGAATGCAAATCCCACCTCTGAAAAGATCATCAGTTTGTCTTAAATTTTCTTTTTCACGCTCGTCGTTGCGCGTAATCCCTTTACTTGGTTCGCCAATCGCCCCGCAAACGCGAAGTCAGATCGTGTTCAGACGCAGAAAGAAATGAAATAAGAACTTTGACAAACCGAGCCTAGTTGGAAAATATCGCGGCTCACTTTTGGATACGGTGCCGAAGAGGATCCTGGGGAGCGGGTTCGTTTCCGGCAAGGCGTCGGCGCCAATTCGGGAATCACTTTCCAGAAATTCATAAAAATTACTATTTTTTGATCTTTCTATTCAATAAAATCCTATTTATGAACAACTTTCCTTCCATTTGAGACGTTTCTTCTTTCTCGACATTTTCCTTATTTTCGTTCTTCATAAAAAACGTAGAGATTGGTCTCTGAGACTTCTTCGAATTCAAAACTGACTTCTTCATTACTGAAAGGGTTCCATTTCTTTCTGAAGGTTCTTGCTTCTTCAGCAGAACAATTGAAGTGGCCACTTGGGTTCGAGAAAACGCGCGCTTTCCGCCAATCGCGGCGCGAGAAGATTCTATTTTCCCTATTTCCGCCAATTTTCTGGTTAACCCAGGATCACGTAATGAGAGAAAATTTCTCAAAATAAAAATTCCGAATACAAAAGTAATTTCCTCAAATTTTATAAACTTATTGCTTATTGAAACTTATTGAAATCGAATTATCTGTAGAAAACGTTAATCTACTTTCATAAGAACATCAAATGAGTTGAACTTTTAGTAGATCTGTATTTTCAGAGCATGAAGCGGCGTTACAAATTTACAAGTGTGTGTGAACAAAACGAACAGGACAAGAAAAAAAAGTTTAAAAAGGCTCGGCATGAATGGAATGAAAGCTGCCGACTTGTTGTTTCCAGCTGTAAGAAGGTATCATGGAGGGTTGGTTGGGAGGGGCATCTTCAGAGGCGCATGTTGAGAGTTTGGTTATAAATTAAACTCGGACGCAGGTCTTCTCCTTGACGTCCTTCTTCAGATGCTTCCACTTGTCCTTCGTACACTTGACTTTGTTGAAACCATCGGCGATTTTGAAACCAGGGCCGCAGTCGATTTTGCACTAAAATTGACATTCAGAATTGTCCTTGAAATCAGGGTCATTTTTAGAAAACAGTTGATGTCTGATTTTTAATCTTTATAAGGCCCCAAAGAATATTTATCAAAGCGCCAGGTTTGCTGGTGTTTTTTCTAAAATCGCTTTGAAATCTAGCCGTCTTAAATTACGCTCACTGGCGGCGCAAACAACAAATTCCTCGCGCGCTTTTATCCGAGCAAGATGGAATAAAGAGTGGCTCACCTTGAATTCGCTCTCGTCGCGCAGACTGTCTTCTCTGCTGAAACGAACGCAAAGATCGAGTTTGGGGAATCCAACATGGCATCCTTCGCATTCTAAGTTCAGCTGAAGCGCTTCTCCGTTGCATTTTGGCTGAGCAGAAGTTTCGAATTCGCGTCTTCGATTGAATCTGCCCTGGCTCTCTTCGAAATTCATGATCAAATCGAGTGTTTCCTTGTTTGGTACGTTGAAATCTTCAGGCAGGATCCGAGGAATGATTCGCGACTCCATCGGGGGAGTGTCAGTTGTTGAGGGGAAATCGGGCATTGGAGGGGGCGTGAAAATGTTGTTGGAGAATTGATTCTTCCAGATGAGACTGAAGATGATGTTCTGGACTAGGTACCCGCTGAAAAAACTAAACGGTAGATTTCGCTCATATTTTTCGCTCAAACTTTGTGAGTATACTAAATTACTACCATAGAGTTCAAGTCTGACCATAAAATTTGGAAAAAAGTTCATCTTGGGGTCATTTGAGGTCATCGAAATTCGGCGATAAGATTTTCTAGAACATTTGTACTCGGGGTACTTTCGCACACAAAAATGTCCAGACTTCAAAACTGAGTCGTCTGGTGTAAGTCTCGAGCCTAACAAATGAAATGTTCAGTAATAAATTATAAATAATTGATTATTACAGGTCCGCCTACGCAATTTTTGTCCTGAAATCACTGATTTTTGGGCAATCTTTTGGCTCTAAAAATTTTCGGCCGCTTCCGGCCGTTGAGTGCGGCACATTTTCTGAAAGCATTTTTTGAGCTCTTTCATCTCATATGTGATTCATTTTTAGGCTTGTTTAGGCTCACGAGTAACAGCCGAAATACCAAAATTTAAAACGAAAATTTTGTCACGTGAAAATTTTAAAAAAAAAAAATTTTTTTTTTTGGCTCAAAAAAATAATTCATCTACTGTATAAAACTTCAGCCCCCGAAAACTGCATGTAAAGATAGACAGAAAATGGCCACTCAGATTTCAGCGGGTACCTAGTTCTGGACTTCGTTCACGGTGTCGGAGAGATTGCTGTAGACACCTTTTGACTTTGGCGTCGTCGCTGGTCGAGAAGTCGAAGCTGCTTCTCGCTCTTGCTTTGCCTTCATTCGCTGTGCCTGAGACAATCAATAAGATACGGGTTCAATTTAAGTTATCTCATGAAAACTTCTATTCTACTTACTTTTCTCCGTTTTTTCTTTTCCGCTGCAGACAAAAACCTGATGTCTTCTGTCGTAGTTTTAACATCGTCGATTGAAGTTGTTGTCTGAACGGTCGTTGTCTCGGCTGATGTTGTTGTTTGCTCCGTTGTGGTTTGTTCCGTTGTGGTCTGATCTATCGTGGTTGTTTTTTCGCTGCTCGTAGTGGTTGTTGTTGTCGTGGTTGTTGACTTTTTAGTCGTTTTTATCCCGTAAACATATTGGAAGAAATGAGAGATCTCGCCCTTATTGTTTTTCTCGACGAGGTCATTCATATCTATGCAAAATTTAGGCTTCGAAAAGTCAAAGTTTAACTCGTGTTAGAACAGTCATTACCGTGGTATCCAAACAAATGGCTCTTCTTGTCCTGTTTCTCCTTTTTCGCTTGTCTTCTTTTAGCTCTCTTAACAATATTTTACTTTTTATTGATTTTTCATTTTCTTTATGTTACCCGTTGTTCTCTTTCTCGTCTGGTAAGACTTTCCGATAAATTTATCAGAGCAAAAAGCAAAAAGAGGCTCCACTTCATCGTGGAACTTGAGTTGATTAACGATTTTAGAAATGCAAATTATTGAGTTAGTTTTTTATTCTCCTTCTGTTTTCTGAAGAGTAGTAAATGGTGGTGGCGCACCACCACAAGCACCAGTGCGCGACTGCCATCTACGATTCTTCTGATAAAGCCTGAACCCGTGAAAGTTCAACTTCTTTGAAAGAGCATTTCAGAAGAACTCAGAAAGTTCAATGCACTGTCAATTAATTTATTCAAAAACTCTTCTCTATCATTGATGGACTATCAATATAGCAAATCTCTGTTTTGACACTTATTCATTTGTCGAATTTCGTTTGAAATTTTTAAATTATTGTTTCCGAAATTAATTTCTTATAATTTGAATCCTATAAAATTACTTGAACGTATACCTCTTTGAATATTATCTGAAAGAAAGATTCTAAGTAATTCTTTTATTAGACTATTAGATTTAAATATTTTCCTATTTTCTCAAATATTTCTTTCAATAAAACCAAGAAAGCATAGACTATATGATGATGATAGAAGATAGGTTATTGCTGCTTCAATAATTGAGATTTTCGTCAAGAGCGCGGATATAAAAATCTCACGCGTTTCTAACGAATTGCAGGATGAACGCTAGTGCCGGATAAGACTCGAAGAGGAATTATTGTATTGACCAGGATAATGATAAGCTTCTTCTCTGCGCCGATTCTAACACCTTCTATCGGAGGCCACTAGTCACGTGCTGCCAGATTTGCTGCGAGATTTGTGCTTTGTGAACAGCAAGTTCGCACCAAATTAATTGCGCTAGAATGGTTCATGAAATGAAACTCTATACACATTCTTTCAATTTTGATAATCACGAGATTCTGAAGTGTCTCAGATGATCCTGGCGCGTTCTTAGGGAACCTGTTGCTGGAAATACTTTGAGCTGACCACTTCCGTCTCCAAGCTTACATGCTCATTACGCAGGAGCTCGAATCTCCTTCAAGGTAGACTAACAACACAGACAAAAACAATCGTATTTTGTTTCTTTCTTTTTCGTTTGAGATAAATATCATTCTGATCCGTTCTTTTATGAGCCTTCAGCGTTATTTTAATTTTTACCGTTATACTATTCTTGCTGTCCTTGAATAAATAGACTCGATCCTTAAATTTAGGCTTACGGTAACCTCGGATTTACTTCCAAACGGATCAAGTTTTCCTTACATTTGACGTTAAAGGGATAAGCAAGTCTTCGATTACGGCTGTGAGATCATAATTCTGAAATGGCGTATTAATCCGACGCGTAATCGATAATGGGCGGCGTTTGAAACGACCGGTTGGTCGACAAGCACGTGAGTCCGATTCCAACTCTTTAGAATTTTACGAAACTCGATGCTTTAGAAAAGAATGTTCAAAATAGAAAAGGGAGATTTCGGTCATTTGTGGGCAATTATTCAGTTTGCCAGAGATTACTCCTTTTCTGTTCATTGATACTCATTACAGCTGCATTCAATAAGACTGAAAGCTTCTTACCGCACGAGAAGCGCGCTCAACGTTACCTAGATTGGGTAGCTCTTGTGGGAGGGGTAAGTTACCTGGCAAGGTCCGATATGCACATTGGATACCCAGGAGAGCTTAAGAGTTGAAACCGAAGTATAACTTTGAGAAGCTTGTGCCAAGCTGAGGTTTTTGAGGTGCACCTTTACTTGATCCTTTATCATTTTTAACCTTTTGATTGCAATCTTCTGACAACTTATATCTATTTTTACAGCTTTTATAAGCAGAAGATATCGAATTCGAAACTCTCCAAGAGCAGCTGATAAATCGTAAAACAACATAAATTATTTTTTTTTGTTTACAAAAAGTAAGATGGCATGACACAATGTTAGAGAGATCCATCGAAAGTCTCTCGTCATAAAAGTCAAGTCTGAGTTTACGAGCACCTGCTAGAACTATTAACGCAAGTTTCGGTGGTCTCATTAGTTATACCAATCAAAGTATTATAATCACGCATAAATAACAATGGTAATGGGAATATTCCCGAGCACGCGCAATTACAATACTGTGGTAAGAGAAGCTCCGCTGAGATTCTAAGGTTAGGACTGGGCAGTATGTAGGGCGTGTGCTCGATTTACCCTACTTGTACTGCTTATTTCAGGGATGGTGGGTGGGTGAGTCTTTTTGAATCAGGTAGGAGTCTTATTGGTAATGCTCCTGCTGAGAAAAAGTCTCTAATATAAGTTTCCCAATTTAAGGTTTTAGCCTCAAGCTATAACCTTTTGGAATGAACCTGCGTGATTTCGGGGCACCCGCTTGAATCTAGATGCTCTCGCGCGCCTGTGACACCTTCCGCCGTTTCCTGGGAGTCTCTGCTGCCGTTGACTAGGCTCCGCTGCCGCGTTCTATTTTTAGCGGCCTGCTAATCCCTTGTCCTAGATTCGTATTATAATCACGCATAAATAACAATGGTAATGGGAATATTCCCTCCCTACCATTCTTGTTATTCTCATCAATCGTAAAAATGAGTCTTTTTTTTTTATTCGAGTCTGTTTAAAAGTGGAAAAAAGGCCTCTTTTTCTTTTTATGCTTCAGCAGTGTTTTTCGGCTTCTTTGGCTTTTGACTTGCTTCTGGTCGTTCTTGACTCTAAGGCCTTTCATAATTGATTCTTGGATTTTTAAATGTTAGTACCTTTGGTTGGTCTTGGTCGCTGCTAGTGCTGTCGTTTCGTTTTCTGGCTCTAGATTTTGCCACGCTGACCGGCGCTCCTGAGTTGCTACATTCAAGCCAGCACCTTTCGTAGTAGTCTGGCATGGAGCTTCCCGGTGCCCAACGGAGTGTGTGTGCTAGAGTCTGTTGTGATAAGCCTGTTCGGCGTCCCTCGATGTAGAAACTGACTCTTCCCGTGTGCGCCGAGACCTACGACGTTTATTAATCTGAGGTTTGTTTTCTTCCTTGATTGGTTACCTTTTTTGACAGTTTTGCCTTGGCTCCGTAGCGCGCCAGGTAGTCAGATGCGATGCGAGTATGGCCTTCGAGCGTCTTGAGAACAAGGCCTAAAAAAGTTTCTTGTTGAGTCTTGAGTAATAAGTGCTATAAGTACCTGAATCTCGATCCCTGAGTTGGGCTCTAAGTTCTAGGCCGAGTGGGACTCCATGCCGCATGTCCATAGGGATGGTGAGGGTTTCCATTCGCTTGCAGAACGGATCGGTTTTGCTGCATCGAATATGGAATCGCCAAAATTCGTTTCCGTCTTCGGTAACGACTTCTCGATCTTCGACTCTGAGATTGAGCGCTTCTTTCATTCTTGCTCCCGTCGTAAAGCAGATGAAGAAAGCGATGGCCGCTTCTCTTGGCTTGGGCTTATTTGTCTTCAGGAGCTCTTCCCAGAGTCGGATTGCCTCGGGCTCGTCGACGACCTCCGCTTGCTTGGAGGGGTATTATTTTTCGGGCTGGGTCTCCCTTTTTTTCTATACCTTTGGGTATTGCAGAGTCTGGGTTGCTGACTCCCGCGCTCTGTGCTCGCACCAGGTCTTTATTTTCCGTTTTTGCTTCGGGGTGAGCGGTTTTTTGAGTCGAGAAACGATGACGTCCTGGATCGTTACGATCCCTTTCTCGTAGGCGTAGGCCTTGAGAGTCGGTCTTGTGAGGAGTCTGTCGAGGAAGTGTTGAATCACGTCGTCGATTTCGGCTTCGTCGTAACTGAACGTGGCCATTGCTTCTGCTACTTCCCAGTGTTCCAGGAGATTCTTGTAGTCGAGCCAGGTCATGGTTCTTAAGAATTGAAAATTTGAGACCTTTCCTTTGAAGATCTATCTGAGAATTTAAGCATTTGAAGCAGTTTTTTTTTTAAGAGTCCTAAAAAGCTGAGAGTCTATAGTCGGCTAGTTTGAGATTTCTGGCTTGTTGCGCTTCTTTCAGTGGCGATGTTTATTCGACTCCACCCTGATCTTGGAATTTCTTGGTGTCGCCACCAGCATTTCCTCCTCCTCGGCCTCGGCCTCTTCCGCGACCTCGGCCTCGGCCTCGGCCTCGTCCGCGGCCTCCGGAATGAGTCTCGTTGTCTCCGTCCTTGGCCTTTTGGCCGTCACCTTGGTGGTCAGTTTTTTGCTTTTTGGATTGACCGCCGTTATTGTGTCCACCTCGGCGTCCTCGACCCGGTTTCGAGTCTTTTTCCGACCGCCAGTCTTCAGAGCCGTCACAGGGGTTGCCGATCATTTTCTTGAAGACATGGTGGTTGGTGTTCATCGTGAGTGCGCGATCGAAGCTGTGTCGGACGTTCGGGCGCATGAGCGGCTGAATGCGACGCTTTAAAAGCAGGGTTGCTATTTTACGAGTCTTACCGTGAGTGAGAGCAGCGCGTCTTTTCGAGTCATATCGGGCATCCTGATCAGTTCGTCCAAGATGCTTTCGATGATTGCTCGCTCCGGGTATTCTGGGGACATGGCTCTTTTGTAGTTGCCCAGGAGTCGCATGAGCTTGTCCTTTTTGAAGGTGCGCTGGTTTTTCGCGTCTGAGACGAAAGCTCGGAATTCCTTGCCCATTTCCCGAAGAGAGTCGCCGTCGTCCTGAGGCAGGTTGCTTGTGCCTATTTGAGTCTGAAGCGTGTTTTGAGTGGAATTATATAGATTTCTGTTTATTGGTATGCGTGCATTTGTTATTTTCCTTTGAATTTCTGGACTTACCATGAAATAAGACTCTTCTCCTGTGAGCGGGTCGACTTCTTTGAAGACCGCCGAAGTTTCCGAGCCGCCTGAAGATAGTTCGGCGATTTTTGACTCTCGAGCCTTGATCTGGGCGAACATGGATCCCTTGAGGCTGTATCGCTCCATCTTGTCCGCAATCAGCCGGCGGATTTTCGACTCCAACTCCGCTGGATTCCAACGGTCGTAGAATTTGTTATCTTCTTCTGACCGTTTTTTGGCGTTTGGCTCGTTTTCCTTGATCGCAAGACTCTTGTCGCGGTTGGCCTCTAGTTCCGCGATTTCCGCCTATGAAAAAGCGGTGAGGGTTTCGAATTTTATTCTAGTCATCTACTTACGATGAGGGAGTCGGTGAACTTGTCGTGAGTCAACATGTCCTTCTTGATGTCTTCGATTTCCATGAAGAGTCTGTCCGCCTCTTCCGTTCTCGTCTTGGATTGAGCGATTTCGAAGAATTGGGCCTTTGAAATTTGGACTCTTGCCGCTCGTGTCTTCGCCTCTTGCTCTGTGAGCTTGGTGTGGTCCGCCAGCAGCTTGGAGAGAGTCTTGGTCTGATCCGACATTTTTTCCAAGGATTTCGAGTCTGAAAAAAAGGAAGGAGTTACCGCCAAGGCTTTTGTTTCTAGTTTAGTATAGTGGTGAGGTTGGGTAAGTGGTGTTTTTTTTTTTTTAGGAGAATCTACGAGCCAGAAGTGGCTATTCTTGCTGGCCTTTTGAGTCGAGTGTGAAAAGGGGGCAGAATCGGTATATCAGAGTCTGTTTGTGGCGACTTTTATGGTTGAGATGTTAGATGCCACTTTCCAGTAGCCGTCGGCTGTTTTAACTTTTGCTGGGGTGAGGATTGAGTCAGCCGGGATGTCGAAGATTCTGTATCCCTTGATTCTGGCTTCTGTGATTACCAGTGGTTCTGATTCGAAACAGGGGACAACTAATGCCCAGGGCGTGGCTATTTCTACGAGTCTGTTATAGAATCTGTGGGCTGTTTTGGGAGGCGGGAATGCATACAGCTTTCTTCCTATGAGCTCATGAATCGGGAAATTAAGGAAATCTTTTCCAAAAGCTCCTCTTGTCTCTCTGCGCGTGATGAAGTCTCTGCATTTCGCGTTCAGTGGCTGAATTTTGTTAAATAATTTGGTTCGAGTCTTTAGGCAATTTACCGTTGCTGCCACGTCGACGTCCAAGGAGTCCGAGAGGTGAGATTGAAGATATGCGAATCCGTCAGCCGTTAGTTTTTGTTCTCGCGAGTCTAAATTCCTTGAGGGGCCATCTGCAAGTTGTTTTTTGGTGCTAACCCAATCGACTTTCATATCGATGTTTGAGCGCTGCGCTAGAGTCCAGATTCTGACTAGAATCTTATTCATTTCCGGATCTTTGCTTCCGGCTATTACACCTTGGACTACACTATCATTGTCGCACAAAAATAGGATTCTTTTGTCTTTCAGCTTCTGCCCGTACCATTCCAGAGTGAATTGGATCGCCGCTGCCTCTTTGATCCCGATGTGCTTGTCTGCCAGATCTGGTTCCCAAGCGAATCTTTCTTCTAAGTTCCATTGCTCAATAACGATGGCCCCCGCGTGAGAGGATGCGTCTGTGTAAATTATTAGGCCTGTCTCTTGGCGATTTAATTTTGTCCAGTGTCTTTTGAGCCCTTTCTCTTCTAGCAGGCTCCAGAGTCTCCATTCTTCTTTGACCTCTTCTGTAAGGGCGCAGGTTTCTTTTTCTTCTCTCAATGCCTGGCTGATGAGAATCGTTGTTTGTCGAATAAGCATCCTCATGTTTGTCAGTACTTCTGCCATGCTCGCCATTGTGCCTCTGATTCTTTCTAGCGTTTTTGTCTGGATCGTTTTCTTGGCCTCTGCGTCTTTCATAAGGGTTTTGAGGGCTTCCCATCTTTGCAACGGTATTTCAACAGTTTCTTCGGTTGTGTCCAGAATGAAACCCAAGAATTCGATTCTCTGGGTGGGTGTAAATGTGCTCTTGGCTATGTTGACGTATCCGCCAAGGGCCACTAGAGTCGCAACTGTAGCCCAGACTTCTTTGCTTATTTTCTCGCCTGTGAGGAGCTCTTTTCGTTCTTTATCAGAGTCTGGTGTGATTGCCAAGAGTCTGTCATCTAGATAGAGTGTTATCCTGACTCCATTTTTCCTTAGGAAGTTGACTCCGCAGAGATTCATGAGCTGATAGATTCCTGGTGCTGCCGGGATTCCGAAGGCGAGGATGTTGTTTCTGAAGACTTGGCCTCCCCATTCGAAGCATGCCATTTTCCTGCTTTCCTCGCTGAGCGGAAGCTGGTGGAAACCTTAAGGTGTGGTTAGGGCTTCGGTGTTATTTGATAGATTTTTGGCCGAGTTTCCTTACCCTTCTTATCGTCGAATTTGAAGAGTAGGTCTCCCTTTTTTAGCATCTGAATCGCTGCTCCGACTCCTTCTAATTTGCAGGGAAAGGTGTAGAGTTGGAGCGGCTTGAGGACTCCACCATTCCAGCAGACTCTGGTTTCCCTTCCTGGCTTATCGACGAGGACAAATCCTGCCTGAATCCAGCATTTTTTCGAGTCTGTGAGTCTTGAGATTGATCCCATGTCGCACCACTCGGTTATTTGGTTGATGATTTCTTCGTTCCTTTCTTTCACTGCTTCTTGGCTCGGGACGGACAGAGTCTTGAATCGTTTACCGATTTTCTCATAAGGGCGTGGCACGAATTTTGAGAGTCTGAGTCTATCATTGTACCAGGTTTTAAAATTTCCACCCAGTTTTTTCAGAGTTTCCGTGTTGGCTTCGTTTCTCTTCCATATTGTCACCAGCTCTTTGTGTTTGAATCTTTCCGGTTTCTTCGGGGGGATCCGTTTGAGGTTCAGGAATAGGTCGGCACCCGCGTGGACAAAGTGATAAATTAGTGGCCGTATTTTCTCTGGCATTTGATGGATAAGTGTCCTCCAGTTGTCTTTGTTGTGTGTCCAGAGTCCTGAGACGAAATCTGATTCTTTCTTCAGCGCTAATTTGTCCCAATCTGGCTTTTCCTCGTTGTTTAAGACTCTGATGACTCTATGCAGCAGTTCTGTTTCGTAGATTTTCCATTCTGGTAAAGTTTTTGGGCCATTTGTGATTGTGTTGCTTATGGTGACAGGGTAGATAATTGGGATTTTTGTCTGTTGAAGACTCCTTTATTGGCGAGAATCTTCATTTCCGCCTCTATTTCCTTCCAGCTCTTCGTCTTCTGTTTTTTGTCTCTTTCTTTTGGGTCCTGCGACTGGGTAGGTAGACTCATAGCTTCTTGGGATCGGAATTTTCCAGAAGAGCTTCTCGTACGTGGTGCCGTAGAGTGAGGACGGATCTTCGAGTCCTTTTTCTAGCCGATTATCGATGTCGTTGAGGTTCAGCGTCTTGTATTGTGCCTCTGGAATTGCGTCTCTATGCGGCCATAGTTTGCGCAGCGTGCCAATCGCGTCCCACGCAGTGTAATCTTGATTCGCGTCAATGTTCGTTAGAAAATTTCTGAGCGTTAGGCTAAGTGGGTTCGCGGGCCCGAAGATTGTGTTCAAATGAGTCCAGGCCGATCTGGCTGCACTCGAGAGGAGTCTTGGGAAGATGCATCTGGTGTTGGTCAATTGGAAATGGATTTCTCCGAAGATCGCATTCGCTATTGTTGCACACAGTTGCCTTTCGTTTGCAAAAGAAGCTCGTCTTTCCGCCGGCGGGCGTCCGAGCATCTTCTTGAATCTGCAGTTCCAAATGTGGGCCACCATTGTGAGTCTTGGCGATATCCGAGAGTTCGATTCTTCTGGGGGCTTACATTGCGCTAGAATCATTCTGAAGATGGCCTCCGCCGGCTCTCCCCAGAGTCTTAGGAGAATCCATGCCACACCCTCTTCCAATTTGAGGAGATCCGGTTTGGAGATCGAGTCTCTTTCTAATGGCTCCATCATTCTTGCCCAAAATGCGATTTCGTCCGAGTTATAGACGCTTTTCTCGTAAACCTGTCGCATAAGGTCCGAGACGAGGGGTCTGACTGTGTGTTCGAGCGTGTCTTGGATGTTTTCTATGTCGACTTTGTTGGTTGAGGCTAGACGGCGGTTGATCCCGATCGAAGGGCTGTGGGCCAGTATGGCAATAGTGCGGAAGGTTTCCAGCATTTGAGCCCCTTGGAGGCCCTCGTTGTCAGCTTCTTGTAGAATCTTTCTGATGCTATTGGACACTTCCTGTGACTCTGCAATGATCTTGGTTGCTTCAGCTGCGAGATTCGTCAATTTCTCGGCGAGAGTCGAACCGTAGCATGGGATTCTTTTTGGTGGGACTGCTGCGTTCGTGTTGAGACTATTTTGTATGTCCCAGACGAGTCCTTTGAGCATCTCTAAGTCGACGCTTGAGTGTTCTATCTGCGCTGGGTTTTCGCCCGCGGCTGCACCTGCATCTGCTGCTGGGGATGAGTCTTGGGATGGTTCGTCTGAGGGTGCTTCCGCATTCGAATCCTCTTTTATACTGGCTTAGGATTTTTAGGCCTGCTTAGGGCTTTTTTGGCCTCTTTTTTAAGTTTCTTTTTATTTTAATATTGATTCTTGTAGCCGCTCCCTGAATCCGATGGCATTTCTAGCGCATTAGGCGCTTCTTTTTGTGTTAGATATTGCGATTCCATTGCGTCTGAAAAGCGAAAAAGTTTAAGCTTCTTTGTATTTATTATTTATTCTTTTACGGTTCTGAATATGCTCTTCATTTTGGAGTCAAGAAAGAGTCTAGGATCTTCTAGTGAGATCGGGCTAATTTATTAAGCACAGCTTCTGTCAATTTTGATTTAAAAATGTGAAAGAGTCTTTTTTTTTTCAGTGGGAAGTAAGAGTCAGTTTAACAGTTTTTTATCAATGAGGTTTTTTTTTTTCATGGCAGTTTGTATTCTTGAGTCTTCTAGTATCTGGGTGGTCTTGGTGCAGCGTCGGAGTGCACTGGAGGGATGGGAATCTCGTGGAGCTTGTAGAGTCGGACGAAGATGAAGCGCATGTAGTGGACCAGGTTACTTCCACAGATTTTGTACGCGAAGAGAAGGATGACGTCCAGCTTCTTTGGCTTGAGGAGTCCAGAGTCTAAAGATTTGCATAAGTTTTTATGACTCTTATTTTGCTGGTTATTACTTTTTTTTTGATTCTATATTTTGTGTGTCTTACCTATGGCTTCTTTGAATCTTCGTTTGATTCCTTCATAGTTTAAAAACTCCACCACATAATGGATGACAGCTCTTTCTTCTTTGGTGAGGTAGTCAATTGGGTCGAGTCTCCATTCCGTGGTTCCCTCCTTGATTTCCCAGCTGCTTCTGTTGTTGTATTTGTAGTGGCGGTGGCCGGGGAGTCGAGAGTCTTTGAACTTCTGGAGTCCGGTGCTGCTGAACCAGGCTTGCTTGACCTCGTTGAAGTTGCTGATGCTTCGGTTGTCGAGCATGTCTCGAACTTTTAAAGGGGCCCTGATATGTAAGTTTTGTGAGAAAAGACTTTTTTCTTTTTGGTTTGGGATTAAGATTCTTAGAGTTTTTAGATTTGAAGTCTACTGTTTTGAGTCTAAGGGCCCTTTCCTGCGGATCTTTCCATCAGCTTGGATTCCTTCTTCGAGAGGTAGTAGTAGTTGCCTTTGGCTCCGGTCTCCGCGACGAGTCTGATTCCAATTCTCGGCTCTGTGAGGACTTTTTCTTCTGCAGCCTTGATCGCAGCGAGTCGTTTTTCTTCTGCCTCCTTGTCTCGAGCCATGCGTCTTTCTTGAGCTTCTTTCGCCTCTTTTTCGCGCTGGATTTGCTCGGCGTATTCCCGGCGGATTCTGGTGTTCTCGTCCAGTTGTCTCTTCATCTGGATCTTCAAGGCTTCTTTGGCTCTGGCTTTGTCCGCTGCTCTCTGGGCTTCTGCCTCTGCTTCTTGCTTGAGTCTGTCGATGCGCGCCTTCTGAGTTCGTCGCTGAGCTTCCGCCTCTTCTTTCTGAGCCATTCTTTCCAGCGATCGGCTTTCAGACTCCTCGATGATGTCCGACAGTGGCTGGCCCTGGCGTTCTTCCATTTCTTTGGCGATTCTCGCGCTTCTTTCTTTTGCCTCTGCCTCTTCTTCTGCTGAAGCGAAGAGGGTATCGGTGCGTCGGTTCCAGTCCTGGTTGTCTCCCTCGTCGTCGGACTCTCTGATCGCTTGGTCGTCGGAGTCGGAGCCGGAGTCTTGATCCGTCAGCGCCACATTTCGTTGGTAGCCTGGAGGGAAGAACTGGTTTGGATCTTTTCTCAGGTTTTTTCCGGCTTATTGTATATATGGTGAAAAAACTGGGTTAGTGTCTTAAGGGATTATTTTTCCGGCAAAAAACCCTTTCCTGAGCGTGCGTTGAAAGAATCTTCTGAGTCTGTGTCGCTAATTGTTCCAGTTTCCGTCGCAGGCGCTGATGTTTGGGTCGCCATCGAGGTGCTGGACATCTCGGTTTGAGTCTCGGAGTCTTTTGAGTCTTTGAATGGTTTGATTTCCGAATTTATGAAGTCAAGTTTTGACTGATTTGAGTCTTATATTTCTGTTTCGGGTTTTCGAAACCAGTCCCTGAGTTGGTCTGAGTCTGCTGAGTCTTGGCCTGCTGAGCGTCCACACTGTCGGTCTGGCAGGTTCCATCTCGTCTCGACGTCCAACCGATGACTCCTGAGTCTCGACGGGTCAGGACTCTGGCGATGTCCTCTGGAACTCCGTCTTTGATGTACTCATCTCTTCGCTTCTCCTTCCAGGACTCGAGGGAGTCTTCGCCTCTTTTTGGGAGTCTATCTTTCCTGAACAGGAAATCCGCTCTGGACTTTATTTCGGGTTCTTTTTCTTTCCTTTTATTAGGCGTACTAAGTTTCTTGTTTTTTAGTTCTAGAATTTTTTGAACCCATTCCTTGATAGCTGAAACTCTCTCTTGGTAGGCGGGGAGTCTTCCTTCTGGAATCTGGCGGTCTTTGTCGACGTAGACGACGTTGAGGAGCGGTGGGATGTCCATGGTGGTCTTGGCAGTGTTGAGGCATCCGTAGAAAAGACTCTCGTCTGACTGATTCTGGTCGTCTTCGTTGAACTTTCCGTTTTCTTCTCGGATAAGATCCGAGAGAACGTTCGAAGCGCCGTTGATCGCAAGTTGCCAGCCGTCGAGACTCATCTGCCTGTTTGGATCGGAGAATCCTTTAATTTGGGTCATTTCTTTTCCTTCTTTTTCTTTAAGAAGTTTTAATCAAAGCTTTTTCTTTTATTTTAAATATTCTTGGGAAATTAAGAGGACCCTTTCCTTCGAGAATCTGTTCCAGCAGATCCGTGAATCTGTCTGCGATTCTGCGTCTCATCCGGTTGAGCATTCGGCCCTTCTTTTCGTTCGGTCTCTGCGTCACCGGGTCGAATCTGATTGCCGACTTTCTCTGTCTCCAGAAGTTTTCGTCGCCGATGGGGTCTTGGACGATTCCAGCTTCGTTTCGGAGTCTCTCTAGTTCATCCCCGCTGGGCATCTGGACTTTTTCTGCGTCTCTTGGCATTTCTGAGTCTGAAAAAAGTTTCGTTTTAGAGTCTGGGGATTGGAAAAATTTTTGGCGCCAGGAGAATTTGGGATGGAAGGGAATCTAGAAACAATTTTCGAGTCAGGAATAAAAGCTAAATTTTTCTTTTTGGTTTGGCTTCTTTTGCGTCTGAGATTCTCTTTTTCTTGGGATTTTAATCCTTGATTCTTTGAAAATGGAAAAATTTCTGAGAATTTGGCTTTTGATCCCGTCCTTTGTCCATTGGCGCGCGCGCCAGCCAATCAGCGCCCCCGATTCTCGGGTCGCGGAAAGACTTTCCCACGGTCCCGGATCTTGTTTTAAAATGCTATTTTGACTCTTTATGCTTAAATATCTTGGACCTGGCCTGGAATGGATTCTTTTTGTGCGTTTTGTGGATTCCAGAAGATGGCAGTAGGGAGTCAGAAGAAGAGGAGGAAGGGTTTTTGGCTGTTTTTGAAGGTTTACAATAAGATTTTTCTCTTCTTTTTTTTTAATTTGGCTCGCTCAGCTGCCTTAATCGGTAGATTCATGTAAACCTGTTCCTTGATTCTAGTGTTTTGGCTGGGGTGGCTAATTTGACTCAATTTTTTATTTATTTTGACGCTAAAAGTATTTTATCTTTGAGTCCGTTCCTGAATTTGAATCTAGTTGTCGGCTTTAAGGAGCTCTAGTCGTGCCATCCGATCTTCGAGAGTCTGTTGTGTTTGAGTCCAGACGTTGGGGAAGAAATTTTCTGCTCCGGCTCGTTCGTTCCCTTCCATGTCGAGGTTTTCTCCGGCTCTGATTCCGTCCAGCAAGATGTCCCGGAGGTGAGTCGAGAAAGGGGTATTTGGCATTAGTTTGTGTCTTTTTGACTCCGCGTCTTCCCAAGTTGTTCTGTTGGCTCTGATTCTGAGTCCTTCCACTTTCTGGATTCCTTCTTTCGCTGTCCCAAGGTTGTTGCAGCTTCTGGCCATGAATTCTGCCACTCTTGGGTGGCCCCAACAAGGTGTGATTCTAGATTCATAGTCTCCATCGCAAGCCATTGAGAAGACTTCCCAGAATCCTGAATATCGTTGATTTCGGTCTCCTTTGAGGTTCGATAAGAAGCCCTTTTCCAGAGTCTGAGTAACGAATCGAACATACGGTGCTGCCCAGGCGACCAAGGCCCGTCGGAGTTCTTTTGCGTCTTCGTATGAAGGTAGGAGCAGAGTCGTGTGTTTGAATCTTGTGTGCTCGCTGATCAGCTCTGCTACTTCGAGCCATTTATCTCCTGATTTCTTGGAGATTTCTTTCGCTAGATTCTCCAAGTGCTGATTCCTTCCGGCCGTTTTGTTTCCTACCACGAAAGCGTCAAACTTTTTGCCGCATCTTGCAAGGCCAGCGTGGTAAATGACGATTCCCGCCGCTTCTGGCTTCTCCTGACGTGGCCTTTTCGCTATCCATTTCTCGGAGTCCTCGAGCTTTCTGAAGCTTGCTGTGGAGTCGTTCTGCCCTTGGAAGAGGATCGTTGTCGATGTCCATGCTTCTATTACTGAGTCAAAACCGTGAACAGTGGTGTTCTGGATGGTTTGGATGAGCTCAGCGTCAAGGTCTGCTAGGTTAGGGGTTTTGAAGGCTTCTGAGAGTCTGACATAGATTTGTTGCCACTCGTCGCTGGAGATTCCGATCTCGAGACGCTTTCCTGAGAGTCCTTTTTGGAACATCCCATTTCTGGACATGCAGCTTTCCGTGCATTGAGGCTGTCTGAGTTCTCTGATCTCCTGTGCTTCCTGGTGTTTGCTGCACCAGGCTGAATCTCCATCGGCTTCGCCGCAGAACGGCCATTCGCAGGATCTTTTCCGTTTTTCCAGTTTTTCGCACTGGAATTGGAGTCTTGGCACTTTGGAAATCTCTTCTCTCTTTTGAGTCCATTTGTCTATGAAGCATCTTAAAATCGAGTTTGGGCTGAATCTTTTGCCACTTGTCCAGTTCCATCCAGCTGTCAGGACTCCGAGGTTGTGCTCTATTGAGCGGGACTGAGGGCAAGCTTTTGTGTCTCTGACTATTTTCCCGATGATTTCGAGAATGTCCTTTTGAGTCGAGAAGGGGCGGTTGACTCCCACAATGCAGGCTTTTCCTGACGCGTAGAAATTTCTGGTGGGCTTTTGGAATTGTCTGATGCATTTCCGGACGTTCTCTTCGGTCCATGGTTGGGCTGATAGAGTCTTTAGCGCTTCTGATTCTTCCGGAGCGAGTCCTGGGTGAGCTGCTAGTGAGAGCAATGATTTCTCCCTTCGATGCATTTGATCTTTCCCAATATTGAAGACCCACAGTTGCGGAATCACCTTGTATGGAATCCACATTATCCAATGTGAATCCCCTTCCCCAATTTCTTTGATTCTGGCGGTTGTGTTGATGGGGACAACCTTTCTTGCTGCTGCTTCAATCCATTTTTTCAGCGATTTCTTGTTTTTGAGCTCGAGCCATTCTATGTGCCACTGAGTCAGCATAATCTCGCAGCTTCCGTCTTGGCTTATGACTGAGTCTTCTGAGATCTGTCGGTGAGCTAGGTGAAGTACTAGTGGCGTGAGGGTTTTTGATAATGGAGTCTGAACCGGTTGTTCGGAGTCTTCGAGTCTGAATTCACCAATAACATCCAGAATCCAGCTGTTTTTATTTGCTGGTTCCTTTCTTGCCCATTTCGTTTCACCGTATTTCTTGAGAGTCAACCAGGCGTTCTCCTGGTGGCAGATCTCGCGCCAGTCGCTGTTGATCGCTTCCATTTGTTTGAGTGAGTCAAAGAACTCCGCCGGGTTTGCGTCTGCTTCTGTGCAACTGAGTCCGTTGAAGATTTCTTCCAGTCCCTTTTTTAAGAGTCTCTGGAGCCAGTGTTCATCCGGGAATTCAGGTCTTTCGTAATTTGCTTGAGCCTTGATTTTGTCCTCCATGATTACTCGGAGACAGACATGGTGCCAGAAACCCTTGTTGAGAACATTCTGGTTTTCAGAGTCTTCCCATGCTTGGAACCAGTCTTGGCTCACCAGCTTGTTCCATTTTGAAAATTCTTCCATCACATTGGTGGGATAGAGTTTGCCCTTCTCGTCAGGCTTTGGGGCGGCTTTTGAAGCTGGTGTGTCTCCTCGTCGGGCCAAGATTCTTAACGGGCCTTTCTCTATGTTCAGGGCTTTCAGGAGTTCCTCCAATGTCTCTGAGTCGGTAATGTTGACGCTTGGTTCTACGCTCATGCCTGAGGCATCTTTTTTCAGGAGTTTTGTTGGGCTGAGCAGCGGTTTGAAGGGAAATGGCTTCGACTCTAGGCTCCAATCTTCGGGGGAGTCATTTTCTGCTTCAGCTATTTCTTCAGCAATTTGCTCGAGAGTGAAGCTGGGCTCGTTGCGCGGGTTCGCTGCCCAAAGTGACTCTTTACCCATGGGTGAAGTGAAGATGATTTTTGTCCAGGATGCTAGCTCCGCGAAATTGAATTTCGCTTTTGAAGGGGCTTGAAGATCAAAGGCCAGCCTGTGGTTGGAGAGTGGCTCATTCGCGTCCGCCGGGACGTAGAGTCTGATCAGCCTTGTTTGAATCTTTGGCTTCGCTGTGGATGTGCGTGAGATTCTTTTCCAGTTCACCTGACTCGAAAGCAGCAGGGAATTTCTTTTGATGGATAAGACTCTCTTCATATTAAAAGATTTCAGAAGTTAAGAATCTGAGAGAGCTTAAGATCCTTTCCTGGTCACAGTCTCGTTCAGAGTCTGGATTCTCCTTTCAGAATTTTCCAATGGCTTGGACGGGTCAGAATCCAGGGCTATTCCCCATTTCGGGGCAAAATCCTCGGCTGCCTCGAGGAAAGCTTTCTCGATCATGGTCTGAAAAGGGAGTTTTAAAAGATGAGAGAGTCAAGGATTCTGGAACGGCAGTGAAACGGCTCATTTCTCTTTTTCCTCGCAGTTTGAATCTCTTTTTTTTTTAAGAAATAATCGCGGCGCACCTGATTGGCGGAGCCAAGGTGGGTCGGTTTAGCGTTCGACGATTTCGAAGGAAACCCGTGCTCTGAGAGGTGAGTCAAAGAGGCCGAATACGCTTCTAGATTCTGAAGAAGGGAATTCCCCCTTTTTTTTTTTTATAGTCCTTGGACTTTAGGTGAAATAAGCGGTAGTATCGATTGATGGTCTACCTTAGAGTCTTTTTGAATCAGGTAGGAGTCTTATTGGTAATGCTCCTGCTGAGAAAAAGTCTCTAATATAAGTTTCCCAATTTAAGGTTTTAGCCTCAAGCTATAACCTTTTGGAATGAACCTGCGTGATTTCGGGGCACCCGCTTGAATCTAGATGCTCTCGCGCGCCTGTGACACCTTCCGCCGTTTCCTGGGAGTCTCTGCTGCCGTTGACTAGGCTCCGCTGCCGCGTTCTATTTTTAGCGGCCTGCTAATCCCTTGTCCTAGATTCTAAACCCGAACATTGAATTTTCTTCGAAATGAGAGTTAATCGAAAAGGATCTTATACGAGTGTCAATGTACCGGAGCAAAAGAGAAGACAGAGCATTTTCAGCGGTCACTCATCCTTAGTCGGCCCAAGTAAGAATATTTTTGAGAATCTACAATTGAGATGTTCATCATCAATCTGATCATCATTTTTGATAAATTTACAAGACATTTAATTTGTAAACGTATTATTACCATATATTCAGGTGCATACTATTACCAGGAAACGGCAGAAGACGAAAAATGCTACCGAAAGCATTTGTGGAAGGTGGTTCCTTTCTTGCTTGTACCGTTTTTCATCATCTTTTTGATCCTCATCATGGGTGGGGAAAACTTCATAACAAGACACATTCAAAAGCAACAAGAGGTAAGTCTTTTCTTCGGCAATCAAAAGTAAAAAACGTCTCCTCGACTCTATCCAGAAAACGCATCATCCGTCATTTTTTATTTACGTTTTAGGCGACGACCTTGGATCCTGCTTCTGTGAGCACGACGGAAATCAGATAATTCTTCTAGGAGAAAAGCCACATAAAAAGTTCGCGACAATAAAATAAATATTAAACTAAATTGGCTTCGGACGTCATAATTAAATAAAAGCAAAAATAAAAAAGCCGCATAGATTTTATAGACGATCTTATTATAAATAATCTTGACGATAATTGACGTGTAGTCAAATTATATTCCAGAAGATATAAGCAGTCTATGGCAGAGTTGTTAAATTATCGGATCGCTCTTCTTAGTAGCCTATTCGGACACACCCTCTGACCTGCAAGACTTGAAACAGACTTTCACTCGAAAGGGAGCGATTATCCTGCGCTTTCTGTGAAAGGTGTCTTCGATGTCCAGTCGCGAGAATATTCATCACCTTTTACATCATTAGAAATACTTTGCGCTAAGCAATTTGTTTTTCTTGGGTTGATTTTCACCAGAGCGCCTAGTGTCAATAATGCCATTGAGCAAGTATCACCTTCAAAGAACGTTATTAAGACGGCTCAGGGCATAATCTAAAGGAAGAGAGCAAGAACTTCTTCTTTTCAAGCAAATTATTCTGTTTCACGTGACGAGCATGGATACAGTTTCAAATCTGTGAATCAAAAAGTTCACCCTGATCATAGCATTACCAAGCAGGAAGCCAAGGATGACTTAATCCCCCAAGGCATTTTTGAGCACTGCTCACCAATTATCGGACAATTCCAACAAGCCGGTCATAATAATATAGTGAGATTTCAAAAAATGAAGGTCTTATATTTCTTAGCAATGAATTTTGTGACAGGCAACGGCCAGGCATCTCAGAGAGAACGAATGATATTCAACATTCAAACGTCAAAGAACGCACTGTTCAAATACACCGAGTTGGAGGATCTGGAGATGATCAAAAGTAAGCGCAAAGATACTGTACTCGGAGATAAGTTGGGAGACTATAACGTTTCGCAAATGGCGAATAGACGATACGGGCTGAGCTCCACCAGTTTTACTTACTTCTCGCTCCGATAATTCAGCCAGATGATTGTTTACCTTTATCATTAGAATACTTCAACGAAGGGCACGCCATCGATGATGCAACACCTGGCCTTACCCCGCTTTTCTACGCATCTATAATGGGTAAACCAAAATCTGTCAAACTTCTGCTTGAACTTGGCGCGGACTTTTTCATACGAAACGAGCACACTGTTTCTCCTCTGCTCGGAGCTTGCCAGCGTAAACACGTCGAAGTCGTCGAAGTATTCGAAGAGTTTGGCTTAGACCTGCATCACTGGAGATTCAATGCGAAAAATGGTCAAACTCCATTCTTAGAAGCCTGTAAAAATGGACCTGTTGAGTTGGTCAAGCCTTTTATTGAACATAAAAACATTGACGAGGACAAACTTTGGGCCTGCATTCAGAAAGCTTCGGACAAGGAAGTTTTAAAGGTAGATAATAATTGCTTTTCTTTGGACTTTAAAATTGACAAATTTATTAAGGCCGCACGAAAAAACTTCAATGGCTAGAAGAACATGATGAATTGTAGCGTCCTAGAAAAATTGAAAAACCGATGCTTAGAAATAAAGAACGGACAGATAATTTGAAAATCATGTATTGAATTGGTTGGGGCTATATTTTCTCTAAGTACAGAAATTGCTTTGCCTGAACTCAGGAATATCTACTCACCCAACTGGGTGGCCACAACGCGTGCAAAGAAACATCCATCAAGAAGGAAACAGTTAAGGAAAAGTAGCGAGCTGGAATAAAATCCAATATCGAGTGCGGGGAAGAATCCGAAAAAGCACCACCAGAACCAAATTCTAGTGATAGCTCCAAGAACGATTGAGCCCATGAAAGCGAAGGTGCTTATTGTGCTGAAAATGTCATCTTCGAACATGCAGTAGGCAGTGGAGTAGAAATAGCTGAAAATTTTTGACTAAATTGAGGGCAATAAAATACGGGACTTACAGAGGGCATTCCCAGAAGGTTTGAAGCTCCATCATCAATCGCCAGGCGAGAATAAGCCCATAATTCGCAGTTTTCTAAACTTAAACGTCGTTCTTTTGCCTCGAAATGATATCTTACCAAAGCATCAATGAAGCATAAACATTTAATGATTTTGATGTACATGTGGTAGTTAGTGAAGAAGTCATAGTTTCTTTGTTTCCAATCTGATTTGATGTAAACGTTTACGAACTCCGTGCCCGTGTGTCCAAGATGCACGGCAAGAAGAAGTTTCACGAGATCGTTTCCAGTTTGTGCCGGCTCGTAGAGATTGAGCGCACCAACCCACCAGAGATAGTAGGCGCCGACTGTCACAAAGAAGGATTGGACGAAGCAGGAGATTCTGGAGTTGGAATGAATTAGAATGTTGGCATCGTCTTGATCGTTCATCTCGTCATCTTATTTTAAGTTTTAGTCGGTAATCTTTTGTTCTAGCGTATTCTTATGAAGAAAAAATGAACGATTACGTGTATATAAATTATGCTGGGTCAGATTAGTTCGACAATATTGCAAGATGAACTCCCTAGGTGGTATGATCTTGTGAGAAACACAGATGTGGATTGAAATGAGACAATAAAGTGTAAAATATAATGATGTTTGTGAGAAAAGTACCTGCTATCATCTCTCTATAAAAGGCGCCGTAAAAGGTGTTCGACACTCGAAGATACATCGGCAGAATCATGTAAGTTGACAGAAGGACGAGGATAAACTCTGCGAAGGCTATCAGCCCCCATGGCTGCTCAAGAAGAAAATCCATATGGAATTTGTTAGTTTTTTTCAACCAGGGTCGAGCGTACCGGGCACCTCCACCGCGGTCGAAAATCGCCCCCGGGCGAAATCAAGCTGTTATTTCATAGTAGCAAATTTAAGGCACAAATATGCATTCATCACTTTAGTCAGTAATTATCAACATCGAAAAATCACTCAGAACATTACGGCTCGTCTCGAGAACCAGTCTCTAGATCGTAAGAAATGTTTATGAAAATTAGCATTTTCTTTCTTACACGTAAATTCCGCAAGAAAGAACGTGTAAATGGTCAAAAACGTGTTCGGAGGCTTGGTAAGACTCAGAGATTTTTCCTTATGTGTTGATTTCGCGCTAGAATTATGAGCAGCAACAGCTCGCAGATAGAAGACGGAGCACCAACATATCAATCAGGTCAAGTCAACGAGCTTCTGCATTTGGAACAGCTTCTCGGCGAATGACCTTAGATCAGGAGGCACATATTTTAGGTTCCAAAGCATTTTTATCAAATCAGTTTCATTATGTTTCCTTATATTATATAAGTTATATACATGAATTTTTCAAGATTTTCGAGGATATCATACTAAGATAAGAAACAATCATTCATGTCATTTTGAACCTCTGTAAGTCACCTTCGAAGAATGACAATCGGCCTAAACGAAGTAAAAAAAGAAGAAGCAGCAAACAAAAAGATCGAAAAAATAGTGGACGGAGGATCGACAACGCAGCGCATCTTATTCGAATGGCTACCAACTCTAAACGCAACGATTCAGTTTTGCGTTCTCATCAATATCGTTCTACTCATCATGCCTGGGGTTGCGCCAGTGGGAAAATCGACTTTTTTTGCACTTGAGTTGGAGGAATGAAATTTTGTGGACATATTTCTGAGGTCCTAATCAAGAAAAAAATAAAAAAAAATACGAAAAATTAAGGGTTTAGGTGTCGAAAAATCGATTTTTTTATTTTTGCAAAACTAAGCCTGAGCGAACCTAGACAACCATTTTATAAGCTCAATAATGATTTTTTCGAGTCGAAAAAAGTCGAAGTAGGATATTTAATTTGCAAATCAAAAAAAAAATTATTTTTAAAAATTTATATTGAAACCATAATTGAGCGGAAGACTTGCCTAATTTGTATTTTTGTACCAAATGGGTGTGGGCGGGGTTGGGGACGTAACTGAGAATGATCACCTCAGAGTCCCACGCCTATGTCAAGCCCCTTAAATTAAATAATCAAGGAACGGGGCTGAGACGGCCCGAAGGGCCGGCAAGCCCCTTAAATTAAATAATCAAGGAACGGGGCTGAGACGGCCCGAAGGGCCGGCAAGCCCCTTAAATTAAATAATCAAGGAACGGGGCTGAGACGGCCCGAAGGGCCGGCAAGCCCCTTAAATTAAATAATCAAGGAACGGGGCTGAGACGGCCCGAAGGGCCGGCAAGCCCTTAAATTAAATAATCAAGGAACGGGGCTGAGACGGCCCGAAGGGCCGGCAAGCCCCTTAAATTAAATAATCAAGGAACGGGGCTGAGACGGCCCGAAGGGCCGGCAAGCCCCTTAAATTAAATAATCAAGGAACGGGGCTGAGACGGCCCGAAGGGCCGGCAAGCCCCTTAAATTAAATAATCAAGGAACGGGGCTGAGACGGCCCGAAGGGCCGGCAAGCCCTTAAATTAAATAATCAAGGAACGGGGCTGAGACGGCCCGAAGGGCCGGCAAGCCCTTAAATTAAATAATCAAGGAACGGGGCTGAGACGGCCCGAAGGGCCGGCAAGCCCTTAAATTAAATAATCAAGGAACGGGGCTGAGACGGCCCGAAGGGCCGGCAAGCCCTTAAATTAAATAATCAAGGAACGGGGCTGAGACGGCCCGAAGGGCCGGCAAGCCCCTTAAATTAAATAATCAAGGAACGGGGCTGAGACGGCCCGAAGGGCCGGCAAGCCCCTTAAATTAAATAATCAAGGAACGGGGCTGAGACGGCCCGAAGGGCCGGCAAGCCCCTTAAATTAAATAATCAAGGAACGGGGCTGAGACGGCCCGAAGGGCCGGCAAGCCCCTTAAATTAAATAATCAAGGAACGGGGCTGAGACGGCCCGAAGGGCCGGCAAGCCCCTTAAATTAAATAATCAAGGAACGGGGCTGAGACGGCCCGAAGGGCCGGCAAGCCCCTTAAATTAAATAATCAAGGAACGGGGCTGAGACGGCCCGAAGGGCCGGCAAGCCCCTTAAATTAAATAATCAAGGAACGGGGCTGAGACGGCCCGAAGGGCCGGCAAGCCCCTTAAATTAAATAATCAAGGAACGGGGCTGAGACGGCCCGAAGGGCCGGCAAGCCCCTTAAATTAAATAATCAAGGAACGGGGCTGAGACGGCCCGAAGGGCCGGCAAGCCCCTTAAATTAAATAATCAAGGAACGGGGCTGAGACGGCCCGAAGGGCCGGCAAGCCCTTAAATTAAATAATCAAGGAACGGGGCTGAGACGGCCCGAAGGGCCGGCAAGCCCTTAAATTAAATAATCAAGGAACGGGGCTGAGACGGCCCGAAGGGCCGGCAAGCCCTTAAATTAAATAATCAAGGAACGGGGCTGAGACGGCCCGAAGGGCCGGCAAGCCCCTTAAATTAAATAATCAAGGAACGGGGCTGAGACGGCCCGAAGGGCCGGCAAGCCCTTAAATTAAATAATCAAGGAACGGGGCTGAGACGGCCCGAAGGGCCGGCAAGCCCCTTAAATTAAATAATCAAGGAACGGGGCTGAGACGGCCCGAAGGGCCGGCAAGCCCCTTAAATTAAATAATCAAGGAACGGGGCTGAGACGGCCCGAAGGGCCGGCAAGCCCCTTAAATTAAATAATCAAGGAACGGGGCTGAGACGGCCCGAAGGGCCGGCAAGCCCCTTAAATTAAATAATCAAGGAACGGGGCTGAGACGGCCCGAAGGGCCGGCAAGCCCCTTAAATTAAATAATCAAGGAACGGGGCTGAGACGGCCCGAAGGGCCGGCAAGCCCCTTAAATTAAATAATCAAGGAACGGGGCTGAGACGGCCCGAAGGGCCGGCAAGCCCTTAAATTAAATAATCAAGGAACGGGGCTGAGACGGCCCGAAGGGCCGGAAAGCCCCTTAAATTAAATAATCAAGGAACGGGGCTGAGACGGCCCGAAGGGCCGGCAAGCCCCTTAAATTAAATAATCAAGGAACGGGGCTGAGACGGCCCGAAGGGCCGGCAAGCCCCTTAAATTAAATAATCAAGGAACGGGGCTGAGACGGCCCGAAGGGCCGGCAAGCCCCTTAAATTAAATAATCAAGGAACGGGGCTGAGACGGCCCGAAGGGCCGGCAAGCCCCTTAAATTAAATAATCAAGGAACGGGGCTGAGACGGCCCGAAGGGCCGGCAAGCCCCTTAAATTAAATAATCAAGGAACGGGGCTGAGACGGCCCGAAGGGCCGGCAAGCCCCTTAAATTAAATAATCAAGGAACGGGGCTGAGACGGCCCGAAGGGCCGGCAAGCCCCTTAAATTAAATAATCAAGGAACGGGGCTGAGACGGCCCGAAGGGCCGGCAAGCCCCTTAAATTAAATAATCAAGGAACGGGGCTGAGACGGCCCGAAGGGCCGGCAAGCCCCTTAAATTAAATAATCAAGGAACGGGGCTGAGACGGCCCGAAGGGCCGGCAAGCCCCTTAAATTAAATAATCAAGGAACGGGGCTGAGACGGCCCGAAGGGCCGGCAAGCCCCTTAAATTAAATAATCAAGGAACGGGGCTGAGACGGCCCGAAGGGCCGGCAAGCCCCTTAAATTAAATAATCAAGGAACGGGGCTGAGACGGCCCGAAGGGCCGGCAAGCCCCTTAAATTAAATAATCAAGGAACGGGGCTGAGACGGCCCCTTTTGTTCATTTTATTAGCATATTAAATCCGATAATCTAAAATGGCGATTTTTACGCCAAAACGGAAATTTTCAAATGGGCCGCATTTTCGTTACCGGGCACTACCGGACGAGGTTTCAATTGATTTATAGAGAGCATCGTCTGAGCTATCTTGTGGTGGTGTCGGTTTGGTTGTTGGTCGTTGTGGGCATGAGTAATTTGACCAAATGTCCGAAACTCGTGGTTTTTTTTTTTAAATCGCTATTTTGCGACCAAAAATCAAAAATTTTTAATTTTTACTAATTTTTATGGAATTTATGCCTATTTTCACCTATGGTCTCGTGGTTTCAGCGTTTTTTGAAAACAAGTCGTTTCGGGCCAAAATCCCACGAGCGCAACCCCAATCATGCCCCATATTCCCCAGTCAAGAGACTTTGTCGCTAGGAATCGGATTTCTAAATCTCAAAAGAACGTTTTATCGACTTGATTTTGTTAGGAAACCTCGTTCAAAGCCATGGCAACTTGATTTCAACATTGGAAAACATATTCGTTGCTGCCTATATCGTCGAATGCTTGATAAAGGTGTACATTTTCCGGTGGTCCTACTTTGTCGAAAGCTGGTGGGATCGCATCGATTTCATCCTCGTACTCATTTCAGGTAAAAAAAGACCCGCGCGACAAGAAAGAACTAATCTCCTCCGACAATTACCTCTTTTCAAGACTAAGACGCTTTTCAGTCTTCGATTTGGTGTATCCAATTTACATGGAAAAAACCAGCGATGGAAAAACTAATACAAGCGGTGGTGGAGCAGCTGATGCGGCTAATGTAGCGCGAACAGCAAAATTGCTCAGACTTCTTAGATCTGTGAGAATTCTTCGAGTTGTTCGAGCTCTCAAGTGGGTGAAAAAACTTGGTGAGAGTTGGATGAATTTCGCTTGGTAACCAAAATTTATAGAAACATACATTACGACCATCATCAAAGCAATGTGGAATCTTAAACCCTTTCTCAAACTTATGGGAGGAATCCTCATCATTTTCGGAATCATCGGCTGTTCTCTTTTTGGAAGAATTCTCCCATCACAATTTGGAAACATGATGCTCACGTTTTTCACCCTCTTTCAACTTTTAACTCTTGACGATTGGTTTGAAATTCTTCAGGAAAGGTCAACACTTTTGAGGTCTATCTAAACTTTAGATTCTAAAGTTTATCCTTTTCTTGACCTCGTGTTCAGGAAGGTTCTGTAAACAGGTTCAATCCGAGCTCTAATGGCGAGACTATCAACAAACCTCTTCTTGCTTACTTGATTGGTAGAATAGACATCGATCAGAAAACGATTTTATAATCTTTCAGCTTACATCTTCGTTATGTCGATGGTATTTTTGAACTTGATCATTGCTGTTCTCGTCGACGAATTTCAAGTTTCATTCGAACAGGCGAAATACAAGGAATCGGCATCAGCAGATGAACAGAAAAACTTCCTGACAGCGATTGATAATATGAACTTATCTGACGATGAAAGGTACTTACCTTACCCAACACTCTGTATCTTGGCTTTAGTGATGATGAATTCTCATCACATGATATTCAAAAGAAAAACCACGCAGAAGAGTTTGAAGAATTCGTTGAAGACAAGACGGAAACACAAAAAGACATTCACGAGTGGTACTTCAAAGTTCTTCCAGCGATCGAAAAGCACCTTTTTCTATTTGAGGTACGAAAAAGGGACTCAAAAATAGAGAAGGACATGAAATGTTCAGGATCACTTCGCCACATACGAACGAGTTATTGACGAGGCTATCCAACAATCTGATGATCTCTACGGATTAAATGCTTGATTTCTATACACTGCACAATATTTATTAATAAACTGCTTACTATCAAAAAGGTCGTATGAGTGATGAGAAAGGTTCAAGTGCGGGGACGCACACTGACTCAATAAAATATCAAAAGGCTTTGCACGAGGGCGCAGATCTCGCAGAACTAGAAAACGTGCAAAGAAAAAATAAAAAGGAGAGACTTAAAGAAAACAAATAATGGCAGATGCGCCGAAGAAGGACGCGAAAGCAGATGATGAGAACAAGCCAATTATCAAAGACGGCAAACGCGGTCAAATATTGAGGTGACTACTAACTTAGTAGTTGTTTGCCTGTCGATTAAAATATTCGCCAATTAATCGTTATCAAATTTGTCAATATATTATCTGATGATTCTGTCAGCAACTTCTACATGCATTTTAGTCAAAACATTAGGCGTAAAACTATCTGATTAATAATACTCTAAAAACTTGCTGAAAAACGTCTTCAAGATTCGGAGAGCATGACATCCGCCTCATCAGAAGACAGCTTCACCTTGCCGTCGAAGAAGAGCTTGGGTTTACAGAGGAAGAAAAAGAAATTCGAAAACGTCTGATGGACAAGGTTCAATTCTTGTAGAACTATTTTTAGAGAGCTTAACTTTAGGTGTTAGCTGCGAGCTTGCAGATAAACTCGATGGAAAATACACTTGAAGCTTCAAAGAATCACATCAGGGATTTGAACAAGCAACTTTCCAGTTTGAAAGGAACTTGCAATGTGCATTCTGAAATTGTCAACGATCTTACAGGTAGCCGGCAAAGTTAGGCTTTAAATAAATCGGTAGTTAAATATTTCTTAAAATACTCGAAGACATATTATCTTAGAGATCTTTAAGACAAGTCAATTAAATATAATTTAAGCGCAGAAGAAAGCAAACAATCAACGAATTACTGAGCTCAAGAACAATGTTAAATTTCAAAAAGAAACCGCTGAACTTATGGAAAAGGATATTGCCAAGGCAAATGTTGAAATGGAACCGCTGAAAACCGCGAATCGACAACTGATGAACATCATTCAGGTCGTTCATTTATCGAAATTTACGTTTTACCATTTGTTAAGGCTGCTGAGAAGGGCCATAACTTGTTGCTCAACACAATGACTGAAATCAACAAGGAGATTGGAAGCGTTATGTGAATTAAAACGAGTTTATCAGGAAAATGTTCGTTTGCTTACTTATTATGCGATAATTTTAATGCTATGAAAAATCTAACGGATGAATGAACTCAAAAATAGACTATCGCTTATTTGTTCACCCCTCTTAATATGTTCCTGAATAAATAAACAGCATCATAATTCTGTTTTCATCAATATCTATCAAAGTTCAACACTTTTGTCTGCTATACGATAGAAACTTGTCTCCTTGAAAGATTTACTGGAAAGGATCGAACCCAGCAGTTAGCATACCCAGAAGAGTGAATTCTCTTGACTCTAATTATCGCCTTTACCTGCTTATCAACAAAAATAAAAATCCGGAAGTAATTTGTCTCGCAGTGAATGTTAGAGTTTATTAAGCAATTAAATAAGAATTTGAACTCAGAAAGCCGGGATGGTGCGATGGAGCGCCCCCTGTACAGTGTATTTACATAGTAATACTACAGAATGTGAGGCTTATAGAAAAGCTTTTTTTCTACAGTCTTCTCGTGAAAGTTATGATACAGTTGAAGTGGTAATGAAAGGCAGGTCTTTTGAAAACGCTAGCTGCTACTATGATACAACATTTACGGATATACTCGGACGTTTTAAGCGTTTCGTTTATGGACTGTGAGCATTTAATACTTTGCTGAGCAAGTGCGGACAGCTTCGTGTCTGCAAGTGTCGAGCGAGACATCATTTGGACAAAGAAAATTTGCAACACAGTTAAAGTACTCATGGTTGATTTGTCTATTCTCTGGCACAGGTCTTCGACGGGATCCTCTGGTTCGTCTTCTATTCGATGATCCTCTGCGCGCTTCTATCTGTAAAATGCAGAACATACATAAAAATACCAAAGTCCGCATGGTTTCGAGAAAAATTACTATTTGACCGGAGATGATATGAGTATAAGTTTAATTTTAGCCGAGACCGGTTTATATGAAGGCGACTCCGCGTGATGTCGCGCTTTCCTCGCTCGGATGTACAATTCAATAGTTTAAAATCAGCCATGTTTTTGGCGTTCATTATCCTTTACAGAAAGGGCGGATTGACAACATGAAGACGAATGGTTCAACCTTCATTGTATCGAAATTTTCGTAAATACAAAATGAGAAAATATTCTTATACATTTCTCTCGTGATATTGGGAAGACCCATTCATTCTGGATCAGGTTTCCGTCTCACTCGCGTGTTGAGCGCTTTCGTCAGATTTTCTCGTGTAATTTCATTCTATTTTCATATGTCTAGCCATGTTGAAACTCAACCCTTGCTGTTGATTCTTGACAGGATTCAAAACGGGAGATCTCCTCTGCTCGAATAGTTCATCAGATTCTTGTGGACGTGTTCGTCAAAAACCATGTAAACGGTTGTAGCGAAAGGCAATGAAAGTAATGTGTGCTATTGTAGTGTAAAGACGTCCCAATTACTTAGAACACTCTCGAAAGATTCTCGACACGAGCACGAATAATTCTCTGCTCTACTAAGCTGCCATTACTGGAGAGCCAGCGACGGAATAATTAAACATTATAAGAATCTCAATTTTTATCCAAGTAAGGAAATTAAACTCATTATGCATGCATTAGTCTGTGTACGGTCATTGAAAAAATAATTGAGAATAAAAATCCCTCTGCAAGAAAGTTTAGTCAGAGCAAATCTTTGAAAGAAAAACATGCACTGACTATCAATTTCATGTCTTCTTCGATTTTATTATTATAAAAAATAAATGGCAGTTTATAAAGCGGTTGTGAACTAAAAGAAATGAAAGACATGATTAGGGGAAATCACTAATAATTTGACTTTTTGTAGGGCTTAGTAGGGTGAGCGTATAATACAGTTTTAGAAAGCCCAGAAGCTGGGGAACATTTTGACTATTGACACTTGGGGGTGATCTCGTACCCTGAGGGCATTTAGGTACCTCCAAAGTCCCAAAATCTGGCCAATTCCGGAAATGGGAAATTTTGAGGCAATAACTCGACCTTTCAGAAGGTACCGTCTATCCTAGATTGTAGCCCAGGCTCTGACGGTCATTTTGAGATATAGAAAAGTACTGAGACCCTGGGGTTCCTGAGGAGCTAGAGGCTCTTGAAGTCGGGGAACTCGACAAAAATTGAGTACTTTTTTACAAAAAGTACACCATTTGTGTCACAAATGCGTCCCAAGGACTTTTTATCTATGTTTCTTCATGAAAAAATGTTCAAGAAATCATTTGGGGTCATCTGAGGTCACTCTAGGTCAGAAATTATAAGAAATTTAGAAAACTGTCATGAGTGACCCGATCTGACCTCGGATGACCCCAAATGATTTCTTAAACATTTTTTAGTGAAGAAACATAGATAAAAAGTCTTTGGGAGGTATTTGTGACACAAATGGTGTACTTTTTGTAGAAAAGTACGGAATTTTTCTCGAGTTCCCCGACTTCAAGAGCCTCTAGCTCCTCAGGAACCCCAGGGTCTCAGTACTTTTCTATATCTCAAAATGACCGTCAGAGCCTGGTCTACAATCTAGGATAGACGGCACCTTCTGAAAGGTCGAGTTATTGCCTCAAAATTTCCCATTTCCGGAATTGGCCAGATTTTGGGACTTTGGAGGTACCTAAATGCCCTCAGGGTACGAGATCACCCCCAAGTGTCAATAGTCAAAATGTTCCCCAGCTTCTGGGCTTTCTAAAACTGTATTATATGCCCACCCTACTAAGCCCTACAAAAAGTCAAATTATTAGTGATTTCCCCTAGACATGATTATACAAAAGTTGGAATAAAGACCGCGCGTGTTTGGATTCACGCTGGCTTCGTAACAACGATTGAAAATTACCACAAAACCAATTTTCTGAACAGTCAAAGTCCAGGTTATTACGCCGCAGTAGTAGAAAAGGGCCTAGGAGTAAGTGAGTGTCAGGAATGTGTGAAAAGCATGGCTCTGGAGTTACTCCATCGCAGTTGCTTGTGAGGCTTTCGTTGGAGACCCCGCGATCTGTTTGCCAGAGACGGCTTCTTCAGGGTTGTAGTTAGGATGAACAACAAGAATAGCGTCTTCGTCGTTCCCACCCATATCTTTCAACTCGATAAGAATGTTATCGCCATGGATAAGTCTTTCGAGTACTCGTTGCGCCATAGTGTCGTATTTCTAAAGCAAACTATTATAAAGGCTATATAAGTGATATTATAATACGGTAAATTCGAAATACTCATTCAGGCGAAGAGACAAAACAATTTAACACGATCGAAACTATGATTTATCTATCACAAACTACACGTGTACGTATTTTATGTATCGTATCCAACAAGATCTACAAACTTGGTAGAACCAATGTTACATGAATTCAGTTTTGATATTTATCTATATTGACATGCTCTGATCAGAATGCTCATCTGAAAATTATATCGTGTGCTTACGTGGAACGCGCTCTCGTCATCACAATCCTCTGCAACTGTATCCAAATACCAGTCGAGCAACTTCTTTCTAGTTACACCGCCTTCTTCGCCTTCAGATTCAGCAATTTCTTCTTCTTTCCTGACCTTATGGACAAAGAGATTGGCCAAGCGTTGATACTCTTCCCATGAGATCGTAATGGCGTCATCATTATTTCCTTCGCCTTCTGCTTCCATCTCATCTTGCTCCTAAACACGCAAATGAACCGAAAAGTCCCTACTATTAAGTCACCTTTGGAGCATCTGCAGCCATTCCCAAGTTGATGTCTGGAATTTCAACCCGAATAATAGACTTTTTCAAAAGCCTTGCAGCCTCTTCGACATGCTTTGGCTCGACGACCTCAAGACAATGAAGTCTAGCGCAGGCTTCGGAAAGTCGAATGAGCGACTCCAACTGTCTGACTGTAATTCTCCATGCTGAGCGGGCTGATCCTTGAGCATCTCTGTCTCGCATCGTCTAGGAAAATTGCTCAATACTTATTTAGGAAGATTGACCGACCTTGTACTCGTTGACGACGTATTCTGTCGAATCCTTGGACATTTTCGGCTTGAATACTTTGCAGAACATTAAATATTTCAAGACATCTTCGACACTTAGGAATAACATTAGAACATTCCTTGTTGATTGCAGCTTACCTGTATGGTCTGATCGCTGCCGTGGCAGCTTGATTGGCATGCATGCCGACGATTTTATTAGCTACAGCATAATCTGTGATCTCATTCAACTCGTCCACAAGAACAAAAAATAGATCGAATCGGGACATAATTGGCGCCGATAGCGAGATGTTCTGTCTCAAGGATTTTGTACGATCGTAACGGCCGCCGATCGGGTTCGCTGCTGCTAGTACAGATGTTCTGAAATGCTTCGTTGATCTTAATTCTTTAATCGAGCTTGTAACCTTGAATTAAGCGTAGCTTTAACTCCAGCTTTGCAAATCGATATCGTTTGCTGTTCCATCGCTTCGTGGATCGCAACCTGATCTTTTATGTCCATCTTATCGAACTCATCGATGCAGCAGATTCCTCCATCAGCAAGCATTAACGCGCCAGCCTCTAAAGTATGGAATTAATATCGTTTCCAGATCTAAAGACAGAAGGCGATTTAAACTTAGAGCTCGAAGTAAGCCAACATCCTAGAGATTTGCCCGGAAGTAGCAAAAACCAAGGGGAAAAACCAACTCACCAATAACGGATTCTCCTGTTTCATCATCTTTGACCACAGCTGCAGTCAAACCAGCCGCAGATGAAGCTTTACCCGACGTATACACAGATCGTGGCATGAGATCGGAGATATTCCTCAAGAACTGACTTTTTCCGAGCGATGGATCACCAATAATCGCCACATTGATATCTCCTCTTAGCGCGGTTCCTTCTGAAGTGTGTTTCGCCACGCCACCGGCGAGCATGAGAATTAATCCCTTTTTGATTTCTTCGCTTCCATGAACATGAGGGAAGATTGAGTCACAAAGGTTCGAGTAAATCTTTGGATCGGCGCTCATCCTGGTGACTAGCGTCCAGTCTTGCTGGCTCATTGTCAATCGGGCCATTTCTGGAGTCGCCTCGCTGCGATTGCCTGATCCAGTGACGTGGTAGGCCAGGAATACGAGTCTGTAGTTGAGATCGCGCACACCAAGCTCTTTGAGACCAGTGACACCTTCAGCGGCATCTCCTGAAAAACTGTGTTGAAAAGTAATTAGACGAACTTAAGTTTACCTCCTCGATTTCTCCTCGCATCTTGTTGAACAGAAGGACCCATCATTGCGGCTACGTCGGGAACAACGACCAATGTCCCGACAAACTCGGCCAGATCACCCGGCTGCGCGACTTCGACCGCATCTCCTCGGATAATCACCTCAAATGTTCGCGGAACTGCGCCACGGGGAAGCTCGTTTGGCGTCTCTTGAATTCGTACTTTTTGGAAATCGCAGAATTTGGAAGTGTGCGTATCCAGCGTAAAACGCGATCTATTGCCGCAGTTTGGATTCACGCAGACTTGTGGCTGCTCGTATTTGAATTGTTGCTCGATAGCAGGACACTCTTTAAATTTTTTTAATCTTTTATTCATAATTTCAAAAATCAAAGGCTGAAGTTAGTCTTAAAACTGCGTAACTTACTCATCGAACAGTCATTGCAAGTAAAGCATCCATAAATCAATTCAGGATGAACAGGATGGGTTCGTACCACTTGGCCCTTGATTCGCAGCAAGGTGCCGATTTTGTCTGTCTGAAGGGATCTGATTGTGCATTCGTCTTCCACCGAAGTAAACGCGACGAACAAGTCTTTCTTTTTATTGAAATCACTAAATTAATGAATTACTTCTCGCTGAATGGGTATCAAGTTCTTACGCAAAAGTATCGATACAGAAGTTCTTCACAGCACGGCACAAGTAGGGATACAATCTGTAGAAGTCTTCCTTGATTCTATCCGCGATCGGCTGCGACCAGGCCATAATGTCTTTCATGTCGATTTGGAAGGTGTGTTTCTCGGGCGAGATCATATCTTGCGCATGATCCTTGTATTTCTTGAACTCTTCGAGCTCGTCTCCGTCTTCGGTGAATTCGTGAAGGAAAGTCTGGAAGACTTTTTGGACGCGATCGGCAGCATCGTCGCGTTTCTGGTTTACTTGACGGCCGAACCCACCGTCTATCTCCATCTCTAAAAATACAATTTTCCTATATGAATCGTAAAAAAGCACAGTCGAGGATTCTTCAAATACCACTTATTAACGTTTAAATGAATCATCCCCTGAAAATTAAACAGGATTCTAGAAAGAATTGCAAAATTTCCAAACAGAATTCTCTTTATTCACGCAGAACCGCTTTTTCTCTCGATAAAAAGTCGGAAACCAAGCGAAAAAATTGCTTTCCAGGCTCAGCCAATCGCGCTGCCCGGAAAACAGATCGAACCACTCGAATTCTGGGTTCCTGAACGAGAAAGAATCTCTGAAGGAATGAACAGTTTTTGAATTGTGTTGTTTATTTGTGTAAAAAAGGGTTGTACAAAATCTAGAGAGCAGGCAGAGTTGTTGTTGTGCTTTTAATTTCATTCAAAATTACAATTTCAATTTTTACTAATCCATTTTATTACGATTTTTTTCTTAGTTCAATTAGGCTTATTATTTATAAGAATTTCGAATGATTTCCTGTTTGGTAAAATTGCATTTCTCGCCCATATCCGGTGAACATTTTGAACAAGTTGAGGCGTTCTTTTGATCTCACGCTGTCTTTTCAGAGGCTTCAAGACATGTCCTTAGCCGGAAGAAAAAGTACGATTAGGAAATACTCGTCAGAGCCCGATCCTTTGAAGAATTTGAGCAGTGTAGGGAGCAGATGTCCATTGTTGGTTCATTAGCAACAGGATTCGCTGAGACTCTTCCGTGGCTCGGAAAAGAGGCTGTCTTGCGGACAGCGTTCCCCTAAATTATAATTGGAGATTATCCTACAAATGAGGCTGGTTACTTGATATCACTGCCACCAAGTGGACTCTGAAGCTTGATTTCCGTTGGTTCGACAGCGACCTTTTCCGGTTCAGGAGCCTTCTTTTCTTTTTTCTCCTTCTTCGGCTTTTTCTTCGCGGCACCTCGTTTTTCCTTCAATGTGTCAAATAAAACTCTCCTTCTTGAGTACCTTTGGCTTTGGAACTTTATCGTGATGTTCCCTTAGAGCACGGAAGCTAGAAATATCCGCCCACTTTTCTGCAACGTCCATAACAGTTTGCCCCTTCGAGTTCTCCAAAAAAATTTTCTTTCCACCAGCTCCGTTGTCGAGCAAGTACTGGATCGTTTGTGCGTCAGAGCCTTTTCAAGGATTTTAAAATTGTGCTCAATAAAGACTTCTATTTGAATAATAAACATGAAGTTCAATATTTTTATTACATTGAAATCCAGACCTTGTGCCGCTCTCATTAAAACGGTTGCCTGAATTAATTGATTGCAAAAGAAAGATAAAATGAAATTTAAAACCGTTTAAAAAGCTGTAGTGATAAGTCATTCTTTCAAATTACCTTATTGAAAGTTCGCGCAAGAACGTCAGCCCCAGCTTCTACTAGAGCTTTTGTTACTTCGAATCCACCGGATGAGACCGCATGATGAAGAGCTTTATATTGAGTTAGGCGCAGTTACTTTCCTAGACATTTACTCTTAAAATTATTAAAAATGATTTTCCAACTCTTTCCTGTCCAGCGCATATTGTCAGTGGCATGAATATTTGCTCCTTTGCTGATGAGAAATTTGACAGTTTCAAGATTTCCCGCCGCCGCTGCATGCATCTAATGATACAGTAAGATCTGTAAACGTGACAGGTCCGCTTACGAGCGCAGTCTTGAAGAATCTATCGGGGGTATCGACTGGATAGCCATTTTCAAGAGCAAACTTAAAGGACGTCATGTCGTTTTGCTTGATGGTTGTCGCGACGCGCTCAAAGTCGCGAGTGGGGAAACGGAGATACCAGGCGGAATCGTCCTGGAATGGATGAGCGGGACGGTCATCTCGAGAGAATCTTGTCAGGTCAGTTTGAAGTCTTTTAAAGGATCAAATGTCGACTCGCCTTGGCTCTTAGCTCAAAGAAATTCTAGTCCCTGTCCTTAGACGTTCTACCAAAGAGTGAGGTGGACCTCCATCAAATCTCCTCTTCATTTCGGGAGGATCAACGCAAATCTTCAAGTTTCCCTTTGATGCTTTTCCTTTCTTACCCTTTTTGCCTTTCTTTTTGCCTTTGCCCTTCTTCTTCTTTTTCTTGTTTCCAGGAGTTTCGTAGAGTTTTGAAACGAGTCTGCCTGGCTTCCATAAATCCTTGAGTTTCAGTTCCGGTGATCCCTTTGAAATAAGTGTGATGAACTCGACGAGCTCATCTCCAGAGACGTTGGGCTTGAGTTGCTCCGTCAGAATTTGAATCAGCAGATCTCTAATTTCATTATTATTTCGATTTTATCCTTCCGATTTCATCAATTTAAATACATAGGCTGTGTCAAGCAGCTTTTTTGATGCCGTAATTTGGCAGCGTCATGATCGCCTTAGCAGATTTAATCTATTCTTATAATTTACGGTTACTAACTTTCGACGACCATGAATAGATTAAATGATGTGACGTCCGTATAAAATAAATATTCTCAGATAAAATACCTGTCAATCTCCGTCATATTAACGTAAGTTTCAATCTCCAACTCAAAGGCATGAAGCCAGTCTTTAAAGATGACTCGATTGTCCTCCGGCCTTTTAGACCATGCTTTCTCGGCTTTTCGTACTTCTTTCATGGATTTTTTGCTCGCAAGTTGTTTTCCGGTGCAACTCTTTTTGTCTTTGATTTTCGGATTTGCGCCTCGCTGGACGATGAACTTGACGACTTTTGATTTTCCGTTCGCACAAGCCACATGAAAAGCTGTTTGTCCATCGGAATTAAGGCTGTTAAAGTCGGCTTTGAATGCAGAAAGAGCTTCTAGCGCTGCAGGAGCACCAGATTTCGCAGCGAAATGCACTGCCGTCCAGCTTTTGGCGTCCTTAGAATGCGGGTCCGCTCCTTTCTTCAACAGTTCGACGACTAGTGAAGGGCTAATGGGCAAATAGATTGATAGCGAGTGGAGAGTGCTCAAGCACTTACTTGAACTCAGCAGCGTAGGACAATGCAGAGCGCTTGTTGATTGAGTGAACTATATTTGGATTGGGAAGCTTTTCCAAAATTTCTTTGCTCGCAGAAAGACCTTCTTCGCCTTTTTCTAGGGCCAAGATAATTGCTATCGAATTTTCAAAGATTGCCGGGTCCTCGTCCAAACATCTATCGAGGCACTCCAAGTGATGTTCTGTGTGCTCAACTAAGCACCACGATAGCGTGTCCCATTGATTGACGTCTTGTTGAGCCAAATTACATTTGTTCTCGATCAAGAGATCAAGTACATCAGGAAAACCGCATCTTGCCGCTTCCATTGATGCAGTTTTACCTTTATTAAAAATATTTTTCTTTCTGAATTCTTGATAAATTGATGCATTACCGTTAATATTACAGATATTTGCATTGCAGCCAAGAGAAAAAAGTTTATTGATAACTTCAATCTTCCTCAGTTCAACCGCGAGGAGCAAAGGAAACGTTCCATAAGTTGGCTCGCAAATGTTCAAAAGATTAGGAACTCCTTCTGTCACGAGCTCAGTAATAAGATGGAAATCTTCGGCACGCACGGCTTGCAGAAGCTTGTAGCATTGCAACTCCTCAAGTCTATCTGAATTTCAAGAGCTTGTTGAACACGCCTCTGTCAATAAAATACGGTATCATTACCTTGGGGAAGTTTGCAGCCTTCGGGCGGCGGGATAAACTTCTTTTTCTTCGCACTTCCCATAAGCCTCTCTATTACGAAAACCTCTCTCCTTGGAGCTAATCAAACCTCTAGGAATGACATTTACTGAGGCGGAACTCGGACATATGTAGATATTCTGTGTTTATTAGGAGCAGTTCAAACAATGGAGTAACCATGCCGACCCCAATCGTACATTACGAGTGGTACAACAAGAAAGCAGAACAGAAGGGGGCAATTAACGCCCCAACAGATTGCTTTTTAGATATTTTTCGGCTCTCGATGGCCCCAGAAAGAGAGGGTTTCCGCCAAACTTTCTCGAGATTTGTATTCGTAGAAGTTATGCGACTCATCGTAACCATAAACAGCGGGGGCCTTAAGTAACATTTTAAATTGACATCGTAAGACTATTTGATGATAATATAATTACAGAATATGATATTCTGAATATCAAAGGAGCAGATATGTTGTTGCTTTACGCTCAGCTTATTTTTGATATCAAATGAACCTACCTGGATAGAATTGAAGCGCGAGTAGAGCGCATATGTATAGCCACCGATATCATGCATCACGATGTAATCGCCAGGCTTGATTTCAGGCAACGCTCGTGCTTTAGCAAGATAGTCCCCTTTAATATATTTAATTATATACCGATATTGCTGGCTATCTAATGATAGGAAAAGTTATAAAGAAACCTTGGAAACAAAGGGGGCCACCGACGTCTTGCTCGATTAAGTCGCCTGTCTTTGGATCTCCGTTCTAAAAAGGCTGAAGCTTGGGTTCAAAATTGATGCCACAATTTAAACGAAAAACTTTAAAGCTAAGCGTTGAAACTGTATCTAGCCAGGTACCTTATCCAATACAGACATCCGGTGAAACCACGTATCGGGAAGATAGACCTCTCTCAAGAACTGATTTGATCCGAAATGTGTCAAAACAGTAATTCTATCACCCCATGTTTTGACAGTCTCAACTTTTGAAACAGAAAAAGCGTATTTCGTCACTAAAGAGCGGCCAAACTCTGAGTGAAACGAAAATTCTGCAAGATTGGGCACTCGATCTGTAATCAACTTTGCATATTCTGCGAATGCAACTTTTTCATCGTCAGATTCATAGTCTGTTGGGATTCCTCCACCGACATCGATGTATTTGATTTGCTTCTTTCCAGCGAGGTCGTTTATCTTCCTTGCTATCAAACGATTTTACCATTGAGACAAGGTAAAATCAGGGTAAAATGATAAAAACCGATTCCTAATTTGACAAGTCGTTCCACTCCAAGAGTAAGCTGGTCGAGCGAGATACCCTGGCTTCCGATATGCTGATGAAGACCTTGAATCCAAGAGTTGTCGAGGATGATCTTGATCACTTCTTCTTCGAATTCCCCGGTCATCGGCAGTCCAAACTTCGACGATTTCCCAGCAGTCGAAGACATGGCAATTTTTCCAGCTCCGACGTTAGGATTCACTCGCATGCCAATTTTACCGGTCACATCGACATTTAAGTCGGGTAAAATTTCATTCACTTTCTCAACTTCTTCCAGATTGTCGAGGTTAATGACAACTCCTGCGTTGAGCGCGTGTTTGAGATGGGCTTTCGTTTTAACAGGAGAATCGTAGACGATCTTTGATCGATCGAAGCCAAGCTGCAACGCGTGCTCAAGTTCACCGATTGAAGCTGCTTCCGCTCCAAGGCCGCACTTTTTCGCCTCTAACATTACCCCTCGAATCGGGTTCGTCTTGATCGCAAATGCGTGATTCCATGATGGCAACGCTTCTGGGAAATGATTTCAATGCAAAAGTCAACAAAGACGATATCCTCCTTGTTTTCAATAAAAAGGAAATACCCTTAATTTTACCTTGGACCTCCCGAAATCTTCCTCGAAGGCCTTCTAAATCATAAAGATCCAAAACTGGACTTTCATCATTGAGCAGATTCTTGCCAAGAGCAGCTTTCACCACTTTACTGACTCGACTCGCCCGACCTACGCCATGTTTAAAGTAACTTTCTCTTTCAAAACAAACATACTCAGATGAGCAACAGCAGCTGGATTCATCTTTCTTCAACCAAAAAAAAATTTAATGAAATTTACTAAATGAATTCGCCCGTGGGCACCACCATTATTCTCAATGACATGCAAATATAGTCTGTCCAATTAAATATTCCTCTGTCGGTCTTTACGATGACTCAAATAATCATAACTGGCACCTTTGTACAAAAGAATCAGCAGATTTGTGGAAGTGGTCAAGTCAAACATGTATTTACAGAAATAGAAAACGCGAGATCGTCTCTTCAAACGACGATTCCCGACCAACATATATTCAGCTGGCTTCGGTGCACTAGAACGTTGTTAACAATTTTCCAACGCGATGAAGTCGCTTACCTGCATTAGCGCAGCTCAAGGACCTGTTCAACAGAACGGTTTTGCGATCTCTCCTGATGGGGCCGTCGCGGCGACGCGTAAAAGGCGTTCCACCCGCGGCGAAGAACGCCAAGTCGTCCAAACTATCTACCTTTTTTACCTTTTCTTTCAAACAAGAGTCTTCCTTTGAGCTACTTGCTGAACTCAAGCATTTGGAAGAGTCTGATTTTCAAGTCAACACAAGCCAAAAAAATTGACCAAAACTCGAGAACTAGGGGCTATAAGAAACCAGTTTCCAGTTTGGCATATTTGACCTGGTCCTGAAATGTTTGAATCTGTCTCAGACGTTTCCGAGAAGCCGGATTCATCTGCATCGCCACTCAAACTTGGATTACTGCGCTTCCAAAGTGGCATAAGCGGCGAACTGGGCACCGGTGGCATCCTTAGATCCATCAATGAGGTGCTTCTATTGCTTCCGCCAGAAACGTGTTCTGTCTTCGCAAATTTAAGAAGGCCTGTTCGTCCAGGACGCGTGCGAGGTGACACGATTGGATGGCGGTCGAGCTCTGCTAACTCGTGCAGCTCGTCAAGGCGCGCTTGAAACGAGATTTAGGGGAAATGCTCGTGAGTTGTTTTTTTTTGTAATATTTCTAAAACGCGCTACATACTTTTAATAAAATCAAAGTGACGTGCAGTGCGGTGGCGGTGGGAGACGTCGGACGTGTGACGCATAACCCTTTTGCGCACAGCTGTGTCCCGCAATGGCCCGCACTGCGCCAAGCTCGGCGCTCTCGACAGCGTCGGGTTAAACGCGAACTGGGCGCGCACTGGAAGCGAACAGAGGACCAGTTCTTCGCTGTTCGACAAATTATCAATCTTCGCGATTTCAGCTGTTTCTTGCTCTTTAGCGCCCCCTTTCCGCAGCCATTTGAAGAATTTCTTCAATTTTATCGTCATTTTTAAATTTCTATCTCAATTAGAAAAAAATTCGTGCGCTCTTTCGCTTTCCCGCGCAATTTCTCGTGAAATTAGTTACTATTTTAAATTTAAAATTTATAATTTATCGAAATTCCAACGATCTGCAGGGGGTCGCAGAGTTCCTAAGAAATTCCGTTGAGAATCGTGTCGGGATTGATGATCGGCTCAGGTTCGTTCAATCACAAATCGCAGCTAAAATTTAATATAAGGTTTGAAACTTCTAAAACAAAGAAGTTAATTTCGCGAGCTTTTCTGATCAGCCTTTGACACCCTTAAGATTACGCTTCTAAATTTGATTGACCGTAGATCTAATAAAATACCAGGAAAATTCTTAGGAGAGAAGCATCAATTAAAAACAAGCAGAAAAATGTTGATCCAAAGAATTTGTAAAAACCAAGCCCGGAAATGAAATGGTCGTTTTTGACATTTTGAGAGAAATTACGACTTTCGCATTTCGTCGATAATCAACAAGGTCGCTGCTCGAATTTAAATTTCAATCTCCCAAATCGTCGCCTGTTTTCAGATAAAAGTCATTAGCGTTCTGCTCATTTCCGCTCGACACTTTTATCTTTTGCACTCCATAAGCTGTCAGAACCACGTGACCACGTTTTCGACCCAGAATTCTATTTTGAAATAGAAAAAAAAGAAAGATACTTTGATTTGAATTACCAATAATAAAGAATCAAACAAGGGAGAAGGAAAATAAATCTTCGAAGTAAAAAAATCATTTTCTAAAAAACTGAATCTATTTTTATCAAAAATATTTGCCAGCCTGATAGGTGCGAGCATTTTAAAGTAAATACTTTAAGTATAAACCTTCTGTGCCTTCATTTCGATAGTACTATCTTGAAAGCTGTGCAATCCCTTATCCCCCTTTAGAATCCCTAAACAAAAACCCGTTCGGTGAAGTGAAAAATGTGGAATTTGTAGAAAAAGGTTGGAGAAAGAAAAGAAATTCATAAACTATTTGTAATCCAAATTTCGTGGCAACAAATTTGATTACCCAAGGTGACGTTTTCATGGAGCGAAAAAGCAAAGGCCGAAAATTGGAGGAAGAATTGAAAATTGAAAACGAGCGTTTTGCAAAAATGATAATACTTGGTCTACAAAACTTGTAGAGGCGCGATTTATTTTTTTGAACTACCACGTGCAGTACTTTTTTGACATAAATCTCCTCGGTGCATAATGTTTCTGTTTTCAAAACAGGTTTTCATGAGAACGATCTGCGAGTTAGCATTAAACTTTGAATTGGTAAATTTGATTACTGTACCACTAATACAGTAATACAGTACATTTGATTGAATCAAGAAAGTAGGAGCAAATTTTTCATTTGAAATTACTTTCATGAAAGAAAAATTTTAATAAAATTTTTTGGTATTTTTTCAGAGAAAAAAGGGAAAAGGGATTTCTAATGTTTGGACTGTCCATTAGAGGTGGCGAAAAAAAACGTGTCGTAATCCGTCCTTGATGAGCTCTTAGCCGTGATAACAGTTCGAGTCCTTAATTTGACGTTTTTGCGCTTAATCCAGACGTTCCATTACTCGCGCGGCGATTTATCAATCCGGCTTAAAAACGCCTGTAAGAAGCTGTTCATCTAAAACGGCGAAGAGCTCATTTCCGAGAGGCCATTAGCGGACTACTAATCCGCTTTTTCACTTTTCGGGAAAAGTCAATAGCGCTGTATATTTGATGTTTGTACTTGTGAAGGGTTTTGTATTATAAAGCGTGTTTCTACAATAATTTTGCATCCACAAACTTGTGTTCAAAGGGTTAAAAAAGGGGTAGAAAAAGTGAAGTTGTTTAAAGTTTCGAGGCTTTGCTCAATACAATTTAAATTTGTTTCAGTATTTTTGAGTGCCTTTGAGAAAGTCTCAATGCATTAAGTTGGTTGGTTGAATCAGTTTCGGAGAAAATCAAATTTTGAACTTCGGAGAAGCATTTTTGAATATTTTATTCGACTGACGACACTAGATAAGGTCAATAATAACCGCAAAAGAAACCATTTATAAAGTCATATAAACAACACTTTCCAACTAGGAGCACAATAATACCACTGAGTTTGATAAATTAAAAATTACAGAATGAAAGTTCAGCAAACGCTATCAAGATAAATAATATATTAAAAAAACATTAACTTAGGAAAAAATAGTAGAAGATAAATTTTAAATTATAACTCTTGAATATCTTTTTCATAATTATAGTTTTTTTTTCTGAGATATTTTACAGTAATTGAACTCACCTTTTTAGTGCATTACCCAAAATTTTTCAGTCGCCCATGCAGGGTCTCTTTTTTCAAAAATCTCTTTGTCGAAAAAGACCAAGCGGTTCAGCGCGGCGCGTCGGGCTCAGCGGGAGCGCGAGGGCGCGCACGAGCTGAAATCGAGAGTTTTCACGATTTCACGATTCCGTCTGCGCCACCTTCTCCGCTTGATTCTTTTCTATTGTTCTCTTGTTAAGATTATTGGAAATCCTTGACTTTTTGAACATTCATTCTAAATTTGGCAGAAAATTTGACCGCCAAACTACGCTCGTTGACGGAATTATTTTACTCGTTTCTGGTTAATTAATAAAGCCAAATTCGAACAATTTCTTAAAATAAAATGAGAGCTCCAAATTTACAAGAATAAGCAACTAGTGTTGACATAAAAAGCGAACCCATCGACCTGATGATCATCTATTTTTAAAATGACTAGACTGAGATCAGAGTAGCGGCGTTAGATATTTGATTGTCTATAATTCGTGGAAGTACATTTCGCGCGCCTTTATAAATATTTTGCGCATTTGCGATTCAATAATGCATTCAGCACAAAAAAGTTCTAAAACAAATCGTTGTTCAACTCGCGAATTAAATTTTCATTCTCCGGTAAACGACTTATTCAATCAATCTACTGGCCATTAGTTTCCGCTACAGAAAAGTTCAATATCTGCATTTTCAATATTGAAGAATGAAAATTTCCAAAATTTCAAATTTCAAATCTCAAGACGTCGAAAGCATCAGCTACCAGCTATGGAAAATTGGAATAAGCACGAGTCTGACATTTTTAAAATGGCGATTTTCGCCTCAATTACTTTAAACGTTCTAAAAGCTAGAATTATAAGCCCGTTATCTTCCCGAAAGAACCTTTTCTCGGAAGAACCGGAAAACGAATTCGCCTGTTTGTTCAATTGAAATTTATTTGATTTTTTAACTTGAACGAAATTATCATCAGCTGAGGAAAAAAGAGAAAGAGTGGCTTAGGTGGATAAGTCGAAGCTGTCCCAATTGCATTTCGAATTCGGCGAAAAAAAAAGAATGTGTTTCAACCTTTTTTTTTTGTTCAAATTTGAGGACGTTCCAGATCGGCATTGAAATCAATTATCCCTTTCATCTAAATCTGTACAAGAAGAAAAAATGATAGAAATAAAGAAAAACAAAGTCTCCTTTGTCAAGTCAGATTTTAATATTAATCAGAAAGAGGCACTTTCGGGAGAAAAAGGTGTGGAGTTCGGCGGTTTTTAAGTCGAGGACGATGGCGCTCCGGTGAGGCGCGCTCGTGTGAAAAAATCCGCGGACTCGCGCTCCAGGCCATTTTTTACGCCGCTGCAAATGCATAGAGCATTCTCGCGTTCTAACATACTATATTCGGAGAGAAATAAATTATGAAGAGATTAATTACACTGGTGGGAATTTACTCCGTCGCTGGGCAGAAGAAAACGTCAGGAATAATTCAAACTAAACAAAAACGAAAAACACAGGGATTCTAATTCTAAAGCCTTCTTGAACTCTAGAAGAGACCAGAAAGGTGGTGTGTTGAATGAACATATTCACACGATCAGTCTTTTGATTAGCGGATTACAAGGCTTCTTATCGTGTTTAATGAAACCTAATTAAATGCGCTGGCCTACATGTTTAGTCGCTACTGCAAATGAATCTGACGAATCATTAATTAGATGGTCACCGTTGGAGTCGATCAGATTTCCGAGGAATGCTTTCTTTTTTATTATTTCTATTTACTAGTTTTTTTTTTCATAATCTTCCCTCCTAAACTTCCCTAAATGAAGACAGTATTGAATTATTGCAAGTCTTTCCACAGTGTTTTCAAACGAGGTGAGATTTCTTATCAGTCCCTTCCCTTATCAGTTATCACACGTTCTTGAAATAATTTTAATGCCAGCTCTATCAGCTTGAAGACAAAATACCCCCGAATCAATTTCATTCATTACGCGAAATAATTAAAAGAACATACGGTGCGATCCTACTGTTTTTCTTGCGAAGAGTGATTATTTGATTCCAATCAATCAAAATTCAAAATGTCAACTTGAGTCGCATCACGTCAACGGCCCCCCTGTTCTACGACGCTTTTGAGAATTAACTGATCAAACAAAATCCATTATTCTAGCTCCAAATAAAAATCAAACCCAATTTAGAAAACTCCTTAATCAACTTAAAATCCGATTCGCGCAATCAATGCAAACTCGTTCAAAAGACAAGATCCATGAGAATCAAATTAAGGAGCTCATCATTTCTCAACTATGTGGCCACTTTTTCGTGTAATAAGCGTTTATTTAAACCAGTTACTAAAACTTGATGCAACTCCTCCCGCAGAACATGAGACTTTTTTTACCAAATCATATCATTGCTATTCATATTACGGTTTATTTTTATAAAAGCTAGCAGATTAAACAAGGCATCGCTTTTCCATCTCCACATCATTTTCTTCTTATGAATCACCTACGTCGTACTTTTTCTCTTAGAGAACTAGACTAGTAGATTTTTGACTTCTCGAAGAAAAACCCCTCTTTACACCCTAACCCCCTTAAAATGACAGCTTTGACCTATCAAATCAGAGGTCCTAGGGTGTAATGCCCCTTCTGTATGATGTAACCACTGTTGCACCGCGCCCATGAACCCTCGAACCGCAAGGGAGATATCTCGCTGATAAAACAAACCCTTGCAGCATAAAATTCTCAAGATTAATTTACCACGCATCAGATACAATATGCGAGGCTGCAGTACTCGTTCCTGGGACCCCGCAAAGCTCTTTTTTATCTGTGCGTAAGAATGCGGCTTGTTTTTAACAATTATAAGGCCCAAAAGTTTAAACTCGTAATAACTCTCGATCTTCAATTAGTGATTTTGCAAAATTAAAGTCCCTTGAGTCCAATTCCACGGTGCGCTAAGCCGCGAGCTGATTTCGAAGTGCTAGGCGAGTTTAGGGGCCCGATTAGGGCGACGTAGCAAGTTGATCAAGTTGCAGTTCAAGTAAAACTCGATACTTTTATATTTTAATTCTTCCTGGCTTTCTGTTGTACTTGACTTTTGTAACAATTAAATATTCACTCGGATACTCAATGACTTTGGCTAAACAAGATGTTCTTTTGGGATATTTATATCTACCAAATTCAGGTCAAATTTGGTAGGAAGAAGGTCAAGAATGAAGAAAAATAGCGGAATATTTTCTATTTCTTACTTTGGCGACCTAAATAAATTGAAAATTCTAATGAAAACGAAATATTTTAGATGTGAAGAAAACCCGAAATCTTCAAAGACAAGCCGCCCAAAGCCTTGTGAACCAGAAGATTCTGAACTCAACCTGGCGCGAATCGCCACCGTCACGTGAGTTGCTCCTTAATTGTGATACATGTAGATATAGAAGTCAAGCCACGTGTGAAGGAGATATTTTCATATCTCGAATACGTGCCATATTTTTTTTTCTAAAACATTGCATTTTCGTGGAAATCGCGGGCCCTGAAATGTGAAAGATTCCGCACCGAGACAACCGGTTAAAAAATTGATGAGCGAAAGTACTTCGGGATGGAAGTTGTCTGACAGTATTCCGTGCATACGGTAGATGTATATTTTGTGAGTTCTCTCGACTAAGTACTCGATGAATATTAACGCTTTCTTTTCGCTGCTAAAAAGTGCGGTTTCCTTGTTTTTGACCTCGCAAGTTTAAACTATCGATAATTGTCCATTATTCAGTTAATCATTCAGAGTGTCGCCAGATGAAGCAACTTGCGCAAAAATGCCGTCCGAAGATGGAAAAGACGAATCAAAATACTGCGGGTACTTATGGCGACGTAGTAAAATATTATAACTAGAGTTTTACGGCGCTGGTTTTGAACTAAGCCGACTTACCCTCCCGCTGCTGGTCTTTGGTTGATAATGATCTCCTCTTCATTCCCTAAGAAAAGAGGAGGCCACAGATCTTACTTACTATCAACGAAAAATCCAGCGTGCGGTTGTCCCGTGACGTACCTCGAGAAATCGGGCTCGCCAGGACGGAAGTAAATAGAATGACTGTTCATTTCAAAAGTCAAACAATTTTGGCACTTCTTGGCGCCCATCCCTTTCCGCAAATTTTGGAGGAAAAAGCTCTTATGTCTCTTGTCCAAGTTTAGAATCATACTTTGTCGGAAATCAACATTTGAGTAATTCTATTTCTAGCTATTACAATCAAGGCTCGTGTTCGATTTGCCAAAAAGATGCCTCAAGTGCGTTGAATCGCTTCCCGGACAAAATGAACGACCCCTACCCCGACACTTTCTGGCATTCCGAGCCCTGGCCCAAGAAACAGTTTCAAAAGATAAAATCCAAAATTCGCAAAAAAATCGAATTCGACCGCTGAAAAAATGTTCCCTTTTCCGTCGGTCGCGACTTAATACAGCGCTTACACGGGCGTAACAAATTTCGCGACCTCGGTAACACGTGATCAAAATAAGTGTTCCATTTAATTCGAATTTCCTGACCACGCAACGTGAGAAGCGGCTTTGAGGAGCTTGTCGAGAGGGCTCCTCTAGAATTCACGTTTTAGCGGTCACAAATCGAGGATCCTCAATAATCAGTCACTGACAGTCTGTAGGAGCTATTAGTGAAACTGTCCAAGTATGATTACATTGCAGACGAAAGAAGTGGGTACACAAAAGAGGTAAAGCAAATCATGACATAAAAAGTTGGAATCAAAAATTAGTAGAAAATTAGTATAATTTCGAGTTTTTATTGATCACTTTGAGGTTTGATAAACATGCATAGTAAGGTTAACCATAATTTAGAATTATTTATCCGTATTGATTAGGATTCAGATGTTTATTTTGAATAATTTTTATGTTGACCGTGAATTCGTTTACCCTTGTTTTGGAAATCAAAGATCAAACGAAACCGAAATCCGCTAGATACGAATTTATTTAGAAATACGCTTAATCCTTATTACCCCATTAATGAAGTCTATGAACAAGACACGAATTTGTTTTGCTTTCAAATAGTTTCTAACATGCGATTCTTGGGTTGTCTATTCAATTTGACAGCAGTTTTTTGAATATCTCTCTTTAGTACCAAATAAATATCACCCTGGATCTCAAGCGCCTCGTCCTACTCACTAGCGATATAATTATCACATTTACGGAGGCAAAACCGGCGGAGATGGTCGTCGAGAAAAGCTCAAACGATGGCGTTTCCTGGTCCCCGATCGAATTCTTCTCAAGAAACTGCTCGAAAATTAACGGTCTTTACGAGAACGAATGGAGCAGCAAATTCGGCAGCTCGATTTGGAAGAGGCCGAATTGCAGCGAGGACGTAGCGTCCTGGGATGCAATTTCGACGGGAAGGTATTTTAAGTATCAGGAGATCAGAACTTCCGTCGATTATTGAGAGATTCTATCCGAGCTGATAACGCTATCTGATAACAATCAAGCCATTTTCTGCACTAGAATCACTCCACGATGATTTTACTTCACATTTTGCAAAGCACTATAATTTTTCAAATAACCGTGGTTGTCTACGGCCCTGTTATCAAACGTTATCGCAAATATTCGCGGCATTTCTATTTTATCATAATCGGCGGAGTTCTAAGTTAACAATTATTAACAAGCGTTTTATATTTTTGACGTTTGCTTATCGATAGCTACAGTTGAATTGAATAATTGCCAATTATTAATTGGGAATTGAATAATATGCGTCTGGGGAATTAATTATGCAGCTGGATTGATCATCGTAGTTCGGTCTATAAATATTATTGGATCATCCTTTTCTAGGGACTTGACGGTGCACATCGCGGACAAAATCAGGGCCATGCGAGGTTGGTCAGTTGCTCAGGAAAACGCGACAAATACAGTCTCTTATCAAACTGCCTAGCAAAGAATTTTGGCCTTGAGTTCTCCGAAACCTCAAATTCTGAGACTCAGACTCGACCCTTTCTCTAGTGAAAAATGCGGTATTTTGGGGCTCTGTATTTTGGGTTTTGAGTGAAATAATTAATCAGAGACTGTGTTGTCACGTGCGAAAAAGACCTGCAAGACGCTGTACAATGGCAACGCGTCAGATACGAAGGATCCAGAGCCTGCTATCAAGTTCTTCCTTGCCAACAAAATTAGAATCAGGTGCGTGCTAAACTATTCATTTGCTCTTGAATATCAATTCTTGATTCGCGAGGGAAATGCTGTGCAACAACACGCCCAAATGCTATAGAATAAAAAAATCGGGTATTTTGCGCGTTAGAAAGTTAATCTGCATTCTAGGGTTTATCTTCAAGAGGACTTCAAGTAGCTCTAGGCAATACTAGATAGACAAGTTATTAGCATTTGAAGATGAAGGTCTAAAGTTTGCACTATCTATCTCAAGGGGTTTTTTAGTAACTACAATAACAGCTCATAAGAAAATTCAATTTAACGGGCAATAAAAAGAACCGTTATTTTAGATTGCTGCGACCTGGCTTTAAAAACAAAAGAACCAACTGGCAGAGTCTTCATTATGGGATTTCGAACATCAATTTCTCGGGCAGCGACGAGTTGAACAATCGATTTCCATAATTTACATAAAAAACCGCTCATAATATGATTTTTCTCGGAACATAATCGGAATTTTATGTTTTGCGTTATGCACAACGCCCGTTTCTAATCCACTTTGATTAGCTTTAAAATGATTTCATTTCCTGACAAACAAAACAAATTTCAAAATAAGTTCCTTGCGATAAATATTCAATAAGACTTTTACCCTCCCCAAAAACTTTCCCTCTTTTACCAGATTTGCATAGTAGCCAAATAGATTCTTGAGAAATATTTGCTATACTTTTGCTCCTCGGAACACGAAAATCGAAAAACAGATCATTATGAGCTGGCAAAATGGTTTATGATTAACCATTAATAATTTTTTCTTCTGGACGGGAGATGTTCTTCCCCAAACAACAAGGGAAGTCATTAACTCGTGGACAGGTGTTACTGCTACGGACATGCGGGTAGCTGCACTATCGACAGCAGCACAGGTCAATTAACTTGTGCTTGCTCCCACGATACGAGCGGGGTGGAGTGCGACACGTGCAAAAACGGCTTTACCAGACAAAGGAACGGATCGAGAATACGGGGCGTTAACAGGGATTTATAAATCACCCCATAACAGAACCCAGCTCTAATCTAACATGTCACAACAAAGCAGACCTGGAATTCTCGCCTGATTCGATTTTCCAATAAAAACAATTATGAAAGGAAGTTTTACGGGATGGACCGTCGGAATCGTGCGGTAATCGGCCTCGGTGTCCCCCACGTCCCTGTTTGTCCAAGCTCGATTAACATATTCAACCCTTTCGGATGACATTTCCGGTCCCAAAGAAGCTCTAGTCTGGGCTCTGGAATCTCATACTCGCCGCAGAATGCGAATTCATGCAATCAAACAAGCAGACTGCTCTCGCCCTACGGATCGAGTAGCTGTGATTGCAACGGGTAGTAAAAAATCAGCGAGAATCATTTCTGACTTTATTAAAGACATTCTGACCGATGCGAAGGAGTTGGAACGCAGACGATCTGCGCTGCCTGCCTTCACAATACATTAGGACCGGGATGCGCACTAGAATTTATTCACCGCAAAGTTCCGTGTTGCGAAAAGACTTTTCTGGCAATTTTGAAATATTCATTCCGACAGGGCCCAATTGTGAAACATGCAGAAGAGGATATTATCCAAATAAGAATCGGTAAGTTAGAAGAAAACAAGAAAAACCGGATAACATCACTAAGAAAATATCTTACATTCAAGTTCAGACCTGTGAGCGCAATTGACTACTGCCAGCCTTGCAACTGTAATCCTAAAGGACGCCTTGACGACAGGAAAGTTATCGAAAATGAAACTCGAAAAGAATGCTTTAGAAAAATTACAAAAATTGAATTTTGTTATTTTATGAAATAAGAGAGGCGGCTGTTTCAGTCGAAGCTGTCAATTGATAATTTTAAAGCTGCACGAATGGAATTTGCTCGTGCCAGGTCGGATACGTCGGAAGAACGTGTGGCGAGTGTGATGCCGCCAAAAACTATGTTTGGGAGCAGGCAACTTCAACGTGTAAACAGGAAATGTGAAGAAAATATTTGAATTTGCAGCTTAACGCTTGACTTATCGACTATTGAACTTTCATAGCGGGCTGTTATTATCTTGGGCTCGATATTTTGATACTTTCGATGCTTATTTTTATCAAATTATCCATTGCATAAACTGCAGCGTATTTTAACCTACGTCTACGTAATTCGAAGTTATTTTCCAATGAACCTTTTAAATTACCGTTTTCGGATATTTTAAATCAGTCCTTGCTTAATTGTTTTCCGGGCTTGATAACGAAGCTTATCACGTGGTCTTCCTTAGCTCTAGTTAATTTAGAGCTCGTTTACCAAACAGCGCTATCAAAACGTTCATAAAACACACTTTTGCCGCAGCTATCGGGATACCACAACTTTGTCACCGGTGGTTTTCGGAAGTTTTCAATCCATCTAAATCAACATAAAAGCGCCATTTCTTCATCGTTTATGAGAAAATTTGCTCCTCGACAATCGTCGGGTTTTTCTGCCAAAACAACGGGACGTGCGTCGATTCAGAAGATAGATGCCAATGCACGGTATGTTAAAATTATAATTCTAAAGACTGATTCGCCTTTCAAACGATTCTCAATTCTGGACATTAGTTCTATGACACTATCATTCTCGCTAGAGCATTGTTTGACAATTAAACTTCTAATGTTCCAACCCCTCTTTTTTCTTGTAAGCCGATGTAGCTCCTCTCCAGAATAATGATTTTTTGAAAATCTCGATGTTCCATCGCAGAAGCTACGATTTTCCAATTGGCCTAGCGTGGCTCATCATAAATTATTTATCTGCACGTAGTTTTATATATAAGCTGCGTTTCATTCTTTTGAACAATTTATTAGAATTAGCTCACATTCATAGTAGGCAGAAATGTCGATGTTTGATTTCAAATTAATAACTGTCTAAAATGCATTTTGAACTACTCTAACATATTATTAATAATATTTTGATCATGTTTTATAATGTTTTTTTCTAAAGAAACGGCTAGCATCCCCGTATAAAACTCTGCCCAGGGTTAGAGTCGCGTAAACCTGGGTTTGAGAAACGTCGCAAAAAATTAATCGGCAATAAGCCGGGTGCGTAAGAAAGCTTTCCCCGTAAGTAAGCCTCTTTTATAAAGAAACAAGATATCGCCTCTGTCTCATCAAATAATCTCTATTTTTTTCAGCCCAAATACAAAGGAAAACTTTGCGAGGAAGTGAATCCATCATCAAGCAGAAGAACTTTGACAAACTTATTTTGTGTCCTCATTCCCTTATTGCTCTTTCTATTCTAGCATATTTTGAAATTTTCAATTTTTTCATCTTATTTTGCCAAGCGTACCAACGGTGCCAAAAACGCTGCCAATCACTCCAAACTGCCAATAAATTTGAAAGAAAAAAAAAATGATTTTTATTTATTCACTTTTGTTTTGAAATATCTCTTTGAAACTATAAAATCTATCAGGGAGGAAATTGAAGGTTGGCTGGAAACCAGTTTTTGGAAAGACGAAAAAACTGGGATACTTTTAAGGGCGGCCTGTGTGATCGTGGGGAGTTATTTGTCTTGTCAATAAATTTGTGGTTCTCGCTCAGCCTTAATCACCGAGATCCTTCTTCCTGGACTCCTTCTTGCCCTCTCTTAGTACTTTCGCTTAAAATTTACAACTGCTATTTTTCACTCGTGAATTCGTCGATCCAAAGAGATGCATGGCAAATTTAGAAGAAGGAAAAGAAGATGAGCATTCAAGGAGGAGTAATGAGCCACACTGCTCCAAAGATCACCCAGCAATGGATAGGAAGGGCTCAGAACTAGAACTTTTACTCTAAGAAGGAAAATACAAAGGTCCAAACTTTCATTTTAATAAATAAAAATAAGGGGATCACTGAGTAATAATAAAACAAGAGCAGAAAGAAAATCAACTATTTTGATACCTTCTATATCAACGGATTTTTCCCTCATTGTTCTCGCTATTTAGACAGAGCAATTAACATATTTATCTTTGAATAATTTTTTAGTCGTCTCAATTAAAGTCGGTAATTCAATCAAAATAAAATGAGTATCGAGTATCCGCTAAATTAGATTTCGAGTTTGACCCCTGTTCCGTAGAATGTCAACAGGAGTGCACGAACCGCATCGCCTTTTTTAATTATCAGTTGGAATGGAACGCTACTGTGGAGAATTACGACGAGTACCCTGACACTTCATCTAACGACAATTCCTACGTGGTTGAGACGCTCTATGTCGATGGCCAGCCGTTTGAAGAATTCAATAGGGCTCGCGATCTTAACTATTGCAAGGTTAATTTTGCTTCTGTAGACGTTTTAAACCGTTTTTTGAAGGTACGATGTCTGGACAACTATCTGATAGGTAAAATATGCCCTCGCCATCAAAGGAATCTTGTTGCTACGTCTCTAGTTATCTAATGCTCACGTTTAGCTATCTGCAAAAAATACAGACTAGGGTCGACTCATTTCAAAAAAGGCAATCGCTCAAAAATCGTCAACGATCAATTAAAAAGAATTTGCGCAAAAGTCACATTGCCGTCTTCAATTTCATAGCTTGATCGAATAAGTGCCGTTAAAACACCGTGAAAGGCGAGCTCTGGTTCCATTAATCCAACTGCTATCAAGAGATTTAACCGATGGCCGTTTCTCTTAACCAGTTGTTTTTATCCAGCACTGGGTTTGTAGAGCTTATCGCCGCACTCAACATAATGCTTTTCCTTTTGCGGAAAATTTCGCTGATAAAAATCTCGTTTTTCTTTCAAATTTGCTTATTCTGCAGAAGGAAGAAACTTTGAGCAATTTAATCTTTACTTTGCGGTTTTTCTTGATAATTTCGAGTTTGAATTATCATAAAAACGAGCCGACCCTAGTACTGACTGCCCGAGCGAAAGCAAGACTACGGTATCCGCCTTTTGAACGCGTTTTTGGACGAGCTTCCGTATGAAATCGCCATTGAAGATCGCCGAGAAGACATTCAAGTATCTTTATGAGGTTGAAATTTTCCAAATCTTTTTAGTGTAAAATGATGACTGCGGTTCAAGAAGACTCGACTGACTTGGCGTGCAATCTAACCAATCTATTGACGCCAGAACAGTGCTATCCAGTACGCCACGCTATTGTGAAGGGGATCTTTATATAATTTTATACAGTGCTTGACGTACAGTATGATTTGCGCAAACATCCGAAAGAGGCTATAAATAGTAGACTTCAATCTATCAGCTTATTTATTACTGATCGATGGAAATATGGCTTAGTTCGAGAAGCTAGAATGCGATAAAAGGTCAACGATACCTTTCAAAAATAGGAAAACACGTTTTTTTAGCGAAATGTTTTGACTAACTCCGAAAACATGATCCTGCATTGATAATATTTAACGATCTTTTGAATTTGGAGAGCATAATCAACTTTTATATTTCGCGCAAAATATTTTTACAATATTTTGGCTGCGAGTGCTTAGAAGTAACCTGCTGCGTTGTAATTGTTCGTCAAGGCATTTTACAAGAATCCGCTGTTCTATCAAGGTGTTGTAGATTATCGAGTTAGAGTATGGGTAACGCGAGTTTCTCTGATCAGTTGATGATCCCCACTCAGAGCCTTCTCTTTGTTTTGGAGTGATTTCGCCGATCGACGAGTACGAAATAAGCTGCACAGATTGGGCTCAAACTTGACAAGAATGCTTACTTCTAAAATATCTATTTATGAAGTTATCTCGATATTTGTCCCATTACAGGCTCGTATAGCGGTAACATAACTGTTTCCTGTGATGCTGAAAGGAAGGAGCTCCACATTCTCACCGACTCATGGCCGGATACGGGTCACGTGAGGGGTCGAATGTGGAGCTTTTAAAAGCGGACGTACCAACTATAATGAGAGCTTGTGTCATAAGCTGGAATCGTCAAATACGGTAAAATCACATGAATCGTGTGACAGACCATTAATAATGGTCCATTATTTTCAAGGCTGAGAGTAGTCATCATAAACGGTTGGCACGTGTGACCAAAGTAGCATTTTGGCAGTGAGACAATCAATGCCACCATTAAAAGCATTTAGAGAATGCTCATTTGCATGAATTCGAAGATTCAATTTTTCTTCTAGGAATGCACCGCGATGATCGAAGACTACCACGTGTTCGGCGACGCCCTCGGTTACAACATCACTGCGTGCCCCGAGTTATTAATTAACAAGCGAATGGGACAGATTCACTTTATTGGAAAGGGCTTCTCCTTTCTTCTACTTCTCACTGCCTTTATTATATTTTTTCTCATTCGGACCGTCAGGTACTCTTGAACACTAAATTTATAATAGAAGCATTTGTTGGTAGCAGTCAAAATTGAATTTGTCTTTGAAGAAATAATTATTAGAAGCCAGCACTTTAGATTAGAACATTTTCTAAAAACAAGGATTTTTCGTGTTGCAATATCTTTAGGTGCTGGCGGAATACAATTCACTGGAACCTTATCACCTCACTTATTTGCCAAATTTCGACAGAGTCGATTCTCACTTACCTCGTCCGCAAACATTTAGAAATCACCAAGTAAGAAACTTGACTGATTTTCAACTGAGACCTATTTCAAACGAAACGCTCTATTTATAGTTATGATTCAGATCGTATCCATGGATTTGCCGCTCACTTTATGCTGCTCAGGCCTGGGCTTGATTATTCTAAAACAGGGGGTTCAATCAAATCCTTCGAAGTGATTATCATCATAAAACAAAAAAGATCAGTCCGTTGGTAGAACTATTTCCAATTGTGCATGTATCACTGGCTCCTAGTCGAGGGAATTTACCTGTATGTGATGGTCGGCGTTGTTTACAACACCGCCAGAGTTAAAATGTGGATGTACAAAATCCTCGGCTGGGGAGTGCCCGGAATTATCGTCGCGCTGTGGGCTGTTTTTGCGTCCAATGTCATGGAGGATCAGGTATTCCGTGAAAAGGCAGTTGTTTGAAAAGTCGGTTAGACAACTACTTTTCTCTTGCAATACTGTTTATGATACACAGAGATTGTTTGCAAAACCGGACAAACGTAACGTGTCCAACTTGGACTAACGAATCTAAATCTAGTGCTGGATGAGCCATTCGCCGATCGAGTGGATCCGCCGCACACCGATTTTACTGATTCTAGCGACCAATCTGTTTATTCTTCTCAACATCATCAGAATCCTCATGACGCAAGGAACGCGTTGCATTTCGCTGAAAAAGATAGAAATTGAACCTTAAATTTTACATGTGACAGAAGGTGCTCAACGCTAGAACAGGCAATACGAGAATGATTAATCAGAATAAGCCACAGGTCCAACAGGCAATGTGGTTTTTGAAGCTTTCAATAATGATAAGGCAAATAATACAGGATCCGTAATTCTGACCCCACGTAAGGGCGGTAATGATTTATCATCTTCCCATAATTACTTTCAAATCTGTCTTTATCAAGCTTCGCTAACCACTCAAAAAGGCCCTGAAAGCCACTCTCCTGCTTTCTCCGCTACTGGGGATGACGTATGTGATCTTTCTCGTGAATCCAAATACAGACCCGGAAACCTCAGGTTTTTTTTTTAATTCAGGCGATAAGTAGTGTATCTTGTTTAGGATTTCACGTATTTGCTTACATAAACTCGGTCTTATCCGGATTTCAAGGGGCCTTTGTGTCAATATTCTATTGCTTCTTCAATTCTGAAACACAGCGCCATCTCAAGCTACCAGTTCGAAATAACTCACTACGCGTCAAAAGGGATTACTGATAGCTTCTTTTCGCAGTATACCCGCATTAAATATCTAGGCTACCTCTTTTTAAAGCGGTTAGACAGTCGCTTTGTCTTTAATCTTCAATTGAACTTGCAAAAAGCGAAAATTTTACGGCCTCCAGCGGCGAATTTCAAATCGACGAGCGGTGACTTTCAAAATTATAGTTCTTTTTTAATGATAAATTGAAAAGGCTGTTAGGGAACGGCTGAATCCGTCGGAATCGAGGGCCACTGTCACTGAAAACATCTCGTCGACATTCCACTGGCGCGATGCTGATGTAAGTAATATTTCAAGATATCCAAAAATTCAAGGCATATTCAAAATCTTCGCATGCATTAACGTGCAGGTTAATTTGCGCAAGTTAGTTTCAAGTTGAAGAGGAGGGTGTCTAATGCTCTAAAATTTGTATCCTCGCGGGTGATCAATGATCGGCGATTACCCTCACGCGTCCTTCTAAACACTTGCCAAATATGATCTAGTTGTAAGTGGCCACTAGATTCACTCTCAAATTCTTCCCATTTTTCACGCGTTCTTGAACCCAAACCTGCGATTTGTGGGAAACATGAAAAATATGCAAGTCGCGTCACGTTTTTTCTGACTAGTAATAATAAAATTATATTTGTAAGTCAATCCTTTCCAGCTTTATTTTGACTAAGAGTCTCTTGATTACAATTATAATGGACAGATCAAACTTGTTGACAAATTAATCAAAAAAAACTTCAAATAACGCAAATTTTATCGAAATTTACTGCAAAAACTGATGTTCCTCTTAGGACAACGTTTCCATCAAAGACATGTTCCGCCCAAAGTCGCTGAGCCTGCGTCCTCCCACAGGTATGATGTCGTTAATTGGCCGACGTGCGAAAACGCGGAAAATCTCGCTCGGCGGCGAGCCTTCCAAAAACCAAAATATAATTGCCTCAGCCCCTGCCGAGACTTCGTTACTTCCATTTTTTCGCGGGAAGGGGATCATCCCCTCTGCACTCACCTTCGACGCGCTTTGTTTCTTTTTACAGATCTCAAAAGCATGTCATTTTTTCACAAAAGACAGAACCCGTAGTTAGTACAAGTGCACGCGGAGTGATCTGTTGTTATTGCACCTCGGCCATTTCTGTGAACAGCCCGTTCAGTTTACTCATCAACATCTCTTCTACCTACTCCGACCCCATCCACGGCCACAGAAGAATTCCTCAGCGCTTATATTCCTGGCTACTCCAGAAGAGCAAGTCGAGCAAGTCGAAATTCGAGAGCAAGTAGCAAAGCTTCTATTGGCGAGAATGGTAATGGCAACATTAAGCTCAAATAAACTTGGTCAGATATTATTTATTCTGTTTATAAATTAGCATGTAAGCAAAGAAATACAAGCATTTGTTGTGGTGGAAGTCAAGAATTTAAATTATAGCTCAGTTGAACTGCTTTGACTAGAGACACTTTCGTCATCTGAGTCGACAAGAGGGATCTTCTCGGGATCATCCAGAAAGGAAACTGTTCGAAGCATCTCTTCTTCCGATCTTGACGATCGAAAACTCTGGGCAAAGTTGATGAAAATTCCAAGGAGCATGAAACTGGTTCCGATCATTTGCAGCCCGCTGAATGGATCGTGAAAGAGCACTACAGTTCCGATCAGCGTGATCATAATCCGGAGAGTTTGAGCCATGGAAGTGGATAGAGTGCCAAACTGCAGATAGGAAGCGCCGATGGCAATCTGCCCGAGTGCATAGGAAAACGTTGAGGTGAAGATTGGCATCACGATGTTCGAGTTCAGCTGTAGATATTGATATGCTTTGTAAACATCGTTGTTAATGAAGAGGGCAGGTATGGAGAGGAAGATAGCGATGAAGTTGATGGATGCAACTAGTTGAAGAGTTGCTTCGATAGAGCTTTCAGAATTTTTTTCTTGAACTTTTGAACGGATTTTTTCAAAGAAGAATGCGGCCAGTCCATCAAGGCAGATGGAAACAAAGAGTATGATATTGCCAAAAAGAGCGCTGTTGTTGAAGGCACCTCTTTCGTCAATCATGTAGATGAGTATTCCAACCAGAAGAAGCAAAACAGACAGTATCTTCATGAGCGAATGACGGGTATTAGCAAGACAAAGTGTAGCAAAGAAAACTGGAATTGGTCTGCAGGATTTGATGAGAATCTTTGCCGGGTACGGGACGAACTCGAGGGACATATTCGTCAGTACCAACGCGGACATCATCAAAAATGAAGCAGCGACGTGATTGAATGAGATCGTTGGGATCAATAGTCGACTCCCTTTGGCGAAGAAGAGTTTCACAATGAAGCAGGTTGCCGTATTGATGACAAAGCAGACCTAGAATTTAAACAAGAATAGATTGCGTCGCTTTAAAAGATTTTCTTTAAGAAATATCGCTTAATTATAATTTATGACTTATAAAGTACTTACGAATGAGTATGTTATCATGCTCTCCCATCTTATGAGAATTTCATCATTTCCGTCAATCAGCAAAGTACTTGATTTAGTTACTGTCTCTTGAAAGTATCCAAAAACTATTAGCGGCAGGATGATGGAGAGATTCACAAATAAAAATCGAAACTTTGTCTCCATTTTCTGCAGGTTTAGACTGGCTGATGTCCGGAAACTTTGAGGTTGGTCTCTGTTGTTACGTCGATGTTAACCTTCGAGAAGGGATGCACTGGTGACGGGGTAAAAAAGATGAATCGGAGTTCCTTGCACCTATGACTGTGTTGTCTCAAGGGATTTCAGATGACGCAACAGGTTCCTCAACCGATATTTACAAATAAAGTTTATGAATGTGAAGGTCTAAGAGTTTGAATTGTTTTTTGAAATTATTTTAGATGAAATCTTATATTTCTCGTTCATAAATGATAAAAGTTGAGTGCCAATAAGTCAAACCTGTATTATCTCTCTTTCCTCTTTTGTCTTAATAACATAGAAGATTATCTTTTCGACTTCCGGTTGAACAAAATGCGACTTTGCTTGAATACGATTTTTTCTCCCTATAAAGGCAAAAATGAAATTTTATGATCTATATAATTAGGACTTTTCCGCCGACTTTTGTCGTTCAAAAACCAAGAAGCGGATTCAACTATTAAGGGTCAAAGCTTCGAACCATTTTTGATATCCGGTACCATAAAAAGATCCTGATAAAAATCAATTTACATTGGCAGGTTATGTTCATTGTTTTGCCGACAATTAAAAGCCGAGAACAATGAAAAAATGACAGTTTTTACAAATATGAAGTTCCAATTTGGAAGAGTTCCAGTTGAATCAGGAAATTGAAAGTTTCGATTTGAACGGTGTTTTAGTTTCACCGTGACTCTTGAAGTATGGTCCATACTCTATGGATCCGTAAGCATAGTTATTTCCTGGAATGCACATAAGCTATCCTTTATTGTGTCAACAGAAAATGCAGAATATTTTACTCTCTTTCTTCATAAACACCGTCCGGTGACCAATGCTTATCGTTAACAGATAAAAACCAGTGTTTGTGCGAAGCCATGTGATTGAACTGTGTGGAGTTGCAATTCAGCAGTGGGCCGCCGTCCTCATAAAAGTACACGTAGCCATCCTTGATATACAGGTCCTTTATCAGCACGCGTTCTGTTAAGTTAGCTGTCTCACGGTTTTAAAATCAATGTTTCGCGTGAAAGAATTCAAGAGACTCTTGCTCGACGAGAGCACCAATTTAGCGGGGCCTAACACATACACATCTGCCCTAATGAACGACTATCGATAGCATCAGGTAGATACTAGCTACCCCTTGTTATAACGCGTCAATTTCTAAAAATAGAATGCGAAGATTGCATCGAATTCTTGTGTTTTGAAAACCGTTTCTAGTTGTTTGACTGGATCATGAGTTCCGGTGACGCTCCTCCACCAGGAAAAATACGTGGCGAACCAGCCATCTGCGCTATCGTTTAGACAAGAAGAACGGTTTGTTGACAAATACCAGATCCAGAAATAAAGAGAACTCCCAAGGAGACCCATGTTTAACAACTTGAGCAAAAGAAGACCTAACACGAGTTTCTCATTTGTAGCGAGGATGAAATTAAGATCGACGTTTTGAACATGACCGCTGGAAACCCGTTCCTTGTTGTGTCGCGAATGTGGAGTTGATAAACCTGGTGGTCGCCGAATCCACAAAAACGCGGTCGGCGCGGCCGAAATAGCGAAATTTATTAGCGCGTCTCTCCGCAGGATGCTAAGAAAAAATTAACACGTATTCGATTCACGCCAAATTAGTAGCTTAGCTTCACACGCGCCGAAAATTTACTGGAAAATCTCGATTTATGTAAACAAAATACGCAACACACGAAAAATACTGTATGAAACCTTTAGAAAGGCGAAATTTTTACCTTTATGTAACTGACAATCTTGAGCCTCGCGTAAGTCATTCGGGCAGCTAGGAAAGCATATAATGACAAACCAAGGACTTTGGTGAGCTCGGCGCGCGCCACATCCGGGTTCGGACCACGAAGGAAATCTTCATACTGCTTGTCGATAACGTAATCTTCAAATGGTATTCCTTGGCTCTCGAGTTCTTTCTTCCGGTCTCGCCAGGCTTGGTAGAATGAACTTTGAACAAACGACTGTCGAAACGGAATCGTATCAAGCTAAATTTTTTAAAAATTAAATTGGTCAATTTTGAAACATGTGACGGAATGCGCCATGTCATCATCAATAAACATCTTTACCAGCTCACGATGAAAAGTTAAAAGATATTCTAGAGCAATTAAGGCCGATTAATTCGAGGCAAGAATGCTAACGCGCTTGGTTACGACAAGAATGTTGCGCCGTGATTTTGTCGTTCTGTCAACGAGACACAGTAATTTTAGTGAAAAGAGTACCGCTGAAATTCACGAAATACTTTGCTAGAACCCTCATCGTGCACTTTTTAACGAAAAATTTTGACAGCAACGCACTTCTTCATTTCTCCCTTCATTTATCGCCGACGACACGCTTTTCTTTTGATATCTTACCTTCGCGGCATGTTTCTGCATATCCTTCAACGTGTTCAAGTCGCACTGGGTGGCGATGGGCGAGTTCGCAATTTCTTGCCAATTGAAGAGGCGCCGCTGGTTCACATCGGCCAATCCTACATGCTTGAAATTTAGCGATAATGTTAAACATCGATTAACCCGTAATTTTCGCGTCACAAGCTGCGATATAAAATATTTACGAAAACATATTTCTCAGCGTCTTTTCAGAAATTTTAAAGCATCGAAGAATCCTCGAGTCTCAAATTGATTATTTTAAAAATGATTGGATTCAGAATTGGATCAAAACTTCAAAAGCTAGAATTGAAAACATAAAGACTTTAGACTCTAAAGTTTAGAGGAGAGCTTCCAGAAAGAGTCCACCTCAGACTCAATTACAAGGTATCTTATTAAATCTCATTCGCTCCTGAGAGGAGCCTGAAATTACTATGTTTATATAAACTCAAAATATCAGTCATGGTTTTTGAATTGAGCTCGAGGATGCTATTTTGCGTCGCGGATGCCAAGCTACGTATACCTAAAAGAGCTGCCAGATTTATATAAAAATACGCCCCGCCCTGGAAGTCAGCTTGTTGTTCTCAAAATGACTCGAGGATCAAGAAAGTATATGCTTCTGTATTTTCGCCATATCGGATTAATATTATCGGATCACGTTCGTCTCCAAATACGATTAGTTTAATTTAAGTTTTAATGTATTTTCAAGGGGCTCATCACTTCGACCACGTTTCGGAAAATATTTACCTGATAACAAAGCTTTCTCAGCTTGAAGTCGATTGAGCCCTCTGTTAAAATAAAGGTATCTATTGCCAACCCAATCAGGAATGTCCCTTTCCACTTGAAGCAGCTTCTCTTCGTCCATTCCTTTGTTGTCGCCGATTCCCAGAGCGTTTTGAAGCTTGTAGAATTCCACGAGCAGTCGAGACTGAACCTGGTGAAACCAAGAGTCATCAATTACGGGAAGACTTTCACGTTCGATTTTCCTGAAATAATTGCTTGTTTGGTCAAGATCCAAATATTATTATTAGATTTGGGGAATCTAATTTGGTATTGAAGTAATTTTAATTGTATGCGGTTCCAATTTCATTCAATTTTGGGATGAAACAAGCAAATAGAAAAGAGGAGTTCTATTTTTCGATGCGTCAGTAGTCTTTGAATAGAATCATGCAAATCCTTCAACCTTGTTAACAAGAAAGTTGGGAGAGAGTTAGTGGAGCTGCTTTTAGCTCTGATAGAAAACAAACGAAACTCTATTATAGAAATACGCATTCGTGCATTGTTAGGTAATCATTTTTGCCGGTAACATGTTCGTTAAAAAGAGATTTCTATTTCAAATGTTCATGTATTGAGTTTCCTCGTTTTGTTAACTCGCTTACCTCAGACCAGGCATTTCAGTGTCCGCGGGTAAATTGCCGATGAGCACCGGATTCAGATAACTGCCATTTCCGATTGGCAGGGAGGCTCGGTCTTTCCAGTGGATATTTTTAAACTAAACAGGAAAACCACTCACTCTCAAAACGAAAGCAGTTTTCAATACTTTCAAGTGGTTATATACGGTGGTTGCGTCTAATCTTCACCAATCAATTCTAGCTTTAAATTAGTAAAACAAATATCCGCTCCTTTAGGGTCGAATACGCGAGTCAAGGGCATTCGAAGCGCGTTATAGAATTCGTTTTCCGTTACACCTTCTGGCATCAGTTGCATACAAAGCCAACTCAATAAGACCCAGAAAATGGCAGCTGAAAAATTTCTAAGTACAAGAAACGTGATCCGACTTGTGTTTCCCTTATCGCCACCTCTAAAAGCGGCAATTAAGGCTCGTTCGTCTACCTAGAAAGAGTTTAGAGATGTAATATTCGCCCAAAAGTGGAATTTTCGCGCTCCAAAATCGAATTTCAATGTTGGACGGGTCCGCGTGGAATTGCCGATTTAATAAGCCGTCCACGATGGGGTCAATTGTTAGACGGTCGAAATATTTCATCGCGGGCTCGAAGGGTTTCCGACTCACGGAGGATACTGGCTTGTTTGTTGCTAGACCGTCTCGGATCAGGGAATGATGAGCGTCTTCTTTTTATCTTTGTTCTCAAATTAAACGTAACGCAGCCGTTACCACATCCCAAAGATTGACGACTAGACCTGGCATTGTCCGTCGAGAAGTGAAAATAAGGCTAAGGAAAAAAATACTCCAATTCTGTTGACTCTAGGAAGTCCAAAATTCCACAATCCTTGGACTATCATCAAGAGTTTTTCTTGCCAATGGTCGACAGAGAATTTGCCATTATCAATATATTCAAATCTAACCACCCAGGTCTTTGCCTGAGTTTTAAAAATAATATATACACTTAAAAATTGCTATAACGGGCTAGCTTATCAGCATTGTGAATACTTTCTTCGAGCAGAAAATAATTCCTTATTCTCGGAAATAATAAAGGATTTATGGTCCCCGATTGTTTGTTTTAATTCGTGGATTTTATGAGCGAAACACCTGTTGAAAACTGTGTTCGATTCTTAAAATTGAGAACATGAATTTAAGTGAGAACGGTTCCTATGCAAGCTTGCAGTGCCATGGTTTTTATCGTGCGCTCGATGTAATCCTTCTCTTTTCTAAAAGAGACGTCTTAAGAAAGCCGAAACCACAGTTATTGAATAATCACCCAAGAAGTCGCTCGTCATTCGTGAGAAGGTATTCCTTGAGCCAGGGCTGACGCCGTTCAGCAACCACAGCACGCGCTATTTTATAGGAGTTACGATTACCGTTATTAGAATACTGATGAGTTTAATAGGAAATACAGCAATTGGCATTGTCGGAGGAAATATTCTCTCCGCAAGTGTTTCGGGAAAAGACAAGTTTATGTAGTTTTTCAAGTGAAAAGGAAATGAGATCAATTTCGAAAAATTTGAATGATCAACAATTTGAGAATTAGAAATTCACCTATTGTTTCTCTGGCAATGTGCCTCTTCTCGCGGTCCGACCATCCGGATTGGGGGTAATTTTGGTTAATGTATTTCTCCGTGTTTTCTAAAGCTTGGATGCGGGTGGCTTTTGGTAGGGCTCGCACAATCCGATCCACCTGCTCTCGGGAGATTGAGCCTTTCACTTCGAAGGACGGATCTTGGGCGCGGATCTCGTCCATTGTCGACGGAGCGCGACCTCCGCGAACATGGCGCACACCGATGGAAAGAATTGCATTCGGACGAGGTAGTCTTTTTGCGGCTCATGTACGGTAGTTCTTTATTCTTGAAAAAAATACACAGAACAGTGCGTACCTATTACATTTTTGATAATAAATGTTCAAAATATATATATTTTTTTTTTAACTTAGCCTAAATCTCTACGATTGTTTCAGATAATCATTAATTTTCTAGTGCTTTCTCTTGAGCCGCTGCCTGAACATTTTCCACCTCGAGCCAATCTACCGAGGTGTCTTTCTTCCCGTGGCCAATCAGGGCGCCGAGAGAATCAGACCCTTTTCAGAATTTAGATACGACGATGATGACAGAAATCTGATTATCTGCGCGGTAATTTCTAAATTTTCAAAGGTGAAAAATCGATGTTTTAGAGACTTTTTAAAACAAAATAAAAAACAGAGAAATCCTTTATTCAAGTGAAATTCAATCAGATTATTTATCGAAGAGCATTTCCACGTGATCTTCCATGAATCGACGATGCTCCTTGATCCTCAAATCGCTCATCAACAACCTCTCCGTTATGAATTTTTTGAAACGATTTCTTTCCATTAATATTTTTCGCCTGAAAAATTAGCATAAGAGGAACAGAATAGATAACGTCCAGCGTTTCTGTGTGTTGTTAAACAAACCTTTACTTCCTTCTTGTCGCCGTTGATATTCGAGTAGTGGTAGGAGTAGGATTGGAAGCTTCCACGTGGGGGCTCACCCTTGTCTCCGGAAGTAGTTTGTCTTTTGATTGAGTTGAAAAAGTCGTCATCAAAGGAGGAGCTGAAACTGAGCCCGGCAATCAGAAGCGTTCAAGCTAAGAGGCCAAATTACCTAGAAAAGCCGCCGCCGATTGATCCTAAAGCTCCCTCCGAACGCTTCACTAGAAAAGGACGTTACTCAGTTTTGCGCCGACAATTGTAGACTATTAGTAGTATCACTTTTCACTAATCTCAAAAATGTACTCATACTTCTGTTCACTTTACCTAAAGCTCACTAACCTGGCGCATCAGAGTGATACTGTGGATTTTCGAGGCCCTTAGACATTGTCGGCCAATTTGCCCCTAACGAAAGTTGTCTAATTTTTCGATTTTTTTATTTCGTGTGAAAACGCGATTTCCTCTGAATTATAACTGAATGAGATTTGTGATCATCATATAGGCGGTATGTTTTGACAACCCTCCCTTGAAGTTGACTCTCGACCTCGCGAAATGAAGACATAAACGGGTCCCGAAAGAAAGGATCATCGAATGGATCCCGAGTTGGGAATCGTGAAGTAGACCCTTGGGGATTAAAAGACTCTCGAACATCGCTGAAGAAGGGATCGCTCTTGAAAAAAGTAGAGCCGAAATCTGCTCCGAAGAAACTTTTGAACAAGTCCATCGGGTCTAACATGGTGAAACGGTGGTTTGGATTACGTCTCGCGCGGAAACTAGGCATCTCGTCGGGGGAAGAGAAGTTTCGCCTTGGCGGAGGAGCCCGCCCAAACGGTGCTGATCGTATCTCCTCATCATATTCCCTCCGTCTGCCTTCATCCGAAAGTACTTGGTACGCTTCCGAGATTTCTTTGAATTTTCGCTCGGCGCTACATTCTGATACAATACTTTTGGACAATTCGACAATACCTGAGAGAACCCTTGTTTTTATCAGGGTGAAATTCAAGTGCGAGTCTCCTGTACGCTCTCTTAATTTCAAAATCAAACAGCGGTTTTTAAGAAATTCAGACCTTTATATCCTGATCGGAGGCTGTCTTCCGCACCCCAAGGGTGTCGTAATGGGTCATTTTTCGTCGAGGAAGGGCAAGAACTGTAGGAATAAAAACTAGTGCAAAGAAAATAAGACCACGTTCTCGAAATTGTTAGTCATCCTGTTGCCATAACAACGCCAACCTCGCTCTGATAAGGATAATATTGAGCATCTTTCGGCGAACACATAATTATTCTGATTTCTAGCGCTCTCGTCGCCCCTCGAAAAGTCAAAATCAATTACAACGATTAAGAATTTGCTGCGTTTTAAAAATTTTGCTAACCTAAAAGACGTGGAACGAAATATTCAGTAGGAATTCTCAAGACGGCCTCTACTTCACGGAAGAAAAATGCTTATGCAAATTGGGAGTAATTTTTACGGAACTTGCTCTTGGCATGAGGGATAATTGGTTCCTGCTTTTCATAAAACGTAAACATGCATTTCTTATTTCTAAAATATTTCTCCACGATGCCATCTTAGACCTCTCACATTTAACCGCCCAAAAGATAACACGGGACGAACATCGCTAGGCGTTACAAAAATATATCTTTTATTTATAAATATAAAGTTATGATACAGGTTGGATTCAGGAATGCGTGTGCTTGACAGCGTGGGCCGCTTCGACGACAGTGACCACTGGCTTCTTGACCCGTGGGTCGACTTGTGGTACTTCGAATTTGACATTCGTCCTTTGATTCACGACGAACAACGGATTAGGCTCCTTCAGCGTCTCTGAGTTGACCGAAACGCCATCGAGATACTGCTTGAGCACGCTTCTCAATGTCATGTTTTCCTCTTCGAGAGAAACCTTTTCGGCTTCTAAAGCAAGTCTATCAAGCTTGACCTTGTTGTATCTTCTCCAGAAGCCCTCGAGCTGCTCATAATCTTTGACGATTTCAGTGAGGGGTTCGGCTTGCCATCGTCTAACGACTTGTCCTCCTCTTCAGAACGAGGAGTAGGTGGAACGATGCCAAATGGAAGAACTTGCTCTTCCTCTGTCTCGAGTTTTCGGCACATTTCGCCTATTTTCAAGATTTTAGAAGCCTAAAATAATCTTCAAACAAAAAATAAAATTTATAAAAATACCTTTTCGTCAATGCTTTTCTGCCTTTTGAGTGCTTCTTCTGATGCAAGGGTTAATTTCGTTAGCATTTCCCGTTCTTTATTTCGCTGCTTGCTCATTTCGGTTCGCAGGACGCGGAAATGCGTTTGCAGATGATCCTTGTTTTCTTTCAGACCGGCATGTTTTTCTTCATATTCTGAAAAGAGATTGTCAGTTGGCCTGCTCACGTTTTTATCAGTTTTATTGATAAAAACAGCTAAATTAAGAATACATTTCTTATCGAATATTTAGATATACATATCTGTCTATAATTATTAATTAAGCAAATTGCTCTCTCTTTATTAAGGTTAAGCACACGTTTGTTGTTGCTCGTCTACTCATAATCCTGTAAAACGCCTTGCTGTTACGATGTTCAAAACATACAACGAATTATGATGATGTCGCTAAGAAGCAAGATATTTAATCCCAGTTACCTTTAGTGTTATTGACCATTTTTTGCTTGACGATGTTTATATTTTCTTGAATTTTGGCGAGTTTGTTCATTTGCAGCTCAATCTCCGCTGAGGACTTTGCATCTTTGGCTTGGAGTTTTTCGAATTCTTTGCGTCGCTCCAAGGTCGAGTTGTCATAGTCCTAAATTGAGAATTCTATTGAACGCTTTGCGTATACGAGTCGCTGAAATTAAATTTCGTTCGCGTCGCATTAGCCGGCCGACGTGTTTTGGCATGGGCGAATGAAATCAAACTCACCTTTTGTGCTTGTTGGAACATTTTGAAGAGCTTCTCCACCGCCGCCTCCAAGGAAATGCGCAGCGCGTGTTTCTCATCTTGAGTGTTGTTTTTAATTTCATCACGCAGCGATTGAAATTCTAAAAGATCATCACTTTTATTAAAGTTTGAATTCAAAAGCCGACCTTGTTTTAACTTGCTCGTTTTATCAATATGAGTTTGTTCAAGCGCGCACATCATCGTGTCGAAGTCATGATCCGACTTCTCCGTCTACAAACAAACACTTATTGCCGCGAATTCCGTTTTGCGGGCACGTTGTTAAATGTATTAGGAAAATACCTTGTCAACGTAGGTCTGCGCCGTTTCATCGAAATTGCTCGTTTCCATGTTGATCTCCTCGTTGTAGCGATCCTGCTGGTCATTGACAGCCGCGTTCTGGATTGAAATCAGCTTTTGCAGGTTCCTTTTTCACGATTAAAAACTGCCTGTGTAAATCCTCGAAAGCTCGTTTCGTCAGAAAGCTCAACGAAAAACTGAGCTGTCCGAGGATCCAGTCGCCATCCGGCCGGTCTTAGGAAAGGAATTAAACCTTGGCAAAAGTGTCACTTCAACTCTGCTTAAGAGGAGATTCGCAGCTTTAAGAATTTAAAAATATTTGGATCTAGATTTATAAACATTCGCGCAAGGGTCATTCGCGAGCTTTTCAACCGTGCCTTTGATGAGCTCGAGTAGCAATTCTACTCTGCTCTTCTGATTCTTCCAGATCACGAGCTAGCTGCTGAATTACTGCATCTTTCCTGTCCATGATTCGCTCAAAAGTGTGCGACAGAATCTCCAGCTCTTTCTTCAATTCTGCCGACTTTGACTGGCGCATTATGCTCCTCCATTTTTCTTAAGAAAATTCATCAATGAGCATTCGATAAGACGACTTTTAATAACCAGTTTCAAGGGCTCAATTAGTCGCCCTACTTTTCCGAAGCTGTCAGGTGAGGCTAGTTCCACGTCAAACATTTATATTTAATCGTTTCGTTTTTGTTGTTTGTTTATGTGTTTCTGCCCAGATGCAAAGGCGACTTTCTTAGTTAGACAACACGAAAAACTGTCGCGAATAATGATTTTAGAAAAAATAAGAAATTATTTTTCTTTGAAACTGAAACTGATAGATATCAGATAATAGACTTACCAATGAGTTTTTTATTGTTGAGCTTTGAGTATTTCTCCTCTCTGGCGAACTTGTCCTTCATGTAATTGAGGATCATTTCCTTTTCCGCGCGCTAGAAACATTCCGATTAATTCCAAACTGGTAAACTCTGAATTTTTAAAATTCGCTCCCATGGATTCTTGAGCAAATTAGAATGAAGCTTGCTGCTCAACGTGACACGGATTTACTGGGAACGTTACTGCAATTCTGAAGCAATAAGTACCTCGGCTTCAGCTTCGGCAGCGGCTTTATCCTGCTCCCACTGGAGTCGCTCCTCTTCAGTCATTTTTGGCGCTTTCTTCGGCATTTTTCCCGATTCCGATGATACCTTCTAAAATGATTAAAATTGAAAAAAAGAGAGTAGTAAAAGGAGAAGTTTAATAATAAGAAAATATATTTAGGTTTTGTACAGGTACTCAAGTTACTCAAATCTCGCAGTTTCTTCTTCTTCAAATTCAGAGCATGAAGGGAAGATCGTAGTTGGGCTCACCAGTTCCGAAGTAAGCGCATCCGTAAAGTCTGAAGAGAACACTGAAGTAAGTGAATTTTGCGCAGTCTTACCGAGTGTCAGGGACGGTGTAAGCAACAAGACCAATCCAGTGAAGGTTTTTCAAAATTATGCTCTTGCCATTTTGGTTCTGGACGGACCAAATGCCGTTTGGAATGTCGTTTTCGATCGTCGCCAAGAAGTCTAAACAGGTTCGATTAAAGTACGCTGTTTTTTCAGGGTAAGATAAACCCGTCAAGTTTCGTGCTTTTCGACCAAACTTTGCTATCAGATCATCTCCCGCTGATCGGGCCAGATGAGCCGATAATTTCAAGTTCGAGAAAATTAAAAATTGAGCAGCGTGCGAAGGCGATTATTCCAAAAGTGAGCGAATTAGTGATTGAGTTAGTGGCTCTAAAATCGCTCTAAACAATTACCGTTATTAAACGGCAATGTCACATTGTGGCCACTCTGCGACCGCGCGTTTAGCTCATCATTGGATTAACATTTTTGGCAAATTAAGAGATGTTCAAAACGAGTTTCACTTACCGACTGCGGGGTCAGCATCAGCAAAGTCGGTGACTTTGGGAACGACGTGCTTGGCGTCCTTTCGGAAGTGAAACCAAGTCGACAAATGAGCACTGTCAGATTCGTTGTGTCCAAAGTATCCCTTGATAATTTGTCAAGGCTTTAGGTATTTCTCTAGAACTTACGTTGTTTTTGTAAACGACGCCGTTGGGAGCTTGGAGGAGTGCGCCCCGGGGAACGATGAATTCGGCGGTGATTCGGTGGACAATCGCGGACAGTCGATCTTCCTCCTACAAAACAGAAATAGGGCTGTTTTCAATAGCTGGTCAAACCTTGATGGTGAAAACAGTTTCTTCATCATGAGCGTCATCACCTTCGCCGATTCGCTGGACGTCAACGTGTTCATACTGAAAAATCGTTAGAGATAATAAAGAGAACTGCTAGTACCTCATAACTTGGATCTCCAATAAATCGGCCTCGGATAACGTCAGTCTTGGTCATAGTTTCTTCTGACGGATCCTGGAGCAAATGCCAGTCCATGCAGTTAAGGCTTGAATTTGCTCTCAAAGATGGAAAGACCAAGTTTGATGGTACCTGTACATGTATTTCCTTCCATTGAGTTCATCCTTATTTATACCATATACGATGAAGTAGTCCTCTTTGATTCCACTGATGGTACCCCAGAATCTAATGGCGCTGAATTTGTTCTGTGATTGAGTAATGATAAGCGATGTGTGGATTGAGGACTTCTGAGACTTTTACGAGGTTATAAAATTATAAATAAAATTTCCTAAAAGACCGCCAATCAAAGCAGATATTTAATAACCTTGACCTGAGTAAGTCCTCTGCCAAAACCGGCGAGCTCCTGGAGTCCAACTGGTAGCGTATCAGCGTCCATTTCTCTCTATTTTTCTTACTTAGAATGAAACTGATTGATTTGAATGAGAATAACAGCTGATGAGGACTCGCGTTCTAGAGAAAAAATGGGAAAATCAACAACTTCCAAAATTTGAGATTTTTCAACTCAAATGTGACTCAGCGTTGCTAGGCGACCTAGAGAGGCGAGACTTTCATTTTTGAGCATTTTATTTTTCCGTATTGTTACTTGCGAATGAATGAGAGAACAGAATTGGGAACAGGTTAACCGCAATTCGTTGAAGGGTCTACTAAATAGCCAAAGCAGCATTTTTCTCGTCGTCGGTAGAAAACTGTATTGCCGCAGCATCCCTTCACTTGTGTCGAGTAGAATTCGTTGATGCAGCATTTCAGCTAATTTCTTAGTTCAATTTTTTATCGGAATTCTCACTTACCCAAGGGTGCGTTTCTTTAATATTTCCTCCGCAACAAGAATGAGTTGTTGAATTATACGAGGTTCCACCGCAATCAAGAACTTCTGCTGGCTCTCTCAAAATCGAATACGTCTTGTAGTACTCGTAGCTCGAAGAAACAGTCGTGTCGAGCGTAGTGGGCTGAGTGGTGAGTTGAGTTGTTGTTGGGAGGAACCACTCGAATTCTTTCTTATTATTAGGGTAAATCACTAATATTTTCCACTTTTTTACTTGCTAAGTAGAGTAGGCATATAATACCTTTTTATAATCCCCAGAAGCTGAGGATCATTTTGACTATTTTCGAGGCCGTAACTAAGCTTTTTAGACGGAGCTATCTATACCAGCTTGTAGCTCAGGCTCTGACGGTCATTTTGAGGGGTAGAAAAGTATGTCCCGGGCTACTCTAGAAAGTGGTGGAGGTGGTGCAAAGCTGGGGTCAAGACCGGAAGTACAGCTAAAATGAACTCTTACGTGATTTAAATACAGTAACACTTTAAAAAAGTAACTGTTAATACATAATTGGTCACCCGAGGTCAACTTGGGGTCACTCGGGGTCATCTAAGGTCAAGATTTAAAAAATACGTCTTTAATTAAATAACACTCCCAACTTGACCCCAGATGACCCCGAGTGACCCCAAGTTGACCTCGGGTGATTAATTATGTATTTACAGTTGCTTTTTTAAAGTGTTACTGTATTTAAATCATATAAGAGTTCATTTTAGCTGGACTCTTGGTCTTGACCCCAGCTTTGCACCACCTCCACCACTTTCTAGAGTAGCCCGGGACATACTTTTCTACCCCTCAAAATGACCGTCAGAGCCTGAGCAACAAGCTGGTATAGATAGCTCCGTCTAAAAAGCTTAGTTACGGCCTCGAAAATCCGAATTTCCGAAGTTGGGCATATTTTCGACGGCACTGAAAATGTAACGAATGTAACGAATGTAACGAAAACATCAAAAACAACAAAAACATGTCTTTTTCTCGTTACATTTTCAGTAAAATTCTAGAGATTTTTTGTTTTTCTTATTTCACCCCTTGAGTTTCCTACCATTTCACCCGCGGAGCGGGCGTTTTCAGTGGATTTATCTCTAAGAGACAAACTCAATCAGATAATAAACCTTTTTAAATTACTACTGAGCACTTTTTTTAATTTATTTGCTCTTTTAGAGGTGTTCTAATGTCGTTTGAAATGATGCTCCAGAATATCGCTTTTTGGAAAAAGTTTCTAGAATCAGCTGATTAACAACAACATGTCTCTGTCTTCGTTACATTTTCAGTAAATTCGTTACATTCGTTACATCCGTTACATTCGTTACATTCGTTACATTTTCAGTGGCGACCCATATTTTGGGACTTTTGGGGTACCAAAATGCCCTCAGGGTACGAGATGACCCCCCACTATCAATAGTCAAAATGATCCTCAGCTTCTGGGGATTATAAAAAGGTATTATATGCCTCTTCTACAAAGCCCAAAAAAGAGCTCAAATATTAGTGATTTACCCTACTTATTATCATCTGCCTCTCTAAAATTTAGGCATTGAAATATGAAAATGAAAAGGCATTTAACTGTTCTGAATTCTGATCTTTGTCGTCTTCAGACTCGGTTTGGATTGATTCTGATAAAGCATCTGCTGAAATTTCCTCTTCTTCTTCCCAAAAAGAAACATTTTCGCCAATTTCGCATCTTCCCTTCCGAACATGAACATTATCTAAGCCGATATCGCCCTCGTAACTCCCTCCTCGGATCGCTTTGAAAAGAACCTGGTTGTAATTGGGCATGACAACTGTTTAAAAGTTCGTGCAAAGATTAGCATCGATTATAAGAAACGATCAAACTTTTGCGTTGCGTTGAACCCTTCCTGTTATTGGTACTGTTGCGATTTTCCACTGATCGCCCTGATTCCCAGTTCGACTCCAAATCAGTCTTTTCCCGACGTTGAAGCCTCTTTCTGTCGCGTAGACTTGTAATGTTCCGATTTCTCTTCCAAACATGTGATAATGGAAACGAAGGCAGTAGAGCTCTCCAGGAACCATGAACATGAACGCGCTTATCAGTTGCGCTGAGTCGCCATATGTCGCCGGAGCTGAAGCTTCCATATAAGCATAACTAGAATTATCGACGCCTTCTTGAGGTCCCGTATTCGGCGATGACGTCGGCCCTGATCGCATCTTCCAGTCGAGTTCGTCAAAATGGTCTTGTATCCAGCCACGGCAGAGATCCTGTCCCTCGAAGTCGCATTTGATCACATTTGGTACTCCCCACAGAAACTTGTACGTGAGAGCAAATCCCCTGGCTTCATTTTTTTCATCTGATACAAATTTAAAAACAAGTCTGTTTGAGCTGCTTAGAATTGGCACTAGAGCCGGATTTTCTCCACAGAAGCGACCAAGACTTAGATCTCCATCAATTATCTCCACGTAATCGTTGAAACATCCGGGACTGTCCATTATCTCGAGAAAGAGAAAAGTAATTTCGATTTTCTGCTTATAATTCGCAATTATTGTCCATTCACTCTCACTTTGGATTTTAACATTTCTAGCTTCAAAAATATACCGCCGTTGTTAAAACCTTATCAATTGGCCAACGCAGGATACGAATTAGCTGGAAAATTCATCGAGGCGATTTCTCCTTCTGGCTCTCTAAATTCTCCGCTACAAGATCCTCTCACATTCGGAAGCTCCTTCGAGCGCACTCCAAGAAAAAAGCCAAGGAAAAGTAAAAGAGGCACCATTTTTTTCGTCTGAGCCATGTATTCCTACACCAGATGCGTCAGTTGAGGAGGCACCACGAAAACCCGCCGGGGAGCTTAGGAAAACCCAAAATAAAGGCTCAATCACGACGAAATCGAAATTGTGCAAGTTTTATGCACCCTGGTCAAGTTTGGCCGCATTATGTTGTCTACAACGCAGTTGATAATCAATTAAATTGTTATCAATGTTGTAGTCGAGATAACTGTCCGTAACTAACATGTGACATGTGTCCAAGAAAAAAATTTATAATGCTACTTTGCTTCCGTTTTCATATTTTTGTGAAAATAATTGATTCAAGAACAGTCGAATTTATCTTCAAAAAGACCAAAGAGAGAATGAAGCTCCTGAAATATTCAGAAATCTCTCCTTGGAGAAAAAGGGCTGGGTTAGGGTTCCAAAACAAAGTGTTTTGTTTATTAATTTTACTGATTTTTTTTTGCTTTTGGAACTCGAATTGCCAGACGCCAATTGTTGACTGATTGTTTCAGGCCAGAGCTAAGAACGCCTTATGAATTCATTTCTTCTTGGTTCTTTCTGCATACGGAGACAATGAATATCTGGACGCATGGGCTTGCAGTATTCTTTTTTCTCCCTTGGCTTATTGAATCAATTTTCAACCCAAGAGGAAGCTCAACTTACGAGAACTGTCTCGTCACGCTTTTTATCATCTCTTCGATTATTTGTGTCGTTTTCTCGACTTTCTGTCATACTACTGAATGCGGAAATAAACCGACTTTTCACTTCGGCGAAAGAGCGGATTTTATCGGAATTTGGTGCTCGCAAGTATTTTATACGATTCCAATCATTCACTTTGGACACTAGAAATATATTTTTTGAGAAAACTGAAAAGTTCTTGTTTCAAGGAACGAGTATGCTCAGGTGAAAGAGCATCCTCGATTACGTATGCTGACTCAATCCGGTGGGGGGCTGAAAATGGAAATTTTCGAAAAAATGGGGTCGAAATCTCGAAAATGGTGGTTCTTATGACGCCAGTTTTGGGTACTTTTACTTTCCCGTTTTAAAAGGTCAATAGCTCATTTTGTAGCTCAGAGCCTGTGCTTTGCTGCAAGGTATTGATTAGCCGGTCAGTATTAGCCAAAAAATTTTTTCAGGACCTGAGAAGGTTGGGTACTTTTTCGCGATAAGCATGTCCCTTTCTTCTTTGATTTTGGCTAATTTTGTTCTATGTCAGGGTTGGCTGAATAAAGATTGTTATCATTGCCACTTATTGCCACTCTCTGCCGGAGGACCTCCCGGAGGACCCCCTTACTGGAAGACCAACTGCTGGAAAACTTGTGGGGAATGAATCTGTCTGGAAGCTCAAGCACATTAAACTCAGTCAGCCGTAGTTGAGGCCATTCAAGCTCATTAGATTCAGTAATTATTTATTTGATAAACGCCCGTTTATTTGATAAAGTCTGAGTTAGGGAAAGGGTTGTCTCTTTCAAAATTTCAAGATCCCGAATATTTCGAGATTTTCAAATCTTTCAGTCTCCCGAATAATCTCGGACGTTTTCAACAGATTCAACGTTCGGGATTCCAAAAGGAACAAAAATTAAAAAAGACGAAAGCCAACCAGAAAAGACTAAAAAAAATTATATCCTTTACGCCCTGACTCAGATTGAATAATATGAACGCACGTGAGCTCCCCTTCGGGTCGGCTTCGCCTTGACTCTGATTAAATAAAATGAACGGACATGGCTTCCCCTTCGGGTCGGCTTCGCTCTGACTCTGATTGAATAAAATAAACGACCGTGGCCTCCCCTTCGGGTCGGCTTCGCCCCTGCCTTACTGAATCTAATGAGCTTGAATGGCCTCAACTACGGCTGACTGAGTTTAATGTGCTTGAGCTTCCAGACAGATTCATTCCCCACAAGTTTTCCAGCAGTTGGTCTTCCAGTAAGGGGTCCTCCGGGAGGTCCTCCGGCATAAAGCTGCCGAAATTGTCCAAATGTGGCAATTTGTGGCCGAGCAAGGTTATTTATTCATTTATTTATATTGGTCTTCCAGCAGTTGGTCTTCCAGTAAGGGGTCCTCCGGGAGGTCCTCCGGCATAAAGCTGCCGAAATTGTCCAAATGTGGCAATTTGTGGCCAAGCAAGGTTATTTATTCATTTATTTATATTGGTCTTCCAGCAGTTGGTCTTCCAGTAAGGGGTCCTCCGGGAGGTCCTCCGGCATAAAGCTGCCGAAATTGTCCAAATGTGGCAATTTGTGGCCAAGCAAGGTTATTTATTCATTTATTTATATTGGTCTTCCAGCAGTTGGTCTTCCAGGAAAAGGGTCCTCCGGGAGGTCCTCCGGCAGAGAGTGGCAATAAGTGGCAATGATAACAATCTTTATTCAGCCAACCCTGACATAGAACAAAATTAGCCAAAATCAAAGAAGAAAGGGACATGCTTATCGCGAAAAAGTACCCAACCTTCTCAGGTCCTGAAAAATTTTTTGGCTAATACTGACCGGCTAATCAATACCTTGCAGCAAAGCACAGGCTCTGAGCTACAAAATGAGCTATTGACCTTTTAAAACGGGAAAGTAAAAGTACCCAAAACTGGCGTCATAAGAACCACCATTTTCGAGATTTCGACCCCATTTTTCGAAAATTTCCGTTTTCAGCCCCCACCGGATTGAGTCAGCATACGTAATCGAGGATGCTCTTTCACCTGAGCATACTCGTTCCTTGAAACAAGAACTTTTCAGTTTTCTCAAAAATATATTTCTAGTGTCCTTTGCTTTCCGCTGCGACCCGCTGTGGAACGTATGTAATCGGAATTAGTCATTTACGAAACTTATTTATTATTTAGAGTTTTTACATATTTCTTTTGCTCACGATTGCGTTTTCTCTTCAGGAAGGGATCACCAATAAATAGGTAAACTTGATGAAAAATGAGCTCTTTTTAGAGCTTATAAATCAGGAGTATAATACAGTTTTAGAATCCCCAGAAGCTGGGGATCATTTTAACTATAGACACTTGGGGGTTTTGCTCATGCCCTGAGGGTTTAAGGCCTTCTAAAGTCCCAAAATTTGGCCAATCTCGGTTACAGGCTCATAACTTTTCTTCTCCCCATTTCTGGAGAAAGCCCACTATATGAGCTTGTAGAGAAGGCTCTGACGGTTCAGAATGTGTATAGAAAACCACCGGACACCCCCCATTCTAGAGCCTCTAGAAGGCCCTGAAGTTGAAGAAGTCAACGGAAAATCAGTACTTTTTACGGAAATAGATTAAAAGTGCAACATTTTCATCGGAAATCGTAAGAAAAACGTATTTACTGACTTTATGACGCACAAAATTTAGTCTGGGGTCCTTTCGGGGTGAGTTTTTACGAAATTCAATTTTTCTCACAATATGACCCCACGTGACCTAAAATGAACCCAGAGTAAATTTTGTGCGTCATAAAGTCAGAAAACGTTTTTCTAACAATGTCCGATGAAAATATTGCACTTTTACTCTATTTTCGTAAAAATACTGATTTTCCGTTGACTTCCCCAACTTCCGGGCCTTCCAGAGGCTCTAGAATGGGGGGTGTCCGGTGGTTTTCTATACACATTCTGAACCGTCAGAGCCTCCTCTACAAGCTCATATAGTGGGCTTTCTCCAGAAGTGGGGAGAAGAAAAGTTATGAGCCTCTAACCGAGATTGGCCAAATTTTGGGACTTTGGAAGGCCTAAAACCCCTCAGGGCATGAGCAAAACCCCCAAGTGTCAATAGTCAAAATGATCCCCAGCTTCTGAGGATTCTAAAACTGTATTATACTCCCTGATTTATAAGCTCTAAAAAGAGCTCATTTTTCATCAAGTTTACCTACCGATAAATAAGGAAAGTAAACAGTGAAGTGGATTTTTACCAAAAAAATAGGAAGAAAACTAAAAAGTCCTAAAAAGAAAGACTACGAGAAAAATTTCCACAACGGAACCGACCGTTGTCGTGCATTCTCATTCGCAATTTTGTCAATTTACACACTCATTCCATTTCTCCATTCTCTCGGAAAATATGGCCTTGGAAAAGCTTACGACTGGGCGTCTGTCAGTTCATTTGTCGAGTTTCTTCTTACGGCAATAATTTCGGTTTCTTTCTACTTGACAAAGTTTCCAGAGATATTCTTTCGGGGACATTTTAATGTTTTTGGCGCCAGTCATCAGGTAAAATCAAGTTTTAAAATAATGATCATTTTATGTGTTTTGAGATTTGGCACGTTGGAGTTGTTCTGTGTGCAGTGAAACTACGAGAAACGATGCTCAACCTGCAAGAATTTCATAAAATGCCCTGTCCTCCGAATAGCTGGGAATAAATTATAACACCCTTCGTTCTCGATTCTAAAAGATAGTTCATATGATCATAACGCTAACCCTAATCGACGTAACTGTGCGGTTATTTGAAATTCTGCTCTGCTTCCGTTTTCATATTTTTGTAAAAATAATTAATTTGAGAACTATTGCGGCTATAGTATTCCCGTGACTTTTTTAAACAGACCAAGAGAATGAAACTCCTGAAATATTCGGAAATCGCCCCTTGGAGAAAAAGGGCCGGCAAAGAGTTCTAAAAGAGTTTCGAATAACGTTTGATGAATTGATTTTTGAAACTCAAATAGTCGTCACTTCTTGACTGATTATTTCAGACCAGAGCTAACCAAGGCAAGCGAGTTTATTTCTTCGTGGTTTTTCCTCCATACGGAGACGATGAATATCTGGACACATGAGACTTTTAATAGCCTAAATATAGAAAAATTATGAGAAGAATTACCACCACGGAAGCGACTGTTGTCGAGCATTCTCATTCGCAATTTTGTCAATTTACTCAATCATTCCATTTTTTCATTCACTTGGAAAATATGGCGTTGGGATAGCTTACGATTTGGCATCTGTTAAATCATTCGCCGAGTTTCTTATTTTGGCAATTTTCTTTCTTTTTTTCTATTTGACGAAATTTCCGGAGAGATTTTTTCCGGGGCGCTTTAATGTTTTCGGAGCCAGCCACCAAGTACCCTAAAGTTATCATTATTATATACGTTTTTAGTTTTGGCACGTCGGAAATGTTTTATGCGCAGTGAAACTTCGAGAAACATTGTTCATCCTGCAAGATTTTCATCAAATGCCCTGTCCTCCGAATGGCTGGGAATAAATTTAAACATCCTTTGTTCTTAATTTTTCTAGTCGCTATGTATCTCCACCGGCTTCGTTTTCTGTTTGAGACCGCAAGTCCCCGTTATAAGTGTTCACTGAAATTGGGCATTAAATTTTTGTTTGTCTTTTTATATTTGCCACTCGACAGGCAGGTGAGTCAAAGGTAAGTGGCACGTAGCGCGAAGGATCCTACCACCCTAAACCTGACCTTTTTATTGATAATTATTGACCGCGTTCATTTATTTGGTAGACTTGCTGAAAGAGAAAATGGAGTTTATCGAAAAAGTGCGCGACATGGATGATGAGGAGCGCGACGCTCTTTGGGCCGAGTTCTCTGAATTTTCGAATTTACTTTGGGTAATTAAAGCTTCTCTTATCTTTAAAATTGTGCGTTAGAATTATGACGGTAACGCGGCAATTGTTGGTCAAGATTTCGAAATTGATCTTGGGGGACGAACACGCTACAACGATGATGAGGATAAGGCTGAAGACCCGTTGTTTTCTTCAGTTTCTGAGGATTTGATCAACAGAAAGACCTACTATACTTTCATGCGGTTGATGGATAACTACTCGAGGAAACGATTTTAAAACCCAAAAAATATGTTTACGATTCCGTCAGTTTTTGAATCAATAAAAGTGAGACGGGCGTTGCCGAAGATATAAGCGAGGAAGAAATTGAAGAACAGTGGTCCTTCCTGGACGCAATTTGCGAATCAGATGTCATTTGGAATATTCACCAGTGGCTGGTTTCAAAGGAGCTCGCGCCTGAAGACATGGATGAGTTCAAGGAATGCCTTAACAACGTCTGGTTCAATATGTACGGAAGAAGCTACGAAACAAGAAAACGACGAACAGAAGACTCGAGCGCCTTCGAGCACATTTTTGTCGGTGAAACACGGGATGGAGAAGTACTCGGCTTTCATAATTGGATGAGATTCTATCAGCTGGAAAAGCACGGTATTTTGGACTACAAGGGCTATTATGTAAACCACAGAAAGTAAAAGCAATTCATAAATGCATAATTAAGCCAAAATATGGCCATGAAGATGACGACTCTCCAGTTTCCATCACGATCAAGTTTGCTTGCGAAGCAAAAGGTTAACTACTTCTCAAGCCATGCGATAATAAACTTTCAGGAATCGACGTTGAAAAGCCTAAAGGAGGATTTCTCCTTGGAACGTCTCCTGAATTTGAAATCGGCTTGTATACCGCCGCTCTGGTTCTTTCTGGAGGTCGAGATGCCAGCATCCCGATAACGCTGAGAGACTACGACCTGAAAATCAAGGTTTACTGCAAAAATAACCGATTCATGACAGCATACTGCGCGTAACCAATAAATGACAGGACTAAAATTGCGTTTTCATTGCAAAATATCAATCTGCTGGTCAAATTCCGTCCACTGACATTGTAATTGTAGAAGCCACTGCTACGTAACGCTATAATAATCACTTCGACAAAACACAGCGCTATTAAGCTGTTGTATCATTTTTTACGAGCAGCTAGCATCATCTTTTCAAGCGTGCAAAATAAGTCTACTTTAGTATCAAGATCACCCAGAAAAAAGAAAAACAGAGAAAGAAAGAAAATGAAACTGCCCGCTTTGGGCACTGTGCTCCTGGGCACAGGCCTAGAGGCAGCAAAGGTTTCCGAAACCACTTGTCGGGTAAGCCTCATTTTTCGGATATTCTTTTTGCAAATCTTTAGAATATTAACGACTGTGGATTCTTACAAGCAAGTTGCGATACCAATGTCGGATGTTTCGAATATGCCCTTCAAATTTCAGATGAGAATCCTTGCTATTGCACTTGTAACGATGGTTTCGTGGAGAACGACGACGCACAAACTATAAATGGAGTCAGCTACGACAGCACTTGCAAGTTTGAAACTGCCTGCGATCGACACAAAGAAACATTGACTGGGGGAGACTGTGGCGTGCATGCCTTTTGTGATGAAAGTACAGGAAGCGCGCAGTGCCATTGTGAAAACGGCTTTGTCAACTGGGAGGACGGTGTTGGATGTGTTAGGCACGGTGTCACCGAAATATTAAATTTCCCTTTTGAGAGCAGCCTTTCGGTAAAACCGTGAAAAGGGATAACCCGTGCCTTGGTGTGACCTGCTCAACAAGCGGCAGTGATTGCTTCGACGACAACGGAGAAGCAAAGTGCATCTGCAGCGACAACACGGACGCTTACGTTCTCACAGATGGTACATGGTCTGAATCCGCCACTGGAATTTTTGCTACGGACGCGACAGACGTCACTTGCCGACCGAGTACGGGGTGTATCGATGTCACATGCGGAGACAACCAACACTGCGCCTTCGGAAAAGACTCTGATGACCTACCAGTGAATTATTGTGTGTGTGATCGTGGTTTCGTGAGCATCAACGATACTTCTAATAAGGTAGACGAACGAGTAAGTCAATAAAAATCTCAAGCTAAGTCGAAATTAAGATTATTTATTATTTGAAGGTATTGAGTGGGTTTTGAATTCAAGTTGGTAGTTTATAGATAAGAAAAGAGTGCAAAATTTTATTTGTTATTTTACAGGATTTTTATCAATCAGAAAATATTCTGAATTTCTTTAATGAAACGTCAAAGGTATTGCAGTACAAAACATCTATTTTATGACCATCTATACTCGAACACAAGTGCCACTACAGAAGCTATCAAAATATTTTTGATGGCTGCCAATAAAAAGCTTCAATAAGAAGGTTTTAAAAGGATTTGTAGGCACACAAAACTGTATGATATATTCCTGTATTTTAACCTCCCTTTTATATTCTTCGCTAACATATTTTGTCCGTTATGATTCGTAACCTTCAAAAATACGCATAACAACTTGAACTTTCGCTTCACAATATCGTAGGTTGTGTATGATGGATCTGTTCCAGACATGGTATGCGAGAACCTTGACGAATGTAGTTCACATTTGTTCAATTCGTGCAAAGTCGGACAGCGATGTCTCGACTCTCATGGAACGTACTCGTGCACTTGCGACCGCGGATATGTCACAAATCCAGACGACGAAGAAGATTGCGTCTGCGACGGCCCCGACCATTTGGGTGACCGCTGTGTGCGTATGCCCGAGTTTACAACTTGTGATTTAACGGAAGCGACGATTTTCTGTCATCCAAAACGAATTTCCGCTCATTTTCCGAAGGAATAACTTTCAAAAGATTTATGACAATAGGGCAAATAGTTGCTTCGATAATTTACAGTTTTTTTGAAAAGTCTTAAAGTGCGCCTTTGAAGACGCAAAGATCCCAGATCTCTTTCTTTCAGCAGACGACAGCGTAACCTCGGCTTCTGATAATCCGGCCCGATGCCAGCCTTTCGTGAATTATGACAACGACACTGTCACATTTGTCATTGACGACGATCTCACAGGCTGCGGAATGGCTCATGAAGACAATGGCACACACTTGATCTACCAGAATGCCCTTCACAGGTAATTTTCAGATAATTGCGCCGCCCTAATCTCAGCATTTAGCGAGCATAAAGAGCACATTGGGATTATCGAGCGAACAACTGAAACAATTGTCGACTTCGGATGTATTTTCCCGGAGACACTCGTTGTAAGCATAGGAAAAGCAGTTAAAACTTAGCCCGTATCGTTTTCTAACCTTGAGCTGCATCATTTCCGGACCAATAACTTTTATATTCGTGGGTTTAAAATAATTTTCACCAGATTTTATGGTCAAAAACCGCACAGAGAACTATCTTTATGTGTAAGATACTTTGATTTAGCCAATAGGATATTCTTTCCCACAAAAAAAAAACAGAGTTTTCGTAATAAAAATATGATTTACTGCATATTCATAAAATATCAGATGTTAACAATTATGACGAAGTCGTAAAACTGACTATTTGATCTATCAGGCTTCTCTAATAAACCATTGAGGTCAGCGTAATTTAAACCCAGATAGATGTTTTCAATTTTTAACTGCATAAATAGAACAAGGCATCAACGTCATCTCAAGCTCAGTTGATGTTGTGCTTGCGGAAAAGAAAGGCAGCGTCACCTTGAAGATGGATGCTTACGAAGATGAATTTTTCCAGACTCCAATCACTGTCGACTCCGTTCTCTTTACTCCAGCTCCGTTTTACATTCGAGTTTGGCTTCATGAGGACTCGAATTTTGTTGTCACCCTCGATCGATGCTGGGCAACAGCGGACGCAGCTGCGGATTCATCACCATCGTTTGACTTTATAACTGGTGGATGTGGAGATGAAGGGGTTTGAAAAATCTCATTTGAATCAGAATTTAATGTAATTATTTAGGAGATTGAAGATGACGACCTTGAAATCATTTCAAATGGAGTCAACCCAATTTCCATCTTCAGGATCAATTCTTTCACGTGGACAGACTCTCCCGATTCAACTGTGAGAAGTCCTGAGCGTTAAAGGTTTTGACCTCTCTTTCAGGTTCATCTTCACTGTGATGTCCATCTCTGCGACCCAACCGCTGAAGAGTGTCAGCCAACCTGTGGCACCGGAGCTCGTCGTCGTCGAAGAACCGCCACCGATGATCCTTCCAACACAACTCATCGCATGTCTTCTGGCCCAATCTACATCCAGCGACACTTGTAAGCCTGCGACCAATGTTTAGCAACTGCGCTATGTTCCTTCCGTTCATTTCGACAAAACAAATCAGCTTTCCGCGCGTGCCTTTTTCTTTTTCTTTGCTTTCGTGAAATAAATAAATGGGGATAAATGCAATAACAAACTTTTTGTCTTTTTGTGATTTTATTCGAAACCTAACAGTAAATATACAGATTCTTGTAAAATATTATTATAGCTTTATACAGAACATACGGTCACGCGGCATTATTAACGTCGTAGGAATCGTTTATTTGATTTTAGGAAATTTACTGAAAATTTGATTATTCGTCAAAAAAATTCTCTCACCTTTTGCTGGAGTCGGTCAACTTCACCATCGATCTTTTCTCCAGCTTCGAGCTTCTTTTCCATGGCGATGAGGAAGTTAACACCGTCGATGACCATCTGGACCAGCTGAACCTCAGAGAAACCAAGTCGATCAGCGTTGGAGATGTCATAAACCTAAGATTGGATTAAAATACGAAACGCGTATTTCGTAGGATACTTACACCACCCTCAGCAGCGCAGTCAACACCACCAGCACCTCGCTTCTGGAGTCGGAGCTTGGTAAGGATTTCTTCGAATCGAGCGTGCTTGGAAAGGTTGATAAGCTTGCAGTGGACACCAGCTCGAATACCAGTTCCTAGATAGCTGTAAATTAACTCGAAAATTATTTACTCTTACCGAGGTTAGATGGGCAAGTGAGGATGTATCCGAGGTGCTCGTTCCACATAATTTCGTAGCCACCTTCCTGGAGGTTGGATTCGAACTTCTTGAGACCGTCGCAGAATCGGGAGAAGACGGCCTTCATGTCACCATCCTTCTGCATAGAAATGACCCGGAGATGATCTTCTTCGTTGACCCAGACGAGGAAATTCTTCTTGTCGTTGTGCCAGATACCTCGGGAGTCGGGCCAGTCTCGGGCCTATCCAAGTTTAAATTCTGAAGGAGGTAGAAAGACACTTACCATACCAGCGCAAGTAAGAAGTGGAGAAACTGGTCGATCGAAGAGGAAGTGATCAGCAATGAGCTGATCCTGGTCCTTCTCAGACATGTTGGAAAGACCGTAGTACTTGCCCTTGAGCTCACCATCGAGCTTAGCAAGAGCTTCGCAGGCGACGGCTTCGACCTGTCGTCGCTCGGCTCGAGTGCACCAGGGGGGAAGGGCGTAACCTCTATATTTTGTTTGAAATCATAATTGAAGAAATTATTACCGAATAGATCGTCCAGTTCGAACTCGGGCAGAAGAAACGTAGTTGGAGTCAAAGGGGGCGTCCATCTTGATCTTGGAGGAGTCGAGGTCAGTCTTGTGCTTGTCAGTTTTCTGGTAACCGTTGTGTCGGGCTTCGATGATGGGGTCGAAGAGATCGGCGAAAACTTCGTAGGATTCTTCATCACCAGCAACGGCACCGACAGTCATGATGAAGGGGTGGCCGGGATTGTCGACACCGGTCTTGAAGATGGATAAAAATCATCGTGAAAACAATATGACTTTCTTATGTAAATAAATATAAAATTTTTCTCCATTCCTGGATAACATGATCGATGGTGAATCCAGAGGGAGTCTGCTTCTGTCGGAGGTTCTTGTAGAGATCAAGAGTGAGCACATGAGCCATGTGGTTGTTGTGCTGCTCGAGGTTGGGAAGATCCTCCTCACCGGTAAATCGGGCCGTGTTCAAGTTGGGCATCTTGACTTGGTTTTTCTGACAATGTCTCTGACAACAGTGTGAACACGATCGGCCCTTAGGAGCTTGCAAAGGAGCGCGATGGTGATAAGCTGCAGGGGAGAGAGTCTCCTCGATCACGTCATCGCTCGTCCCCAATCAAGAACTTGTTATCTTCATCAGTAATGACAGGAACCAAAACAAGTTCTACGTGTTGATTCATTCGAAAATGCGTTATATTGGAAATTTATACCTATTTGAGGACTTATTTTCGTATGAAATTAGATTGTGACGGAGGGTAAGATTTTTAAAATGACTGTAAAATCATCCTGATGCAAGTTCGTTCAGACACATGTTTGCCACGGCACCAAAAACACTGAGAAAAAATTGCGAACTGAAATCAAGGAGGAAAGAAAGCCCGATGGTTAGTGAGGGCAGGGCGCACGTAGCAGGCTTTCCCTCGCTGACCAATCAGGAAGCGTGGAAATTCATAGCGAGCCGAATCTCTTTGAAATCTAGAGAATGGTAGAGAAAATGTCCGAAATGTCTGACTGGGATAATGCGATTCAGCTTTGGATAAGGAAAATGGCTAAATAATTAATTTATATAAAAATATTTATTCAAATTTGCTCATGAGGGATTCCCTTTTCAATAACTGCAATTTTCAGCCGTTCAAAGGAAGCCGAATGCGTTTTTAAAATGCATATCCAGCTGCAAATATGATCCCGAAAACGGCGAACGGACACTTTTTCCGAAATCGGACAAGCATGGCCCGCTGATTGAAGCCATAAATCACGATCTGGGGAAAGTTACATTTGAGAAAGGGTTCCGATATTGCCCCCAATAAAATCTCCTTTTTCCGCTCACTTTTTCATAGAACTGTTTTTATTCGAGGCAAATAGGAACCCAATTCAGACCAAAAATGTAAGGTATTCACTTTTTCTGCAGAATGAAGAGATAGCACTCGAATGGACTGCATTGACAGAAATTCCTCCTCATCCGGCTCAGAAGAAGAACTGGCTCGAATCAATACTGTTGCCAAAACTGAGCTCCATTTTCGCCAATGGACTGTCTGAAAATACCGCTGCAGCACAGGGGTTTCCCGAAACTCTCAGCCTTGTTGACAAACCGCGGTATCAAGAGATTTACAACAGGATGAAGAGCAAGTACGGATTGGACTTGGTCAAGGATTGGCCGGAAGTCACAGACCCCCAAAAGTTCGTTTTCGAAGACATAGCAATCGCTTCCTATTTATTAGCGCTCTGGGAAAGACTTGACGTCAAAGGTAAAATAATACTTTGCCGATATTCCGGATAAACATTTCACAAAGATGCGAAATTCGTTGATCTCGGTTGCGGAAACGGATTGTTGGTCCATCTTCTCAACTTAGAAGGCCACTCTGGTTACGGAATAGACATTCGCAAAAGAGCGATTTGGTCGAATTTTCCAACGTCAAAACTCGTAGAACGTCCGGTTCTACCAGAAGAAAGCTTTCCAGAGTCAAACTGGATTCTAGGAAATCACACGGATGAGCTTACGCCTTGGGTACCGATAATTGCGGCCAGATCAAATGCCAGTTTTTGGCTCCTCCCTTGTTGCATGTTTGATCTGTTTGGAAAGTGGAACAATTCTGGCCAGGCGAAGTCCCAGTATTTGAATTACCTGTCCTTCGTGAGGTAAGACACTAGATGTAGCGATAAACAGAAATGAATATTTATCTTCACTTGGCCTATTTGAGCAGCAACTGTTTTAAGGTCGATATGCGAGCTTGGAGATGGAACGACCCAGTGGGATGCCATGCGAATCCCTTCAACAAAGCGCATTTGTTTCGTCGGCAAGAGTGGGTCCGTTACTCCTCGCTTGGAAGAGTTTATTGAAGAGAAAAGAAACAAGGCCAATAAAGGGTTTGTCCCGAGAGACGTTTCTGAAGAGCTGAGGAGAGTTTTATAAAAAAGGGTCGAAGCAATCTATCATCTTGCTGATCTAATGCATTTTAATATTTAACCTTTACCTTTGTTAAATCTCAGAAAGACTGAAAAACTGTCAGAACCTCGACAAGAGCAAACGCGATGAATTCATTGGAAGAATTGTGAAAGATCTGGAATCATCAATAGCCAGAGAGAACCCCTCTTTATCGATCTCGACACTCGTCGATAATTTCACAGCCGAGGAGAAAGGATTGCTCAAAAGTGAATGCGGAGGATTCCAGACCCTGATCAAAAATAACAAGCAGCTGTTTCATGTCCAAGTAAGCGCGGGAAATGCTGATTTTACGCATTTTTTCGTTTCTTATCAGTACACATCTTATCCTATCCAATCAGATCTTTCACATGACCTTGCCGCTGGCGCTTTGAAACCCGCCATCTAGCGAGAACCCAGGCATAACGAAAACGGCCAAAATCTGCATTCCCCAGAGCAGTTCGTGCGTGAGAGAAAAAAAAAACTAATCAGCGAAATTGGTTTGTACACAAATGGCGAGAACAAATCCATACGAGAAAGAAATTTCAAAAAGCTTGGAAATAGTAGTTCAACAAATAGAGAACGACAATGTCGATGAACCCAAGCTGCAAATTGTCGAAGAATCAGACGATGAATATGAATTGTAAGTTCAGAAATTCTCTCTATAAGTATTGTGATTACATGAAATTTTTAGTGAAATCATCACCACAGAAGTAGCTCCCATTCAATGTGGCTCTTCATTGGTGATCATGGATAGAAAAAAAGATGAGCCCGAAAAATTCTCCTCCATCGATTTCAAGCAGTACCTAAACCCAGAATGCTCAAACATCATGACAATCAAGCTTTGGAGGCCGAGTCCGTGCCCGATGCCTGGATCCGAAGTGATGAACTCGAAGCTCGAAATCAGGGGCTTTTGCTGTTTTCTACGAAGAATAATAACTAGTCTTGAATTGAAGTACATCGAGATGGAAGAGATTGCTTTAAAGTTCATTGAAGAACAAAGGAAGAAAAAGGGCCACTACAGTTACGACAATAGCATTCTCCTGAAAAAAGTGATTCTATACGAATTTCAACGTCCATGCAAAGGTTCAGGAATGTTAATCAAAGAGATCCAAGGTCATTTGAAAGAACACACCGTAAATGAATTTGAGGTCATAGATTTATGTTGAGGTGAGATGTGTACTGATTTCTGAAACAAGATTTATCGATTTATTTTAACCATTTTTCTTAGAAAGGGAAAGTCCGTCTTCGAGACTGGAAAGTCGACTCTCCCGATTCTTGGACGCCAAATCCTGATCTGTTCAAAACGCAACTTTGTAATTTCATCAAATACTCCTCAAAAGGATGTGTCCGTACTGCTGAAACATGCCCGTTTGCTCATTCTGATTCTGAACGCAGAACAAACCCTATTCTTCCTGCCAAGAAAAGGCGCAAGCTCAATTAAACAGACCGTGTCCGTAGTTAACCTCTTATTTTTAGAGAATGTTGAGCCCATTTCTCGGAGTGACGTCCAAAGCGCCTGAATGGCGAAATTCTCGAATACAAGAGGTATACAGCGATTTTGTCTGTGATTTCATAGAAGCCTTCCTCTGCAAGTACTTGAAGAGCAGTGAACAACAGACTATCCCATTTTATGAGTAAGTACTCAGTTGAATGTCTTTTTCTATTTTCCATTTCAAGCGCGATCAAACTGATTACTTCCTGGCGAATGAGCATCAAGTCCCAAGGCTCAGTAAAACTCACAGAACTCGCCGAGGAACAAGTAATCGAAAAAGCCCTCAACCACATCCTCGGTGTTCACTTCTTGCCTGACTGCGTAAAGAAGCAAAAGTCCCTCTTCTTCCAATACGACGACGAAGAGCGATTAATTACATTTACAGAGGACCAGCCATTTTCATTTCAACTTCTTCCAGCCGACAATAGCCCAGATGAAAAATTTCCAAGCCCATGTGATATCCCCAAAGAATTACTCGAGAAGCTCACATTTAAAATGATCAAAGGGGAAAAGGAAAGGAGCTACGATCTCTTGAATACCAAAACTTAGGATTTTAAGTCTGAAATAAGATGTCGTAGTAAGGAAAAGTCAGAGCTCTAATAAAGGAATGGTACCTTTCTGAAAACTTCCTCGACAAGACAACAAGCTGGTGGAGGTCTGTCCTTCTCGAGCGAAAACAAGCTGCTTCCGAAATCATCAATAGATTTGGCTGCCTCGCACGCTTTATTGTCCTTTCTCAAGAGCCTGCCGATCGAGAAAGCTATCAAAATGCATTGCTAAAATGGATATTCAACAAAATCAATCGCCAGATATTTCTTGACCGAAGCTTGGAAATGGACATCTTCAGCATTTCTTATAGCGTAAGGATTTCATTATTAGGACTTTCCGTCTAAAAAAACTTTAAGTTGACTCCAAACATTCCATTTTTAATCGATTACGACTTTCTCTACTATGGCTTGATGCGAAAGAAGTCGATGACCATTGACTGCCAAGGAAGTTTCTACTTGATTCCGTCGGAGAAAAACTTTAGCTCCGTCGGAATAGTCCTCAAAAGAACCGACAAAGTCTGGCAGGGCTGGGGCTCGTCGCGAGATTCAGCCAAACGCAGCAAGCAAATGAAGAAAAGTAGAGCGACTAAGTCATCCGATGCGCTCCACATTATGCTTGGAGGATTCAGCATCAACAAAAGATCCTGTAAATAACCACATTCTCATAGTCTGTAACCTACCTCGAATTGCCTTTATTTGTCCAGTTGAAGTCGTTCATCGACATTTACTGTAAAAAACTCATTGAAACTGATAATAAATTCAAAATTTCCGATTAGAAATGTGTCTTCAAATTTTGATATGAGTCAGAAAATTTTTTCTCGCAAAAATCCTGAGTCAGGGGAGCATAATCTCCAAGGTGCTAAAACGCGACATCGTTTGAATCTTCTGGCATAAAAGTATTTCCGGATGATATTTTGATTTTCGAGTCTTTATAACCGGTGTTGTCTTTGGGAGTTATTCAAGTTTAAAAAAAGTAAGCAACTAAGAATGCTCCGCCAGGGTGTTCGATTGAGCAGTGCTATTGCTCGAAGAGCAACTTCCATTGATGTTGATGCGCTTGGAGTTGCTACTATCACTCTTGACAATGGAAAGGTCAACATGATGGACCGAGTTCTGATGCCAGAGCTCATCGACGGCGTGAAACAATGCGCCAAAGACGGCGTCAAAGGCTTCATCGTTCAATCTCACAAGCCGAACATCTTCTGCGCGGGGCTTGATATCAAGCAGCTCCACGATAAGCCACGAGATGAGATGGAAGATTTTTGGCGCTTATTGCAAGATTCGTGGTTCACTCTTTACAACTTGGATCAACCTATGGTGGCCGCTGTCAACGGGGCTGCAATTGCAGGAGGTTGCTTGATCGCCTGTACAGCGGACAGGAGACTTATGCTTCGAAATACAAAGGTAAACAAGAGCTCGTAAATCTCCTGTTTGAAACTATCTTCTAGGGCAAAATCGGGTATTCAGCTCCGATGCTTGGAATGGTAACTCCCACTTTTGTAATGTCAACTTTCCAATCCATTGTTGGAAATCGAGAGGCCGAGCTCGCCCTTGGAACAGCTCGCCTTTACAATGCTGAAGAAGCTCACAAAGCTGGACTCATTGATATTCTAGCAGATAATCCCGAGGAGCTCCACGCGCTCGCTAGAAAAGAAGTTGAGCAAATGATCAAAATCCCGAATCAAGCACGAGCAATCACCAAAAAACTTATCAGAGGTCCACTTTTGCGACAATTTTTACAAACCAGAGACGAAAATACGAAAAGTGGAGTCGATCAACTTTTGGATCCCGATACTCAGGAAATTTGTTTTCACGTGTTGCTTTAGGAACTAAACCAATAACTTTTTAATGGCCAGATTATCTCCGAAAGGACAAAAACTCTTTGCTCGCACTAAAACTGTCGTTCAAACAGAGAAACAGAAAGTCATGGGGAAATATTTGGCTTCTCTAGGAAAAAAGCGATAGAAATCCTTCCTGTGTATCCATTGAGACCACTTTATTTATTCAGTCCAGTTCTCAGAGAAAAACTGTTTTTGGCTATTGATTAATGAAAATGACATTCTCGGGACCAAAACCTGACCCTCATGTTTCTTGTGCTTATTTTAAAGCCCGTGATCTGGGGAGTCGAATGGTATAGGTAAGGGGTGTTAGTCATCAACTATGACGTCATAGGGCTACCTATTTTGGTCAAAACCTATGTAGTGCTCTAATTTTTAAATGAGCTTATAAAAGTATATTTATCTTGGGCTCATTAGAAAGAGCAGCTCGAGATCTAGGTCGGGAGGGGAAAATCGCGGTCAACCACCCGGTAAACCACGTGGTCAAAATTTTGAAACCGGTCGGTTAACCATGGTTTATAGCTCCTAGATCTTGAGTTCCTCTATCGAATGAGCCCAAAATCAACGTAACTAATAAGTCCAATAAAAAGTTATGGCACTACATAGGTTTCCCCCATAAGGCCCTTATTTCGACCAAAATGACGTCATTATCTATGACTAAGACCCTAAGTTATATACCATTCGACTCCTTAGATCATGGGCTTTCAGATAAGCACAAGAAACAAGGAGGTCAGGATTTGGTCCCGAGAATGCCATTTTCATTCATCTATTTCAGATGTCGAAAGTAGCGCTCATTACTGGCATCACCGGCCAAGATGGCAGTTATTTGGCCGAGTTCTTGATTGAGAAAGGCTACACTGTCCATGGAATCGTTCGACGAGCATCGAATTTTAATACGCAGAGAATTGAACACTTGTATGCGGATAGAGCGACTCATCAGGAGTCGAAAATGAAATGCCATTACGGGGACATGTTAAAGGTTTGATAATTTATTGGTTGTAAAAGTTAAAACCGAGTTGAAGATCTAATACGGGCCAGTAAGAATACTCATTGATTAGTTATCAAACCTAAACTCAAGACAGACTCATCATGCCTTGTAAAAATCATCAATAAAGTACGGCCAGATGAAGTGTACAACCTAGCCGCGCAGAGTCACGTACAGGTCAGCTTCGATTTGGCCGAGTACACAGCCGATGTTGATGGAACCGGCACTTTGAGATTGCTCGATGCTATCAGAACTTGCGGTCTCGAGAAATCTGTTCGATTTTATCAAGCGTCCACCTCGGAGATGTACGGCAGGATAGGGTTCTGAGAAAAAATTCTCCGCCGAAGTTATTATTTTTCGTTTATCAATAGATAAACATGTTCTATCAAAAGTTAACTTGCGCTTCTTCTTGGAAACCGAAATAAAGAGTCCAAGAAGTGCCTCAATCCGAAACGACACCCTTCTACCCGAGATCGCCGTACGCTTGCGCGAAAGTATACAGCTATTGGATTACGGTTAATTACCGGGAATCGTACGGCATCTTCGCCGTCAATGGTATTCTCTTCAACCACGAATCGCCTCGACGAGGCTACGCCTTTGTGACGAGAAAAGTTACTCGTGGTGTTGCTAAAATTAGCCTCGGTAAGGAGTTCAAAAGAAGTCTCAAACCCTTGATATCATTGTCGTTAACTAACATTTTCTAGGGCTTCAAAAATACATTTCCCTCGGAAATTTGGATTCAACTCGTGATTGGGGCCACGCAAAAGACTACGTCGAAGGAATGTGGCTCATGCTCCAGGCGGAGAAGCCAACAGACTTTGTTCTTGCCACGGGAAAGACAATTTCTGTCCGCACAATGGTTGAAGAGGCCTTTAGGTAACGGTTCTATATAATCTATGGAATGTGCCAAAACTGCTTTTTCAGAAACATCAACGTGGAAATCCACTGGAAAGGTTGCGGCTTAGAGGAAGAAGGCATCGACGCTGAGACGGGGGAGACACGAGTTCGTGTTGATCCCAAATTTTTCAGACCCGCAGAGGTTGACGCTCTCCTCGGCGATCCAACGAAGGCTAAAAAGCTTCTCGGCTGGGAAGCAAAGACCAGTTTCAAAGACCTTATCAAAGAAATGGTCGAACACGATATTCAAATGATGAAAGAAAACCCCAATGCATAAATGCACTTTCAACTCACCAATCTGAGCTAAGAATCTTAAATTTAGATAAACCAATTATAACAACCCTTCAATCTATGTTTTTTTATACATGATCTACTGTCTTCAATCACCTGCTCTATCTCCCTGGACCTCAGGGCCGTGAAATCAAAAACACTCTTATCCATTACAAGCACCTCCTGAACCCTCTTATCTTTCGAAACTGATATTCTTATCACTGCTGTTTTTCACTGATCTATTTTTGACCTCATTGACTTCACCGTCCTTTTTCCGTTTTCTTCATTTTGTCCTGATCAAAGTAAAATATATTTTATCTCAAACTATCCTTTATTCTTTCTTGGCAGGAATGTAAATACAAAGTAAACAGATTTATCAAATGGGCTGTACAAAATTTGAAGGTACTAAGCCTCGCATTTTATTTTCAAGTTTTTCTCCGAAATAGAATCCGTCTTTATCAACAGGCAAGCGGACTGATAGGACTTCGTTTTCTGAAAACGCCAACTCTCTTGTGTAATCCGAATTTGGACTCATTGTTTCTAAATATATTATTTCATAAAACATCATCCCTTGAGATTTGAAATACTCTTAACGCGTCAGAATATTCAATATTCTTTAGGTTCCATTACCTGGTATATAGTCGAAAAGTGCTCTAACTATCATCGTTATCGGAATTTTGGTTTTCAAGGATGAGAATCCTTTTATGTTCGTCACATCCATGTAGAGCGCTTGTTGAGCTTCCGTGTTAACATCGTAGTTAATCTCGAGGCTCGTGGCGTTTCCTTCTTTCACCGTACCAACTAGCTCTGTTCCATCGCGCGTGTACAGCTAGAAGCCTTTTTGAGGTTTTTAACCAGGAAATCAGCTTTGGTCAGGTAAATTTCACGGTTGCTCAAAAGTTCATTCTTTAGAGCTCACCTTATATTCTTTCGCGTTTTCATACTCGTCCCATTCTATCGTTAAAAGGTTTCCTTCGAGACATCCTCGTAGATTCTTTAGCTGAGGGATTATTTCGTCTGTCTCTCCGGACGAGTAACTTGACAAGGTCTCTCTCTTGACAGTTGTGAAGACATAAGAATAACCTCCAAAGACGATTGTATACGACGTCTCCTCGCTTAGATCTTTGAATTCATGTTCTTTGGTTCCTTTTTGAAGTGTTACAATTTGTTGAAAACTAGATGCTCTGAGATGCAGATGAAAGTCATTCTCCATTTCTGGTAGAATGACTCTTGCCGATGTTGTAGAAGGGACTATTTTGAAGGGTAAGGGTTCTCTCTCCGTCAGACTGATCGGTTTAGACACCTTGAGTACTGTTTGATCGTCGGACTGGAGTTCCAGAACTCGAATAAGTTCTAAAGAGGATAATAAAATTTAATTTGTGAGCTTTCAAACCTGCGGAGTTTTGAAGCACCGTACTGATAGATGGACCGGATAAAAGAGAGAAGCTCTCTTTCTGAGAAATAAGAATAAAAGAATTTCTTTGAAGCTTTCCACTTAGGCGTAATCTTCCATCGCCAATATATTTTATACAAAGGTTTGACAACAAGTGCGACTACATAAGGTTTTAGATTGTTAAGTTGTTTGTAAAGATCTGTGTCTTAATGTTTATATACCAACATAACACTTGTTATAGACTATAACTTATAGTAAATATCTTTCTAAAACCTTTACAAAGGAGTAGTTTCAATTTGGAGTAGTTGAATAAAATTAGAAGGTACAAGTCCGCTCTGCTTTTTAAAATTCTTAGCCGAGTAAAATCCGTCATCGTCGATATTGCCTTCGATAATGATAATTTCATCTTTCGAAAGACTTAATTCTTGATGATCACGCGATGAGTGATCTTAATCAAGTCAATCAAAATATAGAATCTTGGTTCAAGAGATCTCACCGTACAAAGCTCTTGCGTAAATCAGCTGTGCGTCTTTCTCCAAGCTCTCTCCCATCAAGAACGCTTTCTGTTTGAATTCTTCCGCAATTCGTACGCTCTCGTCGACAAAAGTCAGCAGTTCTCTATTTTCAGCCGCCAGTTCGTCGACTTTTCTTTCCAATTCTTTCTTAAAAACGCGTCTTCACAAAAGAACACCTTTACAATTCTTTCTAAGAGCTCATTGCGTTACATTGTGCATATTTACATGGCTTCGGTAAGTGCTCTGTAAAGAGAGCATCATACTGTTTTAGCAGGGTGGAACGTTGGGACCGGGCAAGTCGGGCAAACCGGGCAAAAAATCGGGCGGGCGGGCAAATCGGGCGGCGCAAGGCTCGATTTTACGAGGTAAAAATCGGGCAAAGTCGAGCAATCGGGCAAAAATCGGCGCCCGGAAAAAAAGTCGGCGCCCAGAAGAAAAAATGACATCTAAAGGGACATAAATACTGGAATTTTATTTAAAATGTCCGGTTTCGGTTCTCCATGAGTGCCCTTCTTCCTTCGGGATACAAAATAATCCTTTTTCTTCAATAAATTTACATATTTTTTGGTTTGGGGGTTGCCTAAATTTCCGGGCAAAAGTCGGCGCCCGGGCAAATCAAGCGGGCAAAAAGTCGGTCGGCAATCGGACGGCGCCGACAAAGAAAATTTTAATCGGGCGGGCAATCGGGCGGCCAAATTCAATTTTTTTGCCCCAACGTTCCACCCTGGTTTTAGTATGCAAGTGCCTTTGTTTCATCTGAATGTCATCAATTGATTCTCACAAAAAATAGTTACTTATTTTCATTTATGTCTATTGATCGTTGATGAAAATAATCAACTTACCATTTTTTCATCTTCAAATGAAATTCGTCTTTCTTTCGGCATTTTACGTTCGTCTTATAACTCTTCTCTGTCCCTTCTTTTTGCCTTTTTCGAAAGTTCTTTACCAACAAGTTCTTTATAAAAAATTTCCCGTGGGAGGGGATTCGTCCGGTCCGCGATTATTGACGCCTGGGGCGAGTGTTTAGACAGGCCTTTTAAAAATTTTGTTGCCAGTAGAAACAGAGAACCGCAGATACGTAGACCTGTTAAAACAAGTTCTCTTGATTTTTTCTGTTTTTGCTTATTTTGAGAGTTTAGCTGGGGCCCAAAAGAACAATAGAAACGCTCGAAGAAAATAAGAGCACAATGCGTTAGGCTTTCGAATTCTGACGAGGGTTTTGTTCTTGGCTCCAGGAACTGCTTTTCTCAAAAGAACAGAATCTTGCGCTCGATCAAATTTTGCTTCAGTATTCAGTCAGCTACATCGAAAAGTTTATTTCAAGACCAAATTATCTTTTCACGGAAAATCTTATCAATCTTCTTTATTAAAGTTATCCTGCTTTCGACTTTTTTATGAAAAATTTAGCAACTACGGAGGCTGACTTTGAAAATAGAAAGATTTGAACTTGTCGTGTCGTTCTGTAATACTTGATAAGTTATCAATCATAACAAGACATTTTAGCACTTTATCATTTTTATTTGTTTGTTTTTTTTTTATCAGAAGGGTAAGTGATTCTTCTAAATCGTGTTTTTGTAAAAATATTTATGTCATACAGGGAGAAGGAGAAGGGGAATCGACTGGTGAGGTATCTCCTGCGGCACCGGCAAAGTAGACTTTTGGACGATAGTGGAAAAACTTTCCCCATTCGGAAATTGATTTATTTGCTTAAAAATGGGATAAAAACGCGTTCAATTATACGATGAAAAATGAATTTTCCAACTTCAACTGTGAGCTTATTTTCATGAATTTATTTGATTTAAATCGTTTGTATCCCGTAGCAAAGCTGTGTGTTTTAGTAACGAATTCCATATAATTGGCGAGGTATTTTATTGGCTTTCCTTCGTGGCGAAGTTTGATTTTCAAAATAAGCAGCAGTGTTTCCTAAAAAATAGATAGTTAGCAATTCTTAAGGGAAACGAAACTGATTACTTGAATAGTTTCGATTTGATGTTTCTCTTCCATTGTAGGTTTGAAGACGTTCGAGTCACGATCCAGATTGAAAAGGCACATTCCACCGACAAGAGCCCATTCGATCTCGTCGCCTTTGTAGCCTCTCATTGCTTGGGTCACTTCCATCATCCCGTCAACGAGGCCAGAGGTCATTCCCAAGTTCCTGAATGAAAGAGTTAGTTTTTTCTTTCCATGAGTTTGTGAACTCTTTTTGTAAAGAAATGTACGTTTTACTATGCATACATGCATTCGTAAAAGATTTACTTCCTTTCTGAAGATGACGATAAAAATGTCAGTATAAGGCGTGTCCTCAAGAATCATTCTTGATTCAACTGTGGTTCAAGTCCGCGAAACTTACTTGAGATGGTCTGTGGTGAGCCCCTTTCCCGTAATCGACAGCTTTTTGGTATCATTCTCCGACTCGTCATTGAGCGAGCGGTTGCACGCGCCGCGGGCCATCGACATCTCCAGACTGCCAAATCTCATACAATAGTGTCTCGTCTCGGGGGATATCTGAATAAATAAAGTAATTCAAAGTTGAGTTTCTGGGAAACTTGACTCGGTTAATCTCTTAATCCCAGTAGCTTATTTCCAAGAAAGGGGCACTTTCTTTCTCCTCTAGCTCAAACTCTTACCGTCCGAAATTCAGGTATAAATTCTAGCAGTTTTTCTGCGATCTTGACATGCACAGTGAGAACGTTCTTGATGTAGTTGATGTATGAGAGCTTATCTCCAGGAACAGGATCTATTTGAATACGATAAACCATTGTTCTTTATGGAAAGGTCTTACGAGGAACTTCTGGTCGCTCAATTTGAGTGAGCTGAGCTTCGAATCGGTCCAACTGGCTCATTTTTCGCATTTGTCCTGGCGTAAGCACTCCGGGAGACTGAGGGATGTTCGAGAAGTTTCTGTAGATTCTGAAACAGATTATTAAAGGTCGAAAGCGTAGCTAACAGAATGAGTGAAATCCTAACAATTGTACTCATATAGCAGTTCGATGATACTCTGTCGCCTGTAAAGTTATACTAAAGCGCATTAGGGCGCTCAGCGAGTAGACTTGTTAAACTTTGAAACTTACTTCCAAAAAGACTGAAAGAGATCGAGCAGATTCGCCTGGCCAGGATCAAGTACGCTTCTAAAGTTCCCGTTCCCGTGCAGCTTTCTACTTTTGCGTTCGATTCGTCCAAAGCGCAGGTTGTGAACGTACTCGTCCTTCATTCCCGCCTGGCGACACTTTGCCAGCCGACAATGCTGGCAAATCGAGAGCATCTGAGCTCGATCGGCGGCGGTGTTGGATCGCATTGGCATCCCTTCGAACCGACATGGGTACCTAGAATAGAGTGAATCAGTTGGTTTGGTGGGTAAAATGCCAGAATCTACAAATGTTTTTGATTATTGAGTTAGTTTTGTTCTAGCTTAGTTAAAGTTTTTCATTCCAAGCTGGTACATTCTAAATTTATCGGTAAATGTTCGAAATGATCCTTGTTGAAGATAATTAAGTGCTCTTCTCAGTCAAAATTGGACGCACCGATAACAAGGCCTATTTATAATCATAACTTGATAAAGAGCGATACGATGGTTCTATTTTGACAAAAAATGCTATTCTATTTTGCCAGAAGCGTTTCTACCAAGTTATAAGCCGTATTATAAGTTTAGCAGTGCCTTAGGCACTCTTATATTTCCCTTGCGTTGATATGAGTATAAACAGGGTACGGTATGATACGTTTTTTATTCAAATCTTCTTACCTTTTTCCGGATGTGACTGAGCGGCGAAAAAACGCTTTGCAAGCATTGCAGCTTACAACTCTGTAGTTGAATCCTGTGGCCTATTTTTAGGTTGATTCAAATTTTGAACTACGGTCATTTTTCCGATTACTGGAAATCTTATGAAATACCGCCCGCAATAAAGACCCATTAAAACTATTTAAAACCAACAAAACTATTGAGCAAGCATTTTACGACAGTCGATGGCAATTTGGAATGTGAGAACAACTTGAGTTGATATCAACCGATCCTTTCCCCCGCAAACGGCACATTTCTCGTCAGGTAGAATCTTCGGCTCAGGACCTTTTCGTCCATCATCACTGCTTCTACTGTCTTGTCTCCATCTACCGCCCCCTTGCTCCCTAAACAACGATATTGAAACTACCGAAAAGCAGCAGTGTACTTACATAGGAATAGACATTTTTGTTTGTCTTCCAGCGTAGAATCTTCGCTCAATACATCAACAAAATCGCGAATATGAAATGACCGATTTCAAGTCTAAAAAACATAGCTTTGAGTTTCTTAATCAAACAACTTTTAGATTTTTTTAAATCATAAGCTTAGGCACTCAGAGTCGTTCCGATTTGTTATAAATATTTAGAGCTAGACGAGGTCAAAACTTGAAACCAGACCAAATATTTACAATGTAACCCTTATTTAGGTGTTTTCTTGTTCTAAACGCACCTCCAGTAAAAAGAAAGTGGAGCGTTCTTTCGTGATTATTATGTTTTCTCGAGTGGATCGATAATTGAGAAGGCGGTCTGGCTCTTGGGGCGAACGCTGTTTCTCCTTCTCTCTAGCGCACGTAAAGGTCACAGAAGAAAAGACGAAGAACGCGAGTTCGGCGCTTGAGCTCCAAGAGAATGGTCAATAAAGATCAATATTTGATCCTACAGCCTCTCCTACCAAGTTACATTCTTTCATGAGTAACTGGAAACGATGAGTGCGCACAAATCATTAAAATCACATTTACTCAGCAACTTTTGTTCAAAAAGATAATAAAACTGAAGACTTGTTGTTAGACGTCCTCTTTTAACGTTTAGGCCATTGAAGATATTTTTGATAAATTATTTTTTGGCTTTTACTTATCGAAGGGGCCTTTGGTTCTTGAATACTGAGAGACAACATATAAATATTTAACATTAATAAGAATATAATTCTGTCTCCTTTAATAAAGATCAAACAATAAATGTATGTCTGTTTTTAAGCTTTCAAATTGTCTGAATAACACAAATTTACTTTTTATATACATCCTTTATAATCCGATAAATCAGAATGATAATCAATCTCAAACATTCTCAGATATCTCTTAAAAATGTATGCAAGTTAACTTTAGGCTAGGCAAGAGTTTATGACTTCGGTGAAAAATTCACCGGAACCAGCGCCACCAAGCTACCAGACCGACATCAGCAAGGAAGCTAGCCCTGACATGTTGAATAAGCCTCCAGGCTAGCTCTGAATTAGTTCCGGCAACAACTTCAGATGGTTCAAAAACTTGAAAACACGCCTCTAATATTTAGAGTCTAAATTTCACACCCTTCAGAACACAGAAACAATTGACCGGTCATAATACCATCATTAATCTGAAGTCCGCCGCATATTACTGTACTTGGTCCGACCAGAATGGTCGACATTGAGGCTCTTAGTGAAAGAGTCTCAGACAGCGATTTCTAGCGCTATAAACTTTTTGAGTTCATCAAGACTCTTGAAAACAAGAATGGTCTCGTGATTTAAATCGGTGCCTGAGGGATGGGCACGACTAAGCAAAGTTCATTTTTCAGCACCACCACCGCTGTTTATCTGGAAAAGTAGTCATTTGTCGCGAATCAACTCTTTTTATTTGATGTGCCTTCATTAAGTATGATTCTTGTGTATTTATACAATTTAAGTCTTTCTATTTGTTTATAGTATCGATTAAATTGCCTTAAAAAGCCTAATTGAGAAATAAAATCGAAAGATCTTAAGAATTCTCAAAATATTTGAACATCTCTTTCTTAAATCTCTCGTAATCTCTGAAGTAATCTTTGAAAAGTATATTTACAAGGTATAATACTATAATAATAAACTTTTAATTTATAAGAATAATACTTCCAAAACGGCGAAAATTCATTTTACCCCGGGGCCAGATAGATAATGTGGTTCGTTAGAAAAAAAAACTTGTTAACCTTTACGTAATTTCGATTCCTGTAAAAACCATGTTCGTTGAAAACCGTTAAGTATGCAAAAAAGACAAGAAGTTCAAGGGCGAGCACACCTTCCGGGCAGAAGAGCAACCAGTATTAGACCGAACATGCTCCAAATTCTCTATGATTCGAGTCTATTTTCTTACGATAAAATAAAACTGGAGCAAAGCAAAGGTTTAATTTCGATGCCAGTTGGCATATTATTGAATGACTTGATTGGATTGCATTTGTTTTCAGCAGGACACTAATTAGGGACATTTTCAATAATAAATTTCAATGCCTTTAATTTATTTCCGTTTTTTCATAATTCACTTTCCTTTCACTATTTTTAACTCTAGATAACCCCCAATTTTTGTTAGTTTATTTTAAGTAACGAAATCTTAAGTGTGCCTTTACGATTCGGGACTTTGCCTGAATTATGCCTATCGACAAAATAATACAGGAAGTAATAAAAACGCCTCTTTCTGTTGCTTCTCTAAAGTTTATAGTCTAAATATAAGCCAGCCTCGATAGTCGAACAGTCCGCCCTGGTCATACCGTTCGTGTTTGACCTCGTCGAGGCGTCAAAAGATGAGATAAGCGAAAACTTGATCTCGCTGGGGTGGGTTTTGAATTTAATCGGGCAATCTTTCTTTGGCTGTAGCTCCGAACTTTTCTAATAAACCCCCAACATATGACACATGGTTGGAAAGAGCTTTTGAGCTCTACAAACTCTGCATTGGAATTTCCGAAATCTATAGAAATTCCCGGTTTTTACTTACCGATTTTTATCTGAATTGCCGGTTTTCACCAAAATTAACAATCAGATCCTTTTCGATCTCCCACAGGTTGATAAACTCTGCATTTGAATAACAAATCAGCCAAAAATTACCGGTTTTCAGGCGTTTAAAATGTTGAAATCTAATCTGAATTCATGTCTCGCACTATTCAATTTTCAAAAAATGCAACCCAGTTTTGAAGGAAAAACTCCGATAAAACTGATTATATTTGATATTTTTGGAATTCCAATGCAGAATTGCTAGATCTTTAAAAACTCTATCCATACATGTATGATATGTTTGGTTTATGTTTTCAAGATCAGGGAGAGAGCAGGACCAAGATTGCCCGATTAAATTCAAAACCCACCTGGGCGAACAGGGCGCGCTTTGGCCATTCGCATGGCACAGATAGTACTAATTATTTATCTTGAAATAGACATGTTTACTGGGTACACTCTCCGACAATGACCTCCCAGCGCTACTATTGTTCCTGTGCGCTCGACCTTCCAGAAAAAGGTCACCGGCGACTGATTTCTTTCTAAGAATTCACTCTCTTTCCCAATAAATTAACTTATTGCATGGTCGTGTCATTTGATCAACGAAATGTTGTGGTAATAACATTAGGCTTCAAACTCTATTTCATCATCGCGTGAATCCGCTTTTACGATCAAAATACGGTCACTGTGACGGCCCACCATCACATGTCCCTTATTTTTTAATTACAGCATGAAAGAATTGAATAAAAAAGGCTTCCTCGTACGTACCAAATCAAATTTCATGTTTTCTTTTGAGGTTAGTCTCTCTTTTTATGAATTCTCTTAGCAAAACAAATAGAGTGAAAGCGTAAAAGGTTCGGATTTGGCGGTGTTCGAGGTGAAATAAATTGTCTCTTACTCGCTCTCTCTGGCGCGACCAAGAGTGGAGGCCGTGTTCGAAGTGTGCTTGGATGGCAGGAGCAGGGCGGCGCGCACTCGCTGGGTGAGCTCTCTCCTTAGCGCGCTCTCTTTCTCTGATCGCAATGGTGACTTGTCCCCTCGCCCTCACCACGCACCGCGGACGCGTCAGGCCAACGCGCTCCCCGCTCTCTATCTCTAAATAAATTCGTGTTCCCTTTTTTAAACCTGATCAAAATTAGACAGAGATCGAATTGTTGCGTCATCAACGAACATAAAAGAATTTACCGTAGAAATAGATAAAACTTAAAATAAGAAAACCTTTTGGATACATTCGCTGTTAAATTATTCGACTTGCACCTACACCGTATATTCTACAGTTATGTTTCCTTTTGGGGTTAATAATGTTATTCAAGAGTAGTTTCTAGTAAAGATACATTTTTTCCTCAAAAGTTATCGAACACAACAACTTCTATTTTGCTATTTCACAACCTATTTCAAGTACTCTTTCTTTCAGATTGTTGATGATAGTAACAAAGAATTAATTCTCGAAACTATCTTTACATCGAAATCGGGATTCGATGTTTAGCCTTTTGCTGGCTTTCTTCAATGCTTCTCTCGCTTCTGGAAGTTATACCTGCGATGTGACGCTGGGAAGAGCAAGAAAGTCGTGTGGCGAAGTTTGCAAGGTATGAATAGTGGCTACGAGTACTGACTGTGCGTGCGAAAATGTTTTCCTCATCAACGCCACCGGAAGTGATCATTTAGATTGATTTTGAAAATTCTCGGAATTTTAGAGTCACCAATACCATTTTTATCAGAAATTCTCATTATACCAAAATAGTAGTTGACCTAAAAGCGTTATTTAGACAGCAGAGGATTAACTGTAATGCCCGTACTTTCATACTTTAGGGCAAAACTTACGCTAGAACATATGTTTAAGAGTGTCCATTTTCGAATTTACAAATGTAATATTTATGTCTTTTAGAAACAATCGTTTCTCCAGTGCAATGACGATATCAACGGTGACAGAAATGCCCCAAAAGTTAGCGAGTGTCTCATTTTTGAATCAGCAGAATTTCTCAGGTAAGAACATCCTCCGTTTCTATCGATTAAAATAATTTTTCCAGCGATTGCGACGACCAACTGTCAGAGATCGGGCTCGTTCTCGAGTTTCTACTTCCGTTCGCCAACTACAACTTGACAATTACCAACTTGCACGAAAGTGCAAACGACATTCATTTCATGTTTGATAAGCTCGTCGTCTCATTAGCAGAGCTAAAGACAAAGTAAGTCTAAATATTTCATCCAATAACATCCAACTTATCTACTAAAATATTTCCAAAATGTCAACTGTTCAAGTTTTCGTGCAAAACAAGGCCTTCTCCTTGGAAATGCAATTTCCTGTGAGAAGTTCCTGCTTAGAAAAAATCAGCTTTGAATATAAACATTCAGATCATTCCAATTCAACAAGTCTGCTGGTCCCGAATTCGCCATTTACTCCTCCAAAACCTTCGGCCTTATAGATAAGAAGCAACTTAATTTCACTGTGAAAATACAATCCTCTTACGAATCGTGCAACGACGATTGTGAGCTGTGCTGCCATTCGAACGGACACTGCTACGATCTGGATGAGCGATGCGACGGCAGCTGGAACTGTCCAAACGGCGAGGACGAGTGGGAATGCGACGATAGAGGCGAACAACTCGTTTACTGGTAGGTCTAGATTCATGTCGCTTTAATTCTTACCTCTGCGGATGAGCTAACCCATTCATAAAAATGCACTTATTTCGCTACACTCATTCGAGGACTTCCTTCTTCCCCGGATTTCGAAACTCAAAACCGAAATTCGGCAGAAAACACAAGATAAGCCCCGTTCTGATGATGATTTATTTCGAGAGGCATCGTCTAAAAGCTGTCTAAAGGCTGAAACACTCTACGAATTTTAGACTTGAATGACATGTCAATTATATGAAATTAGAGAGCCTGTGCCCAAATCTTTTGGGCACGGACATCCTTGAGATACGTCTGTCAAATGTCTGATAAATCTTAATAAGACAAAGTAATTTATACTTTCAAAAGCGTTGACTTTGATTGAGCCCTAGTTTAGCCCACGAATTTCACAGGAAATCAAGTCTCTCCCAATTGCTGAACTATGCGATGGAATCAATGACTGTCCCATGCCAAAAGAAGTACAGCAAAGCATCGATGAAACAGAGGTAAAGCGACTGCTTGTATTTCATTCAATAAGAAGGGACAAGTTAATCGTTAAAACGAACATTTAGTGTACAGTTTGCCGTCATGGGGCATTTCTCTGCGTGGAGACTAATTCGACTCTTGGACCATATTGCATCGCTGAAGATCGGCTTTGCGACGGATATCCTGACTGCAGTGATGGCTCGGACGAGCTTTCCTGCCCTCTGGCAGATGAAAGACAAGGTCAGTAGTTGACGCTAATTCAATTGGCCTCTGCTAACACTACAATTTAGTTCTTACTGCGGCTATAATCGGATCGCTTGGTTGCTGTGCGCTCTTTGTAATTGCCCTTGGCTGTACTCGGAGATTACTGTACGTCCAGTCGCTTTCATCCTGCTCACGTGCGCGCAGAAGCCTCCAGCACTTGGCTAATATTCTCCAAGGTAACTTGGAACTGCTTATCTATTATTAATTTTTCATTTCAAGTTCGAGAGGCACCACCGACGTACGACGCTGCGATGGGTTACGAATCAACTGCTCAACGTCCATCAAGATCAAGGCCGTGGAGACTAACAAGAAACGGGCTCCGAAGAGAGAGGTAAAATCTGAACAAAGGAAGTTTTAAATATATTATGTTTTCCATTTCTCCTGGAGACTATGTTCTCTTCAATCAGGAGTTATTCCTGGATAATATTATATCAAAGATTATTTTTATGCTGCTAGCCTAGCAGTGCTAGGAATAGTTCTCTGATTTTAATTGTACTTCCAATTTGGAAGTTCCAGATTAAGTTTTATTCAATTTTACCGGCACTTATCCAATTTATTCAACTTGAATCTAATATGTTACTATTTATTGCTATCGCATGTCTCAATAATGCACCACATTATTGCTGAGAGTTGATTGTAAATCACTCAAGTTCTGCCTTTGAACTCAACATTGTTCAGTCGACGAGCACGGCGCCGGCGAATCCAGGATCAAGACAACGCGTCAATCGATCTACCATCGGTGACAGAAGAGCAGCCAACAATCATTCAAAGGTAAAATCGGCACAAGTTTCGTCAGCCATCTAAATATGCATGTAGGAGTCAAAGCTCGGAGTCGATCGACTCTCCGCTAGGAGTTGAAAATGGAACGAACAATACAAGACCACGTGTTGCCCAGTTTCCTTCGCCAGGAGGAGAATTAACTGATATCGTATCACAAGATCAAGTTTGTTGAACCCTAGATATCCTCGTCTCATCTCTTATCTTCAGGGGCAAGAATCAGTCCGCCTTCAAACGACAGGACCAGGGCCGATGGGCGACCCAGACGAGGACGAGCGTCGTTCAATTTCATCTCAGCACTAGAATCTTTCTGTTCTCGGCGCCCCATGCATCAATTCTTCAAACTTTCTTCAGTACTTTTCTCGTTTTCTGTACCCAATTAATTCGACCAATTATTCTGAACGGAGTAAAACAATGTTTTGAAACAGCTTCTTTCATTCCAATAAATCGTATCTGCCTCTAGAAATCTGAAGTAATGTTGTCTCGCATCGTTTCCCCTCGATCCCGTTTATACAGTCACAGCTACAGGCTTTGCACGAGCAAGAATCAAGCTTCTCAAGAATCAAAAACAGAAGTAACCACCACTCAAAGTCCGATGAAAATCCGCGACGTTCCCATTGAATATACAGATGTTAAGCCCGAAGATTTTAAAACATTCGAAGAGTATTTTCCTCACTCTCCTTTTAATTTACTAGGATCCGGAAAGGTAGGAACGAATTATGAAAAATTAAAAACAAGATTTAGGATGTAAAATTAGCAGCACGAATAACCGCTATTCGTGATGAACCAGATCCTGCAGTTTGGCTTGATTATGGAGGAAAGGTTTGTCGACCCTAGATAAATTTTTTGAAGAATAAAATTTGATAGTTTGACGCATTCTGCAGTGTCGCCCGACAAGAAGTTCAACAAGCTCGATATGGAAAAAAGTTGCGAGTTGACGATCGAGTCTCCTTCGTTCTCCACGAGACAGAATCTGCAGCTCATTTCTTAGGAGTAGATCATCCTGTATCGATGCGTCTCGGTTATGGAACGTTTCTTGGAATCTTAAAAAAATCCTCGTGAAACGCTGATTTAATTTATGAATTATTAATTTTCGGAAATTCCATTTCGAAGGCAATTTTTATCTTTTGGTTCTTAGAATGAATGATAATGGCATGGAGAAGGAGGAATTGCGTTCAAGGCTAGAAAAGATGATGAAGAAGAATGCGCAACTGTCGGATCAGATCAGGAATGGGTTGATTCAGATCCGCAATTGATGCCGGTTAAATGCTTCTGGCAACCAGACGAAAAGTCAGATGAAGGTCAAGCTGGCGCAGTCTGGTCTCCAGAACGACGAGGAACAGCCACCCAAGAAGAAGAAACGGATTCAAAAAGCGAGAAGGAAGACGATGGACCGTCTGTCTTTCGCAAGCGCAAGGTTGCATTTCGATTCTCTTACGATGGCACGAAGTACAATGGCCTGCAGAGGTCACCAGTCCCGGCTGGAAAGGTGACAATAGAAGACGTAGTTTTTGACGCGATGCTGAGAACGAAAATTGTGGATGATATAGGAACTGCGGAGTATATTGCTGGAGGTCGAACGGACAAGGAAAGGTTTAATCGGAAAATCACGGCTAAAACGACAATCTACACAACTACACACGGATCACTGTCTCAAGAAGAGTCTAAGCTAGCTGAACCTGCAATAAAACACACAAAATACTCAATTAAAAATATGCAATTGATGTTTATTGACATCATTTGATAGTTTTCTCCAATGCTTTTGCATTCTTTGTTACCGCGTCTGCTCCTTTTTTGCTTGGGAGCAAAAAGATTGAGGAAATAAATCCTCGGTTTCCTAAAAATCATCGTTAGAATCAAGCGAAGCCAATATTTCTTACCTCATAACGCGGGTTTTCGGACTTTTTAACGTCGATAGACTGACGAGCTTTCGACTTGAGTCCTCTCAACAACAACTTATCTAGAAACATTCCAACCCTTAATTTTCTCTAGCATCACTTTTTGAAAACAACCTCGAAAGGGCGTCCACGCTGTGAATAACGTAATTTCGCTCTTCGTCAACTCTCGGCTGAGCGAAGAGGAGATAAAAAACAACGTCACTTCTGGAGAAAGAAACTTCGTAGCAATCATTAATCGTCAATTGCCGGACGATATTTGGATTACCTCATGGGCGCCCGTTCCGTCAGATTTCTCTGCACGCTTCAGCTGCAAATCGCGTCACTATAAATATATCTTTGATTCGAGGAACTGGTCTTGAAACGTATCTGAAAGTATATACAATTTATCAGAATATGAATAAACTTAAAAGACTTAAAATACTTTGAAGACCTGAACAAAGTGGATTGGATATTTCACTTATGAAAGAAGCAGCGTCATATCTCGTCGGGGAATACGATTTTAGAAATTTTTCTCAAGCACAGCTTGAACGGCAAGATACAAAACGAATCTGTTTTGCAGCTGACATCGAAGATGTTCCTAATTTTCCATCGATGTGCGTTTTTTCTATCAAATCAAGTGGATTTCTATATCATCAGATCCGGCTGACTATGACGATACTAGGTAAATAACAGCGCGCAAGAATAATTCCTGTAAATCTTTTTTAAAGCATTGATTGGAAATAGGCTTGAGAAACCATCGCTTGTCACTGAGCTTCTTGACGTCGAAAAGTTCCCAAGACGGCCCTCATATAAGTATGCGAACCCATATGGCCTCGTGCTCATTGATTGCGAGTATGAAAACTTGAAGTGGGTAGACGGAGAAGAGCAGTCTAAGTTCTTGGCTACGAAAGTAGAGAACAAAATGTACAATATGAAAATAGCCTTGTCCGTTCATGAACTGATAAAGGTCAGTGACTGGAGTTTATGAATCGAATATTAACTTACTTCAGGGAACACTGAAAATCGGAAGAGACACTGATGAACCGCATAGAAAAATAACCGGAATCGCCGCTAAGAAAGGCTGTCATAAACCTGTACTTGATTATCATGTTTCACCGAATGCAAATGACCTGCTCCTAAAAAGCCAAAAAAATAAAGAAAAAAGTTGATAGATGAGTATGACCTTTTTAACGAGAAATATTTAAAGAATGTTGAGGAGAGGGTTTAATGCGTATCGAGCTCTTTTTCTTCGTTACAATGCAGAGAGTCAAGCACAGCTCGAAAAGCTGAGAAATATTGGAATCTCGGCGCACATCGACTCCGGAAAGACGACTGTCACAGAAAGAATTCTTTATTACACTGGGCGAATCGATGAAATGCACGAAGTAAGAGGCAAGGATGGCGTCGGCGCCGTGATGGACTCGATGGAGCTCGAAAGACAAAGAGGAATTACGATTCAATCTGCGGCTACGTTTGTAAACTGGAAAGGAACAGACATTAATATCATTGACACACCCGGTCACGTTGATTTCACCGTTGAAGTCGAGCGATCTCTCCGTGTCCTAGGAAGGGTTGCTAATAAGAACGTAATAGACATTGCTACTGTCTTACAGTACCATACTGTCACCTTGAACTAGACTAAAGTCGAGTAGGTAGTTTCCAAATTGACGAGGCTTCTCATTTCTAACCAACAAGTTGCAGATTCTGAAAGGACAAATGTCATCACTGACTTTTATTGACTCCCACATTGAATTCTTTCTCATGCGTTCTTTGTCCTACAACCTCGATAAAGATGGTGCCGCCTTGATTGTGTGTGCTTCTGGCGGTGTTCAATCTCAGACTCTAACAGTTTTTCGCCAAATGAAACGTTATAATGTCCCGTTTGTTGTCTTTATCAATAAATTGGACAGAACGGGTGCAAATCCTGAAAAATGTATCAATCAAATGAGAAGAAAGCTTGGTATCAATACTGCGTTTATGTATTACAATATTGGCCTGGAAAAAGAATTCGAAGGCTTGATTGATATCGTCGAAAATGAAGTCGTTTATTTCCATGGTGACAATGGTGAAAATATCAAACGCGCGCCTGTACCGGAAGAATTTGCTGAATTGAGACAGGAGAAATTCGAGGAGTTAGTAGGATGCTTGGCCGATGTAGACGATGAGATCGGAGAGTTGTTTTTAATGGAAGAGGTTCCAACTAATGAACAAATCTACGACGCGGTCAGAAGATGCACTGTTGCGAGAACTTTCCAGCCGATTCTCATGGGATCTGCTTTGAAGAACAAAGGTGTGCAGCTTCTTCTCGACGCCTGTGTTCGTTTTCTCCCCCAGCCAGATCAAGTCGACAATTTTGCGAACCAGGCAGTGCCAGAAGGATCTGAAGAAGAAGCAGAAGCTCTATTAATGTCTCCTGAACGCTCAAAAGCTCATCCTCCCGTAATGCTGGCATTCAAACTCGAAAAGTCCAAATTTGGACAGCTGACTTACATGAGAATGTACCAAGGATACATGAAAAAAGGACAAACACTAGTGAATACGAGAACCGGGAAGCCAGTGAAAATCTCAAGATTGGTGAAAATGCACGCTTCGGACATGATTGATGTGAACGAAGTTTTTGCTGGAGATATTTTTGCAACTTTTGGAGTCGATTGCGCTAGTGGAGATACTTTTACAGTTAATGATCTGAAACACTTGTCGATGGAAAGTATTCATGTACCGAAGGGCGTCGTCTCGATGTCAATCAAGGTAATCTCTAAGACCATTACAGAACAATCAAACTTTGAATTAGCCGACGAATAAGAAAGCGACTCAGAATTTCCTCAAAGCTCTGGTCCGCTTCTCTAACGAAGATCCTTCCTTCACATGGGTGTTTGACCAAGAATCTGGCGAGTATCACATGACTGGAATGGGCGAGCTCCATCTTGAGATTTATGCGCAGCGAATGGAACGTGAATATGACTGCCCTGTTGAGCTCGGTCAGCCGAAGGTAACGACTGAAATTTTTTGTCTGTGTATTATTTTATTCTAGGTCGCTTTCCGTGAAACGATTTTACCTGGAGTGGTCCACTTTGACTATCAACACAAGAGACAGTCCGGCGGACGTGGTCAATATGGTCGAGCAATTGGTAAAGCTAATATCAACGCCAAGGTATGCTCTGGACAAATTCGCATACATTGAGAATACTTTTAGTCGAACACCGAAAATATATTCAACGACAGACTAACTGGAACAAACTTATCAAGAGGCTATGTTAAGCCACTTATCACTGGCATGGAGGAGGTTTTCGCCGCCGGACCTCAAATTGGAGAACCCGTTGTTGGAGTTGAAATTGACATTGTCGATGGAGCTGAACACAGGTTCGCTATTTATCCGAAAGATAGTCATAACCCTCTCTTCTAGGGTTGATTCTTCTGAAATTTCATTCCAACTTTGCGGCCAGGGCTGTGCCGAGCAGATTTTGAACAGAGCGAACAAAGCTGTAATTGAGCCAATTATGAACGTTGAAGTTGTTTATCCGCAAGAGTTCGACGATCGAGTCAATAAGTATTTGTACGAAAAACATGCTGATATTCAAGAATTCGAGCTCGACAATCAGGTAATCGCCTTATTTTTGTTTAGAAATAGAATGTTCTCTCAGTATAAAACGGTCTACTGCCAAGTTCCCCTAAACGACATGTTCGGCTTTACCGCTGGTTTGAGAGGATGCACCGAAGGAAAGGGTGAATTTTCAATGGACTTTTCTCATTACGATCTCGCTCGAGACGATGTTATAGAAGAATTAGCTGCTAAATACCAACAAAAACTTGCCAACGAAAGTTCTAAGAAAAAATAGACTGTTTAACTTATTTTAAATTATTCAAATAAAGCATTTAAATGCGAGTGAAACTTCAATTCTTGTCATTTATTGCACCTTCTTATTGTATGAAGTGTTTATCTATGCTGTTATTAAATAAAATATAATTTAAATCTAAAAGAATCCTAAAAATCAAATTGCAGTCACAGTACGTTTTTCTTGCTCAGTCATCTCTGGATGCCAGAAGTCGAAAATCAGAACTAATCTGTAAGAGCTTCCTTTGTGTTCCACTGAGTGTTCGAAGGAATCGTCAAATACGAATGCTTTTCCGTTTTCCCAATGTCGCTTTTGGTCTGAAATAATTTTAGCGATTGATTATTTTGAAATTCGATTACCAGCGACAGTGATACTCAATTTTTCATAGTCATCGGGCACTCGAAGGCCGAGATGCAAGCGTAGACGGCAGTTGGTTGGACCTGTATGGGGCCAAACAGTGGTACCCTCTTTCATGACACTAAAAAAGGGACTAGAGTCGGGTAAATCTGATACGATTTACCTGAATTTTATTTGACCCCTTCTACATCCCGTAGCTTCTTTCATGTCCTGAATAAGAGCGCATGTTTTCGGTGTAAGTTTGCACTCTCTTTCTTGTTTTCTTCCTTGTTGCCAAAGAGTGAATTGCCTCCAGTCTCCTTCTTTTTGAAGTCCTTCCGCTTCCTTTTCAAAATTTGGAAAATTGTGGTTTTCGTCCATCAACGCAAGCGCTTCATCTCTCATCATTTCCCATTTTTTCTCCAGCCTTGTCCAGTAACCTTGGAGAGTCTTATCTAATTGTGACTTTTCCCAATATGGTCTTCCAGTGAGCCGGTCAATGTTGTATGTCGAACGTTGGAATTTTGACAAAAACACACCGGCTTCGGCCGCTTCCTGAAACATTTGATCGGCTTCGGGCTTTCGGCCTAGCCGCATGAGAGCATCGCCCCAGTGGTATCGAAACTTTGACTCTTCCGTTCCAGGCTCTTGAGATTTCACACCATCTTCAAAGGGCGCCAGGCATTCTTCGTATTTATTTTGCATCTTGAGCGCGAATCCCAAATGTACGAGGGCGAATCCATCTGTGGGATCCTGCTCGACAGCTCTTCGGAAATAGCCCTCAGCTTCTTCGTTTTTCCCAATTATCAGGCACGTGACACCAACGTCTTTTAAATGCTTGAAATTACGGGTAGGATTGGATTCAACAAGCAGTCTTCCCATTCTCAAAGCGCCACCGCGTTTGCCAAGAAAGCGAAGGCGATCAGCCGCTAATTCGGCTGCTTTATTTCTATGAAGAAAGATTAAGTCTACTCTTTTTGTGAAATTAACTTCTCTACCTGACATCTGGGAGAGCATTTTCATCATTTGCGACTTCCTGTAGTACTTTAACTGCCTCCTGTAGTACATCATTGCTTCTCAAGTGTTCTGCTCGTTTGTTCATTGCTTCGCCATACAAATACTTAACATAAGCAACGCCTGGGTATCCCTCGATTAGAGTTTTCAGCGATTTTGTTGACTCCAAGTAATCTTTGTGCCCTTTTCGCTCATCCACAGTTATTAGTCTCTTCGCGCCAAGAGTGGAAAAGAAGTCATCACTTTCTTTCCAAAGAACTTCGGGAATGATTTCTGGCCGGACATCGTATACCTCCGAAGAAGGAAACAAATCAGTGCGCACTAAAACTTCATAATCCTCTTCAAGCCATATTCCAGTTGGAACTGGAACCTCGAACGTATCTTCTGTGCTTGGACCGGTTGCACGGCCGATTATATGGCCGTTGTTGAGCACGCGTTTCCGGCGAACTTCGAAGATGTATTCAGAGGCGGACTTTGCATGAGTCTCGATTTTGAGCCTCAGTGAGTTCTTTTCCGGCCGGATGTCGCCGAGAATCGGATATTTTTCAATGGCTAAACTTTCTGTGAGGAATAGAATTCAGTAAATTTTTAAGACGAATCATAACTTATAATTTGATCAAATTTTAAAACCAAATGTATTTTATTGTTCTCCAAACAAGAAACAGTAGTAAATTGAGTAGCAACGTGAAAATAAAAAATGCCTTGAAGAGGACCTCATGAAGCTCATCATTTTGAACAAGGATGTTGATGGTAACTTTTGAAACTGTTTTGACTTCCTTCTCGAGTTGTGTCCAAAATTTGTTCGACTTTGCTTGACTTTGTTTATTGCCACGGGTCTTATCGACGCTGTTTGTGTGAGACGCAGCTCCGGCAGCTTGCAGCTGACCAAGAAACTTGGTGAAGTTGCAGTATTTTTCCGACAAATAGTTCCGGCTCAGCCAAGTCAAATTTCCGTGCTTTCGATTCACTTCCGAAATTTTGGCAGACATAGAGGAATCTTCCTTCACGTCTGATTTCGAAAGTCCGAAAGTGGTTTTCACCGATTTTATGTATTCCGTCCATTGTTTTGCCTTAGCGTCGCGGATTTTGGCGATTTGTTGTTGAATTTCATCTTGTTTGACTTCTTCTGTTGAAGAGGAGACGGCTTGAGCGTCACCCACTTTCTCGATTTGCTCGGCAGGCACTTGATCGACATCTTCAATAGGCACAAAACGTCGGCGATGAAACTGAAGCGCTTGAGCATCTGGGCATGTTCGCTCGAGTTTTCTTTCAAAGATTTGAATTGCTCTTATTGAAAATTAATGCTCTAAAAGTAACTCGAAATTTTCCTGAAATTCGGCACTCTTCGAGTTGTTTTTATGGTAGATTGGATTTCTTTCTTTTCAGCTTCCTGTCTTTGATAATCCTTCTGTTTAACTGGATCCGAAACATCCGCTGGCGATTTGTTCACTCTTCTATTCGACGCCATCAAGCTAACTGCAATCCGGCGGACGGATTTTCTCACTTCCTCCACCTGTCCTCCACAGTTCATTGCCAATTCACAATATACAATATTAAAACCGAAGATAAACTAGACGTACAATAGTCGGTTTATCTTTGTATGGCTTGAACTCCTCCTGATACTGCTTCCGCTCAAAGTTTGAAAGACCTAAATCCAGTGCTTTGTATTTGCTTTTTGAGAGTTTTCACATCTTTCTTTTCAGATTTTTTTGCTGTCGGTTCACAACTCATTTCCTTTGGATTAATTCCACTTCATCAACTGGCTGCTTCCTTACAGGATTTTCCAGTGTTATCTTTATGTACTCATCGGGCATGGTGCCCAATTCCTTTGATAAGTCGACACTTTTCTGAAGTGCGTCGGGTCGATTTATCGGCGATAAATTCAAAGTCGCCTTCTTGTTTGCCTCGTGCATTTCTGCGATAGGCAACGGATCAGTCTTGATCAAAATCGGATTTTTGTCTATCGAGGTCAGCTCGACGGCCGGTCGTCTGACAGACGAGCCTTGAGAAGATTCGTAAGTGGAGCTTACGGCGTCGCTTTCAAGATCGCTGTGGGGACTCGCCGCTCGATTGGCGAATTCCAAGGGCGCAGTGGGGTGTCCTCTGAGAATGTTACGCTCATCGGGGTCGCCCTCTTTGAGGATTCCTTCATCATTGACTTTTCGGGACTTTAAAGCGACCGCATATTTGTTCAGGATAATGTTTTCAATGGCGAAGTAGGAAGGCAAATGAGCTTGGCATACTTTATCTGTATCAGCTGGCCCCATATACAGTAAGTGCTTGTGGGTGTTGGCATAATGACTATCCAGCGTCTGGCGAAAGACGGATAATGCCTGCTCAGCAGCTTGAGTGGGTGCTTTAGGATTTATGATTCTGAAATTTCCAATTGAAACTTCCAAAGTGCCTCTTCTGACGTTGCCTATTTTCTCCGTTGATTTAACCTGCGCTCGCACTGACGGGTTAATTGGCAAAGCGCCGACGTAAGCTCCGGCCTTCGCAACAGGTGAAGGTTTACGAGCCGATACCTCTCTTCGATTTTTCGCTCGTTGGGAACCGGTAGGAGTCGATTTCGTCAGACCAAGCTGATCAGTTGGGTCGTCAATATTTCCGGATCCTGGCAGGTCGCCAGTAACGCCATCCGGGTGCTCGTCGATATCCATGTTTAGGATTGAGACTTCGGAAACGTTTTTGATGTTTGTTTCCTCGACAACTTCCGCGGGTTTATCATCATTTTTGGATTCCAGTAAAACTCCATTAATCTTGGTCTCTGGATAGATTTGAGTAGGAGAAGATGGAGTCAAGGAGGAAACTGGAGAGATAGAAGAAGCGACGGAAGATTCTATTCGAATAAGAAAGAAATGAGAGAGAACAGAGAAGAGGTAGTGTATTTTTAGAATAAATCTCAAAGAGAGCAAACTATCCACTCTGTTAGAAAATCAAAGAAGGCGTTTACATACTACAGATGTCTCATAACAGGCAGATAGCTTGATCAATTTGTAAATGAAAATGTACAGATATACAGTTGAAACAAAGAGTTCGCTCAGAGCTTCGGATACTTTTTAAACTCAATCGTTTTGTTCGCTTTCACACCTGTTATGAAAGACAAAGGTGAGTAGCTGATCATTTTAAAAGTCTTTTGGTACTTACGTTTTTGCGGAACAGCTTCTTCTTGAGTGACTTCATCGGCCCAACCTAATTTTATTTTGATAAAGAGAGAAGAAACTATGAAAATTCAAACACACAAAGACACACAGGAGAACCCTTCCAAAACCAAATTTTAAGAATTTTATGAAGAACTCTGCACACAAAAATCCGTCTTACTTGCTCTCCTTTTGACCCTTTTTACCACCCCACAAGATGGCACTGGTTTTCTGCTATCAGTCAACTGATACGGATCTGAAATTGCCACTTGAACCCTGTTGGTTTTTTGGGTTATCTTACCCTTTCTCGGACTTAGGGCCTCGGTGATATAATCATCAATGTTTATCAGTCCCTGGCCGAGTGATCTAATCGGGTGTCGCACGATTTCGTATTGAAAGGGATAGAGCGCACCGACGGCGTTTTTATGTCTTCCTCTTGGATCTCACTTCCTATGTTCTTTCCCTTGTCTACACATTTATTATTCCAGCGCCGCCCGTTTTATAACCGGTTCTCGTTTGACTTACCGATGAGCGCTTTGTAGTCGACCAAATCGAAAACCAGAGTCGCAGCAAAACCCCAGGTGAGGATGACGCACACCAGAAGGAGAATTAACTACAATTACTTTAATACCATCATCTTGGGTAAAGCACTTACCAGAGGGTTTCCTCCTTTTCCATTGCTCTTTGAGATGTCATTCTTTCTGTCTTCAATATCGGAAGCTAGAATTAAAAGTTAGATTTGATAAAAAATGAATTCAATATCATACTCCTTCGTTTTTTGAGCTTGAATCTGAGCAATGTTTCTGATGGCTCTAGGCCTTCTATTTTCAACCCTGCTTCTGAATGAGTGAATTCTACCATTCTCTACTTTTTCAGAATTTTTTTCTTTTGAAAAATTTTGACGGAAGTAAAGCGACTTTGAATGAATCCTCGCCAGATAAGCGAAAAAGAGGGATCGACAACTGGCCATGCTTTCATCACATTACCCTCTGGGTCCATCGATGTGTCCATCGTCAGCCTTTTTTTTTGATCAAAATCTGTACTCGTATCAATCAAGTGCTCGTTGAAAAAATAAAACCTAGTTTTTCACTCTGCGCACTGGAGTTACAGCTCGTCAAGGGATGACGGCAGAAGTGATAAGCAGATCTCATCATTTCTGTAAATGAAGAGGCTGAGTTGTTTAGGGCCTTTTAGTGTTCTTAATGCCACGACTTATAGAACCACATCCTCGAAGCACGTGACTCCTCTCTGTAATACAATAAATTATCGGTTATACTCAGAATTATTATTTTTTGAGCTTCTGTTCTATTTGAAAAGAAATGGAAAATCATCAAGAAATAAGCTTTTTATCTTAAAATACAGTATTTACTGCTTACACTTTTTCGCGACTCCCATGATCTGCCGCTCCAGCTCATAAAGAACGTTTCTTCTATGCTAATGGGTTTCTAGTGCATCCGCTCTGCGGTAAGTCAACTTTCTTATTAAAAGACCTTTGCGGCCTTACCCTGAGATGTGATAAGTGCTCAACAGCCGTTTAACTCATCATATTAATGGCTTACACTAAAGAGACAACTCAACTGTACTAAGCCGTTCTTTTGATTCGGTTTGCTTTGAGCTCCGATGGGAAAATAAAATAAAGACTCTTGTTTGATTGAGCTGGCGTTTAATCTTCTGAAGCCTAATCCCTTCTTTCTGGCTCGTTTGGCAAGCTGGAAATTTCAATTAGAAATTGCGCGTTTTCAGTTTGCGTAAAAGGTCAAATGTGTCAAATTTTGGGGTCAGCGCAATGAAGACGATATTTTTGACCCAGAAAGGGGACTTCAAAGAAGCGATTATTTGGCAACGGATTTGTACTGCTGGTGATGGAGACAGTGTTTGAAAACCCGCAACATTTTCCGCGGGCGCGGGCGGGCGCCGGGGCCGATTTCAAAATTTTCTGCGGGCGCGGGCGGGCGCGGGGGCCGATCCCAAAATTTTGCGCGGTTGCGGGCGAGCGCGGGGGCCGATTCCGAAATTTTGCGCGGGTGCGGGGGGGCGCGGGCGGGGGCCGCGCGAAAAATCGCGCCCGCGGGCGCCCGGGGGGCAGGGGGCGCCCGTTACCCTCGCGCCCGCAGGCCCCGCGGGTTCGAGGGATATTAATCTGCAAATTAAAGAAGAATAAATCTAAAAAAAACCATAATTAAGCTAAAAACTAAGATAATTTGACTTTTTAAAACAATGGGTGTGGGTGGGGTTGGGGACAGAACTGAGATTGATCAAATCAATGTTCCAAGCCTATGTCAAGCCCCTTAAATCAAAAAATCAAGGAACGGGGCTGAGACGGCCCGAAGGGCCGTCAAGCCCCTTAAATCAAAAATCAAGGAACGGGGCTGAGACGGCCCGAAGGGCCGTCAAGCCCCTTAAATCAAAAATCAAGGAACGGGGCTGAGACGGCCCGAAGGGCCGTCAAGCCCTTAAATCAAAAATCAAGGAACGGGGCTGAGACGGCCCGAAGGGCCGTCAAGCCCCTTAAATCAAAAATCAAGGAACGGGGCTGAGACGGCCCGAAGGGCCGTCAAGCCCTTAAATCAAAAATCAAGGAACGGGGCTGAGACGGCCCGAAGGGCCGTCAAGCCCTTAAATCAAAAATCAAGGAACGGGGCTGAGACGGCCCGAAGGGCCGTCAAGCCCTTAAATCAAAAATCAAGGAACGGGGCTGAGACGGCCCGAAGGGCCGTCAAGCCCTTAAATCAAAAATCAAGGAACGGGGCTGAGACGGCCCGAAGGGCCGTCAAGCCCCTAAATCAAAAAATCAAGGAACGGGGCTGAGACGGCCCGAAGGGCCGTCAAGCCCCTTAAATCAAAAATCAAGGAACGGGGCTGAGACGGCCCGAAGGGCCGTCAAGCCCTTAAATCAAAAATCAAGGAACGGGGCTGAGACGGCCCGAAGGGCCGTCAAGCCCCTTAAATCAAAAATCAAGGAACGGGGCTGAGACGGCCCGAAGGGCCGTCAAGCCCCTTAAATCAAAAATCAAGGAACGGGGCTGAGACGGCCCGAAGGGCCGTCAAGCCCTAAATCAAAAATCAAGGAACGGGGCTGAGACGGCCCGAAGGGCCGTCAAGCCCCTTAAATCAAAAATCAAGGAACGGGGCTGAGACGGCCCGAAGGGCCGTCAAGCCCCTAAATCAAAAATCAAGGAACGGGGCTGAGACGGCCCGAAGGGCCGTCAAGCCCCTTAAATCAAAAATCAAGGAACGGGGCTGAGACGGCCCGAAGGGCCGTCAAGCCCCTTAAATCAAAAATCAAGGAACGGGGCTGAGACGGCCCGAAGGGCCGTCAAGCCCCTTAAATCAAAAATCAAGGAACGGGGCTGAGACGGCCCGAAGGGCCGTCAAGCCCTTAAATCAAAAATCAAGGAACGGGGCTGAGACGGCCCGAAGGGCCGTCAAGCCCCTTAAATCAAAAATCAAGGAACGGGGCTGAGACGGCCCGAAGGGCCGTCAAGCCCTTAAATCAAAAATCAAGGAACGGGGCTGAGACGGCCCGAAGGGCCGTCAAGCCCCTAAATCAAAAATCAAGGAACGGGGCTGAGACGGCCCGAAGGGCCGTCAAGCCCCTTAAATCAAAAATCAAGGAACGGGGCTGAGACGGCCCGAAGGGCCGTCACCCCTTAAATCAAAAATCAAGGAACGGGGCTGAGACGGCCCGAAGGGCCGTCAAGCCCCTTAAATCAAAAATCAAGGAACGGGGCTGAGACGGCCCGAAGGGCCGTCAAGCCCCTTAAATCAAAAATCAAGGAACGGGGCTGAGACGGCCCGAAGGGCCGTCAAGCCCCTTAAATCAAAAATCAAGGAACGGGGCTGAGACGGCCCGAAGGGCCGTCAAGCCCCTTAAATCAAAAATCAAGGAACGGGGCTGAGACGGCCCGAAGGGCCGTCAAGCCCTTAAATCAAAAATCAAGGAACGGGGCTGAGACGGCCCGAAGGGCCGTCAAGCCCTTAAATCAAAAATCAAGGAACGGGGCTGAGACGGCCCGAAGGGCCGTCAAGCCCTTAAATCAAAAATCAAGGAACGGGGCTGAGACGGCCCGAAGGGCCGTCAAGCCCCTTAAATCAAAAATCAAGGAACGGGGCTGAGACGGCCCGAAGGGCCGTCAAGCCCCTAAATCAAAAATCAAGGAACGGGGCTGAGACGGCCCGAAGGGCCGTCAAGCCCTTAAATCAAAAATCAAGGAACGGGGCTGAGACGGCCCGAAGGGCCGTCAAGCCCCTTAAATCAAAAATCAAGGAACGGGGCTGAGACGGCCCGAAGGGCCGTCAAGCCCTAAATCAAAAATCAAGGAACGGGGCTGAGACGGCCCGATAATTTACAAATTAGGGGTCTCTCGATTGCTTAGAATGCAATGAGAAAGGTTGATTTCTCTGTTTTAAAGAACTGCTATTGTACGTCTAGATTCATTATCCGAATCGGCTGAATTTCTAGTCAAAGACGGCCAAAGCGGGGGGATCTCTTTATTGATAATCAAGGAATGGGGCTCATTAATTTTACGCAAAGTTTTTTAGGTGAAAGCCCAACATTCTCAATTAGCTTTATTCAGTATATGGTGAGCCCCGGGCGCCCGCGGGCGCGAAAAAAAATTCCACGGGCGCGGGAGGGCGCGGGGGCCAGATCAAAAATTTTCTGCGGGCGCGGGCGGGCGCGGGGGCCAAATCCGAGATTTCTTGCGGGTACGGGGGGCGCGGGCGCCCGTGGCCCCCGCCCGCGGCCCCCGCGGGGTTGGCGGGCGGGTTTTTTCAAACACTGGATGGAGAGGGTAGTTTAGTCGCGGTAGCGCCTTTGAGTTGGAGTTCCATCACGTGATTACCAGCAATTGATTGATTTATAAATAAACATGCAGTGAGTACTCGAATCTGTGGATCAAACGGTTTTTGGTGTTTGCTCATCTTTTTAAAGAGGAAGTTTTATGCTCTCCAATTATTATGTTATCGTTGGTTAGCAAAATTCCCATCCGACCAAATGTTTACAGGCTTAGCCCTCCTAAGACTCACAAACTTTCTGTCGAAATTTGTTTGCGCAAAACAATGGGAACAATAAAGGATTACGCCACCTGTGGAACTAAACTGCACGAAAGGTTTGACAGGAGAATAATTTTTTTCGTCCAAACATTGAGATTTGAGCTCACGCTTCTTTCTAAGGCCATAAAGCCATAAACCGGATGCATGAAAAAGGCGAAGTTTGAAATTTTTGGAAAAGGTCAAGAAGAATCGGATAGCGATCGCCCGTGGCAAGTGGTCGATAAATATCGCCAAAGTGCAAAATTGGAGCTAATATCGACGTGATAGGCAATCATAAAATTTCTCCCTTGGGCTTTTTCTGGATACACGAAAGTGAAATTAATCCAGATGTCTTTTATGAGCTACTCCTCACGAGTCTGTCACGTGGACTTTTAGATGCAGCTATAAGTAATCGAAATAAGCGTTGAAAGAAACTGAAATTATTTTTAGCAGCACAAAATTTTGAACTCGAATCTGTAAAACTCAGTGATCCGGAGAAATTTCTCGCACGGGCGATTTTCCCTGTGAAATTGAGTAAAGCCAGCTTTCTAAAAATATGTTCTATTCGTAGAAAAGTTGACCTAGTACCACGCTTACAAATTTTTCTCGGCGGCCTACTTCCGCATCATTTATCCGTAAAGGTCGCGAGTGCTCACTTGACCTTGTTTAGGAAAAAAGGGACAGCCGTAAAACCGGATGCATGAAAAAACGGTGCTCTTTCCGCAAGGGCAATAATCTTTTTATAAACCCCTTGAAATTTGCATTTTACTCCAAAATAGACCTCTAGTAACGGGAAAAAGAATGATTGGAGACTTCAATTTGCTGGTAATTATTGAATTGAAATGCTCTTTTTATGTAAAAGTGTTCGCTTTTTAAAAGCAGTCATGTTCCGGGCTGGCGATTTTTGGAATATAATTTGAGTGGTCGCACTTGTAGGTGCGACTCTAATCACTGATAATATGAATGGTCAGCTCGTCAAAAACTTTAACAATTTTAACGACTCCTCAAAAAAAGACACAGTACAAGGTCGATAAATGCTCGGCTTCATTTGATGGGGTTCGAAGAAGCCGGTCGGTTATAAAAGTACTGAATAGAGGACGCGGCATAAAATTTCATTGAAGAGAAAATGAATCGTGAAGATGTTTTTGGTGAGACATTTTCGAAAATGCGAGACGTCATCTCAACCCCATATTATCTAAGCCCCTTTTTCTGGTTTCATAATGTCAAAAATATGCAAATTGGTTGGCGAAAATCACCTTGAACCCAAATTATCGCCACAAAGATTTTCTATCATAAAATTTTCAAACGCCGCTCTTTGTCGGTCTTGGACACCTTGGTCTAACCCAATTTCCACGAATTAGTCGGCGGGTGTGAATGTACATCGCAAGAGGCCATGCATAATTTTACGAAGGCCATGTTGAGATCAAAGCGACGAAAAGTATCCGCGCAAAATTGCGGCGCGGCGGTGCAAAGAGAGCGAGGAGCGCGCCTTAACCCTCGCGCGCCATCTCCGAAGTGCCCGTCGCGTCCGCCAAGCCGCAGTTTGGCGGAAAGAGCCTTTAGCCAAGCATAAATCGGACGTAGCCCTATTTTTCCAAAAGAGCTTGCAGACCGAAAAACTCAAGAGCCCAATTCACCTTTTGGCAAAGAGATCAGAAACAAGAAAATATGCGAGATCGACCAGCCAGTATCCTGGCAGAAAACTCCCGCGAAGAACAACTCGTCAGAATGGTAGAAATCGACTGTATGCTGGATACGCTTTTGAGAAACGCTGAATCAGGTAAAATTTATTGGGGATTTTAAATTTACGAGTGATAAGCCGCTAAGGACAAATCTCGGATTAGTCCGTTTTTGGAGCGCCCTTGCCATCTGCGCGATAAGTTTACAAGGAGATATTTTGTTTTCCTCCTCTAAATTGAACAAACCCCAAAGAAAAATTAAGACAAGGGCCTCTTCAATAATTTCAACTGAAACTATCCTTCTTACGGTACTTCAACCGTTTAGGACAATAAAGTTAATCCATTAAATTAATAATTAAGGAGGTATCGAAGCCATTCCCTTAAGACTGACCAGTGTTGCCCTAATCCCATTTCCTTTGTTTTCAAGCACTTTAGTCGAGTCCGCTCACGCGTCACAAAATGTCTATTTTCAAAATTCTGACGGGAGAATGCTCACAGATAAATACGCCTTGTATCAGTAATCTCCATGAAATCCGGTATAAAACCGAGACGACTATTCAAGCATAATCTACCCAGCGGGTCACTTTTGCGGGTGATTTTAGTTTGTCAAAAAGCACTGGTAAATTTCGCACCCACGTGGGACTGTGTGACCTGAATTGCATAATTGTAAATGCGCATTTTGAATTTGGAAGGGCTCATAAATCGCATCCAGCTGACTTTAGGAGGTCAACGAAAGTGTCCAGATTTGGAGCAGATAATCATCAATTCGAGTAACCCATTTTTAAGAAGCAAATACGCTCTCGTGCAGCTAATTTTCTGTAAATTTGCAACTGAAATGGCACGAGTAGCTACATATTGCCCGGTGTAAACAGCTTCGGAAGCTTTTACAACCATTTTTGGCAAGCATTTCACTCCGAGCGCCTTTGATTTATGCGCAAAGTTAACCAATTTCAAATCGAGTTTGTTTCAAAGAAACAATCGGAACATTTGAAAACGCTTGTGAAAAGAGCAGGTGTCAGGGAACTTCCGCTGGAGCGATCAAAGACTGGCGCGCATTTTTTGGGAAATGCTCCCAAACATTACCTAACCAGCCCCTTTGGAAGAGGCCCCTTATCGTGCCGAGTTGCGGGAGGAAGATAAAACACGCATTTTTTCACGTCACGCCCGATCTGGCCCCTTTAGGGCGGTTTAGTAAACACTTGAAAAAACCCTTTTTGAAGAGGGGTAAATTTAAATTGAGGGTTGGGCCCGAAGCTCTATCTCGACGTCGTTGAAATGCCTTCTAATATAATAGATTTTCACATAAATAATGATTTTTCATCGAACAAGCAGGCGAAATCCCTCCAAACCACCCTTTGAAGCCTTGCAAATTTATGATCTCCCGTCCTGTGACTGTTAAAACCACAGATGGTTGGCATGTCATCAGGAGGGTTGTGGGGAGATAAATTAATTGGCTACTTATGCTTTTATTGATTGATTTATTTTAGGACTCAGACGCATCAAGGATCTGGAGCCTGAATTCTACTTCGACGATTTTGGCGAGAAATCGGCCAAGTTCCAAAATACGATTCGAGCTTCACCTCGAACGACTTGTCCATCGACTTTGACGAGGACGATGATAAGCTGAGCGACGCGAGCTTTTCGACCGTCGATTCCAACGCCACGGTGAAAAACATGAGCGACGACAGCTTCACCAAACTCAAGAGCTCGATTTCGATGAGCTCTGCCGACTCCGCGATCGACATCACCCCTCCAAGCCCCTTCGATCTGAAGAAGGAACTCGCCACGCTCAGAACGAGGAACAATGGTCTCCATGAGCAGGTTCGTTGAAAATCAATTTTCGAAATGCCCTAAAACTCTAACGAAGCCCAAAACTGACTATTGAGAAACTGAACTCGCCTCAAAATTTTCACGCGTTATGATTTTATACAAATTATGTAATTGAACAAGTCACGGCAATTAAATTCTGAGGTCAAAACCGAGTCTATCGGCGATGATGCATTCAATTTATTATTTACGTGTATATGAATATATTTTCTTACGTTATTAAAATAATAAATTCGCCGTATGATAATCAAACAAACTGCTTTTCTGTATTAATTTTTTATGTCCAAGTGCATCAACTCGCGTTTTCGTTAAAAAAGGCACTCGGTATAAATTCAGTGGGATAAATACTTTTTCTTTCTCGGAAAGGCCGGTAATCCAAAGTTAATCAAAAGAGCCGCAGCGGCTACTGTATCTGAAATTGCGTGTTATTAATTCTATGCCTTCAGGTTTCTGATATGCAAGTGCAGATGAGCTCGCTCCAGAGAGAAATCAAAGCAAGTAGAATTAACGCCGCTTATCTCAAACAAAGCGCCCGAAACATCATTTATCCGGTAAGTTATAAAATAAACCGTCATTTGTCCGTATAACAAAGTCATGTTTAGACCTCCAACGCCGGTAAAACCGTTACATTTACGATGAAGAAAAATGTCGACCAAGCAAAAGCGCAAAAAGCGATGGAGAACCTTCAACGCGAAATTCAAAGAGCAATGATTCCGAACTTGCGAGCGTTCTAGAGCTCCCTTTGTATTATTATATTTAACCGTTCAATGTACAGAGAATAAAACACTGAGGGCCGTAAAGGTCGTAACACAAAAAAAACGACTAACCTGTGCTTCCCATGAATCTTTGTTGGATAAACTGAATCAAAGTAGATCTTCTTCTTGCCATTCTTAGGCTATCTTTTTCGGCGGACTTCTCATTTGAGCTCTCTATTGCTGAGTTCTTTGGGCGGGCTCGTTCCACCTTTATTCTAACGTTTTTTTCTTTGCTATTTTCTTTGCGTATCATTTTGATTCCGTGAACGTATTGTTCGAACGAGAATCAATTAGACTCTGGAAAAGAGAGTATTATAGCAATGGATTATCCCGTTTGGATTTGAGCCTCGATTCCTCAGTATTTTGTGCTAACGGCGAGGCTTTGTACTCATCATTCATCTGTCCCATTTCCTAACGTCAGATTCGGGAATAGGGGGCAAAGGTTGCTATTCAAATGAACTCAGAACATTCCCACAGCTGTTAGTTCACGCGCGTTTTTAGCAGATGCTCATGTGAAGAAATATAAAAGTTAAAGATAAATCTAGCTCTATAATTGCTTCTTCGAATTACCGTTGATTTTCGAAAGTCAAAAGCAAAATTTCAGATTTTTGCATAATGGTCCACTATCAAAAATGATTTCAATGATCAGCATAACGATTCTTCTTTGACTACGGGAAAACCATGTAAATAGAAGCCTCTCACACTGGATCTATCTACAAGATTGGGTCAAAACATACACACGAGCGGATAATCTGGTGTAAGTTGCTTTATACGGCGCACTGTTTATGAATATTTACAAAGAACACGAAAGCAGGAGCGTGGGAAACACACACGATTTACTAGTGAGCGGCGACGGGCAATTCTGTTCAGAGCATCCATTTGACTCCCTTCAACTGGCACAATCGAACTCGATCGACTTTTGCGGCGGTTGTTGTACGATTTCGAGGGTCAATTTTATGTGCTCTCTTCATTGATTCCGAAAAAGTATTTAATCGACCCTGGTCCCTTTTGAGCCTGATTTTGCAATAGATTCAAAACTGGATTTTCCTCCGTGATACTCTTTCGCTTATTCATTCTCTTGAATCTTCCTCGATATCTCTCAAACCAGTGGAAGAAAAAAAGCAAAATTCTCGCGGAAGGACGGACCTTCCTTATGACATCAATGAAGCTTTGAAACTAGCCTGGATCGCGTTTTGCGTTAAAGAGGTTTTTAAAGTTTCAGTTTCTTCGACTTTCGGGCTCTGCGGCCATAAAAGGCGTGAGTACTGGGTGCTCTGTACTACTGTAAGATTTACTAGGTGGAAGGTTATCGCAAAATACGACCACTGTTAATTGTGTTCAATCGCGACATTTGTAATTGCTGCTAAGTGGTTGAATTATGGATGGTTGGCAGTGCATTCCAGCTAGTTGTGAATTCGATGGACGAAACCTGTTTATTGCTCAGCTAAAGAATTTAGGAGATACTGCTTGACTTTCGTTAAAATAAGAAATATGATTGTCTGAGAAGCACGATATCTACCGACTCGGCCTTAAATTTAATGACGGCAAATAATGTTTGTCAGGATAATTAATATGTTCTTGGGGTCAGAGGCTTTCAAACGGAAACGATTATACACTCATTATAAGGGACTTATCTACTTTTAAAACTTCGATTTACTCATATTTCAAGCTCAAAAAAAACATTTCGAAAAAACGCTTACCTTTCGGAATATCTTTCTTTCGTCTTCTTAGTTCATTTTTCGCCATTTTTATATCTCTCTCGGTTTGATTTGCCCCTCTCTAATTCTAGCTTCTTTTCTTAAATCTGGAAGAAGTCACAGTTCGCCGTCAGCCAGCTGGCGTTAAATTTTTAATCTCTCCGTTCGACTTACGCCCTTCTTTCTCGGCTCACTTTTTAATTATGTCCTTTTTTGTTTGTTCTCGCCTATTCGAGGATTTCCTCACATCTTCATGGTAAAAAAACTTTTTCAATAATGGGCCAAGAAAAAAAGTGTCGGAGTTGTCCTTCGGCGACTTCGAGAGGATTTGCTGGCTTTTGTTACAACTAGCGAGATAATGGAGGCTTTATGGGATTCGCTATTTATTACGCTCATCAATTTGAAAAGTTCAATGCATTCGCCGACAAACTTGCTCAATTTGAGAACCTATTAGGACCCAAAGACGTGATTAAAAATGTTTGCAGAAGAAAGAATAGGCTTCATGTAACATGTTCCTAATTTTAATAAGATTTATTGGCTCACGAAAATTATAAAAATTATTTGATTTTACGAAATTTTCTTTGACTTGAATAATGAATGAGTTTATTATGAAGATTTGAAAAGGCAGGCATGAGGATTGGAGAAATATCTACAGGTTATTTAGAAGCGGTTCTCTTTAGGATGAATTAGCTGAGCGAGGTTGACTCTCAACGACCTTTGCGTGGCCCGGCCGGTGAATTGAACAGTTTGACGATGAAGCAAACGGATCCTGAATTCGATATATCTTTTGAAATCTTAGTATCTCATACTTGAAGGAAATTGGCTGGAAGGTCGAGTACAGCGGAGATTTTTGAAGCTTGAGATGACGAGCGCGTAAACGGCCTTTTGTGAGCCGCTGTCTCGCTGTTAGAGATCGAATATGATCATCGAATGTCAAAGTCTTTATTATAATTATTTGCAAATGCGAATTCGCACTTTTAAAATTTACCTGTTTGGACGACTTCTTTCTTGACTGGCGAACGGTGATAACAAGTGTTCTTTCATCTTGAGAGAGCTGCTCAATTTCCAAGTCCTGAAGTTGCCCTGCGAATGTGACTTTTCCCCAACCAAGTTTTGAATCCGGTTCGACCAAAATTATTTGATAGGTATCGACGACCATGAATCGTCTTTGAGTAGACTCATTTGTTGTAACAGTGCACCCTAATAATTTATTTTCAACGCAGAGTTATGGAAAGTGTACCAATGAGTTCAGCGTTATTCAAGTCCAATTTTGCTCCGACTTTCTGAAGTTGATTTGGACAAGCGAGAGGTAGTTCCACATCCTTTTCGTTCTTGAGGTTGAACGAAAGTTGCCGGAGAAGGAAGAATAGGAGAATTTCATACTGCAATTGCTCGTCAGCTCCACACGGCAGTCTTTTTATGAGCACTTGGCCAGACATTGGCGTTTGAGAGATTTCAGAGATGACACTTAAATTTTGATGAATCTTTAATCTCTAAAAGAAGACCCACCTCGTGTCTGCCAATAATTGCGTCGCTTTCGGAAATCTCTTTAGTGTGAGCCATTCATCTTCAAAAACTTCAAGAATAACTCTTCCTGTCGCAATGGAATCGACAAATTAGTCTTTAAATCCTGGGCGACCTTTGTTACTTCATCGAGAACTTCTACCCCATTTTGGTTGAGCCATTCGATGATATTGCACGCGAGAGAGACTGTAATCAGTCTGATTGAAGTGGGTTTCGAAACGGCTTTTTCGAGAAGACGAATGAGCTTTTCGAAGAGGCAGTCGCCGTATGAATGTTTTTCGGCATCGGCTGGGTTTTCATGGTTCATCATAAGTTGGGAGGTATCGTTCAAGTTCGAGACCATAGAATTGACAAAAAGAAGTGTAGGCAAAACATTCAGATAATTACGCTCGGTTTCTATGAAAAACATATTTTACAAAGAAAAGAGCTTTTTGAACTGACCTAAAGCTTTCAAGCAAGAATCTAAAAGTGGAAAATTCTCGAACTCGTAAATCGGCGATCCAACTCTATTTTCCGGCGGTGCTTCAGGCTCAGAGGTGCTTTCAGTCGATGGCGATGATTTCAAGTTGTTTTGATTGAGTTCACGGATTGCGATTTCTCGCTGGGCATCGAGCTGCTGTTGTAAATTAGCTGGCTTTGACATGAATCCTGACGATGCGATAATTTGAGAGCATGCCCAGTCGCCCATTTCTTTCGAAAGCCGTTCTAGCCCTTCTATCTTCAACAGACTAAAGACTTCTGCCATGAGGGTCAAGCTTACGGCTGGCGCAAACTGACTCCTTCTTTCAGCAAATGAAGGATCCACCCCAATATCTTTGAATATAGGCGCCGCGTAAACGCTCAAAAGTTTTTGAAGCAAAAGCTCTATCAGCAAATTTCCAAGCGCCGGAGAAGCGTTCGAAATTATGTCCGCAAAGTAATGGAGAAAGTCCATGTGATCATTGAGCAGTTGAGGCTCGACCTTGCCAGTTTCGTGTTGAGTATCTATAGCAATGGCGATTTGCTGGCAATCGTAGACGAGCTGTGAAAAGTACGGCTTTGCAGTTCGCTCGAGCAGAAAACTTTCCAATGCTGGTTCGCGAACTCGGTAGACAGAAAGCGTGAGGGTTCGGACTGCTGCGCGAACCATTGATTCAGAGTGAGCATGAAAATTCAGCGCTAGAATTTTATTGAGCAGATGAATATAAAATGAAAAGTAATACCTTCAGTAAAAAGTGGGAAATCAGCGCGATGTTCGTTGAAGAAAAAGTGAACGGTGTTACTGTCAAGTCTAAGCGATAACGTCTTGAGGAAGGAAATGTAGTAGGCGAGAAGTTCTTCATCTTCGAAGTCGAATCTGGACACAAGAATTGTATTTACATGATTATTGGAAAGAAGGTAAAATAACGAGGTCTCGTGGCGGAGGTTTTCAAAAAGGATATTCAGCGTTTGCAGCAGCTGAATGCAGACATGGCTTCCTGGGTCCGAGTTCAACAAGTTGATGAAAAATTGGAACATGTTCTTTTCGAGGAAGAACTCAAAGACGGACGAGTCATTTTGATCGCCCCAAATGAGAATTTCAGAAATCGATCGGAGAGTCTAACGATACAAATTTGGATTTTCCCGTGATAATTCGAAAAGTACCTCAACGACTAAAGACTTATTATTCGGCGTCACAGTTTTATTTTTCGTCAGGAGACTATACAATTGTCGGAGTCTTTCCAGACTGTGCACGTTTTGAGTCCGATTCCAGCTGAACCAGCTTCGTCCAGACATTCTTATTGCGGAGAAATTAATGAACCGCGATTCGTTGAATATCAATTTGTTTATTTGAGGAAAATTTGGCTTACTTTTGATCATACAGTATGATAGGAATAAAAGTAGGTGAAGAAACTGGTGATAGTAAATATTTTAAAATTCGGAAGATAATTGTTGAAGTATCAGTTGAAGTAAAAATATAATAAAGATAATATAATATAATAATAAAGTGGTTGGCAGGTGAATGATTTGTGATGGCAATGTGTGGAAGAAAGGCACTTTGAATTATTTGCTAAGATATCGCTTCAAAATCTTCTTGAAACAGACAGGGTCATTAGTGATGTTTTCGTCGGTTTGATAGTCGAAAACGCGAATTCTTCCATCGACGACTTTGAAGGCGAAGTAAGCCTTGAGACGATTCTTGATTTTCTTCTTGCCCTTTTTATCGAGGCACTCTTTCGACAGATACTTGCTAGCTTCGACGAGTTGTTTGAACATTTCCTTGCCGTCGTATCGGAAGAACTGGCCAATGGTGCCGCGCGAAGACTTTTTTCCATAGAATGTAACAACATCGTCAGAAACGGTAACTTTAGAAAATTGAAAATACTCGATGATGTTGCTGTCCCAATCGATTGTAATTTTTCGTCCGTCGATAAAAGTTTCGGAAGGTTTGTTCGTGATAAACAGCTTACGAGTCAGAGCTTTCTCCAGAACTGCAGGTTCTACAAAGAACGATATAAGAATATTGAACAAGTAATGGAAAGCTTACCAATAAAGAGCAGGTTGTAATTATTATTTTTCTGCACTGCAGTGAAGGGATCGCGGAGGGTGACCTTGAAATCGACTCCGATTGGGGCAGCATCGAGCAGTTTCTTTGGTACATTCTTGATCTCGTAATGGAACACATGATATCTCTTCAGTCGCTCGAGCGAATCTGGTATCAGTTTCAATTGGCTTTGAGGGACGTACTCGTCGGCCATTTCCCCTTCTGGGTAATCCATGTATCTCATCCATGGCATCCGAATATCAGACGATCCATAAGTTGGGTGTTTGGTCGCTTTGACTCTGTACTTGACTTTTCAATTGTTATATAAATTCGAGTCATTAGATTTTATAAAGACTTCTCTTTCAGAAATCAGTCCACAATTTTAAGCCTGTTCCTGTAGTATTTAGCGACACCATCAACTTTGCGTTTTCGGATGAAAACATCATCTTCAAGTTTATTTGTAGTCGGGGAATATCGACCGACATCATATCCTTTCATCGACGAGACCATCTTCTCCGTGTCCTTGTCTCTATGTTTCATATTGTACAGTTCCTTCAGAAGGTTATCCATGTACTGTCGGGCTTGATCAGCAAGGACGAAAAGTGATCCAGAACCAACGATCGGATTTTCTAATGCAGGATTGATAACAGGACTCGGAGGGTCTTTCTTGAGGATCTTCAATCGAATGGACTTAGTGGCAATGACGTAAAATCGCTCAACTTCGTCGATTTTCTCCTGGACCTCTTTGCTGTATCTCTTCTTCTTCTTCGGCTTCTCCGGAACGTTCTCATAAACATAATTTGCAGGAAAGAACCAATCTGAATCCGGATCGGTATCCTTGGCAATTTTTCGTAGGTATTTTTCCAGCAGCGCCAGCAACTACAAAATTTTTAGACAAACCGCCATTTGCTAAAGACAAACCTCTTTTGAATATCCCCGCCAGTGGCGAGTGTGCTTATCACAGCCGTAAAGATGCTCTCGCTGTATGATCTCGATTTTGAATGTCTTTTTCTTCATTTCATTCGCCATCTTGTCGAGAATTATGTTCGAATAGTTATCATCTGGGAACATTCCGTAATGTTCATCTGAAGTCGGGAGAGCCGGATCAGGGAAATGGCTGTTTTCATCCTGCAACACGTTCACAAACTGCACAGAATCTCCTTTTGGGGTCTTGAATTTGAATCTCATTCGACAGAGAGGATGAGGAGCGTTATCATTTTTATCGATATGTCTCCGGAAGTCTTTCTCGTTCCAGAGGATTGTTCCTTCGTATGTTTTCCCCGCTTCAAGAGGTGGATATTTCACCTTGGAAAGATATTCGACGTTCCTCGCCATTTCTCTAGGTGCCATTCCGCTTTCGTAAATAACACCTTGATTTCCTATGCGAACCAAATCACCGATCTCAGCTCTTTCGAAGTCTGCGTTATTCTTACAAGAAATCCACTCGAAGCAAGAAGATCCGTCCAATAACTTCGGATCCAAGGGCTCCTTCAATCGCTTCGTCGAAGTCGTTTTTGTAATTCCAGAATCGATAAAGCGAACTTTCACTTTTTCCTCTTTATTGAGATCAGCAAAGCGTTTAACTTATTGAAATTTATAAAAAAAAACTATTGATAGCTCATCCTGAAACGCGTTCAACAATTTCAACTCTCTCCAAAAAGGGCACTCTTTCTTTTCCTAGTTTTCTATTTAGCAAATAATATCTGTCAAGTTGATATTTTTGAATCTTTTGCGATTCTGCTAATGAAAACGCGACGAGCTGTCTCCGGGTTTATATACGCTCGAAAAATCATTCACGATCAGTGTTGATGAACCCCTTTCTGAGGAAATTTGTCGAGACGGATAACGCCGAGATGACTTGTTTTGGCAGATTTTCTCACGATGAAAGCACCATTTTCGTGGCTCTTCACTACTGGAAGAGTTTTCAAGCTGCAAACTAATTTCTTCTTGCATTTTATCGTAAACGAATCCCATACAAGATTATCGAGCTGTTTCAGAATTGAAACATCCGATGGTGTTTTCTTTGCCGCTTTTATTCTTTCTTCAAGTTCATTACATTGACGCCCGATTCTTGGGAGTATATCACTCAAATGCTTGTACTCCGGCTCGTAATTTGGACAAAACAAGTTTTCATTGAGGACTCTTTGAATCTTCTGCACATCATATTTCAAAATCTTGAGATTTTCGCTGTAAGAAATCGTTCGCATTTCAATTTGAGTCTTCCTAGCAATAATTGACCGTTTTTCTTCCGCTGATAAAAGTGCTCGACTTGCAGGATGATTTGCCCAGGTACATCGCTCACAAAATAGTAACCGTCCGACGAAGTACTCAAATTTCCTGTCATGACTTCTGCAAAATGGACTCAACTTTTTCAATTCCCTCGTCAAAAATACTTCGATTTCTCCCAACAGCTCCATTTTCAGGTCTTGAATACGATGTTTGAGAATAATTCCACACTTTTTCGTAGAAAGTAAACACAATTTTAAACATAAACAGCTTTTGAATTTATTAAATTTGAATATAAACATGATTGCTTTGCAAGATGTTCTACGAGAGCGAGGAAGAGTGAACTTTGGGAGCATTTGTTGGTTATTTACAGAGAGTTGATTCTAGGGTTTTAGTTACAGTTTGAGCTAGGAACGATGATATTTCCGAACTGGTCGGTATTTGAAGTTGCTGAAGGCCTAGTTTGAGTATTGTGTTGAGTCGTCTGAGGGGTCGTTGAGGAATATTTGGCGTGGATCCGTTCGGAGCACGGACTCGTTTCTTAACGCTGACGCTGTGCTGATTCTGCATGTGTCGGTTTAAATGATCTCGTCGGTAGAAGCCCTCTCCGCATGTATCACAGGTGATAGGTTTGTAGTTCAAGTGTTGGCAATGGTGACGGTAGAGGTCTTCGTTGTTGTTGAATCCTCTGCCTTTCTGGCCGAGGGCAGGGCACAAAATGCATTGAAACTGTCGGTCTAGTCCTCTATTCACATTTTCCCTCGCTTTGACTTCCTCCACTCGATTCGCGTCAATCAGCACCTGAATTAAATTGTATGAATGACTCATCTTACAAAAAATGATTTACCTTGGCAGCCTGATCTTTTTCTTTCTGGTTCTTTTGGCCCCAAATATCTTTCTTGATGAAGACATTTCTTGCTTCAGTAATTGGACAAGTAAGTTCATTAAGCTCGAGCACGACATCATCATCTTGAGCCTCGGGAATCTGCTGTTGATTCTGGTTTTCGAATTGCGGAGCAGAATGAGGAATGTTGTCAGGAATTTGATAGTAGTACTGTTCATGCGGGGGTACCAAAGAAGAATCTGCATATTGGACAGGATTAGAAACATTTGACTGTTGTCCGTTCAGCAGGTTCTCCGACGAATGAAAAGAGGAGAAATCGTCAGTCATCATCGTTGAGATCAACTCATCGTCGGGGTTGTCGAATCTTCGTTTCTTGCAGCAGGGACCGGGGTTGTTCAATTCTTGAAGGATTGCTGCTTGAGTTGGACTGTCGGGAATCTCGTGGAGCACGATGTTCGAACCATTGGCGATGGCATTTTGAGCGACGAAGACATCTCGGTGGCGTTTCATATCGCCTTGCGGCTCTTCAAAAGGCACAAACTAAAGGTTCCGTTAACAGGTGAACATGGAAGTTAGGTCTTACATCTTCTCTTCTTAAAGAAGGCTCGAGATTCTCGATAAACGCGTCGAAGTCGTTGGCAGATGTGACGGAGTCGAAGTTATGAATGTTGCTGAGCTCGCTGGTACTTGGCGAAGTTGGATTCAAAGACGAGCTCGATTGGGGAGAGGAAATGTTCGTGTTTGCAGCGTCGTGAATGAATGCCAGATCGTCGCTTCCTAAAATTTATGGGTGAGATTGAATTCGAATAAAATAACTTACCGGTTGATTTGGGTGAGGAGAAAGTAGACATACCGGGAAGTCCTCCAGCAGCTGGTGGCCCCGCCAGCACTATTAATTACATTTATAATCTGGTAAGGAAGGCATATCATACTGAAAGGCCCGGTTTTCTTCGCGCGTCCAGATTTCTTGACTGGTCCTCTCCTCCCGCCGATTGGAGGGGCTTCTTTCTTTGGTTCAATCTTGACATCTTTCTTCGGCGCAATTGGCTTCTTTGAGGGATTCTTGAGACCGGCTTTTTTCTTTAAAGCGTAGTAGGCGACACCATTGATGGTAAGAGTCTAATGTTAAAAATTGAAGTAATTGGTAGTATAACTCTGTTTACCTGAAGATCGAGGTCATCGACGCGGACGAGGGCGTCGAATTGAGCAGTGAGCTGATCGACTGTGACTTCCGATGATGTGGTTGTGGACGACTTCTCCTCCGGCAGCTTTAATATAAATAATTAAGCTTGTAAAAATAATTAATTGCGATTGAACGGCTGCTGAAATTCTCCTAAATAACAAAGAGGAGCTAGAGGGGAGTAAGGAGGGAAAACTTTTCCTTTTTTCTTACCTCAATCTTCGTACTCATTTTCAATCACCTTCTACTTTTCTTCCTCTCTCGTGCTCACCAGAATATTCTTTTCGCGCGGGCGTTTATCAGTCGGAAAGGGAAAAGGGAAAATGATTAATCAATCCCCAGAGAAATGCGCTGAATGAGCAATTTTTTACCCAACTTGCGTGCTTCTCTGCTCTCTCCACCCCACACGATCGTAAATATTGGTCCAGCGAAAACAAAAAGCGAGAACAAAAGAAAAAACCTGCCTTTTTGGCGGTATTCTCACATTTCTGAGTGATGAGAAGATTTTTACGACAATAATTAAATAGTTCAATTTCAGTTTAGCCAAAGGCCCATATTTTCAGTGACTGATTTAAAATCAGTGATTTTCCATCGATTAGCAGTTTTGGATTGAAGACTACTTATGATTCAAAATGAGTCATTCGGAATGCGCGCTATGACGTCACTCGAAGATAAAAAAAAAGAGTTCTTCAAAAAAAATCTATCATTGCGAAAACTAGCAACTTTTGATAATTTTCGTATTTTCAGATAGAGTGGTTAGGTAATCGTCTTCAACCATGCAGGGTCAAGCTCGAACGGACGAGGAGTCCCTGAACAAGGGACGGATCCGTCTGCCAAAGATGTCGAAGGTCAAGAACAAGGCTCCAGCTCCGGTGCAGATCACGGCCGAACAGCTGCTCCGAGAAGCTAAGGAGCGAGAACTGGAACTTGCACCACCGCCGCCAAAGCAGAAGATCACTTCGCAGGAAGAACTCGATGACAACAAAATGCGAAGAAGAAAGGTCTTTGAAGACTCGATCAGAAAGAACCGGACCACGATGTCTAACTGGTTCAAATACGCAGCTTATGAAGGTAGATCTTACTTTGTCAGTTAGAATTTTCAACTTCTTCTTCGTAAGACAACATGAAGGAAATCGAACGAGCCAGGAGCATATACGAACGAGCAATCGACGTGGATCATCGATGCATTCAAGTCTGGCTCCGCTACGCCGAAATGGAAATGAGAAACAAGCAAGTGAACCACGCTAGAAACGTTTGGGACAGAGCAGTAACGCTCCTTCCCCGAGCCCAGCAGCTCTGGTACAAATATGCCTACATGGAGGAAGTTCTGCAGAATATCACTGCCTGCCGAGCCGTTTTTGAAAGATGGATGGAGTGGGAGCCAGATCCACAAGCTTGGCACAGTTACATCAACTTTGAATACAGATACAAGGTATTTTTCCCTCTTTTCTCTGCGAAAACAAGGATTTTTAGGAATATGATCGAGCCCGAGGCGTGTACGAGCGATTCATCCTCTGCCACCCGGATGTCAAGAACTGGATGAAATACGCCAAGTGGGAAGAACGACTTGGCGCGGTTGAACAAGCCCGTGGCGTATACGAAAGAGCCATTGAATTTTATGGGGATGAGTTTCTTTCTGAAGATTTGTTCATTGCTTTTGCGCGGTTCGAGGAGAGACAGAGAGAGTATGAACGATGCAGGTGCATTTTCAAATATGCTCTTGGTAAGAATTACTTTCCCTTTTTCGCAGATTTTATATGATTTTTCAGACAATTTGGCGAAAGACGCGCAAGAAGAAATCTTCAAATATTTCTCTGCCTTCGAGAAGCGATTCGGCAGCCGGCAAGGAATCGAAGACGTCGTCTGGAACAAGCGAAGAAAGAAGTACGAAGATCAGCTGACCAAAGACCCAGAAGATTACGACACGTGGTTTGACTACTTGAGAATGGTTGAGTCTGAAGGAGACTCTGATGTGATTCGGGATACGTACGAACGGGCGGTGGCGAATATTCCAGAGTCGCCGAACAAAAACGACTGGCGGAGATACATTTATTTATGGGTAACAAACCTTATGCCCGAGAAAAGGATTAAAGAAACGATTCAGATTATGTACGCGTTATTTGAAGAAACAGAAATGGGCGATATCGAGCGAACAAGAGAAGTTTGGAAAGCTTGCCTCGAGATTCTGCCCCATAAAAAGGTATGAATTGATTTTCAGGGATTCGGGATGGCAATTTTCTTAGTTCACATTTTCAAAAATTTGGCTTCATCTTGCGCACTTCGAAGTTCGCCAGAAAAATCTCATGGACGCCCGGCGCGTCTTAGGAGTCGCCATCGGAAAGTGCCCAAAAGACAAGCTCTTCCGCGAATACATCGAGCTTGAATTGCAACTTCGAGAATTTGATCGATGCAGAAAGCTTTACGAAAAATTCCTTGAATATGCACCGGCGAATTGCACCACATGGATTAAATTTGCTGAGCTGGAGACTATTCTCGGCGATCCTGATCGAGCACGGTAGAATTTAAAGTGCTGAAGCAGGAATTATCGATCTTTTCAGAGGAATCTTCGAACTTGCAATTACTCAGCCTCAGTTAGACATGCCAGAAGTTCTGTGGAAAACATACATTGACTTCGAAATCGACCTGGAAGAAATTGACAACGCACGAACGCTCTATCGACGACTTCTGGAAAGAACCTCGCATCCGAAAGTTTGGCTCGCTTTTGCCAAGTTCGAGCAAGATCAAAAGGATCCCGAAAGGTTGCTTTTTGCCAAAAAATCATTTCTCGATCTCAAATTTAGTGATTATCATCCGGCTAGAGATGTGTTCCGAGAAGCTTCAGATTCTCTTCGACAAGCTGGAGCCGAAAAGGTTGAAAGGCTTTTGGTTCTCGAGCAGTGGCTTGCATTTGAAAAGGCTGAAGATGATGAGGCCAACCTCAATTATGTCAAGGTTCGATATATATTAATATCAAATTTTTATTTGACTTGAAAATTCAGAGCCAAATGCCGAGAAGAGTTAAAAAACGACGCCAACTCACCACAGATACCGGTGCAGATGCTGGTTGGGAAGAATACTGGGACTATATTTTCCCGGAAGACGAGGTCAGTATTTCATTACCGTAGAGAATTTTCAATCTTTTTTAGGTTGCCAAGCCGAACATGAATCTGCTCAAAATGGCAAAAGAGTGGAAGAAAAAGAACGACTCCGATTCGGACTCAGATTCAGACTCAGACTAGTTTATTCCTCCTTGTTAGTCCCAAGTTTTACTGCCACACAATTTTCCTTGCGAAATTATAAAAAAAAGAAGACGAAAAGTTCAATAAACTCGTTCATTTCAGAAATCGGACTCTGAGTCGTTCCTTGTTAAAAATATGAATTGTTACTATTACCGGAAGTTTAAATTATAATGACAGAAATAAGAAATCGCCTTCCATCGGCACTCGTGTGTTCTTTGACTGGTGGATGGAGTCCAGGCGAGTCCCAGTCGCCGAAAGTGAACAAAGTAATCCATACCTACCTTTGGTTCCATTTCGCGGTCGTGCCGATTGTTTTCTCCGCCTTGCTTGGTCGAACAGAAAGTATTTGGATCATCACTGGAGTGTCTTTTTCAAGCGTCTTTATTTTCAAGTATCTGTGTTATCTCTTCAGCAGAGTTCTCAATGAATCTACTCCTCAAACTTTGGAGACATCTTCGGTTCCGCCGGTTTGGGTCGCTATTCATGACAAATTTATTGGATCAAAAAAGAGTAAAAGTAGAAGCACTGCGCTTTCCAAAAGACTTTACTCCCCTTCAAGACCGACTGGCAATTCAGGACGCTCGGGAACCACTCGTTCTCAGAATTCAGGCTCATTTGACAACATAACTTATGCCTCGTGGAATCTGGCAAATGAACCTACTGGCTCCGCGGCGACAACTGTTGATGGAACTTTGATTACCCAAACGGCTGGTCTTTGTTTGATTCGAGAAAATCCAGAGGTGGAAGGAGTGGCAGATCGACAATTTGAACGAAAGCCGAAAATTTCAAGACCAGGATCGGTCGATTACGGAATAAACAAAGAAACTCCAACAAAACGGAGATCTAAACGGTCGAAAATGGAGTCGCAATCTGAACCCGAAGATCATGAAAATGCCCGGGCCAATACAGAAATAGAGCCACTTTTGTTGAACCCAGAACAGGGTGAACCGTCAACCAGTACGAGTAAACCAGTGGACGGTGTTCCTATTGAAGCAAATACAAAAATCATCCATCGACAGCGACCAAGTCGAAAGTCCATTCGCCGCCATGTTCCCAAAGCTCAACAGAACCCTCAAAACACTCAAGTTGTTACATCAGCTAGCTGTACAATTAGAAAAGAAGCATCGGGCAGTGACCCAGAGCGTTTGTCTGTTTCAGACGCGAAACTACAAGCAGGTGAAATGCTTCCTAATTTATCGAACAGCAGGCCGTATAATGGAAGAAGGGGTCGATTAAATACACTAAAATCCGTGCTTTCGGAGAGCTCAGTTGTGGATGTAACGAACTACGACAACGAGAAGATCGATTCGCCCAAATCGGCTGAGGATATTTCGGAAGAAGTATGCAATATCCTCCGCGCAAAGAGAAAAGATCAAGAACAAAATCAGAGCGAGGCTGGAAGTAGTACACAAGAAGGGTTGTCGACGATCCAGAGAATTGACAATGGCAGCCCTTTTCCAGAGAAAGCTGATTCCCTTTCATCATCAACTGGTACGAACAAGAGACCGGACAGCCCCATCATTCCTATGGAACTGGCGACTACAATTGCAAATCAAGTAGCAATGAGCTCGCGTAATCAAATCGTAGGATCGCAAATGACACTTGATGGTCTTGATCAGAGAAGTAACAGATCATCCTCGCTGAGATCTCGGCGTACATTTGGGACTGGACCAGCAAGTAGAAGTGACACACCGACGCCATTTCAAGTCCAAGGTCTATTTAATTTTGGAAGAAATTCACAGCGATCAGCATCCGGCGCGCCTCCCCCGAATCTTGACCTTCCTGAAGGGTTTACGGAGTCCCCATCAAATCAAATGGCAACTTCTGAAATTATGCAAATGCTCAATCGAGCTGAGCGTGCTCAATTGACGTATTCGGCACTCGATCGACTTCCTATGACAACTGGAAGCGTCACTCAACGGGTTCTTCGCCGCCGCGAGCGCAAAATAAAGTATGATCAGAAAAAGTACTTTGTAAGAAAATTCGCACGCAAAAAATGGACGTACTATAAATTTAACCTCTTTGGAATTCCAGCGCTCCCAGTAAAGATATTCTATACAAAGCAGGACCTGTCAAATCTCTTGGATATTTCCACCTCCTTTTCAAATGTTCTTGTTTCGGCTATAACTTGTGGGTTGATTTCATTACTCGCATCGTACTTACTTACTCTTCAACGACCGATAGCGATTGCCAGATATCCCGAACAAAGCTTCATCTTCAGTAAGTGGATTCTTTACCTTGTGGCTGCTACTTGTCAGTACTCGACTATCAAGTCGCCCATTCCTGATGTAATGTCTCCTGGGCATGGATATGCGTTTTCTGTTGCATTTGCACGACCGATTTATTTCATTCTTTCATCGCTCTTGACAATAATGCTCGTCCTTGTTTCACATTCGCTCAAATTGGAAGGTGGAACGACTCTCTACGGATGTTTCTTCGTTGACATCAAATTCTTGGCTATTTGTATTGAAATATCGAAGCTGATGACGTATCTGATGCCCGTTTTATTCATGCTTGGGTTTTATGCGCGGTTGATCACATTCCTCAATTGGACGATGGAAAGTGTCGAGATAACTTTCTTCGGTGGAACCGGATCTTCAAGCTTGAAAGACTCAATAACAGTGCTCCTTCGATCAGTTGGCTGTGTCGTACCAGTTGTCGTTTTAAATTTCTTTTCGATGAAAAATAAAGGCGAGCTCGACAATCGAATATTCTCAATTTCTTCTGCACTTTGCCTTACTTTGGCATACGTGATCTCCCGAGCTTCGAATGGAAATCCGCACTATGATCTTTTAGCATTGAAACGAATATTTGGATTGAAAAAGAATGAAGATAAAATATCATCACTCGACAAGAAGATTGTTACATCAGCTCATCATCGCCTAGAGAGCTCGATACTTAACGGCTGCATCATCTTCATTATCGCATGTTTGCTCGGCATTGCTAATGTTTTCGATGAGCTAAAATCAATGAAGAAAGTTGTTCTTGGTCCATTGGAAATTTCAGTTTTTAATCTTGTAATTCTTGCGATCCTAAGCGTAACTGGCTTCTTATGCGATTACTTGCTGCCTCGCCTTCGATCACAGAATCCATGGATTATTTTCAAGCACCCTGTTTTACGAACTCCAGAATACAAAAAGTTCGAAGTCAATTCTGCTGCGGCAGTCATGTGGTTCGACAAGTTTCAATTCTTTATAACCATCCTTATAAAAAATCTCCTTCTGCCGATTGCTTTCATGAATGAGTTCTGGAGCGCGGCAGATTCTCCATATTTCGTAAACTGGTCAATCTTTGGAAAAAGTATTTTTCTTGCGATCATAAGCTTCAGTATTTCCCGTCGATTCTTCCGCGATTGCGAGTATCAATGGCTCATTCTCATGTGCTCATATCTCTTGGTGTTCGATCTTCAGAAGTATGACATCAAAGAACCTATTCTTGTTACATGGTTTTTGGGAAACATCGTCGCCTCAAAAGTGCTCGGTTTATATCGAAGATTATGTTTCATCTACGTACACATTATGCCGTGCGCATCTACTTGGGGAAGTGCCTTTCATGCAATTTCGCAGCCGATTTGCATGCCACACTCTGGCTGGATGTATCTTCAAGCTGTTATTTCCACGATCACTTCTGCTCCCATAAAACCTTTGGGCGGAGCGAGCGTCTTTCTAACCTCCTACGTCCGACCTTTGCGTTTTTGGGAAAAGACCTTTCAAACAAAAACTGCGGGCGATGAGCGTTTACAGTCGCAGCTTGAAACTCACAGACGAAGGAATGAAAATGCCCAGAGAAATTCGATTTTCTACGAGAATTTGGCGATATCGCTGCGAAATCAGCTCGCAGGAGATATTGCCCTTGGAAGATTTGGAAATGTAAAAGAGGGGGACGTATTCATCTTGGCGTCCAAATCCACAGCTACAAGCTTGAACGGTCTTCTTCAAATTGTTGAGCTTGGAAATGGTGTTGTATCTTTCCAACTGCGTGGCTTAGAGTTCAAAGGAACATATTGCCAACAACGCGAGGTCGAGGCGATTACAGAAGACGAACCACCAGCGACTCAGAATCATTTATGCTTCGCGAGGAGCATGTGCTGCCTACGTTCTCAAAAATGGGTCTACGGATTGAGCGCCTTTTTCAAGAATCTACTGATGACTTGGCGAGTCGTTCAGAAGAATTATGTTATGCCTGGATATTCAATTTGTGATTCTAGCACCGATTTTCTAGGGATGTATGACTACAGAAAACTTGTAAAGACATCTTTCACCAGATGCATCATTTATTTCGCGGCAAAGTACGAAAGACTTGACGAGCTATTGGATCCGAAAAATGAGTTGATAAAGACGCTGAATCGAGAAAATTACGATTCTGACTTCGAAGTCGTCACTTCTGTCGCATTTTCACACAACACTGATGTTGACTACGATCTGGCACAAGCAGGGGTCAGCAAAGTCCAGTTCTTGCTTCACTATTCCCACTGGGCAAACCACTGTTTCAGTATGACACACCCTGAAGAAACCGAATGTCCGACGAATTTTCTAACGTTGGTTTTTGCCCTGTCCATTGTCGGACGAAAAGCAATCTCAAATGCGTCACAAGCTGGCAATACTGCGGATGCGACAATATTCCTAAATGGGCTCTATCAAATGTTCCAGGGTAACATCATGCCGGATTTTTCGGATGAGTGGGTTTTCACTGACGACATGGCTTTATTGAATGAAATTGTTGCGCCTGCCTTACGACTGGCGATTAAATTACAGAGCGACGAGTTGCGAAAACTAACCGTTGGAGAGGCCAGCAGTGAGCTCACGTTTTCCAAGCTCTGGAAAGAGATTGAAACTGCAAGGAAGACGGTAATTTGTCACGAGAATGATCCAAAGTGGCGTGAAGCGGTTTTGAACAACGAACCAGAGTTATTTTCGTTTCGACACATTGTGACTGAAGATGAGAGCAGCGACTACAGATTGATGATGCTTGTGCGGCGCCAGTTGAGCTTCAAAATTATCAAAATCAACTCGGAAAGTGTTAGAGGAAATTGGGCGGCGCAGCAAGAGGAACTTGTATTTGTGAGAAATCAAAATCCTGAGAGGGGATCAATTCAAAACGCTAGGGCTATTTTGAGAAACATTATCAACTCGAGTTGTGATCAGGTAAAATACCAATGCAAAACCCTCGATTGATATCATTTTAGCCAATTGGATATCCTAGTTACGTATCTCCTATTTTAACATCTTACACATCAACACACGACGCTGTAAAAGAACTGGCTGGGGATGAAGTTTCCTTCACTGGAATTTACGAAGGAACTTTGCGCTTTATTGGGGACTGCTTGTTGAGTTGCATTTCGTGTAATTCCGGAATCGGGCTTCCTGAAAATGTTCCGCTCTCTTCCGTGATAAGGTTGAATTCGAGTCAATATAAATCAATAAGCTGTTATAAAAAATTCAGAACAAGTACGACAGAGCAAAACCAAGCTGCACAAACGTGGGTCGGCACCATCCCGTCTACTCCTGGCGAAAACGTCGCCCAAAATAACTTGGATGGTTCAGTTAGCTCACTTGACACCCTGTCGTCGCTCTCTGACCACGATCTCCATCGCACTGCCATAATTAATGACTCCAATCAAGGTAAAAAGAATCCATTTTGTCGACCAACAATTTTTAGTGTTATCAAATTTGGACGGCTTCCGTCGTGGCGGTCCTCAATTCGTTCACTGGGAAAAGACCGAGTGGAGAAATTGCGGTGGGGCTCGTTCGTGGGGCGATTGGCGCCCCAAAAATGGAATGAAAGGCGTCATCGTTTGGGGCTGGTACCCTTGCCATCGTTTACCTGCAAAGCGCTCTCATATTCATACTGCTATTTTGGTAATGAGCTCTCTTCCGAGCATCCATTCAATTAAGTACTACTTTTAGCTGCTGAAAATCGAGGAAAACTCGAAAACTCATTACGTTCCAATTCAAAAGCCGGGCATCATGTATGATTCAGATGACTCTTCAGCGGTCTCTTCAAACGCGGATTCTGGCGAGTCTGAGGACGAAAATTAATTAACTTCTGTCTCTCAGAATATTCTGTACATTCAAACCAAACTGTTTCTAAAAGAGGCAAATTTAGACTGAAGTCGAAGAGAAAATGGGACAGAGCCAGGGCAAAGGGCTGTACTCCCAAGTTGGGGCTCCAATGGACGACGAAATTGACCAGCCAGCTTCATTCGTCCAAGCAGTCAAGACACAGGGTCAGCAGCAAGTTTTAAGGTAAATAAAAGGTTCGATCAAATAAGGAAATTAATTGACTTTTTAGAGCAAAAGCTGCTCTGGGCCATGACCTGGATATTCCTTCAAATAGCAACGAAATCGACGGCAATACTTTTGTATTCGGCACTGACGGTGGCGATTCCTCCCATCGAGTAGTCCACGATTCCGATTTGGAAGTGAAACGATCGCTGAAAGACGAACTGGCGTGGAGAATATTCGTTGAGCAAGAAGCCTCAAAAGAGCGCAAGTTGATTTTGATTCGAATGAGCTTTGATCGGTGGCACTTACCTGATCAATTCTCTCAAGCAGGATTTCGATCGGGTGATATTCTTGAGTACGTTGTTCACGGCGAATTAAAATGGGCAATTTGGAATCGCGAAGAAATTCTTTTCTGGCAAAATGGAATAATCGAAAAACGCCCTCATAGAACATTTCCTCACTCTTGCCGGAAACTACCGATCATTATTCCGCCTAATGAAGATGGGCTTTCCCCTACTGATATTTATATAAATGCAACAAATGAAAACTCTGGGCTTGATTTTTCAAACAGGTTGTTAAGAAATAAGTGGGATTTTTGATAAATGATTGTTTCAGTCAAGCCTGGGCGGCTTGGTGTGTCACGAAAAATTCGAATTTCTCTGCAATTTCTTCTCAACAAAATTATTACCTAGGTACAAACTTAATCTCCTTCCTCAAAGCTAAAACTTGATTTCAAGAGCTACCAGATTTGGGAATTTCGGAGCGTTTCTCATCACTCGATTCTTTGATGTGCAAAAAAGTCGAGTACGAAACGATGGGATTCGACCAAGTTCAGAAACATTTTGGTGTGAAGCAAAATCTACGTGGCATTGTTCGTTGCGTCCAGTAAAAGTATCAGTTGAAGTGGATTTTTATCTGCGAAGTACGAAAAATATGATTTCTGTAAATTTCTCTTTGTTTTTATTTAATTTTTAACCCGTCAACTGTCGCCAACTTTCTCCGTGTGTTCCTTTATATTAAAATCCTCCTGATTCCTATAACTACCTTTACCACTTCTATACCCAAAACAAACTTAACTATTCAACCCTTCATTGTGCGCTACTTGACAGAGCTTAATCTTCAAAATAAATTGACCTTTACTATTTCAAATCTGGCGTCTTTGGATTAGCGCCTAGACAAGCAAAGTGCCAATTTTGACTAAGTAAGAAAAAAATAATGTTTGACGGAAAAGATTACCAGCTTTTTGATGAAACTCTTGAATGTATTCGAAAGTTTAATCTTCAGATATCCGGTACCTTTTTCGAATTTCGAGGCGATTCTAAAGTAGTATTTGATAGATTCTGATGATGAGTACGACATGGACGGAGATGATGTCCATGCCAAGGTCGAGGACACTTTTCGGCGAGTTAAAATTGACGAAGTTGTTGCAAAAATTATGGGCGTTTTGAGTTCAAGAAAAACTCATTCGCCCGAGGATTTCCAAGATGCAGTGAAATACTTCTCCTTCGTGGTTGATTTCTACCACGATTATGCTCCGACAATGAAGGACATCGACAACTTTGCTATGATGCTCGTCAAAAAGTACGACTTCAACGTGACTGTACTGAAAGCGTGCTTTTTGGACTTCCTCGTCGACGGGAAAAAGGACGAGCATGGTTTCCCCATGATCGCAGATAATGTGGAGACGAATTCAATTTGTTCACTTTTGGACTCTGTTTACAAGCTGATGGACTGTATGAATGAAAAGTTCACAATCAATTTGGTTGAAACTGACATTCTCGACTCATTAATGAAAGTCATGGCTCTTCCAAGAAGTAAAAACTGTTCGAAGATTTTAAATTTATGATTTTTAGCGGACCCGAAAAATATCGACCAAGACCCTCCGATTCTAAAGTTTCTCGGCTCAACTTTGGGAATTATTTACATGGCCATAAACTGCTCTTGGGAGCGATCGCAGAAAATACTCTCCGATCAAGTCTTTCAGTTCGCAGTTTGGAAGATGATGGATTACAAGAATGAATGCCGCAAGGGACGAGGCTAATTACTATATTCGAAGATAGTAGCTTCAAAGGCAAGAATAAACAAGCCGACTTGCTTGGCAAATATTATTGTGTTACATAAAAAAGTGTCCAAACATTTGAGAGAAAGAATACGTAATAGCCGGGATAAAGGACGACTTGATTAAGCTCCGATCTTCATGTATCGTCGCACTTTTGCTCGATGAAGAAGCAAAAATGAAGATTTTCGAAGAGACGACCAAAATGTTCATAACGAGAATGGAGGAGTTCGAGAAGATGACCAAAGAGCAACAAAATGACGCGCTCAAGGAATTGGTTCATAAACTTCAAAAACGAAAGTATTTTGCTCATAAACGAAGAGCTGAATGAATCTCGTGAATACGCTGACGATATATTTATTTTTTATTCTCACAGCAGTGTTTTGTGAAACCATGTAACAGGACGCTGCTAGAAATTTCGTGAATGAAGAGAGAAAAAATGCTGAGGACCTGACTTATTACACAAAAGGACTGGATATTGAGTCGATGAACTTAGACGGAGTCAACATCTAAACAGCTTTTCCCGAATGTTGAATTATTAAACTCAATTTCTGTTTGCTTTTTTGACTGAATTTGGTATTCGATGTCTGTTTAATTATAAACTTCAGATAACGATGAAATTGGAACCATGAAATTTACACTGTCGCTATTACCGTACAGTGTACTGCCCTCGGACCTAACATGCGACCCGAATTACTCCTTCTTCTGTGAAAAACCATCTCCGAGCATCAGCAGTTATGAAAACGCTTGCCTCCAGTATCTAGTCGCTTGCGATGGCGAGCGCGACTGCCAAACTGTTGATGACGAGACCCATTGTGATCTCAAAGATCCAAAAGATAGAGAAGAAGGTGAATCGAAAGCTCAAATCTGTAGCTCGCCGGAAGTCAGTTATCTTTGGACGCAGTGTAAATCAACGCCGACAGTTTGCATACCTAAGTATGAGCGCCGATGCAAATGAGATTCTAAAAGATATTCAGATCTTCTCTTTGTGACGGGATAAATGACTGCGATGACGGTTCGGACGAGGCGTCTTGCAACTCAGACTGTTCTTCATCTTGCGACGATAGTGCTACATGTCAAGCTATATTTAATGGAACTGAACCAATCTGTAAATGTGACGAAGCAAAAAGTATAAATCTGCTCAAGGAGTTCGACCCCGAAGCTCCTGCCTGTATAGAAAAAGAAGAAACAGTGCAATATGAAATCGAATCCTTCGTTTACATCGATAAAGACACATTTTATGAAGAGGATCAAGACGGAAAACGCTTGTACACTTCAATATTCAGCGATGAGCACACGCGAGCACCAACATTCGACGACAACTCCTCCCTGTTTTGCTTCATCAGACTATCAAATAGTGATCTTATGTGTTTTTTGAGAACCCCGGATGGTGATTATCGCTGGGATAAATTGCAATTTAATAATTTCCAGGAATATTTTAATATCAACGAGATTCACGTAAGTTTCCTTCTTGTTTTCTGGAGTGAAAGTGATTATAGAAACTTTCCCTCCACACAAATCTTCAACAAATTTACTTTACTGGGCCTCAAACTTGGCTCTGTCAACTTAATTTCGACGATCCAGATGAGTCACCAAAATGTGTATTCCTGAGTGACAGAAGCGAAGTTGAAGTTGGACTGGATCCACTTCGTAACTTGCGTTTCATCATCGATCACCCACTTATCGGAGCTCTTGAACATTCGCGCACCATTTTGACCAATACTTTCTTCGACATTGCCGCGCTTGACCTTGATGGCGAAACAAAAAGACGGCTGTTTATGCTCTCTCATTTGAAGGATGACAAATCTTACGCCATCCACCAGATCACTGTCTCATACGAGCAGAGAAAAATCTTCGTCCCTTATTTTGCTGCTGGGCAAAAGTTGCATGTGCTTGTCCACGATTACAACGGCCAATTGCTCGATGACGTTGACATATCCCAGTTCGAAAAGGAAGAGCACGGGAAGATACAAAGTCTCTTGCAAGTTCTTCCCGACATGTCTTTTGTTGTTAATGATGATAGAAATATTTACACCATTCAAATCGACGAGGAAACTCAGCAGCCAACAATAAAAACATATGATTCTCTAAGTATCTCATCCGAAGTGAAAATCGTGATAAAACGCGAAGATGTTACTCTTCCAGAAAAATGTCCCGAAAAAGATGGGGCCCTTGCTCTTAGATCTGGAGACGGTAAATGCCAATATCTTTGCTACTCATCGACTTTGCGGGGCGGTTCTGAAATAGAATGTGATTTATCGCAAAAGAAGCATTCTGACGATCTCTTTTTCATGGCAAATGTTGGAAATCATCATTCGTCATCGATTTCATTTTACGATTTTGAAGAAGAAGAGTACCAGATACACGCAGGCCTTGTAGATGATTCTCATCCACTCGATGGGCTTCTTGTCAAAACAGCAGACGATGATGTCATTGCAATTTTATCTGGACATGTTCGCGCTGAAATCATGTACCGTTCCCTCGAGTTGCCATCAAGAGTCAAGACTTTGACATACTTACCTGTTAAATCACCCTCCGCAATGGCTTTGGATCCAGCTCGACAAACAATCTTCTTTTTCGCCGATGGTCGAATCTACGCCTCCTCAATTCACAAATTGAAAGATCAGGACGATGACGACTTGAATTACATTCCTATCACATCATCAATGAGGCGGTTGGGCGACCCAGTTTCGATGGCGGTTGACTCTGAAAATGGTCGAATTTTCCTTCTTTACATAAAAGACCTGTCTGGCCACCACACCACCTTCCGATCGAAGCAAGATCTTCGTGATCAAAAATATCTGGCGGTTATAATCTATGTTGATCTAAAAGACAGTAAATGGAGTCCTCCTCAAACGAGATTCATGCCAGAAATCGTGCCAGACATAGTTGTGTGCGCAAACAAGCTTTTTTCGATCGAAAATAGAAAACTTTGCGCTCACGAGCTTGGCATTGACTCTGCTCTAGTCACCTTCTTTGGCCGTGATTGCGTCGACATCGTCGACAGTGAAGAAATCTTCGTTGAAGATAAATTGATGCGAATGAGCTGTCACAAAAATACAGAGCTCTTTTTATCATCAAATAACAAAATCTACAAATTAGAGCTCGATGGGAGTACATCCCTTGTTCGATCAGTTCCTTCTGCGAGAGATCTTGTCCTGTTCGACGCTATCCAGAGCATTGATCCAGCTCCACGTGCGTGTGCAGATGCTCAAGTTGAATACTTCGACGGACAGAAAACTATTTGCAAATGTTATATCGGCTACACGATGAACGAAAATTACCAGTGCAAAAAGAATTCAAATCCAAAAGCGAGCCTCGTCGACTTTTGCTTCTCAAGTCAGTTCTATTGCCACAATCACAAGTGCATCGATAAAAATTATCGCTGTGACGGGAATGAAAATTGTGGCGATTATTCCGACGAGCTCGACTGCAAGAAAGATACATGTAGCGATGATGAGTTCAAATGTGACTCTGGAAAATGTATTTCTAAATCGGCTCAGCAAGTAAGACTAAAGTACGACAATTACCAAGGCGCACTTTGTGATGGAGTCAGGGACTGTCCGGGAGGTGAAGACGAGCTTGAAGAAAATTGTAATTTGCGGCCGGAAATCACATGTGGAGTCGACTACTTACATCATCTTTGCGCTGATAAACGCCAGTGTATCAACTCCTGGGACGTTTGTAATGGAGAGAAGAACTGTTTCGACGGATCTGACGAGGAGAATTGCGAGTCTGATGAAGAAAAAGACAAAAATGCCCTGAAGGATTCTCTAAATGTAATATAAGCGGCATTGCAGCTGAAAGTCGCGTTTTGTGCGTTAGAGACGATGAAGAAGACAAAACAAGAGCGTGTGAAATGAAGGCAGATACCGACCCCGCTCTTCTGGTCTTTCAAACTCCTTCACGAATATTTACATTGTTTGGAAAAAGCCTTGATGTTGTTGAGACTGTTCCACAGGGTACCATCGAACTTGCTTACGCCGCTCTCTTGAATACCAACCTTTTGCCATTGGTACTTGTTCATGAATCGAGCCTCCTGAACAACTCGTTCCCGATTGTTCATATCGGTCGAGTTCCACTTACTTGGGGCACACCAGAATTTAGCATGAAGCTTGTTTCAAGAAGCACAAAAATGAGACAGTTCCGTTTCAGTGAAGCTTTTAACACGAACTACTACCGTACGACGAATCCCGAAGCAATTTGGAATGAAGCGTCAGAAGAAATCTCCAAAAATCCGAGTCTCATATTTATGGCGAGGGGAAATCAGAAGATCATTCAAATGCAGCTTGTTAATTGCATAGACACGATTTTTGCTCTCATTCGGGAGACCAATGACGACAAAGACAATTATTTCATCATCAAACTGCCTGGGTATCACTTCACCACTGATGATGGATATAAAATTGAAATCCCTGATGGAAGAGTTCACAGCTTTGCGGTTACTGAAAATCGTCTCTGTATTGTGATGGATAAATCTGTTCAGTGCAAAGAGCATGATGATAAAAAGTGGCGAAAATTAACCGACATCACTGGTGATACTGTCATCCAGGCTTCGAATGGAATTGATTTGTTTTTCGTCCTAGAGCGTAAAGACTCCCAAACTATTACGATGAGAAAGTTTTCCGGAAGTTTACCCGAAAAAGGAGGACCGAGTGAGATCAAATTCGCTGGCGATCTACTCAACATTGACATAACTGTTCCGCATACCGAATGCAACGTAGATTTCTGCGAGGTTGATACGACTAAGAGTATCGCTACGTCCGTCATTGGGCCACACAATGGTGGCTGCGAACATATCTGCGAGAAGCCGCAAGATGGAAGCATGGGACATCATTGCAAATGTCAAAAAGGATACGCATTGGCAAAAGATGCAAAAACCTGTTTTAGGCACCAACTTGGCGATACAAGCATCGATTTCCCGATGAATCCGTCATGCCCAGCAAATGGTCGATTGGAAAAAGTTGACGATAACGATCATGTTTGGCTCTGCCCAGATATGAATCAGTGCATTGACCTGGAATCACGATGTGATGGAACTGACGATTGTGAACGCGGCGCAGACGAGTCGTTTTGTGATAGTTGGCATCAAGAAGGTGCTTCTGCAGTGGATGAAACGAGTGAGAACTCGCACGAAGCTGCTCATATCCACTGCCCAGTCGGTTTTTATCGCTGTCAGAATGGTCAGTGTGTTAAAGAGTCAAAGATCCTTTTTGTTGATGGCGATGATGACTCATCTCATGGTTGTTACGACGGATCACATATCATCAAACGACGCGATGTCGACGACGAATATTACTGCACAATGACCGGCACATGTGACGGAGTTCAATCCGATCAGCCACTTCCAGATCCACAGCCTTCAGTTAGAACCCCGAGAAAAACAGCAGATCAAACATTTAGCAATTGTGCCCCCGATGAGTGGAAATGCCCGTCTAGTGGCGAATGCATCAAAGACTTTCAGAAATGCGATGGCATTCCGGATTGCGAAGAGATGGAAGATGAAGAAGACTGTGAACACTGCAACGGTGTCTTCTCTTGCTTTGCCAGCAATTGGAATGACAAGAAATGCGTTCCAAATGAAAAGATTTGCGATGGAGAGAAAGACTGCTTGGATGGTAATGACGAGGTAAACTGCGATGATGCTTTACCGAAAATTGACTGTAGCGCCGGCGAATACCTCAATCTCGCAACTCAAAAGTGTGTTAAAACCGATGATGAACACTGCTCTGTTGGTCATCTTCCTTGCTCCCAAAAATGCGTGCCGACAGAAGGTAAAGCACCAGTCTGCAAATGTGTGGACGGTTACGCGTCTGATGAGAACGGAATCTGTCGAGTAACTCATGAGTTCGCTTCTGAAACTTACAAACCACAAATAATCTTCGGCAACCAGAAAAACTTCGCCAGATTAAATTTTGAAGAGCAAAAAGCAGAATTATTCGCCACGAAACAGTCCAATGTTGTCGCATTTGATTACAACTATAGGTTGAGTGAATTCTACTGGGCCTCTGTTGACGGAAGCCAAAAAGGTACTACTCATATTAGAGCGATTAGAGCAGACTCGATCCACGATATTTCAAATCTCAATGAAAACTTGTTCACAGAGAATGTTAAATCCTACGGTCTTCGAGAGCGTGCTCAAATCGATGCTCTTTCTGTAGATTGGATTACTGGGAATATCTATTTTGGCGATAAAATTAACGGAAAGCTCTTCGTTATGACTGGAGAAATGGACGGTCCACGATTTACGAAAACTCTTATGGACGAGAATACTCCTGGAGTTGGAGATAAACTCAAGCACATAAGAGCCGTTGCACTTTATCAGCCGAAGGGTGTCCTTTTCTATTCCGACTGGGGAACTTACAGTCACATTGGCCGAGTGAATATGGATGGAACTGATGCAAAAATTCTCTTAGATAACACAATGCAAGGAGCTCCTCCAGTTTCTTGGCCAAATGACATCATTATTGACATCACTGCTAGTTCAGAGGATTTCAGCGGCAATTGGTCATCCTCGCCCATGATCTACTTCGTTGATGCTCGGGAGGATTATATTGCGAGAACAAATTTCGATTTCACCGAGTTCCAGTATGTTTTCAAGCCTGTTACAGATGATAGCACTCATATATTTTCAATCGCACTCTTCGAGGAGTATATTTATATATCGGAATGGAAGAACAACAAAAGAGCATCTACCGCATCCATAAAAATTGTGATGCAAGCTTGGAATGTGAGGCAGAAAATCTTCTCGCAAAATCACTTGATCAAAAGCCAATGTCAATCGTTGTTATTGATAAAGCTTTACAACCATCTCTGGACTCTGGAAATCCATGCGAAAATAAATGCGATCCAAACGAACTCTGTCTCCTCAAGCCAGGAAACGGAATGAGACCGGATGCTGTCTGCACTTGTGGAGATGGATACAGAAGGGACTCCTCGACCGGAAAATGCGTTGATGACTGCGGCTCATTTACGAAAATGAATAGTGACACTGGCAACTGCGAGGAAGTTTGGAAACAAACAAAGGAACAAGGTAACCATTGCGACAGAGGATTTTTAACCTGCGGAGGGCTTTCGAATGATCAGTTGGAAGAAGCCGAACGAACACGGGATTCGAAATACTGTATTGCTCCAATTTCTCTCTGCGATGGAGTTCCAGACTGTGCAGATGGTTCTGATGAGAAGGAGTGCGGAAATTTTGACTGCTCTGTTCCAGGGATCTAAATTTTTGCCGAAAATCAATTGCGATTGCGATGCGATTGCGACGCAAAATACTCCGGAAATTGCGATGCGATTGCGATTTTTGTCGCAAATTGCGAATTTTTCGCGAATTGCGATTTTGTCGCTATTTGCGAAATTTTAGCGAAAAAAGTAACTTTTCATAGAATTAAGAAAATTTTTTGAGGTCAGGCTTTCAATGAAGCCTTAAGAACACAGAACATAGGCTCTGAGTCAAAGAAAACTGATGTCAGAATAACAAGGGAGCACTTTGACAAGACCGAAATTCGCAAAAAAATCGCAATTTGCGAATTATTAGCGAAAACTGAGTTGCGATTGCGATGCGATTGCGATTAGATCAAAAAAGTTTTTGGATTGCGAATTTTCTGCGAAATTTCGCATCGCAATCGCAAAATATTCGCAAATTGCGATTTTCGCGAAAAAATTTAGATCCCTGCTCTGTTCTTCCGGGAACTCGTCGAAAATGCTCGCCTTCAGGATCAGGTTTATTTTACTCATTGAACTTTTTGAGCAATTTATAAGGAAACGAGCGCTGTGTGGAACAGAGTAAATTCTGCGATGGAACTATCGACTGTCCAAATAAAGAAGACGAAACTCATAGCGCCTGCAAGTGTCCTAGTGGAATGTATCAGTGCAAAACAATCGTCCGACGTTACGGCTACACTCCTCGCATGAGCGACTGCCTTCCACAGAAAGCTCTTTGTGATGGAACTGCGCACTGTATTCGTAGAGACGATGAATATAAATGTCCTCCTCCTCATTGCAGAGCAGACCAATACTATTGCGTTCGGTATTCAGAATCTTCGAGAAATTGACTCTAGATTATTTTTAAGGTCATTGAAATGCATCAGTCAGAGTCAGAAATGTGATGGAATCATCAATTGTGGCTATGGCGAGGATGAATCCGACTGTAAACAACTCGACTGCGACGTTCCTGATGCTTTTCATTGCCACAAATCAGGCAAAAACGTTTGCGCCCGGCAAGCATGGGTTTGTGATGGTCGAAATGATTGTCCAAATAACGAAGACGAAGATGACGCTTTATGTGGTAATCCAAGTTATTCGCATCCTTGCGAAACTGGGCTTTACTGCAACAACCAATGCGTTCTATCGCATCAAATTTGTGATGGCGAGAATCATTGCCCAGATGGAGCCGACGAGGAAAACTGTGGTTGTAGCCCTGAAGAATTTTCCTGCGATGCTGATGCTGGGCCACAGTGCATCGGTATTTAAAAAATATAAGTAAGGGAACTTTGATTTTACTTTAGATCGAAGTCAAGTCTGTGATGGCAAAAACGACTGTCACATCAACCCAGTAACACAAATAGCCGCGGACGAGCGTTTCTGTGATCATGACAATGAATGCAAAGGATTCTTGTGCAAGACTCGTGCAGATGGCTCCGCTCAATGTATTGGTGATCAAACGACTGGAAATCTCGAGTGCGACGGAAATGCGGACTGCCAAGGTGCCACCTTGTTGTTTTAATACTTACCTGATTTATTTTCCTAGACGGCTCTGACGAAGCCCAGTGCAGCTCGCTCGCGAACATCACCAATTGTTACGATGATGAATTGAACTTGCTTGACAACGTCTTCCGCTGTAGTAGCGGAGGATGCATCTCTTCCGAATTTCTTTGCGACGGAAAAGACGACTGTGCTGATGGTTCAGATGAGACTTATTATTGTGCAATGAATCAAGCGACTTGTGACACGGATAAAGATGCCTGTGCGGAAATTTTTAACCATCTTTCTATAATTGGACTCTGCTCGTCTCAAAATCCCTGTCAGCAGTCTTGCTTTTCAGTTTACAGTGATCTAGTACGCTTTATTATATTTATTTTGTAATAACAATAACCAGGGGTTTGCAAAAGTGGAAGAGCGCGGGAAGAATATGCGCTCGGGCGCCCCGCCTTCTTCCCCGCCGCAGAAGAAGGTGCGATATTCTTCCGGGGCGAGAAGAAAAAGGGTTGGCGCGGGGTGAGCGGTGTATTCGAGCTCTCGTACGCCCAGCCCTCTTTCAATTCAACCCCGGTGAGTGAGCGCGCCTCGGCCCACTTTATTTTCAGTTGGATGTCATGCAAATATAAGGACTTTTTTGGATGGTTCGATTTCTTTAAAGTGGTTCTTTCATGAAATGGTTTGATTTGCACAAATTCTACTTTGAGCCCGAATTAGAGCTGAAGTCACGGGTGGTCTTGTGGTACTTGCGCCCGTTGTTGTAGACCACCGTAGAGGCAGTGCCACAGGAGGCAAATTTGACGAAAGTGCCACAAGAGCAGCCTACTGTAGGAAATCTGTCACAAATAACGGCGGGTGATCCTAACAAAAAAGTTCCCGGTAGTGGTAAGCTAACCGTTTGCTAAGAATTAGCCGAGTCATAGTCAAGGATTACTTCCAAAACAAACGAAATACTAGGGCTTACCACCAAGCGACCTTATCGGCTATAAATTGCCACTTACTCAGAATTTCACAATTGTGAAAATCATTTGATTTTTGCATTTTGAAATCAGCGGAAAAAATACATCTAGATTGAAAGTTTCAAGAAAATTGAGTACAATTTGTTTTCCCGTGAGAATCCCTAATCAATGATTAGTAATCATACCATTCAAATTTTAATTTTACGAAAAGAGCCATTTCCTTAGAGCTTCTTAGATATCGAACCATCAAAAAAAACTCTTAGTTATTTGCATGATTTCCAGTTAAGGAAGTCTAACACAATTTGGTACGCGCGGCCCGCCCCTGAACGCGGTGTAAAAAATCTTCTTCCGCCGCGAGAAGAAGGCGGGAAGAAGTTTTTCTTCCCCTTTTTTAAAGAATTTCGCGCCTTCTTCCGCGGCGGAGAAGAAAGCGCGGCGCCCGCGCGCATTTTCTTCCCGCGTTCTTCCACTTTTTCAAACCCCTGACAATAACTAGAACGGCGAAAAATCAGTTAAATGCGGCTGCCACACCGGCTACGATTCGATTCTCCAGTATTCGGCTAGCATGGAGCCACTGGATCCGCCCCGACTCTGCCGCGGAAAAGACGGAGATGCTGGATTCGAGATTCTTGTATTTTCTGAAACAGAAATGAATGTGGTCATGGTCAATCCTGAGCGACTGGAAAATCACGACCAAGTAACGGTGCACGAAGTTTTCAACGAAGTTGCATACTTGGGAGGAGTACTTCCATTCTCGTTGCCAGATGATGTTGTACCCTTACGTCATGTGGCTACAGATTTGAAAAGAACGAACTCAATCCTTATTGGGAAAAAGATGAAAATTTCCCGAGGTCTGTGGAACTTACCGGCCCGAACAGATGCAGATCGGCGGGGTGAATTCCAAGAACTGATAAAGGTAAAAAAATATATGCGATGTCATTATCATGCCATATTTTCAGGACTATTACGATAAGCCCCTTTTCTGGGCGGATGTCGACGTCTCTGATCGTTCCCACATTCTGACTGACACGACTTCCTTTACCTACCTTCATGAAGTCGATATCTTGAGTGTTTCTACTTTCAAAGATGGCTCTCGCCGATTCGAAACGCTCGATACAGAGACCGGTTATATTAAATTCTCCAATAATGCACTGGCAAAGATCAATCCATCTCTGAAAGCCATCCATGTTGTCATGCAGGATACGGGCGTCCGAGAGAACGAAGTCGGTGTTTGTAGAAACGAAATTGTCGTTTTTGAAGATCAGTTTGGCCAAGCTGTTTTCTACGTTAACAATATTCCCTTTATTACCAGAAAGGAATTCGCGAATTCGAAACAAGCCACTCAAGGTTCGTAAAATAACAAGAAGAAAGTTACACTTTACATTTTATCTAGCTCTAACAAATGTTACATCTCTGGTACAAGATTCCTATTCTTGTAAAATCTACTGGGCTTCTGGATCTACGATTTGGCAAGCACTTTGTGATGTTACTGCTGGACATGTTAAACCGACAAAACTGGCTTCTCTTAAATTCTGGACATATAAGTACGCAGGGAAACACACTTCTATGGCGTACTATCATGATGATATCGAGAATCCAGTCATAAAGATGAGCATTTTTGAGGTGATTTTAATTTATAAACATTTGTTTTTATTTTAACCTATTCAGAATTTACTTTACGTTGCACTCTCCGATAAATCTGGCAACTCTGCCGTCCGCATGTTAACTGTACATACTCGAACTGGAGAAGTACGCCCACTAACAAATCTTCCAGCATCTAAAATCGTCGGAATTACACTTGCCCCTTGGGCGACAAAAGGTCTGTGTTCTTTTTTTATTTCCTTCTTTAATTTTGCTTAGATGTTCGAATAGCCGGTCAATTTAAAGAAGAGCCACTGGAAGACGTGCCATCAATTTGCGAGGATGGAGTTGTCTGCTCAGACCATAGTAGTGCCTCTCCGATGACTTTGAGGTAGAATTTTATTTATCTCCAGCTATCTAATCAGTTATCAGCTGTGGAGAAAACGAGGAAGTTTGGACTTCCGAGATTTGCGATGGGCTCATTGCTCAAGATGAAACTCCAGAAATTCATAAAGGAATGAGCTGGGCGTCGGTCTCAATCGCGATCGTAATAATTGCCGCCGGATTAGGCCTCGTTTACCTCAAACGGGTCAGAGAAAACCGATACAAGCAGCTTCCACAGCTTGTTCTTGGGGGAGACACAGTCACTACTACTTTCAACGATGCTTGGAGCGCAGGCGAAGATAGTAGACCGGTAAGTTTAGGTTAATCTTTAATTTTATGTAATTTTCTCGAAGGTTGAAAATCACAATCCCCTCTTCCACGAGTTCAACAACAAGGGCGAACCAAAATCTTCAACCGAACGAGCTGGCCTCATCGAAAACGAAGTAACGGATCCGAACAGAGATTAATAACCTCACCTTAAAATTCCATTGATAAGCTTCTTCTTTTGGAGGGTCTTTTGGCTGGTTCAAGAGCCTTTCTTTCACACAAATCAAAGTACCTGTATCATAAAAGAACCCTGGTTTTATAAACGCTTCAAAGTCGCAAAGCTTTCTATCTTCTAGTACTTCATGTGCCTTTACTTGATTTCCAAACGTCTGCCACTGACCTATTTCAACTTTCTTTCAAATTGATTTTGTTTCTTGTTAAATCAACTTTAAAAAAATAACGCAATAACAGCTGTGAAGTACACTTTTCAGCTGATCACTACGCTTTCAATCGTAACATGTGTTAAAAACGGATATATTTTCCAATCAAAGTAGCTCAATAAATGGTGCTTTAATCTGCACAGCTTAATTAACAAAATTACTTAGTATCTTAATGCCGAAAATGGCATAAAGATGGAAGTTCTGAGTTTCTTTGCAGGGCAGAGAGCAAGAAAATCTATGAAATGCAGGCCGAGTCTATTTTTTCAAGCTGGGGGTGATGTAATGAAGATTGCGGTTGTAAGCGAAAAAACACAGGAGTTCAATCTGGTAATCCCGACGACTTGATGTATTTCTGTCGCATTTAACTCGTGGATCCGCGCGGTCAGAACACCTGGTGAATAGTGGATTAGTTCAAGTCGGTTATAAAACCGGAATGCCGCCTCACCGACGTGCTCAAACATAAACTCAATCTCCTAAATACAAGCAACACATTTCAGTTTTTGAACATTTAAGTTTTTTTTTCAAGAATATTTTTTAAAAGTGAAAACATGAGAGCTCTTCACAAGCTGCTTGCTTTGGCGAAGATTTCTGAAGGCGTCTTCACGATAAATATGGCGCTTTGCAGTGATAAGGGTAGAGACCCGCCTATAGGAATGTTTTTGAATGAATTTACGATAAAAGGGATGCATTTTTTGGCACAAAAACGATTGAAAAATATTAATTCATAAACAAAATCAAGTTTTTGAAGCGTCGGGGGCAAGAAAATCCCTCTTTTTGACACTAGATGACGGAGAAGAGCAGATGATTGACCTGAAATATTACCAAGGGAAGAAAGTTCAAGAGATGTCTGGCGAACTCGAAGGTGATTTGGACAATGCGGAGAAGATTTCCTTCAGATATGCGGCTAAAGATATAATGTGCATTGAACAACTTGAGCTGGTTTCCGCCTCGGGAATGAGCATAAGCATAATTCAAGACTATGATCCGTACGCATGGGATGTGTCTAAAGGAAATCAAGATTGGCAGTCCGCCACGGGTGCGAAAATCTCTTACTGGTCTGACGACTGCTCACCAGATGATCGTCCTCTCACCCAAACTGCGCCCTTCACCCAAAGTTGCCACGACAGTATCTCATTCTCTTTGCTTGAAGTTGATGAGTGCGCAGAAGGTACCATAAATTAACATATTGATAAGAATATTTCTAAAGGAACGCACGCTTGTGATTTGAACGCTTTCTGCACAGATACCCCGACATCTTACATTTGCACCTGCAATGATGGCTTTGTCGGGGCTGGATTGAACCTCCAAACTTCCCACATGGATGCTTCTTTCCCTAGCGCTTTGTCTAGAAGTGAGATCGAGCGAATCACTTCGTGTGTTCCAATATCCACGACAACTACAACAACTGTTTCTACGACAACGACGACCACGACGACAACGACGACAACCTCAACAACAGCAGCAACAACGACGACGATTGATTTAACGGGAGTAAAATGTAGCATAGAGGGGGTAGAAGACTCTGTCTTGAAATGGCTTGAGCCTTGGCCTAAGCGAACAAATTGTCAGTATCCAACTTGCGAAGCAGAGATAAGTATAGTTGATGCATGGAAAAGAAAGAAAACGAACAAGAACGGCGTAGTAAGGACAGATTACGGCTGGGCGGCTCTCGTTTCTATTCCTCCTCAGCATTATGACGATGACGGATTTTCCGTTATGATAAGAATGCCTAAGGATACAGAAAGGGGTAGTTTTCAAGTTTGGAATGCGAAATTTTGGAATTTCTATAACGGGCCTAACGGGGAGTTCAATATACTTTTACATTCAAAGCACTGGAATAATGATCGTATGGATCCTTATTCGTTTCTTATCATCGGCGAACGAGTTTCTCATCCAGAAATGCGTAAGAGTTCGGTTTACCTGAATTGAAATGACCTTGAATTCAGCCTCGGTACTTTTTTGGAATAATCGACAGAAGCGACACACATGTTTTGATCGGTCCATGCACCAGAAACTCAACAGCGAAGAAAATATAACAGTAATATTACTGCTTTAGAGATCCTTTTAACAAGTCTTTAGGCGTTTATGGAAAAATCCGGTCGCACCTTGGACTCATCGGAAGACGTCGTAAAGATTGTAATAAACAAGTCCCAGCTAAGACGAGTGAAAACCTAAGCTACCTAAATCACGCTATAAAAATTTTACTGTACATAGTTTCTTGCAATAAACTCAACCTTTTTACAAGCTTTGAACCTCAAATCATGAGCAATTGACAGCCCTGGCTGGATTATCTCCCGCCCCTAAGAGAGTGTGAAAAAGAGACATGCACTGCCGTATAAGTACTGATTGACACGTCAGTTGGCTTTAGTTTAGTTTGGATTATATTCACTAGCTGAGGTAAGAAAAGAGATTGTCTATCAAGTAAAATCTAAGTTATCTTTTCCAAGACTCAATAAAAATGGCACCAAAGAAGGGAAAGAAGAAGGCAGGAACCTCGAACGTCTTCTCCCAGTTCGAGCAGTCCCAGATCCAGGAGTTCAAGGAAGCCTTCGGCATGATCGATGCTAACCGAGACGGATTCATCGATAAGGAGGATCTCCGATCCACCTACGCTTCCCTCGGTGTCATGTCCATCGAGAACTCCAAGCTCGACGAGATGATGGCTGAAGCTCCAGCTGCCATCAACTTCACTGTCTTCCTCTCCATGCTCGCTGACAAGCTCCACGGAACCGACTCCGAGGATGTCATTTGCAACGCCTTCAAACTTTTCGATCCCGAGGGCAAGGGCACTATCCCCAAGGACTACCTCGCCGAAGTCCTCACCACTCAGGCTGACCGATTCAACGAGGAAGAGCTCAAGTCCATGATGGACGCTGCCAAGATCGATGAATCCGGCAACTTCGATTACAAGGTAACCTTTTTTAGTTCCTGCCTATCTTGAAACGATATTTTAAGAACCTCGCCTACATCATGACCCACGGTGACGACGAGGAAGGTGATGAAGAAGAAGAAGGCGAAGAAGAAGAGTAAATCTTTGAGAAAACGCAACAGCTCAACTTTTTCTGTCTCGCCAAGTTCTCTGTTCTGTTCAAAAAGTATCCATGGTTGGGAGATTTTTTATTCTTTTGGCCATCTTTTAACTTTCTTTTCTGCATGAGAATGACCATTGTTTGTAACTGTACCACGTGATGAGCAAGATGTTCCCCATGCAGGTGAATAAAACAGCGCCTAGTTACAGAAATTTGTGTTATTATTATTATTATGACGAGTTCGAAGATGAAATAATTCTATTAAAACAGTATTTTCGTGAATATTTATTAACTAAGAAAGTTTCTAAATAATAAATGATAGATGAGCAATTACATGTGGTAAATCATTTATCACATGCTTGTTATGACAAATGTTTGTCCTTTACTTAAAAAAGAAAAGAGGAAATAAAAGCAGTGTTGAAAGTTCGTAGGTCAGAGTTCCAGAAGCTTTCATTTCTACCACGGCTGAAACTTCCTCGCTCGCAACGTTTTCTACAAATTGGTAAGATTTATTTAAAAAAATAAAAATACCTGAAGATCCATTATTTCTTATGACAGGGTAATCGCTGACGCAAGCTGGACCAGGAGTACATCCAAGAGTACCGAAGTTTTGGCAACCACTAACCTTACAGTCAAGGACGCCTGTCTGGAGAAAGTTGGATTCCTTTAAGAAAACATTTGTCCTATTGAAAGTAATAGCTCTCTAACCTCGAATATTTTTGGTCGGAACCAAGTGAGCGCGTCTCCTGGCGTGTCAATGGATTCTACTCTGAATTCTTCAGCGTATGCAGGATTTATGCATCCGTCAATAATTATTTCGGGCATAAAGAGGTTGCTTGTCACGTCGTTTGCATCATGAAAAAATAAGTCGCATTTTCGGTAAAATGGCATATATTTTTCAGGGGCTAAATCGTGTATTTAATTTAATTGGTGATCTCGAATAAATACCATTAACTACGTCTAAATTGAATTGAAAGATTCGATTATCGTTCTCCTCGAGCTCGATGATGTCGTTCGTTGTGACAGGGGTACCTAATAAATTTACTAGCGTGGAATTTCAAGGTTGGCGGATATCCTTACCTTCGAAAAAAACCTTCAAGTCGAACTCAAGCTCAGCTTTATACTCTCCAGTGCCACTAGGTCGTTCCCAGGCCATGCTAGAAAATGCTTCCTGAACATCACCAGAAGTTTTGATTTTGCACTCGAATTCCCAGCTATATCCTCGATATTTCAAGTATGAAGCATTGTATGACTATGTTTGTTCTGATTATTATATAAAGAGCTATTCTACTAACAGTTTGGTCGTAGAAATCATCGAATCCGATTCCGAAGGTCCACACTGTGTAAAAGTCTCCGCCTTCTTGAATGGGTGTCTGTGATTCTTTAAACACGCCACAGTCGTCAAAAGAAATTGGTCCTTCATTAAAGCGATTAAATGGGCATTTGCATTCTCCGACATCCCCGTAAATACCGGTTATGATCTTATATGAATTTATAAAAAAAGAAGGGTCAAAAAGCTTACATTTTCCTTCGCTAATTCTTTGACTTTTTGAGAAGTGTCGCGATCAATGAAGCAGAGTTCCCGATTGTCCTATTTTGATTAGTGAAACAGTGAATAAGGAGTACTTACAGGCAGAATCGTAGGTCTCCCTTTTGGAAATCCGGTTGAGTCTCTCAAGCTCAACGTAAAATCTCCATTTACAGTGCAGTCAAAGCTTTTGAAGATACCGTCAAAGGGGGGAATTGGAATAGGTAGAGATGGAGGGGGTATTGGATCAACTGGGAAATCGGAACAAGGAATGCAAACACTATCGTTCTCTTTAGAGGCTCCACAAGGGCAGCTGTCTTTAAGTCTACATCCGTATTCAGTATAGCAGTCAGGCGTTGTGAAGCATAGATGAGTGGTTGTGTCGCAACTATTACCGTCAGCAGCTTCTCCGGCTGAAAAAATATTTTTTAAAGAACTATGCTAATAATTACAGCAATTTAAATTCAGTGGGGGTTTGAGATATTCTTCCGTGCAGTTCACGATTTCGCCTTGCGAAAGGCCCAAGAGGACCGAGGCAAGCACTTTCATCGGTTGTCAGGTTTATCGAAAAGTGAAAAACGAAAATTCTGGGAGCTTTGGAATCCTTGCTGTCGATTTTATACCCGCTGTCACCAAGGAAAAATGATTGAGGTTGTCACGCAAATAATGCAAGTAATCATGAAAATGAGAAGATAGGAATATAGGAAACAAGGAAGAGAAAACGCCTTCAATGCATCGTGGTCGGAAACCGATGCGCTTTTTGTGTTTCCTCCATTCATTTTCACAGCGAAAAAGATGTTATTATGAAATAAGATTATGTACGCTGTGGGCTCTAAAGCGTAGAGTTCATCTCACTCGTTTTGTAGGAATATTTGAAGCGTTCTAGTGGCTTTTTGATTTTTACCGATGAGGTGATCATTGATTGAAATGATTTGATTGAAATAATTTATTTGAAAGATAGAATCAAAGTTGAGTAGAGTGGAAATATATTTTAAGTAAAATCAGTTTGACAGGAAAAATAATTTCTGAAAAACCAATTCTCAGCGATACTCTGCTCAAGTCTCGCAAGATTGCTTCCATGAGGATGTCTTCGTTCGGCATAAATATTCGGCTGACTTTTTATGCACTCTTCTTGCCCATGATATACCGTGACAAAATCACAAAAAGCTATTCGCAACTTTCCTATCGAGTCTAGGAAAAATTCTCTGTGGCCTCGTTGGGAGAAATTGGGATCCATTCGAATCGACCCGGCGGTAGAAGTTCTCCCGATAAAGAAGTTTTTCACAATGTCGTTTACGATGCAGTTCTCTAAAACGAAGTTTGTAATAAGAAAAAATATTTTCTTCATTTTTTACCTTCAAAGCCAGGTAAATTCGTGAGAATTTGATGCTTATCTCGTTTGTAGCAGTTGCCTTCTGCAGAATACTGAATGCTGATCTTGTCATATGAGTTCCAATCAGCTCCTTTTTTATCTCCTTTGTTGACAACGAGACCTCCAACAATATCAAACTGCGATTCCTCAGCCACTTCCACGAATTTCTCGAGCTATTGAAAATGTTGAAGAATTTAATTGACATCAAAACTACCTTTGTATCTTCAGTAAAAATGAAATCATCGTCCACCCAGATGAAATAAGGCGTTCTGACTTGACTGATGACAAGAGCTCTTCCAGCGAAAAACCCTTCTTCTTCAGGCATAAGATAATATTTGACCCCCGGAAATTCATCAGTTTTTATTTCTGATTTTGGAGAATCGTCTGCTACGATAATCGTCACTTTCGGATAGAATTCGCGGATCGAAGAAATAAGCGTCTTTAGGCATGATGGTCGTAGTCCAGTTTTAGTAACGATGGTCACCATTTCGGATATTTCATCCGACCTTCTTAGCTGTAATATCGGGAGTTCCCTGCGTCGAATCGTTACGGGAAAAGCAACCCTTTCTTCTTTCCCTGACGAATAATGAGTTAGCTTGAAGTGAACGATATCAGTTAACGGCCTGGCATCATAAATTTTCGGGATGTACTGCACATCTTTCAGAATCTCATTCAAATCTTCAGTCAATGCCCACTCGTTGAGAACAAGCAAGTATTCATCCTTGGTCCGGATCATATTGACGTTTTCTTTTGAAATAAGGAAGTAGCCATAAGTTGCAGTGAATTCAAATTTAAAATGTTCATTCTCGTCGGCAACGACTTTCAAATATGGGTTGAATTGCTCTTCCGGGCTGATATCATAACCATAACTTCCCAACGATCAACTCATGCTTTCTCATAATTTTTATTTTTTGGTTTTTGACCGCTTCCTGACGTACTCAATCGACGATTGAGCTTTAGAGAGAATCAAAGGTGGCGAGTTTTGAGAATGAAATTTTGATTTTTTGAAGTTTTCAATGTCCTTTTCTCGGAAATTTGATAGTTCTTCATAATTTGGAACAGTCCATTTGTCATAATTTATCGTTTTTGAAGGCTTTGGTGCTGATTTGCAGCTGCAGAAATCGGGAAGAGGCGAAGACGGGAACGAAGTTGCACGATTTGGGCTCCAGGAAAATAACTTTCGGAGCTCTCGATTTCGTTTCTCAATGAGTAATAAACCTAAAGCATCTTAAACTCGTCCTTGTTATCAATAGGCTTTGAAATCAATAAGTTTTTCTTGTCAATAAAGATCTTAGATCCTCTTTCTCGTCCACTTGTTCCAAAAATTTCCTTCATATCTTCCTTTGTAGTTCTCTTTCCATTGAAAAGTTCTTCTTCGGTATCTGCAGATTTTGATATTTGGAGATGAATACCTATGAGTAGGGATGGCATACAAAAAATTATATCGCGATTGCGACGTCGCCTTGGAAAACCGAGGGCACCATCTTGTAGAGCAGAAAATTCTGATTCAGATAGGACCCAAAAAAGGATTTTCGTAAATAGGTACCTGGATTTTTAGGCACTTTTCTGTAACTCCTCTAAAGGATGCAAAAATTAATTTTTTCGTGGAAAGTAGTGTATTTTCATGCAAAAATCCATTTCTGCAAAAAATTTGTGATCTTTGAATTTAAGGGGCTTGCCGGCCCTTCGGGCCGTCTCAGCCCCATTTTGTGATTTTTGAATTTAAGGGGCTTGCCGGCCCTTCGGGCCATCTCAGCCCAATTTTGTGATCTTTGAATTTAAGGGGCTTGCCGGCCCTTCGGGCCGTCTCAGCCCCATTTTTTGATTTTTGAATTTAAGGGACTTGCCGGCCTTTCGGGCCGTCTAAGCCCCATTTTTTGATTTTTGAATTTAAGGGGCTTGCCGGCCTTTCGGGCCGTCTCAGCCCCATTTTTTTGATTTTTGAATTTAAGGGGCTTGCCGGCCCTTCGGGCCGTCTCAGCCCAATTTTTTAATTTTTGAATTTAAGGGGCTTGCCGGCCTTTCGGGCCGTCTCAGCCCCATTTTGTGATTTTTGAATTTAAGGGGCTTGCCTCGTGTAGAGAGATTTTTTTCATAACTTCAATCGCTGAAAATCTTCGAGCGAAAAAAAATCGCTAAAAAGACCGAGCGTTCATGAATTCGATGATTTGCTTGAAGGCCCGGGTCTCCATTTTGCTCGTTTGATTGTTCGACGTTTGCGAGCTCTGGGCCTGTTTCTCCTTATCGCGACGGATGTGCTCTCCAATATTAACTGCGGATTGCAGCGGCTTCTCACGCAGAAAAAAATGATCGCCCAGAAGTGACTCGGATCTTGAAAATCTCACCGCTCTGTTGAATGAGGCCCTTTTCTCCAGCTGATCAGGCCTGATGCTAAGATCAGATGAGGAGTGTTTTAATGAATCGCGCATTGTTATAGTTTCGAGAGCAAGTGAGCTCCCCGACCGGAGAAACTGTCGCTGCACTGTCGTGGTTCTCGGTTCGAGTTGATACAGAGTAATAAATAAAGTACTAAGACGCCGGTTTTATCATACTTCTTTATTTCAATTTAATAGATCTTTCGTACAGTCTATGACTTATAATACTAAGATAAAAATGGCCAAGAGTTTGTAATTTTTCAATGTATCTTCTTGGGAAATTGCAGCTAAATTTAAACAGGCCGTGTTTTACATGTAAAAGTGCACAAGTAGCAAGTAAGAGCCAGCTGAATTCTATCCGAGATTCTGTTGCCCTTCTCTGCTTGTGATGAATTCGTTGTCGGGGTCGAACGGATCGAATACGTCTCTGTAGGCAGCATCGTCGTCAACTCCATCGACGTCCAAATCAGCACCGACGCGGTAGCCAGCCATGAAACCTGAATTTATGAGTTAGAATTTATTGTCGAAATAAAAAACAAGGCTTCAATCAAAAAGACTTACCAGCAAATCCAACTGCTAAAATAACGAGAGCTGCAATGAAGCCAACAACAATTTTGCAGCAAATCATTCGCTTGAGATTGTCTTTTTGGCTTTTTATTTGATTTAAATTGTAAAATATTTGATTTATTAATTATGTGTTAAATATATATCGAATTTAGATAAAAGCCATTCCAAGACATCGTAATTGGAAGCATTTTTTCTCTTTCTCTCTCTTTCCCTTCGAGAAAAGGGTTATTCAACCCTTCCTCAAGACTCATGATAGCAAAATTCGAATTCAGTAGCTTTTAAATCGCGTTTTGAAAGACTGAATCGAAGAAAAACCGGCAAAAGGGGACCTGGAATCATTTTTCCCTTTCATCCCTTTTCCGCGAATCAGGAGCTTCCGTAGGAACAACCCACTTTTTAGAATTCAAATAAAATGTATGATCATTATTAACAAATGAATTGAAATACAGTGCTGATAAGGATTTGATAGCAATGAAAAGTGTTTCCAGCGGTGAAATTGGCAAGCGGGCGAACAGCGCCGCCACGCGGCTGCCGCGCTGTTACGTAACCGCCGCGTCACTGATTTTTGTTTTCCTCTCTCGACAGTTTTTAGCTTTTTTCTCGGTTTTTTCTTCTTACGCGGTTAAATTTTTTTGCAGAAATGGATTTTTCGCATAAAAATACACTACTTTCCACGAAAAAAAATTAATTTTTGCATCCTTTAGAGGAGTTACAGAAAAGTGCCTAAAAATCCAGGTACCTATTTACGAAAATCCTTTTTTGGGTCCTATCAGAATCAGAATTTTCTGCTCTACAAGATGGTACCCTTGGTTTTCCCAGGCGACCTCGCAATCGCGATTTAATTTTTGTATGCCATCCCTACCTATGAGTATTCCAATGCAAAAAAACCAAGCGTTTACGAATAATTCTCTTCTTAGCATTCTCATTAAAAAATCAAATTTTGAATATTTCAAAAAGTTCTAGGAAGGGCAAAACAGGATCCCGTATGTGGGGCCATAAAGTTTTACGACGTCAATATTTTTCTGAAAATCTTTTTCTGAATAGGTTCTAGTTCTCCACTTTTATCGCCGATTTATTAGACCACTCGTCCAATTATCAAATTTTACAATTTCCGAAATTGTCGTACTTTGACAGAACCCAAGTTCGAACTATTGCGCCTGATCCCGAGGAAGGCCGGGCCGCCTGCGCTTGCAAAGGTCCACTGCTAGTACTATGATGGTAATATCTGCCATAGTAAGTTTTATTCCTTTATTATATCAAATAAATATAATAAGCATCAATTTTCGGTGTAGCTGTTCTTCTTTTTGTGGCATGAAGACCATAAATTATGGTTGACGAGTTCTCAAACTTTTATGAGGTTTGCAGGCTAGCGCAGATAAAATATGAAAATTCGTTGGAAAGCAATTTTGTTTATTTTTTTCTTATGTTTACTGTAAGTGAATTTTGAAGAAAATTGCCTTCTGAACAAGTTTTGTTTTAGGCCTGTAGTTGCATTTATACTTATGAATATATTTAATACGATGAAAGAACAAGAAAACGACAAGTTCCAGCGGACACAATTTTTGGGACTGAAAGAACCAGCGAAAACTGAAATTCTGAAAATATTGATAGACGAACAAGGTATAAAGAGACACTATGAACATTTATCGACACTTGATCTTTCTATACCAGTCTTTGAATCGACCATATTTCTTGAACCAACAAGGAAAGACGAAGCGATTAAAAAGTGCATCGAAATGAACGGCACCCTTCCTTGGACCAAGTTTTCCATCGTTGACGTCACCAAAATTCTGAAATACCGAAAGTCAACCTTTTGGCTCTCAACTGACGTGAATGGGATTATGAACAATACTGAAATACCGCTTGATTTTAGAAGAGAAGTGGCCGCAGATATCAAAAGACCGTCACCCGTCTCTTTGGAGAACCATCATGAATGCGTTTATGTTTATTCTATAGACGAAAACCGAAATTTTAACAATCAAGTAAATTACACTTGTTTTAAAATAATCAAAATCATTCTTAGTTTGTGTGTAAAAATAACGTTTTTGACGACAAAGGACGAGTCATCATTCACAACGATAAATCCATATCTTGTGAAATTTTGAAGTTCAACTCGTCTTTTCTTCACAAGCACAAGCTATGGAAACTTGAAGCGAATGAGAAAGATTATGTCACAAAAAATCATCTTAATCAAAGCATATTTTTTACACACGGGAAACTCATCGATGATGATGCCACAGATTTCCACCCTGAGGAACGTGGCTTTCAGCAGAGTTGCAAAAATTGATACCACGGTTGTTCTTATCATCAGCATTAAAAAAAGACTTGAGTTAAATTTTTGCAACTCTATGAAAAGTGGTGCCAGGACCAACCGTCTTTTATTACTGGAATTTCTTACTTCCTTTTTGGTGACAAATTTTTAACATCAAAAAGATACTCTTTGTGAGTCTTCAAAGCTGAAAATATTTTTTATGTTGAGTTAAGATTCAGTGTTATGTGCCTTCACGAACGCAAAAGTTTAGCTGACTCCGATCAAACTGAAAATCAAGTCGTTACGAAAGACGAGACTGAAGAAAGTTCTATTAATAAAACTGCAAATTAAATTTTCCAAAACTAACGCGATCTATTTTTGTTCTGGACATTGTTCATCTCACGGGTGATTGCTTACGATATCTGTAACATTGCAATTTAAAATAAAAGCCAGTCCGTTCCTGATCTTAAAAATATAAGATGAAGCGTTGTTGTAAGGGCGTTGTCTTGTTTTTCGTCATGTTTTGCCTGATGTAAGTATAAATTGTTACTATTTCTTCCATAGTTTTAGACCTGGTCTAACATACACTATTCTATCGATGTTAAAAGAGACCACTCTTCAAAACGACAAGCACTTGACAACTTCATTTGTAAAACGAAAAGGATCGAGAGAGTATGAACGTTTAGAAATAAAAATAAACCAGCAAGGTAAACCAGACTGACCCTTTAGGTGGTAGTTTGCTGATGATCTGAATTTTAGTCTATAATGCCACAATTTTTCGCGATCTGGCAAGTTATACTGAAGCAAAACAAAAATGCGATGAAATCAATGCTACACTTCCTTGGTCGAAATTATCCGTCGTTGACGTGACCAAGATCCTAAAATATGAACACTACGGGTTTTGGTTATCTGTCGACATCGAGAACATAAGTAATGAAACTCTTCTGCCAGAAGACTTTAGACAACAACTGCTGGCAAATATGAGCAGAGACGATCCCGTGTCTTTGATCAACACCGGATGTGTCATTTCAATAAGCGAAACGACTTTCTATCTTAACTCTCAGGTTTATTCTTACTACTAATAATGTGAATTTCATCGTTCAATTTAGTTTGTTTGCAAAAGTAAGGTATTTGACGAATTGGGTCGAGTGATTGTGCATAACGATGTGCAAATCTCCTGCGAAATCTTGGATCTAAATTCTACTTTCATACAAGCTTATAAACTATGGGACTTTGACTTCCGAGAAAAGACATACACAGTGAAAAATCATATCGACAATGAAATATTTGTCATAAATCACAAATTTGTCAACGATGATGCGAAAACATTCAACCCCGAGAAGCATGGTTTCCAGTGGTGTGAAAATCAGCCTTCATTTATAAATGGGATCTTTTACAGTTATTTTTTCGATGAATTTAGAGCTGCACAAAGTTATTACAGGTCTGTATTTTGCTTATAAAAAGAACGCAACATTTTTAGGCTCCATGTTCTCTGTCTACATAAAACCGAAAAATGGAATGATAATGAAAATCAAGCTGAAAATCAAACTTTCCATGACTGAAATAAAGTTTCGAATAGGAATTCAACTGAAAATTTGTAGGAGGCAAATGAATAATTGTTTAACTGGGAGAGCATACGGCAGAAATAAAAAACGTCAAAGCAAATTCCGCCAGTGGTTACCTCAAACAGAGCTTCCGCAATCGTCTTTCATATTTTTCTTTTCACAAAGTCAAATTCAGAGCTCATCTTAAAAATCCAGAGTTTTTGAAAGGCATGGAAGCTTGGGGTTTAGCAGCGCCGGAACCTTCGCCTGCACCGGGATCAATCGCCAGGCAAGAGAGTATCATCGAGGAAACAGTAAGCTTTTTATCATAAAATCAAAGCTATAAGCAACTTTTGTTAGCCAGACAAGAAGTTCCAAGATGATATAAGGAAGGCAAAGGTGCTATCGATGGCCGAAGCGCACAAAAGAGCGCAACAAGGGGAAGTCCCAAAATCTCCTGCGACTTCCACCCCTCCAGCTGCATTAGCATCAAATCAGCAGCAACATCCTCTCGCTGCTGCGAATTCTTACCAGCAACCTGCTCCTGGATATCCCCCTGCACCATATCAGCAACAGCATGCTCAGCCGGCCCCTCCAGCTCATCAACCATACCCGCAGCCGCCTCCTCCGGTACAATATGCCCAACCAGTGCCCCATCAACCCTACCCGAATCAATCGATCCAACAACCTCCTGCTCAAAACTTTCACCAACCTTATCCAGCCCAACCGACACCACCACAACCCCAAGCTTCTCAAGGGTATGGTTATTCTCTATCCCGGATATCCGCAACCAGCTCAGTCTTATCCTCCACCTCCAGCTGGGTATCCACAAGCTCAACCATATCCACAGGCTCAGCCATATCCGCAAGCTCAGCCGTATCCTCAGCCGGCTCCACCAGCTCCATATGGATATCCTCCACAACAACCAAGATAATTATTTTGAATGAACTGGTAAACTGTCTTTCAATCGAGTGAATTCAATAAATATATTTTTTCATCATCATCAAAAATTACAAAAATAGCAAACAAGACTCAGCTCTTGAATAAATAAACGATCGTCCAAAAATTTTTCGCAATTATGAGAAATATTTCAAAATGCACGAAGGAGTAAGAGAATTGATTTCTGGGAGTATTGGAGGAGTCGTTTCGACTATCGCTGGCCATCCATTAGTTACTGGATTACACTGATTTTGAGTTTTTCTTATAATCTTTTGTAATCCATTAAAAGATACCGTAAAAACTCGGGTACAAGCATTCCCACATCTCTATAAAAACAGCATTGACTGCTGCTTACAAATAATAAAAAATGAAGGACTTCGAGCACTCGGAAAAGGTCTACTACCGCCTGTTTTGGCTCAAGCTGGAATGAACTCCGTTTTGTTTGCCTCAGAAGGGACTGTTAGAAGGTCGCTTGAGGTAAATTCACTCTTTGCTTCATGAAACTAAGCAATTTTAGCCACTCAATCTTAACGAATCTGCAGAAAAGTTCATCGCCGGGGCTGCTTCCGGATTCACTATATCAATTGTTGAGACTCCTTTTGAGCTTGTTAAAACTCAGATGCAACAATCTGGAATCGGCAGTAGGGAGAAACAGCCATCAACTTTTTCCAAGGTCCTTGAAATGAGAAGAAAAGTGGGACTACGGAGGCTGTATACTGGATTCGGTGCTGTCTTGATAAGGAATATCCCGAGTTATGGCGTCTTTTTCTTAGTTTATTTTCATGCTAACAAGTTATTCAAGGTTTTTTCGAATATCTGAATAGCTCATCAATATTTATTCAAGGAAAATGGTTTCGGCTCACTGAGCGAACTCATGGCAGGAGCTCTAACAGGATTAGTTTCTTGGACTGTCTGCTTCCCTGCCGATGTCGTGAAAACACGAATTCAATCTGATCCTCTCGGTGCGCGAAGATTTCCGACGTGGTATGGATATGTCAGCGACATTTACAGAAACGAAGGGTTGAAGATTTTCACGAGAGGGCTTGCACCATGCGTGATTCGATCCGTTCCTGTCACTGGGGTTTTATTTTACGTCCAGGTAATATTTAACAGAAAAGCACTTTGTAAACATTTATTTCAGAATTACACAGATAAAGTGCTACAAAAAGATATCTTCAATGGACGATGCTTTGAATGAATTCTGTTCAAAAAAGATTTTGCCGACGAATTATCGCTCTTGAGTATTTTCAAGTGCATTCTGTTTTGTTGCTGCTTTCGGTTAAAATTAAAACGAAAAAGAACAATGAGAACAGTATATTTATTGCTTTTTGAAAGTCTGAATATATTTTGCGAAGCAAGAAGGCCGAAAAATGCAGGAGCTTTATATACGCATTCGAAGAATGTAAATATTATACCAGATGGAAAGGAGCTTTCAAAGGCTATAAAAAACTCAGGTAAGAGGAAAAGTCAGATTGAAAAAAAGTCTATTTGAAGATGTCGCGCATTTGGTACAGTTTCATGCGATAACATGTGGTCATTGTCACGAGTTTGCCCCAGTTTACGAATCTTTTGCCAAAAGCATAGAAAATTGGAGTTGCATGATAAAAGTCTCTGGTTTTGAGTGTACTGGGCAAAACTACGGCGTTTGTCATCGCGATCCATTTTGGATAGGCGGTTATCCAAATTTTCGTATCTTTGGAGCATACGATACTACGCGGAAAAACGGCGGAAAGGCAGTCAAGTACGAGAATGAATCTAAAGCTGGATTGACGAAAGAAGCAATTGACTTTCTGATGGAAAATCCGCCAAGTAGATGGATTTTCAGCTCACCGAAGCCGGAGTTAAATTTCGTTAGTCCTAGGGACTTTGCGAAGATATTCATTCATTATGTTGATACAGGTGATTTTATCCATTTGAGAAATCGATCAACGTATTCAATTTAGATGTCAACTTTGTATTATTTGTGGAGGACGAGAAGGATCGAGAGTATGATCCCTATCTAACAAGGAAGGACTTCAAAACATAGCAATAGAATTCAAATCCGGGATTTCAAGTCCATCTTTAGGTCTGTTATGCTTGATCTTGGTTGTAAAAATGGTATCATCTTTCGCCGTGTTCGCTCAAGAGACGCACAAGAATGCGAGTTTCTCTCACAGCTCATCAATAAACGCGACGCTAAGCGGCAGGTCGACCCTACCATTTCTCCATTCACATGGGTCGAAATGTTTGTTTGGCGGAGAAATCTTCTGCAAAATGTCTTTCCGGATTTTGCTGCGCGCTCGTTTTTCACATATGATTTGGAAAATTTACCTGGAGTGGAGGGGCACAGCGACGACGGAGACGTCCACAACGAATTTCATCCCGTGTTTGAATCAGGTAAAGTGAGCATATTCCTTCTTATTTTTAATGTTTTCCCGAAGAAATCGGAGAAACAGCGGAAATGGACCTGTCGGCAATCGATAGAAAGAAAATCTACCTATCCGATCTGGAATCAACAATAATTCTCATGTTCCAGGACGAGTTTTGCGCGGTGGAAGAAATCAACGGTACAAGATTGGAGTTAGCGCAGGATTTCGCGTTGCTGTTTCAAGAAATTTTGCCCTTTGATTCACATTTGAGGGACAAAATGTCTAATCTATCAATATGGATCGAGGAAAAAGAAGGGATCGGCTTTAGTGAATGGGATGAAAAGTTGCGTGACCTATCGACACAGCCAGAAATTTGGATGGCTTGTGCTGGCTCTTCGCCTCAATTTCGAGGACTTCCATGTGGGAATGGGATTTTATAATTTGCGACTCAATTTTGAATCTTTGCTAAAATCCCAAAAAGGCTTTGGACAACATTTCACTACATGCTTGCCAATTCTCACGAGACAGATGATGTCAAAAAAGTTCCAAAACTTATCTACGACTATGTGACGACAATTTTCTCCTGCAGAGACTGTGGCAAACACTTTCAAGCTGAGGAGAGACGATTTCCCATTGAACAAATTGGCTCTTTAGATGACGCTGTTCTCTGGCTCTGGAAGATACATAATATCGTCAACGAAAGATTAAAAGGTGCACCGGCTGAAGATCCTGAATTCCCGAAAAGACAATTTCCTGAACAATGGCTTTGCCAAGAGTGCAGTGAAGTGCACGGAAAGACGAAACGACTAGTCTTTGACGATGAGAAAGTAACTGCATTTTTAAAGAAGTATTACTCAAAAGAAAATTTATCACGGGAGATAATTGAGCCTCAGAAAACGACTTTGTCTCCAGAAGAAAGGGCGAGAATGAATATCTTATTTTCGCATCACAAAGATCTTTAGCTTGAAAGAATGATATAAATAAATCTACGAAGAAAAATAAAGTCTCTATGTTAAAATTTATTTACATGGAATACGAATATGAAGAGTAGTCGAATGGTAAACTCGGGTCAACAAAAGTATCATAAACAGGAGGTAAAGGGAGAGCAGGATTAACAAATCCAGTTGACATAGCTTCATGATCAAGAACGTGTTCGATGAGAGTGTCACGGGTTGAAAAGGCCAGAGAGGCGCAGATGAAACATTGAAGCTGGCTCGGATCTCCTTTTTCGTGGAGAAGGAGATGAGTTTTCAGCCCGCAAGGTCGAGCAAAGGAGCTTTTACAGTCTGGGACGATGCAGGGATGACGGGAGCTTCTCGGTCGGATTTTTCGCTCGAAGCGTGCAGTTATGCAGTCTTTGCAGGGACAATACTTTGACTTCTTGTTTCGGACTTGCTGGACTTTGACTCGCTTCTTTCTCGGTTTCGCATTTATTGATGGCATTGGTTGAGGCGGAGAACTCAAAGAAGCAGGAGAAGACGTGACGGAATTACAAATGTAGTCTGGTGAATAAATGGAGGCTGATGGACTGACTGAAATGTCGGGGGAAGAGCAGAGAAGAACCATGACTTGGGGCACTGGAGTAACGGGAGGAGGATAATATGACTGGGAAGGATTCGGAGTGGGCATTGAATTTGAAAGCTGATGTCCGGCAGTTGTTAGATCAGGATAGTAGCAATTAGAGCCATCTGTACTCAGTAGACTGGCGATAGTCTCAAGGTCAGCAAGAATATTAAATGTTGCAATATCTTCGAACATTGGTTGTTTTTTATTTTTCTATTTCCTGGAAATCCTCGGCTACTTTTATTTCCTGGAAAAGCTGGCGCTAATGATTCTGCAGCTGTCCTCCAGACAGACCGGATTCATGAATTGATCAAAGAGAATTTGATGAGCTCCAGCTGAACGTAATTGGGTTCTCAAAGACTGTCAGATTCTATCATTTCTTAATTTCCGGATGAAAGTCTCAGAAAAAGATTATTTCTTGGAATTCTCAAGATTTTCTAGAGCCTCGCTATTGACGCGTCGTTGACGACGTTCTTTCTCAGATTTGAGGATGGCTTCGTTTTTCGTCGACTGGCCGAAATACCTTGATTTTGGCGTAGGTATCGGGTGTCTTATTAAAACAATCTTTAATCAGGATCTAACGATAATTTATTTTTTTTAAACCCCCGAAAAGTCGACTCAACGATCACTGAGTGCAAGGACTATTTTGGCAACCTGACTGACTACGGTGTTTTCCAACTTTCGTCGAATCTATCGGCCGAAGCACTTGAAGGCCCGGAGTGCATCAATTTCTCCATTTTCAACGAGTCCAAGCTAGTTTTAGGGTATGTTTATACCGCGATTGGCATTTCTGACTGACTGATTCTAAATTTTTGAATCAAATAACTAGTCAACCAATTAAAATTTGACTCTAGTGTCTCTTCTTTGAGAGTTCCGTCAAACCAGTGACGCCTACGCAATCTACGTTACAAATCTCCTATGTTTTTAGCATGGAGAATTGTAACGTCAATGTGCATCTTTCAAAAATCAGTCAGTCAGGACTGCCAATCGCGGTATTATTCTTAACCCTATCTCGAGCGCGAGCGCATCTTCATGCGCTCGTGGTCTAGAAGATTTTTTTGCAAATCTAACCAATGATAATGGATTATTCTTGCCTCAGACGCGCATGTTGGTGTTTTCTAGGTCTCGGAGACGTAGCTAAACCCAGAAAATTAGCCATTTCGAGAGAAATTGCCTCTATTTGGCATTTTGCAAAAAATCTTCTAGACCACGAGCGCATGAAGATGCGCTCGCGCTCGAGATAGGCAAATTTTAAGCGCTCGAGACAGGGTTAAGAACATTCTATAGATTCTTTAGATGTTTTATCGGTTTTCTGGGTCTCTTGGCCGTTTTCTGGCTCATCTTTGGTCATCTCTTGGACAAAGTTAAAATTCAAACAGAACGACAAGTCGATGACCTTTCTACTGGAGAGTTCTATGGGCTTTCTGGCATCCAGATGAAGTTTTCAATCAACCAAATGAGCGAAAACACAATATTCGATCTGTATCTTCTATTTGAAGGCGATAACGGGGAAAAGAAAGCAATCATCTACCGAGACGCGAATAAAAAAATGGCCAAGAATAATGCTTTGACTTTGTCTATCGATGAAGATTTTGCCAACAACGTCGAAAATGTTAGCATTTGTCTTTACTCGCGAGACTCAAAAGAAGATTATTACGGCTTCATTTCCTCAATGCAGATCTTCAACGACGGCACCAAAATTGGAACATGGAAAGGAAGCCGCTCGCTCTTCGGTAACTCATCGACAAATTTTATCAAAATAAAATTAATTAAGCTCTTCAACCCTCAATAATCAACTTGTCAAAGAAGCAAAGTAAATCATCGTATCTTGCCCTCACTACGATTTTCCCGAAGATAGAAGAGATTCTTATCTCTATGATGGCCGCAGTTTTGGTTTATTCTTCCTTGCTCTCCGAGGCCGACTTGGATTCTGACGACCAGGTTGAGAGGATCCGCGCGATGACCGATGCCAATAACAATGGATTGCTCTGGTTCAACCGAATGTTCATGGCTTCTATTTTCACCAGCATTCCCGCGGGGATCGTCTTCAAGTAAGCTTCATACCGTTATTATCATTGTAAAATTATCCAAGGATCCTTCACATTCTTATGGAATACGAGACTGAATCAATCAGCCACGTACCTGTAATTCAAAGTAATCGGCAACTGAAAATCACAGAAAATGGAGAAAATACTTGGATTTATTGCCTACTGGGGCAAACTGAACCCTGCCCCCAAGCGAGTGCACTTATTTTCTCAAGAATGATTCACAAGAGAGGCTTCATTCGAGGAGAACTTCAACGAGCAGTATTTATGAAAGGGACCAAGTACGAGTATCAAATATTTTATTGAAAAAATAACTTATTTGTAGAGCAAAATTGGGTTACAAAATAACAACGAAAATCGATGAAGCTGGCGAACGAAAAAATAATGCAACTGAATTCTTTGCAATGGACCAAAGAAAATTTTCACTGATGCTCGAGGATATCGAAATAACCACACAAGTTGGCAGAGAATGTAAGTTGTCTAATAAAATTGAGAGCGTCATGATTTAAATATATAATTTTAGCAAAAGCGCCACGAAAATCAAATTCGATCGACTCCGATGTCAGCAACTTCTCAAGACTTACAGCTCGTGCAAGCTCAAAGGAAATGTCCGTCGTCCCATCTTGTAAGATAGACAATTGTAGCCTTTATATTGAAAGTTGTTTAGCGATAAACGTCCGAGAATCGATCAGAGGAATGATGGTCAAAACTGTGAAGTCGGAACCCATGGAAGACTTCGAAAGTAAAAGAAACGACAGTGCTAGAAGTGCTTCAAAATTGAGAAGAGCTTCTAATCCTGAAGCTGAAAATGAAAGCGAGGAGGAGGCCGAGGAAAGTTTTGTCGAAGGTAAGTTTCGAATTTTGTCATTGAAAATATACGATTCTTAGAATTGCCGATTCAAGACGGCTATACAACGAATCCCAACCTAAATAGCCGAATATGGGAACCATCAGTTATCCTAAAAGAAAACGAGTGGCTCATTCGCCCTGAAGATATTCCTGGTTCTGACCCAAGAAGACATGATCCAACTGGAGAATCCGTCACAGTTGTCAATCCGATTTTTCACCCTGAGATGTTCGACGGCGTTGATGAGAAAAAAGTCGACAACTTGACAGATTTTCAAGAGACTTCGGACCTAATCTCGGAGGCTTACAGAAACAATCCATCGATGCTTTCAGTGCCATCAACTGCGATTCCCGGCCTTGAGCCAAGATTGAGCAGGAGGATGACCGAACAAGCCTCTCGACAGGTAATGCCCATTTCTTAAAAAATATCCTAACATTATCAAAGTTGGCAGCCAACTTGGCTGCACAGCGCGATTCTCAAGTAGAAAAGGAAGCAGCGCCAGTACCAGTTCCAGCTGAGCAGAAAAGAAGACGAAGAAAGAAAACTGGCGAAGAAAATGGGCCGGCAATCGAGTCTCCAGTAGAAACAGCTCCATCTCAACCATCGACCAAACAAGGAGGTCAAGAGGAAACAACTGTTGTCAAAAGAAGACGCCGGACCGATACTCCAGCAGATCAAGGTGCTGCACCAGCAGAACAAGTTGCTTCTTCGGCTCCGGTAGAACCCACTGAGACTGCTCCTGAGCGGACAACTGTTGTCAAGAAAAGACGACGACGAGTTGAGCCTCCAGCTGAACAAGCCGCTGCTCCAGCACCAGAAGAGCCCGTCGAGCCCGCAACAACTCAAGTAGTAGTCAAGAAAAAACGCAGAAGAAAGGTCGTAGATCCGGCACTAGAGCCAAGTCAGGGAGCGCAACAACGACACTGGAGAAAGAGAATCACAAAGATGAGGAAACTGCTTGCGCCAGTTGCGGAAGTTATATTCTTCGTTCTCGGTAAGTTATTTTCAACCATCTCCCCGCTGAAATTTCTTTTAAGTTTTGATCGTCGGAACATCAATCCTCAACACATATCTTTTCAAAAACGAAAAAGAGCTCTTCCTGACGCATGCAATTGGACTAACCTTCATCACCCAGATTCTTTGGAGTACGACTCTTGGAGATTTGATCACCGAGAAAGTCACTCGATGTATCCTCGGCTAAGACTAAATTTTCTATATTCATTTTTATTTTAATAAATATTTATTTTATACAATACAATCAAATGAACGTTATTTTGATGTTTATAGGAATATCTTTCATGGAGCTTTGAAAGGTTCAGTGTTCAGACTTTGAACTTCAAAGAAATTGATCACCTCAAAATCCTGCTATTTTTGAAGTTTATTGCATCCCTGCCCGGAATTTCCGGGCACTGTTATTTTAGCCGTTAGAAGGCCCTAGAATTTTCTATCGTCGTTGCTGTTGGGCAAAATTTTCCACCTGATTGACCAGCGAAATTATAAATAAGATCGAAAAGAATATTTTTCGGCAAAATAATTGAAAATGAAGTTTTTGAAATTGCTTTTACTTTCTTTTTCGTTTTCTCGAGCAGCTGAGTTTCTTGTGGAGATCGATGGGCAAGCGGATGTCAATAACTTCAGAGCTGCAGTTTTGCAAAGATATCAACTTTCAGTGGTTGGTTTCTCCTTTTGTCCACTTGCCAGGTAAAATTTTTATGAGAAAATGCACCATTACCAGAAATAAGGCGATCGATTGAACGATTACGAGAAGTTGATGCTACCTTTGCGATTTTCTACCTTGACACGCAAGCTGATCACTGGCGACGATGGTGGTATATAATCAGAGTTCTATCAGGAAATACAAGACCCATCAATATTTTTATCAACCAAGAGGCCACATTTACTGACGAACTTGCAACTGATGCGATTACCGACGAAGAACTAAGACAGGCGATTCAAGCTGACTTGAAATGAGATGAAAGACCTTGAAAAATGAATTATCACAAAAATCGTCACACAGTTCTGTTCCTCATCATATTTTTTTTTCAATAAATTTTCGAAGAATTATTTCGAATGATTTTCGGAAGTAACATTAGATTCAAAACATTTCGTATTCACTTTGAATGATAAAGTTTATTTCTAATAAACGAGCGGCAGGATGAAGGATTTTAATCAGTTTTCGGGAGTAAATATTTTTTCTAGTTTTTGTTTCAAATTAAGCTTCGACTGGGCAGCACTTCGAGCAATGGCTGAGACGCCAAAGCTCGGGAACTCGGCGACAGTTTCGTAGGCATCGCCACGGTGGAGATCTATCGTTTCGATTATTGCATGAGGATAGTTGGTTTGTAGTTCGCGCTCGATCTTTCGTTCGTCTTTTCGAGGGGTCAAAAGCATTTCTTGGAGCTTTAAGACAGGAGAGCCGGCGAGAGGAGCGAAAGGGATAACTTTTAGAATGAATTCATAAAAGATTCGGATAGAGATCGTCTCCATGGAACCAGTGTATTAATTTTTAAGATTCCAATTTGAAACGAGGGTTCCACTTCGTTTCCTCTCATCCAGAAAAGCGGTAGCCGTCGAATTTCGAAGTTCATTCTAAAAGTTATTTAATAATTAGAAGGAGTTGTTAATAGAACATTTGAGATGGGTCGATCTAATTCTAATCGGGCTGGCAGTTTCAAAAACTCCATTTCGCACCGACTCAACAGGGGTACGAAATGACCAAAAGGAGGAGGTTCTATTATTGAATTCTAACATTTTGTGATGAACAGTAGGGCTAGCGACGTCTTCTTTCGCTCCAATCCGGCTCTCGGAAATCTCGAGATTGTGGCGAGCGGCCTCGACCGTAGGAGTCGTAAGAGTCTCGACGTCTGTCCCGCGAGGATTCCCGGCGATCATCCCGGTCATCTCTTCGATCGCGTGAATCATGTCCTCGCCGATCTCCCCGCTGAGAAGGTTTTCGAAAATCCGTATCAGTGTACGAGTCATATCTACTTCGAGAGTCACGTTCTCTTCCTTGACTCCCACTATCTGACCAGTCAGGCCTCCTAGCTCTATAATCTACGTCCGATGAACGATCTCGGCTACGCGAATCTGGCCGTCGATCGAATTGACCATCTCGATCAAAGCTAGGGGAGCGACGTCGAGAGCTTCGTGAGTCGCGCTCTCGCGAATCCCTTCTACGCTTTGGGCTACGACGAGGACTTCGACTACGGTCACGATTCCTTGAAGGATTTCGCTGATCACCATCGTGGGAGTTCTGTCGTCTCTCATCACGGCCTCCTTGGCCAGCGGCCTGCGCCCGCTCTTCCGCATCTTTTCGACCCTTAGCTTTCAATAGCTAAAATATATAGCTTGAATAAACTCACTTGAGAATCAAATTTACCAGTAGTTCAGAAATGTTAAATCCTCCTCCGCTTTTCTTAGGATTGGGATCTCCGTTGGTTTCCGCTGCTCGAGGATTCGACTTGATAAACCGATCATATGATTTTTGACTAGGCTCGTAGTTCGTATATTTGAAGCGTGGATTATCTCGGCTTCTGAATGTACGGCGGCGGAATTCGTCCCATTCTCTTTTACCCAGTAGTTTTGCATCTCTGGGCCACTGTGAGCGCGCTTCATGCATCGCACCCGCGAGACATGTTTTTAAGCATTCTGAGAAATAATGAAGGAAAGAAGGAAATAGTTCAATTTACCATTGAATCGGACATTTCCTTCATCAGAAAGATGACATAAGTCGGGCTCATCTAACTGCCTTTCATAAAAGAAACGATAGCACTCTTTTCGGATCTTCCAGTTGGAAAGAAATTGATCTGAGAAGTCGACAAATTTGATGTTTTTCAGGTAAGTATCGTGAACAGATCTTTTCAAGTCGCTGTTGATGCTGCTCACGCGCTCGAGATCGCCAAGTTTCCATGGATCAAGTCTTGGTAATATTGCACTAAACGCATCATAGGGATTTTATCTAAGGACACGGCGTCGAACCTGACTATAATGTGCGCGTATTCATAGTGTTTGCGAAGAGTATCAACTACATTCATGATATCCTCGGCAATTTCTGGCGGCTCCAAAACATCTTCTCGCTCTTTCAAATCTGCTCTTGTCGAAACATTATTTGTTCCAACATGTAGAAATACTACACTGATATCTGTAGGTGGCGGCAGGACTTCGGTCTACAAAAAAGTAACAAACTATCAAAACCAGTTTCGTTTATACTTTTATTTGCTGCATCAACTGTTTGACTTTGATCCCGGCATATGCAAAGTAGTAAGCTCCGTGCTCCCAACCATCAGGATTCACTTTTTGAAGCATGGAGTCTCCAATAATTAGGCATTTTCCAGGCGCTAAATAGAGTTTGTAAGATGCCGGTTTCACTTTCAATTACCTCCACCGGAGCCTCCACTCGATCTCGAGTCTTCTTCGTGATACGTCATTCTCTAAGTTTCATCTGAACGCAATTCGATCAGAGAAAATAAATAGCCTATTTCTAGCTCTTTCTCTCTCAATCGTTCTTATGCTCATAATATGGCTCGACTTTGAGAACTTCAGCGTAATCGCCGTCAAACCAAACAGTAACAGTCAAATTCGAAAAGTTCAAAAGAATAGGCGATTTTTCTCGCCTTTCTCAAGCTGTGTCTTTCGGTAGATTGAACGCGGGTCGTTCATTAGCATTTTCTAAAATTTTTATCTAGAGAGTTCTTTCAAATTCTGAGATTTACCGTAAGAGCACTTTTTAGTGCTTCAGCAGAGTCGTATTCTGAAACCGAAAACAGCTCCTGCATTTGTTGGTCAGCTCTTCCCGTAAATCCTATTCCTGCGATTTCAGATTCTTTCGCATTCTTCTCTTCTAGCCACTTCGCCACTTTTACATCCTTGTCTTCGCCAGGCTTGTCGTAGTCAGGTATGTATGGCTTGATATCTAGGACTGGAGTTTCATGAACAAGATCGCAGTTTTTGACCACCAATTCTCCTTTATCATGGTCAATTCTGTCTATTTCAACGAGAGAGAGGCCAATTGGACTAGGTCGATATGGAGCGCGAGATGCAAAAATTCCCACTTTCGTCCCTCCTCCTCGTGGTGGAGCCACTTTCGACTTTTTTCCATTCGATTCGGGATCATTGAGATGGAAGTGAAAGATAATCCAACAATGGGAATAGTCCTCCAATCCTTCTAGAGCGTCCTTGGGCATCCAACGCTGTTTGATTGATTTTCCCGTTGATCCCTGCGATAGTTTGATTATAGAAGATGTTTCCAGCTGCCCCGGTTGATGAGGAGTGCCAGATTTTGTCAGAAAAGAGGATAAAACATGACCGATGGGAGACGCAATCGTCTGAGAGAGCTTCAACTTTCTGTCAACGTCGGTTTCGGGAGGAAGAATTTTACTCTTCTTAGCCAGCGGTTCGAAATTGCCAGATTTGATTTGTTCAACTTGGGCGATAGAAATTTGTTTGCTATTGACGATGTCTTCTACTACTTTCATTCGATGTCGCTCTTGGGCCTTGAACTTCGTCATATCAGCCCGTAGCCGTTTGAGCTCGCCTCTAGCATGCGCTAGCGATCGGGCAAGCTCCTGCATCCTCGTCAGATAGTTTCTCAGCTTCGACGCGGTCTTTGTCTAATGTGTACTCCTCCCCGAACGCTGCTCCAAGTTCCTCCCCACGTGGCAAAACAACGGCGATGTAACCTTTGCCTTCCGACTCGTTCAAAAGAAGTTTCGGATTATCTTTATTAGGATAAAAGCTTTCCAGAAAAATATGATGAATGAGTCATTCAGAATGACGTGCTCTTGACCTTTCCTATAATTTGAGAATTGACTTCGACTAAAGTTCCTCTGCAGCCACTCTGAATCAAAATCGGATCTTCACTCTCTTCTGTCTCGATTCGCAAGATAGGGGCGTTCTCGTTTAGCCACTAGAATAGTAATGGTCAATTTTCAAATTGAAATTTTAAAGAATACCTGTCCACCCTTCTTTCTTTTTCCAGAAACTTTGTTATTCCCTCGATCGCACTTTTCAGAAATTTGAAAGGTGATCTTTTTAATTGTTTGCTTGCGGACGGGATGTTCGGGATGAAGACAACTCACAAGAATTCGATTTGAGTGACGAAGAACTCTAGCTGGCCCTGAATGTCCCTAGAATCGAGTCGAAATGGGAAAAGCTTGGGGTGTTACCGAAAACTTCTTTTCTGTATTCCAAGTGTATCGTTGATAATACCTATCGACGACGGATGGATACGAAGCCATTCAAATCATTCAATTGTCTTAGAAAGAAAAATTAAAAAACGAGAAGACATATTTTTTGTTCTGATAATGTAAAAGCATAACGTTGAAGACAGAATTTTGAAAGCTGATTAGTTCATTTCTTGTAACTTTTCTTGTTATTTTTTTTTTGAAAGAAAGGGGTTTTCTGGAATTTTTGCGGTGAGTTGTTCATTGCAGTAAAAGGAGTTTTGTAGCTTGTGATTAGGGAACTCGTGCGGTAAGGAAGGGGATCTCCGAATTGATAGCCCGGCCACTTTTAGTGTTGGAATTTGAGTGAAGGGCAGAATGGAGAATGTAACAGGTTACATGTAGAAGTTTAAACTTTAAAGCCGTTCTCGATCAGCAAGAACACGGACGATCGCTCCTGAGCCGGCTTTCGTGTGAACTTTGTCATGCCATTGAAGGAGGCTAGAAGCTTTATTTGCATTTTTGGGCTAGATCGGAGAATTACCTAGCGCAGGTGTTCGAGTCTTGATTCAGCGAAAATGCTTTGTAAATGTACTTCATAAGGATATCCAGCTCGTCCGGAGTCAAACTATCCACTGATGGTTGAATTTGAGAGTTTTTGTGGCTCGTCAAGGCTCTTACAACGATCTAAACATTTCTAATATAACCCTACTTTTGATCATACTATCTACCTCAGCAGCAGTTTTTTTCGTCTGTGGATTATTAACGCAAGTTGGTGCATTTTGAAGAGCAACCTTGAGTGCATCCTGGAAAATAATAGAATTGAACTCACTATATTATGATAACCTGTGGTTTTCCGGCACTAATAAATGACTGAACTTGATTCATATCCGGCCCTCTTGCTCCATTATCAACAATTTCGTCCTCGTAAAAGTCTTCCTCGTACTGCTCGATGTTTATCTTACGAAAATCTCTGGACAAACTCGAGGTAGTCATTTCTTTTTTCTGAACAGAAAAAGTTTATTGAATTTGAATTTTGATAAGGCATGTTTTTGCAGATAAAGAAGTCTGAATGAAAGGATGGTAATTGATGAAGCTTTTCGCGAAATCATTAATTACTGAAGCGCGACTTTCGCGCGATTGTTTTTTGAAGAGTTCTCGCCGGAAATAATTCGTGATAGGGAAGAAGGAAAAAGGCGCGGCTCAGAGAATATATTTTTTGTACAAGAAGATTGTGCTTTCCACGACGCACAACACAATTGCAGAATTAGGAACTTGTCGAAGTAAATGAACGCGCATGCCAGAGTACCAGCCGGAGAGACCCTCCTCTTTATACACTTGCCCGAGCGTTTGAAAAAATCCCCTAGAAAAAAATTAGTTTTTGGAATTTCTGCCATTCTCTTCGTTGATTTCAACGCACCTGTATCTTGTTTTACTCGTTTCTTCTCTCAATCTCGTTCGCACTACTTCGTGGGGATAAAACAAGCTCGAAGCGATCATTTTACAAATCGCCGTGCATGTGAATAATTTAAAGATTTTCCTCCCATCGAGCGAGGTCAAATGAGAGTCAGCGCCGTCGCCATGATTAATGAACTTCTTCTTGCATGATTCATACAGTAGAAAGAAGCAAACAGTTTCGGACATGCCGAAGAATGAGGCCGAGGAGCCACGCCAGAATCCAAGAGGTCCGTTTTGTTTGTAGATGTCGCGTATACACTGTGCGACTGTGTATGCTGCGCGGGATTGTGATCTGTGAAGCTGCTGTTTTGTTCGTACCACCCAAAAAGGCGATGTTCCTAAAAAACATGAATATTAAAGGATTTAGCAATTGCCTACCAATTATTTGAGAAACAGAAGCTGACATGGCTGAGAGCATGTGTACATGTTTTTCATTTGTTCCAAAAGAAGATTTAGTCGTGTTATATGCACCGAAATAGATGAATCGAGCTGGAATGGTCCCTATCAACGTCACTGGAAGTCCTTTATACAGAGCTTTGACGCCTTCGTCTTTTGTTATCTTGAGTAGGTTTTTGATCAGGAAATCTCTATCGGATAGGATAAGTGGTATGTTTGATAAATTGAGCTAACCTTCGTTTTCCATCAAGAGTTTTTACAGTGTTTTTTGATTGATCAGACGATTGAAGTCGCGTTTTAACAACCTTGAATGATTGTTTATCTTACGCTTATAAATCTGCTACTGTACCTCAAGGGGGTTTGTAAGTATTGCACCGACCGCACCGCCAAATCCACCGGCCACGCCACAAACAAATCCAGGAACTGTATCCGACATTCATAAACGCTCAGCTCTGAAGTAAAATTATGAAATGAAATGCATAAATACAAAGTCACGTGTTTGGCGTTTTCGCAAGGCCCAGATTTTCCAGTTTTTCCCGTTGCATCAAGTTATTTTTCATACGACATCTTAACTCATCTTGAACGAAAAATAAAGACGATAAGCTTACTCAAGATAGTCTTTAGTTGCTTCTCGACATTTTGAAGCCTGATTAAGATTGTCTTTCAGACATTTCATGTAGGAATCATAGCTTTCGTTGCATTCTTACAAGGTTGAACTAACTCGTGAACAAAAATATTTTATCGAAGGTTTTTCGACCTTTCCTTGAAAATGATCAATCGGAAAAGAACCTTTAGCTGGAGGAAAGACTTGCTGGCGCTTTTGGGGTGCTGACATGTTTAAGTATCTGTAAACTTACTTGAACTGAATCGAACTTTTATCTAGAATAGCTCGTGTAGATGATAGATCTGACAAAAATTAAAATACACTTTGAAACTGATGAAAAGCATTCATGGAATAACAGTAGTGTTGAAGATTATATAACTATCACTTGAGAATGCTCTGATTTGTTTACAGGCACGCGAGGAATCTTTGAAAAAAGGATACATGTAATGAAAGTTTGATAAAAATGAGGTTGATTTCAATTTCAAATTTCTTTCCAGTTGGGCGAGGGCGTGTGCGTGTCTGGCCATTCGAAATCGTTGATTTCTTTCGAAAAGGTCAAAATTTTTGAAAATATTGAACAGCCGCAAATATTTGCAGAAAAATTTGTCAAACGAACTAGAATGGGCTTGTATTTAACAGAAACATGACCATTCCTAAATGGCTATTCTCAAGAATGACCATATTTTCTTCCTTCATCTCTTTTGACACCTGCGCGAGGCGAGGATGAACGCCAAATCCAAGAGTGTCAGATTCTTCTAGAGCCACCTTTGAGCAGACAGCAATTTTGAAATCTGTATTTTTGCAGTTTTGAATTCGCAATTGCCGGCTTGCGATTTCAAACTCGCAGTTTTCGCAACGTCTTAAAACAAATTTTATCTTCAATATCAAACAAAAATATTTACTTCAAAAGCTAAAGAGTGGTTATGCGTATTTTACCTAACCATGGCTGCACCAAGAACAGAATCTTCGAGGAAGATCTTCGAGTTTTTCATATTTTCTATTCTCAGCGAGCCAACGGATCCTTTGACGGAAAGAGTGCAATCTTCAAAATCTTGAAATACTAAATCTTCGTTCCTCGATGATTCATAAACTTTTGTCTCTCCTTTTAACGAGTGTAGACTCGATCGCTCGCCGACCTTTGTCTCTGGCTCTTTTTTCTTTTCTAGGCTCGTTTTTACTGTATCTAATGATTGGGACGCCTGAGGTGCTTTTTTCTTCTTCAGAAGGGACAGTTTTGTCTTTGGCTTTTTCTTCTCAATCTTCTTGTGCAAATCATGCAGTTCGCGATTTGATGTCTTTTGCTCAAAACCTTCGGCGCTCAAAAGATGCTCATCGAAAAACTTCTGGATCTTGGAGAACTTATCACGCGCAGCATTATATTCTAGTGACTCTAGCTCGCCGTTCAAAGCAAAGATTTGGCTCCTGAGATCGTCAAACGCATTCATCTGAAAATTAAGTCGATTTGTAAATAGATGGAAGTAGCGAAATTCTTCGTAATGGACAGTTAAATTAAGATGAAAATAAGTTAGAGTTTTTATTTGTTGCGTTCTTTTAATTTTTTTCGTATATTTTCTATTTCTTTTTGAATTCGTTCTTCTTCCTCGTCTTCCCGCGTTTTTTGATCTATTAGATTTTTCTCGACTTGAGCATAGGCACGCTTTAAATATTTTTCTTTTTCTTCTAAAGATTGCATTTCCCATGGCCTTGGACCAGGGATATGCTGGTAGTTTCTCGACTTTTGCTCCATCTCCGAAACAAGATCTGAAAATGTTTAGTTCTCTTCCTTGATTTCACTGCCTTACCATCAAGAGATTTTCCCTTGGATAACTTATTCTCTCCAAATCCAGAAACCTGTGCGAGAATTCCCGCAGCTGCAAAAGAATCAATACCCGTCTGTTGCGACTTTCTTTCATCCATGAACTTCATACTTTGATACCACGTGACGCCCGCTCCAAGGGTGTAAAAAGTACCACCGATTGCGGTTTTGACCATTCGAACCCGATTTCGATGCTGCAGAAATTTCATATATTTGAGGTAGAAATACCGAGCATACTCTCGGAAAGTCATTCTAGCGAAAGGAAAGATAAACGATGATGAAATATGTTTGCTACACACATTTTATTCGGGCAAACCGTCAGAAATTCGTGAAGAAGGGGTGGAATCATTTAAATTAACACAGTGGTCGAATTTTTTTTTTGAACTTTGATTGTAGAGCAAGTTTTTTTCGTAATGAATTTATTGAGGCGGAGCATGAAATCCTGCTGCCGTAAATGCGTGCATGGCTTTTTCCATCTCGTGCAGCTCAATATTTGCGAGTGGCGGGCGTAAATGACCTGTTGCATATCCGAAATTTCCCATGACATGCTTGAGTCCAGGAACACCGTATATTTTCGTAACAATCTGGTTAGGATGAATCAAACGCTTCTGTAACAAAGCTGCGCGCTCGTTATCGCCTTGTATAGATAAATTGTACAGGCGGACAACTTCACTACCCAAAACCTTAGTTAATAGTTATCTCAAAAGGGAAATATGATAGATAATTACGTTTGCAAGCGCGCACACCCCACCAGAAGCTCCCAGTTGAACAGCTGGGTGGAGAAAGCTGGCTGATCCCGCCAACACTTGGAAATGTTTCCCCTCAGTGAGCCAAAGTAAGTGACCAATTTTAGCAATGTCGCCTCCAGAATCTTTTACACCACAGATATTGGGATGGTCGGACAAATCGGCTATAGCCTCAACTGGCATGTCTAGAAGATGTTATGTCGCCTGACTCAGTGGTTGGAATCATACCTAAACCGGTATTAGCTGGAACATTGTAGATGATGATCGGTTTGTCTGAAAAGTCAGCTATCGTGCTGAAATGCTTGACTAGCACACTCGTCTTCATCGCATTTTTATAGAAACTTGGTGTAACTACTAGCAGAACATCGGCATCCGCTAGGCACATTGCTTCCGTTATTTTCAATGTTTCTGCTGTAGATTCCGCGCCAGCCCCAGCCATCAGAAGCATCTTATCGTCGCGATCATTTGCTATTTCCGCCAACATGTCGTTAAGCCTCTCAACCAGCTCGATTCTTTCAGACGGAGATAAATAAGGATACGATCCATTTGAGCCTTGGACGGTTATTCCTTTGAATCCTTTTGTTTTCCACTTCTGCAAGTTTTGCTGCAGCGAGTCGTAGTCAACACCAGCGTCTGTGTATCCGCTAGAAACGTGTTCTTGGCTCTTTTAAATTCCAATTTACCGCCCGTAATGTTTGAACGGAGTGGGAATCGGCGGCCATATACCAGAAATATCTATTCTAGCAAGCTCTCTTCTGATAAAATTCGCATTGGCTGCAAGTGCTCGTCTACATTCACGCTGAAGCGATCTTTTTATCATCTAAAGAGGATATTTAGCGAGAGATAATTTCAAATAGCCTAAATTGAACTTCTTTCAGGACGAATTAAAATGAACTATTCCAATAAAGCATGCGATTTCTTCACATATGCTTGATGGTTTGCTGATTACTGAGAAAATACGGTCTAAATCTGGTACTAGCGTCTTCAAATGGGATCGGTGCTTCATTTGAGGATTTTCCACCATTCTTGGTCACCTCTTGCAGCTTGCGCTTCATTATATTTGATGAATTCATCCTTGTACTTGGCGAAGGTTTGCGAGACCAATAGTGGGAAAATGAGCGTCGAGTCACCGCTGATTTTCACCGGTTCAGCTGACATTTTAATCTTAATTTTTGGTCATGTATTATCCTGTAAATTCCACTTACTTTTCCCCAGCTAATAGCTTCATCCGGCTTAGCTCCAGTATCCGAGCCATCAAATTCTTGTCCGGTGTTAACAAAAACGGAATAGTCGGCACCGTTTCTCATCAGATTCGCGTTACAAATGTGATGCTTTATGACACCTCCTCCAAGGAGAATCATACCAGTGTTCAGCGCGAACTTCGCACAGTTATTAACGCCGCGTATATCATCTGTAAAAGAGTAAAGAAGCGTCGAAGAGAAACAAACTTACCGACAAGATCAAGAATCAGTCCCGGCTTTGCGTACGAATGAAAATATATCATATCTCCGATTGATCCATCAGTCAGAGCAGGTGAATAAACTGGGATCTTATTCTTCCAGCACCAGTAGTAAATACTCTAACACACATTAATGGATAATTTTTACAAATTGATTGATCTCATACTGATTCGTTGTTGATTTCCTTTCCAAGTCTTTCGATCATTCTACTGGGAGTCCATCGTGTTCCGTTTTTTTCCTGTTCGTCAAGCATAGCGTCAAGAATCGGATTGATCCAGTCTTCAAATTTACAGTAGTTGTCATTCGGGACGATCAAGTTTCCAATTCTGTTCATTCCTCGCTTTCTGAAATCGAAGTTAAAAACGATATAACTTGAAAGCCTAACCTCAAATCTCGCCCGGAATAATCAAATCGGCCAATGTAGGTCGGCGCAAGGCACTTGATCAAATCCTCTTCGATGCCACCAGCAGTTGCAACGATACAGTCGACCATCTTGTGCTTACACAAAAATCGAATTACCTCTCGAACACCACATGATCCCATGTTAGACGTGTATCCAAGAAATATTCGGCAATTGGTATCGCAACCTGAGTTTTGCTCAGCAGCCTTTTTAATATCTTCTTCGGATGGACGGAGTTTTCGCTCGATCATTCGACGAATCTCTTTGATACCGTTTCCGAAGGTGGTTGCTTGAAAGCCCATTCGGCTCATTGTACTAAGACAATGATCACAAATAATTCCAAGCATATTTCTTACTCAAAAAGCTTGTCATAATCGACGCCTTCGTCAAAATCGTATCCGGTCACAGTCTCTGGGTTTTCCATCGGAAGTTCTCCCGTTGGAACGAAAACGGCATCTTTGCCCGTTAAATCTCCACCTGGGGGAACACTCATTCTAAAGCAGCAACAATTTGAACAGAAATAGAAAGAAGGTTTGCATATGTTGAATTATCGTCGAGGAACAACACGGGCAGCAATGTACGGGCATCATCATGTTTGAGTTGCGGCAGGAGCAAGTTAATAGTATATGTTCAGAAGATTCGCAGATTGGGTCGATCCTTGAATTTATAACGTAAGAATAAACATAGAAAAGCAAATACACACCCGTTTGCAGTAGGATTCGATCTTTTGCCAAAGTTGTCGGAATCGTTGCGAGTCCGCGTGCCGTTTAATGGCGTCGAGTTCGACAATGTTACAACTCCACTTTCGTACATTGCCTTCGACCGGTTTGTTCGTCCATTTCAAGTGGAAGGCCTTAATTATTGAAGCGCTTGATCTAAATAAGCTTTCTTACAAGGACTTTCTGGAAAATGGAATTCGGATCATTGTTCTCCATGATCGGCCATCCTTTGAACTGCCATGCCGGTCCGTGAACAAAAACAGCGACGACTCTTTCCCAGTCTTCACTGTTCAACTATCAAATGGTTAATTTTTAAACATAAACGCCCATCAAACCTTTGAAACATTATTGATAATTTTGAATGGGATAGTGCGTCCGCCTCCTTTGTATTGAACGAGCACTTCGCTATCAATTCTACTTTGTGCTCTTTTAGCAGCCTAAAAATCTTTTAAAGGAGAATGGTCGAAATATAACTACATCATGGCTGACATATTTGTACCCCTCGAGCAAGTTCCTAGCGTTAGCGAGAGTGATGATGGATTGAGAAGCGGCAGGAACGATTATAATTGGAGTTCTCGACTTTTTCTTTGCAGGTGGCGATTGAGCGGCGGGCGAAGCCAAAATTGTGGGCTCTTCTTTTTTGTGAGGTCTAAGACAAATATGAGGAAGAAGCAATTATAACCGATCGACCTTTTTGTACCAGAGACGAGAGATGACAAAGTATTGGCAGTGTTAGAACCGAGGGTATCAATCTGGAAACTACCGGTGTTATCTTGTCGACTTTGATCGTAACGAGAGTAGAGCTCTTCTGTTTTTGGCTTGTTTTTGTTTGGAATCATGCCTTCATTCTTAGAAGGATAGACGCCTGCTTCTTTCTTCTTTATGACTTCGAGGTAATTGAGCACGATCTTGAAATTTGTTGCTTGAGCTGAAATGGGTTATTGCCAGTAAGTTCTACGTTAAATTACATTGAAGAATAGACTCTCGTGTCCGCCAGACTCGTTCAAAGTTATTGGTGTTTATTTCAGTAGTTCGACCAGCTGAAATGACGTCTGTATCAGTTATTCGTCCTCGCTTGTTGATTTGAATCTTGGTCTTGATTTCTGCGATAGTCTTCGACGGCAATTCAGATCCATCGAGCATGTCATCTTTTGTAATCACAAGACCAGATCGCTAGTAATCGGCTTGAAGAGCACAAATGGTAAGGAAGAGTACCTTGTCAAGAATATTTCTTAGTCGTTCTGATGGCTCCACTTTGGAGGTATCAAAGTCAATATCCATCGGCTCTTGATTCCTGCCCAAATCCGATCGTGGCCTCGGTCGTCCCAGCTCGACTTGGGCATTTCTGTCGATTGACATGCTCGTGGGAGCTTGTCCCTGCAGAAATGCCAGTAAGTCCTTTCTGTCAGGACGGGAGACGTTTTTATCATTGCTACCGAACTTTTCAATAGCTGCCTTGATGTACTGAGGGTGGGTCAGCTCGATGTTCTCGAGGAAAAACAGGATCGCCTCGATTGTGTAGTACTCTTTGGCCTGTCCATCACGACCGGAACCCCAAATGGTATAGTTTGTCTTCGCCTTATTAACAGAAATGATACTTATTTTCACATAAATTTATTACAGACCTTGACGTCCCAGACGAAATCACCTAAATAAACCAGTCCATCTTTGGTTTCGATCTCCTTCTTTTGAAGAGTGTACTCTCTAATCAAAGACAACGCGTCCGTCATTCTGATAGTTTTCAATCAATAAAGCATTTTTGAATAATGAAGAGCATGAAAAATTCTTGAAAGGAGAAAAACTCTTTAGGAACGATACTGTTTTTCTTTTCGAATTTCGGAGGTAAAAATTGGTGATCAATAGGTTTTTTTACGTTTTACAGAATGAAGAAGAAAATGCGGAAAAGTGAATGATGAGAATAAGGTTGAAACATTGATGGAGCATCAAGTTGAACTCAAACGAGCTAGAAGTAATGTGTGACAGTTGTCACAAACCCGCACAGGCTTTGGGTTAGAAGCAAGCGGCATTGAATTAGACGAACATGAGCCACAGTAGACGTTTCCACAGTTCCTGCAGTGATGCTTTAAAGAAAATTTAGCTACGGAATTGAAACTTTCAACCAACTTTGCGCCTCTTTATCGTGAAATCTCTCGTGCACTTTGCACAAGTCTTGACAGTTTTTTCATCGACCCAGCTGTGACCCGTCAAACTCTCATGCAGATCCTTCATATCGTCGCGATCGAGCTGGGCATTTTCCAACTGCGACGCCATATCACCCAGGGCTGACTCAAGATCTCCAACTGTTGCCTTGAGTTCTGCTAACTCAGCTTCAAGACTAGCGACAAGCTTTTTGGAGCCTTCGTGCTCGGTTTTCTTTGCAGGAATCAACAGATGTTTTCAATAGACAAAATTAAATAAACGAGACTTTATTTCGAACTCAATAATAATAAAAAAGAAAGAATCAACTTAGTCCACGCGTTATAAACTTTTGGGATTCCTTCAACAGATTCTCTGCCACCATTTTAGCAGCTTTAGCTTCGTTTTCAGCGATCTTCCGTCGGTCAGTTTCTTGATTTAGATCTGATTCGTATTTTAGAAGTTGAACTATCATATCGTCGATTTCAGACTCAAGTCGAAGTTTCATGTCAGACGCATCAGCTTCCTTTGTAAAAGATAATATATTTTAGAGCAGTGAATGAGTTTACCTGGATCTTCAGCTTCTCGTGTTCAGTAAAAATGTTTTCGTTTTCTGATCTTAGAGCGGAAATGGCTGCCTTTGACTCTTCAAGTTTGCGAAGACGCTCCCGTTCTTTGTCGTTTTTCTCGCGAACTTCGTCAAACAATCGCTGGTTGATAGAACGAGTATCCTCGAGCTGTTTTTGCAATTGCTCAAGAGTATCTACAAATTTGTTCCCTACACAACTTCTTTAGTAATAGTTTACCTTGCTTTTCGTAAGCGTCTCGTTCCAGCATACGAATGCCCAACTCTAGCTGTTGCTTGTTTTTTATTTCGTTTTCAAGCATCTTCTCAAGTTCGAGTCGTTCTTGCGTCTCCAGTTTCATTTGGTTTTCAAGAACTGAATATCTCTTCTTGAAATCGTCGATTTCGCCACTTAGCTCTTCTGTTTTTGCCTTGAATCCGCTTTTTTGAACGGCAAAACTTTCATTCAAAGCTTTCGAATCTGATTCAGCACCAAGTTTGACAGAAGCTAATTCTTCCTAAAGACGGACTATGGGAAAGAATAGAGTAAAGAAGTACATACTTGAAGGTTAGAAATTGTTATTTTCGCAGCTTTTAGCTCGCTTTCAAGATTGTTTTTCGTCTCATCGGTGACGTCCAATTTATCCGATCGCAGCTTGAGCCGGTCTTCTAATTGTCTGTTGCGCTCTTCAAGGAATGACTTTTGGTCCAAAAGTCTTTTGTTTTCTTTCTCTAATTGATTGGTATTCGCATTTGAACTTGCATCAGTAACAGCGGCAACGAGAGAGAAGTCAATCACGCCAACTTGTCCATCTAAATTGACGCCCTTCAGGTCCAAATTGGCTTCGACGATTGACAGTCCCTGCATATGACCGAAGATCTCCGGCGCTTCGTCGTGCCTTAGAAGAGCCCAATCTTCCCAGAAATCCGCACGAAAGCTTGAGTCGCTCGCCTGGAGAGCATCGAGATAGTCTGGAAGCTTCTTCTGCATCAATGCAAGACGGAGAAAAGCTCGTGCTCGTCCGAGGCCAGTCTTGATTCCCGGCAAGTCTTTGACGGTTTTATTCGTATCCTGAAACGAAATGGAATAACGTTTAAATGAACCCCCTCTACCTTGAGCTCTGGAACAGCTGATTCCATTTCTTTGTGGTCAAAAGCTGCCCAGAATGATTTATTTCTATTGAACATCGAGATCTTCTGCTTCCAGCCATGAAGTAATACTTGTTCCAAAACCGTTAAAAATTGGACTAATGGCGGGTAATTTTCCTCGATGATAATCGACTTTTCCAGACAGGGGTCAATTAACGCACGAGTAGCAATCTAAAGCAAATAGTAATGAAGAGGATGAGCTCGGATTTTCTTGTTCTAAATCGACATAATGATGACACTCTGGCAACCAACAGAATTGGCAAAGATATTCATTTTATATATTTCTGTAAAAAAAAACTTACTTTTGCAACAAGGGAAAGATTTCTACGCTGTCCAAGATAATCTGGTCCATCAGACTTTTCAACTTGAGGCGAAGTCGACGATGTCGACCAGAAATCACCGCGACCGGAGAAAGTTGAAAGAATCCCAGAAAGAGAAGGTAGCGAGGACCTACCAAAAACATCACTCATTTCGAACAAAGAAAAAACTAATTTGTCAAAAATAAAACTGTCAAATATTAAAAATAACCTAGAAAAAAGATGATTGTTTACCTGTGACTTTGGACTAAATTAGATTCGCTGCCAGTCGTACTCGCTGCTTCATCCTTCAAACTTTCCTGCCTCGCAATTTCGGCAACTTCCGGTTCAATTGGGTTTTCTGATGATTCGACTTCATTTTCCACCGATTTCTGCGGCTCAGGAGTTTCAATTTTCAGCTCGCCAAGGCTTTTTAAGTCATCAAGTTTTTCTATCAAATCTGGACTTCCATCAGTAAAGACTGGAATTTCTTCGGATTCGGTCGTCTCTGACATTTCAATAAGTGCTTCTCTTCTGTGTTACTTTTATGACCAATTATCGAGGCATTTTGGAGGGTATTTTGTTTTCAGTGTGACGAATTCGGGCGATTTTCTCTGTTTCTTTTCACAAGTTTGCTCTTTCCCGCCGGGCGGAGTGGAGTGGGAAAGTCGAACGCTCCGCCAATAAAGAATCAACCACTTTTTCTGAACATAAGTCGGTAGTTTCCTTGAAATTTTTTTTTTTCTCCGAATAGAATTGGGGTAATAAGGGATTATATAATCAAGAAATAGATTAGCTGTTAAAAGAAATAACCACCGTTTGGATTAGGACTATCTGTATCAGGTTTTGGAAATAGGAACTTGCGCAAAGCCACGGTGCCGAAAAATAGAACAGAAATGAAACAAGCGGCGACGATACCTAAAAACTTTCGCCTTTTCGCGTAGTCAGGATCGGACAGCTGCTGCTGCTTCACTTCATCTGGTGTCTTTCTATTTTAGGGCTCACCTTCTGGCTAATCTCGGGAAAAGACCTCTTAGAAAAGAAATGACCCCTCTCCCATGGAGTTTGTAAAAATGGGCTTCGTAAGGATCCTTGAACTCCGGCGTGATTCTGCCCCATTTATCCAATTTGCTTTTATCAATTCGTTCCTTGCCCTGATTTCCTCGGGCTAGAATTCTAACATTTATCGCCAGTTCTCTTCTCCCAGCGAGGAGACCGCATGCACGGCCAATTCCGACCATTCTAAACGCCTAAATGGAAAGAGAAGGCACTGTAAATAGGGGCAAAGTTGTAAGTAACACCTTGTTATAATAAAATACCAGCAATTATCGTCGGTGACATTTATGATCAGAAAGTCTGTTCAACCCTCCCTCCGGCAGCGATCATAAAAATTGACAATCTTTGAATCGAAATAGCGCGATGAATCATCGACTGAGTTGGACCAAGAGGCCACCCTCCATTTGCAAAGACAAAAAGATCAAACATAACACAGTACACAACTGACTCCTCGAGTCCCTTGTTCAATAATTGAGAGAGAAAGGCGAAACATTTACGAGAGAGTGCTCCAAAACCAGCTTTGCCCGGGGCAGGTCTCTCAGCGAACATCTCCAAAAAACAAGACTGAGAGAAAAACCGGAAATCTAAAAAATGGGAATTCAAAGTGGACAACTCGAGAGAATCGTTGAATGCAGAGCTCGCTACTGTCTTTGGTTCTGGCTAGGATGCTTCTTCTGCGAACCGTACACTGCTTTTGTTGTTGGCAAAAAATTGGGAATGAAACTTGCTGTTTGGCGATTTTTGGTTTTCGGAGTTAGCTTGTTGATTTTCAGGCTTATTTTAAACAACGTCGCTGATAATTTTTTGCAGGTATATACAAAAAAATCAATTGCTGGTTCAGTGTCAATTTTTTTAGAAATTACAGGCCTTGAGCATTTCCTCTACAAATTACGAAGAAACTGTAATGCCAGAGAGCGGGCACAAGCTCATGTTTGAGCCAGGAGTTGAAGTTGAAAAAGATCTCATTGAGTTTGTCAAACATGAAGGTGATTTTGGGGAACCGACAGAGGAGGAAGAAGCTGTTATAAGAATGGCGAATGGACTCTTGGTTGGGTTTGGCATTTTCGTCAGTTTATGGTACTTTTTCTTTGTTTGAAAAAATGTAATTTTACATTCGCTTTAGCTTGGTTTGGGTCTATCAACGAGTTAAAATGCGATTGATTTTCGACAGAATGAGAGGATTCAATAACACCTGGTTGAGTGTAATACTTGGTTGCTGCTTCTGCAAATGCTCGATTCCTCAAATGGCAGTTTACTTCGAAGAAAACCCTAACGATGGTGCTTTACAAACTGTATAAAGCATATATCTGCACAAATTTAAATCAATCTAAGCGATATATTCTCGGGACTTTTTTATTTATTGTAAAGTCGAATAAATAAGATGAACAGAAATTTAATCTATGTTTGATTTTACTTTTGAACTCGGATGCCAGACTTGCCCCAGTTTCTGGTGTCAAAGTCGATGTAAGTGTCGTTTTTCGAGCTTGGGTAGGCAACAGATTTACCGAAGAAAAATCCTGATGACGGGTTTCGTACGGCTGGATTGAGTTCTTCCGGCTAAATAATATCATGATGATTAGGTCGAATGAAATTGGGCGGGGAAAGACGTAAATTGAAATTGCTTTCTGACGAGTTGATGATTTTAACACACCTGGGAAAATCGGATGCGATCCATGCCAAAGTGCTCCATCGCCCAGATAGGCTGTTCGTGACGGAAAATGTTTGCTCGTCGAGCAGTGTAGTTCACATGGTGGTGAGCATCGAAAGCCTCGTGGCCAAAGATCGGGAAAGTTTTGTATTGAGCTCGGGCCTAAAATCCGAAATTTGGAAGACGATGTAATATTAAGATATTCAGTTCGAAGCAAGATAATTCTTCTACGAGCTACAGTGTGCATGATATTTTGAACTGAAAGAGGAAGTATGCAATTAGTCTGGTCCCTCGGACCAGAATTCGACCAAAATCTGAATTCTGGCACCCGGGACCAGAATTCCCTTCTCAACTCGAATTCTGGTCCAAATGGCCAGAAAGTCAACGGTCGAGCCACAAAAGAACTCAAAAGTCGAGAGAAAATTCCTTGAGACTCTGACAAACTCCAGTTGACAATCATCTGTATGATATCAGAAGAATTTTGTCTACTCCCCGTGTCCCTTACCACGGGGCTTCGCCCCTTAGGTCCTAAAATGCCGGGGTCTAGTCTAGGGTTAGTTAGGGTTACCTTCAGTAACCCCTCGGGTGAGTTTGTTCCGTCATTTTGCCCAGTGCCCCCTAACACTAACCTTGATTTAAGCAAAGACTAGAATTGAAATAAATTACTGGTTAAATTCGTATCAAGGAGTGAATAATAATAATTGGGACCAGAATTGGGGTTAAAAAGCGAATTCTGGGCCCGGGGACCAGAATTCAGATTATGGTCGAATTCTGGTCTGGAGGACCAGACTAATTGCAACCCTCCCTGAAAGAGGCCACCGAAATATTTTTATCCCTGGTTAAAAATACTGCAAGTATGTCTCTTAACGAGTAGGATTTTGTCGGAAAAAATAGTCGGGGTCACGGTGGAATCCGTTTTCCTAGACCTTACGGATAGGATTTATGGCACTGAGACAATCCTCTAGTTTATGGAAAAGGTGCGACGAATCTAAAAAGAATACTAACAGCGACTTGACGGTCCAATGCTGCTTTACGGCACCCCTCGAGCATTGGAATGTCTGGGAGGGCGAGAACTGCCTTGTTCAAGTATCCGGCGAGGATGTTGTTCGTTCGGCCGAACATATTCTTGTCAGCTTGATCAGCCTCCCAAATACCCTGAATATTTTTGTTTCATAAGAGTGGGAGAAATAATTCTTTACAACCTTCTGGTCTCCATGGGAGCCGAAAGTAGTCGACGACGGGAGTCCCGGGAAGCCGAGATTGTCCCCGCGCATCTGCGTGTACACCTGACCCATTCTGACTGAAACAAAGTTTTAAAATCATTATTTTTGAAAGGCTTTAAATTATTTTTTATTGCACAGATAAATGCTCCGATTACGATAGAAAGAATAGTGCTAAAAGACTCCAACATGATTGATTGGAATAGAATAGCGCCTCGAAAGAAGAAACTTTTTCTTAAGAAAGAATGTGTTTGTTTGGAAGTAACACGACATTTTAAATCAAAGTATAGCAAACGCAGGATATTGAATCATGAATAAAAGGAAAAAGTAAAAGAATTTTGAAGCATACAGGTAGAATGGTGAAGAGCTTGAGGAGAAGATAGGAATTTGGAACGTATGACACAGTTGATTCGTCAGCAGTTAAGCGAACGCTTGATCGCTTCTTGGAGTGCCTCGTCCTCGTCCATTCGCATGTTAAGATCATGTTGAGCTGAATCAGAGAGTATGAGATTATATAAGATACGATCACTTTTGACTTTTGTGTTTCCACGTGTTTTCTACTTTTTTACCTTGTCGCTGACTTTCCATTATCTGTCTTCTCGTTGCAGGATCATTCGCCACGCCCAGCTCTTTGAGACTTTCTTCGATGGCAGCATTCAGCTCAGGATCCTCAAAGTTAGTTTCTCGGCGGTTGCGCCTGTGCTCAGCCACGGTTTCGTGAAGACTTCGATGCTCTTGTTGGTATTCGCCGGGAATGCGGAATACTTTGTCGTCGATTTTTAGTTTTCCATCGGCGTCTACGGAAGTTTTAACGCTGACCATTTATTGCTCAGTTACAGGATGAGCCATTTTACCTTTTTGGCAGAATTCGCCTTCTCCATTAATGTTCTGGAAAGTGACTCTCGCTGTAAAAACATAAAAAAGTGGAACGTCCAGCCTGCAAGGAAATCCTTTCGGAATAAGTTTGAGCATCTCTCTCAGCGACTCAAACCAAGGAATATCATTGAAATTACAAAGAATATCTTAATATTTCTTGTTAGATGAGTCACACGCGCTCGAGGGCAAAGTATACTTGACCGTGGGAGAAAGTCTCGCTTACCTAATATGGGAATGAGCTCATCGACCAGAGAGATCGGACTGTTTTCCGTGATCCAGGCAGAGCCTTTGAAGGATTGACGCTTTTCTTTCATAATTTTCGGACGACCGATATCTTTATTCTCTGTTTCCGGAGTCGGATTAAAGTATTCTTCTGGAGTTAGTCCGTCTTGAATTCTGTTTTACCCGTCTCGTATTGAATTATCAACTAACCTGGATTATACGCTTGCTGGAAAGAACTAGTAGTTGTGTCTGTTAGTTTCGTTCCCTTATCGACACCTAGGATTTGTCCGAAGGTTTCAACCCCAGAGCTGTTGCTTGAGGAGCGTTTTAAAGCTGTCCCATCGGTCTTTTGATTCTCTTCGCAGTGTTCTGTCCTCGTCCTCTGAAGAAGTTCTACTCCATTTATACTGTAAACATCGCAGTCGTATCCAGAGACTTGTTCTTTTTTATCTGATTGAAATCCCTACAATAAAAGATAGTTTGGCTTTCTATTCCGATGGGTTTACCCATATTCCACTCTTAGCATGTTCTATTTTGATTTTGTGGGGATCTACTGACGAAAGTTTGATCGGATTCGTGAGTCTGTGTTGAACTGCCTTTTCCAAGCGGAGTCGCTGGGCCGTGGTGAGACTGACGAATCGTGGATTCAAAGGAGTAACTCTAAAAAAAGAGTATTTCTTTGAATTTTTTGCATCTAGAAACCTATCAGTATTTACTGATCCTTCCTCTGCGGACCAGCTTTCGAAAGAAGCTGTTTTCTCCACGTGGTCGACTTCTACAATGTCTCCGCTTGGAACTTTTGACTTTTCGTTTAGTTTGAAAAGGATACTCTTGAATCCTTTTTTGAAGGACATTTTCTCCATTCCGACAAGGTGAAAGTCGGCTCGAATGTTTGCTCCTTTCTTCCAAATTTTCATCGTATCCGATGGACAAAAACGACCAACGAGCGGGATCATGCTCGTGATCTCCCACTTCATCTCCAGGTAAAGATCGGGCATGCTGAAGAAGTGCTTCAAAAACGCGCTGCGTCCCTGGAGCTCGTTGATTTTTCGAAAACTGGCGCGATTGACGAGAATTTCAATAACCAACTCAGGGTCGCCGATTGACGTTGCTTCGTGCAAGGCGGACCAGCCTCCTGCATTTTTCGAAGTCGGATTTGCACCTAAATCAGTTATTAATGTCCGATAGGGTCAGCTAGAATCACCAGATGAAAGTAATAATCTCGCAATTTCAAAATGTCCTAGGGAGATAGCAATGTGCAGCGGCGTGCGGCCTCGCTGATCCACTCTTTCGAATTCGAACATGTCGAAAGAAGAGCCTCGGATGTACTTTGCCACGTCGTCATAGTCATTGCACCAGACGAGATAGTGAAGCCTGTAATTTTCCTTGAAGTCTTTTTCACTCACGCCCGAATGAAATGACTCCGAGTCGGATAACAGGACATCTTCGGACATCTAAAAGTGGTGGATGTTTTCTTTGCTGCACCAAATGATTTATTATAATAAAATTATTAATGATAACTATCATGTGACTTCACAATTGAGTTTTTTAGACAATTTCAGAAAGAAAATGGAACTCTAAAAAGGCAGGATAACTGAAAAGCGGATTTTTCTAAAAGTGGGATAAACGTAAATTTGAAGTGATTCACTCAAAGCCCGTTTTTTGTTGGAGGCGTTCCAAAAGTCTGGCAGCGGCGCTAGCATTTCGCTCGTTTTCGCAGTTGTTAGCTAGGTAGTCCAGTTGATCAAAGCCATTTGATTCTGAAAGGTTTTGGTTAACAGAGAGATTAAGAGGTGTTGTTGACTGACCATCGAAAAATTGTGCAAAGTCCTCTGCATGCTCCTCGTCATGTGCATCGATGATATTGTGGAGGCGCATCGTTGACAAGAGAACTGTCGACAAAAGTGATTGATCTTGCACATGAAGAGCTGCGATTATTGGTTCAGAGAGATTGTTCTCGCCAGCGAGACGCAAAACCAAGGACTTGTCACCGTTATGAATTATGTTGCACAGAGATCGAATGGCGAAGCCCTGAATTGAAGAAGACTTGGAGCAGTTTTCGAAAATGAGTGTCAGGAAACAAGGGTTCGTCGCGAGATAATAAAAAACACTGAATAGATAAATTAATGATTCAAATTTCCGCTAATAAATAGAGCTAGCTGTTGAAATTCGGAATTATCACGGTCAAGAAATGAAATGATCTTTTCGATGAAATATGGAGTGGCCAGTGCATCGCAGCGCTCTAAGATACGATTAAGACAGACTTTCATAATGGAAGGACGAACCAGAAAATTCTGTGAAGGATGTGAGAGCCTTGAGAACGTCAAGTTTGATTTTTTCGTTACATGTGTCCAGGAGGAAGAGAAGACGAGGGAGAGACCGTATCGCCTGGCTGTGTGATGCTGGTGGATTTTTCCCTTGTAATAGACATCCTAGGAAGAATAACTCATAAAGCAGTATACTCATAAGACCCAGAAGCGTACCGAGTGCCCAAGACTGTGTGCCCAGAAATTGCTCGTCAACAATTTCATCGAACTTTTGGAGACTCACAATGCGCTCCGTAACATTGCTTCGGAGAAGAGCGTTTCGAATACCAACAGAACTGTTAGCTAGATTTCCCAAAATCCAGCAGGCAAGGCAGAGCAAAGGAAGCGATTTCTCCTCTCTTTCTGACATGATGGTTTGTTATGCATGAAATCTTTTTCCACTTGAAAATGGTTAACAATCGTAGATAAAACCAAAGCTGTAAGTATGAACTTTATGTCTTCCAGAAGTCTCGACGGCTGACAAAAAAGGTGGGAAATGAGTTCTTCTGGGGCGACGGCTGTAATATTCACCAAACTCCAGAGCAACTCATATGTGGCGGAGCGAGCTAGATCCCTCAGGTTTGCTGTCAGTCGCAGAAAACTAGCAGACGTACAAATTTTTTCCAGCGAGAACTTACTCGGCGAGGATTCAAGTGTTTTTCTGAAGAACCGTTTTATTGTCTATTACAACTTCGTGTTATAATAATAATATTTTGAAGTTTAGATATTGACGTAAATACGTGCCATAAATACAATAAAAGTTTTAAGTCTCGAAATAATAAACCTATTCAACTCTCTCCCCATAAAGTTCAATCAAGTAAGAACTTAAAGTCTTCCATATAACCATTTGAAATTTAAGAGCATTTAATAAAGAAATAAATAATTTTGTTACACCTACCTGAAATAAGTACATAATCGCTCTGCCTCGTCAGATGCGAGATCGAAGTCTTCTTGAAAGATCCTCGGATCGAGATCGTCTTCCACAAGACGTTTTCGCTTACAATTCGAGTTTTCATCTGATTCTCTTGTTTTCCGTCGCTTTGATAATGAGATATTCTTCCTCAGTCCTCTGAAAGTGCTCTGGTCGAAATTCTGATTGTGAAGAATCTTCCGGACTGTACTACCAGAGGCCTCGATCGTTGCCATTCTAAGCAAAGAAAAATCGATTAATTAAACTAAATTATTGTCTATTCTGTATTAGGCTCTGCATTCTTTGTTTCAGGTACGCTTTTCGGCTCGTCTTGCTTAGTCAAAAGATTGAAACCTGAACAAACCCTCAGTTAAAGAAATATGTGAACTTGACGAGCTGCACCTTTGAAAAGCTTCTTGACATCGTCCTTAGGATAAGGCCTGAGGGCGAGCGCAGTGGGATAGTTTTCTGGCTGTTCCATCCATAGCTTCATTGCGGATTATTATTTAATGAATCAGTACTACCAACATCATCTCACTCATAAAACACCGGTTATTATTAACAATCCTTGAAATCTACGTTGTTGTTTTCAAGCTTTTTAGCAAGCTTGTTTAAATGCTCCTCCGATTTTGCTCCCAAGATGACTTTGTGCATGTTATCGAGATCCTTAACACTCTCTGGCTATTCATACGTCTTTGAGGATGGTCTGGGCTACCTTGAGATATGCTTGCGTTTGCTCGTGTCCATGCCAAAGATGGATCGCCGCGCAGGAAGCATGGCATCCCTGACCGATGAGCGCGCTTTTATCGGGTTAATTGACGTCACCTTTATTCCATGTAAAAATAAGCGATCAGATGCAATAATAAAAATTCAACGAGACCGCAGCTTCGTCAAAACCTTCTTATTAGCTACGAAATTGGTTATTGCCTCGTGATACTTTGATTATCACAGCAGAAGCGATTGAGAACCTGAACAATGCGTGATTAAAAATTATCGTAAATTAAAAATAATCGTAAATTGATATTTGCTGCTTCGTAGCCTTCCTTTATCCTAGGGGCCAGTTCAGATCTCGACGCACAACAACATACTGCACAAGTGTACTCATTCTAGCACTTTTATTCATTCTGCGAAAGAATCTTCTTTCAAGGAAAATCAATGAACGTTTATTTGAACTAATTTTGAAGCGAAATTAAATTGAAATCGTCGGAAAGAGGTCGAAAGGAAGAAATGATTGAATAAGAGAGATCAGAGTTAATTTTTTTCTAAAAAAAAAACGATGGACATCGTTTACCATGTTCTCTTCAATTCTTTATCGCCTCCCCAAGCAGCCATTTTGTTATTGCATGGGCCGCGCATGAACTTTGGAGAGGAAATGTAAGCTGCAATTTTTGGCAGTTCAGCGAATCGCTTCTTGAAGGCCTTGATGTTTTCTAAAGAAGCAAATTCAGGTTAAATGGATATATCTTTATTAATTCATTAAATATCGGTGGGGATTTCCGCACATGCCGGCAGGCGATAAGGTCGAGGACCCAGCTTTGTGGTGGGCAGACGCCGATAAACAACTTACCAAGTCCATCGAAAAGCGAGGCGTCAAATAACTCCATATGATCCAAAATCTCCCAGAACATAAAGTCAACGTAGGAAAGAGTCTCTCCTGCGACGAACTTGCACCCGCTCATGTATCGATCAAGTTGCTTCAGCTGTGGTTTCAGCGTGTTTTCGCAGAAAGTTTCGCGCTGGGCAAAGGGGGTTCTGCCTGAAATGAGAATTGAATGCCTTTGAAATATTGTATTTACCGGAAACCGTAGCAAAGCCCGACGAAGCCTCCTCGAACATCAACGATTTGATCGGCTGCTTGATCGACTCTCCAGGCCTCTGTAAAAGAACAGTTAAATCGCAGCAATCCTAATCAAATGAATACCTGTATCGTTGAGTTTCTGTCCGATATCAAACTTCCTCGCAATATATTTGAGCATCGCAGTCGATTGTGAAATCTTCACATCGCCATCTATCAAGTATGGAAGATTTGGAAAAGCAAATCCCTCCTGGAACTCAGCTGTCGCCTTAACATTTGTCCATTCAGTTCGGTCCCAGCCAGCTTCTGTCTTGTGAGCTATGAGAAGATGTATCTTCAATCCAGTTTCAAATTTGGAAATTACCTTCATAGAAAGTCTCGTTCCAGTCCGCTCCGGCATATTCCAGCATAAGTCGAACACCGCCAACGAGGCCTCGGATGTTCCAGTATCCAACTTGAATAGTCATTCTATTAAAAATAAATTTGAAATGCCGTCGAAAAAAAAACTGTTATATACTCTCAGAAACACCACTTTGGAATTTACAAATGATGAAAAGACACAAAGAAGGCCATCTCTTTTATCTCGACGAATATTCGAGAAAATTAAACAAAAATATCGTGCGGGCTAGTCAATATTGAGTTTTGAAGCGGGTTGTCACAACCAGGAAATTTACTCAGACCCTCGTCAGGAAAATTCCACTTGCAAATTGCAACCCATCTGACAATCAAAAATTAAGAAGACATATTTTTAATGATTATATTGAATGCGTTGTTGAATTAGGAAGTTTATCATCAAGAGCGTGTGCGTCCTCAATAATTCATCCTCACGCACGTTCGATGAAGAATCTGTCCAACCTCAGAGATGCGAGTAATTATGGCATGATTCCCTCGGGGAAACAAGGGTCATTGAATGATTCTTAGTGATGTAGGCTTCGCTGAGTGACGTAGAAATCGTCAGTGAAAGACAGTTTCACTTAGGAATAGCTTAAGATTCTCTAGCGATGACCGCCCGTCAATTATGAGGAAAGGGGATGAAATTCAAGCCCAATCTAATTAGACACATCACACATTCGTCAGAGTCAATTTTCTTCTCAAACTTTGCGCCCACGGAATAAATATATCCTCCTTTACGTATATAGAATCCAGTGGCTAAAAATTCCATCCGCTCTTTTTGACCTTTTTTCTTGCGGAAAAATGTATCTTAACTTTACTGCTAATCTATGGAATAAAAGAAAGCCGTAAAAATATCAGCTCCCTGGGTTCTTTAACAAACGTCCCCATAAAATTATTGGTGCTAAATGCGTAGTATGTACGCAAAAACGTCCAATAAAGCATGGTTTTCTTTTTATAAATTATACCTTATAAATCAATTCGAAATCCTGTTGACGCAAATACCGGCTCAATGATCCCAAGAAACATAACAGAATTTTGATTTTCAATTATAATTAATCAATCTCAAGTGCAACTACCCTTTACTTTTTGTCTATCATTCTGACGACAGAAGAACAACAAAAAGTGAGTAAGGGTGAAAATAAGTCACTTAAAGAGCCATAAAATTACGTTTACATTGTAATTGTCAATTATGACGTTGGCAGCTTTTCACTGTCATAGGTTAGAGAGAAACGAGTAGTCATGAGTTCAAAATGAGTTCCGGGAACCAGCTTTTCTAAGGACTGATAAAAGCGATGTTAGTCTGGTTGCGTGAAAAATTGTTTTCTCAATTAAATCTCAATAATTTGATTTTTAATGAGAGAGAATTTGTTTATAACCAATCGTTGGCTTTGACAAGAAAGAAGTCAGTCTCATTTATTTCATATTCACGGCGCAAAGCGTAAAAACGTCATTACGTATGCGTTTATCTGCGGAAAAATTTCTAATTCAAAGTGAATTGATACGAAACACAGCTGTTCTTCAGGGCGTTCGCGAGCAAATGTTGCGGTGTAACTCTTGACCTCTATTCTGTTTATAATAAAAGATACGACGTGTGACGTCTCCGTCTACGTCATAGTAAATTATTCAAGTCCTATCCCACGACGTATTTTTTCTCCTTCTTGCAGGGCGCATATGTTCCAAGCCAATCATGGAAATTTGTTGGCGAAAGAATCTTTTGCTCTTTTGGAAGAACCCGGATATGTAAGCTGGAGAGTACCCCAATAAAAACGAATCCCTACGACTTACTCCCTAAGTATCGTAGCAATAAAGAAGGGTTAGAAAAACAAATCTGGGTGTCCTTCGCGACTCAACAACAGTCTGACACCGTTTCTACGAGTATAAATTCCGCGCCCGCAAATTTTGAGTTGTATCATTTAGATTTTATTCATGGGCATAAAATTTCACAGTTCGACCTTGAATCCGAGCCCGTTGGCACGATGACACAGGCTTTGTTGTGCGGCTACGTTTACGTCCGCTACGTAACGTGACTGTTTGCTCAAGAGTTTTTTATGAAACGAACGCCCTCACGATATTATAAAACAGTAGCAAAACATTTGGGGCTGTCTTACTTTGCTGTACCATGGTACCCATGGAGGAGGACAGTTACTGTTTTGAAAAACAATAACGTAAAAAATAACAGCTTGCGTTAATTTTTATATCCTGATATTATTATACTGAGTAGCAAATAATCAACAATCTACTTAAAAATTTTAAGTTAAAATTACACGAGCAGAGTCGATCTCTGATTATATTTATAATAAAAGTATTTCGATTTTGATGGAGAACTGTTAAAATAAATTGACATTTCTGACTATATAACTAGTATAATAAGACTTATACTTATTTTAATTCAATCAAAATTAATATTAAGCATATGAATTAATGCATGTTAAACCATGTGAACTGTATTACATAACTATGGTAGGTTTATATGGTCATTCCTGACCGCATTGCGCGCTGCGCCGCATTTACGCTTTAGCGACGCGCTGCTGCGACGCAACAGCGCTAGACAAATTGTGATGACTCATGAATGCCACTATAAAGAGATGAGCATGTTGGAGATTCCCTCAAAATCGAAAGGGAAAAAAACCTTCACAGTGGCGCTAGACGACCATTAGCTAGAGCTATAAAGACGCCCTTCTAATACGCAGAGATGACGATGGTCGATTCCTCCCCGGAAGAAACTCACAGAAAGTTTGGATATCCCTTTATCCATCCTGAACACCAAGAACAACAGTTCCACCACCACTCTCCCCCTCGATTCACTTATCCTGTCGCCATTCCATTCGTACTTCAACCTAGCTATCAAGTGATCAAGCCGAATCCTTACTACAGACAGTTTCAAGAGCAACGATACCGGTAAGGTCCAATCCAAGTAGATTCAGTTTACGATACTTTAATAAATGAGAAACAACCTCAGCCATATAAAACAATAAAAAAGAAAAAAAATACTTTATCGGAGAATAAACGATCTGATAGCACGAGTCTAGGACAAACATAAAAGCTATTAAATCTGACTATAAAGTTATTAAGTTTCTAATAATTATATTTAGAGAACAATTCAGCGAAGAGAGCCCGACTGATATGGCCGAAGACTCTGATTTAGAAGAAATTGATGTAACAGAAAATGATATGGACGACAGCAATATGAACCAAGCTGCTCTCTTGCGGACTTGCATTTCTTCAGAAACACGGTCAAACTCGAGCATTTCGAATTCGGTTGGCGCGAATTTCGAGCAGCTGAATATCACGACAGGAAGTGCTTGTAGCTCGCCTCAGCGGCTCATTACTCCTCCAGAAGGCTCGTCACGAACTTCTTCTGCCGATAGTAAGCCACCATGTCTTCGACAGGTGGAAGAACATGGCCAGTACGATGCTTCTCAGGCCGCTAACAGAAAGTTTGAATGCGACTACTGCCCGAAACGATTTGTCCGAAAGGAGGAAAAACTTCGCCACGAGAGAAGCCACACTAATGAACGAAAATATCAATGCCGATGTAAGTAAAAATATTAATTCTCTGACTAGATTCTGATTAGAGGAAGTGAGTGGGTAGATAAATAAAGAGGGTTGATAAAGTCTTCTTGGCGGAACGTGTGGGACGAATCATCCTTTTTTCTACGCCACAGGCCTAATCAACCTTGCGACCGCCCCCCGCATCGATGATTGATGACTAGCCCCAGTCTAGAGGGTTGAAATCATTATTGAGCTATCATCAAGTTAGGACTAGTCACGTCGAGATTATTCGACGGAATTTGAGAATCAGAATTTCACACTCAAACTTGAAACAAGTGAGTCGCTCATTTCTCGGCTCATCGTGATCTCAAGGTTCATACATCCGAATTCGAACTTGATTTCTTTATAACTTATAAATTGTAAGCAAATATTTTCAAAAACCTTTCAGATTTTTGATTAATGACTAGTGACTAGCTAACATTTAATTCATTCACCGTGTCGACCGCAGGAATTAGCTAGATTTTCGAATTAGTAGACCTTTTTCCTATGTCTGCTAGAATTAATAGTATAAAAAATGCTGTGGGAGGATCTGACGCAGTGGCCGTAAACTTGCGTGACGTAGGGCGTGACATCGACGCTCCATGTTTGTAGACCTCCTTTGTTAAATTTTGATAGAGCATTACGTTTTTTATTTGGTCAGCCCACTCGAAGTATTCTCCTGACGTTTACGTCCGCTCGTTACGTTTCAATAGCCTACGTAGATTCTCAAATATTGATTTATTCATCAAGGTCAAAATTAAACATCATTACCTCACAGAATATACCCATACTCTTTTTCTTTCATTTTGAAATTGCAAAACCTTTAACACATTATCTTTAGTCTGCAATCTACGCTTTCTCCGCGCTGATCACCGCAAGGGACACGAAGACACACACTCTTCCTTCAAAAAGTACAAATGTGAGCCTTGCAACAAGTCCTTCCGCAGAAAAGACGAGTTCAACCGCCATTGTCTGCGAAAAATCTGCAAGCGAAACAAAAAAGATTTCCAGACTGAACACAATGCCTAACAACACTGAAAATAACGTTCAAAAATCAAAGGAAAAAAATCCAAAAAAAATCTTCTTCAAAACCCCTGCCACTCTACGAACATTGATGATGAAGACATTAGTTACAATAACACAAAGAGTTATTTCATCACTGAAAACAAGTTTTTCCTAAAGAGCTGATACTGTTCGAGTTCAATTCCGAAACTGTTCAAAAGAATAACAGGATAAAAAGACGTTCTCCACGCACTCGCCAGAGCGGGTTCTGAAAAGGGCGCGCGAGAGGTTCGAGGTCAATCAGCTGAGGCACTCGCAAGTTACGCGGTAGGACACAAGACAATTGCAAATGAAGCTAAATAGCCCAGATTGAGCTACAAATGCGGGTCAAATCAACGAGGATAATTTCAAGACCTTCAACTTCGAATAAGTTTTTTTTCTACTTATATCTATTCTAGGGTAAACAAATGCGAGGAATTCAAATATGAGACTTATTTTTTGCAGTGGTCTCTGGTGGTGGTGACTTTGCCGTATTTCTTGATGTCTTTGACGTCCGGATGATCGTAGTTGAGCTTGAAGACGTTTCTTGGCTTCTTGACGTTTTCTTTCCTTTCGACGATGATGAGTTTTGGGTCGAGAATCTCAATCTTGGCTGTTCCTTTGCAAGGGTTTACTTTTGAATCAGCCGAACTGCACTGAAGAATCGCTGCTTTGGCTGAGCATGCTCGAACATGCATATTCCATCTCGCATCTCCTCGTCCATATTGTAAATGGTAATTTATAGAGGTCTTATGGACTCCCTCTGTGATGTAAAAAAGATGAGGCTGCTCTTTTGAGCCAGCATATTAGTTTTGCGACAGATTCTGTGAAATCCATCTTGATGAGAAAATTCTGAGTCGAATGATATATATATGTCCAACCTTTTGGCGACATCTAATTACTTCCAGTTGTTTTGTCCGCTGTTTGATGATAATGATGAGAGAACTTCCGCTCGCAAATGTTCCGATGACACCTGGTATTATGCTCATTTGCTTACCCAAATATCTTACCGCGCACATCACCTGGGCTCCTGCTAATTTGCTAATCCTCATATCCTACCGGGTGTGCCCATCTCCTACCGCGTTACTTGCGCGTGCCTCAGTTGCTCCACCCTTGCCCCTCTCGTGCGCCCTTTTAAGAACTCGCCCTGGCAAGTGCGTGGAGAACGTCTTTTTTCCCGAATAACATAAATAAATGATACCTTATTTAAAATTCCATGTTGATTTCATCACTTGATCTCAAAGCAAGTTCAAAAAAGTGACAAGCTAAAAATACAATTTGATTGTACTCTTCCATGATTGCAAAATACCCCCGCGTCTCCAAAAATTAATCCCTCAGAGCTAGTACTCTTGAATAGCTATAAACAGCACTTGTCAACGAGTTATAAAAATAGAAAATCATGATATCACTAGCATACATCATCATCATGACGCCCAAGTTGGCACTTGCTTCGGGCGACCGCAAAGCTAATCCTAAAATGCGAGCATACCTCAGCAGGTGTGCCTGAACCCTTACTCATCCCATGAAACTCATTCACTCCTCGTTAACGGGGCCTTTGATCTACAAATTGCTCACGAGTTATTGTTGCTCACTAAATTTATTACTACACTGAACAAGAGGGTTAGAGTGAGTCAGTGAAAAGGGATGAAGCGTCATTGGGAAATCATTGAAGAAAATACTTGAATAGCATTTTTACTAAACCTAACGAATTGCACCGAGTACAAACAACTGCGTGAAAGAAGAAGAGATCTTCTATCGTTTTCCTTTTTTGCCAGGCTTTTTGCCTCCTTTTTTGGTAGTTTTCTTTTGGGGCTTCTTCGTAGGTCCAGCGTCTGTTCGAGGGGAAGCAGCTGCTCTCGGGCTAAGGCTGAGTAAGTATGGGCAGAAATAAAACTACATGAAAACTTAATTGTCAGACGATCGTCTACTAACCTGTTATGGGCATTCGACCGATCAAGACGTTCCATAAGATCTTGTTGTCCAGCAACACCTTGGTTTCCGACACCAATCTTGGCTCTGTTATCACGACGCTTTCCTTAACAAGTGGTGCGTATAAGTTCCGAACCAATTAGGAATTTATTGATAAATTACGTGTTTTTGGTCCCTAAAAGGGAGCACTTCCATAACTGGATATTTCAATGCGTAAAAGCCTTTTAGCGTCATTTTGTCGCTTCCTAGCGGAATTCTGAGTTAATATGAATCAAGGAAATTGTGTAGCTGGCTTTCCGTGTCAAACGATATTGACGTACGGAATTTCCAATTCAAATTTCCAAAAACATAACGCCCATTATACTCAACGAAATTCGAAAAGCAAAATTGCTGACAATTGTCACTTATGCTGCCCTAAATAGGAGAATGAACTCAGAGAAGAGTATCAAATTAAATTAAAGTCAATGACGGTTTTTGGCTAGACTGAATTGATAATCGAAGATAGACATTTCTCCCTGGTTCACATCAGCCTTACGACAATCTCAGACACTCCTCAGGGGTGGATTTTTGATAATAAAAAATGTGATCTTCTCATGGACTTTCTTGATTCTATCGATGAGACCGCAGTTCCAGACTAATAAAAATTATCGCATCACGGGCCTTTGTAATAAGGTCGTTCTCGCAAGGGCATCCACCGGTATGGGTCGACGGCGGCATTGTTGGGCGCTTCTGGATCAAAGTTCTTCGGATATCGAGGCTTCTTTTTCTTTTTCGACTTGGTTTTTCGAGGAGCCGCTTCGTCGGCAATTTTAGCTTCTTGTTTTGTCTCATCTACTTTCTTCACGACCTTTTTGTAAGAAGTCTGCTTCGCCCATGTTTCGATGTCCTCGAGATCTAAGAAATGTCGATCTTTTCACCTTTTGTTTTGTTACCTAGATCTGCAGTGAGCTCTTCGAGAGACGGGAGCCGTGATGAAACTACAGCAGCTTTCTTAGGATCGATTTTGGAGTAGGCATTTATTAATTCGGCAACGACAGCGAGGTTGTTTGGCTACGCAGAGAGAAAAAGAAATCATACTAATGAGTCTGTCTATCATACCTCTGCTTTATGAATTTCTTCTAGCATGAGAGCGGCAGCTTCAGTATCACCAGAATCGATTTTGTACTGAGCTAATAAAAGGCTCTTAAAATTTGAATGAAAACTAAAATTTGATGAGCATCTTGACCGGATGGACGCTTCAAAGGCCAAAAGGATTAAAATCAAGGATGAATATGTAAAATACGGATAAACTAGAATGAGAAATAAAATGATTCTTTCATTACAATAATTTATATAAGAACCACCCTGATCGACGCAGCATCTTCACTACATTAGTGGTATTATTTCCAGCATTCTTTTTTTGATAGGAAATCGCCATATCAAGTGCACTTTCCGCCTTCTCGTGATTTCCAGTCTCGGTGTGAATCGCAATCAGCATGTTGGAAATTGTAGGATCATGCCGAAGATTAACTGGGAGGGCTTCGAGCATGCTCGCCGCGTGAGTCAGTTCGCCAGCTTAAATGACGTTAAACTTATACTTATGATTAGGAGTAGTCCTCCGGAGTGCAAACTAGAATGAACTGAAGTCACTGCACATGTGATGGAAAAGGCCCATTTAAACGCTAGATAAGTAGTGACACTAACGAATTAATAGTACCTTCAATAAACATGGAAGCCGCTTTGATCGCCGCAAGCTCTGCCTGTGCATTTTGCTGGCCCCATTTAAGCAGTTCTGCAGAAGCTTGAATGTACTCTTTCTCTTGAAAAAGAATCGAAGCGTTGATCACATCGTCGTCAGTAGCAATTTTGCCTAGAATTTTTCGACATTCAGCTGGTTTGCCACTGTATAAAGCAAGAAGCGCTCGATTCTTCGTTGCAGCGGTTCTTTGCGGGCCAACTAGCTTAGCATCAATATTCGTTGCTTGGATAGATTTAAACTTCTTTCGAGAGTCGAGGATATTGTCAGCCTTGTTCAGCGTTCCCAAGTTATGGTTAGCTAAAGCATTGTAAAGCGGGTCGTTTGAAGTATCGATGACTAAATTGTAAGCCGTTTTTGCTTCTTTCACTTTCCCAGTGACTTGTTTGATGTAGCCACTCTGGAATCGGATACCAACCAGTTCACTCCCGACATCCTCGTCAAAGTCTTCGGCAGTTGATCGGCAGAGTTGCTCTGCACGGACGAGCTCTTCCTGCGCATTTTCGTAATCTCCAGCACCAGTAAGGCGGCAAGCATTATTGAAAGCGGCTTCGTATGTATCGCCAGTAACACGAGGATCGTAGTTATCACTCAACTCCTTCTTTTCTGCGACAGTGCCTGGGCGATATTGGGAAACCATAGCAGCACAAGCTATCATATTTGCGATTCTTTCGGGCTCAAAGTTGTCGACTGTATTTCGAAGAGCATCCTGGTAGATTTCAAATGCCTCCTCCCATCGCTCAAGTCGGAAATAGAGCTGTGCACGGAGTTCGTTGCACTTTTCATCATCTGGAAATTTTTCCAGGATTTCCAGCGCTTTTTCGTTATTTTGAATGCGATAGAAGCAATATGCTTTTTCAAAATGCAGCTCGTTGTCAGTTTGATTCAAGCTCTTGATCGCATCTGCGTACTTTTCTAATTCGATTTGCGCGATTGTCTTGCATCTCAAGGCGTCTTGATCATTGTATCCCTCCTTTGTATGAAGGATTTTGTTCGAAACTTTGATCACGCTTTCATAGTCTTGCTTTTGGATCGATTTTTGAAGCTCGGTGAAGAGTTGCGGGACTGTCTGCTCAGTATTCTGAGCAGGAGCCATTCTAAGATCATATGAAAACTTCTCATCTTATTTTTTTCCTTTTTATTAAGCACGTAGAAGGCAGTGAAAATAGAAGAATACATAAATTACAAAAGAAGAATAGACAGTATGGCGAAGGAGAAACCAAGTGGGAGGAAGCCAGCTTCGAGAATCTCGACATCGTCTTCAGGAAATTCTTCTTGAAGGAGCTTTTCGAAGACAGTCTCGACAAACTCGATTTCATCGTTATCATCGGAGTGCACATTGACTTTTGGCTCAGGGGTGGTGGTCGTCTCGATCTTGGGTCTGGCAGAAGTTCGCTCGAGAACATCGTTGTTTTGAGTAGAGACAACTTCATCTTGAGCTTTTGTCGAGGTCGTGGTGACATTTTTAGTTGTAGAAGTCGTGGCTTTTTTGGTCGTTGTTGTAGTGGTTGGCTTAGTTTCAGTAGTAGCAGCAAATTCAGTCGTCGTGATGGGCGTTTTAGTTGAAACTTCAGCAGTAGTAGTAGTTGGTGCTTCCTCGATGAATTTTGAAGTGGTTGCTTTCTTGTTGGTTGTGGTGGTGGTCTCAGCAGTTGTGGTGGTTGAAGAAGTTGTTGCTGTGGTGGTTGTAGTTGTAGCCTTCCTAGTTGTAGTAGCCTTGGTTGTGGTAGTGGTGGTAGTCGTAGTGGTGGTAGTCGTAGTGGTGGTAGTCGTAGTGGTGGTAGTCGTAGTGGTGGTAGTCGTAGTGGTCGTAGTCGTAGTGGTGGTAGTCGTAGTGGTGCTAGTCGTAGTGGTGCTAGTCGTAGTCGTAGAAGTCGTAGTGGTTTTAGTTGTAGAGGTTGTAGTTGTACTGGTGGTAGTCGTTGTGGTGGTAGTCCTTGTGGTGGTAGTCGCTGTGGTGGTAGTCGTTGTGGAAGTAGTCGTTGTGGTAGTAGTCGTTGTGGTGGTAGTCGTAGTTGTGACTTTTTTGGTTGTAGTAGTTTTAGCAATGGTTGTTGTGGGTGCAGCATCTTGTTTCGCTTCTTCTTCCAATAGAGCGTCTAATTCAGCCAGCAGAGCATCATCCTCAGCGGTGTAATCTCCGTATTCAGCTTCGAACTCAGCAAGCATCGCTTCCAACGCTGCGAGATCATCGTAGTAGTCTCCGTAGAGAGCAGCCTCGGCGAAGAACGCTTCGTCGTAGTCGTATTCGTCAATCTCTGTTGGAGCTTGTCGTCGTTCGCGGTTTGCTAAAGCAATGCTTGGTAAGAGAAAAAGGGAGATGGTCGAAAAAATCATTTTTTGTTTTTTTTTTTGTTTTTTGAAGGTGAAACTTTGGTTTTTGTTTGAGACTCTGACCGAGTTGATATGGTAGACTGGAACCGGTAAGCGGATTATATTGACGGATGAGGGTGGTGGCGCAACAACAAGGAGGCACCGAAGTGGAAACCGGCTGAGTGCATTTCCCTGCATCAGCAGATGGCGCTGAAGCGGAATAAGGGATGTATTGGGCCATGGGTACTGATTTACTGTGATGATAAGGGGCGACGAGAGTCTAATTGACCTCTATCCACGTTTTATCTGGCTTTACGAGGAAGCGGCGATACCCGAAGGATCTCTAGTGTCCGCAATCTACGGAAACTGATCTTGTTACAATTATTGGATGGTTTCCCTTTTCTATGTCCATTTTCGGCTCTATATGGAAGTCGAATCGCCAATTTTTCCAACAGTAATAATCACACATTTCCGTCAGTAATAGCATGAATGGACACCCTGGTAGGCGCTAAGCGAATTTATTATAGCAAAATTATCATATTTCAAATTTTTCCAAGGCCCGGAAACGCAGTGGACAAAACTGTGCTTCATAGCACTAACTACCAAAATTGGATATGGTTTGATAAACGGAATTTTTCACAAAACCAGTTTTCTGCATTTCTTTTTCGATTACCTAAAGTGATGGATGAGCAGTGACTTCTAGCGTCGTGCATTCCCGTGTTTAGTCAGCGAGCTTCGTCCCGGCTGAATGAGCTGTTCTGATTGATGTTTTGATCAAGCACATCAGGTGGATTCCGGTTTTGAGAGGTTTCAAATTTTCAAGTGACGGTGAGGCATTTTCTTAAATTTCAACTTGTGATTTTCAGAATCGATCGACTGGAAAAGGGAATATTTTTTTTTTAATTTTATTTTTGAAAGGGGAACATGAAGAGTTAACGTTAAAAAATCGCAGATAATAAATGTTATTTTAACTTTAAAATCAGTTCAATTAAAAAAAAGTGGCGAGTGAAAAAGAAGAATAAGTGAGTAAGTGAGGTTTAACGGTAGATAGAACGAGTTATGGCTACTATCTAATAATTGTGAATAGAAAAGAAAAATTCAAGCGTTGCAGCACCAGAAAAATGCGTAAATAATAAATATAAGCTCGGGAAATAGTGAGAAGCGGAGAATATCATTCGTAAGCTGCATTTTAAAAAGCTGGTTTGAAATTTCAAAAAACATGGGAATAACTTTTATTCAAGAAAGGGAGCCAGCAAATTGAACACTGTTGAAAATGATTCAAGCAAAACCAGCATTTGGCATGCTAAGAATCAAGAAAATAGAAAAAGGCTGGATTCATCGTTGAGTCAAGACTACAGAAGCATAAAAACGGATAAAAATCAAATTAATGGAAACAAACAAATTAATCGTATCAGATGACTTTTGGCGCTTTGATCCTTTGCAGCTCAAAACGGAAGATTTCAGGTCATCAGATCGAATCACGATGGACGATCATTGATACTCATGATAGACGATCGTCAAAGAAGATTATTATTCAAGGGAAACAGACAAAAGCAATAAAGGATTTTACGGATAGTTGTGATTTTTGTTCGATGCAAATTATTTTAATTTGATCTTGTTTGAGTTTTCTGACAAGATTTGGGGAAATTTTCGCACTGCGAAAATTCCGTGATCATATTTTGCTTTATTTTTTCGCAAAAAGGTTTTTGTTTGTTAATATCTTTTGTGAACTAAAAGGAAATAATGGAACGTGAGGAAACTAGTGGTAGAAATACACTCTTCCGAAAAGCTTGAAGGTTTTTTTACAAAACATCACCTCAAAATAAAGTTTTTGAGAAATCGGGAGATTCATAACTATAAATGGCGCAAATTTGAAAGTGATAAGAAATCGAAAGTGAAATAAGAAATATTGAAAAAGATGGAAGCACGGGAATTTTAAATGCAAATGCAACTTCATTTTTTCTGTCAAAAATTACAGTAAGTGTGAGTCTGAAACTGAAGTGGTTTGAAAATGAAAAAGGAGATGCGCAAAGAAAGGATCTTGCAAATTGTTTTTCTTACGGTGATTTTCGTTTTGCTTTTTTTTTGCATTTTACTGTATGGCTCAAGCCATAACGCTGTCTTTTCAAAGAGTGACGACTTTTTTTCTTTTTTTTTATTCTGTGGAGTCAGGCGGGAACTGTTTTTGGAAATTTTGGACTCTTTGGAACTGATAAAAACTTTGAATTTTAACTGTCGAATTCTTAGTAAAATTAGGCTGAACCCCAATTATCCGTGAAACTGAAAATTATTTTTCAACTAAATTGTAAATTCGAGAATTCTATTAAGGCTATAACCTCTCTTTTGGCCTCTCTGGAAAACGGACTTTCTTTGGTCGATTTCAAAAATTTAAAAGGCAAACATACTTGTTTTTTCCTAAAGAATTCAAAAATGCCATCAAAAAATACTTTTCTTTAGTAATTTTTTGCCCTAGAATCATTCAAAAATCGCCATTCGGTTTTCCAAGAAAACTGGAAGCTCTGAGGTAGAATAAACCCGATAATAATATTAAGTAGAGCATATTCTATGATCCCTCTGGAAAAAATTTTAAGAAATTGTCCAAATTCTGATTATGGTTCTCTCTTTTAAAACTCTTTTGTTTATAGACTGACGCTTGAGATCCGCGCAGCCAATCAGAGCGCGATGAATCGCTTGACTCACACGCTCGCCAACAGCGCTCTCTTTTTGGCCTGGAGGATAGCACTCCGCGCAGCGCGTCCACGCGCATTTTTATCCTCAGGTGCCAGCACTAACATGGCCCTAGAATGAAAATTTGAACATATACCGAAGATTTTCTCCGTAGGGATTGTAGAGAAGGCTTTAATCTATCAATTGATCGAAAAAAATCTACCTCTGTAATGGTAAAATTCTTCGGAAAACCGAATGGCGTTTTTCAAATGATCGTAAAAACGAAATTTCGAAAGAAAAAATAATTTTTGATCGCATTTCTGAAATCTACGATAGATTTTGAGTATATGAGCCTTTTCAATTTTTGAAATCGACCAAAGGAAGTCCGTTTTCCAGAGAGGCCAAAAGAGAGGTTATAGCCTTAAATTGACACTTATGTGAGGATAAAAATGAATGGCCGATTGACTGTTGACATCTGGTCTGATTCCAAGACGCCGAGAAAAGAAACGATAAAAGCCCTAATTCGATAGCCAGCCGAATAATTCAGTAGCCTACCGAACGACTCGGTAGCTTCCATCCTCGCCTAAATTTTTCTTCGGGATAGCGAGAAAGGGTCGTAATCGTCCATTTTCCCGGCGCTAGAATATGGAAGCAGAATAGAGTGTTCTGGAAAAAATGCGTGGAGAATGTGCGGATAAAAGGAAGGTGAGAATTTGAACTTTGAAAGAAAGCGTCTTCGATGTCGATTGAAATTTATCTTCAGTTCATGACTTCATGACTGTAATCGACGATTTCGAAGGGGTCACTCTTGTCTTGGAAGGAGCGGGAGACGCTGGTCGGTGCCTGGTCGTAGCTGAAACCTGGATACGTAGTGTCTTCGATCATCGACCGATTCTCGTCCGAGCTTGGCAGCACGCGGCGTGGGTCCAAACGCGTGAACTCTCCGTCGAAGTGGCTCACATCGTCTGGCCCGTTGATGTACGGCGTGAATTCGGGCTACAAAATTAGTCACTCTCGGTCTACGATATCCAAAGTTCCCCTTTCTTTTTCTATTTCAAAAGGATGACCTAGAGAGATCTTATCAAATTTGAAAATTTCACGGAGATTTTATTACACCGTCGAAATTCCAAGTCCTCCTTTGATTCTTCCCGCGGCACAGTAATTACGGGCTCTGTTTAACGAAGCATTACGAGGAGGAGGAGGTTTACTTACTCGGATTTCTCGTCGCTCAAGGGCGTTGAAATCGACATTCAAGAAAAACGGATGTGATTTGACCTCGACGACGCCGTTGAAACCGAGACGCGTTTCAGGATTTTTGTTGAGTAGTCGGTGAAGAAGATCGCAGGTGTCGCGGGGGATCTGAAATTATGGGAAAATGATCAAGAGAGGGTTCCTACTCTGTTCGGCAGAGGTGGGACTCGTTCGTTGCAGATTCGCTGGTACAGTTCATCATGAGAGGACCAAGTTGGCCAGGGGAGTTTTCCGACGATCATTTCGTGGAGAACGATTCCAAGCGACCACCAATCGACTGGAAAGCTGTAGGGATAGTCGTCAAGGACTGAAAATGATTGTTTCAAGATGCTCTTATTATTTTCATAACAGACCTTCGGGCGCCAGGTATTCTGGAGTTCCGCAAAAAGTTCTGGTAATTTGATCATCCCGACTGAGCTCCTTGCAGAGTCCGAAGTCAGTGATTTTGATGTGGCCGTCAGCGTCGAGCAATAAATTCTCGAGTTTGAGATCGCGGTAAATGATATTTTTCTGAAAGGGGAAATCGGAAAGTGTTTATGATTATTAGGGTCAGGATTAGTAGAGAAAAGAGAAAAATGGAACTAACCGAGTGAAGGTAGCCGAGAGCAGAGGTGATTTCCGCGCCGTAAAATCGACACCTAGAAATCGGAAAGGTGCCACATCTGGATAAGTGGGTGTAAATTTCGCCACCTGGTCCATCGGGTTTAAAAAATCGCTTCACTTTCCTATTTTTTTATAGCAAGTTTGATTATTTCTTAAAAATCTATTCATAAAAGCGCGTAAGATCAGGAAAATAAGGAGAAAGTGAAGTTGAAGTTAAAATTTTGAACCCGTTCCTCGTGCAAATTCCATTACCAAGCATAAATGAGTTTGGGACTGATTGTCAGGTCATGACTTGAAAGTTCCCCCCGCTGAATTCAGTTCGCAGTTCGCGCCACTCAACTTGGTATTTCAGCCGCGATTTAATGCAAAACTGTCCGCCACGTGAATATCGCAAATCAGATTTTTCAACTTTAGAAGATTTTTGCGATTTGCCTTCTCAAGAATAAAAACTTGGCTCATTGACCAAAAGTTCAGAAAAAGAGCGAATTCTATATTTTTTTCACGCTCAAGATTCTCACTGAATCGCTAGAAATTTCTCATAACCCGGGGATTTTATATTTTTGATTGTTTAGCCCCGAAGAAGTGGATAATCTCATGCTTCAAGAACAATCGACGATTGTTCCAGATTCTCAAAAGTCGATTGTGGAATTTTTGACTTTCAAAAAGGATGACCTGTGCCTGGAAAGCGTAGTAAAGTCGGACGAGAAAGGGGTGGTTGATGTTTCCGAGCACCTGTCGCTCGCTTCGAGTGTGTTCAGTTTCATCCTGAAATAAAGAATTATTGTTATCGGCAATTGCGAAAAGAGGAGAATCTTTGAAAAACGAGATGAGATGAGAAAATATCATCGCCGCGCTCTGAGCCGGCTTTGATAGATTCATTCACGCCGGAAACGGGAAATTCTTTCTTTCTCTTCCCCTGCGAACGTGCTCGCCTAAGCAAATACTTTTTGTCCATTCTTGGCAAAATTATCAAAAAAAGCGTCGCGGGTCATCCAGGGTCCATTCTCTTTCTATCAAAATAAACGCGAACATTGGACGCCGTAAACTAGGCGAGTAGACTCTCTCCCTGCAAATTTAACTTTTTTATTAAAATATTGTCTCGTAGAATTTCTATTAATACTCAATAAAAAGCTAAATTGAAAATGCCCTTCCATGGGAAAGATCGCAATATATTTTATAACTAACCTTTTGGCGGATAACTTCTTTAGAGATGAGTTTTAAGGCTAGACGTCTCTTTGAGCTGTCATCCTTTTTGTAGACGAGAAGAACGCTGCCGAAAGTCCCCCGCCCCAGCACTTTTTCTGTTTCGAAATCTGTTATCGAAAGTCGCGGCCTGTAGATATCCCTAGAGAAGAAACGATAAGCTATAACAACACTCGAAAGCGGGAAAATGCACCTGGCCATGGGAATTGAATGTCCTTCTCCTATCTCCACTTCTTCCATTAGTTCGTCGCATTCTATCGTTTCTTCGGGATGCCCGGACACTTCCTCGATGCAGCGGACCCAATCGTCGCGATCGTTTGAGTTTGCCGCTCTATAATTTTTTGGCTACTTGATTACGTAACGACTTTGCACAGATTTGACCTGGGCGGCCATCCTTGAATAAATTCGTGTCTAGTTGACTAGCGCAAGATAGAAGAAAACTCCCGGAAGCGGGTAGGACCACCCAAGGTTACGAAGAAAAGCAATAAAAGTAAATTGAGAAATTACTAACATCAGTAAAGCAATTTTACGCGAAATAAGCAACAAAAAATGGGAACTTACTGGAAGTTTCTGTCGATGACGCCACCGTTTCTCTGCCTGCATCGTAGGGCAAATCCAGTGTCCCTGACTTTTATCAGTTGCGCGTCTGAAGTATATGATAGAAGGGATTCGCTGTGTTTGGACAAGAACTGCTGTAATCGGACCGGAACAAATTCACGTATCGGACAGTTGGAAGCGCCACGGATTATAGAGTAACCGATGTAAATTATTCTCACGATTCTTGTTCAAACAAGTTCAAACTAGCCAGAAATTCCGCTTCCCCGCGAATTTGAAAAAGGAAATTTTGCTGACCGGAAATTTGAACGCTCTTGAATCACGACCACAGCTGCTTTTGTTTGACTTACTGTTCACTGAGAAGTTATTTTCGGGATTGGCGTCGTTTTGCCGCGGTTCACGGCGGTAACCATTGAACGTCCCGTCCGTGTAGAGGATGAAGTAGCGATCGCGCCAGTTCTGGATGAACTCGCCCCGCTTTTTCAGCGGGCCTTGCTTTTTTATACTCCTGAAAACAACCAGTTGAATGAATGTACAATTGAATACTTTAAACGGTTTACTTTGTCCCATAATCTATCTTGAGATGTAAATTGGCAAATCAAGTTACATGTCTATACATATTGGAAAATAATGCAATTATATCTGACGCATTCAACAGAACGCACTTTTATTTTCTTATCGATTGTAAAATTTAATGTCATTTGATTTAATGTCATTTGAGTCAAAGAGTTTCATAAAATTACATTCTAGCAATAAAACAGTTGAAAACTTACATGGTGAAATGAGTTTCTTCTCACAAAGAGCTTGTTCTTTCCAAGTACCGATTTCAGTCTAAATTTGTATAATCAGCATTGACTGCAAATCAGCAAAGTTGACAGAGGATTATGCCGCTTTGGAGTATTTTACAAAGCTAGACGGTAATATGAGGATGGCGTAGATTTTGCTCAAAGGACTTGTGACGCTGTGAAACAAGAGAAACTGGGTGACCTTTCTCAAACTTTTTATTCAAGAGCATGTGCCTGTACGACGGGCATGGTTTAGGGGGACTTTTTAAATAAAAATACCTAGGTACTAATAGGTTCCTAATAGGTACTTAGGGGTGGTTATTTATTTTGGTATCAGCTGTTATTCTTATAATTAATCTTCCTTTGGACGATTTCGGGCAGGAAGAAATCTCTGTTCGTTGAATAATTTCGTAAGTTCGAATGTCCTTTTCGTACGAGTATTTCCCAACAAGCCTCTAGAGAAAAAAACTGATGGGCATTAAATCTAGTAAAAATATTTATTTTTAGTGAAAAAGGAAAAAAAACTTTGAAGGGTGGGAATTCTCTGCGTGGAACATTTGGCGCTCGTAAGGTGGCTGAATGGAGTAGTTGTGGGATCGCGACTACCTTCATGCTGCGACTAAACTCTATTGCCCTCAAGTCGTTTGTCACCTCCAACACCCGCTGCCTGGGCAATTCTGATGCTCCTGGTGCCCGCGCGGTTTATTTTTGGTGGACAAGGCAACTCCTCTTTGTCTAGCCAAGTATAATTGTAATTTTAACGCAAAAATAAACTCAATTTTCCATAAATTGACAAAGCTATTTATTCTACACATAGCACTAGATTAAGACTTTCCGAAAAAATAAAAAATTAGTGAACTTTTTCAGAATAAAATTGATTATTTTTGTAATAAGACCGTTCTCGTATTTTGAGGTCACCTTTGTACTCGATGGGGCCAGTTTTATCTCCAAGAGGACTTTCTCTCTCTGTTTGATGGGCGGGCTGTGAGACTTGCTTTCTCGCTGATCCAAAAATATTTTGATTCTTCCTCCTCGCAACTGATCCTCAACACGAGTCCCGATTGCGAAAGCACAGTTGAATTCAAGTATTAAAATAAATCAATTTCTTCCTGATGAAACGTAAAAATGCGTAACTTGAGTTGGAGGTAGCTATTGTAGCACGAGTTATTTTGATGATGTCATATCTTCGAAATGTTTTGGAAATTCGCGGGTATTCCAAGTCCCCTGTTGTTAACGTTCTTTTGACCTAGGTCAGTTCCAACTTCTAAGGCTAATTTTTTAATAAAAGTGAAGTTAGTGTTGATCAAATAAGCGTCGCCATCTTGATAGACCGAGAAGGCGATTCTCAAGACGATCGATTTGTACGAATCTATTTGAGTATCACTTGTTTTTATCTTCGAAAACTTATCGAAGAAAACCAGGCTTTCGATACAAATTTCCATCTCGTGCAATTTTACTGTGTGCCCACACAGGCCTAAACGTCTTCGAAAGGATTAAAAATTGCTCATGTTCTTAAAAACTTACACCTGATAATTGACAAATTAACAGTTTGGCCGTCAGAAAAAACACATCGCGCCACATTCTTCAATTAATCGTGTACTTTTATTACCAACTATTTGATGTGGTACTTAATAATTGCGATGACGTACAGGGCTATTGTTGGGATTCTGAAAAAGAAAAATGTTCGCCTGGTATTCAATAGACCATAGAAAGTCCTAATGGATGATTATATACAGGGGTAATAGTTGGAAACTTTCAAGAAACATTTCGGATTGTAAAAAAGATTCAAGGAAAAAGTAGAGTACCTTTGAGCGCAAAGATCAGGCGTAAGGGGGCTGCGCGGGCGTATCTTTTTTTAGCGAGCGGGGTGTGCGTTTTTATATCTTATTTTGTATTTTTTGTGTGTGAAAAGAGAAGAAAGAGTTGAGTTGTAATTTGCGGTGTTGGGTGCACTTGTGGACGATGTTTGAATCGCTCAGCTCACGCTCGCTAGTGCTCCTCTTGTTTATGAAAAATTGTTGCCGAACGTGAGGACTCTCCGGCTGAAGTTGAACGTCGTCTGGGTTGGACACGCGAAGGGAGAAAAATGCGCGCAGCTAAATGCGACAGAACTATTCCAATGCGAATTGTCCGACAACGATCCAGTGTTCAACGAACGAAAGGGTCCACAGTCCCCGTTTGGATTGAATTGCTCGACTGAGGTGTTGTTCTGACAGCGCATTAACTGGCATTAAAACAACGCTTTTGTTTGATCGCTCAGAAATGTAACAATGGAGTGATGAATGAACGACTGAAAATCGGGAATAAAGTCAAAACAACGCAATACCTGGATTGCTTTTTCTTTCGAAAACAGATTAAATATTAATGCTTTAACTTGGTTCCCGGCGGAAAACAAATGTTCATAAATAAATGAAAATAGATATTTCTCGTTCAAAAATTTTGGTTAGTAAAGACTATGATTGATGTTGCTACAATCTTAACAATAATATTTTCCAGCATTACTAGTCTCCTAGCGTTTGACAAGCTGTTGTCACGACAAGGTACTAAGGAGTTAACATTCAAATAACAGAGTTTTCTGTGGGAAATGTTCCGAATTCACTTGGGTCATTTTTAAAAGGTCTGTGGGAGGTTTTTCGTCTGACAGACTCCGATCTTGACTCTAGCGGCTTAGGCACACACACTTGCTCGGCTTTACGCAATCAAGAAAAGTGAGAGACCACCAGTAATCGAAGAGCGATCAAGGTGATAACGAGCAAAAGAGGGACCACCTATTGCAATTATATCCTTATTTCTAAGTTTCAAAGCGATTTGCCATAGAAAAGTTTTTATACAACACTATTCCGAATAGTCTATTCGTGTTTATACAGATCTGTCTTTCTGGTGAATGCGAAGCTTAAAAAGAACTAAAGGACTTAAAAAAGTTTTTAGCGTAAACTTACGATTCTCGGGGGCACAAAGGGCGATAAACTTAAATAAAGAAATCTTCTAAGATATTCTCTCGGAAAGTAAAAAAACGCATAACAAACATTAATTTGTGTGAAACTTGGCATACTTGGTTTCTTTCCAATCGCAAAATATTTAACTAGAACGAAAGTTTGGATGATCTCCAACTCTTTCTACCACAGTTGGATTCCGCAACTCTCTCTATTCTTCGCCATAAAACATTCTGATGTGCTCTGATGACCCTTCTTGTAGCGCCCATCAAGGAAAAACCAAGGTCTAAAATTAAAAACACCGTTTGGACCCAAATATGTAAAAAATCATAAACTTTTTCTATAGGAAGTCGTAAAATATGAAATTTCCCATTCGTGACGTGACTTTCCAGTATTTATCGTTCTATTAAATTCGTATTTTATGCTTGCATTCCATTTAAACATTATTCCTTGGATCGAGTCACGCTTGAAAAGATCGGCATTCTTGAAAATTTGATATACTTTCATCACCCGCCAGTCATGTTGTTAGCATTCTGATGAGATGGCTACTTTTTAGAATACTGTTGAGAATCTTTTTCCACATCAACAGATACTTCTCTCGGTACTTCTTGCTTATAATTCATAATTGAGCTTTTTTAATTTGATAAAATAGACTTTAATTCATTACATAAGCAAGGAACTTTTATGAACCCATTTGAAATTAGACCTCTTCCACTGATGACATTTATTCATAAATAAAATTACTTCCCTTAATCCACACGATAATAAAAATACTAAACTAATGATGAATAAACATGGTATTTCTGTACAACAAATCTATTTTTTGGTAGTAGAAATCATCAAAAGACGTAGAAAACAGCTTTTTTCAAGAAAACCTTCCCTTTAAATGGAAAATATTTATTGATCTTCTCTTTGTCAGCTCTTTTGAGAGCCCTGAGCACTGACTCATCTATACGCTGGACCTGTCAAGTCTACTACGAGACTGCAAAACGTACACATACCTCGTTAAAAAGGGAAATTTTCGATCAATAGGGCTTAAAGGAGCGTTGAGAAACGCCGTAATTTAAGTATAAAAAAATGTGTATATAACACAATACAACTTCCCTGGAGGTATATCCGATGGGTTCATTGTCTATCTTTCAGAAAAATAAACTAGTAAACTGGATAATTGTCAACAGACATTCAATATTCAAAGATCTGACAGACTGGATTTTGCTCTAGTGAAAGAAAAGGACAGTGGTTTCATTTCAGAATTGAAGATTTATTCGTGAATGTTTTAAGTTTGTTGAAGTTGTTTCAATTAGTAGGAGATTCTTCTCTTGGGCATTTTTGAAGCTAGAATTTAGCCTGAAAGAAGAATGAAAATGATAAGTGGGCAGTGAACGTAAAGGATCCTAAGGCACAACGTATTTCGTGTGTTTCGTTATTTTTTAGTTTCGATAGGGGTAATAGGAAGCGGTTAGTGTGATTTTAAGGGGTTCTATTTACAGATTCTACGAGTGACAGGAATAAGAAAAAAAATATGATGGCCGGTACAGCAATCACATGATGAAGCAGCTGGCATCCGGTCGGGTGCTATCGGTGGCGCCAATTTCGCTCACATCGACCTCCTAAAAGAAGCGGTTAGTTTCAAATCTTACTGAATCTTATTTTACCTGGAGGGTATTGTCGGCGCTTTTGCTCTTCTTCTGCGCCGGGGTCTGACAGTCGCTGAGTCGGGTTTCAGCACGACCTCGCTTTCGTCGGATCGGCGAGGGGGTGATATTGAGTCTGAAAACATTTTTGAAAGGAAGAAAACAAGGCAAGCTGCTTACCTGGCCTCCTCGACTTCCAGAAGCTGGCGGTACGTCAAGCATTCCTTCTCCATGGCGAGGTACTGTTCCTTCTTTTGACGGAAGATGTCCTCGAGCTTCGCGACTTTCTCGGTTTCGTCGGCCAGCTTCGCCTTCAAGTCGGCGATCTCTTCTTTCGCAAGAGAGTTCTTGGAGGCAAGGTCCGCTTCAAGGGACAAGTTGAGGTCCTTGGCTCGCTTGAGCTAGAAATTAATGTTATAAATCTGAAATCAGACGATGTACTTACTTCTTGCTCGAGCTTGGCCTTGCTGGCGATCGCCTGCTCCATCAGAGCACGGTTCTTCGAAGCCTCATCTCGCTTGGCAAGAAGAAGCTCCTGGGTGCTCTTGAGCTTTTGCTCCAGCTTCTCAAGAGCGCGCGCGCGTTGTCCTCCTAAAATGAATATAGAAAGTGATCACAAGTAAGAAAAACTAACCTTGAATTTTTTCTGAAGGCGCTTGACATCGCGTTCATGCTCGTCGCGAATATTGTCGATGGCGATCGACATGCTCTCCTCATGAGTGCTCTTCATATTCAGCGACTGCTGAAGCATCGAGCTCTGGTTTTTACGAGCCTCGTCGATCTCGACATCTCTCACTCGCAGCTCAGTCTCGAATTTCTCTCTTAAGTGAAATATAAATCGGAGCAAATAGGAAGAAATCTTACTGGAGTGACTGCAACTCATTGTTTTTCTGGTTGAGCTTAACCTTTTCGTCAGCAAGTTGGTTTCGGAACTTGTCGGCGTCCGATTTCGCCTCAACCAGTTGAGCATTCAAGCTCATCTAAAAAGAAAGTTTTAATTCAGATAAAAGCACTGGCGAATCTTACTTTTTGAGCATCAAGATCTTGATGCTTTCGTCGCAACTGAGTCTGCTCGGCTTTCATGTCGTCCACTTCTTTCTGCAACTCCTCGGCTAATTGCCGGGCCGTTCGTTCCTAAAGAGCGAGTTAGAAATAGACTGATTAAATATTCTTACCGAGAGATTCTTTTCCTCGTATTTTCTCTCGGCCTCATTCTTTTTCTCAACCGTGCTTTCCAATTCCTGTCGCATTTTGAAAGCTTCGTTCGCCGCATCATTCAAAAGCTTGTGGCTCTCCTTCACCTCAGCCTCGTAGAAGGTTTTGATCCTTCCGAGCTCCTCTAGAAAATAAAAGTTACAAAATGGAAGAAAAAGAAAAACTAGAACGCTTATTTTCTTACCTTTGTGGTTATTACCCTGCTGGGCTAATTCCTCCTGGAGCCGCTGGTTCTCATCGACAATTGAAGCGTTTCGAGTGACGATGTTCGCAAACCGCGAGTTGAGATCGGAAAGCATCACGCCCGACTCTAAATTCACAGTCATTCCAAGATCTCACTTTAATTTCTTGCCTTGCGCCGGTGTACCGGGGGTAGCTGGCTCATCGCTCATCTTGTCCGTCTTTTTTGAAGATGCGGATTTCTTCTCGCCCTTCTTAGCTTTCTTCCGTTGGACAGGAGTGGATCCGCTCAACGGCGCTGAAATTTATTTTTAGCTCACGAAAAAGAAAAACAAAAAATATTAGAGGTGATAAAGCAAACCGGATAGGGCGACTTATTTTGGGAAAAATTCAAACTTGGCAAACGAAAATCTTAGCAGGTTCAACTCCGTCTGAGTGTGAGTCGTTGTTGTTGGCAAGATCTCAATTGACCAGAAAATTTTTTATAATTTCCGTTGAAGCCTAACCGATTTCCCCGTGAGATAACTGATCAACCGTTGTTGAAGCGCTTGAATCAGATTATACATATTACTGGTGTTGAGCATATTACTGTGATTATTAAGAAAAATTCTTGGTGCGTATTCTGCGCATGCGTGACTGTTTGCAGAGCAGTTTAAATTTAAGGGCTTATATTTCTATGTGCGCAAAATCTACAGAATTCAATTTAAATTTTGAACAAAGGGCGCTATTTCCAAGGCTATTTACTGTGCCAATTTGCATAGTAAGTACTGCATTTTATAATTGTTACTGTGAGTGGTAAGTGAGCATGCAATAAAATTGTGTTAGTAGTCAAAATGCCTACATCCGATTCTTTTCCCGAAATGAAGGACTTTTGGTCGCTCTGGCGATCTGACAAGGTCGACCTTGCAAACTCGCTCCTGGACAATGGGCGGAGAGACACTCATTTCCATGTTCCGTCTAACGGATTCGACGGATTCTGTCTCCGACGAAAATCCAGACCCCTGCTCCTGTGACTTGTTAGGCTTGGTAGTAGGTTCTCGCACTACTGGCACTGAAGGCGGTTAGAAGCAGCTTCAGTTAGTATCAATGAGTTAATATTTAAAAAAAAATGCGTGCGAAAGAAGCAAAGAGCGAATAGTTTAAAAAACAAAAGTCATGAAAAGACAAACCTGGAAGACTGATAGGTGACTGGATCATGTCTCCACTGGAACCTGTATTCGACATGGTTCGTCTTAGTTTTCAACTATTCTAAAAAATGTGACGGTTAAATCTCTTTCGAGGAATATCTCTGGAAGTCTTTCTGAAATATCAGCAGCGGGTTAGTAGAAAAATTGCCAGCAAATGACGAGGACGAGTGAGCAAACTCGGTTTTATTCTCTCAGTGGGGGCCAATCAGGCAGGGGCGCGGGCGCGCAATTTTCGCCCTTTTCTCGTTGAACTTCGCGTTGTGATTTTCTGCAAATCTCAACGGCACTGAAACGAGGGTGTAGAGCAATTTTCTGATCTCACGGTGCAATCTCTTTTCAATTTTTCGATCAAATTTGCTCTCTCGGTGGGGGCCGGAATTTTTTTATTGTTGAGGAGTGGGAGATTCAATCGAAAGTTTCCCGAAATAACGACTGCTGCTGAATGGAGCTGTAAATGACAATTAAGGGCAATTTTAGTGCTGAATAAGCGAGCCTCAAGGCCAATCAAATCACATTCCGTCTTCTTGTTATTTCTCTGCTAAATGATGAACTAAAATATTCCTCCCTTTTTAGATGGAAATCGGTGATCATTTGCCGTTCAAGGTTGAGTACTCGAAATCGAACCGAGCCTCATGCAAGATCTGCAAGAGCAAGATCGACAAGGACGTCGTCCGAATGGCGCGCATGATGAAGTCGAGGCATCATGACGGTGTCGATCCAAATTGGACGCATTTCAACTGCTTCTTCGGAAAGGCGAAGCAGTGGGGTTTGAAAGCGGGTGAGATTCATAAGATCGAGGGATTTCATTCCATCCGAATCGAGGATCAAGAACGAGTCAAGGTTAGATTAGCTTATTCGAAAAGTTCATTTTCCGCCATTGCTCGCTTTGTGTTATTACCTCTGATTTCAGGAAGCAGTCGACAAAATCGGAGGGCCCGTAACAAAGGGAAAAGGAAAGTCCGCCCGCGCTGTGCTCGACGATTTCGAAATCGGCTACGCTCCTTCTGCTCGAGCAAAGTGTCGACGAGAAGATTGTCAAACAGAGAAAATCGAGAAAGACGAGCTTCGAATTGCTGTGAAAATGGTTGATCCGGAGAAGCCGCACCTCGGCCCGATTCCACGATGGCATCATGTTGGTTGCTTCAAAAAGGTGCGAAGCAGTGTGGGTTGGGAAGATTCGTACACGGCTGATATGATTACTGGCTTCTCGGGGTTAGATAAAGCGGCCCAAGAGCAAGTGATGAAACTATTGAAGCCGAAGAAATCGAAGTTGAAAGCGGAAAAGGCGGAAGTCAAAGTGGAGCCAAAAGAAATTGACCCGCATCAAGCTGCGCTGAAGAAACAGAATAAACTCCTGTGGGCGATAAAGGACAAGATTGACGCGCAACTTACAGCTTCGGGAATCAAAGACTTGTTGAGCACCAATAAAGTTGATATTCCCGATGGCAAGGCGCGCCAACTCGATTATGTGGCCGATCTTCTCTTGTTCGGGCGACTGCCGAAGTGTAACAACTGCGGCAATGGTAAATTAAGAGTGAGCAGCAAAGGCTACTATGCGTGTAATGGAAGCATCTCTGGATTTACGAAGTGCGATTATGTAGCTACTGAGGCTGGACGAGCGCCACCGAAGATTCCAGCGTTTCTGAAAGAAGCATCGGACTATTTGGCGAAATTCAAGTTTGACGGAGATTTGAAGCGGGTCTTTCCAAAAGCGGCTTTCATGCCGCCACTTACTGAAATGAAGATCTTCATTCTCGGAAAAGCAAAGGGCACAAAAGCTGCCCTTGAAGAAGAAATCAAACAGCTTGGTGGCACTGTGACGACGGTGCTGAATGAGACAGTGCATTTCTGCGTCTCTGAGAACGACCAGTTTGAAGCTATGAGCGAAGACAAGAATCACAAATTCCACGAGAAATACGGAAAGTGCGAGACGCTCGATTTGGTAATTGTATCGCGAGGCATTTTCGCTGCGTTGAAAACTGCAGCTCCAAAACTGGGGGAGAGGCGAGCGGATGTGATGGCGTACGTAAAAGAACATAAATTGTCGTCATTCGGGCAGTACAAACAGCCTGGAAAGCGCAAGAGAGTTGATGTAGCGGAAGAAGCGAAGATGCGAGAGAGTAAGAAGATTAAGCTGACCGTGCAGAATGGAGGTGCCATTGATCCTGAGGCGTATGAGGAAGTTCCGGAAGGTATTGATTTGGGTTTCTCAAAGCCTGAGTCAGATCAGAACAATCTTTGCTAATATTTCTTTAGGAAGCTCAATCTTTGAGTACAAGGGAAAGCTGTACACTGCTATGATGACATCGGTGGACTTGAAGCGCGACAAGAACTCGTACTACAAACTCCAAGGAATTCAGAACAAGGCTAAAACGAGATTCTACTTGTTCCGATCTTGGGGAAGAATTGGAAGTGACTCGATTGGTGGTGTGAAGATTCAAAATTTTCATAACATGGAAAATTGCGCTCGAGAGTTTGAAATGCTCTTTGAAGAGAAGAGCGGCAATAACTTCCATGCGAAAGAGTACATCAAGGTCGGTTTTTGAAAAAGGGGGTTTTAATATATCTTTTCTCCGATTTTAAAACCATTTGAAGCTTCCAAATCACATGTTCCCACTGGAAATGGATTACGGAGTTGAAGACAAGAAAGTCGACCTATCTGCTGAGCATGAGGTTAAATCAGAACTTGTTCCAGAAGTCCAGGATTTAATCAAATTGATCTTCAACGTCAAAACGATGCAGAAAAGTCTGGTCGAGATGGACTTGGATCTTGAAAAAATGCCACTTGGGAAATTAAGCAAGGACCAGCTGAAGAAAGCATGGAGTGTGCTGAATGAGATTTTGGCGCAGTTGAAGGTTTTTCACTTTGAGTTTTCGATAAATACACTCATTTTAGGAAGAAGACAAGAAGGAGAACATGTCTCTCATTCGAGACAAATCAACTCGTTTTTATCATCTTGTTCCGCATGTTCTCAAGTTTGGCGAGACCTTACCGCTTTTGAAGACTGAAGAAATGGTCAAAGAAAAGATTGAGGTGGTCGACAAACTGATCGAAATCGAGACAGCGTACTCAATCCTCGACGCTGTCAAAGGTATTTTTCATTTATTAAAATTTTTGTAAAAACTATTTCAGAAGAGAAAACAGAGAAGAACCCGATCGATACTCATTACGAAAAACTCAAGACGAATATTTCTGTTTTGGGCGAAGAGGAAGAAGAGTATGCGATCATAGATGAGTATGTGAAAACTACTCATGCCAAGACGCACAGAGATTACTCGCTCGAGATCAACAATGTCTTCAAGATCGACCGAAACAAAGAAGCAAAGAAATTCAAGGTACTTTCATTTTCATATGGTCGTTAAAATAATTCAACCTTTTTAAGCCCTTCAGTAAGTTCGACAATCGACAGCTTCTGTGGCACGGCTCCCGTCTTACAAATTACGCTGGTATTCTGTCCCAGGGCCTTCGAATCGCTCCCCCAGAGGCGCCAGTCACTGGTTATATGTTCGGCAAGGGAATTTACTTTGCCGATATGGTTTCAAAATCTGCAAATTACTGCTTTGCCTCCCCGGATAACAGTCGAGGGTTGCTCTTGCTCGCAGAAGTGGCGCTTGGAAACATGTAAAATATGGTTTATATCTATTCAAAAATTATAGTAGATTCATTGCGAATTCATTATCTAAACTTCTTAGGCATGAATTGAAAGCTGCGGAATACATCGAAAAACTTCCCAAGGGATGCCACTCTGTGAAAGGCCTTGGAGGCACTGAACCCGATCCAGCTTGTGCTCGAGAGCTCCCGAACGGAACAAAAGGTGAATTATCCACCCCTCTCATAATTTCCTCATATAACCGTAGTTCCATGTGGCGAGGGAGTTCCAAGTAATGCAGACAACACAAGCTTGCTCTACAATGAATTCATCGTCTACGATGTCGCTCAAGTCAATCTCAAATACCTGATCGACTTTAAGTTCAAATTTAAAGAAACACTGCCCTGGTAAATTATTGGAAAACCTGACCCTCACCCTGATGCTAATACTATCACATTTACACGTACGTTCCTGAACTGAAAGAACCCACCTGACATCGAATTGATAATAAATATCTGAAATTATTTTAAAGGAAGGTATTTATTCTTGATTTTCGTTCGCAGCATCTTCTTTTGGCTCTATGGGCTTCTTCTTACTCTTTCGCCAAAATGATGTGAGCCTCGGACGAATAGGATTCTTCGACTGATACTCGTTTATCTCGTTAATGTATTTTTCCATCTAATTTTATGTCTAATGATCTTCAGAACTTCAATCATACCTCTTCATCATTCAATAATTCCATCCTCGCCTGTGTCAACGCACACGGGTAGAGAATAAACGAGAACAAGAATAAAAAGAAGGTGTTTTCTATCCTCTTTTTATTCCGTATTCTTTCCCGCTGAATTTGCACAAGTACCGCCTGAATAGGCGGAATTAAGCAGCACCAAGTCGTAAGATAACACCAGAATCGCTCGTTCATTTGATTATACGCAGCGAGATCGCGGATTATGAAGCCCTGAATAAAGTTAAACGCGATATTCCTCACTCTTATAATTACAGGACAGCATATCGAAGCAACAAGAGTTGCTGAAGGCTCTGGAATCAGCGGTGTTTCCCATTTTCTTGGTCTCTTTGAAGGTTCGTGTGCTATAACCGGATTTTCTAAACTCATTTTCTGCTACAGGTATCGACTGAATAACTGAGAGTTTCCGTGCTGGACCTCCCTAGATTTAATATTCAATCACGCAAAATCAATTTTTAACAACGATGACGCTTAGAAGAGAGCAATGTATTTATTCAGGGATAATACTCTTTCCGTCATTTATATTTACAGAATTTGAATAATCAAGCTTCCCAAAACTCAATGCTGTGAATTGATGTGTTTCTTCTGAAATATTTCTGGCCTTTGTCCTCGTGGATTTTCTTGAAACTTTTCTTAGAAGAGAAAAAGTTTTTGAGTCGCATCAGACTAGTTCTTCTATAGATTTTTTTCTTTGGTAACTCTTCGATTGTAAGTAGATCGTTCGACCCAAATGAAAGTGGTCGCTTCTTTTGGATGGATGAGTTTCTTCGGATGATGGATTGGGAGTTTTTCTTGATCATTGTTGTTTTAGTTCAAAAACTTCTGAATTTACTAAGATTTTTTTCTTTGGTTTGATGATCGATGATGACTTATTTCTCTTGAGCACTGGTATTTATATTCGAAAAAAACAACGCCCTCACGAGATGCACTGCTAGCAGCTGTATCCAACTGTAAGGATCAATCACTCGGTAATTATGCCGAACCTATGAGTAAATCAGGTAGAATCAGGTGCACAAAATATCAAAGAATAAACGATTCTGCACCTGTTAATACAATATTGCTTCAAAGACAAGAAACAAGATTCCTTTCAGACATCCTATTTATTCAGATACATGCATTCTCGCACTGAGCTTGTGTCTTGAACCGATTTGGATTTCCCCTGCATCCTCCGTAAATAAATCGCTCACACTTTCCTGTTCCTCTGTTGTGGAAGTAATGCGGTTGATATCCTCTGCACCAGCCTCGTTCAGCCTACAGATAAGTTCTCACATAATTTCTGAATGCCCTTACCGGTAAGTTGCAAATATTGGCATCACTAAATAAAAAGAAAACGGCCAAGATTCTCATTAGGTCTTTTATGTCCTTTTTCTGGCAGAACTTGCTTTTATAGTTCTCTTGATAATTAATTTGTTGTCATGACTAGATGTCTAGGACATACAATCAGCATGTTTTTATTTACCTAGTTGGCCGAGTGCCGTCTCACGTGGAAGGATTAATCTACTAGTAGTATTATTTTAGCTGCGTTAGCATATTTTTTACTCAAGTTAATTTATCTAAGAAAATATTTAAAAACCAGTATTTTGCCGAGTTTATAATTGTGAGCATGTATTTTTGTTCGATAATTTATCTAATTTATTGTGTTCAATGTTCTCAGATTGACTCAATTGGGCAGAAAATAGTGCAGAATTTTGCAGGAAAACGTATTTTACCACCATCGGTTAGTATTCTGGAGAGCGAACTCGGTCATGTCCCACTTAGAGAAAGAGTACATGTGGTTGTTGAAGAATCGGCTCATTTGGGAGTGTTGGAAAGATGATGGGTAGAAGTAGTTCATGTAATACTGGAAATCATGCATCTCGTAGGAGTCGATCATGTCTGGAGAACAAAATTAACGGAGGAGAAATTGCATAAGTTTACCGTTGTGATCTCGGTCGAACATGTCAACAATGGTGGAACCGACAGTGGAGAAGAATCCGGCCCAGGCACGTCGGAACTCTTCTGGGTTAAGTCGTCCGTCTCGGTTCATGTCGAAGTATTGGAAATGCATGCTGATGTATCGAGGAGCAAAGTGAGAGACTAAATTATGAAAGGTTAGCACCAAATTTCAATTTATAAAAGAAATCACTTACAAAAGTCCATGTTCATGTGCGAGTCAGAAGTCCAGTGGCAGTTAACCATCATCTGGTAGTCGACGTATTGGCCGTTTCCGCACATTTCGAAGGAGTGAAACATCGACTGATCCCATTTTCCTTGCCACTAGAGAAAGATTAGTCTTACCATCGAAAAAGGTCAATTACCGATCGAAGAACTCGGTCGGCGTTGTCGCTGTTCCATTCCGAGTTTCGCCAGAAAAATTGCTCAGCCATTTGGAAGAAAGAATCCTGTCCGTAGAAGCTGTTTCCAAAGCTCATCCAGTTGTTGTTGTAGTAGTTGTTGAATCGGTGGTAGTTGTTTCCATAGAAGAACTGAGAATCAAAGTGTCGGTTCATCATGTAGTTGTTGTTGTAGTAGTTGTTATGACCGTAGAAGCTTCGAGAAAACTGGTTGTCGTAAAATCGGTCGTTTCCATAGAAGGATCGTCCCATCCAGTTATTGCCGTAGAAGTTGTAAGCTGGGCTCATGCCGTAACGGTAGTTGTTCATCCAGTTGCCTTGGTAGTTGTATTGATCCATCCACTGGTTGTTGTAACGGTAGTTGTTGTTCATCCAGTAATTGTTGTTGCCGTAGAAGTTTCGAGAGTACTGGTTGTCATAGAATCGATCGTTTCCGTAAAATGATCGTCCCATCCAGTTGTTTCCGTAGAAGTTGTAAGCAGGGCTCATGTTCCACTGGTTGTTTCCGCCGAACCAGTTCTGTGGCCACCACTGGTTATAAGAGTGGCGCATTTGGTTATTTCCCCACTGAAAACATTTTTGAGGAGAAATCAAAGAAGACTGAATTAATTCTATCGTAAATTGACTTACATATCGGTTGTAGTAATCCATAAAGCGGTCATTGCCGTAAAAGCGACCCATCTGGTTGTAGTTGTTGCCCTGATAGAAGTCGAAATGGTTGTTCATCGGGAAATAGCCGTTTCCTCGCCACTAGAATTCAGATATTAAACATCGAAATCAAGGTTTTATCTTACCATGTGTTGACCTCCATGTCCCCAAAAGTTTCCGTGAGCAGCAGCTGCCGAGATTAAAGTTGCGACTTCGAGTTTCATCTTTTTTCGACTTGCTCGATTTTCAAGTGGAGAAGCAAGAACAGGCAGTGCAGTTTTATACGCCCTCGTTTCTTCGGATTATCTGAGGTCAACAACGAGTTCAGTTACAATCGTTACAAGTTCTCGCTTATTCAAATATTCTCATTCGTTTCCACGAGTTCAAATTATTGAACTCATGTAGCATTGACCTTTTCTCAAGTTCATTTGCCAAAGGATTGAACGAATTCGGCGCAATTTGTGCATAAAAATTCAAAGGATTATCTTAGATAATTTATCTATTACTTCAATGTGTGAGGATTATCCCCAATATTATTCGATTTCTTGTTCGAAATAAATTACCATTTGAGTTTAATAAACTCAATGTAATACAGTATTACTAATACTGTATTACTAATGATACGTAATCAACCGAGACTCTGACAAAAACTCTGACTAAATCTGAGTCTTTTGGTTTATTTGAAATAAAATTATTTGAAATAAATTATTTCGAATGATTTTTACAGAATCATGGGTCACTTATAAAGGGCATGAACAGCTAAGGGATATCTGGGATATCGATCGCAAATCATTCCTTTCAGTAAGATGAACGATTTTTGAAATTTCGGAATGCAAAAGAATCATTTTGATTATTCGGGATGCAAAAGCTCAATTTTTGCAACGGTATTCTTGATTTTGGCGGGAAACAAATAGTTTGTCGGTATGACGTTTGTCGTTTGTTAGGAAGGACGAGTTAGTAGAAATTCAAACGCAAAAATCTTCGCGCATTTTTTTACTAACCATTTTGAGAGCGCTTTGATGGCGCTGTTAGTGCCGCGCTCAGATTAGCGCGAAACCTAAAAATAGCGTGCGCGTTGACTCTGGATCTATCACCCGTTCTAGAACAAACCATTCGCATGTTGCTCACTCGTGGGCGCGCTTCATGAAATTCTCTAGATTTGGAAACCTATAAGACCAGCCTGACCCGGCTAGTTCAACCAGTCGCCGACTTGACTTTTTCAGAAAAAACTTCTCAAAGCTACTAACGACAGTAATGAATCTCTCCGAGGCTGGGGCTGAAGAAAGGCTTATCAAAGCCGGAAGAATGACCAGAGAGCAAATTGAAAGGACAAAAAGCAAAGGATTTCGGCATATGGCTACAATCTTCGTCGATGCAGTGAAGAGAGACTATTCCAAATTCTTCTCTGTCGAGCCAGATCCTACCCGACTCGAGCATGAGGCAAGGCAGCTCTTCCGATACGGTAATTAGAACTCACTATTATTCAACATATTTATTTAAATAACTCATTATCATGAAAAACGGGACTAATTGGATTATTATAGGCTTCGGCAGCTTCCCGGAGAAGCCTGAAAGCAAAGACGATTCTCCAAGAGAAAGAATGGAACTTTCCTTTGTTGATGCCGAAAAAAAGCTTATGAAGCTAGGCGTTGTTACCAAGGAGAAAATCCATCAGATGAGCAAAATCAAGACGACTGGCTACGGACGAAGCAAAAAATGGATGACGAAACTCTTCGTCGATGAAGTCAACAAGGACCACTCCGTCTTCTTCCCTTCCGAACCGGACCGTCGCTGGCTCAAGGTTACCGCCGCCAAACTCTTCCAATACGGAGGTAATTCAGATCATATTTATCAAGTTGATTTATTAATAACATTGTTTTTAGGAACCCAGAAGTTCATCATCAAGCAACGGCCCGGCCCAGACAATTTGGAAGATTCCCGAGGAGCAGAAAGCAAGCGTCGATCTCGAAGAAATCACTAATACTCGACGCGAACAACCATTTTAGGGATTACTTCTCCTTCCTCATCGTTTTTTTCTCTTTAGATTCTCTTTTTTATTAGGAATTTTCATAAAGTGTCCTCGCTTAGTTTAACTCAAAGAGTTAATTTTCCTTTATCTCATTCTTACCCTCACAATCTTATTGAAAAACTGTTACCACTGAAAAATACTGGAAATTTATCTTATTGGAGTACTCTCGACTACTGACAGCTCTTTTTATCGAAAACACTGGTTAATCATGTTATCACTGAAAACTATAATAAAAAATTAAAAAAAAAACATATTGTCTCAAAAGTCGCATTTTTTTATGGAAGGGGCAAAAAATTTCATATTATCAACATTCTTCAAAAAAAACTATGATAAACTTTCTACCATAAATTATAGAAATCATAGAAATTATAGAAAATTTCTATTATAGAAATCCTATTCTTATTCCAGGTTTACGCAGTTATTGGGTCATCACGAGTGCAGTGCACTTGAAGTTTTCTTACGCTTATTATTTGCAGGTCATTGCGAGTACACTTCAAGTCCATTTCAAGTTTTCTTACGAATAATGTTTGCAATTTTCTGACCTCGTGTTGAGTTCAGTAAAAAGCTGCTGAATAAAGTCGCGCTACCATCGTTCCATTCCCCCACTTGATCTGACAAAGTCGAAAAAGGGTCAAAATTTGAAAATGAAGCTTTTAGCGGCAGGATTAATTGGGGCTAGCGTTGCCGAGCGATACTACGATTTTGATAGACAATTTGATCATCACCGACAGATCTATGACCAAGATTACGATCGACAGGTAAAACTGCTTAAATAAATTGTTTGCGAATTATAAATTATTTTTATAGTGGCGACAAAATGACAGATACTCAAACGATCGCCCCTTCTACGGACCGATGAACAAAAGCTTCTACTCCAATAGAAATAACGGCTACGGGTACTCCAACGGCGGTCATTTTGATGACTACCGAATGGACTACCAAAACGACCGACACTCCAGCGACCGATATTTCTACGGTCCAATGAACAAGGATGCGTACAACAACAGATATTCTGGCAATCGTCACTACGATGACTACCGGACGGATTTCTACTCCCCCAAGTTTTATCAGAAGTACAGCGACGATCACCATCAACATAGAAGAGATCATTCTTACGATCGGGACCAATATGGATTTGACAAGTACCGATTCAACGATTTCAAGCGATACAACGATCGACACTCTTTCAACCACTTCGACCGGGATTACGACAGCTACCGACCCAAGAACAAATATTACCAGGGCGATTCTTATTTCAATAGAAACCAGTACCGAGGGGACAATCACTTCCGAAACAACGAAATGCATGAGCATGATTCATTTCACCACGATCCTGACATGTCCAAACTCTATCAAGTCACCGAAAGCAATTTTTGGATGAACAGCGGACGATCTGACAACTCTGAGCGCCTCTTCTCTTCCGTTAGTTTCTTTTTGATAATTTTATTCTCAAATTATAATGATTTTAGTGGAACGGAAAGTGGGACAAAGAGATCACCAGGACGTTCCGCGAGTGCGCCAATGGCAAGACTATCGATCAAGACATGATGTACTTCTGCCACTGGAGAGATGCGAGCTTCTGTATGTACATTATATGTACATATATTTATATGTACATATGTATGTTGTGTCTTGATTTGATTACATTTACCAAAATCAAATTTGAAAATTTCGAGAAACTCCAAAAATCTTCATGGTTCATATTTAGTCACGAAATTCGCACCCCGATTCATCAGCAATGAGTTCGCCAAGTTCGACAAGAACAACGACAAACTCCTCGACAAAGATGAATTCAAACAGGCTTTTGCCGGTTTCTATGCCAACATCGGCAGCACACTCGTCGACATCTTCGATTCCGATCACAACGGTGAGAAATCACAAAACTTAGGAGCTGATAATGAAATTATTCAGACGTTCTTGAGCACTCCGAGATCTTCGACATGTACTACAACCTGCGATATCTCTTCAATGTGGACATGAACAGCTTCCACGAGATCAGCTCTCACGCCAACTTCGACAACAACAAGAATAGCTTCTCAAAGGCCGAAATGAGCGAATTCGCTATTATGCTCGCTCACCGATATTACTGATTTCACTGACTTATTTTTGCGGAGATAAAAACTGAGAATTTCACACTAATAAAATGCATAAAACATAAACTAGGTCGATTTCTTTCTAATTCATAATCTGAAGCTTTCAGCATTGAATTGACAATTAAATATGCAAATTTTCTCTTGGCAAGTGACAGTCGTTACGCCCCCGATAATATTCATCAAAGAAAATAGTACTGAATTCTTGAGATTGCCCCGCGGCGGGCTCTGAGAGAATCTCTCCAATCCGCTTGGAACTCGACAGGCGCTAGAATCTCCCTTTGTCAGAGTCGTTATCGGCGCAAACTCCTTTCATGCCTTTCCGGCGCGGAACACATGATCAATTTTTCATTTATTCGACTTTGTCTATTGTCAGCCAGTGTTGTTTATGCTTGTGATACGTTAACCGATCTTCCGACTTTCTGTGGATGCAGAGGACACGATCTGATAAGAGTTCAAAAATAAAAAGAGAGTCTTAGAAGCGCCGAAGAAAAATTATTACGCTGCATACTAACGATTTGTCGCAGCGAAAGATTATTTCAGATAAGCGCTAAGCCGAGATAAAATTTAACGTCGTATGAGATTAATGAAATTGAAGTGGCCCCTAAGTTGTCCGTATCTTAAAGGCTTCACTGAAAAATGACGGTTAAAAAGGATTCAAAATTATAATTTTTGAACTCTAAATTTTGATATGCGAAACTCCTCAAGTCAATTTCACCTCATCCATCTCCTTGCCCATGTTTATGGGCTGGAAAGCATTTAGCAATGATGTCTGGCAACAAGCTTCTACGATGACGGTGGCTGGCTTTCGATTTCCAACTGGAATTGCTACTGAACAAACTGTTCCTAGCAATAATCTCAGAGAAATGACCATCGCAGATGGCGAGGGTCGGTCAATTGGAGACAAGGCGTTCCAGGTATTTTTATTAAAAACCAAGTCTGGCCTGAAAATAAGTCTCGCCTGAAAATTGTGTTTATTATCATCGCAAACTATAAATAATTTATTAAGTACTGCGGCAGCATGTATAAATTATCGCTGACATCGATGAAAATTAACGAAATCCACGGAAATTCTTTCCTTGGCCTTGGCAGCTTGCGGATTCTCGACCTTTCTCACAACAACTTGACTTTTATTCCGGACGAAGCGTTCCAGTGGCTCGGCTCGCTTAGTGAGATCAACCTTTCATTCAATAAACTTTACGATTCAAAAAAGTAAGCGACTTGATTATTCGAATATATTTCAATCAAATAATATATATTATATGAAGTTTGATAAATTAATAAAGGATGGGGATGATGGTCTCTCAATTCGCGCAACTAGGTAAGAGTTTAAAAAATTCTTCGATGGATTATCTAATTAAGTCAAAATCACCATGGCTGTCAATAATCTCCCGGAAGTTCCGGACGTTTCCGCCTGTAATTATCTCGAGTCTATCGACCTCAGCTATAATGCCTTCGAAAAACTACAAGGGATCGATACTGTAGGGAACTACATCAGTCCTCTACGACGCCTTGACCGTGTAACTGAACTTGACCTCTCACATAACAAAATTCAATGGGTCGATGGAAATTTCTTCAGGTTTCCCAAATGTAAATATTTTCTTTAAACTCGTTTGCAAGGGATTTGAAGAGTCTCACGAACCTCAAACTCGGCCACAATCTCATCAAATCCTTCCAAGGATACTTTTTCCTTCGAAACGTTCAATATCTTGATCTCAGCCACAATGTTTTAACGAATGTTGGAAACGAAACGATGATTGGTGACAACATGCAAAACTTGAAGCAGTTTAGGCTAAACGAGAATCAGCTTGTTTTGTGTGATGCCTTTTTCTTCCAAATGAGCAGACTCCCTCATTTACAAGCTCTTGACCTAAAACAAGCAAACATGCCCTGCATCTGTGATATTCCGGTGGGTCCGTTTTTAAAATAACCAAACTTCAAGTTATTTTAGAGCTTTCGAGGTGTAATAAACACAACCAGCATTGTCCTCGAAAACCCAGCAGGGTGTCTTCTGCAAGAACCTACCTCTGTCTGCATCGGTCCGACTGATGCAACATTTTCATGCAATGGCCGCGTCAGCAAGCCAGAAACCGATGCTTTCTGCAAAAAGCAAATCAAGAAGTATCGCCCTGACGATATCTGTGACGCCGAAACTGGGCAACCAAAGGCCTCCTGGCACGATCCAGATCCGTCCTCTTCTCTGTCAATGACATTATCTTTCGCAATTTTGTTTTGTATGCTTCTTGTATAAATTCCTGCTGAATATTATTTTGACTGCCGATGAAAAAAAAACGTTTGTTTACGAAATCACAGAAGAGATCGTAAATCGTGATTTGTTTGAATATTGAAAATATATTAATCTCAAAAGTATAAAAATAGAGCTTCAGTGAGTAGATAAGGGTATTTTTGAGTTAGAAGTTTTTCTTCTTCTCGTTTGCTTGTGCTAAGTGGCGGATGTTCATGATGCAGCCAGCTGCGGCTTCTTGCAGGATTTCGTCTGAGCTGCCAACCATTTTCATTAGAAGCTAAAAGAAATCTTATATTCCATTGAAAGAAAATAGACTGCTTACGTTTACAACGCCGACCATGTGCATAGTCTGGCAGTTGTCGGGATCCTCAGAGAGCTGATGCAAAGCTTGAGCAGTAGCCTGGTGCACCAGAGGATTTTCACTTTGAAGATACTTGACAAGTGGAGCGACGGCACCCTCTCGTCCGAAGGCAGTTCTGTTGTTGCCCCAAGCGCAGCATCGAGCGATGGCCTCGGCGAGATGTCGTCGGAGGCGATCGTTTTGAGTATTGGTCAGTTGAGCGAGGGTAGGAACGACTCCGTGGTCGGTAATGACGGCCAAGTTTTCTTCGTCTCTGGCAATGTTGGCGATAGCAGCGCAAACAGAGCTATGATTTTATAAGCTTTCGAATCTTTCTAAAACTATCTTACCTGAGCACTTCTGTTTGTTCAGACTTGAGAAGTGAAACAATAAGCTCGAGACCGCCAACAAAACTTCTGACCATTTCACCAGCGTCTCGTGCGTTTTCGATGCAGGGGCAGATCGCCCAAGCCGCAGAAGCCTGTACTTCGGGGTTCGTGTTCTTGAGAAGAGACCAGAGAAGTCGAACACCGTCTTTCTTGTCGATCTGTTCCATGCTTTCTTTTTCGAGTGCGCAAGCTCCGACAGCCTTGGTGACGTTAACGAGGAGGAGTTGATTCGTTCCAGTGAGAAGGTCAACGAGTGGGGGGATTCCACCTGACTTTCGGATGGTTGTCCGGATAGCAGGGACCTGAGCGCATTCAGCGAGAGCACCAACAACGTTGACGAGGACTTCTTCCGGCTGGTTCTCCAACAAGCTTACAAGTTGCTCGACTGTTTTCAGTTCCTGAAAGATTCATGAGCTCTTTTCTATTTTTGACCTTTGAATACCTGGAAAGCTTTAACATTTTTGGGTGATACAGCGCATTTCCAAATGGCGCCAGTGGCGGCAGCAAGGAGTGGCTGATTGTCCACGCTCTGCAATAGATTGACTAAAGGTTCGATTCCTTTGTATGTGGCGACCATCTGACGCGTATCTTCGTCTTCGGCGCATTTGAAAATCGCTGAAAATCAGCTGAAATCATGGAGGATTTAAAAGTCTTACCAGAAGCGCAGTGCATCTGAAGCTCTTGATTGTCGCAGTTGAGGTTTGTAACTAAGTCCTGGACCATGCCGGATTTTCGAATAGCGGCTCTGTACGCGGGCTCGCTTGCGCACTCCTGAAGGGTTCCAACAACGGGCACGAGGGTGGAGAATTTATCTTCGCCTTCGATCTTCAACAGATTCGCCAAAAGTGGGATGGCGCCGGCTTTCATAATCGCTGCTTTGTTCTTGTTACTTTTACTGCAACTCCAAAGAGCGAGGGCGCCGGATCTGGCCAAGTTTCGGTCGGCTTCTTGTCCCTGAGAATCATTAGAATTTTTACGAAGCTTGAAACAGTACCTTAGCGCCTTTGAGAAGGGATACAAGCTTTTCAATACCGCCATATTGTCTGACGGTTCTCCTAGATCTCTTAAATCTGGCAACATTTGCGATAGTTTCAGCAGCGAGGCATCTTAGTTGATTGTTGTTTGGATTGTCGAGAATGGCGACCATGGTCTGCAGGCCGCCCAAATCAGCGATGGAGCGGCGGATGCTCGCGTTCATCGAGATCTGCTTCAAAATCTTGAGCGCACCGATTTTGCATTTCACTTCATCCGTGTCCAGCAAGTTAATTAACACTTCCAAACCACCGACTTCACGGATGGCGATTTGACAGGTTTCTGAAAAGAACGTTAGCATAAAGCAATGAAAAAAATACTAACCAGAAGAGAGGTTAAAGTCCAGCATCGCACACAAAGCAATGACCGTGGCCGTTTGGTTGCCCCATTTCAGATATTTGACGAGTTTCTGTATTTGCCAATATTCGGCAGGCAAGTCGGTTCCCTAAAGACAATTTAGTACGAGAAAAGAAAGTAGAAAGCGTAAAGATTATGATTTTTTTTCGTGCGATGATGGTGGTGAATTCTTGCTTCAAGAATTTCGAATATTCAGTAATGTGTTCACGTGTTCACTCTGTGCACTACAGAAGCTTTATTTACCGCTACGAAAATATTCCTGAACTGTTGAAAATTTAGTGTTAGTCTTGGCTGATTTCAGTAGAAAAAAAGGACAATTCCTCAGCCCTACCTGGTCCTGGCGACGATCATTGGAGTCTTCCTCTTCTTCTGAGTCGGACGAGGAGTCTGAGAGTACAATCTCGGGCTCCTTCTTCACTTTGTGCTCTTTGTCGATAGACTGACGCTTCTGAGACTTCCCGTCCTGAGTCATTTTCGCAACTGAATGGAATCGACGAAAACAACGAAGAGCAATACGCCTGTTCTAGAAAAAAACATGAAATATCATTTTGGATTTATAATAAAATCTTTGAGTGTGGGAATGTGAAGAAGACTGGAATAAAAAAGTAAAACGATAAACTGGCAGTTGAATACAAATAACTAACACTTCAAGCTCGGTTGATAATGTTCAAGTTTGCCTTTCCAAGTGGCTCAGGAGTCGCCATCTTTGCCGATTTTTCTTTCTCATCGCCATCAAAAAAGGCAATCGAGCATTTGTCCTTGGAGTAGATTATGCAGCTCTCGCCAGTTTGATTCCACATGAGTTTCTTTGTGTTGATGCCGTGGTGGGGCACTTTTACCAGCATTGTTCCTCCTGGACTCCAAAGATACAGCTAAAACATCAATTTACGGCGAAAATCAAGGGAATTCTTACGTTTCCATTGCTCGTTCCGATGCTGAGTCGATTCTCGACTGGGCTCCATTCAATCGCCTTCACTTTTTCTTTGAAATAAATTCCCACAACAGTTTGCATGAATTCAACACTGAAGATCAAAACGCATTGGCCCTATAAAACTATGAGCCGTGAATTTCCGGGAAAAACCTACTTGGACGGTCGAAAGATAGCGATTCGTTGCAGAGAACTTGGTATGTGTGAAGTTAGGAGCTTCTTCGTCACTGATATAATTGTCGAAATGTTTCCTTGAGACAGTGAATCCATTGGTTGTTTCTTCGTAAACAACTTCTGCTGGATTTGTTTCCGCGGAGCACACAGCAATCTTAGAACTGTTTAGGAGCATCTCTTGATTGAATTTTTACCTTTGTCCAAGTAATCGTGTTTAAGATATCAATTTTGAAAGAATTTTCAATCGCGAGAAACTGTGAAGTCGGGGAGAATTTGCAAATTGAATTGCAACCAGAATCAACTGTTGCGTATTTCTGCCCAGTAATTGAATAGATGGTTACCCTTGGCTCTGGAAGAGGGTCAGAAAGGGCGATTGCTCCGCCGGTAAGGTCTAATTGGATTGATTTGAAATCTTGCGTTTCCGTCTCGAAATGCTCGTCGAGTTTCCAGTCAGATAGTCGAATCACGGAGATCGCGTCTTGATGCTTTGTGTTTTTCCGTTCACCTTCATAAGTTTTTAACGATGGATTCAATTTTGCAAATAAATCAACAGCAATTCAAAACTTACCTACAATCATCAAGCTACCACAAGGGGTAAACTTCAAGTTCTCGGCCGGGTTTTTCGGCCACTCAATAGTCCTCACAGATTTGTCGACAAGAGAAACGACAGAAAGCATCAAATGAAATTCGTTGGCGTAAATGATATGCCTCGAGTCTGGCGAAAATGTAGCCCACTCTAACCCAAGCGGCCCTGCATCGATGGAACATGTCCATTTGCTATCGGTAATGTCGAAGGCTTGAAGTTTGTTTCGCCCGGGCATGACGGCAAGGATCAGTTGCGAGTCGGGACTCCATTCGAAGTGTTTCACTTGATCGATGGTCGTTAGAATGGTCAGCGTTTGGAGACTGTCACTTTGGAGAACGCAGATCTAAAATTCCCCTTGCGATTTCACGAAAAATAATTGCTTTAGTCGAAAATAGAAAGATTTGTAATTGATAAAAATTAATTACCTTGTTTGCATAGACGAATGCCAAATACTTTCCAAGAGGCGAAAATTTCGCATTAGTTCCGGAAATCGAGATCGGCTCGGAAAACTCAATCCTCTTCATTCTTCTCTATTTTCTGACGATTCGAAAATGAGACCTTCGATTTTGGTTTATTCTTTCCCGGATTCTCGAACGCCATTGGGCGCCAACGGCGTTTCGCAGCGACGCGAAAATTTGAGCCGCGGATCAAAGGAAAATACTATTAGAGATAAGAAGCACTGGAAATCTAGGTAGAACGCAGTAAATGAGCGCGGAAACGAGAGAAGAGTATATTGGAGATGAGATACAGAAGCTTATCGCCCCACCTGTGTGAGTTTATTGCCACTTTTCTCGTTTCTAAATCAGAAATTGTTAATTAAATCATCTATTTTATTTGATAAATTGATGATTTATGCTTAAAAATCAATTTTAAATCCGTTAAATTTAGCTCAAATGAAGGAAAAAGTCAAAAGAGAGGGTGGAGAAGACGAAATAACGAATATTGCGAAGCCTGTAAAGATGGTGGAGAACTAGTTTGTTGCGAAAAATGCCCAGTCAGCTATCATCCGACTTGTACGAATCCTCCTTGTGATGCAAACGATCTTCCAGGTGACAATTTTGACCACTTTCTTCGACTTCGAATATAAAAATTTCAGACAAATGGATTTGTCGTGGTTGCACATTGAAAGCAAGCCAATCTTACGAAGAAGAGGACGAAGAAAGCCAGCAAAAGGGATTGTTTGACATGCTTCTCGCCCATAAAAAGCCCATGAACCCGTCAAACTTCGTCATTCCCCCTTCAGTCACGCAGGAGTCAAATTTGCCCGGAGAGAGGAGGCAAAGAAAGGTTTTTGTTTTGCGCGTTCTTCAAAATAAGTAAACCTGAATTTCGTTCTAGAAAGCGGGAAAGAACAAGAGACCGTACCACGAAATCGACTCCAACGGATGTGTTCAACTATCGAGGCTGACTGGAGAGCCGATCAAGCTCTGTCATCATTGGTATACAATTGTATATAATTAATTATACGAATTCGTATACACGATTTTAAAGCTTTACGAATTATAACTTTCAGCAATATTTCGAGTCGAAAAGCACAGCTGATCATGTGCGATTTCTGTCCGCTTTTCTTCCATGCTGATTGCTTGAATCCACCGCTCAAGTACCCGCCAACGACGAAATGGATGTGCCCTGTTCATCCTGAAAGAATGCTCTTGCAAAACAGGGATCTGTTTGTCAGCCAGCGAAAGGCCATTGCGGACCTTTTTTCAACTGAACATGGTTTGAAGCACCTTTCAGCGATTGGACTTATCCATATTTTAGTGGACCCGAATTTCATAATAACCGAATTGCTGAGAAAACGCCAACGCTCGACTAATCTCCGCCCGAGCACGTCAAAACTATTGAACGATTCTAGTATTGAGCTCGCAAACGCTGGATCACTGCCGAAACGAAAGTCCATCGTCCCCATTGGAATCAAAAAAGCTTACAAAACGAGAAGATACATTGATGAGTGTACTGCTTCAGAAGCCGATGCCGAACTTGTTTTATCATGCATACCCAGTTTTGGCAAAGAAAAATTATCGGAAAAGCAAAAACGACTTTCTTTAATTCCAGATGAGGAGCCAAAGACGCCTGAAGAGGTTGACGTCCCTGAAAATTTTAGCTGTCTTCTCATGCCACTAGGTTAGTTTTTTTATAAAGAAGGCTGTTTTTATATCAAATTTTTAGAGGTAGACGCTCCGCCAATATTCGTCTGTGAGCCTATCAGCAATATTGGAACTTCTCCCGAAAATGATATCGTTTTACAAGCAGAGAAATGCGAAGCAATTTCTCCTCATCACGCCGTCTTGTACCAAGATCTCTCCGGAAGTTTCGAACTGCTGAACTACTCGATCCATGGAATGATCGTCAATGGAATCGAATACGGCCTTGAGGACCCTGAAATAGCAGTTCACAAGCCAGACGATCCGCTCACTTCTGACTTTACCGACAGAATTCACGAAATGAGTAAATTTGGTGGCTGGAAAATTACAGAAGATAAGAAGAAAGTAGAATGGCTCAAGGACAAAGTCATCGTTTCCGACGAGTCTGAAGACGAATCAAATGCTGCCAAAAACGCCTCCGAAAGCGAGGTCACCTGTCAAAGTTTAGCAAAGCTCAAAAAATCGCCATGTCCATCACCAACGCCTTCCGTAGGCAGCGAAAAGTCCAAGGCCAAAAAGAGGGCCAAGAAAAGCGCAAAACAAAGTCCTGAAGTTCCGAGACACAAATGTGGGTGTTCCGTTCCCGAGCCGGGCTGGGAGTCGCCTGTTCAACTGTCACATGGTTCCGTCATTCAGTTTGGCTGCAATAAGTACCTGTTTGTCTCCAAAGATGCTTATATAGAAGAACCGCCAGCAGAAGAGGCGAAAGATCAAGTTAAAAAAGAAGAGGTTTCCTGAAAGTTTAAAAATTCATAATGCATTCAAGCTGAACTGTTCATCGTTTCAATCCAATTATTATTTTCATTCAGTTATTATTGAGATGGTTTTCATACCATAATTCTATTCTTAAATATACGATAAAACAATTAATTCTACTGTCGTATGATACTGAAACCAAGGAGGACCAATGCAAAGGCCGGATCTGAGAGGACCTACTAAAGTACAGGGCTCTTCCTGGGGACCTAGAAATTGAGGACCTCGATGCGAAAAACTCATCCCGGAAAGCGATTTACTAAACTGAGGTTTCTCCCCGAAATAAGGATGAACCGTCCCTAGACTGTCATGAAAATCAAAGAGATTTTCCTCGCCAATCGACCGGATCACGCGCCGACCCCAAATGACTTTGGGACACGTGAGATCGACTGCCCATGTGCTCTTCCAGACGGAGGCTTTTCAAATGAATCACTTCCTAAAGGAGGCATTCTTGTCAAACTCGCATGGATCTCGGTGGATCCTTATATGCGATCGCGAATGCGTCCCGTCGGGCCAAGCTACGCGGCAAGCTGGGAGATTGGACAGACCATTGATGGATTTGCAGTTGGTCAAGTGATACAGTCGCGAAGTGGAAAATTCCCAAATGGGACCTTTGTTTCCGGAATGATGCCATGGGCGGAATATGTTGTTTTAGATGACAGGCAGTGGTAAATAGGATTTTGTTAATCAGAATTTTCTCGGGTTATTATTAACCTCTGAAAAGTAAGCCGTCTCCTCAAGGACCAACGGAAATTCCTAAAATTGAGGGCCTAGCAGGCCTTGAGAATCACTTCGTTGGTCTGTTCGGTGTCACTGGATTGACTGCCTCCATCGGAATGCATGTTCATGGTGCATTAAAAGAAGGTCAAACTGTCGTTGTGTCTGGCGCTGCTGGAGCTACTGGCTCAGTAGCCGGACAGTATGCCTTGCGAAAGGGAGCGAAAAATGTCATTGGTAATCATTTCAATCAAGGTTTTTTAAAAATTTCCAAGGAATTTGTGGGACTGAGGAAAAGTGTGAGTACCTCCGTAAATGCGGATTCACCCACACAATCAATTACAAAACCGAAGATGTCGCTGCCAAAGTGCAAGAATTCACCGCAAGTACTGGAGTTGACTGCTACTTTGACAACGTCGGAGGCGAGACCTCAGAGATCGTGATCAGGCGAATGAACAAAGACTCTCACGTGGTTCTTTGCGGGCAAATCTCTTCCTACAACGATCCTGACGCTCCGTATCCGAATGTATTGAGCGAGGAAGTCCAAAAACATGTCGACTCTAACAACATCACAAGGAAACGGTTCCTTTTGCTAGAGCACATTGAGCATACTGAGCTCTGTCTTGGCGAACTCATCGGCTGGTATTTGTAAGTCGCAAATATTTTTCTTACTCTTTGAAATGCTTGTTCAGACAAGGCAAGATAGTTGCAGAGGAAACTGTTGTCGATGGATTCGAAAATGCACCGAAAGCATTTTGCGACATGCTCCAGGGCAAAAACATCGGAAAAATGGTTGTCCGAGTCTAATTTCTTCTATTCCTGATTTATGTGCGATTACCCACTGTTCGATCCAATGCGTGATTTAGTTGCTTAGAAAAAATTCTTCAATCCTCAGTTCAAACTGTTCCAATTTCAACAAATTTATTGATTAGATTTTTTTTGTTCTAAGAATGGTCGGAATATGGATCGTTTTAGTAGCAATGGTCATCATGGCGATTGTTTTCCAACCAAAGGAGTCTCCGTTCAACTCAACAGATCGCGTTCTGATTGTAACAGCGCACCCAGACGATGAATGCATGTTCTTTGGGCCGACAATATTGCATTTGAAAAAGCGAAATATACCCGTAAAAATTGTCTGCCTCTCTTCCGGAAACTATGATGGCCTCGGTGAAAGGCGTAAGAAGGAGTTCATGAATTCCGTAAAAGCCTACGGCGCGGAAGGAGAGTGTGTAGCTAAGTTTGATGATGGTCCGGAAAGATGGGATAGACATCAAGTCCAAGAATACGTTAAAGCACAAGTTTCGGGTAGCTTATCTTTGTTGATTTCAGTCTCGATGTTTATTTTAGAATTCAACGCTTCGGTGGTGGTTACATTTGACTCGTATGGTGTCAGTGGACATTTGAATCACAAAAGCTGCTCCGAGGTCAAAAAGAGTGAAAAGGTCCGCGTGTTGTATCTTGAATCAGTTCACCTGCTGAGGAAGTATTCCGCCACATGTGATCTTGTCGTAACTTCCACCAGGTAGTTTCTGATTTGATGTATTCTTCTCAACCTTTTCAGCGGTCTCCAATACGTCGTAGAAGGGAGTTGGCCTTCAGTAAAAGCCATGTTCTGTCACAGAAGTCAGCTCGTCTGGTATCGCCTGTTTTACATAACAATGTCGAGATACATGACTATCAACTCTTACAGAACAAGAGCATGAACGAATCTATCCCAGTGCCAGAACACATGTCTAGAACAAATGCCTTGAATCCCTAATTATCAATGATACGAATGCACATTCTTCAATCTGTATATTTTTTCTACTGTTTAGATCTTACTGAATATAGGAACCAAGAAGCTGATAAAATTTTTGCGTAGGTCGCCTTGTGACTCAACCGGCCATTTTAAATAGAGAATAATTATAAACTCGAGAAATTAGAACCACCATTGATTCATAGTGGTTTAGAATGTCGCTTGAAATCGAATCGCCAGATGTTATTAGGTTAATTGAACAATTTTGCAAGGAGAACCGTCTCCACAGAACACTCCAAGTGCTGCAAGAAGAATCGCAAGTATCGTTGAATACTGTTGACTCGATTGACTCATTTGTTACCGACATTACAAACGGTAAGGATTTGATGTGACTTATTATTGATGCAGACTTTTAGGGCACTGGGATGTTGTTCTCAATACGATATCGAGTCTCAAACTGCCCGATCGGGTCCTTATCGATCTCTACGAACAGATAACGATTGAACTCATCGAGCTACGAGAACTTGGCGCTGCGAGGTCTTTGCTTCGACAGACAGATCCTATGATTGGTAAACTTTTGCATTTTCAAGATGGCTTTTGATTGTTTGTTTTCAGCCCTGAAAAACATGCAGCCAGAACGATACATGCATCTGGAAAACGTTCTAACTCGACCGTACTTTGACGCGCGAGATGCTTATCCAGACGGACAAACAAAAGACAAACGAAGGCAACACATTGCTGCGCAACTAGCGAAAGAAGTTTCAGTTGTTCCACCGTCGAGGCTGATTGCTCTTCTGGGACAGGCATTGAAATGGCAACAGCATCAGGGAATTCTTCCTCCAGGATCGCAAATCGATCTCTTTCGAGGAAAAGCACAGTCGAAAGTTGAAGAGAATGAAAAATACCCTTCGGTGCTCAGCAAGACCATCAAATTCAGCTCAAAAAGGTAATATTGGAACAACCAAATGTCAGTCAACGAAAATTTAATCAAGCCATGTGGAAACGACGCGATTTTCTCCCGACGGGCAGTACCTTGTTACTGGCTCAGTTGATGGATTTATTGAAGTGTGGAATTATTTGACGGGAAAGATCAGAAAAGATCTCAAGTACCAAGCGCAGGATAATTATATGATGATGGAGCAGGCGATTTTGTCGATGACGTTTTCGAGGGACTCCGAAATGCTTTGCACTGGCGACCAGGGTGGAAAAATGAAGGTAGCGTTAGAATTGTAAATTTATACAATAAAACGTCCTTTCAAGGTTTGGAAAATCTCTACAGGCCAATGTCTTCGTCGTTTTGAGCGAGCCCACTCAAAGGGTATCACTTCGATGAACTTTTCAAAAGATGGATCGCAAATTCTCAGTGGCAGTTTCGATAACACCGTCCGCATTCACGGACTCAAATCTGGAAAGCAACTCAAGGAATTCAAGGGTCACGTGTCCTTCGTCAACGAGGCTGTCTTCTCTGCGGATGGTCACATGATTATCTCAGGCTCTTCTGATGGAACTGTTAAAGTAAAAAAGACCTTTGGTCATACAGAAATAATAATGAATTGATTTAGATTTGGAATATCAAAACACTAGAGTGCATTTCGACCTTCAAGTCGCTCGGCGGAAACGACGCTACGATCCATTCGGTCACTCTGATGCCAAAAAATAACGACCAATTTGTTGTCACCAATCGCTCAAATACTGTTGTAATCATGAATATGCAGGGCCAAATTGTCAAGTCCTTCACTTCTGGTAAACTCTAATTTTTTGAAACTACTGTTGATCCGATTTCTTCAAGGTAAAAACAAGGAGGTGATTTTGTGTGCTCGACACTGTCGCCACGTGGCGAGTGGCTCTATTGCATTGGAGAAGATAGGGTTTTGTATTGTTTCTCAACTCATTCAGGTAAAGCATCGGTGACTGACATGATCTTATCCGAGTTTCGGTTTTAGGAAAACTAGAAAGGACACTCATCGTCCACGAACAAGACGTTATCGGCATCTCTCATCATCCCCATTCGAACTTGATTGCCACCTTCTCAGAAGACGGACTGCTGAAACTTTGGAAAGGATAAAAGCTTCCATGTTGAACTGTAACCAACTGCCACACTCACCGTTTAGTAAAAATGTCACATGTTCCGGGGGAGCTTATCCTTCTTCCTCCGTTCAAATTGTTCATCTTTAGTTTTCGTTCAGAATGGCGCAAGGAAAAGGAGTCGGAGCAAAAAAGAAGAAACAGTCTGCTGGAAGTATCAAAGCCAAGCAGGGACGAACGAAGAAGGGGCTCAAAAAACAAGTCAAGTCCAAAAAGGTATAAATGATTCTAGTTTTCTTGTTTTTCAAAATGATTAAGATTGATCAAATCCACACAAAGAGCACCCAAAAGTTCTTGACCAAAAGTATCAACAAGAACATTGAAGCCCAGGTATCACTTGAATCTATAAATGCTCGGGATTTAACACTGTTTCTAGTGCTTGGCTAGTGCAGATAAAGCTGGAACAAGTTTGAAAGTTGTGAAGAGTCAAGAAGCAAAGAAATAAACCGTTAAAACTGAACACCTGATTCGTTTTTTTCGCTTGAGTGACTGAAAGATAAATTTGCCATTGACTTGAAGAGGTTGTTTTGGTTGGAAGTTCACGTGCACAGGATAGTTTTTGTACACCGATACGACAATCCCACCATACAATCGAAACCTCAACCCTTCACCGCAGGGCAGAGTAGCTCGTTTGTGGCCAATCGTATTCGTAAGAAGGAGTCAAGGTCCATTTTGTGAGAATTTCCCAAATCAGAGGTTCTTGTTGGAAGGAGGCTGTGGATGATCCTAATCGCTCGATATTGTTAAGAAATGAACGGACTCGTCGCATATGGCTCGGATTCGGAGGACGAAACGGAAGTTTCAGCACCAGCGCCACAAGTGAAGGTACATTTCGTAGTACTTTTCTGTCGATTTACTCTCTTTAGAAACCATCTCTGTCCCTCCCACCAGCAAAAAGTGCCCCAAAAGCGGCTCCAAAACCAGCAGCTACCGCTCCAAAAACGAATTCTTCATGGAACTCGTCAGGTGCCGGCTCGCTTGGCGGTTCCATTCTAGCATCAGAGTACCAACTCAAGATGTTGAGCAAACAACGCGCAAAAGCCGCCGCTACTGGATCTAAAAAGAGAATTTTCATCACAGCACCGAATTTGGACGAGTTTGAAACGGAAGAGGCAGAGGCGGAAAAGCCAAAGAGAAAGAAGATGCAACCAGCTGCTACAAGATCGAAGCTGTTCAGTGCTCTTCCGAAACCAAAGAAAGAGATACCTGCTGGAAAAATCAACGCGCCAGCAGTTTCAAGATCAGACGGGCCGTCTTCATCATCAGCATCTGAGCCAGAAATAAAGCCAGTCAAGCCTTCTGGTCTTGTAAGCACGAGCTCGTTTATGCCGAACTCTGTCAAGAACCGTCCACAACCTCAACCAAAGAAGCCAGTTGCTCCCATAGTCGCTAAACCGCCGCCGATTGTAAACGAAGCGGAAGATAGCGATTCTGATGATGAAGGAGGATTCTTTTCCTTCAGCTCCAAAGAAAAAGACGCCGAAGAGCTTAAGAAGCATGCACCAATGATGCCAGTTGGCCCAGTAAGGCCTTCTCTTGGCGAAAGGGAAAAGTATCAAATCGATACGGCGCCACTTCCTGTTCATGGATCAACACGTCATCCCGATGAGGTCAGTATCTGATTTAAATTTATGTAAATCCAGGAATGTGGAAATAATTGAATTTGAATAGAAATCAATCACAAAAGACTTTGACTCGGAGTCAAAGAGCGTAAGTCTGAGTTTTCGTGTGAATTATATAACAGTCTGGTATTTTTCCGCGTTTACTATTATAACAAGTGCTTTCACGAACGATTTTATGTTCTGTTTGTGCTTGAATTTATCGTTTTAGGCAAACGCAGCAATTGCTCCGTACGGCAACGATTTGAGCAGTTTCCAATCAATCGCCGGTCGCGTTCCAACAAACGAGGAGATTTCAGCCGCTGACGCTGGCCTTGACATTGATCGTCAAGCGATTTCCAAGCTACAAGTGAGTAACCACCCAGTGCTACTACTATGTATTTACGTCGTAAAATACCTCGGTTCTTTGTTTTGATTTCGCATTACCCAATCAATTTACTCAAATTATAAATGATATGAAAGTTGAAAAATTATTTCTTCAGGGACGGCGACGAGAAGAGGTCCAGTTCGTCGATGCAGTCGTGGACAACTCTCTTGGCAACATCCGCGAGAATATCAGAAAGAGTGCCAACCAGAAACACGTCTCCACCTCCATGGTCGATCCAGTCAAAGAGATGCGAAAGAGCGGTAACGAAACACAAATTCAATTTCACGCAAGTTTACCGTATTACCTATTCAGATCCAAATGCGCACGTGTCAAAGAGAACGCATCAGCTCAAGTATCTCGTGGAGTTGGCGAAGGCAAACGAGACCCGATTAAATCAACTTTGGTCAAACGCGAAGCAGAGCAGTCGAACTACAGCTATGAAATATGGCTGGTGATCGCTCTTTCTTTTTTCAATGCTTTCCTGTAACTGATAACATCTCATTTATGTCGACCTGCCTATCTTATCATAAAGATTTCTAGATGGACTCGGATGGATGACTTTATTTTGTTTCTCTCGTGCGGGCCTTTCCCGCCTGAGACGAAGTCTTCTCTCGGTGGAAAACGGCATACAGCGCGAATTCAGGCCGTCCCAGATGAGCCAAATGAAGAACTCCGCCAAGGTAAAACAGTGATAATGCTTTCTAAAGATCTACCATCATGCAGTCTCTTTCTAGTGAGCTGGTCTGTCCGGGCCAATCCAACTATACACACGCTTCCTCATGCTTATGTTCCTGAAGCCCTAGAAAAACTTGTAGATTATGCAAAAGAAAAGTGCCCAATCGTTATCTTTCTTATTCTCGATGAAGTCCCAAATGAGCCCTGGATGGTTGATATTTTAAAATTGCTGATTGACAGAACTTCACCTACCTACAAGAGGCAAGTCATCGTTAGAGTGGCCTCATCGAACCCACAAGAAGTTGATGAAAGTGTTCAGGAACGAAGAAAAATGACGATTTTAATGGATTATTTTAATATTATTACAAAGTTCAGTCATTTAGCTCTAAAAGGAACTATTTGAAGCTCTCGGAAGCTTCGGCAAAACGATCATCCCTGTAACGGAAGCGAATCCGTACCCGTGGTCTTGCTACCTCGACTTTTGTCTTCCATTTGAATCCACAGTCTTCTCAATGATCGCTCATTCCATGGATCCAGTCAGCGTAGACATGTATCTCCCCAACACTCAACGAAATGCTGCTCGCTTTATCGACATTCTCTGGTCCAACGCATCATCTAACTTGAACCTCAACAATCTTACCGGAATCGAATTGGAAGTTATTCTTCCTGGCAGAGTCGAACGAGCATTAAAGTCGATGCTTGATGGAGGGCTGATGATTCTAAGTACTAACGGTTATATGAAGACATGTTATTGGGCGCTCATGCCAACTGAAGGTGATTATAAAGAAACCCTAGATTTTTTCAAATCTGACTTAGAGGGCTTCACGTTGCTCGGAATTCAAAGCTCGCCTTCTGAGAAAAGTTCAATGCCAATCAAAGGACTCAAGCAGATAACCACTGGAATAATTTGCGAAGAGATGTTCACTGATCCGAATTTCAACTTTGAGCGCCTTGAATTAGAAATGACCGAGTGCTCTGAGCCGGTATCGTTTGAACATGTCTCGCTGCGAGATGCGCTCAAGTCCGAAATGGATAATATGAGGTGAGTTAAGATCATTATTCAGTCATAAATGCATTTTAATTGTAAGAAATGATGAACCAGCGGTGAAGCCGCCCGAATTAGACGCAGTTTTCTTTTCTCCTGGGAAGATTGTTGCAAATACAAAAGCAATTGAAGATAGCGTTTCGTCGGTCGCAAGTGATGCGGTTTCGAAATCCTCTCCCCCGTCGCCAATCAAGCGCATAATGTGTAAGCAATTTTACATAATTAAGAGCTCTTATGATAGCGATAAAATGAAAGTTTCCAGATCAACGTTTGATATTTTCTTTATCTTAAATTATTCAGCCAAACACAGCCAGCCGACTGCAGTCGTGACAGAAAGACCATTCGAGACCGCGTCTGCTTCCTCCAAAAAGGCAAGCGAGCTGGAAAATATCAAACGACTCAACTCGATTACCACAAGACCACGTTCACGCTCAAGATTGTCTACTTCTTCTCGCTCTTCTCGAATAAAGGACGCGACTGAAAAGGAAAACGCCAAACAGCAAACAAGAGTAGCACCTTCCGCCCAGCAACGCCTCTCCTTCAAACGGTCATCATCCTCCTCGACAAAAGTTATCAGCAGGAGACTTACCGAATCGGACCTTGGAAGAAAATCATTGAGGAATGAGACTCCGTCTCTTAGACCGCCTGCCACTCCAATAAATAGCTCGAAACCTGTCGAGTTTAGTGGGTCAGAGAAAAAGAAAGCAATCCTAGGTGAGCTTCGCGAGAGCGCATTATCGTTCGTTAGTACTAAACTCTAGCAGACATCATAATTGCTAGTCACCTGTTCATTGATTATAATGTTGTTTATTGATTCACGTTTTAGCCGTGATAAAGAAAGAGCTATCAAAAATCAAACTAGACAAGAAAGACCCTGTTTACTTCCCTGTGGTCAAGAAGCTTCATGAAATGACACGAGGAGTTCTTCGAGACTTGAAAGTTGATCGAAAAGCGCTCATTCTCATCATGGAGAACACGGTTAAAAATAATGCTCCGCTGGTGATTGAGACACACCGAATGTCTCAAACGACGACGAGTTGATTCAAAAAGTGATGCAAAGATTTCTGGTTCAAAGTTTTCAAGACTGCCATTTTTTAAGAGAAAGATCATGGTGATGCTTTTTAGAATGGTCACGCCGTCCCGGGCTAGGAATTACGCGGAAGCGAACACCCATCGGCCGCGGGAGTACTGGGACTACGAGAGTCATGTTGTCGAATGGGGAAATCAGGACGATTATCAGGTACGCGGAACAACTCTTTCCGACGATGAACTTTTGTGGTAGCTTGTTCGAAAGCTGGGTCGAGGCAAGTATTCCGAGGTATTCGAGGCCATCAACGTCACCAACAACGACAAGTGCGTCGTCAAAATCCTCAAGCCCGTCAAAAAGAAGAAGATCAAACGAGAGATCAAAATTCTTAAAAACTTGGCCGGCGGCCCAAATATTATTTCCCTTCTTGTAAGTCCTTTGTCTCTTCCATTTTTTTCAATGTATTTCCTAGGACATCGTGAAGGATCCAGTCTCAAGAACTCCCGCTCTTATCTTCGAACATGTGAACAATACCGATTTCAAGCAGCTGTATCAAACACTTACTGACTACGATACACGATATTACATTTTCGAAATTCTCAAAGCCCTGGACTTTTGGTAAGATCAAGTTCCTCGTTTGTTTTTATCATTTTGTTAGCCACTCAATGGGAATCATGCACCGAGATGTGAAGCCTCACAATGTTATGATTGACCATCAACAACGCAAATTGCGACTTATCGATTGGGGTCTTGCTGAGTTCTATCACCCCGGACAAGATTACAACGTCCGAGTCGCTTCACGATATTTCAAGGGGCCAGAGCTCCTTGTTGACTACCAGGTTTGCATTTTTGTCGGACGGATAGAAAAACTGATTGTGACTTTAGTACTACGACTATTCGTTGGATATGTGGTCTCTTGGATGCATGCTGGCCTCGATGATCTTCCGAAAGGAGCCATTTTTCCATGGCCACGATAATTATGATCAGTTAGTTCGAATCGCAAAAGTCTTGGGAACTGAGGACTTATATGATTACTTGGATAAGGTGAGTGTGATTCCTCTTATTGGATAGTCAAAATTTGTTCAGTACAACTGCGAGCTCGACCCTCGATTCAACGATATCTTGGGAAGACACAGTCGAAAGAGATGGGAACGATTTGTTCATGCCGAGAACCAGCACCTAGTAACGTAAGCCCGCTGCTTTTTATTTTGATTTAATCTTCGTAAATTACCGGACGGCTCCTAGGAATGAGGCAATCGACTTTTTGGATAAACTTTTACGTTATGATCACAACACCCGTCTGACAGCACGTGAGGCAATGGATCACCCTTACTTCTACCCGATTGGTAAGAACGCTGCCAGTTCTGCTTAACACTTTAGTATTTCCTTCAATATACGTCTCGTAACGTGTCATTGTCGTTTAATTACTACAGTAGTTCGAACAGTATCATCATCAACAATTCTTTATTTTCATATTTCTTTGTTTGCATTTACCTCTTCATTTATATCAACTCGAATGTCAATTAAGAAACCTAACTAGTGGTAGGAGCATGAATTAGGTTCAAATTTTAGGGTGTGTCTGTGTAGATAGGTAGTTTTAAGGTGGTTGAGAAGTTCTATTTATGTCTATATTTATTTCAAAAAAATCTAACCAAGCTTCTATCACTAGAATAGTCACTCATCATGTCTAGCTTCGTCGTCATCTATCAGCTCTCAGTAATTGTCTAGTTAGGTTAAGATTAATTCCTGTCATTTAGCACGAGAACAGATCAAGCCTGACCAGATCAAGGACGAGACCCAGGCGTGACATCTGCGACTGCCAACCTTAAAACATGAAAAAAAAACTAAACTCAAACACCCAGCTTAAAACAGTCGTTTGTGTACACTTTTATTGCATCGCATGCAGCAAGAGGCAGGAATAGATGTCGGAAAGCAAACTTTTTGAAAAACAGAAATCGGAAATCTTTATCAGTTTATTGAAAGCTCAAGAAGCTGGGTAAGTCGAAGTAACTAAATCGTCGAATGTGCCATAAAAGTTTCTGGATTGTCCTGATTTCCGGAGATATGCCGGCGATGATGAAACAGTTGTATTCTCGACATTTTAATGTCAATTTAAATGAGTCTCAACTTGGTTTACGACTGTAACAGTCACTGTTTTCGAAAGCCAGAAATGAGAGCTAAAATTTTAGAAGGGACTTAATAGAATTGACTTAAATCAGTAAGGGTTTTTAAAATACTATGCCATTGGAGGGATTCATGGCGATTCCAAAATTTAATGAGCTTAAAATCTGGGACAATACTATCGTAGAATTTCGCCAAAGTTGCGCACAAATCCTTTTCATATGGTTGATCGTGAAACGCTGTGTTTACATGTCAGCACAACGATCAAATGGAACGTTACAAATTCTGAATTCGACAATACTTCTCTAGCGGTTCGCTTGGCTTCTGAGAAATGACAGCTTTCGTTAAAAATTCTCAATCAGTGATTATATTTCTATGGAACTGTTAGATTTGTTTATTCATCATTATTATAATTATTATCTAAAATGACCAATACATGTCTGAATTCGCTGATCAAGCAACTTGACGTTCGTTGATATCATTAAGTCCGTGTTTCGTCATAAACTGAGAATCTTGTTAATTTTGTGAAACGGACATAATTGGGTTGGCCCGCAATGTTTCCCATCGCAACAGGGAGAAAATGGTTACGCAGAAAGCGAAAACACCAAAGTACCCATCTTGGAGATCGCATCAGCTTACGGCACACCAACACACGCGGCGCTCACACGATTTTATGATTACAAATTGCTATAAATACGAGGCGATGAAGACGATTCAGAATAGTCGAAAGATCCAAAAGATAATTTTGGACTTGTATACAAACTAGGAAAATGAAGACTTCCGCTCTCCTCGTTGTTCTCACGGGCGCAAGTCGGCAGAGAAGAGCGACGGATTTCTACGGCGATGCTTTAGAGTTGAACCGCTTTTATGACGAAAGTAAGTTATTCTGAAAATTGAATAGGTCTTTTTATCTATATTTTAGCTGCAAGCCAACTTGATGGAGCATATGGTTGCTTTTGCAACTTTATACAGGGTGATCGTCAATTCTCCCAGCCAGGATTTGGGTCACGACCACTAGATGCGTCCGATGCAGTTTGCAAGGCTCACAAAGATTGTCTCGCATGTGTGCGAGAAGAGTTCGGAGAAGAATGCATTCCAGAGGGCTTCGACATGCGATACACTCACGAGGATGGACAATGCACGAATGAACAAGGAACGTGCAAACGCGCCTTGTGCGAATGTCAAAAACAATTTGCCATCGACCATGCAAAAGTCAAGGACACTAAAAATAACGGTCCCTTTCACTGGTTTATCGACGGTGGTATTGGGCCAGCTCCTTTCCAGAATGAAATTTGCCGTAAGTTTGATAGTAACGACGTCTTTTGAAACTTATTTTCAGCAAATGCTTGTCCGACAAAAGATCTCCTTATTGCCAGCTCAACTACTTCTCTCTCGGGTTCCCGATTTTCCTTGCATTCCGAATTCTACAATAACAATCATTGCTTCGAAAACACTCAATCTGGCGTGATGATTAGGTTCAGCGGGGAGAACTGGCAAATTGTCGCCGACGATGTCGTCCTATTTGAAGCCAAAGATTCTTTCTCGTGTCCTGACAAAATCTCAAAATGGCTAGATAGTGACGGCATATCTCAGACCATTCGATTCGCATCAGGAACAGCTAGCCCTGGCGAAAAACGATGCTGCAAGAACAACGATGGCGGATTCAAACTTTTCAATGACGGCAATCAACAATGCTGTGATGATGGGTCCGTTAAACCAATCGGAAATTGCTAAAGCCATTTCTACTCTGTATATGTTTGGTGATTGAAAATTGAAAAACAAGTTAATTAAATAAAAAAACTGATTGTAATATAAACGAATTATTCCGAAAAAAAAGTAATTATTGATCATTCGACAACTCAAAATTCTAAAATTATAAATTTATATTTCATCTAAGCATATTTTTGAAAAATTAACATTTTTGTGCATTTCTCTTCATTTTTTTTATTTTTGCAGCTTGCACGAAATTAACTGATCTCGCCGGTGAAATATTTTTACGTGCGAGCCTAACCAAAGTGAGATTATATAACATTACCATAGAGAGCCCATCGGCCATCTGACAGATGTGCGGTCATCTTTTGCATCTCGAGTAGACCTTTACCACCGCACGCTGACGTTGAAGCATATTTTAGTTGAGCATGAACATGGCTATTTCAGATTTAAACGTTTAGAACGTGTAAAAATGGGCAGATCCGGATTAGCGGATTATCCGCGGGTTCGTGCAATCACCGCTCACTCGATATTAAGTAACGTGTATATCTCAGCATTTCATAATGAGATAATAATCGAAAAATGCTGCAATTAGGTGTTTCCTTCTGAAAATGTCACGCTGCCCTATTTGTCGATTTTTAAAAGGAAATTAGTGTTTTGGGTAGGTTTCATACAACGCGCGATGTTAACTTAATTATAGAAAGCATGTTCTTCCGAGGCTTACTTAGTCGGAATCCTCTCAATTCTGATCTGCTTTGAACATTGGATTATCCCTCTGCAAAGATTAAAAGGAAACGGCGCGTTTAGCTGATCGGATTTATCCTCGATGAACTTTTGCGATGGCAACTCTGGAATCGGAATGTGAGCGATCAGTGAATGCGTGCGTGTGTAGGTGGCTTGCATTAGCGGTCCTGGCTTGTGAAGCAGTGGCCTCGGTGATCAGGCAGCGGATTGTATGGCGTGCGGGCGCGGTGGTGGTGTTGGTGCCCTGCCCCGAACCGCTTGGTGCTTCAATTCTGAATCGAGCCCGAAATTCGGCCGGGCGACGCGCGCAAACACCAAATACCCTTGCTCTGGAAAATTACTGCACCTTGCAAAAAGCAGTCGTAAACCTATTTCCACCAATTAACGCAAATGAACTGCAGAGAAAAGCGAATATCGAGAGAGTTTGCGAAGATCTAAACCTCGTTACTCCACGGGATGGGATCGTCGATATCAAAGTGCCGAAAGCGCCATCAGGTGGAAGAGTCGCTCACTCAGAACGGCATCTCCAAGGTCTCAGGGGATGGGACCGGCGTGCAAACAGGAAGTGCCCAAGAAGGTCAAGTCAATAATGCATATCGCGACACGGCGCAAACGAGCGCACCGCCAGGAATGTGTTTACAACTGACACCACGTTGTGTAATGGAGATAATTAGGATATGAAGGCTTCTTCCTCTAGCTGGGCGGAACCGCTTTTGCGGTAGACAACAAATGCTAAATCAGCCACCGCCCTTATATAACTGGGTTACTGCTCAAGAAGCTCCACCAATCTTGGCGCGCAGGCAAATAAACAGCTCCTTGACGCCAAGGCCTAAATGTTTGGTTTATATTTTTCTCTCGGCCAGCCTGGCGGGCTCAAAACTGACAAATTTTATGCAATCTGGGAAAATGTCACCTTAACTCGCCCGCAGAGCTAAAATTATGCTGCTCTTATTTTCTAAAAAACGTAAGTGCCGGCGGTTTAAAATACCACCGTGCAATTTATGTCTCGTTGGAGACTTAGGGGACGTCAGCACTTTTCTATCTAAGCCAATTTACAAATTTTTGGCTAATTTGAAGAATGATCCGCTCATCACTCAGACGGGTTCATGAACGCTTTAGGACAACTACTGAACCGTAAAGTGGTTATCGGGACCCAGGAGGGGCTCAACTTGGCTTAAACTAGCCCTGGCGGTTTTACTTTATAACTAGCTTTTTGCTCCAGGGCTAGAGGATGATCCCTTCCTTTTGAGATCGAGAATTTCAGGTGCGTAAAGCGACTGGGTGATGCGTTGAAATTCACCGTGTAGACTTTACGTTTCGACCGCCTGTCAAAGCGTCAGATTCGAAGTTAGATCCAATCCGGTTGATAAAATCTCGCTTCTACCGTACCAAGCACGCCCTTGCCTAACCACAAGAATTTTCATAAAATTCCTCGCTCGATCATCACGACGCTCCACACGTGAGCATCTTCGACTGACCCTTTCAGTGATCTTAATTTAGTTCGTCCTCCTTATTCCTAGAAGGCCCTGGAGTTTATACCAACCACTCTTTTTAGTGCCAAATTCTCATCAATCGTTAAATAATAGCTAGCCACTTGGTCGAAACTCAACGCATAACAAAAAGATAAAAGTTGAAATCTGTGTTATTCGGGGATTACACGGACCCTTATCTAACCATTTGGTGGACTCATAATTACATCCTCTATCGCAACGGACTTTACGATAAAATCTGTAAACTTGAGACTTTTTAATTAAAATTAAATTTTAATTTAAAAGTTCTCAACGTGCGAGTACGTTCAAAACACAGGATTAGTCGAAATGAATGATATCGAGGTGCAGACGGAGGAAATCGAAGAACCCGGCCCAAATCCGGCAGAAGAGGATTTAATCCGGCTTCAATCTTCTATGTGCGAGATTCAGGAAGACTTCACGCGAGAGCGCCAAATGCTCAAAGATCAGATCGCACAGCTTCAGGTACACCTTTGCTTGTTACTAAACTCGTGTAAAAGGACACTTTAAAACATGTCCAAAAGGTGTAGATATTATAATACGGATGTCGTTTGTGATACTTGACAATTTAAATCGCATGGAAAATCCGGAAAATAGACATGATGTTTAACATGTGTTGAAGGCGCAAGTTCTGGCTGCCGAGAAATTGAACGAAGAGGCCGGCCAAAGTCATCATAAAGATGGCGACGTGATGGTCGCACCGGAGCACTCAAGCCCTCAAGTACCGCAGATTGAGAAGAAAACCGAAACCTCAGATACTGGTTTGATAAGTGTTACCGAAAAGCCCCTACCACCCCCACCACGCTCGTCCAGCGCGGCGGATGGAGGCATACCCGACCCTACCTTGCAGAAAAACGAAATCATTATCAACGAAACTGAACGCCTCAGGTCAGTTCCATTCCTATATAACTATGTCGTTGATGGTATCGCGCATTGAGGTCTGACCTCTGAGGTATTTTCCTCAAATCCGGTGTTGGAATTGCGCCCTTTCGCTTTCGCTAAACTCGAAATTTTAGCATAACGAATCCAGCCTTTGAACCGGATGTGGACTCGTCGAGCAGCTCGGAACCGCCGCCGAAGCCTGAGCGAAATGTTTCTGCAGTGGAACCATGGACACCCGCAAAACCGATCAAATCTTCGATAATATCTTCAACCTCCGAAAGTGACCAAGAAGCCTCCCCGGAAAAGACAGAAGACGCTGAGGAGCCAGTCGATGTCTCAGACGAAGTGCCACAAGAAGAAGTGATTACGGGCAATGATACCGGAGAAGAAACTCAAGCACCACCGGCGACTCCAGGTAAGATAATGAAAAAGGGGCGGATAATATATTCAGCGACGAGTGGGCTTATTCAAACTTTTACGCGTGAATGGGAAAGTAAAGGGCGTTATTTTAGTCCCTGATTATCCATCTGATGATAAGGTCGATAATGAAGAACCTACTCCAAGCGAAGTCGTCAAACCCTTCGAAGACGACTTCGCGAATTTCACAGTGCTGCGAAAGAGCTCTAAAGCGGAGTCCGAAAAAGTAAGAGCTCGACCTTTTTAGCAAAATCATGATTTTACCTGATTTAAGGATTCATTCGGATTTACGGAAGATTTCGGGCCCACGAAAAATGACAACACATTTGGCATGGACGAATTCGTTCCTGTGATCGATTCAAGCAAGCCTGCAACAGTCGAGAAGGTCGACTGGGGAATATCAAGCTCAGAAGATGAAGGTGGCGATTCGAAAAACGCAATAACTATTGATGATCCATTCAAAGACGATCCATTCAGCTCTCCGGCCGATGTCCTGAATAATGAGGAAGTCACGCCAGAGAGTGAGACGAAAACAAGTCAAGACGATCAATCAACAGGAGATGATAAGGCGGATACAAGTGAAAACCAGCCAGCATCTGATAGTCAAATTCATCAAATGCTTCAATTCTTCAACAAAAAATACGAAGAAAATACGGGCTCGAATAAAAGTCCCGAAATACCGATCCCAAAAGTGGAGAAAATTCAACTCGAGCCTGCGCCCGTAGAGAGTACAGAACCGGAAGAAAAAGAGCCGGACGATAACTCGCCCCAAGAGGTTGAGGAAGAGACTCAAGTTGAGGAGACGGCTGCGATGGAAAAGGCCTGGGAGTCAGATTCTACTGACGACGAGCAGAAAACGCAAATATCAACAAAGGTATTTTCCCAGCTTTTGAATCAGAATTTCTTCATTGATGCATTTTAGGGCTCGAAAGTTCTGATGGCGAAAAAGATCACCTTGGAATCCACTGACGACGAAGTCGGCCTTACAGAGCTCGACACAGATATGGAAAACGATGGGGGCTCCATCATTCCAGACGCGAGTCAGTCAACCGTCGCTGATCATGATGATCGAAGTGACTTTCTAAAGTCCATGGAACAGGAGCTGCAAGAGATCCAGAAACATCATTCTCTTGGCGCTCGGTCCCTTGGCAACGTCCCAGAAATTCCGATATCTGAACAGCTGAGCGCCGCAAAATGGAACTTATCGGACTCTGACGATAACAACGACGAGGAACCGGGTGCTGTCGCAGTCGCTCTTTCTGATTCATCGTCGGAAGAGGACAATAACGAAGGTTCACCAGTAATAAAATCTTCATCTGTCGGGGATAGTCTTATTGGCTCGTCAGGTTTCACATTTTCGTCGAATTTCGAATCCGCTGCTCCCGTCAAGAAAATGGCCCCCGTGGCAATATCGCGGACGAGCTCAAGATCGTCTTCTTGTGATTCCTTCTCATCGTCCTAGGCTTTCCAATTATCGTTGATACTGCGCAGTACATCAATTTTTATCATCTCGAAAAGATACCTCGTCGCCCAAAAAACGAAGACAATACTTCAACTTCATGCAACTTTATGAAAAAATCCCCTTGTGAAATGAAATAATTTTCACTAACATTTTCAATTTATTTAACATTTGTCGTTGAGACAGTTCAAAAACAACAACTTACTGTACAGAATTCCTAACCAATAAGAAACCTCATAACTACCAATTTATTCATTGATTAAAAAACTATTTGTAAATCGGCTTGATTTTTGTAAAAAAGGGTTGAGTAGAGTATAATTACTTGGGCCGTGAGAGAGCGAGGTAGACGAAATGATATCGCAGACGCGAAAAGAGTATCACTTCATTCTCGCTGGATACTTGAGCGTTGTAGAACGAATAAGAGGTTTTTTGAATGGATATTGTAGAAGAGAGTATTTTGGACATCAATGAAAATCTTACATTCGAATGCGCGGAAGAATATCTTCATGTTTCAGAAGGTATCTAAAAGCACATGTGACTTGACTTTTCTTACGATTTTTAGGGGTCAAATGGAGTATCCGAATATGGGGAATACTCATTTTTGTGTTGCAACTTTTTGCCAATTCGGTCGTGATTTGGGTTCTTCTTCATATGAAATCGATGAGCAAGGCGAATTTGTTTATACTTTCTTTGGCATTCTCCGATCTTTTATCTGGAGGAGCATCAGGTTATAGAGATTTTATGTTCTTGAAAATTATAACGACTGATACTAGCGATTGGAGGGTATCGAGAAGACCCAGGACGGACATCATTCGACTTGAGCAAATGGGTCGCTTATTTTTACATAACACTCGAGTTTCTTACTACAATGACGACATGGATGAATATTTCACTTTTTGCGATGCTGCGGTACTTATGTATCTGCCTTGATAAAGATTTTAAGTGCAGGTTGAAAATTTTCACAATCCGTTAAAGTCAAGAAATCAGACTTGAACCTGCTTCAAAGCAATCGACAGTGATCGCGATGATCGCTTCAACTTGGACGGTTCCAATCATGATTTTGTCAGCGACACTTTACGGTGTCATTCAACCAGTTGAAATATCTTCACTAGGTCCTGCCAGTTTTTTATGAGTGTTACTGACGCTTTTTAGATCATCGGCACCGAGCTCCATTCACAAACCTAGAGAATATTCTCGGCGAGTCAGCAAGTTCCAAAGATTACTTGCTCAAAGCCCTCATCATCCCTTTTGGAATAATCTATGCGATTTCCTTTTTGTTGCTCATCTTCGCCACTGCCAACTTGGTTTATTACATAATGAAGTATAGATCCCGATTGCAGAGTCTTGGGAATACTGCCGATAGAAGAGGTCATTTGCCTGTTTTATTCGAAGATTAAACCGAATTTTAGTATTGACAAGAAGGAGATCAGCAGTTATTCAGCTGCTGATCATTATTGGGGGCTTCGTTTTTGGGGCAACTCCGTGGACAATTCAAGATATTGCATGGGTTGGCGACAAAACATTAAGGTTCTCTAGTTCTATTTAGGGGCGTTTTGTTGGTTGGAGAAACAGGATAAAGGAAGAAGAAGGTTTCCAGGAACATCATCTTGGTGCTCTCTGCCAAAACTATCGAGTCCTTCATTTCACTCATATTGCTGCATATTCGGGTAATTTCTTATGACAGTAAGACTCCGAAATAAAAACAATAAATTTAGCTTTACGATTATCCGAGGCAATGAATCCCTTTCTCTACATTCTAGGAAGTAGACAACTGAAAAAAGAAGTCTTCACTCTCTTTAAAATACGAAAATCGAAAGTAGTGAGAAATGCTCACGAAAACCCAGCTCTTTCACTTCAGGAGATCACAAGAACTACATCTGCTGAGACTCAACAATGTTTCCAGTAAATTGCAATAAAACAACGAGTATTTTTGATGGATCTATTTACTTACAGGTAGTTTTTTTTTATCTCAGTTAAATCGAAGCCATACAAATAAACCATTTGGCCACGTGACTGAATATTAGGTCGATTGTTGTGATATATAAAAATGATAATTTCGAACAAGAAAAAGGCATAAGAAAATTAGAAAGCACAATAACTGTACATTTAAAAATGCTGATTTACTATTGATGAGTTGTCTGATTTATCCAATCACGTGGCAATACTTTTTTGGGGAAGAGTGAACAGTGTAGGAAGCTGAAGTACATTCAAAGTTTCTCTGCAAATTAATTAAATAAACGAGGTTTAATTATAAATGGACGAGTCCGGTTTTCTTTGACGGTGAAGATTTTCATATATGACCATCAGGCTATACTAAAGAGGATGAATGAAATTGATGGAGTAAATTATTTACCATTTTCAGGCGCGAGGGGTACTTTTTCGGCTTCCTCGTTTGTCGACTCTGGCACTTTTGGCTCCGGCTGCGAGCAGAGCGCCTTGTGGCAGGTCATCATTAGCCCGCCCTGGCGCATGTAATAGCAGGAAATGTCCACAAAGACAAGGAGAACTTAAGACATGATAATTTTTATTGTGATTAGAAAAATAAGGATTTCTTCAGTAAAAATTACAAGTGTAACTTACCGACAATAATTCCAAGCATCACGCCAATCACGGTAACAGTAGAGCTGCCAGTGCCCGGTTTCATTTCAAACTTGATCTTCTGTGGCTCGGAGCCAATCTTGTCGTTGAATACGGTTATCTCGGCTTCGTACGTCTTTCCAGCTTCAAGTCCAGTCAAATTTGCGGTGCCGATCTTGCTCTCTTTGTTAAATTCGAAATCACTTGCGGTGAATTTCTTCGTCACTGCAGTGCCCTTGGTTCCATCTGCTTTGATCTGGAATTTCATTTAACTTTCATATCGCACCTTTCTAAAGCGTACCTCGTAGTATTTGATGTCGATCGACTTGAGGTTTTCGGCGCCCAAGACGTCGATCTTATACGTGAATTTCATTGAGGTATCGACGGTTTCATTTTTGGTAATTTTGACGGTTGGCGGGACTAAAAACAGATACGTGAGGTGAGAAATAAACTTGATAAACGGGATGAAAGCGTAAGCGGCAAGGGTGTTATGTTGAGTTTGTATAAAGCCTGGATTTATATTTGTAAATGTTTTTGAGAAGCATTGTTTATCAAGTGCCAAAATGATGCTTCTCAAAAACGGGGATAATGAGAGCAAAGCAAATGCACCACTAGAAGGGTCTAGCGACGGGTTATTGTCAAAATGCAAATCACGAATGGAGTTAAAATGATTCTCAGAGCCGTGCACTACTACGTGTTGTTTAAATCCTCTGCGGGGATGAAAATGAAAACTTTGAAAACTGTTTATTTTTCCGTTTTCCGTTGGGATACCGCAGGCACGTCAGCGTGTGTTTACCTGGATCATCTAGGGAATATAATATTGAAGGTTTGTGTTGATTATTATACGAGTATATTTTTGTGAAAAATATGTCTGGATTATACCTGGCTTCTTTGTCTTTAGCGTGACGCCTTCTGATTTTTCGCTATCGCCAGCTTCATTTTGAGCGGTTATGTAGAAAGTGTATTCAGTTTCTTCCTTGAGTCCGGTAAGCTGCATAGTCGTATCGGCTAGTAAGTCTTAGAGATGATAAAATTTAGTTCTCCTTTACCTCCAGCTGAAACTGTATCCTTCTCGTTTCCATCTTTATCCGTGTAGCTTATCTTGTAGGAGGTTATTGGAATAACAGACTCGGGGCTCTTCCAGTTGAAAGTGATACTTTGGTACATAATCTGCTCGTCACTGGCTGTGGGGGCCTCGGGCTTTGCTGGAGGAGTAGCTTTTTTAAGTTCAAAAACGAATTCAGCGTCGCTTATGTCGTTCTTTGCACTGCAGGTGTACGTCTTGAAGTTTTCCTTTGAGGCAAGAACGGTGTAGGTACTGATGGTTTCTGTAGGGTCGTCGGAAGTAGAAGTCGTCGTGTTTTTCTAAAAGAATTTTGATCGCTGGTTTTATGAATCCTTTTACCTGATCGGGATCTTCTTTCCAAAAAGCAGTCGCACTTGGATTCGCGCTAATGATACATTTCATCTCAGTATTTTTGTTCTCAACGCCATAAATCGTCGTCGACGGGCTTTTGTTCTTTGGCGAGTCTGAAAAAAGGAGTTAAGTTCAGATAAAGTTCAGTCTTTCAAGTCGCTCACATTGAACGGAGACTTTGATGGTCGCGTTTCCAGGTCCGTAAGTCTCGCCTTCAACCTCATTCCAAGCGCTGCAGGTAAACTCGCCATTGTGATCGCTGTTTGCGTCTGAAGAAAATTGTAAGACTTAGGAATATATTTCAGTCGAACCTGTTTTGAAGGTGGATCCTTCTGGCTGCTGCGTTCCGTCGGGCAATGTCCAAATGAACTTCGTTGGGCTTGGCTGGCCGCTAGCAGTGCATTCGAGCTTTAATTTATCACCCTCCTTCACGTTCACGGATTCTCCCTGAGTGATTGTGGCTTTAGGAGGCACCACGACAGTCACATCGATCTCCCCACTTGCCTCCTTTCCAATTTTATTATTCGCCGTGCATTTATATTTTCCGTTATGATCGGCGAAGGTCAAGTTGTCCAGCTTTAAAGTTGTCTCGGTCTGGCCTTCTATGACCTTACCGTCGCGCGACCAAGTAATATCTGCTGCAGGTTTCGCGTCGACATTGCAGACAAGGGAAGCAGAATCGCCTTCTTTTCTGACAAAAGAACTTTCTGGAATAGTCACTTCTGGAGCATAAACAACCGAAAATTTGTAGATCAGCTGGTCGTAGTCTCCAGTAGATGCTCTGGTCACTTCGCAGATGTATTCAGTACTCTCGTCGAAATCTTTGGTAACACCATCTCCGAAATCAAGCGTCTGGCCTTCTTTTGGCTCTTCAGATCCAACAGTCCACATGTATTTCAATCCACTTGGTTGGGCCTTGCAGTCGAAAGATTTTGTTCCGACCTCGAGTTGCTTGCCATTAGCGTCTTCAGCGGAGTCATCGAAGGTTAGCTTTTCGTTGAAAGTAACAGAGATAGATTTGGATTGATCCCCGTAAGAGCATTTGTAGTCTCCAGACAATCCAGCGCTTCCATCTTTTATCGAGACGGCCGTCCTTATCTTATTTTGAGACGCAAGTTTCGTCTTTCGTTGTTTCAGTTTGTCAGTATTGGCTCCACTTGGATACTCAAAGCCAACCCACGAATTAAGGTCGATGTCTGAATTTTAAAATGAAATCAAGGAAGAATAACATTATTGGAACGAACATGGCCTGTCAATAATTAGGACTTTTACCTTTAAATTCTTCTGGCGTGAAGGTTACTATACATGTCAGCCTTAATTTGCTACCAGTCAGTCTGACTAGATTTTCGTTCGGCGATATTTCCACCAGAAGACCAAATACTGCCGTCGTACAATAAAGCACTGAAACGAGAGTCTTACTTTCAATATGATACCCTTCAGCTAATACTAACTTAATTAGGGCTTAGATTAAAATGCAAATAAGAAGACTTGGGATATGCAAATTTGCGCACACTTTGACGGATGTGATAATTTCCTTGGCATGAAAAAAGTAAGGCCACCCGTTGCGTGACTAAATTTCAAAAATCGAATCCATATGGTGCTCAAACTAGGCAAAACCATATGGGGTTCGATTTCCAATATATCACCATTTGAATGTGCTCGAATAGCCTTCCAAGGAGGGCGAAATTCATGTCACAATCCAAAAATGTCAAATGACACCTGGCGACAAAGTGTCGTCCCTTCCATATGCTATCGATAAAAAACTGGATCCAATAGCGCACGTAAATATGCAAACTATGCATTAGGCAAATTAGTGTGCAGTCAGAATAATTACTTAATTAGCGCCGAATAATCAGTTTTAATTAACTTCTGACTCTGCCTAAGCCTAAAGTTCATGATATTCGACCCGATATTTCGATAATACTAAGTTCTGCACAAAATCTTGGTCGATAAATTTTTAAGTATAACTTACATATTCTCAATATACAGGAGTTGCAAGCCATTTTGAAAGAGTCCTCTTTGTTGGAGCCACTACTTCTTGCCCAGTCAACTCAAGAACAGCTCGTCATAAAACTGAAATATTTATTGAATCCTATTTGTTTGCAAGAACTCGTGTAGAGCTGATTAGTGTTCCCCAGAAAACTCGCTTTCGGCAACACTGAATACTTTATGAAGCTGACTAACTTAGTTCTAATTAGCGGTATTTTCCCTTGCATGGGGTTACTTGAAAAATTGATTTTTTGATCAAAGAGAGTTAGGGAGCAGTGAACGAGTGGGACTTGAGTGCTCATCTGTCCAAGTTCATCAATTTTGCGTCGCTACTAAATTACACGGGAGAGCGAGAAAGAGGACTAAAATGTTTTCAACGCGGCTAGAGCACTCCCAACTCGAGTACCAGCCGGGTCATGCATTTTTTATCAAAGTGGACGCGCTAGTCCTGCTGTTGGAAAACAAAATACTTTTCCGCTGATAGAAACTATCGCTGGACATAACAGGAAAATACGCTAGTGAAGAAAAAAAGTTTGAAAAGACATAAGCCAAAGTGGACAGATGGGGCTGGCATTATAAAAAATGTCACCAACCCAGTTCTCCCGATTTAATTCTAATTCCTAAAGGGTTAATTGGGCCCTAGCTCGAGCCTACATCGTCAATCGATAGCATAATTAACACCCGAAAACATACATTCAACCCTTTACAACGCAATTTGCGACGCTATCCACGAACGGCTCCTTTTCTCATTAAAATATGTAAATGAAGGAAAGCAAAAAGTTCGAATCTCTCGGTTTTTTGGAACATCTAAAACAACCATCATCAACAAGTTTAAAAAATATAGCTCTAAGCTAACTATAATCCGATTAAAAAGTATCGAATTCAAAGACATTTGGCGTAAAAAAGCGTGGCATGGCGATTTCGAATTGGCTCAGCGACAGATTTTTTAGCTTAGAGGATACTGAAACTTCACTTTTCTTCAGATTTTTTTGTTCCCACGCACCCGCAATGAAAGCAAAAGGTTGATCCTTTAATAAGGCTTTCATCAATTAGAATGGCCCTATACGAGCGTCCAAGAAAAATAAGGGGCGAATGGAAGACGTATTTTTTTCTGAAAACAAAAGTTTTTTCTTCGTTTTATATTTCTTGTCTCTATTGACAAGAAATCAATATATACGCGTCCATTTGCTGATGATGCTAAGCCGGATTCACGATACCTAACAACCCCTATCTCACTGCACCTAAGGATCTGTTGGACGCATGCCCGAGGATAGCCGCTGTAAGCCTCTCGGTCTGAAGGACCTACACACGATTTCTGAATTTCGGTTGACACCTAAGAGCCCCCGCTAATAAGTTTTCGAGCGCATAAACAACGAAGGCCCTTCGATCGATCTATAATGATATCGCAGCGGCGGACGAAAACTGTAACGAGATGCGCGTCAAGGTCGCTGAGCTGGAAACAATCCACACTGAGGTTTGATCCGCGCTCTTGGCTTTGAGCTTTTAATCCGGACTTTGGCTAATCTCGAAGGGATCAATACTTCAGTTACTCTGCCTCTAGTAGAGCTGAGGGATTCGAGCATTGCGCCTTTTTCTTCGGCCCTTGACATGTCGTTTGACACGAGTGGTGAAACGCCCAGGGGAGTTGAAAAGCTCGGCAATTAAACGGAACTGGGCTCATCTACGTGATCATTGAATTCCTTCTGAAAACTGAGAAAATTTCTATTCTTTGATTGAAAAACACAAAGGTCGAAAAATGTTTCTTCAAAAAGGCTAATTGACTGTGTCCTGGATTTATTGTAACTATCAGTCCAACACCCCGCTGAGCTCGTTCCTACTGATTCTCGCCCTCTCCTTTGTTGTCCAATAAAGGCCGACAACTAGGTGTAGAAAGCAAATGATAAAGCTACCTGACCCAATTAGCAATGACCAGTTAGTTTCGTCAGAAGATATCGATACAAGAAAAATTATCAAAATTGGATCTCTTTCAAAGCCAAAAAATATCGACAAGAAGAATCGAAGGTAGTATAAAATTGATCTATTTTGAGTATCAGTGCATCGTCAAGCGTTGTACAATTCTGTATCAAGTTTACTATGCTCTCTGGTGACACAGCGAAAAATTATAATCATACCTTGAAATCTATTCTAGGGAGAAAAATCAGCGCTCTCTCTATTCTTCTTCGTTGTTGGCAAACAGAAGGAATCTCTTGAATTTCGAAAAGTTGTCGAATGTTGTGATCGATATCGTCGGCTCTCCACGCGCCTTAGGCAAAAAGGAAGCTTGGGGTGATCGGGCCGGAGGCGCGCGACGCCCACCAGGGGCGTCCTTCCAACGCCACCAGCTGGAAACATCGAGAAATTGAGCCAGTTAAACCAATGGAACTGGTCCGTATTAAACAAAATGGTCAGAATGGAAAATTCGAACTTACTTAATCAATCTAATGATGCATTTGAACGATAAGAGTCAATCCAAAATTTTATGATCTTTATAAGACAGTTTAAAAGACAAACTATCAAGATTTCTAAGATTTTAACAGCGTCCTCTTCAGTCATTGAGAAGTGCAAACGTATTGAGAATGCAGAGTCAATTAAAATTTGATAAGACGGTGTTGTAAAACCGCTTGTTGTGTGGCACCGGTGAATCGGAATTCGATCAAGTTCTTTTTGTTATTGATGTGATGCTTAGAGGTGGTTCACATTCTCGAGGATGCATTTTTCGCCAGCTCTGCAAGCGTGCCGTATTCGTGAAACATAGGAATATACTGGCGGCTGAGATCAATAAGAAGCTGAATAATTAATTCATCTTCTGCATTTGCATGAAGTGTTAGTGGTCGGTGACCACTTTGCTCTTTCCCTCGCCAAACAGAAGACATTGGAAATGAGCCCAAAAACTCTGTCATGCGCGTTAGACGAGTGTCTTTTGTGCAAACAACAAGTTGTATGATAATAAATTATTATTGATAACAAGTTTAAAAATAAAGCAGTAGAAATGAAGAGTTCACTTTCCCGAGGGAGCCCAAATTGATAGCCTTATATCGCTTCAGAATTCTTCCTTACTAACTGGTCTTGCTTGATGAACACGGAGCTGACAATTGAGCTGGGCTAATTGCATCTGAATCTTCAGACGTTGCTACAGTAGATTGCATTTAGTCTGATTATCAGACAGCTGTCCGCGGAAAATGCAATTAAATAAATTGCCCTACTTGCCACCCTGCGAATATGGATGAGCGAACTTTCGCCTCGATTTATCTTGCTTAACCTGTTTTTCTAAATAAAGACACACTTATCTATCCCTGTTATTTTTAAAGGACAGGCCCTCAACCGGAAAATAACCGTCATTTTATATCACTGCTGATAAGCTGTAAAATCAATAGCGCTTTTCGCAGCGGGAGATCAAGATCAGGCTCTGAAAAAATATTCTTACAGTTCACTTGATATAAATAGACGCTAATTTATAGTTTGAAAACTCATTATTCCCAGAAGAAGCAGTAAAAATAACTTTAGTAGTGTGAACTTCGGGTCAAAGTGCAATCTGGTAAGTGATGCTAGGCCTTCGCCTTGGGGCAATTTCGATCACCTATCCAGCTCAGCAAAGGAAATACTTTAATTTGTCTTCGTTTGTGCTAGAAACGGTTTGAAAGGTGCTGAAAAGAGATCAGGTCCCGGTCAGAAGGAGATGAAAAGTGATGAAATTACAAATCGAATCAAGCAGCGAAGGTAACTTCAGCCATTTTTGAAAAGAGAAAATTTAAATGAGCCAGTAAGATATTAATGAAGAGCAGCTTTATCCAGTAAACAAACACATACGTTTTCGAGTATCGAATATTTATAAATGCGATTAAATATTTCGCGGTGACAAGTACTCTGCTTCCGGGATACTTGGTCTTCAAGCCACCTAATTGAGCATATTTTCAGCTCTCCTTTTTTACCAAACATTTATAAATAAATCATAAGGCGTTGACATACTCAGTTCATAAGGCATTTATTTTTCGTCATCAATAACGCTGTTTTTAGGCGCTCTTCCTTGGTTGAGCGGGGTCTAACCGAGCAGACCAAACAGTGGGCTGGGTCAGCAGTTGCTGCAAGGCTGAGCCACTTTGATGGAAAGTCACCGAAAGCAAAACTCCCCGAACATCGGTAGAGTAAATTATGCATTTGGCTCAGTGATTAACGTGCTAATTGAGGCTAAAGAAGAAAACCGAGCATGGAGAAGGGAACGACTTTCTATGGGCGAAGAGAATGGGTTACTTACTAACTGCGCGTCTGGTTAAAACACTAAAATGAACCCTCATCAAAGACAGACATGACTGGCTGGAGGTACAGTGACTGAGACTTAATCGTATGTAGGCTAATCATGTTTGATTTGGCTTGAGGCGCGTATCCGCAATCTAAATGCAAATTCGCTATCCCTCCCTTCTACTTACTTTAATTAGAATAACAATGGAGGATGCAGATTTGTGTGTGCCCAAGCTGCCGCCGCCACTGGAAGAGTGGTCGCTCTTTGCCGTGTTTGACGGTCATGGAGGCGACGAAACTGCCAATAGAGCTGCAGAAAAGGTTAAACAAGCAGGCAAACCTAATTCGCCATGAGCATTTTAAATTGTAATTTGTCTATAAAATGGGCGTCAAATAAGTAAAGTTAATGAGTAAAAATTGTGCGCGATGGCTGTCTTCAGATGCTGCCAATCTTAATGAGCCAACCTGCCATCGCGAATATTGCGAACCCGTTTCTCTACGACCCGGAGATCGTCCTTGGGGCTTTGAGGGAATGCTTCGTCTCCCTCGATTCTGAACTTCAGCACTTATTCAGAAATAACCGCAGGCAGAGTTTTCATAATTGAAAATAACGAAAATACTGTACTGTCTGTAGAACACGGATCATATTATATGATTCATATAGAATTTTCATAATTATCAAACCTCGAAAAAGATGGTCCGGATCAACCTGTACTGCAACAATAATAACACCTGCTCATATTTTCACAGCGAACCTTGGAGACTCAAGAACTCTTCTCGTCCAAAGTGTTTCTACCGATGTCGTCGATCTCGTTGCCAATGAAACTGAAACGGAAGTTCTCCCAGCCGGTGTAAAGTTCTCGACATCAGATCACAAGAAACAGTTGAAAAACTTCCATTCTCGAGATGAAACTTACTTATTCTCCCTTTTTACTAATATAAAGTTTTCTCTTGTAATTGCGCTTCTTGACACCTTCGAGCGAAAATGAGGCGTTTATGGCATCATCCGTGTCTTTTGAAAGTCTTGATAGATCTCGTGGTATCTCACGTGGTAGTAATTCTGACATGATACTCTAAATCAAATTTCATTGCTCAATTGAGAAAAGCCAAGTGACGAGCGCGAAACCAGACGTATAACTGACGCGGGGTTGAAAGTTCGAGATGGCCGCATTCAAGGACACGTGGTTTCTAGCTTTCTTTTGTTCATTTCGGACGAAATAGAATGAGTTCATGCCTTGCCACAAGAGTTGTTTGCATTGCAATAGCTCGCGATAAATATTTTACTTATTGGGGAACGGACCAAATATGCTATTGCGTCGGCACTCATCTAATATGCGCGAGCGTATTATTGGGAACCACAGGAAAGGGAATCTCGCGGTAGCTAGGGCCTTTGGGGACTTCCAATACAAACGTGCAAAGGATAAAGAGCAACTGGAGCAGCCGGTGAGCTGCCTACCTGACGTGCACTACTTCGAACGTTCGAGCGAAGACGAGTACATCGTTATGGCATGCGACGGCGTTTACGATGTTGTGAGCAATGACGAGCTTGTAAGTAGAAAACTAAATGATTAAAAATAGAAACAAACTGTAAATACAAACCGCAGAACTACTATAAACATATCTTCCCTTGAAATCAACACGGAAGTGTCCTTTCTTGTCACGTCATATTTTCTAAGACCCACTGATTTATCGACCCGTGCTTTTCTCGTTTCCTATCAATCTTACTTTCAGGTTGTGCTGGTCAGGTCAAAGTTCGCGGAGAAAGAGTCGATTGTGGAAACCGTTGAAGAGATTGTTGATGTGTGTTTGAATCGCGGGAGCATAGGTAATTTTACTCATGAATTGAGCCTGTTTGCGTTTGACGTTGATATCAATATTTTTTGTAACATCTTCAATATATGCTTTTAGATAACATGACAATAATATTGATTGCGTTTGAAACGGTGTTCAACAAGGATATCGATGCGGTCGAAAATGACATTGAACCAGACGATGCGAGTTAATGTCGTTCTCTGTAATTACTGTACATAAAACGAGCAATTAAATTGATGGAATTGTATTGATCAGAGTTATCCGAAAACGTTCCATTTGAGATCAGAATCAAATGGGCAGTCAGCAATTACAGAGGCAAGAGGATACGATCCTGTTTTCAGGATCCACTCTCCGTTGACATTCACGACATCGTAAGCGAAGAATCTGCCAAAGAATGATACCATGGTTAATCTGTAGTCGTTGGAATTGTCTTTCATGTTAATTTCAACTCGGAATCTTCAAATGGGTTCAAGCTTCAATTTAGAACTGTGAGAACTGAAAAGTGGTTTTGATAAAAGATTTATCCATCTAATGAAACTTGGACCATTCCTACTGTCTCCGTCCGCAAATCGAGTGGCAATCGAGACCAAGGGTACGAATCTCCCCTTTTTCAAATAGTTGTCAGTTTTCGGATTTGGAATCGGACAATTTATAATTTGGGCGACGCGCTGAGCCAACTTATTATCGATTGATAGGGCGAAGGAGTTTTCGATTTTTCCATTTTTCGAAAGGAGACGCTCAACCTTCGTTACAATGTTGGTCTTACACTCGGGGTGCCGGGCGTCCATCGTGTAGAAAATAGCCACTTTACTTTGCTCAAAGAAAATATTTATGCCCTCTATTCACTCGCATCAAGAGATCTTGTCTTATTAAGTGCGTCGAGTTCATTTGGACGTCATTAAATGATGAGTCCTTCTAAAGACTAGTTCCGTGCTCAATCAAATGAATTATCAAAATTCTATAGAACAGTCCTAAGTTCTCCTCTTCATCGAAAATTGGTGCGCCAGGATCTTCACTACAGCCGATGCCATTCATCAAACAAATTGTATTCGTCGCTTCGGAAGCAAGTTTGCATTCGCGCTCGTTCTCAAAACTCATGATTTTTACCTTTCCATCTCGAGTCTTTCCTTGCGGGTCTAAGCCAAAGCTTCGCATTTCCAAAGCACCGAATAAATTTCCGCCGAGGGAAGGAAATGAGGGAATCTTCAACAATTCCGGGGAAAAGATATTCACTTTCAGCAAAACAAATTGATCGTTTGCATCAAGAAAGGTGAAGTCGGTCACGAATCCAATGTTCGAGAGCTCCAAGTGTTTCTCTCCAGGTTGAAAAGCTTCTACCGATAAACTTCGACGCTCGTCTGTTCTGGTTTATTTTCTGCTACAGAAATTATTTTTTTTTATTTCTAAACCTCTCCTAAAATGTTCTTATCGCAAACTGCCTCAGTATATGAAGACGAAATAGCATTTCTTCCTAAAATCATTTAACATCTTTTTGTTAACGTTAAATCTACCAGTCATGATATGCTGATCGGATATCCATGTTCCAGTGACATTGTTCACTTGATAGTACTCTCCGTTTCGCAACTGACAATGACCAGATAGTCTGACAATGAATCTGTTTTTATTGCCAGTCGCATATTCTGTCACAACTCTTCCCCTGGCATCGATTTCTAGGCCGTACAATCTCTTAGAAAAGACACTTGAAAATAATGAAAGCAAAAATATCTTTTTCATTTTCTTCTACTGAAAAAAGAGAGGATGATTTTTACTTAGAATGCATCCACAGACGGCCCTGGGGCAGGTTGTTTAGTCTTTAGATTTTTATTCAGAAAAGCACAGAGCTAATTAGAATCAGAAAAAGTGAAGATAAAAGTGTGCCTGCAGACGATGTCGTTGTGTAATTTATCGTGTATTGAACTTCTTGAGTACGGCTTGTTTGAGGGTACCACTCGACGGACCCATCAAGGGTTCCTTTGTAGAGAACAGTGACAAACTCCAACGTCACTGTTGAGCCAGATGGATAGTTCTTTTTATCTTCATCGTTCATGTGATTGTATAAAAAGAATTCTAAAATATTTGAGCTGAAACTCTACGTTGAAAATTTACGGTTCTGATCCAGCTTTATTTCTCTGAAAAATGAATTGCCACTTTTGTCGTCTTTGATCCGGAAACGCATTTCGAGGTCGAGTTCATTAACAAGACTGAGCCCTTTCAATGGATTTTTTCACGCTCAGAGCACTTACTGTCCTAGCTTTATTTCAATCCTTTCCTCCAGTGTTTTTGTCCAGCTTTGTTCCGACAAGTGGAAGCCGAAAAAAGAAGCTGTTCGTGACATAAGATAGCTTCGTCATGAGTTTTTTGGTGTTTTCTTTGAATTCGCACCAGTCATAAATAAAATACCGATTCTTCAAAATCTGAAGACCTGTCTCGTTGCTGAGCTCCCATCTCCTTGAATATTTTGCTCGGTCAGCGATTGCCATCATTCTTAAAAAGAAATGAGTTTACTTCAAAAAAACGAATAATTCTTCATACCTTGGAAAAAGCTGCCCAAGGAGCATCTCTGGGTTGCGCATCGTCTCAGACCATAAGTGACCTTGAATGCCAATAATATTTTCTGGCTTTTCAAGAGAAGGACAGTGACTTGGATTTTCGTCGCAAACTTCGCCAGGTTGATATTCATCCCCAAAGTTTGTATAGTCAGCATTTGAATAAAAATTTAATGGTCTGTAGCTGAAGACTTTGAGAAGATCTGTGAACCGCGAAGCCCAGTAGAATCCATTTTCATTTGGACTTTGAAGGACTGCATAAACAAGGTTGTTGTCTAAAAAGTTTCAAGAAATACAATCGTTTCCTAAGATCGGCTGGATGATCAAAATAAGTGTGCGCAGCTGTAGACATGATCACTTGATATCCTGCGTTGGCGTACTCGTATGGATATTTGATATTGTGCTCGTACCAGCGGCTATTCCAGGGCATGATTGTCAACGGAAATTTCAATGATCCCCATTGATCCATAGGAACCGGTTTTTCATCTTAAATGATGTTAATTATATAAAAAATTAAGACACTTTTACCGACAATGAAAGCCTCCTCCCAAGCAGCAACTCTGAAACCATAAAAATCGACAAGATCAACAGTTTTCTTGATGAAATAGTGAAAAAGCTCGTCAAGGCTATTTATTTCTCCTGATTCCACCATCGCATCACATAGTGGCGAGTGTTTCCACGAAGTCGGTGGTGTTTCGTCACCGCCAATATGAAATAACGGCGGATTTTCGTCGTCCCAAAGGCCCGCTTGTCGGTACATCATTTTCATTTCACTTACAACTTGCGCAATGAAAGCAAATGTTGACTCTCTGCAAGGACACATAGTTCCATCAAATGTTCGTCCCCAGGATGAAGTGTCGTAGGTCTCGTCCGGGTCATCGAGTCGATACCTTTCATCTCCCGTTTTGTGCGCGCGATATTCCATAGCTACAAAACTGTTAAATGAAATCATGGAAGAGAACTTAACATTTAACAGCGGCACGGCTATGTGCAGGCATATCGATCTCAGGAACAATTTGAATTCCACGCTCATTCGCGTATCTCAATAATGACACGAAATCGCTCGTAGAAATAAATCTTCGTCCACCGTCGCCTTCTGCTTTTTCTTGAGGGGAGGGAAAGAGACAAGGAAAATTGCTGTCCTTAAAATTGCCATAGCATCTGTGCGCTCCAAATTCATGCAACTCGGGCAAGCCTGGAATCTCGATTCTCCAACCTTGGTCGTCGCTCAAATGAAGATGAAGATGGGTCAGTTCGATCTCAGAAGCAATATCAACAACGAGTCTTAGAAAGTCTTCGTAACGTAAATTCTGCGAGAAATTTTCTGGAAACCAATTTCTTGCTAGGTCGATAAACATTCCTCGATATGTAAAATGGCTCTCTATTTTCACTGATTTTTCATGCAATTTGTTAGATGGAGGACAAGACAGTCCGGTCACAGGAGCATATCTTTCATATCTTCCGAGTCCTCCATTTTCATCCCAAGAGGTCCATTTATCATCAAGTGTTCTGTTGAATAACTTGACTTCGCCAAGTTTCGACGGGAAAATCGCACCATCCATAACAGTTGATTGAATTGTCTTTATTCCGAGTTGCATACCTACAGTCTTACGCCTTCAGACTTGCTACATGTGCTCAGCTAAAGAGCTTTATGACGCAAACACCAAAGGTGTGTAAATAATATCCCCTGTGCTACCGTATATGCAACGTTCCTTTGGCTCAGTAGAGCCGCAGTCTCCAGCAAGGCAAATGAATACCCAGTTGTTAAAAATATCAGAGGATGAAGTCAGCCAGTTATTACCTTCCAACACGAATGAAATTTTGTCACCCGGAGTTAGGTCGATCCAGTCATCGTTTTTGACAAATTTCCAGTAAAAACCTCCAAATCGTTTGAGATTTAGACCAACTGGCTCTTGCGTATAAAAATCAACCAGCGATATTCCTTCTGGCTCATTCAGTGCGCCCACAAAGTCAGCGATTCCATAGACCCAAGAAAAATGGATTTCCCAATTAGATGAAGAACTTTAATGATCATCATCATCCTGACAGCCGCTTTTTGTTACCTGAGGCTTTGAGCAGAGTCCTCGTCGAGCTGCATATTAATTTTGAACACGTATTTTTTATCATTAGGTTCCGTGTTTGAAAGCACATCTATTGTTATCTGTAAAGTCTCTGCGATTCCCTTCTCTATTCTTTGAGCACATGCATGTAAAAATAAAAGGGGCAAGAGCCTCATCGGAGAAGTCGGAATTGAGAACCAAAAATGCACTGCAAGAAAGAAAGACAAAAATGTAAATTTACTTATTTTATGACTCATCAAAGTTCCGAATGAGTTTCAATATTTATTCAGAATTCCATTTCAGATCGTAGTCGTGTCCGGCGCCTGGCATATGAGCTTGAATAACTTTCTTGCGACAAGTGGCGATCATGTCCATGAAACTGAAATCATGTTGGTATAGTTTTAGCTTATATTTTCGCTTCTTACGTAAGTGCTTGAAAAGAATCTGGCAAAGTTTCGTCATTTTTAAGGATTATTAAGGCATTTTCTTTGAAAGTTGTTTACAATTTATACAGTGACTGATTTTCAGCAAAATTCACAATTTTAAAATGAGAAACTTTTCCTAATTGCGATCCATAGCTCTGCATACAATCGGAAAAGCTCAAATGAGCACTTCTAAACAAATTATTTCTGATTTTCAGCTGTGTATTTTTTTCTTACATAGAGCCACAGAAGACGAGGAAAATAACTCTTAACATTTTCTTCGTGCGACGGGGTCTTAGCAGAATAAAATGGCACCGTTCATCATCATTTTAAATACGTCTTAGAATTGACGAAATCTATAATTGATAGCGAAAATCTGAGAGCTCATCAATGAGCTAGTGGGTAACCTGTCAATGTATTGAGTCCCATATCCTGGATTTACCTTCCAATTTTCAGACGCAATCGCGATTCGAATCTTTAAGCGCGTTAATAATTTTCATTGCATCAAATGGTGCATAATCTTCAGAATATTCGACACCAATGACAGTAATGGACGCGAAAGAACTCAGCTGCTCGGGTGCGGAAGTCGAAGCTCAGAGTTTCTAATGACCGTTGTTCAGTATTCACGCTCAATATGAGTGGCAGCACGGACCTCGATCATCCTGGATAAAGCGAACAGTTTGACTATAAACCATCACCAGCTCGAAATAAATAAACGGAAAGCCTTTTATCTATACGCGTGAATCGATTTGTGTGACATTTATAAATGCGTGCTTGACGGAGGATCGGAGTCAGATAGATACTATTCCAAAAGGACGAAACATGATGATTGTAACATTTTTTCTCGGACTCTTGAACTTTGCTTCTGCTGGTGCTCAAAGCGAGCAGGTAATTATCTTCTGCAGAGAAAGTCAAATTTTTTCCTTTAAAATCTTCAGGACTTCTTGAGAAGCCTCCAGGACCGACTTCAAGGGATGGAAGTTAACAACAACTACGGCCCAACTTCTCAGTCGATCCACCCACTCTTCCGACGATCTTTCCGGTACCAGCAATTTTGAAAGCTAGAAAAAGCTCTTTTCATCGATGAAGTCTCCTTACTGAATCGACTGCATGCTATTCGTTACGAAGTTGATAATAAAATCAAGTGAAAGCAAAATAGTTTGAAAAGTAGCAATTCTAACTGCAAAGTTTTCTGCAAAGTACTCAAATCAACTCATTACGTATTGGTAATTTATTTCTGTGAAGATGGCAGGTCTGCGATAATTCAAACTCTAAATGGGAAGGTTTTCTTGAAGGATTTCGACTGTTTCGAACTGATCAAACGTCTCCAAATGATAAACTAATTTTGGGTTTCAAAATTTTCACCTACACACGTGACAGTTCAGCACCTTTATGAAACCCGTAACTACAGCTCTGTGTGGGTGATTTTATGTTTAGATTTCTTTTGACTATTTGCTACGAATTGCGCTATTGTCGGTTTCATGACAGGTCTTGACGGTAGTGACTTTTTGGGCTTAACCGGTTTGTATGAGTTCCGGATCTCATTCGCGAGAATATCTATGTGGCGCATTTCAGACGTTTTGCTTATAAAGTGGTCGTAGCTTCCAACATGAACCTCGGGTTTGTAGCCAAACACTTTCATCAGCGGCGCCACTTTTTCCACATTTTCAAGGTCCTTTTCTGGGATGACGCCTTCCCAACTGCTCAGTGCTGAAAGATTATAAGCACTAGAAGATTCTCGATGAAAATGACAAAACAGCGCCGAGAAATAATTTATCAGCGCGAACAAAGTGAGCAAGGAAACTGTAAATAATTAACAACGTACCAGTTGTATACGTCGCTTTGACAACTTGGTCTGTGCTTCTTTCTAAGGCCGACAGGCTTATGTCTGAGCCAATATGCTCTTCGTGGTGAATCAACCCGTCGTACCATTTGAGTCCAAGGAACTCGACTAAATTATTCAATTTCTTTCTTGAGAATTTGAAGTGTTTCTTACCAATTTTCTTGAGAACCTGTTCCTTCTCCAGAATCAAGTGTTCGTAATGAACTGGCATGCAGAACTTTGGTCCGAGATCTTGACATTGTTGCCACATCTGCTGATGTGCCATGTCCCATCTGTGAATGACATCTGTGTAGTTCGTGAGGTCGTAGCCGGTGATTGTAACCTTTCGGGTGATAATGGAATGTGCTACTGATCGAGCATCCCGCAGCATATAGATGAATTTACTATTCGGGTACCAGTCTGTCAGCTCTGACATAAATTTCAAGGCAAATGGGTCTTTGTTGCAGAGTCGTCTTGATATAGGGCCATGTTTTTCGATAACTAGGAATACATGAGTACTATTTAATTCATGCTAGGACTTTACCTTCAAGAATGAATCGCTTTACCCCTTCGTTCATTGCTGCTTCTCCTTCTGTAGAAAGTGCGTTTTCCGAAAATGCAGATTCTATCGAGAAATAAAAATAATTTTTCGACGTTTTTCAAAATTTACCTTTCATATGAGTAGAACTTTTTAACATTTTCCGGACCATCATCACTCTCGGAATGACTCTAGTTTCTTCGCCACAGCGAACATCGGGATGAACATCTGCAAGAAAGCTGATAATAAAAGTCGCGAAAAATATTTCTACCTAGAATGGCACGCATCAAAGTCGTCCCAGATCGAGGCATTCCTCCCACCCAGATGATCGGATGTTGATCGTCGACATCTGGCCATTCGATGCTCTTGTATTCCCTGGCTGTACAGTTTCCATAATGACAAGGTGCCTGCTGGGCTCTAACTTTTTTGATCTCAGCATCGGTCAGCTCTTCTATCTTTTTCAGCCGAATCGGTCTGTTGTCAATAGATGCTTTGAAGCAGTATGGATCCGGAAAATCTTGAAGAAGGTCAGCGCGCGAATATGCGAAGTTAAATATCTATGCATAAACAAGCAAGCAAATTCTCCTGCTATTTGCGATGTTTTACTGATTAACAAAATTCGAGGTGATAACATATTATGATCCATCGTTAATTGTGCCTTATTAAACAGACAGTTCTCGTAGACTTACTCTTGCCAAGATAGTAGGCGAACAACAAGCTCAAAAAGTAGCAAACTGACAATGGCGTTATCACTGTGGGCATGTCGGTTTTCTTGCTGCTTTCTCTCTTGCTGCCAATATAAGAATAAATATTAATCTTTTAACATTTTCAAACGGTCTCAGTTGACCAACGCGCTCAAGATCCGGCGGTTCGTACCCGCCCTCGGGGCTATACCAAACCAAAACTACAATATTTTTTAGACCTCATTGAATGAAAGAATGGTTTTTGAATAATAATGATGTATCCTAAACCGGTCTGCTCCGTCAATGAACGAGACTTAGTTTGGTCAAATGGTTGCTTTATTCGGGAAAGAGGCAGATTATATGTCGTTGGTACTATAGTGCGGGAGACAACTTTGGTAATGAATCAAGGCAGGGCGCCAAGTCCAAGTGGGCACTGGTACCGTGCGAAAGGAAGTGAGAAACGCAATTAAGGGAGTAAAAATAGTAAAAATGGAGATGAAGTGGCAAGGGCGCGCGAAAAGGGCGCACGGGTGTGATTGATCATGTGGACGGTGAGGAACACATCATCCCTCCCCGGCTTCAAGCTGAAAATGGAGATATTTTCAGACTGGGAAAACTTAGATATGGATCATAAATCAGGGTTGAAACTAAGAAAACGAAAAGTTTTGATTATTTGAAAAAGTGAGAAATAGAGAAATCACAGAGTAATACAAGTTGAAATGATATATTTTTCACCGCGGCAGCTCGAGATTCTTGAGCAAGTCGGACTCGAAGAAACGGCCAAGTACGGATTGACTCGTAGGTTGTTACGTCATTCATGTCGTCTTCACGGATTTGTGGTTGTTGACAATTTTCAGGCCAAAATTCGCAATGGATGCAACAAGAGAAGCGCCAGCAATAATATCGCGTCGATGGCGAATCTCGTTTGCTTCCTCGAGAAGGTCGGCAAGAAGGTATTGGAATTCATCTTGGATCTCTGTCAAGAAGACATCTTTCAAGAAATCCTGACGTCCGTCGGAGCAGTCGCGCTTGGAGAATCCGTTGATCTTGGCTTGACGGCGGCACTCGTCGTAGCTGCATTCGTGGAAGGGTAGATTGATGAAAGGACTGGTAGGAGCTGGACGAAGAACTTGAAAATCGATGACTCGGGATTGGCGGGTGAGGTAGACATCGCCGATTTCATCAAGGGTGATGGCACCATCTCGAACGACGATGGAGGCAGCTGCTACTGCGCACAGGAAAAGGGCTTTTATCATTGATCTGAAAGAATGAATTTTTAGATAACGAAATTCGAAAGTTTCCGGACTCGAATAAATTTATAAAAAACACCAGGCTACTGTATTTGAATAATAGAACTACTGCATGATAAAATAATTTTTACGCAAAAGAATTAATAGGACGAAGAAATTTGATGTTCCTTTTCAGGATCTTCCCTTCTTTCAGATCTTTGATAGTGTAAGCTCCATTTCCGTGCACCTTGATGACTGTAGCTGTTCCTTTGAATCCTTTGTGGAGTTTCTTCGATTGGCCGAAGCGCATCGGTGACCAGTAAGCAACTGTCCCTCCCACAGCAAGTTTGAGCGGCTTTCCTTTGATTTTGACGGCGTAATTTTTGTTGAGGCTTGTGAGTGATTGTGAGCAGTACATTAACCAGCCGTTTAAATAGTCCATCCATCGATCTGGATCAACAAGAGCAGGTTCAGAAGGCGTAGATTTGACTGCAAAAGCGGGAAGTGTCATCGGTCGGCCCCAGAGAACTTCAGCTGCAGTCAAGTTTCCAAGATTCTTATTCGGCTGATTGTTGATTGCATATAAGACAAAACAGATTTGGCGGGACCAAATATCTGGTTGAACGTCCATCAACTTCGCTTTGATTCCAAGACAGCGAAATCGCCTCTCGATTTTGTTTGAAGCGGCGTGATAGGGAGAAATATGTGTGTAGTTGATATTGAAGAATTCCATTAGAGTATTCATTCGTTTATTTGATAGCTCAAGGCCATTGTCCGCAACAACTGTGCAATTGGACACGTTGTTCGCTAAGAGCAGTTCCAGCAGCGCTTGTCCGACTTCTTCTGCGCTCTTGTTCTGAATTGGCCGAGCGACAACGTAATTCGACAGATCATCCATTAAAACAACCAGATAACGGAAATGATAGTTGTCCAAACGACCGAAATCTACTAGATCCAAAAAGGCTTTTTCAAAGGGAAACCCTTTTTTCATTGGTTTCGGCGGTACTGGATGCTTGTAACTGAATCGAGGCTTCGTTGTAACACATGATAAACATGAATTGCAGATTTGAGTGCAAATTCTTCGAAGTTGTTTGATTCGGAATTTCCGTGAAAGAGAGGTTTGAAGCTTGGAGATTCCGGGGTGGACTAATTTAACGTGACAAAACGAGACCAATTCATAGGCGAGAGAAGCAGGAATGGCCAGCCGATTTTCAGAGTCACGATAAAGCATGTCACTTTGTCGCTTCAGTAATTTGTTTTTTATATCTTCTTTGATATCAGAATCTTCTAGCTGGAGTTCGGCGATCGCCTGCTTGGAATACGGGACCTCATCGATTAGCAAGAAGGGATCGGCAGATTCAGAATCGGAAGATAAGCACTTGTCTGTGCTCTGAGTTGAGTTTTGAGTTTGTTGTTGATTTGAGATTTGAGTAGATTTCTGCGATTTGCTTTCCGCGGAGCTTTTCTTTGACGAGTTCTGATCGGAAGAAGATGGACAGGATGGTTCAACTGTAGCTTTCTGAGCCTTTGATTGAGCTCGAGTCATCACCAGCAGCTGCAGAGAGTTCGAAACACCTCGATCAACAATATCTTCATCTTCGTCAATATCTGTATCTTCGCTGATTTGAATTGCTCTTGAGAGACAATCGACCGTGATTATAACTGGATCTGTATTTCGACGATGTTCGATGCTCAGAATATTGAATCGCTGTAGTCTGCAAATCAAGTTGATTACCCTTATGGGCATCGCGTCCTTCATTTTCTTCTGTTCAAGAATTCGGGAAATGCTGAGATGGTCGGTTATTGCGTAGAAACTTGTGTTGTAGAGCTCGTATTCGAAATACTCGCAAGTGTACACAAGTGCGGCGAGTTCCAAATATCGACTTGCCAATTTTTGTTCTCCAGGTGCGAGTTTTCTGCTGCAAAATCCCAATGGAGCGAGCGTGCCATCGTTTCTCCGTTGATACAGTGTTCCAGCAAGACCAACGTGAGATGCATCTGAAGCGACGACCAACGGCAATTTCGGATCTCGGTGTTCCTGGCTGACAAATTTCGCTAATTTGGACTTAAATTCATCAAAAGCCTTCTGATGCGTAGTTGTCCATGCAAAAGGTTCGTTTGCTGAGCAGAGGCGATGCAGCGGTTCCAAAGTGAGCATTCCTTCGGGCACAAAAGTCGAATAATAATTCTGCATGCCAACCCATCGGCGCACTTCTCTTTTTGTTCGCGGCACCGGGAAGTTCAGAATTGCATCAACTTTACTGCGCAGCGGTTCCATTCCTTTTCTCGTGCATTTGAATCCTAAATACGAAAACTCCTCGGCACAAATAGCCGTTTTGAGACTTTGAGCGTCACTCCGAAATCAATCATTCTTCTGAGAAATTTCTTCAATTGGCTTAAATGCGCTTCAAATGAGTCTGCTAGCAAGAGACAATCGTCCATCAGAACATAGACATTTGGGATGTCTCTTGTTATTCTCCACATCAGCTCCGAAAAAATTGCCGGACTTTGCTTCAATCCAAACATCAGTCGGGTGCTGGTATACTGCACATTTTCAAACGCAAATGCGACCTTATCTTGATCTTCTTTTGCGAGCCGCAACTGGTTGAACGCGGACTTGACATCCGTAAGGCTCATGTAGATTTTCTTGGATGAAGCAATTTTGCGGCTAACGTCAGACAGAATGTCTCGCAGCGAGGGAACGGGCCAGTGATAATCTTCTGTATGCAAATTGAGTAGTCTCGCATCGATCACTGGCCGCGCTGCTCCGCAGGCTTTCTTCACAAAAAACATGGGAATCGAATGACGTGACCCTCGTGGTTCGATCACGCCCATATCCAGCCAAGACTTAAGAACTTGTTTCCCTGGCTCACGTAGAGAGCTTCTGCATGGTCTGGGTTTTTCGTAGATCCGCTCGGCTTCATTTTTCAGCTTGATTCGGCAGACAAACTTATCAACCATTCCCAGATCTAGCGCCGACACTTCAAAGGCTTCACGTTCTTCAGCGAGTGTCGCTAGAATTTGCTCTCGCTGTGGCTTCGTCAGATCCGGACCGATTGGAATCTTCTTGTAGTGCTCCGATTCGTGCGGCTTGAACTTGGCTCGCCGTTCAGCTTGATGCTTCAGGAAATCGTTGTGCAGTTGTTCATCAGAAGTTTCAATCAACGAATTGATTTCAAGTCCATTCGATGCCAAATTTTGACCATTCGCACATGGAATTCCAGCTGGTACAGTAACCGGCACCGCAGTTGGATTTTCAACCAAAAGGTTCAATTCACTTTCTGAGTCGTACACTGCTTCTAGAACTCGACACTCATTTTCGTGGAGAAAACCCCTTTTTCGGTGTGAGATCAGCAGGATGTCGTTAGATACAGTAGTGACCGGAAGTTGCACTTTCAGTCGAGACGTCGAAAACGGCGATAGAGTATGGATTTCCGAAGTTGTCGCGACAACCGCTTGTGATTCAGCGACGAGATTGACTTGGTGGCCATCCAGTGTTGCATGCCCGTCGGTTTTGTTGATGGTTAGTTTATCGAAGTTGTGACCGCCGAGGATGATGCTGAAGTTGACACTGTCACTAATGACGAAAGTGAGACGTTTCTGAAGAGTTCCAATTTCAACATCAGCTGTTACAGTCTGGTTTGCAGTCATTGTTTCGGAATTCGCAACGCGGATCTGGATCGCAGCAGAAGAAGTTTCGAGCGTCGGGAAAGATGACTTAAGGGTGGCGAGACTCAGCACATTCAGGTTCGCACCCGAATCAACGAGCGCTAGAATCGGGGTCTTCTGTACATTGATGATTATTTTCGGGAGATAGAGAGAGTCGAAAAGAGTTGTTGACAGGGCGAAA